TTTTTAAGATATTAATTCTAAATTATTACTTTAAATTCCCTCCTAGTCCTTATTATTTAAAATAGTTAAGTCTTTATTACTCTATAGCTCTAGCAACTCTATTTATTATTATATAAGATAGCTATTTCTTATTAATTTTTATTTATTAATATATTAAGTTTTTTACTTACTTATTTTATACTATATCCCTAATCCCTCCTCTACTTATTATAAACTAAATCATCCTCCTAGGTATTATCTACTTATAATTTAATTTAGTAAGAGGTATAGTACCTCTTTTTTTAGTTTAAAAAATAGGATTATTATTAATATAAGCTCCTGCTTCCTTTCATCCTATAATAAGATCTATAGCTCTAGATATTCTACTATAATATTATACTATTTATACTCTATAAGATTATTTAGGCTTTTAAAATATCTTATCTCTATTATTTTCTATACTTCTAGTATATTAAATAAAGTTCTTTTAGTAATATTACCTAGTCTTTCTTCTATAAAGTTAAGATATTAGCTAATTATATCTAGTACTATTACTTTACTATCTTTTTAATAATAGATTTCTAAGTTATAACTTTAGAATTCTTTTACCTACTAGGTAAGCTACTTTAAATACTTAGTTATATTTATAAGATATTAAAGACTCTTATAATTAGTTGTTACTAGTAGTTCTAGTAAGGAGGTTTAAGGATATTATCTTATAGGGATTATTTTTTATTAAGACTTATTTTAGTAACTAAGTAATACTTCTTTAGCCTAAAGTTATTATATCTTATTTTATTTCTACCTCTCCTAGTAGGGCTTAGTAGAGAGTTCTCCTATAATAAAAACTCTTTACTAAGCATGACCACCCTACTACCTTTTAGATTAAATTTAATAGTTACTTATAGGGAAGAGTAGTAGGTGTTTATTAAGGTAAATATAGATTTAGTAGAGTAAAAGTATTTAATTTCTTATTATCTATAACTTTAGATATACTACTAGATAGTATTACTAAGGATAAGATAGTATTACTAAAGATAAAGAGAAATAGACTAGGCTAATACCTCTTTACTTATCTAGGGTAAGGTCTTCTATTTATACCTAGCTACTAGCTATCTATCTAAAAGATAAGTTATAGATATTAAAGAGATTTCTTAGGTTAACCTTAGTAACCTAGAGTCAACCTTAATAATTATTAATCTACTCATGATATTTGTTCACTAATATCACATTATAAATACTCTTTTATAGAGGTTACCTCTATTAACTTTAGGTCTACTAGAATAAGAAAGTCTTATAAATCTAACTTACTCTTAGAGCCTTCCTCTTTATAGGCTATCTCTTTTCTTATTATTTAACTTTATATAGTTATAGAGGAGAGTTTATTAGATAGTTTAGATTTAATTAATCTCTTTTATAATACTATTTTTTTAATAGACTAGTTTTAAAGATTAAGTAATAAAATATAAGGATCTATAATCTATAAAAATTAGAAACTAGTATAAAAGAAGAATAATTATAAATAGATTTAAATATAGATATCTTTATTTAAAGAGATTATTACTAAACCTTAGAGTTTAGTAATTATAAGCAGGATTTATATCTTTATAGGTTATATAACTATTTATATAATCTCTTATAAGGAGCCTTCTTATTAGTAGGTTCCTCTACAAAGGTAGCTTTAATATAATACATAATAGACCTTTGCGATCCTTATAGTAGCACACTAGGTAGCTAAGGCATCTCTCTCTCTCTTAGAGATCCTTACAGTTATATTACTATCAATAAAAGAACTAATTACTAGTCTATGGAATCTTCCTCTACTAGTAAGGTTTTATACTAGGTTATTATATGCTAGGCTAGCCCTACTATCTAGTAGTATACAGCCTTAGTGCCTTATCTGGCTTATTCAGTGGAACTATTCTCTGGCACTGTTCCTAACAGCGCCCCCCTAATATTAACCACCACCTTTGACTGCTACTCTACCATGGTGTATTATAATAGAATGTTTCCTATACCTAATACTATTTATATTGATATTCCCCTTTCTACCCCTTAATTAGATATATAGATAGTATAGAAATATTATAAGTAGTAGTAAGGAACTAAAGAAGGAATAGAGAAGGTTACTAGATAACCCGTAATATCAATCACTAACTTTGACTGCTACTCTACCATGGCTAGGGATGGTAATTGAGAATGTCAAAATTTCAAAATGTCAGACATTTTGGCTGTTTTTGACATTCTTAAAAATTTTTATCAGATAAATTTTTTGTTTTTTTACTAGAAAAATATGATATTTTTAATGATATTCAGCAAAAAATACCTAGGTAGTTTAAGCAAAAAAACTATAGTTAGGTGACTTAAAAAGTTTATAGAATTTAATTAGCTTGCCTAAAAGCTATACCTTTTTATTGGCTAAAGTAGTATCCACTTTATCATGTGATCTTTGATATTTGACAGGGAAAAAAGGGCCTGACATTTGACAATCTGACATTTTGCAAAAACTTTTTGACATTCACCATCCCTAACCATGGCATATTGCAGAAGTAAAAAACAGCAGTCTATGATACTAGCCCACCCTACACTAGCAGTACCATGGTGTCCCCATTGTCCTCATCTAAAATCTATTTTGGGGAGTTTTCTGTTCGCCCCTTCGGTCGGCCTTGCTTCATGCTTCTACTAACTACGGAGTATGGACTACAGAATAGTAGTATCTATCTGAGCCCTTCGCTCTTGGGCTTGCGAGGGATGATTATTAGACTGATTATCAGTGCTGAATCCCTCAATCCCCTGCTGATGTCTCACACTTGCACTGCAGTAGTCTATCTACAAGACTCCAACACTCGACTTGCATGACAGGCCAGCAGCCTCGTCCAGTAGCAGATCAGCATGGGACTGGCCTCTCCGCACTACCCTCCCGCTCAATCTATGTGACTTTTCTTTGTCTTAATCTTCGAGAGCTTGACCCGTTGCTACGTAGTTACAACGTGAGAGTACGACTGTTGTTCACGAGGAGGCTGGGGTTGTTATCAGTAGTTTACTCGGTAAACTCGGTGATCATACTCCCTCCTATCGCATTCCTGATCAGTCGAGAGAAGTAGATGAATTGTCTATGAAACAGTGACTTGAATAGTTATGGACCTTCCCTTGTTGTTGTTGTTGTTGCCTTGCAGCCTTGTAGCCTGGTGATCGAGTGTCCATCAGTTGCATCCCTAAGAAAATAGCATAGATAGTGGTAGAATGATCTATTAAACCATGATACTATGGAAGTATGGAGCATGAAGTCCAAGTCCAACCACACCAGCCTCATTGTTTTACATATGGCACAGAAACAAGGAAACAAAAAAAAAAAAAAACACCACTACTCTACCTAGTATCTATCGATCTACAAAGTACTCCATAATCCATACAACTCCCATGAATTTGATGTCGCGCTGACGAATATCCCCGCACATCGCAATAATCAAATGTAAAACATACACGCAGTCAATTTAATCATCATGATGCTGGGATCAGCAGATCGCCTTGTCGATTCTTTCTCGATCAGTGAGGTCGGTCGTGATTCTCAAACAAGTGTTGATTCAACTCGGAAAAATCCCTCTTGTCCCTACTCCCTTGTTTTCGGACGAAGGCAAATTGTCAGTAAACACACTATTCTCTTCGCCAGGTCTTGGTTTGCACAAAACCGAACGCTAAATTTATCGCAATCAGAGACATTTGTGACTCGGGCGTGATTACGGAGAGACATTAATTCTTCTTTTTTTATCAGCACCACGAGTTCGTCGTGTCAATGCAACCCCAACCAGTAGTGGACCTGAGCCAGTCCACACCCGGACTAGGAGATCAAGCCGGTGCCGACCAACTCCATGCGCTAAAAGTCTTGAGTCTGGGCGGCTCAAGCCTTTTTCGGTTGTGTTGCAGGCTTGCAGCGCTCCATATTCGCTTACCGACTGCTTACCGAGTTGCCATGCTGCGATCAGAATTCATCCTCGGGGCTCTGTGGCCAATAATGTGGATCGGGTGGATTGCATGCCCAGCGGTCTTCCCCGGCCGGTCAGACCGTCAGAGGTTCAGCAATCAGCACTTGATAACTACTACCTTTTTGCGTTTTGATGGTCTTCTTGGTGGGCGAGTGGTCACTCCCTCATCACTGCCTCCAGCCCTCCACTACCTGCTCTTCCGGCCGAATTGGGCAAAAACATGGTAGCAGCGAGCAACCACCCAGTCACGAGCCCTACCGCTCACGAGCAAGGGACGGATGGCGCATCCAGCAACCATCCTATCTCTCATACTATTCAGTACCACTAGTTACCGTGACTATCTATAATCATGGGCTGGTATTGCTCAGCATGCGTCCTTTTCTCCAGTTCTTCTGGTCCACCAAGATCACGGTCGTCGGTTGCCTCGATCAATCACAGTGTCTGACCACGTTGGATCCGCGACACAAGCTGGCTGACCTCTGAAGTGGCTGAACACACAGTGCCTGTCTTTAAAGCCTCAGGACTCTGAGACCTTTTGCGCTGGGGACTCGACCCCTCAGGTCCTCCAGTCTCCGTATACTCCGTAATGCTAAAAAATTGCATTTCCAATGAGAGGCCATCCTCGGTTCGACGGTGGCTGGAAATTATCAAGCCAACTAATCCTGCTGCTCCACAGAGACTAATTGTATCACTATAGCCATTTAGTGTAGTCTGATCTGATGATTCCCTTCTTGATAATTGATAGTCGCTATCATCGGTCGTGGCGAGCTCATTCTCCCCTCGTGATTCACAGCTTCCTCTAGCTTTCCTATATGTAGTCGGAGGGACCTGTCCATTGTTTGTTTCCTTCTTGTTGTTTTCCTCTCACATCACCTCCTATCCCTCACTCCCCCCTCTTGTCTAACGACATACTACTACCTACTTCCCACCCCCTCACCACCCTCCATACAGTCGTTATTTTCGGAGATTTGACTGCGTCGTTACATTACCTCTTCCATAACCAAACAAAAGCGTTCTTCTGCCTTGCATAGACGCATCATGTACTTCAAGTACGCAGCTGCAGCTCTGACTGCTGTGATTCCTCTATGTTCTGCACAGACATACTCCCAGTGCAATCCTCTTCAAAGTGAGTCCCCATCAGCGCATCCTTCTAGTCATGACCGGATCTAACAACACATCCAGAGTCCTGTCCACCCAACAAGGGTCTTACCCAATCCAGCTACACTGCCGATTTCACTAAAGACTTGGGTGACTGGGTAGTCACTGCCGGTAGCGTCCCCGTTGGTCCCCAGGGTGCTGAATTCACCGTCGCGAAGAGGGGCGATGCGCCGACCATCGACACCAGCTTCTACTTCTTCTTCGGCAAGGCCGAGGTGGTGATGAAGGCCGCGCCGGGGACTGGCATCGTGAGCAGCATCGTGCTGGAGTCGGACGATCTGGATGAGATCGACTGGGTAAGTGGCAGCTTTTTGTCACAATAAGTGTTGCGCAAAGCAAAGCAGACATTGACTTCCGGAACAGGAAGCATTGGGTGGAGATACCACTCAGATTCAGACCAACTACTTCGGCAAAGGCGACACCACAACCTACGACCGGGGCACCTACCAGGCCGTGAACGCGCCCCAGGACATCTTCCACACCTACACCGTCGACTGGACCAAGGACTACATCACGTGGGCCATCGATGGCGCCGTCGTGCGCACCCTTAACTTCAACGACGCCAAGGGCGGCACCCGCTTCCCCCAGACCCCCATGCGCCTGCGCCTCGGCTCGTGGGCCGGCGGTGACCCGGGTAACGCCCCCGGCACCATCCAGTGGGCCGGTGGTGAAACCGACTACAGCAAGGGTCCCTTCACCATGTACGTCAAGTCGGTGAACATCCAGAACAGCAACCCCGCCGAGTCCTACACCTACGCCGACAACAGCGGCTCGTGGCAGAGCATCAAGCTCAGCGGTGCTGCGGCCCCGCAGCCGAATCCCCCCACCCCCAACCCGCCCGCCCCTACCACCACCCCATCTGCACCTGCTCCCTCCACCACTACTTCCGCCTCTTCTTCCTCCAAACCCGAAGATACTACAACCGCTACCCCCCAGCCGCTATCCACCACCCTGGCGACTACCACCCAGGCGACCACCACCCAGGCCTCCTCCACCGGCTCGGATTCCACCCCCACCGAGTCGAGCCCCAGCTCCCCCAGCTCGAGCTCGACTTCGAACCCTAGCCCCAGCGCCGGCTCCGGCTCCGGCTCCGGCTCCTCTGGCTCTGGCTCCGGCTCCTCTGGCTCTGGCTCCGGCTCCTCTGGCTCTGGCTCCGGCTCCTCTGGCTCTGGCTCCGGCAGCAGCAGCAACGGTAGCTCCTCCACCCCCACCTCAGGCTCCACCTCAGGCTCCACCTCAGGCTCCACCTCAGGCTCCACCTCAGGCTCCTCCTCGGGCTCGCCCTCCGCCTCCAACTCCGGCGCCGCGCCCACCGTCTCCCTGTTCCCCGGCGCGGCCGCGTCGCTCAAGGGCTCGTATACGGGCTCTCTCCTGGCCGTGGGTGCAGTGGCTGCCGTCCTGGCGTTTTGATCGGTAATGCCATGCGATGCGATGCGATACGATGCCAGTGCCAATGAAAAAAACGAAACCATTTATGAGAAAGAAAGAATCTATTCATGTCTAATGGGTTGGGTTGGTTTGGATTGGATTTGGTCTGTTTTTCCTTTTCCCTTTTTTTTTTTTTTTTTTTTCTTTTTTTGAGACGGGGTTGTTTTCCCCTTTTTGGCTTGTTTTCCAATTCCTTGTACCTAATCTGGTCTGCGGGGTTGAGGTTTTGTATATACATAGTGCGGAGTATTTTAATGAGGAAAGAGTGTATCTATATCTGTGTCTGTATCTGTGTCTGTGTAGGTCTCTTTGAAATGATGTGAAATGAAGTGAAGTGAAGTAAAGTCTCCATTGTATTGCTGTGTAGGCAGATAGCTAATATCATATCGATTCATCAAGAATTTCATATATCTCTAACCAAATATGTCTCGTAGATTCATAACCTCATATATCAGAACCGCCCTTTGCGGCTCTGCAGACTCTCCAGATCCCGATACAACCCCTGAATCACGCCCGCGACGGGCTGATGATGCGCCACGGCTTGCCGGAGGGACTCAGAGACATGCGCGTGCTCGTCTGCGCCCCCCGTCTCCGAGGAACCCTTATCCTGGCCTCGTAGTGATAGCGAAGGGACGAACGCGTCAACGAGCGCCCACAGACCGTTGCTGTTGCTGTTGGCGTTGGCGTCGCCGTTCTTGTTGGAATTGCCGTCCCGGTGAGCAAGAGGGCCAGCGGCAGCGGCCACATGCCTCTCCCGCCTTGCGATCCGCTGGATCGATTCCAGGTGATCGTCGAGCGCGGCGAAGTCGTTCCCCAGCGCTTCCGCCTTGGCCTGCATGCGCGCCGTCAGCTGGTCAAGGTACTGTTCGCGGCGGGCGAGCTGGGTCGACAGGCGCGCGTCGCGGGCGACGGACCGCGCTGCCCCGGCCTCGTCCTTGAGGGGGGGCTGGCTGGCGCTGGCGCGCAGACTGTCCATGGCGGACTGGAGGTCTGCTTTCAGAGAGGCGAATTTGGCGGCTGCGGCGCGCGCGGCGTGGCTGCAGCCGTAGAACTCGAGGTCGAGCTCGTGCTTTGCGCCGGGGTAGCTGTTTTTCAGGTCGGAGTGGAGGGTTTGCAGGAGGGGTTCGGTTTGTCGGACGGTGGGGTGGAGGGGATTCAGTTGGTGGAGTGTGGTGTTGAAGAGCGTTTCGAGGCGGGTTTGGGGGTTTAGGGTGGCAGGTTGGGTGGGAGATTGATGGGGTTGGGGTTGAGTCTGCGCTTCAGAGGGAGGTTGCGGGTAGGGTGGGATGCAGCTGGATGGGTAGAGAGAGGAGAGAGCCTGTATGCTGCACAGGGTTTGATATTGTGTGACGAACTCGGGGAGGATGAGCAGGTGGGCGATGGCTGCCATGAGGAGGAGGTTGAGCATGGTCCGGATGTATCGTGTTATTCGTGAAGACCGTCGAGTCGTGTGAGCAGTGGCCGTATCGTTTTCGTTGATTGCTGGTTTGCGCGTCTGTGAACCGTGTGTATTCGGTGCATCTGCGTGTTGCTTTGATGTAGACTGTCGCTTGTGTCTTCGCCTGACCGTGGTAGGGCTGCGCGAGCGTATCTCTGGCGCTACCCAGGAGCCTTCTGAGACAGATACTTCGCATATTGAGGGCATGATCAACTCCGGGCCTGATATCGACGAGGCAGATGTTGTCATTGACGCGCATCCCTTGTGATCGTCTTCTTCGTTTGCTCGGTCTTTGCGACATGGCTTCTCGGGCAGGTCCTTTCTCGGTAAGGATGAAGCTGATGCGACTACCCATGACTCGCCCAAGGTCGAGCTATCTGGCAGGTGAGTCGAGCCTGTCGACATGTTGTGATAGGAAGCTTGTAGTCCGCGATCCTCGTGATATGCTTGTATTCCACTCGCCAGTATTGTGTTTGATTTGCGCGAAATGCGGTCAGTTGGGTCGAGAAGCAATTTAGGTAGCGTAGAATTATGCCTTCATCCTGTGAATGGTCTTTCAACCTATAGAATAGAAATATCACTATCCCAGAGAAATGTTGAATGTCGAATTGTTGATCGAGACTTTGCAGGTGGGGAAGCGCACATGCCATTCGCGGATTTCCCAATCGGGCCGATCTCGACTGCAACTCGCGTCGTGTCGCGGAAGAGAGCAAGAAAAAAAAAATAAAAAATTTCCTCATCCATCAACCAACAATGCGGCGGATCACCACTCTTTCATGGCAACGCTCGTTGGTGAGACGACCAGCCATAGGCAGCGATGTAAGGTCTTCTCGATGGCCCGTCACAAGAGCGCAATGGCTGTCAACAACCGTCGCCCGGCCCTGCTCGTGCTCCGACCCGCAACCTGAACAACCACAACCCCGGACTTCACCCTCCACCCCATCGACGACGGACTATCGAGCACTCGGAACGGCGCAGGACCTGTTTACCACCTCTGTCTACAGCCCCGGATCGCCGCTGTTCCTGCCCAACGGCACCCACGTCATCAACCGGTTGATTTCCTTCCTCCGCACACAGTATCTCCAATACGGCTTCCGCGAAGTCTTGACACCGACGATCTACAAGCGTTCCCTGTGGGAAGTGTCAGGACACTGGCAGAACTACAAAGATGACATGTATGAGGTCCGAGGCCGGGGAGCCACGGGGGAGGCCGACGGTGAAGCCGGCGAGGACGAATCGTACGGCCTGAAACCGATGAATTGCCCCGGTCACTGCCTCCTGTTCAAATCGCAGAACCATTCCTACCGGGAGTTGCCCATCCGCTACGCCGATTTCAGCCCCCTGCACCGCAACGAGGTTTCGGGCTCATTGAGCGGGCTGACCCGCGTTCGCCGATTCCACCAGGACGACGGCCACATCTTCTGCCGACCGCAGCAGATTAAGGGGGAGATTGCGTCTGCGCTAGGGTTCGTCGACATGGTGATGACCACTTTTGGTCTCGGCCCTTATCGCCTTGTACTTTCTACGCGGCCGGAGAAGGATTTTATCGGGAGTTTGGAATTGTGGGACAGCGCAGAGGCCCAGCTGCGTGAAGCACTGGATAACAGCGGGCGAGAGTGGGCGATGAACGAGGGCGATGGGGCGTTCTACGGCCCGAAGATTGATATTCAGCTGCAAGACCAGGCGGGGAAGTACCATCAGTTATCTACCATTCAACTGGATATGAACCTCCCGCAGCGCTTTGGGCTGGAGTATCAAGTTGCAGAGGGGGAAGAGGACTACGACCCGGCGACTCCGGGAAGAGCGACGCCGGTGCTGGTACACCGGGCGAATTTTGGATCACTGGAACGATTCTTGGCCCTGCTGATTGAGCAATACGGCGGGCGCTGGCCCTTCTGGCTGTCCCCGCGCCAGGGGATCATCCTGACGGTCAATCAGGACGAGGCTGTGCTGACACAGGCACACGAGGCTGCAGCCCAACTCTCTGGTTTCCGGCCTCTGGTGGCCGGTCAGAACGATGCGAAGACGCCTCGGCCTCTGTCGTCCGTTGACTCGACCTTTCTCATCGACGTCGATACCAGCAGCCAGACTCTCGGCAAAAAGATCCAACGGGCCAAGCAAATGAAGTACAACTTGATCTTCATCCTGGGCCCCAAGGACGTCGCCGACTCCAGCATCACGGTGGATGTGACTGGTCAGCTGCAGACCAAGACCGATGCGGACGGGCGGAAGCTGCAGGAGGTGATGGAACAACAGTTGGGCGCGACGTCACTCCAAAACCCGCGGTCTGTGCGACTGAAGGTGGACGAGGCCCATGATCTGCTGGTGCAACTGGAGAAACGCTTTATCTGATGCACTCATGCAACCTTATTTCTTTGTACTTTAGACCAGCCTCATCCGTGTATTATATAAAATTCTTCCGACTGTTCGATCCTTTTGGGGACCATAGTCCATGATCCGTCGCGTACACAGTATGTCCGGGCTTGTTCAGCCGTTGAACGATCTGCGCATGGATGGGTTTGCCTTCCCACCGGGACTCATTCCCGATGGAGTAATCCTGGCCGAGACTGGGTCCAGTTCGCAAGCATTTCAGCTTCGGGATAGTACTACTAGTCTAGTACTTAGTCTTACTACTACTATGTAGTACTCCGTACTGTTATTGTTGGGGGCGGTCAGGGGATGATGACGTTCAGACGGGAGAGGAATTGTATGTACAGTGTCACGTGACTATCGTGTACTTTTGCACCACATCTCTGTAGTCTGTACTCTGTAGTTCGATAGGAAAGAAATAAACCCTCCCCCTTCCCAATGTCTTATAGTTATCCCTTTTGATAAGTCCCTGGTGGACGGTGGTAACTCAGGTAGTGGGAAAAAAAAGGACTCGTGGAGATTGCTTCAAATGAATGAATGATTATTATTGGCTGACTTGACTTGAGTTTTGCCGGAGTATCGCCGACGTCAATCAGTCATCCTTCTCGTCCTCTTTCCTCAAGGCTCTAAGGTTCCTTGACTTCCTTCACCCTTGGCTAATAATAATGAACGGCATGCCGTGAGTCGACGTTCTGGCAAAGAAGCTTTGTGCTGCTTCCTTTTCGTTTTATCGAATTCCTTTTTTTCTTTCTCTCAGCCCCACCATTATTATTTCTGAGATGATGAGATGACTGTTCCCTGGTAGATGATCATAGATCTGGGTACTCCAATAAGTCCAGCATGATAGCATCTCTCCGTACTACTACTACTACTACTACTACTATTATTATTAGTATCGATTATTCTTCCTTCTAAACTACACTCCCAGAATTCCAGATACTGAACGCTTGATCCTCTTCCAGAAGATTCAAGTCTCCAATCTCAGTCGTCCCCGTTTATCCATAGTCCTGTTGCCCCTCTCCCCACTATCGACCGCCTAGTGAACAAACGACCCTTTCCCATCTCCTTTCGTCTCTTTTCTTTTGTGCCTCTGCGCCTTCGCCTTCTGGGGTCGAGTTTCTAATTTCTCCGACTCTTCTCATGGAGGGGTTCCGCGCAGCCTGTCCGATCTTCTGCGATCATTCCCGGTCACCCTCCCTCTTGATTTCATGGTAGTCGAACCCCGTCAGTCGGGCATGGCCGAGGTGCCGTTGAAGACCAATCTGATTCGGAAGAGCGCCTTCTCATGTGAGGCCTGTCGCAAGCGCAAGGTGGGTTTTTTTTGGGGGGGAGGAGGAGGCGGTTTATTATAATTCTGTTTTCCCCTGCCTGCATTCCCCCATCATCCGCTCGGGTGAAGTCCGAAAAAATACGAACGTGAATATGGATCTTCCGATTGCTGGACCTTGGGGTGATGCGGGTATCACATCCGGGATCGGGAGCTGACTGACCGTCGGGGTTTTTTTATTCAGGTCAAATGCAACGGCGCAAGTCCGTCGTGTTCGCGCTGTGCAGCTCGCGGAGAAGTGTGTGTGTATAGCTTGTGCGTCATCCCCCTGCTTCTAATTTCTCTTATTTTATTCTATTTTTCTTCTTTCACTTTCTCCTCGTTTTTGATTCATTATTGCTGTCGCTCGCTTCTGACTGGTCGATTCTTGTCGCTAGAGCTCCGACCTTATCCTATACTAAGCAACTGGAGGCTCGCGTTGCTCAGCTGGAAGATGCCCTCGCCAAATTGCGGAGCCAACCGCTGCCGGAGCCAGAAGCTCGGAAGGTTGGCTCGCCCTCGTCGACGGGGGAGTCGAGCTCAAGCCCATATTCGAGGCCGGGAATCAAAGCCGAAGAGGGAAGCGAGCCGGATCTAGCCAGGGACTTCGAGGGACTGCAGATCGAGCATGATGGCCGAATATCGTTTCACGGCCCGACCAGTTTGTTTCAGCTTCCAAGCGGTGTTCTAAGCGAGACCTCGCCGTCTTCCCATCTGGCGATGCGGCTGGAAGGACGGAAGGAAAGGCTCATCAACAATGCTTGGCGGGAGAGGGCAATTGAGCAGCTGGCTGCCATGCCGGTACGGAAGACATGCTGTGGTTTTGTGGCGGGAGAGACCGGCGAGCTGACATGTTGCTTTTCCTCCAGGAACCATTCCAATATCTTTTGGACTCCCACTGGTGCTGGATTCAGCCGCTGTTCAACTTCGTTTATCGCCCTGCGTTTACTCGTTCGTGCTCCATATTCATTCCGGTGCACACTTAGAGACTTACAATGTTCAGGTGATATGAAAATAGACGGGCCTTACTACTCGGAAGCCCTTCTTAATGCCATCCTTTCTCACTCGGTACGCTGGTGCAAGGCCGAACCCAAGATCGGTCCCATCCTTGAATCCTACGACGGTGGCGCCCTGTTCTCTCACCGTGCCGTCTCGGGATTATACGATTCACTCAAAGTCGGCTATGCGGGCATCCCGACCATCCAGACGTTGCTTCTTCTCAGTGCGCAGGAGTGCGGGCGGGGGAACCGAACGCAAGCCTGGCTATACAGTGGCATGGCCTTCCGATTGCTGGACGACCTGGGCATCTCGATCGATAGCCGCAAGTATCCGGACTCGGTTCAGCTGAGCGACGAGGATATCGAGATCCGCAACCGGCTCTTCTGGAGCTGTTTCTTCTGGGACAAGATGGTATCGTTGTACTTTGGCAGGTCGCCGACAATGCAGAACTCGCGCGTCAGCCCGCCACGGACGCTCTGTAAGTCAAGACTGGCACCCAAGGTTAAATATGCCAAATGCTCATATCTGCCAGTGGACGATACCTCGGAGATCGAGATCTGGACGCCGCATGGCGTCATCTTCCCGGAAGGCACTCACTATCCGCCCAGCCAGGCCCATTCGACCTCGTGCTTCATGAGGATGTGCGGGTTAGCAGAGATCCTCAACGAAATTCTGATCCATATCTATGATCCGACCCGACAGGTCCCCGAAGCAGAATTCTACAATTGCATCCAAGAGCAGGCAAGAAATCTCACGGAGTGGTGGGAGGAGTTGCCGGATTATCTGAAGCTCGTGACCTCCGACTTGCCCTCGTACTCACCACCAAGCCATATCGTCATCCTCAAGTATGTGCCCTCACCAGTCCCTGTTCCAACCTTTTATTTTTTTTTTCTCCTCTGACCTATATCGCAGCTGCTTGTACCATACCATCAACATCCTCCTTCATCGTCCGGTTCTCTGTTCGAAGAGAAAGCGAGAGCCTTATGATAAAAGCCATTTGGTGCAGTGCATGACCTCCGCAACGGCCATACTATCCCTCTTCGACCTATTTCGTCGCACGTTTGGCGATACACATGTCGTCCTGTCCCTCGCATACAGCGTCTACACGGCCGCCTCGATCTTCCTCCTGGAGATCCAGGCGCTGAAGTACGCCGCGCCCGGCACTCTGGACAAACTCAAATTCTGCATCTTCGCCCTTGAGCGCGTCAAGGTTTCCAATCCAGGTTCGTCCTTTCCCTTTGCTTCCCTTCTTCTCTCCTATATTCCATTCTACCCCAGCCATCGGACGTACCCCATACTGACCTCCCGCAGTCATCACCACAGCCCTCAGCCTCATCTACCACGAGCTCCAAAAACTCCAAATAAACATCCACATCACCATCCCCGCCACGCAACCCGAACCTACACCCTCGCACTCGCACTCACACCCGCACCCGCACCCGCACCCTCACCCTCACTCGCAACCTCAGTCCCGAACCCACAGCCGATCCCCAGGCCACCACCCCGGCAGTTCCTCCCGCCACGTTTCCCCCGCCCACCAGCCCGCGCCGAGCACGGCCGCCTCCGCTGCCCCCTTACTCCACCAGGGCTACACGTTCCAGCACCCCGTCGCGGACTTCGAGCTCTCGCAGACGGGCGTCGCGGGGCTCCCCGCACCGCATTTGCTCGGTGGGATGTCAGGTGCGGCGGTCGCGCTGGAGAATCCCGGTGCGTATGAGATCACGCCGGAGGTGTTTGAGGCGTTTTCGTATGCAGAGCCGATCACGACGAACATGACGCCGGCGTTTGAGGCGGGGTGGATGCGGCAGAGTTAATCGATTGCTTGCTTGCTTGCATGCGTGTATGCATGCATGTTTTGGTCCTCGATCTATAATGTTTACTTGTTCGTGGTGTTGGGCGGGCATTTGTGTTCGTGTCTTGTCGGTTCTATCTATGTCATATTGGTTATTCGAGCATGAGTATATACATAACTTGGGCTCGTATGGGATGATCTTGTTGGAAAGTATTATGATACGATAGAGTGGGGTATGTACAATCGACACAGTGACATGTTCAGAACAAATAGCAAGCAAGACAAGAACAAAAACGCTTCACGATGACTATACAGACTACAACAATCCCACATTCCTACACTCCGGTTGCTTCTTCAGAGGATAGACGCCCCCCGCGTCCATTTCTACCACACTGCACGGAGACGCAACGCGCATCGTCGGCTCCGGCTCCGGCTCCGGCTCCAACCTGGGTTTCGGCTTCGCGCGCCAGCGCAGATACCATGGCCCCTCGAAGAGGTCGCCCATGTTCTCGATCGGCACGCCCTTGGTCTCGGGCATCCAGATGCCCAGGATGACGAGGCCGGCGAAGCAGACGATGGCCCAGAAGAGGTACGCGCCCCAGACGTCAAGCGATACGAACATGTTGGGGGTGACGCGGACGATGGCGAACTGGAAGAACCAGTGCAGCGACATGCTGAGCGCGTAGCTGACGTTGCGGATGCGCGTGGGGAAGATCTCCGTGCCGTAGAGGTAGGGGATCGTGCACAGGCCGATGGACCAGCCGACGGCGTAGACGAAGACGGAGGCGATGGCCGCGTCCGACGCGGACCGGTTGCCCCTGGACCCCGGCTGCAGGCCCATGTATGCCCCCATGTAAATGTGTGCGGCGAGCTGAAGGGAGAGCCCTGCGAGCGCGCACCGCCGACGGCCGAAGAAGTCGATCAGGCCCCAAGTGAAGGCCATGGTGAAGACAAGCTTGACGATCCCGTAGGCGCCGGAGGAGACGAGCGCTTGCGCGTTGCCGGTAACACCAGCGTACTGGAAGATCGTGGCGACGTAGTACGTGATCCCGTTGCCGCCAGTCCACTGCGAAATGGTCTGCATCACCATGAGCAGCCAGAAACGTTGGCGGTAGTTGGGGTTCAACTGCGTTTCTTTAAAGGCTTGCCAGTGCGAGACAGAGGCCAGGTCGGACGCCTTCGCGCGGATCTGCGCATTGATGGCGGTGAACTCGTCTTGAACATCACGGTCTGTGATATCCTTGCCGCGCAGACGGGCTAGCACTGACCGTCCTTCGTCGTACCGCTGTTTCGAGACTAAATAGCGAGGCGTTTCGGGCGCGATGGAAGAGGCGACGAGTGCGATGCCGACTGGAATTAGAGGTATGGATTGCACGAGGCGATACTGAGTGCGCGTTGGCGCCATATGCAGACTAGCGCCATAGTTGATGAAGAAGCCTTTCAAGTCAGCTTTGACCATGCCAGAAATAGATGGGGGTAACGAACCTAATGCCAATATGGCTAGCAGTATCACCATATACACACTGACAACCAACCCTCTGGTCCTTGTCGGCGCTAGAGAAGGTCAGTAGATAGTCTCAGCCGAGTTTGTCCTCTAGAACATACCGATTTCAGACAAATACAGAGGGGTGACCACTGTCAACGCTCCAGCCCCAAGTCCGCTCCAAATTCTTGCAGCCAGAAGCAAGCCATATTTACCGGACGAGAAGACCTGCACAAACAGCCCCGATGCCCAAACGAGACACGCTAGACGCCATGAGCGCAGCCGGCCCAGGCGATCGTTCAGATCTAGCGCAAACAAGGCACCAAAAGCGGCCCCAAGAACATTAAATGATGTGATGTTGGCCTTCCGGTTGGCCAACGCCGTCTCCTGGCCTAACCATTCCGAGCTTTGGAGGCGGTAGTCATCCTTGAACGATTCTAGATTGACACTGGCGCTGAACCCGCCCTCATCGTAACCTGCGATAGTAGAAACACAGACGGTTAGCTGGAGAGGCGAACAACAGAACCTAGAAAAAGACAACGAACCTTTGGGAATGCTCCCACAGGCGATGATCAAGATCACGACGGCATAGTAAGGACAAGTGGTCCACCGCGACCAGTCCATTGCCAGCGGCATGATGGCGACTGGCGGATAGCATGCGGGGAAGCGAGGCCAAGATAGGGGGCCTCGACAACTAACATCAAGCACTAATTCAGGGTCTGCGGGTACTGGTCAAGATGCAATGATTGGGTACGAAGTATGAATGAAGATAGAGGGATAAGGATTAAAGCATATCCACTTGGTATGGTATCAATCCTGAGTCCTGACTCGGGAATCTGGATGAATCGGCAAAATCTCGTCTGAAAAGCGGGAAAGCACATGACACACTGACTCACTTCGGTCAACTTCCGATGGCTGTACGTCCAGCGTTCTACTGCAGTTCGCATCCTTACTTCTGCTGTTGATAGGACGATTCTCGCGGAATTTTTGGCTACAGTTCATGATGAACAGGGATATCCCCTCTTGCGAATGCAGTCCGTGCGAGTGTGTGAAAAGGACACAGGCTTTTTAGGTCAGTGAGTGTGGAAGACAGCATGATTCAGGTGAGATCTACCGGATGGCTCCGCTAGCAATCCACTTTGATCCCCCTTTCCAAGAACCGTGCTAATCGAAGATAGGGAAATGATAAGATATAACGGGGCTGAACAGAGCTGTTTTTCCCAGCGAAGACCGGAGTTCTCGTCAGTCTGCATGTGACTGCAAATTTCCATTCCGGAGATGTTCCGTTGTGACTTGTATAAAACCCCTCTGAGGAGATGTTTATCACAAAGCATTCATCTAGTCCCCTTGGTTCTCAGTCCCATGCTTGTCTGATCACGCAGCCTGGGGTTGATAGCAGACCCGTGCTCTTACTACCTGTTCCGTGCACGACTCCTATGAAGATTCAGAGCTGTATGCTAAAATGGCGACATTCCGAAGCGGGTTGTTGAGACGAGCGTTCAGGAGACACTGTTTCGAATTACATGTTGCTGTAAGTTTATACTCATCTGTCCTCCTTGGGTTTATTGGACAACTTAAAAGTTCCGATGAATGCTGTGCTTACATTCCGAAGTCCAGACCTCGTTTCACCAACTCATCGGCTTCGCACCTCACGGCTACTTTTAAACCAGCGTCAGTCAGCAGAGGCAATGCTGTATCATTCAAGGAGCGTATCCCCCCACGGTCCTGGGATAGCCATATGCACGTCGTGGAGCCGCACCGCTATATGGTCTCTCGGGATGCCGCGTACACGCCCTCATCACATACACTGGAGGAGGCTCTTGCTTTCGAATCCACCGTTGGCATGGAGAACATCGTTCTTGTCCAGCCATCCATCTACGGCACCGATAACTCATGCTTACTCGCAGCTTTACAGCGCGTCGGCCCCGCTCGCGGGCGAGGAGTGGTCGTCATCGATCCTACCAGCATCACCCACAGCACACTGGCCTCATGGCATAAATTGGGTGTCTGCGGCATCCGAGTAAACTTTCAATCAGTAGGCAAGGTCCTCTCCGAGTCGGAGCTTGCAGAGACGCTCATGCAGCATGCAAATATCATCCGTCCTCTTGGCTGGATGATCCAACTCTATCTGCCTCTGCGAATGGTTCCCATGCTAGAAGCCATCGTCCCCAGACTCGGAGTCAAGGTCTGTATCGACCATTATGGGTCTCCAGACTTCTCGGGTATGACCATCGCGGATGAATTATCAATCAACCCATACATACTCCCGGGATTTTCATCCCTGGTCTCCCTCCTTCAAGCAGGCCAAACATATGTCAAAATATCCGCCCCGTACCGCTTCGGCGTCGACAACAGATTACGTGACATCGAGGCCATTACCACTGAGCTCCTACAGAAAGCCCCGAGGCGGCTAGTATACGCGACAGACTGGCCGCATACTCGGTTTCCCGGGGTCGATATTGGCCCATTCACCGAAATGTGCTTGCGATTGTGTGCCCGTGAACCTGGCTTAACGGATCAACTCTTTCGGTTGAATGCGGAGGAGCTGATGAGGACAAAGGAAGAGTTCTCCTAAATACAAATAATCAATCATGTTTCTCAATGATTCCATTTCCATTGGGTTGGAAGAAGCATTAAGCGGCGACTACTCTGAATAAGAAACACTGATACTCAAGGCATCAGACGAAAAAAAATGTAGAAAAGCTATATGGTTTCAGACCTGCATAGCATGTCGCAATGCCATCTGTCCGCATTGCACCCTCGAACATCTTACTCCGGTCCCCCAAACCCCATCCAGGTGTGCAGACCAGTCTCTGAGGACAATAGAAATGGCCCTGCAGAGTCCCCTACCCATAGTCACTACCGGGTCCCATCCCATCCCATCCCTTTATAGCTACCTCCTCTCCCCAATTACACATCCTGAAACTGCGCATACGCAGTACAAATCGACTTCCGCTCCTACTCTCCCCATCAGCACTCAATCCAAACCCACACTATACTAATATCCAAAGGATACTCACAATCTGATAACAACAAACCGGGCGATCGCCTTGCGCGCACCGATTCCCCACCACGTTCGCATCCGCAAGTTTGCCTATGTTCCATCCGTCTCATCAGCCACCCGCTCAAACCAGGAAATCCAGATTAAGGGCCGAAGCACAGAGGAGGCTAACTGCTGGGTTAAAAGGGGCAGGAGGGGGAGGGCGTCCACTAAACATACAATCATCCGACACAACGGCCAGGTCCGTGTGCGGGGCCGGGGACAGCGTGTCGCAGCAGTACGCTTTCTGGATCATGTTGGTCTTGTCGCGCGCCATGGGGCAGTAGTAGGAGAGTTCGGCGGTGGCGAGGGTCAGGGAGGAGAGGAGGGTGAGGAGGATGCTGGTTGGTTTCATTTTGGGGGTGTGTGTGGTCTGTCTGGTCTTCTGGTGTTTTTTTGCGCTGTGGTTTTAAGTTGGAGTTTGTTGGAGTTGGAGATTGACTTGACTTGACTTGATTGATATGGACTGTTATAGGTTATTGTTGAGTGGCGAATAAGCTAAGGTAGGTACGAGGAAGTAGGTGCATGGTACGTGAGTGGGAGTTCTGTCTGGGAGATGTCTGGCAGCGAGAAACGCCTTGCTTGATGCCCCTTGCGTAGTTGAGGATGAGGAGGTTGTGGTATGTGGGATTGGGGATAAATGCTCCGTGGAGTTGGATGGAGCAGTGTACTGTGTAGCTGCTCCTGCGCAGGTCCCTCGTTGCAAGGGCTTGCGGTAAATCCTATTGTATGTGTTTTTGCCTGCTCTGTCTCAGTCAGAAAGCCTGTTGACGGTGGAATCTAAAGATCTTCAAGGCTCGTCATCAATAATGGGGGGATTGACACGGCGGGTGGACCATCCCTTGATTCCTTTCGCAGTCAGTTCTTATGTTTACGGAGTAGAAGAGGAATTCAAACGTTCAAAGAACATGCTCAATATACATAGGATCAACTAACTATCTTAGTGTCCCCGACTAAATACATTTTAGTTGATGTCGATCTCCGAAGACTCGTTAAGAGACAAGTCGGTCTTGATGGTCACGCTTTGGCGGGCAGGGTCGAACTTAGAGTCGGCCTTGCCAGCACGCGAAAGAGTCACCTGGCGAGGGACAGAGGTCTGGCCAAGCAGGGTAATAGCATTGATCTTCAGATCAGTGTGCATGCCGAACTTGCCCTTGATCTGGAGGTTGCCCTTGCGGTACTTGAACTCCAGCTCGAGGGAGGCGGACTGCTTCAGAGAATCGCCGTCATCCAGGTACAGGGTGCCCGAGGCGGTGCCGTCCTGTCCAGGAGCGATGAGAAGCTCGAAGCCCTTCTTGCGCAGCTCAACGGTGGTCATAGCCGACTCCGAGCGGATGGGGACGATGCTGCCACCACGGATGTGGATGGGGATGTCGGTCACGCTGATGTTGCTGAGGGTGACCTTGGCACCACGGCCGCGCAGAACATCGCCAGTGTTCCAGTCGTAGAAGATATCCTTGGGGAAGTACGCCTCGACCGAGGTCTGGCTGACGTCGTGGACAGGGCTGACCAGGATGGAATCACCGTAGAAGAACTGCATGTCGTTCGAGAAGGTGTTCTTGTCTTCGGGGTACATGTAGAACATGGGCTGCAGGAACGGCTCGCCGGTCTGGGTCTGACGGTGGAAGGCAGTGTAGACATAGTCGAGGAGCTTGTAGCGGACTTCAATCGCCTTGCGAGCGGATTCCGCAACGGACTCCCAGCGATAGAACTCCTGAGGGATCGAAGTGATCTCGTTGTGGTTACGGAAGAAGGGGTAGAAGGCACCGAGACGGGCCCAACGAGCGCAAAGCTCCTCGTTCGTGTCACCGCCAAATCCACAAATATCCGAGCCGACCATGGGAACCTGGAACATCGAAGCGAACGAAAGCATCTGAGCGATGGAGATGCGGTAATGCTTCCAGTCCGCGAGGTTGTCACCCAGCCTAGGATTTATTAGCGTTATCCCTCAAGAAGGGCTGTGGTGGGAGCATATACCAGTGTCCAACATGGGTACCAGCACCAGCGAAGGTGCTGCGAGTAATGATCAGAGGACGCACCGCTGGGCGACGTTGCGCCATGGACTGGCGAGAAGCGGAACTCATCACTGATAAAAACGTCAGAAAGAACGGGGATATGAAGAAGGCGGTCAAATGTCTACTTACTGGTGCCATACAAGTTGTGGGTATCATACTCGGCATAGCCCTCGCCAGCGTGGATGAGATCAGTATTTATAGTCTTGCTGCTGATGAGGCCAGCATCGTTGCGAATCTGATAGCGAGGATTGAGCAGGTCACGGCCAGGCAGTCCGACCTTGGAGCCCTTGGCGACGGAGCGTTTGGAGGCGGCAGGAGGCTGGAAATCATCGGGGAAGCCGGGCAGGGGGCGAGGGTTGGGCCGAACTGGCGGGGCGGCAGGGGGAAGGTTGTTCTCGATAGAGTAGCCCTCGGGATCCAGGCAAGGATAGGTGCAGAAGTTGGCGGCCTCGTTCATGTCGATCCACAGACCGTCAATATCAACACCCTTCTCGGGGCTGAAGAAGTCGTTGAACTGGCCATCCCAGTACTTCTGGATATCAGGGTGGAACCAGTCAGGATAGGCAGTGACACCAGGCCAGACGGCACCTGTATATCAATGTGTTAGTGTGTTCCAGTAATGAAGTGTCTTGAAGATCATACCCTTGTAGAGGCTACCATTCTGGTGCTTCATGAAGACGCCCTGCTCCATACCATCGTTGAAACCTTTGTTGTCTAGCGATGTGTCAGTAATCATGAACGTCCCAGTCCTTTATATACAAGTGACTTACCGCTAACGCTGACAGCGGGATCGACCATCACGATGTACTTTTGATCGTGCTTGTGCAGGTACGACACTAACTCACGCACCTTCTCCAAGGGAAACCTGTCGGGGTCGAGAGTGAACACTCGTCTTCTGTCCATGTAGTCAATGTCGGTCCACATGGTCTCAAGGGGAATTTTGGCCTGAGTGTAGTTCTGAACCACTTCGGCGACCTCAAAAGCATCGCGGTAGCCGTATCTACATTGGTGGAACTGTGGTATGTTAGACTGCAATCTCAGGAGTATAACGGGGGAAACGAGGAGGGGATACTGACACCAAAGGACCAGTAGCTTTGCATGGCCGGCAGACCAGCAACCTTGGCATATTCTATGCTGGCGTCCTTGGGTGTATCGCCATTGAAGAAGTAGAAGTCAAAGATACCTCCAAGAGCATTGTACTCCAAAAACTGCTTTCCATCCTTTGTCTTGTCGATCTTGATGTCCATGCCGTTGGAGTTCAGCAGGAAGACTCCGTGGGTTCCATCCTCACCACGATGGTCATAATAAACTGGGTGACTACCGTACAGATTGCTGTTCTCGGGAATACCGTACGAGTCACGGTTCCAAAGAGTACGGGTGTAGTTTGTGGTAGTCAGACGAAGAGGATCAGTGTGTTCTCCGAGACCGTACAGATTAGGATCTCTGGGCAACGAGGTGCGGAGATTCAGATACTGATCTTGGAAGACCAGGTTCGACCCAGAAGTGTCGAAAAGAACTTCTCTGCCTCGTTTCACTTGGAAGGAGAAGGGGTTCGCCTTGAAGTTGAACTTCAGAACAGACTTCTTGCGAGATCCGCCCTTGCCGTCCACGCGAGGGACAACCGACTCAGGAACCTGGTAAACCTGCTCATTGGCGTCGTAGATCTTGACATGAAGACGCTCATCTAGAAGAATGTAAGCAAAAATAATCTGAATATTCAAGTCTGTGCGGGTTGCCTACCAGTCTGGTACTCCACAAGAAGCTTCAGGTTCTTCAGATCCGTGCCGTAGGTATTGCACGGCTTGCCCGCAAGGGTCAGATCGGCAGTCAAGGAGTTGTGTCCCTCCCTGACATTGGTGGCTCTGTATCCAGGGCAGGCAGGGCTGTTTGGTTCGGTGGCAGCCACGGCGGCTCCCACCATGGGGGCAAGAAGCAGGAGCGATCTCAACATGTTGGGCTTGAGGTTTGAGAGATCGTACTGAAGAACACGAGAATTGAGGGGGGTTCAAAGGCAATTTATATGTGTCTGGCCCCGGCCCTTGCTGAAGGAGGTTGCATCAAACGTATCTCATGCGATCTGGGAGCACGGGATAGTGACAAAGAAGTTCTTTAACTGTATGACTGACGTCGGACGCATCAGATCAATCAGATCCAGGTATGCGGGACGACTGCTCGGAGATTGGACCTGGGTCGATATCTACAGCGAGCCGACAATTGGTCGTCGACAAGAGCTCTTGTGTTCTTACAAAGACCTAAAGCTGGAGTTGCTCCATTCGATCCCAAATAAACGAGGAAAATAGGCGGGGAATGACAATAAAGAATAGAGCAAACAATACTCTGCACAGGCTCAGCAAGATTTCGGTCAAATATCGGGGGGACCATGCCAGTCCCATTTGGTTTTCAGGACTGCTGATCGTGTCCCAGAGGGGAAATACGTAAACCAGGCGTTCTGCATGTGTTCATGTATGTAGCAAGCAATAATTGGCAGCCTCGTGGATGATCATTTGTGACATCCATTTTGAGTTGATTTGGATGTACATCAGTCCAAAGTAGTACACAGGAACACGGTCGATCAGCCTGGGAGAAGTGGAACACAGTCAGCCATGCTTCATGTGTGCGCTTCAAGCCTTCAAGGCATGATGGGTACGAGAAGAAACCTTTGGCAACAACCTACAATTCTGCATGGGAATTGTCTTCAGGAGACCAAGCACGGACCTCTTAGTATGCCCACTCGGGAATACTATGGGGAAGTGCTCTTGGCTCTTATTCGGACGACAAACCATGGCCAGAGGCGACAATGGAGAAATGCCCCGCTCTTCTTTGCGCAAGACTCTTGCTAGTAAGTCTGTGACATTGTTTGCCAATTAAGGACTGGACGCCGAGGCTACAGTCCGGGGTAGCGTATGGAGTTGGGCTGTTGTCCATGCTTGAGAGTCCAGACTCCAGAGTGGTCTTGGTCTTACTCACTCACCTCACTGATGGTGCGTTGCATTCACTCGTCCTCGTGCTTGAGCGGGGGAATCTTATTCATGCTGTCAGATCCTATCAAAAATCAACGCATCACTTGATCTGTTTTCTTGGAGAAAGTGAATGCTAAGCTTTGATTCATCAATCATTTGGAGGATGTTTCATTAGTGGAACAAAAACATAAACCGAAGTTGAAAGTGGGTTTGATTAAGAAAGTCACCTGATTCCCGTCGCCTTATCACTCCTGTATGCAAATCGTAGTCATCTAAATAATATAGATTTAAAGGAGATCAGAGCACAGGGTAACTTTAGTGTATGAAGATCAATTGTAGCATTATTCATGTGTGTTGATCATGGCAGTAGATACTTGTGTTAAGATGCAGGAATCTAAATGACTCGCAGCCCAATATATAGCTCCAGGAGTACAACCCCATATACTCTAGTGGCACTGTCGACCACATAAAATATTATTGTGAGTAAAGAAAGAAGATCCATCCTAAGCAGTAAAGTTCCATGAATGTATATCTAGCAATCATCATAAACATTACATGGCATGGGTCATCATCACAATACGCAAAGAACATGACAGGTATATGCCATAGATAATAATAACATGGAAAGAAACCCAAAACATCAACCCGTTAAAAACGCCGTGAGTATGTCCGTTGCAAGATAATTCTCCGATTAATTCTTCTGCACAGCCTCAGCGGCCTTCACATCCTCTTCTGAGCTCATGATCTGCACCTTGATGGCGCCGGTCTTGGGGTTGGCGGCCGTCTCGAAGGCCTTGAGGGCATCCTCTAGAGTGAAGCGGTGGGTGACGAGACGCTTCAGATCAATTACTCCGTTCTTGACCAGGCGGATGGCACGGGGCCAAGTGTTGCAGTAGCGGTACTGGTACTGCAGGTCGATTTCCATGGTGCTCAGGCGCATAAAGGGGATGGTCATCTCGTTCTTGCCGACGCCGATGACGAAGACCTTGCCGCCAAACTTGACGCTCCAGATGGCCGAGGCGACACTGCTCTCGACGCCGGTGCACTCCAGCGCCAGACGGGGTCTCAGGGCATCGGGGCCGGTGCCCTGGCCGTCGTTGAAGACATTGATGATGCCCTCTGCGTTTTGCTCGGCTGACTGGCCGATCTGAACCTTGTAGGTGCGGACCTCGGGGACGAGAGATTTGGCAAACTCCAAACGGCCCTCGTCAATGTCGGTGATAACGATGGGGGTGGCACCGGCGGCGCGGGCGCTGAGCAGTGTGATCAGACCGATGGGACCGGCACCGGTGATCAAGCAGGGATCTCCCAGACGGAGTCCGCTGCGCTCGATCGCGGCCAGAGACACACTGAGGGGCTCTAGCAGGGCACCATCCTCGAAGCTCATGTCGCCAATCTTATGGCACCAGATGGCGGGGTGGTTGACATAGCGGCGCAGCAGACCGTCAACAGGGGGTGTCGAAAGGAAGGCGACCTTCTCGCAGCCGTTGTAGCGTCCCGTCAGGCAGGGCTCGCATTCGTTGCAAATAATGTTGGGCTCAATGGCAACACGATCGCCGGGCTTCAGGGTTGTGACATCAGAAGCGACCGCAATCACTTGCCCCGCCGATTCGTGGCCCAAAATGTGGTCGCCCTCGACGATCATTGGGCCAATGCAGCCTGCATGCCAGAAGTGCACATCGGATCTGTCGTTTGGAAGAATCATTCGTCAGTTTGCGCACGGCTTGATGCGGGCAGAGTTGACAGCAAAGGGATTAACATACCCGCAGATACCTGTGCTGCGAACCTCAATAGTGACCTCTCCAGGCTTCAATCTATTGCCGCTCTTGACATCCTCCAGAGATGGTGTCGACTCAGCAATCCACAGATCGTGCTTGGGGTTGGTGAACACGCCAATGTTAGGCTTGTCGAGAACAGTTGCAGACGCCATGATGTGCGATTTGTTATGAAAAGACTGAACAAGACAAGCGAATCAAGGAAATCAAGGGTATAGAGCAAGAGAATTGAGGATTGTACATGGATAGAGGGATGGGGGAGTAGTATGGAGTACCTCAACCTTTAATACTCGAGCTACCCCTCCATGATAAGAAGCGAGAAAAAAAAGAAAAGAACATCATGACGGAGCTGGAAATTGCACAGGCCGAATTATAGTCCCTTATGGTTATCCGACATCCATAGGTGGCCAGCATGGCCCAGTGGTCATGATCCTCATTGATTGATGCATCCTCCTGCGGGACAAAAAAGTGGGATGGGGGAGATGGAGTAAGTACATAGTGAGTGAGTTGGTGTGGAGGCACCGCATTCTCACTGACTGCTCCCCACACGCCGACGAATGATCCATTTAGCCGCAATCCACGGGGGTTTTTTCGTCTTGGAGCTGCCTCGATCGGTTCAAAGCCAGCAGTTGAAGGAAGTCCCAGGTTACAGCATGTCGATGTGTTGTTGAACGGTTGCTCAGAAGGAAATGTTTCGACCTGAAGACTCGGAAAATAGGAATACCACTCTTGTCCAGAAGATCCGTGTGCTGTTACTGTGCACTGCATATGTTTACAGCAGGGCGTTGTACTAAGTACTTTGGAGTCTCTACATATGGATTCTGGTAGTTTCGAGGCTCTCATGGTTTGCCTTGCTTGCAGGAGACGATGTGGAAATTTGTGGCCGTGGATATATTTCGTGAGCGTGGGTATTTCAGCATCAGAATGTCTGTCAACCAGTATTGCTCACACTACCACTATGTCTTTACTTGATTACAGCTCTAAGTATTTCCTTCGCTATCTCCTCCTCTGTACAGACTCGGTTAAATTCACATGCAGCAGAGGTCCTTTTAGCCTCCCAATGGATCCCACAGCGTGAATGACCCTCGAACCAAGTCAACCAACAGCAACCCAACCAGCAACTTACAAGGGACCGAATTCCATGACCGTCCAGTGATCATACAAGAATTCTTTTAAACCAAATGCTCGTTGGCTCAATCAGAACTGCAGTGCCTGGACAGACCCAATGGTTCCGTGGACTCCGGCCCAGTGCGGCAATTCTCCGGCGGGTTGCCGTCCATTCTTTGGTGGAGAATATCAGAGCATTTATTGTCCGCGCCGGGGAGTATAGTATCCCTGGCGCTGTGAATGTGATACTTGAGCTCGGGAACTTACCGATGAGTCTTGACCATTCCCTCGCCCTGAAGCCGAATGGGTAAAATAAAGAAACCGGTATGGTCCTGTGGCATGTTCGCTATACACGTGCCACATGAACTAAAATGGTCAATCAAATAGAGTTCTGAAGCAGCAGGATCTCTTACTCACCGAAGGAACAGTGTGCATTGAGTGCTCAAATGAAAGGATTACGACAACGGTCCGGTTACTCGAGGGTGAGCTGTCCGCTGAAAGCCTGCAGATTGATGAGACTTCTCTTTGAACCAAGCCGTCCGTTGGACTCCCATGAACATCTCTGCTCGGCCAACACAGAGCCAAATCCATTGCGGTATATTACCATCCTAACTCTTACATCTGATCCTTCGAGGATCATATGTTATGCCAGTTGGATTCATGGCGGTTGTCTCCCAGTCAAAGAGCCGAGTTTGAGTTGACTTTAGAGGATCTCGCTTCGAAACACCTTCGAATCCTGCTAGAAGAAGCTTATCTTTATATCGTCCACATCTCGGACGGAGCAAATACAATGGCTCGATGGCACTGTTAGCCTATTGGGCCGTTTAGCCCGAGATTCTCCGTCTCTCATATGACATTCTGTGGCTTCTTGCCAAATGGTCCAATCTCAACTACCCATACTGAGCACTTGTAGGGCTGTGGAACATCGAAGCTGCATGACGTCTCTTATAGATGCTGTCAAACATGTAGCTACCAACTAGTATAGCTTAGGCCAGCTCGAAGTGTAACATATAGGCCTTGCCCGAGTCTTATTGGACTGAACTGATATATGGCTGCTGAGGCCCATGCTGATAGACTCTTCAAGTCTACTAGCTTGAGAGCGAATGAGTATTCAACGAGTGATCGGCCTAGTGATACTGTGACTCTCCTGGCTCACTCTGTGCTGGTATAACGTCAAATTAGAGTTAGTTTGTGAACGAACCTGACCACAGATCTCAGGTGGAAACGGAGAATATATTATAGATTGCAACATTCAAGTATTGATTTAACCATATGAACCATCCCTGGACCTAATTTGGATAGACGAGCCCAGGAATATCCAACTTTCTGAAAATCGACAGATATTGGTTGATGTCTGAACCTATTCGATGTAAAATGGTCTCTATGATTACTGCTTTAGGAAGGGAATCGCAATTCCCTCGCCCCCAGGACTGTACTTATGAGGGATTTCGCATCCATCACTGATTATCAGGGCGAAATCAAGCGAGCCTACTATCATCGCAAGGGCCAGTATATGCTCGAAGATTGTTGCATGGAATACCCATCCAGTTGTCCAAAACACATGGAGCGCAACTGAAACTGGTTCGATCGGTTGAAGTCATTTAAATCATGTATGTTGAACTATGATTTGTCCAAGCATTTTTGATTGTATTCTATACGGATTCAATACATAGCTGTACTCGCGGATTTGGCAATGTAAGACGAGCCCTGAGTCCTGACGGTACCCAGAGATCCAAGTCTGCTGATCTAGACAAAGATGGTTCTCTACCTTGATGTGAACATCACTCTTTCTTCTGCTTCACGATGTCGACCGAAACTGAAAACGCAATTGAGAAGCGAAGCTGTGCAATTGACTATCAATCACAGCCAGCTCTGTGCGATAATGATCTAGGAAACCCCAACGCACGTTTCATTGGCTTCGAACATGCGAAATATCTATACGCGATTACCCACTGTAAGAGCCCTTAGATCAGAAAGTAGATGATGGATTCGTTCCTGCATATCCATTTTCTTTGGACTAGTGATGATGCAACGTTTCAGATACCTGGGAGCTCCAGAAAATACATCCCTGAGATATCATAACTTCGCTTCAAGTTGTGTCATCAGTAAGTAACTTTTCTCGTTAGATTGCTCCGGAATGTCGCGAGAATAATCCTGTCTCGCAAGCCTTATTCAAACTCTCAGGACCTTATGGTTCTTCCGAAGAGTTGTGCATCTGTCTGGTGTCTTTTCATGCGCTTTGGCTGTGATGATGTGGAATGGACTGGAACCGGACAAGAAGAAGGATCTAAACGAGGCCATCATGCCCAAATGGAGACATCATTGAGCGAAGAAGAAGATCCCTTCCCGTCCAGGGGACGATCGCTCATGGCAAGCCAGATAGATTTCCGCTGCCGATGAGCAGCAATTGACGGAATGGTAGTAAAGTCACGTTCCCAAACCTTGAAAAGTGCCGCGCCATCACGTGACACGCCGACGGCGGCCTTTTCCCAATTCCCTGAAGTTCCCGAGCGTCAAATCTCAGACTTCGGTCCTTCAATTGCGTGACGATCCAGTGTCTCTGGCTATTTACCACCCCGCCATTGGACCTGTTTGTCCTTCGCCAGCAGCTTCAAAAGTTGTCTCTCCTTTTCCCACCGTTTTTTCCCTTTCAGTCGCATTCAGAATGCCTGCTTCGGCGACCCGTGCCGTTCTGCGGCAATCGCAGTTCCTGACCCGGAGGACCGCGGTCAGATACGCCTCCAACACCTCTGAAGCTGCCTCCAAGGCCAGCCAGACTGCCTCCTCTGCTGCTTCCAAGGCTTCCGAGGGTCTTTCTCGCGTCACTTCGACAGCTGGCCCTGCGATCTCGAATGCTGCTCAGGGTCTCGGTAGCGCTCTGAGAAAGGTTGGTGGAAGAACCGGAAAAGTCATTGCCTTTGTCGACTGTAAGCAGACTCGCCCTTTCTTTCGCTCAAGAACCTTTTTGCTCTGTCACTTCCACTCGTCGATACATCCATTGCCTTGGATGGTATCGTGAGATTGTTTGGTGCATTGGCTTCGTCATCACATACCGTGGACCATTGTCCCTTGATCACTTTTTCCTCACCATCGTACTTTATGATCGCTAACACCTGCGCCAATACATATAGCCTTGATACCCCCTACTCTCTACTACTCCAAGGTCGGCCTTGAGCTCGCCAAGCTGGTTTTCCGTGGTCAGAACATGACCCCTCCGTAAGTGCATCCGACATTGTTCAATCGCCGCACACGCAGTGCACTGACTTCTATCCCAGCAACCTGGCCACCTTCCAGTCCTACTTCCAGCCTTTGATCAACGCTGCCAGCAACCCCTCGGCCCTCAAGAGCTTCTCTCCCCAGAACATCATTTCCCGTGTCCGCAACGCCAACAAGAAGGAGATTGCTTTCGCTGGAGTTACCGCTGCCGAAGTAATCGGTTTCTTCACTGTCGGCGAGATGATCGGTAGAATGAACATCGTCGGCTACAGGGGCCCTGCCCACGGTGACCACCACTAGAACAATTCCAAACAATCATACCTGGCCTGTTTTCCTTTCCCCTTGTTCTTGTTTTCTGATGCACTGTACTATTGTATGATAGACGATGGAATCCAAGCTGTTGTCTGAGGTAAAACGTGTGAATTGTGGGAGTGTCTTGATCTCTGCTTGCGCTGGCACCTTGTTTTGGAGAGCTCTACTGTTACAACAGATCAGCATGCTGGGTGGTTCGTCTCCGAACTGTCGAGGATGGTGGTATAGATTCTTGATTGATCATATAAAAACAACATAGACTTTCACTATCATCAAATCATACTTCTGTAGTTCTTAGAACAGGCGATACTGGGTTGCACACAACTGTGCCGTAGAGGAGGGTAGCCTAAGAGATGAAGAAATTGCATAGGAGAACAACAAACTCGTGTAATTCTTGCTATACAACTGTATATCTGAAATACTACATTTACGCATACATTCAGACTAATTCGCAGCATTCTATCAGATTTCCAAAGGATGATTTTAGCAAAACCAGAAGATCAGATCGTTTCCTGAAATCTGATTGGTCCGTGCGGGAAAGAATTTCTACTCCGGACTTTTTTTTTTGTGTTAAAGAACAACGAACAGACAACCACCACAGCTAGGACAGTCCCTCAGAGATAAAAGGCGCGATCGCACCAATCTGCATCCAATCGCATAAGCATTTAAACATCTCTTATGCCAGGATATGGACGCCTTTAAGCTGTTGACAAGAGCCACCAAGCTGAAGACGGGCGCCACCCCATCTTCAGCACAGAGCTCAACCCGGCTCCCGTCAACGGGCAAGGCCGAGAACCCGCAGCTTTTCCGGAACTCCGAGGCTGAGAAGGTCTTGGAGCAAGCTCAGCAGGGGAAGAAGAGGAAGCGGACTGCTGCCGCCGAGGCGCGGGATGCAGACGACGATGCGGCGGAGTTGAATTTCTTTGGTGCGCGCAAGGCCGCGGTTTCGAGTACTCCGACGTCGAAAGAGGAGAAGCAGGAGCAGGAGCGGTCCGGCGAGGATGATGCGTCGGACGAGGAAGTTGAGTTTATGGATGAGGTGCAGCGTCGTACGGTGCTGAATGCGCATAAGATCAAAGTAACGGATCTGCGCGATTTGGAGGAGATCCAGCCTGTGCGCGTTGCGAGCGAGGAGCCCAAGAAGAAAAAGAAGAAGAGAAAGCAACAGGAAGAGGAAGAATCTAAAGTACCACTTACTAAGAAGGAGCAGAAGAAGGCGCGAAGGCTGTATCCTGAGCCTCTCGTTTCATTCAAAGAGCTGCGATCGAAGTACAAGATCTCTAGCCGGCTCGCAGAGAATATCGCTGAGCAGGGCTTTACGGTTCCAACAGAGGTTCAGCTCGGTACTTTGCCACTGTTGTTGGGAGGGTTTGAGTCCAAGGCTGGTGAGAGCGTCGAGCCAGATCTCCTGGTCGTTGCGCCGACGGGAAGTGGAAAGACTCTGTCCTTCCTGATTCCTGTGATCAACAAGATTGTGCGCCACCACCATGATCAGAGCCAGGAGCAGGAACGTGGGATTTTCTCCATCATTGTTGCACCGACCAAGGAACTTGCTAGCCAAATCGTGAACGAGGGAAGGAAGCTGGTTCATGGGACTGGTGTGAAGATCGCCCTCATGAAGAAGGGCATGCGGGTAGTAGAGCGCGAAGACGAGGATGACGATGGCGACGATAGCTCCAGTGAAGATGGCGATGAATCTTCAGAATCGGAACATGAAGAACGGCCGATCGCAAAGAAGAGCAAGGGCAAAGCGCCTGTCACCAAAAGCGATATCCTCGTTACAACACCTTTGCAACTCGTCAATGCGCTCTCAACGAATCAAACCAAGCCTATGGCTACCTTGCCGTTGGTGAGAAACATCGTTCTTGACGAAGCAGACGTCCTCCTAGACCCCCTGTTTCGGGACCAGACTCTTAACATCTGGCGTGCCTGCACGCACCCTGAGCTCCGAGCAAGCTTGTGGTCAGCCACCATGGGCTCCAATGTTGAAGATCTTGCCAAATCCACCATCAAAGAGCGGAAGGAAGCCGTCAATCAGACAAAGTCCTACCCATTGCTTCGTCTCGTCGTTGGACTGAAGGACTCCGCTATCCCCAACATCGAGCATAAGTTGATTTACGCCGCCACGGAGCAGGGAAAGCTGTTGGGCTTGAGACAACTCCTCCACCCAACCGCAGCGTCAGCATCAGATGTCCGCCTTCGTCCACCCTTCCTTATCTTCACCCAGACCATTCCCAGAGCCGTGGCTTTGCACTCTGAACTACGATACGACATTCCAACCGAGGCTGGCGGCTCATCGCGAATTGCAGTGCTTCACTCGGACTTGTCAGATGGCCAACGATCCGAGATCATGAAGAACTTCCGCAAGGGTGAGATTTGGATCCTGGTGACTACGGATCTTCTGGCACGTGGCGTGGACTTCCGCGGCATCAACGGTGTTGTCAACTACGACATTCCAAATTCTGCTGCCGTCTACGTTCACCGTGTCGGACGAACCGGACGAGCCGGCCGCGAAGGTGGCATTGCAGTGACATACTACACCAAGGAAGATATCCCCTACGTCAAGAGCATCGCCAATATCATCGACGTGAGTGAAAAGTTGCGTGGCAAGACTGGAGAAAAGTCTATCCAGAAGTGGCTGTTGGATGCTTTGCCGGACCTGAGCAAGAAGGACAAGAAGGAGCTGAAGAAGCACGGCGTCAAAGCTAGACAGTCCAACCTCAAGAGCGACAAAGATGACAAGGAGCACCGGAAGACGAGAATCAGTACCAAGAGCGGGTTCGAGCGACGGATTGAGAACAAAAAGAAGGCGCTTATTGCAGCCAACCGCAACAGAAAGTCCCAAGCACAGTCAGCCGCGGACGGTGACAGTGGCAATGAGAGCTGGGATGGTCTGGAGAACTAGAAGTGGACTAGATGGCCCCTGTTTAGTTGCATGTTTATCTGTACAAATTACAAAAAGTTACGATTCCCCAGAGCAGCGAGTGCGAGATCATGAATTGCCATTTTTACTACTTGGGTCAATCGGCGGCGGCACCATTGTCCTTTTCAAGGTTATCGGCGCAAATGGATTATCCAGCTTTTCTTGCTCTTCCAGCACGTATTCCAGCTCATCGCCGTCCCGATCAAAGTAGACCGCCCAGCTTCCGTCGTCTTCCTGCACAGCATAGAACGCACTCTCCTCTTCCAGTATTAAAGTCGTCTCTTCGTTGGCCCAATCCCACGGCCCGACCACATTGTAGACACTCTGCGACCGATTTCCATATTTGAGTTCATGCGTCTCCTCGTCCACGTAAATCCAGCCCAGCATGGGGGGGTTATCCGATATGGTGGTCACAAGCCCCAACCCCCGTTTCAAGTGTTTCGTCTCGTCAAGCTCCGGGTAATCGATGTAGAACGCTTCAGCCGTGTGAGAGGGGACTTTGCGACTGGAGGGGATAGGATCATCAAGATAGACCTTGGCCAGCACCTGTCAGCTCGTCGTCTTGCAATCGGGGAAAAGAGAATGTGGGACGATACGCACCTTGTTATCTCTCAGCACTATTCGCTTCCCGCGGACCTCATCCTCTTCCTGTGTTTCGCCTGATGAGTCCACATCGATGTTGAAGCGCGCCATTCGGCGTGCGTCCATTTTGCGCTCGTTGGCTTTGCGTTGCTCGCTGACTCCCATCGCCACGCCTGTGACGGTGGGAATTGCGGCGAGCGTAAGAAGACCGATGACCATTTTGGTTCAACGTGGTTATCTGTGAGCCTGAAGGATAAAGTAGGCGAAATCACTGAGGATGACAGTGTTGGCGGGGAATAGATATTTGTCAATGTTAAGCAAGAGGAATATGGATCTGGCTGTCAGCAGAGGTCGCGTAGTACAGGACTAAGAGGTGTATGCGTCAACAGGGGCTCATCGCATCAAATGCTCAGAAATATGCTTTTTGGATGCTTTTTGTTGCGACTGGAATTGCGACTGGAACCACATCTTCATGTGCCTCGTGGCGATGTCGTCATAGCCTGTTGCACGTGATAGAAAATGGTACTCGAGAAGAAATGTCCTAGATGTACCATGGCTGTTAAGTTCCTACCTCACATTCCCTCTACATTTGTTGGTCCAGGAATGGTGAAATAATAACCTCGTCAAATCATTGATCCAGAATGATATATGACTATGTGCGATATAAAATGCACGAATGCTTCTAACCAAAAAGCGGCCCACTCGCTCAAGAGTGACCCGGTCTAGAGTCAATCTCTATCTCTCTCTATGTCGATCGTTTATCGTTCTATCGTCGTGACTTCGTTGAGACATGCCTTCTGAAACAGACCCAGAAGATCTGCACTGTCTCAGCAGCTTAGAGCTTCTCACTCCACCCCCAAACTGACCACCAGCATCGAACCTCAAGTGCACCCCCATCGGCCGACTCCCAGTCATCGTACCCAATCTCCTCGCCCTCCTCTACCACCGCTAATCCTAGCTGCGCCATACGCTGGCGGAGCTCCTGGATCTGGGGCAGGTAGGCATCGCGCAGTGGCATTTCGAAGACAACCCGTGCATCTAGGCCCCGGCTGAGCCAGTGACCGACAGTCTCAACCAACCATTTTGGATGCTTTGGTGAGTACAGCGGGTCAGCAGCAAGGATGAGATCGTACTGCTCTTCCTTTGTTGGCAGCGGTGACGGCGCAACCGACCAATCCAGCACCCCCGTTGTGACTGATCCCTCTGTTCTCGTGAGCAGTTCTACGTTCAAGGCAGCGTTGTGGGTGAGGTTCGGTACGATTTCCGGTAGGTCTGTCAGGTGAATTGTTGCTGAGCTGCCGCGGAGGGCGGCGAAGGAAAGGCCCACCAGACCAGTTCCAGCCCCTAGCTCCAAGGCCCGAAGGGTCCTGTCGGGTTTGGGCGTGGTTGACGATGATGGGACGAGCGGTGGTGTGATGTCGAGGAGATTGTGAAGACGGCGGGAAAGAAGGTATGAGGAGACCCAGGTTTTCATACCTAGGTTGTCGGCCGTCAACGAGGGTTCATGCAGGGTCAGCGTGAGCTCCTCGTCCGATGATGTGGGGATTGTGAAGACCCGCGACATGGCTGGCATGGCTATGTTGAGGAAACCGACATGTTAGAAAGTTGGGCCAAAATAAATTCAGCACGTCAGCGCAATATTTTTCGTACCGGTCCGCCCAGACCGCTCGCTCAATCGAGCAGCAGCAGCATCCCACACGGCCTCACGCAGTTCATCAGTGTCCAGCCATGAGAGAGGGCTCGAGATAATGGATGTCAGATAACGAGTGATTCCCCCGGGCTGAACGGTTCGGCTCTTCACTGCTTCGTTTTTACCGCTTATACCGAAGCTTCGTGGTTTAATCGCTAGGAGGTCTAAGGCTCGTAGGAGGTCGGTGCCGGAAGGCTTGCTGTAGATCTGGGGAAGGTCGAGCACTGGGATCGAGGCTCTTATCAGCCCGATATCGCGCGGATCTCAAAAGAGGGAAGTGGACATACCGTGGAGAGGCTCGTCGGGATCGGCACTGATCATCTCTGTGGTGGGCTGGGGGATATTAGCGATTCTTTCAGTTCGCGGCAGTCTACAGAGGGATAGCAATAAGATGTATGTCCTTGAATATTCTCTTATATGGCTACTGCTGTGGCGAGGGGGAATTTGGCGATATCAGATCCAGGCACGAAAAAAAAGTCGGAATTACCCGATCAGGAAAGGTTGGCGTGCGCTGTCCCGCGGATCCGCAATCCGCCCCGACCCAACGCCATGAGAAGAGATAAACCGCAACAAAAATCGATTCGATTCGTCGAACGCCTATATAAGTGATTGCAGCAGAAGAATACGCCAGACGCCTATCGCTCAGAAAACGCAAATCTCACAATGCGGACACCATCACCGTCAGCCAAGTGTTGACTTGAAACCCTGATAAGCCTGCTCAATGTCAAAGGCGAGTTCTCGGGCCTGTTCTTCACTGAGTTCTTCCGTCGCGCGCATCTGATTCAACGTGATCAACCACTGGATGATCTTGCCGCGGTTATCGAAATCCCCATCGGTCACCTTGTTCACAGATTGGATGACTTCCGAGAGAAGGGGATGAAGTGCATCCTTCGAGACCATGTTCAGTTTTAGAGCATCGAGGAAAGTGATGAAATTTTCGGTAGCCGTGAGAATTAAGCTGCCTGACGCGCCGCCAATAGGTCCCCCCGCTGCTGCTCCTGCATTGGCCGCGGGCGCACTGTGGGTGGCTTGCTCAACTGTTGCGGGAAGGCCGATACGAAGACGCTCGGTGGCACGGGGGCATTCCAGCTGAGGCAGATCAGCAACCGCTTCAAAAGAGCCCGCGAAAAAATACACTTACCCCCCATGTCCGCTTGAATGTTTCGAGATCGACGAATTCCCTGGCGACTGTGTCATCGCCCAAGCTAGACTTGTACTGCTTCAGTAGCCGTGCGCATGTCTCGGTATATTCCGCCTCTGTAACCACATCTTTGATGTATGCCTTCTCGAGCCCATCAAGAGTCACGATGATGCTGTAGATCTCTGCCAGCGACTCATAAAGATCTCGCTCTGCGGAGCTGGAGGCTAGTTTCACTTCCTGACATAGCCGCAGTTAGCCCAGCAGCTCGGCAGTCAGGCACAGAGGGACTAGGAGTACCTCATCGAGATTGATCGATGCTGAACGTGCCGGATTCGGCGTGTAGCTATACGGCGTAGGCGCGTACGAAAGAGGACGTTGAGTGTACATGATAGGATAGTTCGACTCTTTCGACTGCTTGAATGCGACCCTCCGATCGTTGGTAGAGGGGGAAAGGCGGTGACCCGATTGGGCGGGTCGGCGTGATATTCTGCCCCGACAGGATTTTTTTTTCGTTCTGCTTTACCTTCTATCTCTTGGCTCCAATCTTTCTGAACAGCCAATTTTCAGACTTTGACTCCATTCTCCCGTTGGATTGGAGTTTACAGGCACAATGGCCGGAAGTCAGAAGAAATCGACGAAGAAGTTCGAGAAGAAGCATTTGAAAGATACCCTCGAGCGGCGCAAGGCCTCCGCGAAGATCAAGCAGCGGATCCATCTCAAGGAAAAACGCAAGGCCGACAATGCTCGCCGAGCCGAGAATGAGGATGTCGAGCAGGAGGATCCCGAGGAGGTGAAGAAGCAGAATGCATTCGCGGAGATGAACGTTGACGACTTCTTCGCCGGCGGTTTCGACATCGCAGATGCCGACGCCGATTCGAGCAAGAAAGCGCGGAAGAAGGACGTTACTCCGAAGATTGGCAAGCGCAAGCGTTCGGACGGCACACAGGCAGAAGAGGATGATGCCTCGTCGACGGCTTCCAGTGGAGCGGAGGAGGACGGTGCAGCATCCGATGATGATGCGGCGTCTCAGGCTAGCAGTGACGCGGATGATTTTGAGGCTCACAAGGATCAGCTTGAAGCGCTGAAGCAGAAGGATCCTGAGTTCTACAAGTATCTGAAGGAGAATGATTCAGAGCTGCTGGATTTCGGTGATCATGGAGACCTCGCGGAGGTTGACGAGCTGAGCGAGGCCGAGGAGGTGGAAGGACCCGCCAAGAAAAAGAAGAAGGCAGCAAAGGGCGAGGACGAGGAGGCCGAAGCCGTGGATAACACACTCAATATCGCGATGGTCAAGAAGTGGCAGAAATTGATGGAGGAACAGAACTCGATCCGCGCCATGCGGCAAGTCGTGCTCGCTTTCCGCTGTGCGGCCTACATCAACGAAGCCGAAACGCAAGAGCAGAAATACTCGATCTCGGACCCCGATGTGTACCACCAGGTCCTTGTAACCGCGCTGGGTACTGTTCCCAAGACGTTAGCACACCACCTTCCCGTGAAGGAAACCGCCTCTGGAAAGGTGAAGGTGTCGCTGGATTCGAAGAAGTTCAAGACCCTCACATCGCTCATCAAGTCGCATACATCGTCGGTCCACCAGCTGCTCGTCAACCTTTCCGATGCGTCGACGCTGAAGCTCACACTCTCGTCCATCGAACCCATGCTCCCCTACCTGCTGCAGTTCCGCAAGCTCCTCAAAGTCCTCATCAAGACCATTGTCGGCATTTGGGCCGATGTTTCGACTTCCGAGGCGACCCGGATCACGGGTTTCCTTCTCCTGCGTCGCCTCATGGTGATCGGCGACTCCGGGCTCAAGGAGACCGTTCTCAAGGCCACGTACGAAGGCGTCGTCAAGGGCAGCCGGAACACAACCATGCACACCCTCGGCGGCGTGAATCTGATGAAGAACTCGGCGGCCGAGCTCTGGGGCATTGACCAGAACATCTCGTACACGACCGGGTTCAGCTTCATCCGTCAACTGGCGATGCACCTGCGCAGCAGCATCACCAACACCACCAAAGAATCCTACAAGACCATCTACAACTGGCAGTACACACACTCGCTCGACTTCTGGTCGCGCGTCCTGTCCCAGCACTGCGACGGCCTCGTCGAAGCGAAGGCCGGCAAGCAATCCGCCCTGCGGCCGCTCATCTACCCGGTCGTCCAGATCACGCTGGGCGCCATGCGCCTCATCCCCACCGCCACCTACTTCCCGCTCCGCTTCCAGCTCACGCGCGCGCTCCTCCGCCTCTCCCGCGCCACCGGCACCTACATCCCGCTCGCGCCCGCACTGCTCGAGGTGCTCAACGCCGCCGAGATGCGCAAGCCGCCCAAGTCCAGCACGCTCAAGCAGCTCGACTTCGCGACCGCCATCCGCGCGCCCAAATCCTACCTCCGCACCCGCGTCTACCAGGACGGCGTCGGCGAGCAGGTCGCCGAGCTCCTCGCCGAGTTCTTCGTCCTGTGGACCAAGCACATCGCCTTCCCGGAGCTCTCGGTGCCGGTCGTTGTCGCGCTGAAACGCTGGCTCAAGGCCGCCGGCGCCCGCTCCGGCGGCAACAAGAACGCCAAGGTCAACCAGATGATCCTCCTGCTCGTGCAGAAGGTCGAGGCCAACGCCCGCTGGATCGAGGAGAAGCGGCTGAATGTCACGTATACGCCGCGCAACCGCGCCGAGGTCGAGTCCTTCCTCAAGGAGGTGGACTGGGAGGCGACGCCGCTGGGCGCGTTCGTCAAGACGCAGCGCAAGCTGAGGGAGGAGAAGGCCGCGATTCTGGAGCAGGGACGGCGGGAGGAGGAGAAGCGGCGCGCGGAGGAGAAGGCGGCGGATGAGGATGAGATGATGGAGGATGTGCGCAGCGATAGTGAGGATGAGGAAGAGGATGACGAAGAGTCATCTCCTAGCGACGAAGAGGAAGAGGAAGAGGAAGAAGAGGAGGAAGAAGAGGAGGAAGAAGAATTAGAGGAAGAGTAGATGTTGATGCTTCCAGATACCCTTCCTCTCGTTTCTTACATGTCTATTTACAATTCATACGGTCCTGCGCTTGGGGATATAGTACTGTTATCTTTGATATCAATAAAAGTTGAAGATTCGAAACATGTCCACCAATCCTCCCTATTAAACGAACAGCCCTGTATTGACTTTGTCTACATGGAAATGCTACTAAGAGAACAAGAGGAGGTAGGTACTGTAGACTCATATTTGCAACTATCAACTGAGACGTACATACTCAGGAAATAAATAGAAGCCAATCAACAAAGAATGACACGGATCAAACAAGGATAACAAGAATCAGAATCAACAAAATCAAAAAAAAAATCATAAACTTTTATGTTCCATCTCAACCCACTTCACCAACCACGCAAGGCTAAACTATACCCATAGGCATCTTCTCACTTCCATACGCGCGTGTCTGCTCACGTCTCAAGACCGCGTCTTCCTCCTCCGCCCAGGCGAGCGATTCATTCGGCAGCATGACCGCCTGGTCGATCGCAACAGGAAGACCCCTATGACGGCCCCTCAAGGTGACGGCAGCCAAGATCAGCTTGCTGATGGTGTGCCACGAGCCGCAGAACGAGTAGTTCTTGCCGGGGAAGCCGACGCTGATCCCGACGCAGCCGTAGGCGGAGACGACCTCGAAAATGATGTTGAAGGTCGAGTACGCGATGGGGTCGTCGGTGTAATGGGACGATTCGGCGATGGCGATAAAGAGGACGGCCAGGGCAATCCACCAGATGTCGTGGCTGGGTTGGGACCGAAGCTGTTGGTGGACGAAGTAGCTGCGGGATGCTTCGGTGGTGGAAACATCCTGTCGTCCGAGAAGATGATGTCGTATCAGGCTCATGACGATGCTGGGGGATTTCTCGCCAGATGGCCCGAGGGTCTCATCCGAGGCGTAGATGCCCAAGGAGCGCTCCTCGTAGACATTTGTGTTTCTGGCGGGGGTTAGTAGAAGCATGAAAACCGGAACGGGTGGACGAACCTCATGGTTACTAGAACTGGGAATGCCGAGACATACTGTGCATACCATTAGCAAACGATCGAGAGAGGGTGTGTGTAGCAATTGGATGAACCAACCATCATCAGGACTATGGACTGTTAGCATTTATATCAACAAGTATCGGGATCCTAGGAGTCTTACCATATAAAACCAGTAAACCCTGACGCAATTCAGAGATAGTCACAACGTAGAAACCCCCGGAACGCACAGCTAGAGTGGATGATTGTCAGCTAATCTGACCACTGCGTGTTGTTTTCATCGATCACAAACCTATCGCCTGGAACAGCCCGTCAAGAATCCGATAGCCTGCTGGAAGCGTCTCGATCTCTCGGTTGCCGATGGCAAGTATCTCAAAACCGGCCCAGTCGATTCCATTCAGGATGATAATTGTCCCCAGCAGATACCATGTGTGGCGAACGGGGAAAAGATTCGTATAAACCTACTGCCTGTCAGTCATTGTTCGGGGTCAATCAAGTACCAAACGTACCCTTCTTGGATGGTCGAGAATGAAATCTAGGGTGATCTTCCATGTATCCCACGACGGGTGATTTGGCACCAGGCGTCTCATAGCCCAGATGATATATCGCAAAAAGCAGGGGTACAGAGTATTCCCCGCAAGAATCAACATTCCCATTGTAAGGAGCGGATATACACTATGAACGATCAGCATTGATTGACTGGAAGTTGAAGAGGGAGGGCGGCGTACTTCGTTTGGAGAGCAGTCATGTTCGCATCGAGGAGAGACATCCCGCTGTTGACAAAGGCCGAAACGGCGAAAAAAGCGCCTGTCCAGAACGGTGACAGGCCGTTTGCCCGAGGAATTTCTGGATGGTTCGCTTCTAGCCAGCCCCCCATACCCACGATGCCGATAATCAAGAACAATCCCCAGTACAGGGCAACGATGACGGATAAAACGGAGACCGCCTTGTACTCTACTCCGCCCAATTGCTCACGTTCCTCGGGCGTGAGACCGTGGAACTGGGAATTCCGCGAGATTGACCCACTCGACGAGAAATATTTCTGTGTGCCCTTCAAGCTCCCTCCAGGGCGGGTCATATCGTCATCAGCGTCTGCCAGGGGCACCGTTCGCGCGACATCTCGAGGATGATTATTCAAGTCTAATCGAGCACCCACTCCCGCCATGGGGAAGACTCGATGATGGTGGTGGTGATGGCGCGACTGCGGATGACCAACGGTGACCTGGTCGTCGTCGACCCATCGGATACGGTCATCGTCAGTTGTGTGCGCGGGCTCCTCCGAGCGACTTTCTGCGTCGAAGGCCTTCGTGCCCGCAGTTTCATGGACCTCCCTCGTTTGCAAATCATGGGTATTATCTGCTCCTTCATTGGAAGCACCAGGCTTGGAAGCATGTCGGAAGAAACCCTTCCGCACACACTCGTCTGAAAAACTCTTGATTTTAAGCTGGAACGCTCTCTTGCGAACAAGAAGGACGGTGATCGAAATTAAGATGACGTGTCCAAGTATCAGCAGCGCAAATAGGATGGACTGCTGGAAGGTATTGAGGGACGAGAGATCCACCTAGAGACATTAGAAAGACCCTCCCGGCCTCGACTTGGTAGTCAGCACCTACCGTGTTCAACCCAGCCCCGGTCATCGCGCTGACACACATGAATAGAGCATCGGCATAATCGATACTCCGCGAAGGAGTGGCCGCACCCCAGAAGATGATGCTGCAAATCAACGGGGTGGCGATAAAGTAAGCGTAATGGAGCGTCAGGAAATTGAACGGTGGGAGCACCGCCGTGATGCATCGACCAAGGGGCTGAACCCAGGTCCGTCGAAGTCGAACTATGTATGAGGATATCCTATCAGCAGCTATACTTGGCAGGATCTGAGACAGCGAGCGAACATACCAATCATCTCGACAGGCCTCTGGGATGAACCAGTCAATTTTTAACAATGCGATGCGGAACAGTCCGCCAACCGCGGCCGTACTCTCCGATTAAAAAAAGAAAAAAAAAAAAAAAACACTATCTTCTTTCTGTGTTGTGAAAAAACTGAAGCTGCGAAGCCACGCTCCACTGGTGCTTCAATCTCTTGCTGGCAGCGCACACCGCTAACCACAACAAGGATCTTGGAAAAATTCTGTTGTAAATTGAAAGGCCCGTAGTCGTGTTCGATAGTCCATTGCTTTGAATCGTGGGTTTCTGGGTTGAAAGAGGTCTTGTTGGAAGAGGGGATATAGATCGAAGAGCGTGAGAGGCGTTGGGGGATCAGTATCAGGCAGTAGGAATTGGGAAGATTGCGAGGATTCTGGAGACACAGACGAATTGGATGTGTGTTTCAATTAGAATTGGTGTTGGGGAAACGGTGCAAAACGTGTGTTATTCCATTTCAGCGGTTGCTCTTGATAATCTGTATAGTGATGGTGGATGGAGGGAGAAAAAAGAGCAAAAAAAAAGGCCAAACGAAAACGAACAAGAAATGGATGAAATGAATGGACGCTTTGCCATCATTGAGCTAGTGTGATCTCCTCTCGAGTCTCTGCCAGCCCATTGGCCCAAGCTGATATTAAGCTTCAACGGCCTCAGAGCCTCATCTACTACCTTACTGTGGGATAATCCTAGGACAGTCAGTGAGTGTAGGGGTTCAGCGCTTCGTGCACTAATAACGAGCTCACGTACTGGCTTCTGTATATAGTTCTGTCTAGATAGCGCTCTTCATCTCCACCTCCTACCCATCTTTTTCACTATATCTACCTATCCTCCCAAATCCAACCATCATGCCATCTTCCAAGCCCTACCCCCCTCCTCTCATCATCCCCCCTCTACATCAAGACCAACACACCCATACCCTCATCCTCCTGCACGGCCGCGGCAGCAACAGCGAGCGCTTCGGCCGCGTCTTCCTCGACTCAACCGGCCTCGCCAAGCGCCTGCCCACGACCCGATTCATCTTCCCCACCGCGCGGAAGCGGCGCTCAACAGTCCTCAAGCGCATCCCGATCAACCAGTGGTTCGACAACTACTCGCTCGAGGACCCCAACACGCGCACTGAGCTGCAGCTGGACGGCCTGCAGGAGAGCAGCGAGTTTCTGCGGCAGTTGGTCGATGCCGAGGCGGGGCTCTTGTCGACGGCGACGGGTCTGGCTGTCGGGGAGGCGTATCTGCGAGTTGTGCTGGGCGGGTTGAGTCAGGGGTGTGCGGCGTCGGTGTTCTGTCTTCTGGGGGGATGGCTTTCTGGGGGAGAGGAGGGGCAGGGGAGGCGGCTTGGGGGGTTCGTGGGGATGAGCGGGTGGTTGCCGTTTGAAGGGGAGATTGCTGGGGTATTGAAGATGAGCGCAGGGGAGTCGGACTCTGAGGCTGAAGATGACGAGGATGACCCGTTTGCCCGCGATGCCGATGGCGACGACGTCCCCGCGCATGTCCAGGCAGTCAATCATATCCGGGATATTCTCGGTATGCCAGCGATCCCGTCCGACGCCGAGGACTCGGAGACTGCGTTCTTGAAAACACCAGTATTCCTAGGCCATGGGGCTGCAGATGCAAAAGTGTCGGTAGACCTGGGACGGCGGATGGCGGCCACTCTATCGGACGGGTTCGGAATGGATGTGACGTGGAAGCCATATGAGGATTTCGGACACTGGTATAAAGTGCCAGACGAGATCGACGATGCGATGCGCTTCTTACAGGAGAAGGTCGGGTTTGCCGTGGTGGAGGCGGTTGAGGAGTCGGTATGAGATACCCGATGGGCTCGGTACAGACAATGATTCTACTTGTTCACTTGTCTTACTTGAACCCGTCTATCGACATCAAGGCTGGTCCTTGACCTCCCTCGCCCGCACCCAATGCCCACTCTTCCCCCCCTTCTTCTCCAACAACTGCACCCCCCCAATAACCATCCCCTTATCCACGGCCTTCAGCATATCATACACCGTCAACGCAGCCGCCACCGTCGCCGTCATCGCCTCCATCTCCACCCCCGTGCGACCCAGACAACTCACTGTCGCCATCACCCGCATAGCCCCGTGTCGCTGTCGCCTCTCCTCAGGTTCACCAGACGCAGGCTCCACCAGCTTCACGTCCACCTCCACGCCTGTAATCCCGATGCTCGGATGGCACAGCGGGATGAGGTCGGGCGTCTTCTTCGCCGCCATGATCCCGGCGATGCGCGCGACGCTGAACACGTCGCCCTTGTGGGTGCCGCGCCCCTCGCGGAGGAGATCGTATGGCCGCGCGTTGGAGAAGGAGACGAGGCAGCTGGCTGTGGCGGTGCGCGCGGTGACGGGTTTCTCGGTGATTTGGGTCATGTGCACTGTTTGGCTGGCGGTGAGGTGCGGGAGTTCCGGGTCCGAGGTGGTCGGGAGAGAGCGGGTGGTTTCCTCTTCTTCTCTGGGGTTGGACGGGGAGGGTTGAGGATTGGTGGTGCTACGCTCGCGGTGGTAGTGACGGGTTTGGAAGATGGAAGTTGGGGACGGGGACGGGGACGCAGGAAGAAGATGAAGCGGCACGCTGGCTGGGCTCATTCTAGGGAGTCTCGAGTTGCTTGAAGTGTTCGTATTTCTGACATGTGCACTATCTAGAACCCTCGTCTATCAGTATCAATGGTGATCAAGTACAGTCTTGTGTATCCAAAACCAAGATGCTTATCAACATTGCCATGCGATATTGCCCAACGCCACCCAAAATCTGCAATCCGCAAGTTCTTCCTGTCGTAAATCATAAAACCCAAAGATCCGTGGCTACACGAGCCGGGTATAGAAAAGAAAAGAAAGAACCCCCCCCCCAAAAAAAAAAAAAAAAAAAAAATCAGTCGCGTCTACCCACCAATAAGTATCATTGGCCGGTTCTTCATATTCTCCAATGTACCCATTCCGGCATGTTTGGCCTTCTTGCGCTTGACGGCCATTCCGATGATGTCGAGGAGCGCCTGTTCCCTCTGGTCGACCACGCCACCCTCGTCGTGGACGCGCGCGGCAGCCTCCGCAGCCTCAAGCAGCCGCAGCTCCTTCAGCGCGGCCTCGTCGATCGGCTGCCCATCGTTCTCCTTCCGGATGATATCTCGCAGCGACACCTCCGTATTGCCGAACAAGCAGACTTTCAGGTTGCCATCGCTGGTGATGCGGAGCCGATTGCAGGACCCGCAGAAATTATGCGTCATGCTCGTGATGAACCCGACGCGGCCTTGGAACCCGGGAACCTGATACGTCTTGCTCGTATCGTTCTTGTGGCCGGCCACCTTCTCCAGCGTCGGGTACTTCGCCCGGATCACCGCCAGCATCTCCTGGTACGAGAACATCTTCCCCTGGCTCCACTTGTTCCCGTCGAAGGGCATGTACTCGATGAAGCGCACCCCGACGGGGCTGTCCCGCCCCATCTCCACGAACGGGATGATCTCCCGATCGTTGACCCCGCGCATCACCACGCAGTTGATCTTCAACTTGATCCCCGCGCCAGCCTTATTCAGCGCCAGTATCCGCTCCACGCTCCGCATCACCGCCTCGAACCCCTTCCGCCGCGTCATGATCTGGAACTGGAACGGATCCAGCGTATCCAGGCTGAGATTCACGCCCGTCAAGCCCGCCTCGACCATCGGCTCCAGCTTGCGGTGCAACGAGATCCCGTTCGTGGTCAGACACAGCTCGCGCAGGCCGTTACGCCGCAGCGCGCCGATCGACTGCATCAGCGGCACGATGTCCTTGCGCACCGTCGGCTCGCCGCCCGTCAGCCGGATCTTGGTGACCCCCTGCGAGACGAACAGCGAGGACAGGTAGACGATCTCCGGGGAGGTGAGCAGCCGCGCGGGCGCGGACAGCGGTATCCCTTCCTCGGGCATGCAGTATAAACAACGGAGGTTGCAGCGCTCGGTCACGCTGATGCGGAGGTAGTCATGTTGGCGGTTGAAGGTGTCGGTGAGGAACTCGGAGAAGGGCTTTGCGGACCGCAGCGCGGACCATCGTGGCGATAAGGGTTTCGAGGGAGGGAGTGGATCGGGAGTAGGAGGATGTGTGGGTGCTGAGCTCGGTTCGCTTCTATAGCTGGTCACTGCAGCATCTGTACTGTTCAAACGACGGCGAGCGTGGCTGGTTGCAATACAGCGATGGCTGCGGGGAGAGAACCGCAGGGCTCCCCGCATGCGAAGAAGAGACTCGGTCATCCTGATGAAGAGATCCTACAGTACGGAGACCTTGAAGGGATTCTCGTCAGGTAGATGGTATACTTCATCCAGGAAAGGGAAGAGAAATGAGAGGTAAGAAGAACACGGTGGTTTTAGGCTAGAGTCCCCATGGTGGTTGGTGGTGGTGGTGCTTATCAAGAGAGAGTCAGAGAGAGAGAGAGAGAGAGAGAGAGAAAGAAAGAAAGTCTCCAACTCCGCGGAATATTAGTCACCACCATGACTGATGCGTGATATCATGACCTATCTAGCAGTCGATCTTTTTCTTCTTCTTTTTTCTTTTCTGTGAGGTGTAAATGAATCGAAGAGAGAGAAAATGTTGACCCGCTTTAAGACGGACCTGTCGAGAACTGGGTGTGTACGGATACACCATTGTACGGTGGTGGTGGTGATGGTGGTCAAAGTATCAACATATGGAAACGAGGGCACACATCCATGATCATGACCAACATCTAGTAATATATACTACAACTGCAGTCTAGGCGAGCTTCTCTACATGCTCGGACACATGAACCTCCTGCTTATTCTCTTCAATCTTCTGTGCCAGCTGCATCTTCTCATCCCGACCCTCGAAGAGGTACGTCAATTCCTCCAGCGTTGGCCCAGCAGTCTCCACGAAGCAGAAATAGACGACCGCAAAGACAATCGCCACCCACACGCAGTAGTAGATATAGAACTTCCACCCGATGTTCTTCAGCCCGATGGGGTTGACGTACCCGCCGAAAATCGACGCCACCTGGATGGTGAGCAGGACGAACGCCCAGGTCTTCGCGCGCATCTGATACGTCACGATCTCCAGCGGATAGGTGACGATCAGATTCGTCCAGGCGAGAGTGTAGAAGGCCTGGAAAACGAAGATACAGGCGAGCACGAGACGGCCCGCGGCCAGCGAGTTGGTCTCCAGGTAGCGCTGCGCCGCGATCGTCCACACGATGAAGGTGGCCAGCACGCCGCCGGAGCCCGTCAAGAAGAAGAAGCGGCGTCGGAACCGGTCGATCAGCAGGGTCACCGTGATCGCAACGATGTACTGCCACAGTGTGACCATGCCGTTGACCAGTGTAATCTCAAACTCGGTTTTCAGGCCCGTATCCTCCAGAATCTGCGTCAGGTAGTTGGAGACAAGGAGGTTACCCGAGCTCTGGCTGAAGACGGCAGTAGCGAAGCAGAGAAATATCCGCTTGAGGTTGGGTACGGACGAAAAGAAATCCTTCCAGGTCATGTTGTTTTCTGCCTCCTTGGCGATGGCCTGCTGGATCTCGGCGCATTCGAAGTTGACCAGCTCGGAGTTGGGGTCGCACTCCCCATGGTATTTGACCAGGATCTCGCGGGCTTCCTGCGACCGACCCTTGGCGATCAACCATCGAGGAGATTCTGGGCAGAACCAGATCAGACAGAACTGGTAGGCCGAGGGAACGATCTGGATCAGGGTGGGCAGCCTCCATGACCACTGGCTCTGAATCCGATAGCAACCGAACGTCGCCCAAGCACCAATCACGTAGCCTAGCACAATGGAGGTGTTGTAGAAAGTGGTTATCTGCACACGCTCTTTCGGATGAGACAGCTCAGTAACCAGCACCGGAGCACCCATCTGGATAAGCGAGGAGCCCACCCCCAGCACGATCTTCCCTCCAATGTACATGTTCAAGGAGGTGGCGAAGAACTCGATAAGAACGCCCGTGATGATGATGGCCGAGCCCAGAGCGGTGGGTAGGCGTCGACCGAACTTGTCGCCGATCCAGCTGAGGAAGATGAAGGGGATCACGCCCCCGATTGCATTGGAGGCTCCGAAGAACCCCAATCTGGACCCGGTCGGATGACCGAACCGGTCCTGCCAGGACTGCAAAACCTGCATGCCATTGGTCATGGACTGCGAGTGCCCCTCGTTAGTGATTGTACGCGCATAGTAGAGGACGGGGACACCCTCTCACCCCGTCAATGCCCAACGCTGCACTCGCCAGTAGGGACGAGGTAAGCAGAAAGTAGAGCAGGATGCCATTCTTGCGGCGCCAGAAAGAGGGAATGGAATCCAGATCGATTGGCGACAGGATATCGTCGGCGGCATGTGCAGCAGCAGGAGCCATAGCGCACTCGTTTGTATAATACCAAGGCTGCTTGCCCTTGCCGAAAGCCTGAAAGTATTAAGACCACACAAGCTTGGAGGGCAAACTCGAAAAACAAGGGCTCAGCTGTATCCTCTTATAGTACAGAGAGACCGGCCATCACACCACAACCCATCCGACAGAGCAAGTCGGCGCAAGCCACAAGTCAAGTTTTCTCCTCGTGTGATTCTGGAACTGGGACCGGCCACGAGGTCAAAGGAAAGGATCATCGCGATGAAATTTCTCCCCGTGGGGAACAACCACTCGGTCGAATCGTGAATCATGGACAGAGTTTCGGCGAAATCGACCATCTCCTCCATCGGCAGCATCCACAAGTCCCCAGACAGAGAAGAAATTCTTCTTCCCCCCCCCCCCCGGCGAAATTGCGTGAGCGCCCTCAGAAATAGAATCGATCATCATTTCGCCGAATGCCCTAAGAATCCTGGCCCCCGCTCAGCGAGTTTCTCCGCTGTCTCAACTAGAAAAGTATAAGTTGTTTTCTCTCGCTCGCGCGGTCTGTGGCGGTCCCATAGCCTTTCCCTGAATCATCCATTGCCGGTTTTGTTTCTCGACCTCAGGCCAGAGCCTCTGAGTTCCATCTGACTCGTCATGCCGTCGGTTACCCCTCTTCCCTCTACCTTCAAATGGGGGTTCGCAACAGCTGCCTACCAGATCGAAGGTGCTGTTCACGAAGATGGACGTGGGCAGTCCATCTGGGACACATTCTGCCATCTGGAGCCTTCGCGGACCAAGGGTGCCAATGGTGATGTGGCGTGTGATCACTACCATCGGTACGAGGAGGACTTCGACCTGCTCACCAGATACGGTGCAAAAGAATACAGGTTCTCCATCGCCTGGTCGCGAATCATCCCGCGGGGCGGACGGGACGACCCTGTCAATGAGGCTGGCATCGCGTTTTACAATAGGCTCATTGACTCTCTGCTGGAAAGAGGCATTACTCCGTGGGTCACACTGTATCACTGGGATCTGCCACAGGAGCTGCATGATCGGTACGGTGGATGGCTGGACGTCGAGGAATCCCAGAAGGACTTTGAGAGATACGCCCGGGTCTGCTATGAGCGATTCGGTGACCGAGTCAAGCATTGGATCACGCTCAACGAACCCTGGATTGTGTCCATCTTTGTGAGTCCATCCCTCTCAGAGCTTCGGCGTAGCTTCAATAGATTTAACTAACTGCCTATTCAGGGATATGCAACAGGTGGCAATGCCCCTGGCAGAAGCAGTACCAATCCTCAGTCGACCGAGGGCAACACGGCCACTGAGCCTTGGATTGTGGGCAAAGCCCTCATCATGAGCCACGCGCGTGCAGCTGCCTTGTATAACAGGGAGTTTCGTCAATCCCAGCAGGGCCAGATCGGCATCTCGCTGAACGGCGACTACTATGAGCCCTGGGATGCTCAAGACGAGCGGGATCGAGCCGCCGCAGAGCGCCGCATGCAGTTCCACATTGGCTGGTTTGCTGATCCAATTTTGTCAGTCCACTCCCACCCAACATGCATCCTTACCATGCTCTCAGCTAACGATCATCTGCAGCTTGGCTCAGGACTACCCTGCCTGCATGCGCGAACAGCTTGGAGATCGCCTGCCTGGTTTCTCCCCCTCAGACTTTGCAATGCTTCGCGAGGCAGAGCTCGATTTCTATGGCATGAACTACTATACATCCCAATACGCTCGCCACCGTGACGAGCCGGCTCCAGAGACAGACTACATCGGTAATGTGGACGAGTGCCAAGAAAATAATCAAGGACTGCCCGTAGGCGAACCGAGCGGAGTCCACTGGCTTCGCTCGTGCCCGGACAAGTTCCGCAAGCACCTTACAAGAGTATATCGCCTATATGGAAAGCCAATCTATATCACCGAGAATGGCTGTCCGTGCCCTGGAGAAGACCGCATGACTTGCGAGGAGGCAGTCAAGGATACATACCGACTTCGCTATTTTGAGGAGCATCTGGAAGCGGTGGGCGTGTCCAACGCGGAAGACAAAGCTGATATTCGGGGCTATTTTGCATGGTCATTGCTGGATAATCTGGGTAAGTCTCGAGGAATTTCTGGATTGTTAGCGGTAACTGATATGGCGTCCTTAGAATGGTCCGACGGCTACGGGGTGCGATTCGGCGTGACATTCACAAACTATGAGACGCTTGAGAGAACGCCAAAGCAATCTGCGCTGTCTCTGAAGCGCATCTTTGAAGAACGAATCGGTGCTGATCCGTCGCGAGCATAGCCTACTTCTGACGTGCCCCCAAGCGAAGCCCTGGGTATAATGGGTGATGTTTGTTCTCAGGGGCGCAATAGACTATTAATCCTTTGCGTTGTATGCGCGATATACGTTGACCGGCCGATATAGAAGACACCGTGTCACACAGGGCATGATGGGATCAATCCTGCATGTACTTCGTTCACGAAGGCCGGCGAAGCGTGTCCGAGGCCTTGGAGTCGAGTCGGGTGAGGATATCCAAAAGGACAGAAAGATCGGTACGTGCACGTGCTGACAGGGGAGAAGCCTCATACTGGTCGATGATTTTCAGCAGGCTGGCGCCAATCAAACGGATTTTCTCCACCTGTGAGGAGTTAGCAAGCAATCAGATATATGAAGGACTGCTAATACATACACATGGCTCGCCGTTCACCTGGAGCGACCAAAAGGGAGCTTCTCGTATCACGCGTAGCATGTCGCGGGCAATCTCCGTCTTCCTCAGTAGCGACATGTCAGGATGTTCGGCGTCCGAGGCAAAGTAGCCCATCTCTTCCAATTTTTGCGTGATGACCAACCGCAAACAATGGAGTGAAACATGGAGGTTTGCCCATTGGATGACATACTGTTTTTGGCGACGGTCATTGGTGTTCTCGCCCACTTGCGTCAGTAAAGTATCTGTTTGTAGGCATTGCGGGAGTTTATCCAGCGAGGTTATGAACAAGACATATAGATTACCAAGGCGATGTCGTTCATCTACGGTCAGAAGCCGCGGGGTGAGAAGGCCGGCCTCCTTCTGGCTGTCCACGAGTCGCATCTCAAGTATTAGATCCGAGGCTGTCTGCCACAGGCGTAAGTTCGCGTTGAACCCTGCGATGAAGCTCATCCGCATCGGCAAATCTACTTCAACGCTGGCTGGGGATACTCCGGCAACATCCTCAATGCCTGCAGGGTAGGCAGTGGTAATACCAGTGTCAAAGGAGAATTTGTGGATGGTAATAGGACGATTGTTCAGGATAGCTGCTGATTTATCACCGATATAGACAATCCAGAAGGCCCTTCGACGCAGCTCGGCCTCTACCGGGGATAGACCCTGCAACGACATCTCATCATGCATCTGCATGACCTGCGCTAGGCGGGTTGCTTCCCCGAAGATATGCCACGAGAATCGAGGCTTCCCGGCCGCATGCAAGCAGTTGGAATGGAAATATCGAATAGCCACAGAGTTCGCGTTCGGATACTCCAAGTCCACCTCCAGGTACCCGTGCAAGCAGCTACGAGAAGCTTTGAGGAATAAGTCCGCAATCCTTTCCCCTTCGGGGAATATCTCCTGGGGCAAGAGAAACGCCGCTTCCGCGCAGACGGCGGTGATCAGTGTGAAGGTAGCATCCGGCCATAGTTCGGGGTATTTGAGACTGTTTGCCCGGTCGAGGATGCCGTCCGCACCTATAGGGTTGCCTCGAACAAACGATGACCAAAGTTCGGGGCCGGTGGTGCCAATACTGCATCCCGTTGCTTGGGTCACGAAGAAGCGCAAGCCATCCCGGAGACTTGGCTCGTGGACCAACGGAATCAGGGGAAACAGGTACTCGAAGAACAAATCAAAACACCGATTCACCGTCCGCTCAAGATCCGCCGATGGATCGCGTAGCTGAAGGGCGCGAGCGAGTTGATGCCATCGCTGCAATGATGACAACGGTGGCTGCTCTCTCGGAGGCGACAATGCCGGGTCTACCAGGCTAGTGTCCCACGATGGGGAGCTTGCCAGGGTGCTTAATCTCGGAGTGCGGGGATCCAGGGGCATGATAGGGCCAGAGACAGGAGAGGCAGCGGAGAATTGCAGGGTGGTACTGGTGCTAGTTATCGCAGGCGGGCCTGGGTGGAGCGTACATGGCGGTGCTGCATCATGAGGGGCAGGTAATGTGTGCCGCCGAGTTTTGTTGCTTTTCGGTCCTCTTCTGGCAACAGGCAGATCAAAGGTACATCTCTGGCCGGAACGTCGGCAGCTTGTACAAGTAGACAATGGCGAACCTCCGTCGCACTGGTTGGATTTTCTCAGTCAACCTAAGCTCATGTGCATTGTACACTCACTGGATGGCTTACCTTGGCCTTCCTTCGTCTGCAGCGATCACAAGCCCTGGCAGCCAAGCGGGTCGCGGTTGTCATATTCGGATAAAATATGAGGTTGAGAAAGGAGTAATATTATGGAGCAGGAGAAATGGAGAAACTGAGGCGATGGAAGAAAAGGATGGATCATCGATTCATCGTTGATTGTTTGGATAAGAGCACGTGCCGGATGCACGTGGTCTGTGGGTTGTTTGATCTTCGGAGTATCTTCATTCATTTCTCCTCGGTAGTCTGTACAGTCAACAGTGTACCTAGTACCTACTACCTGCAGTGTACAGGTACACCCCCAGAATCTCCGCCGGTCGGAGAAATACTGGGCCTCGCTTAGTGCTTAAGATCAGGGATACTCCGATATGTATACTGTGTAGACCGACCTGAATAATAATAAATGAATCCGTTAATCAAACCAGCGACTTAAACTATCATCCTTTCTGCCGTTCTCATTTTGTTAAATAAACTCCACAGTCTATATCCATCATCCTTCCAGTATTCCCCCGTAGATCTGCAATGCAAGTTTCTCCGCGTGGAGGCAGAAATCCGGGGCTGTTGATCTGCATGGAAAAGACTCGGTCTTGTCATCCCAGAGGGAGAAATTAAATATATATATATATATATAAGAGGAAATAAATAGACACCGCATCTATTCAATAACTCCCAATAGTAAAATTTCATTGACCTATTTCCATCAACATGCGCATGACCGGGAACCCAGCAGCTGCACCAGAATTGGCCGTCTCCATTATGCAAACGAAACTGCAGACGTACTTGAAGTTCAACGAGACGTATCCTGGATTTGGGGGCTCGCTGCCCTGGTTCACGTCCACCTCCAAGGACATCACGCCGACATCGGACTGGAACAACCGGGTTCCTGCGCTGGACAATGGGTATACTATCCAATGCCAAGTCCAAAACCGCTCTCTGTTGTCCGGGCTAATCGCCAAATAGTGAGCTTTTCTGGGCCGTCTATGGCTTCATCCAAGCCTTAGAAAATACCGGCAGCCCCGCCCATGCCAAGTTGGCCAGCCGGTGGCAGAACTGGATGGACTACACCAAGACGACCGCGGCCAAGGTGAAATAGAATCCATCCCGTCTCGCTCTGTATCTCTCTGCGTGACTCAGTCGGGGCTAACTCGATCGATTCTACTCGTCCCAGATCTTCTACAAAGGAAACGGCCAAGTGTGCGCGGTGTCAAGCATCAAGAACCAGTCTCTGCCCGTCGACCACCCTGACCAGGGATACGCCTGCGAAGGCACCGGCCGGCTCAACGATCCCTACGAAGGCGAGCTCTTCACCTTCTGGCTTCAGTTCTTCGGTGGGCTGTCCGACGCCGACGTCGCGGCGATCTGGGCTGCGAAGAAACCCCAGCTCGTGAGCGTCGATTACCACATGGGGAACATCGGACCCATCACCGTGCAAAAGGGTGTGTATCTGTCCTCCGCAGTATACTGCGTCCGTAGAATGGCATCGTCATCGGCTAATAGCTGGGGGTAAAGGGTACTGGTTCTCAAGCCACGAGCAATGGAAGGCATTGGAAATGCCGTACTACGACGTCGACATCGTGCGGTAAGTTCCCTCCCCAACATCTCTCCCCACCAGATCCTAGATAGTAATAAAAATGTAAAATAATATACTAACCCACCTTATCCAGCCGCGTGTTCAAAAACGCCGAGCGCGTCCGAACCTGCAACGCCGTCCTCACCAACGTCCCGGGCCTCTTCGCCTCCATCAACAACATCACCGACCCGGCAACCGGCCACGTCACAGGCTACATCTCCAACACGGGCATCCCGTCGATCTCGTTTCTGTCCAAGCAGGAACGCGACGTCGTCACGCCCTACGGCGTCTACCCGACAGTCCTCGTCGACAAAGCGGTCGGGCTGGCCTGGTGGAGGAACATGGTTGTCGCTAAGAAGATGCAGAGTATGCACTATGCTCTCTTTCTCCTGTCCCCATTTCTCTTCCCGAGCCATCATCCACCAAATTCAGAGGGTCTGACATGTAAACCGTGAAACATCCTTAGATCCATACGGTAGCACCGAAGGCACCCGCGTCGACGGAAAGGGCGTCTCCGCGCTCGTCACCTGGGACAGCAAGATCACCACCGTCACGGCGATCCTGGGCGGAGTGACGGATCTGGTGCGGCAGAAGATGAAGGCGGATGGGATCTATGAGGAATTCGTCAATAGTATCGAGGTATGTAATTCCATCTTCCTCGCTCTCTTCCTTGCTCGATATGTTGTTTGGTGGATGGTTTTTTTGCTAATGCCCGCGAAAGGAAGCATACGTGGCTGTCTTTACCGAGCTCAAGGGCGAAGATGTCCCCCTGTGTCTGCCGAGGGATGACGTGCCTGATACCGGGCTGCAGGATTTCACGTCGTGTCGGTGATCGTTGATCGTTGATATCATTGATATCTGTCGGGTGGTATGGTTGGGTGTTGTATATAGGCTTGCTGCTGTGGTTGGATATATGGAATGTTTTGATTTAGATGAACTATCTGCCGAATGACCATCTCAAGAGAGTGGGACAGGCATGTTTTTTTAGTGTTGCTCCTTCTCACTTCGACAACATCTTCCTGACTTTCTTCACCAGACTTTGCTCAAACTGTTCCACCCCATTGGCTTGCTCTACAAGCTTCCCGGACTTCATCACGTATACCGACCGTCTACGCCTCTGCTCCTCATCTGCCTTCTCCTCCTCCTCCGCCACCCCTTTAAACTCACCATCCAGCTTGTGCTCCCCGTCTCGTCTCCCCTCAATCACCGATCTCACCAAGAAACGATCATGCGAAACCAGCAGCACAGCCCCGTTGAACACAGAGAGCGCCGTCGCGAGAGCCGTCACGGTGTGGAAATCGAGGTGCGTCGTGATCTCGTCCAGAACGAGCAAATGCGGTGCGTTCCAGATCACTTTTGCAAGTGCCAGACGCACCAGCTGCCCGCCGGAGAGTCGTGCAACCGGCACGTCTGAGACAATCCGTCCCTGCAGACCGAGGGACGCGAGCAAGCCGCGGACCTCGCCTTCGCTGAACGTGCCTGCGCCTGTATCTCCGATCTGCTTCATCATGAGTGCGAGGGCGGTCAGGGTGGGGTCCGCGCGACCTTCCTCGTGCAGTTCATCGATCGAATGCTGCGCGTAGTACCCGAGTTTTAGCCGCGGGTGAGTAGATATCTTGCCCTGGGTAGGCGGCAGATCGCCCGTCAACAGACGGATGAGGGTCGATTTGCCGGACCCGTTCAGCCCTATAATCCCCACGCGGTCCCCCATGTGCATCACCAGCTCGACGCCGTTCAAGGTTGGCGGATCACCCCGCTTGTAGCGGAAGACCACCTCCTCCGCTGAGACCAGCGGACCCGGGAATCGCAGCTCGCTCGCATCCGGCAGAACCATAGACGCGCCTCGTTCGTCCGTGGGAACTTCGATTTCGGCGCGCGCGGTCAAATGGTAGCCCACCAGATCGCGATTCAGCTTGAATCGTCCGCCGGTGGCGCTGACCTGAACGCCGATACGGTTGTCGACTTTCTTCTGCCGCGACTTGGCCATCCGTAGCTTGTTGTCGTCGTTGTTTTTCTTCCCCAGCTTGATGTTCTCGCGGATCGTCGCTTCCATGTGCGCGACCTGCCGCTCCTGCGCCTCCTTCATGCGGCCCCAGTACAGCTTCTGCTCTTCAAAGTCCTTTTCGTACGCGGACAGGTTTCCCCGGAAGTAAGTCAGTTTCTGGTCCCGGAGGATGATGAGCTCCCCGCAGACAGCGTTGACAAAGTCGCGGTCGTGAGAGACCAGGATGAGGGTCATCGGGGACGTATCCCGCAGTTGCTGTAGGTATTTCTCCAGCCACACCACCCCTAGTAGGTCCAGGAAGTTGGTCGGTTCGTCCAGGATCATGATATCCGGGTTTTGGACGAGAACGCCCGCCAGCATGCAGCGCATGCGCCAGCCTCCGGATAGAGTCAGGAAAGGTTTGCGCAGCGCTGCTTCGTCAAATCCTAGTCCGAGAAGAATCTGGCGAGCTTGCTGCTCGATATCAACGAGTTTCATCTGTATTGCTTTAGCTTCCATCCGCTGTCGAGCCAGTTAACCACACTCACGGCCTCGAATTGAGCCTGTAGCTCTTGTAGGGAATCCATCGCCGCCTGTGTTTCGCTCTTGATCACCTCAGGGTCGACAGGCTGGTCGGATTCGGAGTGGTCCAACCTAGAGGAAGTCAGATCGCTTGCTTTGAGTGTACAATCAGGCAACGCACAGCTCCTTCGAAGCCTGATATCTCGCCTCCGCCGCTTTCAAGTCCTTCCGCGCCTGCAGCCCTCTCGCCCCGCTCTTCAGGCTTGCATTCTTCTGCGCAAGAAACAGCTGCTTCTCAACCTCATCGTGCCGGACCCTGCGCATCACCCGCACTGGCTCCATGGGATCCTCCGTCTCGAAGCTTTTCGACAGAACTGCCGCATCATATCAGACTCTCTCCCGGATCAAGAGCACACTGGTAGTCGACTTACAGTTGAGCTTCCGTACAACCTCGTTCCGAAACTGGTCGCTAGCCATGACATATTCTAGAACAGGCAGCTCCTGCCTCGCTCCTTCCGTACTTTCTGCCGCAAAAGCGTCGGCCGAGTCCTCCCCCTCCGTCTGTTGCAGGATAGCCATGCGAGTCGGATGCGGGATTCCAGGGACCAGCTTATCAGCCATGGCGCGGAGAAGTGCTGGAATAGATTAGCTGCCCCATCAAACGCCATCGTAAGCCAAAAACTGGTTTCAGAACACACTGGATTTGCCCGTCCCGTTCCGTCCGATGAGGCCGTAATGCACGCCGGACTTGAGACGCAGGTGCGCATCGACGATGAGTTCCCGCGCCTCGGCCTTGAGCTTGGATTTCCCTTTTGTCTTTGGTTTTGCGGGCTCCGCGGCGCTGTCTGGTGAGCCTGCCACAGCGATGGAGAGACCTTCCACATCGATCTGGATGTGTTAGTTGACTTCGGGGTGAGAGAAGTGAAGGAAAGTGAAAGGGATGCTGTTTATACGCATGCATACCTCCTGCGCCGGCTTATCGTCTAGCAGATGGAATCTGGTCTGCTTGCATGTTGCTATGATGGAGGCCATGATGGACGTAATCGTAGGAAGCTAGTCTTTTAATGCCTCTTCGTTCTAATGCAGAGAGGATGGGGCGAGGTTTGTATAGAACCACCATCCCGCCCCTTCAAGTTCAACGCGAGCAAATGTATCAACCAAGGCATCAGGGCAATACTCTTGACCAATAGCTCCATCCTGGAGATCATTTCCTTGAAGAATTTGCCCAGCACCAGTTGAGTCATGAGAGGAAGAAGTGACTCCAGGATGGGGAGCGGGGTCCGGAAGGGGAATAGCGGTTGGCATGATGCTTGGGGCATCTGTTTTGTTTAGAGAAGGAAAAAGGATTGTGCAATTTATGTGATTGATATGATTCATGATACGAAACTGGAATGCATTCAAGCTGCAGGTGTTTTCTATGACTTTAATAAAAAGTGGATGGAAAAGTACATCTAAAAGTTGTGATGGTCATCCAAGTACATTATTGAGAGAGGGCACGTGGCTACCATACATACGAAGTGACAAACGTGTTGTTGACTGTCAAGACGTCAGCTAGACTCAGTAGTTCACATCATATTAGACTATCGATATCTTTGAGATCATAACTGGACAGGTTCTCGGAAGGTCTGTTCTATATGATGACCATGAGAGTAGTTGCCACTTCCCGAGATGAACCATTCAGAGCTCAACCCAGCCAACCTTCATCCCCAGAACATCCCCAAAGGGCAAACCTACCACAACCATCACCAAGTCTCGAATTGTCGAATCACCACCTGCTGCACCATTCTCACGGCTGGTGTCAACTATAACACTATCATGACCTCATGACAGTTGGAACCCCTCAATCTGCAGCCATATAAGGGCGATAAATCCCGAGCCAGTTATCCATCTGTCCCAACCAAACATCACATTCCTCCCATCGAACTACTATCAACATGTCTTCCAAGAACTACAACCTTCGCAGCGGCATCAACTCGGCCGATGAGCAGCTCATCCCGGAGCTTCAGGAGTCGATCATTCCTGAGCCCCATTCGTCAAGCCATCAGAAGAGCCAACAGGTGCGTTATCCCATGAGATACGGTTTATGGAATGCTCGGATGCTAAAAGACACCTCTAGATTGGTGTGGACTCGGACCGACAGGCGTCGGATACTGATAACGTGTCATGGGGTAACCAGCCGGGCCAGTACAGCGCCCCAGAGACCAACCCCAACCCCAGGGGAGCATATCACTTCACTGAGGACCAGCTTGCTCACCCACTGGATCGCGAGTATGAGAAGTAGAGTGATGTTGGAAGAATCCGATGCTGTGATGTAGGGCATGATGTAGCAAGGCTTCAGTGAGATGCTAAATTGATTGATGTATATTAATAATGTAAAGACCTATGGGGTTGGACAATGTATGTCATATTTCAGGCCAGTGGTTCCTTTGAGTCGACATGAATATAGGTAGTCGATTGTATCGATGCACTCTCTGCTCCGGTCAGCAATGTTCAGTGCGCAAAGCCTTGGAGAATGGCAAGATAGAACAAGATCATATAGTAGTGGAGACGATCAATCTGGTTCAAATGCAACGAGTGTCTCACAATAGACGCCCAAAATATACTCTGATGTCTGTTCTTGGAAGCTTCATTTGAAACTTGGTGGTCAGAATGAATTCCAACTCAGTTGGACACAGCATATTGGCTGGACTAGCCATAGATCATTGATTGTTTCGCGACAGCCTTGGGAGGCATACTGCTCAATGCTCAAGCCATGAGATTAGTCTAGGCGCTCAGAGACGGTCGATGGAAGGATAGAAAACAAAGTCTAGACTGTTGACAATATAGGGCGGATTCGGTAGATACACGAATGGGTCGTAACCGAGACCATCCAGTCGAGGATATCGTTAAAACGCGGAGGCAGACGAAGATTGGATCCTGACCGAGTATGTACAATTGTACATACGGAGTACATCCATATTCCATAGCTTCCAAGATATCAAATCCGATCATTTTCTCCACCCCTGCGATTGGAGCCCGACTAGTTAACTACAGAGTATGTCCGCAAAACTCTGCACCAATTCGACCATATTAACACCGAAGCACCATGCATGATGCAAGTCTCAGTGGACGGCGGTACGGAGTACTGCGTCTCCAAGACAAATAGAATCAATCCAATCATCTGGAGGATTATCTTGCAGCCTGAATGTGGCGCCTGCTTAGCAGCAGTCCAGCGATACCGGGTCGAGCGGGTATTCCGCAATCTGGTCTGTTTACCGTTTGCGGTTGTTGTCTTGTTGAAGGTGGACTGGTGGGCGGTGGCTGAGATGCCAATAACGTGGACGGGGGACGAGACATATCCACTGGAGATAGAAGTCTAGAGTCTAAAGTCTTGAGTCTTGACAGAAGAGTAGACTATCTAAAGTATCTACTATGTAGAGATAATTATTGAATCGTGAAAGCTAAGTAGTGCTGAAGGAATGAACATCAGAAATTGGTCCATTGTGGGATCTGTGCCAAGCTTTGTTTCCGGTTGATGCTAAGACACTGGCAATCCACCATAGTGTACTCTGTAATGGAGTTACTTCGGAGTAGACAGTCTGAGTGGATGATATCAAGGAATGATCTCTTCTCCGATTACAAAGTAAGTGATCCAGCTGGAATGCCGTCAGCCGTTGCCCATCAACACCCCCGGGATAATATTCTGGACATGAATATCCAGGTACTCTCTTCAAGAAGAGAAAGGCTATCCTGGATTCCTGAACTACCTACTGTTCATCGAAATATGCACATCAATATTCATCACAACTGAATCCATTATTATTATATTATTCTTGAGACGACGCTGGAAAGGGATATTTTTGAAAATCCATACAATTATTTGATTGGCCAACTCAAAAAGCCACCGGCGTCATTCTTCGCCCCACCTGCAGTCTTGGTTAGGGCTTGGATGGGGACCTACTCCACTCCCCCCCAACCAATCATTAAATTGAGAATATCTTATCCGCAGCCATCGTTTTGAGAAAAGGGGATGGAACTTCGATTTTGCCCAAGAAACAGACTTGAAACAGCAAGTGTTACCAAAGGAGGGGAGTCTATATTCAAATACTCCGTACTCCGTAGTCGTCCGGAGGAGTATCTGAGTCTGAGTCGCTTTCTGGAGGTAATTAGTTAGTTAGTTAGGTATCTACCATGATCCAAGATAGTACGTAGTAGTACTCTTTCTGAAGTAGACTAGGTATGTATGCGTGCAGTTCACTGGCACTCTGCAGAATCGGTGTGATCGACTTGAAGTGAACAAACTGCCGTATCTCAACTCTCTACGTAGTACTGAAGATCTCCTATCTGATGGACAGGACATAATATTCTGTATAAATTTGTGAACAGGAGAGGTGGATCCTCTTCTTCGGGGGGCTGCACTGGAAAGCCCTACTGTAGTATTGTTTTATATTAATCACCCAATCATCAATTGTACTGTGGCCCAAATACTCCACCGGGCCCCGCTGAATTAGCGGAGGACGCGCAAGCCAGCCTATGCCTAACCTGATTATTTCTGTTTCTATTTCTACTCCGGAGTATTTCCATGAACTCTTAGCGTGGAGGTACCTCCTTAGTACTCCGTACCTAGTAAGGTACCTAGCATTTAGTAGTTACTAGTTAGTACTCTGTAGTACCTAGATAGTGGACACTGGTCACTGGAGTTCTCCCTTGGGTTGCTTCTGAGGTTCGTTCATGGTTGCCCTTACTTCTCCTCCCCCGTCTCTACTATCCACAGACGACGTTGACATCTTCATCTTCATCTTCAACTTCATCCCATCCATGTCATCTCACTTACCTATCAATCTATCTACCTACCTACATATCTAAACTACTATCCATTCATCCATCCATCTCCACTGCAGTTGAACTCACTCTAGATAGAATACTTCTTTCGATTCTCGTGGTGCAACTTCCCTCATAAATCTGTCCACGGCCAATCTCCAGTTATCCTCCCCATCCTCAACTTAACCACTTCGCTCGCTATCAACCACTGCTGTTATTGACCTCTTTGTTATTTCCTTGAACTCATCTTTCTCTATCCTTACTTCAAGTCTTCGCTATCCTCCCCCCATATATCCTTTCCCTTACGTCTCCGACCGTCTTTCGCTATCTCCTCTCGACGCGCCATTTCGAATCTTCAGATGATCCTACATTGATCCTACATCGATCCATTCCACTCCTCTTTTAAGCACGCGCAACTTCTCAGACCGATCAGAATGGCGATGCTGACGGAACATCCGATCTTACCCTCCTCCACCTCACCAATGCCGACCATGTACGAACAAGACATAGATAGCTTCATCAACCTCGACCAACTCACCTACACATCCGCAGAACCCGCTCGTCCGAAAGCGACTTTAGTCAGCCAGCCAGCTCTTTCCAGCGCAGATCTCAGCGCCAACAACGTACAAAGCGCGGGCTTTGCCGCCAACACCCATTCACCCATCGCTTTTCAAGGTCCTAGCCACCAATATGACGAGCACAAGCAGCAGACCGGTCTGCCGCCAGGGGCGCTGGCCCATGCAATGAACTTCAACCAGATGGCCGGCATGGGATTCGGGACGACAGCGACTCCTGCCTTCCCCATGAATGGCGATGTGTTTGCCAGCAGCCACATGAAGCGCGAGGACACTTCCTTCGATTTCAACAACATGTCTTCCCGCAACCCTTCCGAAATGGACCTGGAGTCTGACGGCATGGGTGCGGTTCCTTACTACTTTTCACCGAACCCCAGCAAGAGCCAATTCGTTGATCCGAACGCCCTTGGAGGACATGAGGTTGTTCCCGCCGGCCCTTCCACCCAGGTCGGTCGCATGTATCCGGGAATGCACCAGCAACAAGCCGCGATAGCGAAGGCTGCCCAACAACAGAAACAGCATGAATTGCTTCGCCAGCAGCAGCAGCAGCAGGAACAGCTTCAGCAGCGCCGGGTAGAAGAGCAGATGCAACAGACGACAATTCCCCCGGGCCTTCCACAGAACCAGGCTCCTCCCGTCACCAATCATGTTGTCGAAGAACGTATCTCCCGCTTACTGCAGCAAATGAGACAGAATGCGATGGGCACTCTGGACGACTCACCTTCGCCTTCGTCGTCACTGCCCCAAATGGCGAAACTCAAGAAAGATGAACAGGACATGGATGAAGATGAGAGGTTGCTGGCCAGTGAGGAAGGGAAGAAGTTGAGCAGCAAGGAACGTCGGCAGCTGCGCAACAAGGTTTCCGCCCGCGCTTTCCGATCTCGCCGGAAGGGTATGCTGATATCAGTTCTATCAAAATCACAATCATTTGCGTTCCTTGATGCTAATTTGAATCGCTAGAATACATCGGCCAGCTGGAATCAGAGGTCGCGGCGCGGACTAATGAGGCACATGAATTACGTCTTCAAAACCGTGTACTCTTTGAGGAAAACGCTCGTCTCACCGACCTCGCCCGCATGCTCCTGTCTTCTCCACAATTCTCCCACTTCTTGGACGACATGGGTGTCAATGGCATGCCTGTCCCGGCTGTGGCTCAGTCTCAACCCCAGGCTCCTCAACCACAGCAACATCAGCAGCAACAACAACAACAACAACAACAACAACAACAACAACAACAACCACAAGCTGTGCCTCAGCCATCCTTGCAAACTACCATTCCTAGCGAGGCCATTCCGGCCCACAGCCTTCCCATGGCTCAGAATCCCCAGGTTGGCATGGTCATGGTTCCCAACCCAGCGATGGATGTTTCTGCTCTCGGCATGAACAATGGTGCGTGGAACACGGGTATCGACATGACCTATGCCAACACACCTGTCTTTGCTGTCCTGGAGGTTCCCGAGGGTCCTGCTCTCGACTCCGACATTCTGTCAGGGAAGACATCGACCTTGTTGAATACATCTTTGCCAGAGATGTCTTCCGCGAAGGACGAGATCCCTGTCATTGAACGGTCACCAGTCATGGAAGTGCAGAAAGAGGAGGCCTCCGTCGGCGTCGAGAATCTGGATGTCGACTTCGACGAGTCAGATCCCGCTTATGCCCTCTTCGCCGACGTGCCTGCCACTCACATGACTCCTACCTCCTCCCTGGAGTTCCCCTGCGCCCTTCAATCCGAAAAGTCTACCCCTACGTTTGAGCTGGTCGTCGCGGACGAGGCCAAGGCTACGGCGACCCGCTTTGTTTTACTTTGCAACAGTATGGAGGCCGCCTTCCAACGCGTCTCCATGATGACTTCCCATCTTTCGTGATTCCTTATACCACAAGATCGACCAGCTTTGTGACATTTCTCAGGTTCTGTAAATTTTGTTCTCGAAATCTGTCTTTGTCTAGAGCCGGACTAATAAACACCAATCTCCACCTAAGGATACCGACGTCCTTTTTTTTTTTCCTTTGTTATGACATTTACATTGTACATCTGCGTCAACGCAGTCCAACCCGCCTTCTTCCATTCTTCCTTATTTCATATCACTGTCTTTGTGGGTATTCTAGGCTTCATGGGAGTGTTTCGGTGTTCTTGAGGATGGGTCTTGTTTGGGAGATTTTGGGATTCGGAGAATCCTTCTGGGCAGGAATTTAGGTACCAACAATTGAGCTAGTCAAATAAATATAAAAGTGATAAACATTCTAGAGCTCGGAGGTTCCCTTCAAACAAATACACGGACATAAATGTAATAGTAGACAGTCTACTCCGGATGCAAAGTGCCAATTCTGTCACCGCCAAAGACAGCCGCCAAGATTCTGTCAGCGGCGAAACAAATCTGGACGACTTCTTCTTCTAGCCTGACTCACAGTCGTCGCAACAAACCCTCCTAATCAAAATCATTTCGTGGTAGGAGTATAGATTTGAGCAATCTCATTGAGTCCATCTTTTCCATGCGATGATTGCTTCTTTCCTCTCTTCCCCTCGTTGAAAGCTTTTCCTTCAACAGCCACATTGGCTTCCCTTCTTCTCTCCGGGAGGCTGTTCACCAGGGCCTTTCGCGGCACTGCCCCTTCACTGGCAGGTCCCTCCTGCCTGTACAGGGCTGCATCATCGTTCAAGGGGAATCGCAGCGCCTCCAAGAACAAATTTTGGCCTCCCAAGTCGGCATATCCGTCTCCATACCCAAGCCGTCACCGGCCCAGGCCCCTCGACATCCGTCCGATCAATCTCAACTCCTACGTTCTCAAAGCGCCCAAACTCGAGTTCAAGCGCGAGAAGAACTACGTTCTCTACGACCCCGCCGCACACAAAGACTCCGGCTTCGACCCCTCCCCCCATCCACCCACCGGAAGCAAACCCATGAAGTTCTACTACCAGGTCCTCACCACGCCGACCGCCGACACGCCCGGCACGGCGGTCATCCTCCAATTTCCCGACAAGCGGTACTTGTTCGGGCAGATCGCGGAGGGAACCCAGCGGGCGTGCACAGAGCGCGGCATCAAGCTCTCCTACCTCACGGATATCTTCCTCACCGGCCGGACGGAATGGGCGAATAATGGTGGTTTGATCGGGGTGATCCTCACGCTGGCGGACGGGCTGGCGAGCACTGCGAGTGCGCTGGAAACGGCTGCGCGGGAGAAAGAGGCAAATCGCCTGAAGCAAGGTGGGAAGCCTGCGCCGTCAGGGAAACAGCAGCAACCCTCGGCGCAGCCGCAGGATGGACAGGCGGAGAGTGAGAGAGGGTCGCTGACGATCCATGGCGGGAAGAATCTGACGCATACGTTGGCTACTGCGCGCCGATTTGTCTTCCGCAAGGGGATGCCGGTCTTCACGAAGGAGTATGACTCGGAGACACTGGCCAAGAATGCCACCGGTGCGGCCGACGCGGCCGATCCCTTCGAGCAGCCTACCTGGGCGGATCTCAATATTAAGGTGTGGGCCATGCCCATCCATCCTTCACCGCAGTCGCGAGTCGCATCGCCGCTGCCTCCGCGTCCGAGGAAGAGGAGCCATGAGGAGTTCCAGGAGCGCGATGTTGACAAGCCAGCTCTGGATCAGCACACCCAGGACCAGATCATGAGACAGTCTGTCATTTCGGACATGTTCAACTCGTCGTGGAGGATGGACGCGCTCGTTGAAACGCCGCTGGTCGAAGTTAAGATGCCCGCCGTCATGTTTGTGCGGAACCCGGAGACCAAGGACCTGGAGCCGTACAAGGGTCCTGCCCCTGGAAGCAACGAGCCTCTTCCGGACATCAAGGTTCTGGTACGCCAGCCCTGGCCAGGCGCTAACATCGAGAAGCTCCCTCCCACGACCCGGGGCCACAAGGCTGTTTCGTACATTGTACGCAACCACGACATCAGAGGCAAATTTGACCCCGTCAAAGCGAAGGCTTTGAAAGTCCGCGCAGGCCCCGACTTTGCGCGCCTGACTAAGGGCGAGAAGGTGCTTGCCGAGGATGGAACTACGGTCAGTCCGGATATGGTTCTTGGCCCACCACGCCTGGGCAAGGGGTTGGCCATCATTGATCTGCCTACTCCTGAGTACGTTGATGATCTTGTCGGTCGGCCGGAGTGGAATTCGCCCGCGGTCACTACGCAGCTCGAAGCCTTCATTTGGATCCTTGGTCCCGGAGTAGGCGACCATCCCCGACTGCGCGAGTTCGTCGCTCGCATGTCGCACTGCAAGCACACTGTCTCGAGCACGGACTACTGTCCCAACTACTTGGCGCTAGGCAGCGTGGCAGGTTCGTCTATCCGCCTGGCTCGATTGCGCAGGGAGAATTATCCCATTCCGTATCACGACAACCAGACTCTGCCACAACTGGGCACTTCGACATGCGACTCGGAGACAACCAAGGCGATGGTGCGGAACTCGCCGTTTGAATCAATCAAGCCCGGTCTTGTCATCGATATGGAACCCAAGTTCGAGCTGAGCCGCTCGGAGATCGTGCCGCTGTTCAATCCTGCGGAGACAATGCAGCGGATCCCTCGCTCCATCGAGCAGCGGGTGACGGCCATCCGCCGGCGGGTTCAGAAACCCGAATTCCAAAAGAAGCTGGCCGAGTTTCGCCAGGGCCTACCGGGCGCCAACGTGGAGATTGTCACTTTGGGCACTGGCTCGTCCTCCCCGTCCAAGTACCGGAACGTCTCCAGCACCCTTGTCAATGTTCCTGGAGTGGGCTACTACCTGCTTGACTGCGGCGAGAACACCCTGGGTCAGCTCAAGCGGATGTACGACCCGAAGAAATTGCGCGAGGTGCTGCAGAATCTCCGGATGATCTGGATCAGCCATCTTCACGCCGACCACCACCTGGGTACCGCATCTGTGATCAAGGCCTGGTTCCGTGAGAACTATCCGGAGGGTGTTCCCCGCACCACCACCATCGAGACCGATATGTCGAAGATCCTCACAGACAAGCGACTGTTTGTTATCTCCGAGGAAATGATGGTTGGTTGGCTGGAAGAATATGCGGGCGTGGAGGACTACGGCTTCGGAAAGCTGGTGCCTCTGGTGGCCTTCCCCAATTATGCCAACGGCAGCATTCGGACGACCCTCTCCTACCGCCACACTCGCGACGACGGGTCCTATCCCGGTTACGAACAGGACGGAAGTCGTCCGCAGATCACCACACTAGACTTCCACGACAAGAACTCTCCGCTCACCCCGCTCCTCCAGCGGGCCACGGGCCTCACCGATATCCTCACCACGCGTGTACCGCACTGCCGCGGCGCCATGGCCGTCTCGCTGATCTTCCCGGACAGCTTCAAGGTCTCCTTCTCGGGCGACTGCCGGCCGTCGAACAGCTTCGCGGCGATCGGCCGCGACTCGACCGTGCTGATCCACGAAGCCACCTTCCAAGACGACATGGCCATGTCCGCAGTCCTCAAAAAACACTCGACCACCTCGGAAGCGTTGGAAGTGGGCCGCCTGATGGACGCCCGCACCGTCGTGCTCACCCACTTCAGCCAGCGATACCAGAAAGTCGCCCACGTCGAGCAAGGCTCCGGTCCCGCATCAACAGCAACAACAGCACAGCACAACCCCCTACCCGTCCGCGAGAACCTTGATGTCCCAGACGACGAAGCCGAAGCCGAAGCCGAAGCCGCACCACCAGCAGCCTTCAAACCCCAACCCCAGTCACAAACCCTCAAGGCCCCCGTCACCGCCGCCTTCGACTACATGCGCATCCGCGTCGGCGACATCCCCATCGCGCAGGCCTTCGCCCCCGCCATCGAGAAACTCTTCGAGATCCTCGAGCGCGCCGCCGCGGAGGAATCCGCCAAGCACCGCAAGGTCCGCGAGGCCGCCGACGCGCTCGCCCGCGAAAAGAAACTCAAGAAGAGGGCCAAGGGCGGGGCTGCCCCTGCTCCTACCCCTGCTGCGCCAGCAGGGCAAGCCATGGACCTCGATGCGGATAAACCGTCGGTGTGGAGCGCCAGCGAGAGCGAAAGCGGGTGGACGACTAGCGGCGATGAAAGCGTGCGTTCTGGACGTGGACGTGGACACGGACGCGGACGCGCGGGGAGTAGCCCGCGCCGCTTGAGTCCGAGTATTCGGACCAAGAGCGGTGATGCCGGTGCCGGTGCCGGTGCCGCGTGAGGCGTGAGGCGTAAGGCGTGAGGGATATCAGTTCGACGTGTACATCTACATAACATAAACATTGTCTACACTCGACGTCGAGAGTATACAAGTATACACATAAAACATCCAGGTATAGATAGAGTATGGAGGCCGCGTATCAGCCGCTGGTACATCGTCCGAGCCGCAGTCCGAGTCAAAAAGTTATATAGATAGATAAATCATCCACTCTACAGACGTCCACATCCAGAGTTCCCACACCCATATCCAGGTAGAAGCTTAACCTCCGGCCGTAACAAACGGGAAATAAAAAAGAATTTATTAAATATATATAATCAAGTTAATTAATTACACCAACTAAACTTCCCACTCCCACCCCATTTCCGAGTCTAGAACCCCGCGACACTCTTCTCCATATCCCCCTTCCCATACAACCCCTCGCCCAGATTCTGCACGCACTCGCTCGCCCAGCTGCGCGGCGTGTACTTGTCCACGATCTCCTTGAAGGCGGCCAGGGTGCAGAACGTCTCGTCGCCGGGGAGGTGGTTCTCGGGCTTGGCGGCGCAGCCGGGCACGCGGACCGGGCGGTCGTTGTAGCGGATGCGCACGTAGTGCTTCTGCAGGGTTTGGCGGGAGGAGGCGGGGAGGTCGGCGAGAGGGGTGCGGTCTGTGGTTGTGGGCGTGGTTGTGGTTGAGCTGAGGAGGGAGGAGAGGAGGCCTGATTGGGTGGAGGGGGTAGATTCAGCGGTGGAGTCGGCGGCGCGCGAGAAGAGCTCGACGGCGATGGAGGACGTGAAGGGCGGCCAGCGGTCGTCGAAGGCGCCCACGCTGCCCAGGATGGCGGCGAGGGTGGTGTCGTGGCAGCCGCTCATGGCGAACTTGATGGCCTGGCCGGGGTGTGTGCCGGAGGCGGAGGCGGAGCGCTCGCTGCGCCAGCCGCCGTTGACGGCGGCGTTGACCATGCGGTCGACGACGTCGCCCATCAGGGCGCCAACGCCGAGTTTGCGGTATTCCCTGCTCTCCGCGTAGCCGGCGAACCACTCGTCCACTGCGATGTCGTTGGTGTACTCGCGGGCTTTCTTGTCGTAGAATTCGGCGGGGAGCTTGGTGGCCGGGCCGTGGGCGTCTGTCGCATTGATCGTGTCGTTGATGCCGGACAGCCGGGGGTGGGAATCGACGCCGACGCGGGGAGAGGCCTCGGGCATCCATTTGGACCAGAGGCTGTTGAGGTAGTCCATCTGTTCAGTCTCGTTCCCTGTATTTGTCCAAGGACGGGGTGTGTTAGACCAGGCGGCAAACTCTCCTCAGGCATCAAGAGTGCAGTAAGGGAAGTACGTACATCGCTTCGCTGCGCGGTCGGCAAATAGTCTGGCCAGTTGCCTGAATCGTCGACAATTGCCCTCGTTGGGGAAGAGTGTCTCGTCAGACACGGAGCGCCCGACAATCACCGGAGGGGGGAAGTCTTGCGTGCGCGCGCTGGCAGGATACATGCCCCAGAACGCCTGTTGGAGGGACTCAAGGGCTCGAGGGATAGGCGTCGCGCGAAGATACATGTCCTCCGTGTCCGATTTGATCTTGGGCATGAAGCCGAGCTGATCGACATACAGATGTCTCATGCGCTGACCCAGCGCAAACGTGGTCTCCCGCCCTCGGTCTGTCAATTCACCATGCTGGCTGTGTTCAGGCCGAGCGCCAGTCAGCAAGTCTCACTTCCCGACAATATCTCTGCGCAAAACTCTGTGGAAAAAGGAAACTTGCCAGATGCCCTCGATCTCCCCCGTCGCACCCACAGCCACGACTGCCTCGTCTTTGTCGCCAAAGGCCTCCATTTTCCTGCGCCATTGGAATCCATTCCACGAGGAGAGATCTTTTTCGCTGGCCGCCATCTGAATCATCCGACGCGCAACGTTGCAATACGGCCAATCTGTATGCGGGGAACCTGTCAACGGTGCTCAAGCGCTTCGGGACGAGAGGGGGGGGGGTGGGTTCCTACACGGCGCAAGGCCAGCCTTGGGAGGTTGTCAGCTCGATATGTCACACATTGTATGGGCTCAGGGCGGTCATATCGCTCACATTCTGAAATCGCGAAGAAACCGGTGTCCGTTCACCTGGAATTGGCTGTTCAGTGGATGTGACTCCGAAGATGGTCTGGGGAGGGCACCGATAGCGTACCGTGACGCAGGAACTAGTTAGTTGCAACAAGAATCATTAGCAAGAGGTCAATTGCACCAAAGCCGTAGAGATCCGAGCCTTCCACGTACCACCTGCACCAATTGAAGCTTCAGGTCTTCGGGATAGAGCTTCTCGAGCTCTTCCTTGGAGTAAGGCGCACGGGGGACAAGAGTGGTCATTGTTACCGCCCCTCACGAGCCAGTGAAGAATAGACTGAGGGAGAAACTCGAGAATCTCCAGGTTTCCAGAGACGAATTCTGACAAGATGGAAATACAACAACAATTGCTTGACTGAGCAAGGATAGATGCGGTGACGGAGACGAGTCGTTGACTATCAAACTATTAAGCTGTCCGAGAGGCGGTGGAAGACGCAGCGGCCAATGAATGAATGGATTGCAGAGGGTCATCCATGATGATGATTGACTCTTGGGCGTCATGGAGGAGTCGCTGTAATGCTGTAAATTGAATTAACTAGCCGGTGTGTCTTGAATGTCTTGCCTGAATGAAATCAGAAGAAGAGATGGTAGTGGTAGGTATCGTTGAATTTCGCTATCTCAGTTCTGGATTCCTCTACCTATCTTACTATTACTACGTACTATACAAGACTTTAAAGGATATACATCTAGTCTATCTTTATCGATCTTTCCCTTCTCCATGAAATAGTCTATTCTATCAAGTGCAATCCTCGTAGTCTAGGAATCGTTCCTCGACCCCCTTCACCAAGATGCTGCAATCGCCGCGCCCGCTCGAAGGAGTGAATTTACATTTGCGCCATACTCGTCTTTTCCGCCGTGGAGTCCACGGCCCTGATCCTCCTTCAGTCCCAGGATGAGGCTTTACCTAAATAGCCGGCAAAATTCCTTCACCGTCAGGATATCAACCCAGCTCAAACCCCAATCAAACGCAAACGTGACGACGCTGACCCCCACACCGAGATGCATGACATACATAACCAAACGCCGTGGTATAGCACTTGAGCACGGCAGCGAGCCGCTCCTGATCCTTATCGCCAGCAAGGATGCTTTGGATGGCGGTGACTCCCGTACTGAGCTGAGGATGGCCGGCTTGACGCCGGTCTCGGCGATGTGCTTCTGGACCAGGTAAGTTCAGCGCAGAGGTCATGGCTCCAACTGCCCACACCGTAGAGGATCTGGTACCTGATTCAGTTGGAGGACGACGTCGTGGGCTTGAGCATGGACGATAATGGTCAAGGCGCTCCCTCTCAGATTCCAGGGCACGTAATACCCCGAGATCTCAGCTGCGTTTTCGAAACGGTAGGATAATAGTTACAAAGGAGAGAGGAGAGAAAAGAGAGACAGGAAGGTGACAATGAACTCATTGAACGCCTTGCCAACTGGATTCTGAGAGTCCGGTTGTACTATCCCCGGGGTCTGAATACCGGTGGAATCCCCTTTTGGTTAAAGATCCCTCGGGCGAGGGCTTGACCGGATTCTGAGAGTCCGACCTGATTAGTGAAGGTGAGTACTACATGGCAGACAAAGAGGTGTTGAGGACAGGGGATTCTGGAATATATAAGAAGATTTAAGGGTGATAGACGTTAAGTTTCTTCACTAGCTGTTTCAAAACAAGCAGTAAAGGGTAGATAGCTGTAAGTTGCTTGAAAGCAAAAAAAAAAAAAATAGAGGTGAGAGGGAGAGTATAATACAATGAATCAGGGGTTTCCAGAATCGCAGCGAACAAGATGGTCATGAGGGGAGCTAAAAAATGGCTCTCTCTCCTCAAAGGGAATGAGGTACTTGGTTGAGGAATGAAAGAGCCCTTAGATAGTTATCTAGCAGTATCGTGATGGGCGGATGGCAGGAACCAAGCACCCGGTCAACGATAGCATGGGTCGTGGTGGTGGTAAGATTTGTCGAACATGAACAAAATGTCTTGGTCCACCTAAGTTGACCGGACAGCAGTTTCTGACCGACTATTGCTGTTTGGCCAGCTTTGCTTCGTGATCCCGCTTCATGGTGTTGAGATGATCCCCAAGCACTCGAACCAGCTTACGTCGTGGGACTATGTGGAAGCTGAGGCCTTGAAGGGAATGCAGCCAATATGCCCAGACAATCGGTCCGCCGCATCCGACCCGATTCAAAGCTGCATCGGCCAAGGCACGCGAGGTGGGCGTGAACAGGTTGACTTTGACATCATTGCCCTTGCTCTGCGTATTGCCCACTCGCAACCCAAGGACTTCCACATCTTTCCCGTCGATCGTCATCTCAGCCTGCAGCGACCGGGTGAACGAGTCCACGAATCCCTTAGTACCACTGTAGACACTCAGAGTAGGCATCCCATAGGCCGCTGCCGACGAGATATTGAGAACCAAACCGGGTCCGTTTCGCTCGAGGATCGGGAGCAGTTTCCGTGTGATTTGCACCATGAAAGTATTGTTGAGATTGATAGTCGCGTTCGCCTGCTCAAACGTGAAGTCGGCCAATCGCGTGAACAGTGTGACCTCTCCTCCAATATTATTGATCAGAACCGTAAGAGGGGTGTCACCGATTTCCTGCACGATGGTATCGAGATCTTCGTGGTTGTTCACCGCGTCAAAGACGATGATCCGGACATTCGCGTTGGGATAATCGGCCAGAAGCTCTGCCTGCCTCCGCAGGAGTTTGTCGCGGTTCCGGCCATGCAGAAACACATTGAAGCCACGCTTGCAAAGTTCTTGCGCGAACCCGAATCCTATCCCGTCGGTGGAACCGGTCACCAGAGCCCAAGCATCTTTCCCAGGGGGGTTGTAACGCGGAAGACCGGAAGGTCGGAGATAGCAATACAGGTGTCGTGCAACTTGAATAGCGAGGAAACAGGATGTGGCAGCGCCAACGTAGGCAAGCGAGGTCGTCAATTTCTCCGGTAGATGCATCATGGTAGGGAAGTTATCAGCGAGACAGCTTCGTTCCGAGAACCCAGGTTGCGCTCGTCGGGGCTCGGGAGATCTGTTCTATCGGTGTCTCTTGAAACAAAGTCAGTTCTTCCACAGACCTGGACATTCATGAATCAAAATCAAATAGTCCTGAGCTGGGTGGTAAGAAAATAATCGCATCGCGTTGTGGCCAAAAATGGGTCAGCGTCGAGTCTCCAATCTGACTCTCTCCAAGCCACATTCGGAGTTCGGTTGATGGGAACAGTTGCACTCGGGAGATGAGGTCATCCATCACGGAATGGCAGTGTTTTCCTATCGAGAGAACCAGCTGGTTGAGTCTTCAAAACCATCGAATCTGCATCGGAGAGCTGCCTCTTTCGACTATCCACAGCATGACAAGCCAGTCTTTCACGTCGCATGCAGAGGCGGAAGATCAGTAGAGAGTTCTTCTCCGATATTGTATTTATTGCCAAGACACCTTTTCCCCAGCTTATTCTGGACGACCAACCCTGTGCTGCTTCTTTGATGGTCTCTCCTGTTCAATCGACACTGGAAATTTTTTTTTTCGTCTGGTCAATATCCCAATCTCAGTTTCTTTGGGGTTTCTATCTGAATCGCTCCAGTTCCAGTCTTGGAGCGTAGTCCCTCGGATCACTCTGTATCTCTCCGGTCCAACAGAATCCGCTTATCTCTCACCTGTTCCACCACCAGATTGAGGGAGTAGGACACTAGACACTAGGACTACCCACCCCCCTCTTATGTGAATGCGCTTTGATTACCATCTCGGTATATCATCCGTGCTTTCGGCTTTGGCTCGTTCCAATTGCGCATAGCCATGATCCCAAGGTGACCAGCTTCTGCTTCATTTGCTGGTTGCGCGCTGCCGATTCCACGTCTACAGATTGAATACCCTCAAAGTCTGGTGACTGTGTGATACAGTGAATGTCTTTCCGTATCAATCTATAATAATAAAGGTTTCGGTAGAAGATCACGGTCCTCCGTCCCTCAAACGCGCCTTCAACGAACTTGAGCTTCTTACACCAGTGTTGAGATCGATCCTTGGTAAGCACCTTATTCCTTCGTTGCAAGATACCATTTGGGTTAGCCAGCCTCTTACTCGTTCCATCTAGAAAGTTGAACTTGTGTCTGGGTGACAATCGACAAGATTTTGTGACAGACTGCCATGGATGTAAGACAGCCCATCAACTCAAGCGCATATCCCCCTTCAGGTTCTAGATATGCCAGAAGTCTTGTCTTCTTGGCGACGGACTTGTTCTTCCATAGCAATGAATGGTTCTCTCGGCATGGCGCTATCCTAAGGTGACGCCTACTTTTCTTATAGATCCATCAGCAATTGGGCCCGCCCGCACAGGCAAAGTCGGATCATCTCGCCACGACCAAGCCCCAAGATGCCAAACCGCGCCTGCTCCTAATGGGACTTCGCCGGTAAAGCCCTGTTCTATTCCCACTATTATGTGATGAAGATGTTGACTCCATACAGGAGCGGCAAGTCGTCCATCGCCAGTGTTGTTTTCCATAAGATGCCCCCGAACGAAACCCTTTTCCTTGAGTCGACGACTCGCATCCAAAAAGATTCAATTCAGTAAGTGGAGAAGCTTGAATTGGTCTTCCAAGCCTTGCGCTTACCCCTGCTTCTAGCTCTTTCATGGACTTCCAGGTCTGGGATTTCCCCGGTCAGCTGGAGTACCTCGAGCCATCGTTTGATCTCGAAGATATCTTTGGCAGCCTTGGTGCGCTGGTATGGGTTATCGATGCCCAGGATGACTATCTGGACTCTGTGGCTCGCCTGAACCGCACCATTCTGACAGTTCAGCAATACTACCCCAACATCAATATTGAAGTCTTTATCCACAAGGTCGATGGTCTTTCAGACGAATATCGCACAGATACCTTCCAAGACATAGTGCAGCGAATCTCAGATGAGCTGAGTGACGCGGGTTACGAGAACGCTCCGGTGCACTACTACCTGACCTCAATCTACGACTACTCGGTCTTCGAGGCATTCAGCAAAGTCATCCAGAAGCTGATCCCGAATCTCTCAACTCTGGAGAATCTGATCAACACGCTCGCCAATAATTGTGGATTTGAAAAGACATATCTCTTTGACGTTCTGAGCAAAATCTACATTGCTTCTGACACTCGTCCGGTAGACATGTCGTGTTATGAAATGTGCTCGGACTACATTGACGTGATTGTCGATGTCTCCGAGCTGTATTCGTGGGACCACCCGGATCGCAAACCTAAAGGAGATCAAATCCAGGAGGCAGAAAGCCACGTTGTCCTACACGATGAGACCATGATACATTTGATGGAGATGAACAAGTATGTACTGGGTGCTTGGATCTCTTTGATTTTACCAGATGTCACTGACTCCCAAAAGATATTTGTGCCTGGTCTCCGTGATTCGAAATCCAGAAGCAAAGGAAAAGAAGGGGCTCATAGACATGAATTGCCGTACGTTCCAGGATGCACTGAATGATGTATTTTCCCGCAGTTGGGAGCAACATGAGGACGCAGATCAAACAGACGAACCACAGACACAACCTCAGCTTGTCGAGCCAGGGCCGAGAAGCTGAGCACTAAGCAATAGTGCATGACATTCGAGGCATCGGCTTTGGGAAATGATCGGGATGACTGTATGACAAACTCAGGGAGGGTGACAAACCGATTTGCAAAGATTATCTGACTATGAAGCACTCGTTACTGCAATCTTTTCATACTTAACTCTGAACGAATGAATACCATACCAATAATTTGATCGAAGCCGATATTGAGTCAAGAGCTTAAGGCACCAAGGCATCGACCTTCCGGACCCACTTTTATCTTTTCTCTTTTTTCCTTTTTTTCTTGAGCTCCAAAAGTTCATCCCAACTTCTTCTTCCTCTTCTCTTCTTCACTCCCAAGTCTCAACAGATCCCACAATTCCAACTCCCTCGTCAGAGGGCTTCTTAAGCATAATGTTAGCTTGACTATACGACTAACCTCGAATATAGCAGCTCATCGTCGTCCTCAGTCCTCACATCTGGGTAAGTACATGTATTTTCTCGCGTCTTTCTCCAGATGAGAATCCTCCTCTCTCTCTCAAATGATGAAAACTTTTTCCACATTCGCAGTTTCCACGCTAGCCGTCGCTGAGAACCCATCTTAGACGTGCTCTGTGCGCAATTTCTTCCTTGGATGTCTGACTTTTTTTGGCACTTGCCTTTGATATTTGCAACATGATCGTGTGTGAACGGTTGCTAATGATTTCTCAGTCTAGGTTTATTCAACTGACAAATGTGATGCCCTATTCTCGTCCAGAGTATCCTTCGTCGTGATTAGCCTCTATATAGTCGACGACACTGGGTTGTTAGGATAGTACATTGAGGAAGACTTGTCGAGAGTACTGCATGGATCAGTGTTTTTTTTAAGCATTATCCTCTATGGCATATAGCTTGATGATGCAAACAATATCGTTTTCTTTCAGTCGAGTTTTGTGGCTCATGGAATTGCACCTAGCCATTCCTGCTCCTTAAGGCCCACAAATCCCTTTCCACGTAATTTAATCAGACATATTGAGACAAGCCGACCATCCTAAACTGTAGTATTGTAAAAGTCAACGAAATTTCGATGTCTACCATTCAAAACGGCAGCTGTTTAGACCTGGTCACACCATGTTCCAGTCAAACCGGGCGGGGAACTGCAAGTCCATCATGTTGTCTGTCCTCAAGACATCTGATCCAACTCCAAGTCACCGAATCTTTTGCACCACACAAGAACAAGAACCTCGAATGCCGTTCACTACCATCTAATCACTTCTAACCAGAACCATGTCCGAACTCCGCCAGAGACAAGTTCCTCCAACATCCTCCTCGCCATCCAGCAAACCCCCCAAGTCGAAAGCACCGCGACGAAGCAGCCATGCCCGCAGCAGCATCGGCATCCTCGACATCATCCGCGTGCTGGTCACGCTGGTCGTCGCGTCCTGCGGCCTGTCCTACTACATGACCGGCGAGTCCGTTCTCTGGGGCTACCGGCCCTGGTTCACCAGATGGCCATTGCTAGTCCGCTACATTGTAAGCCTCGCTCACGGCCCAAACCAAAACCCAAACCAACACCCCCCCAGGAAGAAAACAAAGCCCACTCTAACATCTCCATTCCAGCAAGGACCCCTCGCACTCACGCCCGCCCAACTAGCCCTCTACAACGGCACCGACGCCTCCCTCCCCATCTACCTCGCCGTGAACGGGACCATCTTCGACGTCTCGGCGAACCCGCACGTCTACGGGCCCGGCGGCGGCTACAGCTTCTTCGCGGGCCGCGACGCCACGCGCGCCTTCGTCACCGGCTGCTTCCAGGAGGACCTGACGCACGACCTGACCGGCGTCGAGGAGATGTATATCCCGCTGGAGAGCGAGGAGGACCGGGCGCTGGGCAGCGGGGAGCGGAAGAATCGCCGCGCGCAGGACGTGAGAGATGCCTGGGCCAAGGTGCACAGGCAGGTGGCGCACTGGGAGAACTTCTTCCGTAACCATAAGAAGTACTTTGAGGTGGGGAGGGTGGTGGGCTTGGAGGAGCTGCCGACGGAGAAGAGGGAGTTGTGTCGCGCGGCGGCGCAGCAGCGGCCCAAGAAGCGGCAAGGGAAGTAGAGGGATCTTTGAGGGGATACTACGAGCGGGTATTTTATAGTGGTTGCGTGTGTCGCTCGCTGTGTTACTACAATTTCCGAACTTTCGATACTGTATCTACGCCAAGGGTGGCTCCATCCATGCGGAAGAGAGACGAGATGGAACAGATTTTGAGATCGATTTTCAAGTTAAATTTACTTGAGTTTCCACACCAGAATACATCATTCGCCCAGCCAAAGTTTCCGAATTTTATAGTGATATCATTCGTAGCATAAAAAAGGGGACCGCGAGATTTGTTCGTAGGAAATCGTTTACTCAGCGGCGACGGCGCGGGCTGAAGTACACTATTAGCAACTGACACCGGGGAAAAAAAAGAAATCGAAGACCGGAGAGTCCGCGCAGAGGAAAAAACGTACTGTAGATGGTCATCTTGGAGTGGCCAACGACCTTCTTGATCTGTCCCTTCTCCTCGAGATCAGCGAGGGCCTGGCGGGCCAAGCTGCCGTTGATCTTCAGACGGTCGACAAGGGTGGCGACGGTGATGAGGCGGTAGGACTGGACATCCTTCTGGAGTCTCTCGGCGGTCTGCTTCTCAAGGACGACGGCGTGCTGGGCCTTGTCCTTGACTGTACGGCAAGAAATCAGAATGTCAGCAAAATCGTGGTTCTCATATCGCCCGACTGTGTTGAGGGAATCTCCATGTTTCTCGCAGCAAGCTCTTTTCTCTTTCTCTCCGACTCAAAAAAAAAAAAAAAACCGCTGCTGGAGTGCTTCCAGCCCGAAAGAAAATAATCGCTCGATGGAGATGGAACGGTGCTGGGTGATGACGGGGAAGACGAGATGGGGATGTGCGTACCCTTGCCCTTCGACCACTTCTTCTTTTGCTTTCCTGCGCCGGCGGCCTTTTAAAAAATCGTTAGTCTTCCCTCACATTGTCCGTTATCTGCTGAGAAAACGTGCTGCCAATACATACCATTTTGACTGTCTGATGCGGATGTTCGACGGAAGAGCTACACACACAAAGCGTCGGCCAGAAGTTTGAATGCCCAAGTGCGAAATTCGAGTGGGGGATGACTCAGCATCACGTGGTTCTAAGCCCTAAGCCCTTTGTTGCTGATGCAGCTCGGTTAGCATGGGCGGCTACACGGGCCGCGATTGGTCGACTGGAAGTATACATCCTCTCCTCCAGGACATCATCGGTGCTAACTGCTAAGAGTACGACTAGCTAGCGGACGACAGAGTAGCGTGAAGTGAGGAGAATGGTCGAAATTAATGTATTTATAGGTCGGCCCATTTTTATTATTTCGGGGGCCCATGCGAAACAGCTCGGTTGAACAAAAGGCACATGGAAATCGTCAGGTCGTCAAGATACCTCTATTAACAGACTCATTTGCTCATATTCGAACCCTGGCCAATGGAAGGTCTGTTGCTCACTGCATTTAGGACGACGAATTGTTGATTTTCGTCCTCCAGCGACAGATGGCCAAGCACATACTCCTCGGGCGTCCCTAACCACACCAATGAAACATCGTCTTGGGCTAGAGACACCCATCTCACGTCATACTTCCCATTCTCGCTCCGTGATAATGGGACAGCGACGATTGATGGAGGCCTATCAAGAGACCAATGTCGTACGGCAGGCACCGCACCGTTGGCCGTGGTGATAAGGAGCTCTGTTCTTGACGGGTGCCATACCACTTGTCGAACCGGATGTTCGTGTACCAGAGTCGAAACAAGACTAGAAGTCGTCTGCAGATCCCATATCCAGACGATGTTGGGCCGGGTCTGATCCACGGTACTTAAGAAAGCGCCGTTGGCGCTGAATGTCATGATAGAAGATCCCCGGGGTGGGCCAGAGGATTCTGAGATCATGCTAAATGCAGTAGACGTAGGTAGCTCCGCGTATCCAAGTCTCCCGTCGGCGGTAGAAAGTCTCTCATGCCAGGCATTTGGTGAGGGCTCATCGATTGTATAGACATGTGAGAGCGATATTGAGCAAGAGAACTAGAGGGTGATTAGCAAAGATCGTGACACGACAGCTCGAGCTTTTGATAGCCAAGAAAAGCCAAGACAAATGATACTCACTGTCTTTGTCTTCAGGATATCAATTGTGCCATCGATTTTTCCAATCGCTAGCGAATCTGAACCACCACTGTGGGTAGTTGTTGGACTCCATTCTATACTTCGCACTCCAAGATCGAGGACACTGTCCACTTCTGGCAGACCATTATAAGTTCGAAATAGATGCCCATCGGCGGTATATATCAGAACTTTGGTGCCTGCACTTGCCGCATCCCAGACAGCTATCCATTTTCCATCGGGGCTCCATTTCAGGCCTTGAGCATCTGCTGTAGGAAGATTGACCCTTTTGATGAGCTCGTATGACCGAAATTCATGGATCGTCAATAGATCAGATGTTTCTGGTTTTAGTAAAATAGCAAACTGCCGTGTTTTCGGTCGATAGCCAAAGCCATTATAATGTGAGAACTTAGGGGCCTTGATAACCTGGCTTCGACCGCTGTCTAGCGCATGGATTGTTAACTTCGTATTCCACGAGTGGAAAACAATAACTTCATTCTCGTCTCCGCCGAAATCGATAGTAAGAGCACCTGGTTCGATGTTTTCGACCTCCGCATGTAGCTGCAGGGGTTCGAGGTCCCAAACCAGAATGCGCGCATCGCTAGCACAAAGGAGACGTCTTCCTACGCCCTCCCCTTGGCCTTCAATCGCATCTGACTTATTTGCTGGACTTGGCCGGGTGAATTTCAAGAACCTCGATGGCGTGTCTTTGAGCTTGACGATCTGCACCTCCTGGAAGTTTGAAGAGAGAGGGTTGAGGTGGACGGTGAGATGTTTGCCATTGAGCTGGGCTGCGTATACTCCATCCTCTGATAGATCGATGGGCAAGGAACCTATCAATGAAATGAGCAAAACTCCTTACCATTAGTTTCTCGGCACACTAGACTTGCCTCCGGCTCCTGTAGAGTCCATAGTGGTCTTGACGAGCAACACGGCAAGACAGAAAGTGATACGATCAAATGCTGCAGGGGCTGGTCAAGAAATTTATATATCAATTACTCTGCAGCGATCTCCAAATGCTACACAAATTCTTCAAGGCTGTCAAACGAAAGGCCTTAAGAGGTAAACATGGCTTTGTTTCTTGACTTTACCACTGATAAACAGCGCCAAGCTTGATATTGGATGACATAAGCCAATGCTCGTAACTTGGACTTCAACGTGTATCCCTAGGTAATGGAGTCCATTCGAGAGATGATTGTGAGACGAACAGCCTATACAATAACTATAAGCACAATGTGTGAATCTCAATTATTTTCAGATTTTATAAGCCCACTTTCCATCATTACTATCACCCACATACAAGGTTGTCTCAATATGGAAACCCCAATCTGATAAGATAAGCGGATATCGAGTTGTTCCGTTCCGACCACCTTTGCCGTCCGAAAAAAAAGGTCAACTGGAAATCGCATAATCCCAGGTTGAACCCCCTCTAGGTCACAATACCATACCGAATCCTCGGTTCTTTTTTTTTAGCAGCAATCATAGGGATTGCACGCTTTTTTGCCCCGATTCTGGGGCGGCTCAATTTGGATATTCGGCGTTCAATACTTGCAAAGATGGCAGTTTCAGAGACACAGCCTGCTCCGCAACCCAGTGCTGAAGCGCAAATTGCGCCTGTGAGCGCGAATAAAGAGGCCCGGAAGAAGTTGTTCGGCAGGGAATTCTACGAAAGTATAGGAAGCCCCAAGTATATTGTGGCGCCTATGGTGGACAGATCCGAATTTGTATGAGCTATTCGCGCATCCTATTGCTGCCATATCGCATCTTGGACTAACATATCATCTTGAAGGCCTGGCGCATGCTTACCCGTTCGTTTATGCCTGCTGATGACCCGAAACCGCTTCTTTCATATTCTCCTATGTATCATGCGCGCTTGTTCCGCGAGCAACCGAATGTCCGCTGGCAACATTTCCAGCCTACCCGCGCGGGAATCAACAAGAATGATAACTCGTCGTACCTTGATGGCAACCCAGCAATTGACAGACCGCTCTTCGTACAGTTCTGCGCCAACGATCCCGATGATTTTATAGAAGCTGCGCGTCATGTGGCACCCTATTGCGATGCTGTTGATCTCAACCTTGGATGCCCCCAGGGTATTGCTAGGAAGGGCCACTACGGAGCCTTTCTGCAGGAGGACTGGGATCTGATCTACAAATTGATCAACCGACTTCACAAGGAACTCTCTATCCCCGTAACCGCCAAGTTCCGCATACAGGAATCGAAGGAAAAGACGTTAGAATATGCGAAGATGATACTGTCTGCTGGTGCGAGCATCATTACCCTTCACGGGCGTACCAGGGAGCAAAAGGGTCACAACACTGGATTAGCCGATTGGAGCTACATTCGGTACTTGCGCGATAACCTGCCGCCGGAGACGGTTATTTTCGCGAATGGCAACAACCTCAACCACGATGATCTCGAACGTTGTCTTGAGGCAACAGGCGCGGATGGTGTGATGAGTGCTGAGGGCAACTTGTCTGATCCCGCCATCTTTAGCAAACCTCCACCTGTTGGTACTCATACTCGCGAATACTGGAGAGGCAAAGATGGAAAGGGTGGATATCGGATCGATGCGATCGTCCGCCGATATCTGGACATTATCTATAAATATGTCCTAGAAGTGCCAGTCCCTGAGCGAAAACCCCTCTACCTCCCCTCGGATCCCAAGGAACCTGAAGAGCTGTCGCAAACAGAATCCGGAGAAGCAGGTGGTGAGGACGGTCCTCCACGGAAGAGACAGAAGCGTGAAAAGTCCAAGAGACACATTTCACCCAGTCTCGGGGTGATGCAAGGACATCTCTTCCAGGTCCTTCGTCCCATGGTTGCGAAGCACACAGATGCGCGAGATGCGCTTGCAAGGTCCCGACCTGGCGACATGGAGGCTTTCGAGCATACCTTAACGCTTGTTGAACAGGCAATCAAGAAGGGACTTGACGAGTACGAGCAATTCCCTGAACGATTCGAAGAGCAACCCAGTGTCGAGCTGAAAGGCTCGAAAGCGACAATCGCAGAATATGGTAGGCCGTGGTGGGTCTGTCAACCTCACATCCGACCGTTGCCCGAGGAGGCCTTGGAGAACGGCGCTTTGAGACTCAAGAAAAAGGATCTTGTCGAGGAAGACAAGCCCAAGAATGGTTCAATTGAACCAACAGCGGCGTCGGACGAATCAAGGCCAGCTTCTCTCGAGCCTGTCGAGACCAAAACACAGTCGACAACCGACCGCTTGGTCAGTGGTTAATTCAATCGGACTTGATGAGCCGATATACTCCGTCTCTCGTCAGACTCTGGACATCGAAACCATGAAGTACCGTGCACATACTTGACGATTCTTTGCATAGCGTTCATCTTCCCAGCATACCATAGACATCTGTTTCCAACCATGTATCAATGCAAATTCAATGCGAAGCATAATGTTCATAGCATATATGCATGCAAGTGGTATCTTATCAATAGACTGATTCCCAAGCGCCCGAAACTCCAATCCCAGCCTAAAAGACACACCCATCAAACTAAAAGTCCAAAGCGAGCTGTGGAGCCATCTTCTCAAGATCCTCAACCTATATCCAACATCGTTAGCAGTGACCCCAAACCCTCACAGTCCCTAAAATCCAGCATCAACCAAAAAAAAAACACAAGAGGGAAAACAGCACATACCTCCAAAAACCCATCCCCAATCGGCATCCTGCCTCCAGAACCATCAATTCCCCCACCCAGCCCCTCAGCCCTCTCATACGCCGCTCGCGCCAGCGCCTCCCTCACAAAGATATCCACATACTTCGCAACAACAGTATTCGCATCCTTCGCCAGCTTCGTCTTCTCGCTCTTGAAATGATGGTGCAGTAACCGCGTCAGCAACTTCGGCGGAATCGCTGGCTCGCTCGACATCACATCCTCCCCGCCCTCGTTGTTCGTGATCTCCGCGAGTATATACTCTGGTTCTCCGGAGAGGGACCGCTCGCGCCCGCGACTGTCGGATTCCGATCCCGAGTCCGTTCCGGCGCCAGACTGCGATGCGGAATCGGAGACGGAGACGGACGCGGACACGGCAGGTCGCGGCGCGGCGGCTGCTTTCGAGCGGGAGGAGAATGCAGCGGGTTTGCGCGTGGACTTGGATGAGGACGCTGTCGCGTTCGCGGTGGTTTTGGATGCTTTTGCGGGTGGTTTTGTCTTCGACGATGAGGCGGTGGATGGCCCCGCGGCGCTGGTTGAGTCTCGCGGGCGGGGAGGATTGAATGGGAGGCGTCTGCGTTTCTGGGTATTTTGGCGCTCCGGTGGCATTTTTTCTGAATGTATGGAGAGTCCAATTGACTGCTCTTGTAGGTAGTCAACAGCAAGATGCTAATAAGATACGAGGATGGTGATAGTGATAACGCGAGCCGCGGCCGCAAACGCGTCATCACGTGATCTAATGTATGAACAGTCTGCTTCGATTTTCCCTCCTTTGGAGATGGCGAACCAATATATCCGTAGTGTTATTATGCTGTCTATTATTCTTGAATTTGCCTGGTTGATGCAAAGAGCGGTACTTTAGTTCCTGTTGAGGTGGATGGGATGTATATTTATATTTCTACTAGCTTTCTACAAGTCATAGAAATATATCAATAGAGCATAGGGAAAGCAAATAGCCTAGATATCTTCACAATACCACCAATTACCCCATTTACACAGAGTAAATTTAACTACATCAATTCTCATCTATCACAAGCAGGCTCAGTCATCATCCCTCACGAGGACTGACAACCGTAACCTCCAACCCAGCATCTTCCAACACCTTCCGGGATAGCGCCCAGTCAACTCCAAACAAGCCAGAGTTGAATCGACAAGACCACAGCTCACCGCTGAATCCGCCCAAGCCTTCCTCCGCGTGTAATTCAGCAATCTGACGCCTCATATCCACGACTGCAAGTTCGGTGTTTTGGATAATGACAGCGGGGGAACTGACTCCCCTGCCAAAACCCCGCGATGTGAACAGACAGATGATCCAGTGCTTCTTGTGACGTCCCATATGGTCATGTTCTTGAGGGGGGATGACCAAGGCAGTACCTTCTGGTAGTCGTACTTTTCTGGAGTTCCCTGTGAGGGATCCTTCATCTGGCACCGGGTTGACAGTCCTGTAGCTGGCTTTAGACAGGAGGTTTTGGCAGTGAGCTCTGTAAATTGTAAAAGCAGCAGGGTACTAAGTAAAGCTTAAGCATATCCTGAACCCAAGTAGAAATGCTATACCCCCAGAATAGTCTAGTTACCTTGTTCTTGAATGCTTGGGCGATCCCCTTGCCCCAAGACCCTTGACAATTGCAGGCGTCTGTGGAGGTGCGTTAGTATCATGGCATGTCTTAGCTGTCCATAGATTCCAGTATCAAGAGCATACGAATCAATGCTGCTCCATCTGGAGCGTCGAACAGATCACCTTCAGTCTCTGTTATTCTGCCATGTATTGGTGAATGAGCCATTTCAAGTCTATTTATGTTTCGCAAAGCAAAGAGCTGTGGAAGTAATTCGTGTGGAATAGTTTAAATCAAATATAGCGACAAGGCACCAAAAGGGTGAGTATTCAGCAAGCGTACAATTTGGTGATGATTTAAGGGGAAAGAAGGAGAGATCGTGAATGCCAAGTGATCAAATACTGCATTGAAGATAATAATGAAGGTAGGCTTCCAGTACCCATCAACCCCAAGCATGCCTTACGCTCAGGATGTTACCACAGAACAAGTGCCATCAATTTAAAACTACTGAACCAGTTGCACTAGACATCGCCTGTAATGGCACCGCTTCACCCTGCAAGTAATTCACAACCCTATGAATACCCTATGTTGCAAGAAAGCTGAGAGGAGAATAGACAATGGCATGGGCAGTATTACTGCACATCACCTATAGACCCAAGGTCTGAGAGTCGGTTGGAAAGAAAGTCTCGGAAGCTCTTAGACTTCTTAACAGTCTTGGACTTGCCTTCTTCATTGGAAACATCTCTGCTGCGGGATTCTTCCCACTCTGCCTTTTGACCGTTAAATCCTGGAGCCCACGAGGACGTAGTTTCCACGGACAAAGGGACGCTACTGATACTACTGGATTTCATCCTTCGCCTCATGGAACGTGAAATGGTTCGGAGAATACCCGTATCCTGATCTTCGGACTGGCGCTCTAGACGTGCAATTTCTCCCATCATAGTCACCCCGTTTGTAGCAAAATTCTCCTCGGAGACTGGGATGTATAAGACAACCCCCCGGTTTGGAGCAACTTGAAGGAGGTCTTGGAGGGCGGCTTGAATTAGAATCGTGTTTCGAAGGTTGGTGATAGGAGCAATGAGATACGGAAGTGCGAAGACCTTCATCAAGTATGCAGGAAGCGACAAATTGCCGAAGCAAAGACATGCGTCTTGTTGAATCGTGACCATCATGAAGGCATCAGGCTTTTGGTATATTTGAGCCAGGCGAAGAGTCAGATCAGATACAAGCTTGGAGTCGTCATAGCTGACCTAATAGTGTCATTAGCATAAGCGGCGAAAATGAAGCTTTGGAAGAATCTACCCTTGAGTTCGTCTTGACTTCGATGACCACGATCGAGTCATTGCTTATTCGAGTTCTCGGGGAAATCAAAGGACCACGGCTGCTGAATACGTCTTCGAAATAATGATTCTTCGCCTGGGGTGATGGTTCTTCCTTGACGCTCTTGTGTGCAACTTGGACTGACGGCGCGTCCGCCGAACCGCCTCGTTTTGGACCAGTGGTGGCGGTGTCATCATCTTCTTTTTCTTCAAAGAACATCGATGGCTTTATTGCTGCTCTTTCCAGTTTGTTCTTCTGCTTCAGAGTCTCCTCGGGTACAGTTTTCGTCGTCAAGGCCTGGAACATGGCCGGGGACTGAAGTACAGGGACTGTCGGAGAGAGGCTCGCGGAGGATGTTGGTGAGAAGTTGTGACGCCTCCTTAGGAATGAGAGATCCATTCTATTTCAGCAGAAGTCAGAAATCTGGAGCTCGTTAGATAAAGTCGTGACGAACCTGAGTGATCTAGGACGCACTCGCCATCCGTTTGCGCCCGTGTTAGGATCCATGATGATCGGTCAACTAATGAGCAGAAGAAGAGAGAGATGCGAGAAGATAATGAGGGACGGGCGAACCGAATCCCTTCTTGCTCGGTTCCTTCCTTGATCAACTTTTGTTGCCGGCCGAGCCATGTTCAGGAAAGAACAGGAGAGATGCTGAGATATGAAGGCGCGATGGACATAAGGAAACAACTACAATGAGCCCGTAGCCGTCCTACGTACCGCAGAGACGAATATGTTGAAGACAGTCAAATGGTGGAAGTTGAAATTGAATTCCTGTTTGTCCGATCTATGCCAGAAATGCCAGATAGTCGAAGGCAGAATTGCCGCTCAAGAATATCTTGTCAATCCTCCTCCTTTTGTCCCAGACGATATCATCATCTGACTTGCGTTTGATGTAGAGAATGCGATGCTGCGGAATGAATTCCTCGTCTGTCAGGTCCTTCTTCCACGAGCTTAGATTGGCTTCCAGGCGACCATTAAAGCGATCCTCGTATCCAATCAGATAATTGTTACTCTCAAACTGTGTGTCCCAAATGAGACGGTTTATAACGTCTGTCCAATTTACTTGGTTAGATGATTGTTTGAATGGATAGCTTGGATCACAACGAGTACCTGCTGCTGGGCGTAGTCTGTTCTCTGCTGACGCTGGTCTTTTCGACGTCGAGGTGCTCTGAAAGGGCTCTTCGTCGGTTACGAGGCACTCCTCAGCATCTGGTTGCGGGGACACAGGTGGTAAAGAGGTAGAAAGACCGTGGTTTTGGTCCTGCACACTGGTTGTGGGCTCATTGCCGTGCGTGTGATCTTCGGATGCTGGGAATAATTCAGGCGCCATGGTCACACAATCAACAACAGAATATCAATAAGTATGAGGTTTCGATCTGAATGATATAAGTGACAATCTATGAAGACATTCCATTATATATATTCCAGTTCGATGGTTACATCCTCACTGACAACAAAAGCTTGGACAGTTACATCTTAAGATGAGCCTCGCTGCCTTCAGGCGTCCGAGAAAGGGTGACCATCATCGAGCCACATTGATCTGCGTCAATCTACACTGTCTCGTTAGGTTTCACTTGTCATTCGAGTAGTAATTTCTCGGAGCCAATCTCGTCTAAGCCGCTGTCATCGATGAGTCAAGAATAGTACCGCACCCTTTTGAAAGGGTGGCCATGACTGCTTGAAGAGCATGACTCATAATGAGTAATTCGTTGATAGCCAGGATTCAAGGCAAAAGGAAGTAGAGGAGAGGGAAGGAACCTGATGCTGTCCAAGTAAGCAAAAGGATGAGGAAACTACCAGCGATGAATTGGGAAAGGGAAAGTAGGCGAATCAAAAAATGAAATATGAAAAAAAACCAAACTCCGATAGGGGGAATCGAACCCCCGGCTGCCGTGTGAGAGACGGCGATGTTAGCCACTACACCATATCGGATAATTGTTGCTATGGGGAAAAAAATGTTGAATTATTAAATTGTTTTAAAAATTACAGCCAAAACAGCTGACGTCAGATAGCCATAATTAACTAAAGCTATCGACTTCTCTATTTAACGCAGGTCTCCCAAGTCCCAACTTCATCCTACTCCACTCTCACAAACCTGCTCTTTATGCTCGTGTAGTTTGGGCAGTGATGAACATGCTTCAATGACACTATGCACCACCGAGTCGCAAGACTCTGGGCGGGACAAGGTCAGCTAATGCATACCCTCGGGGAGCTTCTGAGCTCATACATTTTCTAACGCCCATTCCATTGCTACTCCCGCCCCACTTCGCATCTTCTTCGATACATCTTTTCTGTAGCCCTCAGTGTCTTGGTAATAGTCCCAGGTCTGGAGAGAGGGTGGGCACTGGGCAGAAGGACAGTCCCACCAGAAAATAGTTTCAATCCCCACGTCAGACGGAGTTTGCTTAGAGGCAGATGTTGAGGACCGCCTGGACTAACAACTACCAACCAAGAAGTACAATGGCCGACATAATAGCGGGGTGTTTTGGCTTTAGTAGGCGTTCGATGGTCTTGATCTGGGAGATGAGGCAAAGATGTACACCACATCCGTCATGAGTTTTATCTTCCTCGTGGAGCGCCTCGTCAAAGCCTCATCTTCTGGGAAGAAAAGAAAGTAGATGCAGCAGTAAGAGTGACACCATTACTTCTTTAATGTAAGCATTACCACAGCACTTACATGCCAGGTAATATGGTTTAGTTGCTACAGTGACCAGTGCATGCCGCATTACTGAAGGTATTGGAGATATAATTGTTATCATTGTGTAAGCATGAAGACTGTGGCTCAGTGTCCTTTACAGATCTATATAACTAAGGAAACAACCTACAGCCCTAGGCTGGCATAAGGATATCCAGATGGCGCGTGAGATAGATCCCAGATTACAAGACGGGACCATGCAGTCTAGTCTAGCTTATCAACTTAGCTTATTCCTTTGTGGGATGAATATTCAGTTCTGGTCACTTGTAAGGGGCTACATCAAGCATGGTACTGTCTATAACCTCCTAGAAATCATTGTTTGACAAAGGGCTAGATTACTGAACATAAGCATAGATATCTCAAGGTTGACACTTTTTAATAGGTTGCATGTGGGCGTTGCTCTTTATGGAACGTAGCTATGAAGTTATGTATGCACTATGATACAGTTCTACGTCAAACATTTATGTATGGCCGCCCTCATCAACAATATATATTTCTCTCGCGTATACTATTATATTCACCCCCCCCATCTAAACCCTAGTAAGATCAAATGAAAATAGATGAATATATATAGGAAATTCAATAAAAGTGAAGTTCTATACTAATATTTACACCCCTTAGCCTTGATGACAGCCTGCAGGTTCGGCATGCTAATAACCAACTGATTAAAACACTCCTGACCTAGGGCCTCCCATGCCTTCTTGATGACATTGGTAAAGCAGGTTCTCACTTCATCTTCAGTGCCCCTAGAAGCTTCTAGGTCTGGAACTAGGCCGTAGATCAACTCTTTGAGCTTTGCCCAGGCATGTTCGATAGGGTTCAAATTAGGTGAGTAGGGTGGCTAGTCAATAGTAGGAATACCATTATCACTCAACCATCCAGCTTTGACGCTCTCTGGCCCAATACAGGCGCTTGTTTGACCACTTCATTAGTCAATTGAGACCCTTTTTTAGCCCGCCAGTGTCCATAGCCAGATCTTTTTATGCAGCGAAGGATGGTGCTGTTTGACGCGTTGACTCCGGTTTTCGCGCGGATATCATCATATTGAATTGAGGGATCTGATCGAATCGCGCGTAAAATTGATCTTTCATCTCTGGCAGATAATAGGCTAGGCCTACCAGTGCGGTGCAAGCTTTTATTTTGCTGTCGAGTGGCATCTTTTTCGATTGTGTATTGGACTGATGATTTCGGGATTTGAAGCCTTTCACTGATCTCGCCTAGGGAGCAACCACTAAGGTGTAATCCATTGATTAAACCCCTCTGATAGGGAGAATATTCCACTCCCCGTCTTTTATTAATATCAACTTCTTGAAGGGTCCTTCGTGACATGGTTCTATGGGTTGAGAAAGATGGTGGGTAGAAGACGCGTTGCGCGCGAAATGCGAAATCGTACGAATATTAGTGGGGCTGACTGTAGATTGGGGTGTCGTTAAAAAAGGCTATCCTATTTTCGGGATAGTCCCCGCTGCGCTGCTGAACAACCATACTGTGTATGTTTTCGCGTCATTATTTAATAAAGAGTACCACAACCACCACAACCACGATGGTCTTATGATGAACATCGCTCCCATCATATCAAGATGAACGACGCGACAAACTCACTGCTCACAGAGCATTTTAGTTACACGCCTTTGGTGAGTAAACTTCTCAGAAGATCGTCTCGTCAATTGTCCTTGTGCTGTCCTCGGTATGCATCTTCCTCGTGCAGTGTAGCTAATACCCTCCAGTCTCTCATAGATGACATTATCAACTCGATCAACAATCTCATTTATCAGGCCATCTCGAGCCTGGAGTCAGGTCTACTCTCTGCCCCTCCGGAGCGTTTAGGATTTGCGCATGCGAACAATGGCTCTACGATCCCCGACACGGACGAAGATGGGAACGTTGTTTACCCGGAGGCAAAATTGGAATTGGAAAACGGACTACATCAACTCGAAACTCTACTTGAGGCGACTGTTGATAAGGCATTTGATAAATTCGAAATCTACGTCTTGCGAAACATCTTCACCGTGCCAGACGATTTGTTAGCCTGGATCAGATTGAGCCATCACGAGGTATGAGGCTCCATGAAGCAAGCCTTTGCGAACCATTGCCCTTCGCAAATTGGATATTGATCTCAAAACTTCACAGAATTTGTCTCTTGAATCCTCTCCGGATGCGCCGACACCAGAAACAATCCAGACGCTGCGCAAGAAATTAAATGAAACCAAGAAATTAAACCGCTCGTTGAAACGAGAAAGCGCGCGTAACGATGCTGTGATTTCTCAGCTGCGGTCAATTGTGTCTGCAGCTCAAACTCACGGTGTAGCGAAGAATGCAAACGGAGAGGACAGGGTTGAACATCCACTCCCAATTGACAAGAGCCTTGATCTATCATTCTTGACAACTAGCCCGGCTGCGCAACAACTACGCGTCGGCGTCGACGCGGGCATCAATAGCAAGCATCAACCGCTCACGACCAACACAACCTTCATAATCTCCCAAATTCCTGCTCTCCAAGCGATGCTGAAGCAGCTCCGACCCAAGCTCGCCTCTCTGCCAAAGCCTGCGGGTGCTGCCGAGAGTGAGGCAAAAGCCGACGAGAGACGGGAATACATCGAAAGCAGAATCAGATTACACCTTGAGCGGACTGGACAGCTGCCAGCAGGAAACAACGGCAGCCCGATCATTGTCGGACGAAAGATTGACATGACAGAAGCGCAGGCATTGGAGTCTATTACTGGAATGCTCACCAAGGACGATATGAAAGATTGATCGCACTGGGAGGACGTATCAATAAAAGTCGAGCAAAACCCCTATAGGATCCGTCCATCGCCCTCTATCATCTCTGAAGTCTACCAGCAAGGCATTCTCCTGACGCCTGACGCAGGTACTATGCCACGCTCACAGAATTTTCAGTGGTACGATATGGCTGCAAACTCATCAGCTGCGCACCTTTCCTCCCACCGACCACTGGCCTTCTACCACTCAGACACGAGCTCTAACGCTCAGCGGAAATACTCCTCATCACCGCTGACGGTATCGAGGCTCGAGTGGTATTCCGTTCATCGGCATGAAATGACTACAGAACTGTTGCCTCGAGTTTGCACCACAACCCTATCATTTTGGTAGATCCAAGGGCTTTTCAGCAATAATTGCAGAGGAAGAGAGAGAGAGAGAGAGAGAGAGAGAGAGAGAGAGAGGAATCACAGGCCTGGTAGCCCTCTCAACAGAATCAATGCAAATCGCTTAAATGGAGCGCCGCTGAGGGTTTGCCCTTTGAGTGCTTGGAAGTCGCGAACAAGAGCCCTCGGGGTATTTTAGTTCCGCTTTTTACGTCAAATGCTGTGTGTCTGTGGTGAACAATGATATGCATTCACATTGATGTAGATAATCTTGAATGGAAATACAAATCTTGTTTACATTTGTGCTATTGTCCTGCTAGAATAGAATAGTTCTATCAAACAGCATCTAAGTCTTGTTGATGCCTCAGTGCCTAGAGTGCAGAGAGTCACTAATCCCAAAACAGCAGTCATGTGAGCGCTGCACTCCTTCTTGTCATCCATGGCTTGGCATCATCAACTCCCTCTACAGCCACCACCGCTGGCCGATTGACTTACCATTCTCCCTCCGCCTCGTTGCGTAGGTTTTTTGTTCAATGGACACGAGCAGTCTTGTGCTGTAGTAGCCCAAGGCTTTGTGCAAACTCTCCGCCTCGTTTCTTTTTTACTTCTTGTCGTCCGGTGCTATCCTCCGCTCCCCACATGTCTCGCGCATCGGCTATATCATCGACTATTTTCGGAGCACGGCTTCCTTCTGTCATCCTCGAATCGGTGTCCCGATAAGTCGCGTCCGTTCACCGTTGCTCGTCCTGGTGTCGCAGGGGCTCTTGTCGACAATATGGCGACGGCGATCTCGAAGCCTACCTCGCATCCCCCCAAGATGAAGCGGCCGCCCCCGCCTTTCGTCCCAGTGGGTGTTAATGGGGTTAAGTCTCAGCAGTCCTCCTCTTCCTCTCCACCGTCCACATCGAAGCGTTTACCCGGGACCAGTCAACCGGCCTCTGCGCCTGTTACTAACGGCCTGGCCCCGAATGGTCTCAAAGGCGCCGCCAATTCCACTCCTTTGACAACCAACAACTCAAGCAAGGGTTCCCTGAACCGTACCAAGAAAGATGCGCCGAAGTCGGGGGATCAGGCCATGCGGTTACAGAAGCATTCGGCAAAGACACCGACTGTGGAAAGCGATTCCCGGCTGGGGAAGATATGTCCAGAGCCATATGGTGAGACGCTGGCGATTTCTGCGGTGATGCGCTGCGCGTCCTCGTTTGCTGACGATTAGGTTCTGCAGTCAAAACGTCGTCATATATCTTGAAGAAATACTCCAAGTGCCCTCCTTCTTTGATTGTACACCTACACCCCACACATTTTCGGTTCGAACAGCAGGATGGAAGTTTCTCGTACAACTCGGAGATGAAGGTAGTGATTGAACATATCCGTGCTGGCACTGTTCCCCATGATATGATGGAGGAGTTGCTCCGAGCGAATGTCCGGTTCTATGAAGGTCAGAGACTCGCGGTTGCTATTGTGCCGTGCAATTGTCCTTGCTCACGGTTGTCTCCTATGCAGGTTGTCTCATCGTTCGAGTCGTGGACCACAAATCCGTTTCAGCACAAGTTCGGAAAACATCTGCGCCATTGTCCAACGATAGCAACACACCCTTCTCGCTCCATAACTACAACGAGCATATCACCCCATCGGCGTACGTTCCATACCCGAAGCAGAACCAATTGGCGTCCGAAACCAGTACCACGAAGTCAGATTCTGCGGCGAGCGGCCAGCTCGATGGGAAAGGCAAAGACGAGCCAGTTGGCGACTCGCAAAGCTCTAAGAACGAAAATGACGCGGGGTCGTCCCAGAAGCCATCGCCAGCCAAGCCCCGGGTATTCACGACAGTTCTTCACCCTACTCCTCGCTCGCTACAGGCAGAACTTATACTGCTTGCTACCACCCCTGATCCCCGGGCTGCGAAACAGCCGGCCTCAAGTTCGACTAACCGTACCCAACAGTCTTCTTCGACAGCCCCTCAATCACCGGTAGTGGCTACCAATCTACCGGAACGAGGCCATGTTGCCAAAAGACAGAAAATGCTGGTGGAACCACAAGATCTATTGGAGTGTGAATCTAGATTGACGCGTGCGTTAGCGCCCCCCCTCTTTTTGGAACCGGTGGACAATCTGGAAGCCGCACAGGATCTTTTGAGATACCTGGAAAGTCCTCTCCATCGTGATCCGCCGCCGTCACCAAAGAGGAGGAAGCGAACGGTGGCAGAGCTTGCCGCGGACGAAGCGCTGGCTGCCGAGGAGGAACGATTTATGCTCATTATGGACGAACGCTTGGAGCCCGCTACATCAGGAGGCCCCGGCGGGCCCAAATCTGCTGCCGTGGACGACACAGGTGTCGGCGCGTCGTTCGAACCGCGTTTCTCGAGATTTAAAACACTCGAAAATATTCGGATGCAACATGAGGAGAAGGCGAAACGGGAGCACGAAATCAAAGTCAAGCAAGAGCTGGCCAAGCGACAACAACAGGAACAGGAGAGGGAGCGACGCCGTTTGCTGGAACAACGTCAAGCAGAGGAGCATGCGAAGGAGGAAGCTCGAAGGCAGCATCTGGCTGCCCAGCAGGCGCAGGCGCAGCTTGCAGCCCAACAGCAGAATCGACATGCTATGGCTCAGGTTAACGGGGTCAGCCAGGCACCGCAGTCCTCGCCAGTTGTCCGCAATCAAACACCACTCAACACCTCATCACCACTTGTCGGCAGCACAATGGTTTCACAATCTGGTGTCCCGATGAGCATGACGTCTTCTGCGCAGGGTGCAGGAAGCCCACCACGACCTCCCTCGGCTTTGCAGCACGGTCACCCGAATGTGATGAGCCATCCGATGGCGCCGTCAAGAAGCCAGCAGGGACAGTCCCGGCACGGCACTCCACAGATGACCCAAGGGACACCGTCCATGTCGCATGCGACTCCGACCATGCGCAATGTTACCCCCACTCAGCGGATGAGCCATGGCAGCCCGAGTCAGCCGACCATGGCTCCCACACCGGTATTGAGCCAAGCGATGATGGGAACTCCCCAGATGGGCGTTGGCATGGGTCTTACGCCCCAACAGCAACAGATTCTGCTGCAGAGGCAGCAGATGCTTGCGCAGCAAGGACAAATCGGGCATGCACAATTCACACCGCAGCAGCTCGCCCAGCTTCAAGCCAATGCGCACGCTCAGCAAAATATCCAGTCGCATCAACAGCAGATGTTACAGGCTCAGCAGCAAAATCACCAGGCACAGCAACAAAAGATGCCGAATACACAGTCCTACCAAGCCTCGTTATTGCGCAATCAGTACCACCAGATGCAACTGGCTCAGCAACAGCAAACTCAGGGTCAGCAACCACAGGGTCAGCAGGCTCAGGTGCATCAGGGCAGTCCACAGATGACTCCTCAGCAGCAACAGATGATGATGGCAGCAGCAGCCCAGGCCAACGCCGGGCACATGCCGCAGAACTTTCAGGGAGTTAATATGGCCCAAAGGTACAGCCAACTCTATCAACAGCGCCTGCTCCGTCTTCGGCAAGAAATGTCCACTCGATACATGGGTCAATATGGGCCTCCCGCGCAATACCCGCCACAAATTGCGCAGCAGTATAGCGTCGGTCTTGAACGGAGTGCGAAAGCGTGGGTGCAGGAGATTATTCGGCGCGAGCGTGAGGCAGCTCACCAACAGCGTGCATCTCAAGTGGCAGCTGTTCAAGCTCAGGTTATGCAGCAGCAACAACAACAACAACAGCAGCAGCAGCAACAGCAACAGCAACAACAACAACAGCAACAGCAGCAACAACAGAACATGATGCAAAATGTTATGGGAAAGTAATTGTTTCCCTCTTGTTTCTCTTTCAATTTTTCTTGATTTTTACTGGTCTTTGCCTCAAGCGTTTCGGGAAAGGCGATGGGCGATTTACTTTTGATCTCTGGTTTATTCTCGCCATGCATTTGGATCTCCGGGCCTTCTCCACTTGCTTTCATATTTTTTTTAGGCTGGTCAGGGGACAGGCGATTCCGACTCTTCTCATTTACGATTTCATTTTTTCGTTGGGAGACTGTACAGGGACGGTGGATTCTCCGAGATAAAAGAGCCAGGCGTTTGGCTTAGCTTGACTTGAATTGGTCCCGGGCTGAAATTTCTTTTCTTTTCTTTCGTTCTTCTTCTTTCATGCGCGCTTGGTCGTTGTAACATTTGGGAAATGGATTTGGGAGAACTCAGAACAGACTTGATACCATTTGTACAGGATTTTTCGATTCTATTTGCGTTCTGCTACCCGGAGGCGCGTCTGATGTTTTATATGCTCGATAGTGAATAAGATCATGAATATGCAGTATCTGCGCAGTAGCCCCTACTGGCTTTCTATTATCCAAATCGGTAGTTATACATGTTATATATATAGTCTACGACGCTTCAATAATAATGATATCAAGCGATCTTTATATATATATATACACCCCGAGAATGCGCACTACATGCCTCATGGAGGGATATATATCTACCAAACAACCACCCTCAAAATATATCCTACCACTGCCATCATCATCATAATCATCATCATTATCATCATCTATATCCCCAAAGACTCGGCCTCAGGGTTGAGTCTCTCCACCTCACATACACTGATACACAGCGATGGTTGAATTGCGGGAAGATGCATCGCAGACCGAACATCCCCGGGTTACAACATACAGCTGACTACATGGCTACAGCCACAACCCAGTAGGATCGATAGGTAGGAGTCTCTCACTGTCGCGGGCATTTTATCGGCGAGGCTTCGGTGTTTGGGACTCGACTCGAAAGGTACGGAGCAGGGGTATGGATACAAAGAGAGAGAGAGAGAGAGAGAGAGAGAGAGAGAGAGAGTCTTGGTCTTTATTCTACGCGGGATGAACGATAAACGGTGGAGGAGGTTTGGGGCTGGGTATTGGGGGCGTTTGCCTTCTTTGTCGATCTAGTCAGGCGCACCGCTCTGACATTAGATAAATGGACAGGACGGGGAGGAGGATCCGAGACAAGGCAACGAACAACCGGTCAAGCGGTATAGATCGATACTTGCTCTCTTCTGTGCTGCTTGTGGTGATCGGCCGGGGCCTGTGTGGCCTATACGACTGTAGCATTTGTCGCTTCCGCTCAATTTCAGATTTGTCTGGCGTATGGATCTTGGGGGGGGAGAGAGGCTTATCCGCCTCTGACGAAAGAGCTGTTGGGGATCCAAAAGTACCGACGACTGTACCTCCCCCCCGTCGCTTTGGATGCTACACGACCAGCGCCCGATCCTACGTAGCACGAACCGTATACTCCCAGCGTTCGAGACCAGCGCCCGGATACTCCCTCTAAAATGACAGTTCTGGTTGGTATCCACGGAGTACGTACTCGCGACCGGGTTCTTGTGCGACATTGGTTATTGCCAAGTCCCCAGTGTCAAAAAAGAAAGAATGAAAGAAAAAAGATCGGGTTGGGGATGACTGCACAGCGCACAGTGCACAGGGGCTGGAGGCTGGTCAATCATGCAGACTGGATTTACGATGTGCGATCGGCAGAGTAGCGGATAGGAAAGATCGGGTTGAAGTGACACTGTGTGCCTTGGAGGAAGTACCCTGGACGTCGTATCGTGTCCCAGGATATCCCGTATTGCACATCAAGCAGCGAACAGTTGCGGATATGTGGCTATTATGATGAGGCCAATGTAGCGGGCTGAAGTAGAGCCGATGAAAAAAGGTGGTTGGAGAGCGCAAAGTACCAATCGCAGACATAGCTAGATAGAGCCATAGCTTATCTGCACATTCCAATGCACCTACAAGGTCCTCCGGATTGGAAGACAGGAAGACATCAGGCGGTGATTAACAGTTGGTGCGATGGGATGTTGGACTCGGTACTCCGTAGATCAAGTACAAACCAACAATGGCCATCCGGCAGGAATTTCGGCATGCTGGAACAAAGCCATTGTCTGATTTGATTGAGTCCTTTGTACTCGAAAGTGCCCAGCTCACATCCACAGCCAGGACCAACCGCTTCATTTCCACACTGGACACTGACTTTTGGACGGACGTTGCAGAAATCCCATCCCGACCAGGTCCGTGGTACAAACTACAGGACGCAATTCAACCGAGAAAGATCAACGGATCAAATGACATAAAAGGGAAAAGAATAGGATCGATAAGCGTAAACAAGTCAGCCCATTCACGACACTTCCGAGTTCCCCAGAATGCTTCAGGGCCGTTGAGAGAGACAGGGATTTGCGAGCGCTGGAGGCAGCACGAGTGGGAGAGAAATCAGTAGCGCGCCTTGTTCCTTGGGAGGGGAACCGGTTTTCCCTGACCCGATCAAAAAGAGCTGCAGAAAGAAAAAGCAAAAGAATGTTATGCAATGCAATGCAACTCAAAAAAAAAAAAAAAAAAGGGTCGAACAACGAGAATAACTATTGATTTGTTCCCATGTAATTGGTGGATGCAAAGAAACCAGGCGTCGGTCCATTGATTGGACGCTTTGATCAGGCGAAGGAAAAATAAAATAAAATAAAATAAAATAATAATCCAGCACGCAAGGGGGGGGGGGGGATTGGAAGAAGAAGAAGGCTGGAACACCGGCTGTCGAATATGGCATTCCGAATTTCCCCCTCACACTGAACTCGGCGCGAATGGGAAGGAGATCGTCTTCGAGAACTAGAGGTCGTGCCCTGCATCGACGGGTGAGGAGGCCGCAACGAAGCACGGGAGAAGAGGGGGGTTGAGCAGCAGGTGAGACAGACATGAACCTTGCTGTTGTATCACTCCCAATGTGTAGATCGTGATTCAAATCGTGCCTTCGATGAGGATATTCGTGTTTCAGTGGCTTTTGCTGGCTCCATCCGAGAGAAGAGAAGCAGGGCCGCCGCTGAATCAGACCTGCGAGACTCTGCCTAAGAACGCCGTAAATTGTCTCAACTCTTAGCCCCTTCATTGTACCTGCAGTACCCAAATCCGCACCGCTCAGGGCCCAGCAGTTAGTCCAGGGGCTCGTCGTGGCTGCCAGCCAGAAATGACTTCGGGCAGGACAAGCCGTCAAGAGAGTCTTCCTGAACGTCTGCTCCGAAGATTCCTGAGAAGAAAGTCGGTTGAGGCTTATAGTCGGGCCTCCGTGCATGATGGGTCAATCTATCTGTTCGCGCAAGATCTATTGATTGTACAACAGGAAAAGAATTGTCCGGATTCTGCTGAGAACAAGGGGAGGGGTCTGCTTTAGGGGACCCAAACGGTCCAGAGTCTCAAACCGGAAGAACTAGTTTCGCAGGAATCAATACTATCATGCCTCCATAGGCAACGATTTATGATCTGCTCATGTAGCCGCACTGACTGCCGATCTCCACTTGTCAGAGCGTCCCCGGATGGCCACCGTGCGTCGATTTAGTTTGGTGATCTTCGATGACTGACAAGCTGACTTCCGTGAGCTGGACAGCTCGGCTCTGGTTTCACAAAACTCGATTGTGCAGGTGCCACAGAGACAATGCTTATGTATGCATTGCCCAGCACTATGGACCCATGGCTGAGGCACGCACAATACTCCATTGCGAGCGGTCACAAGAGTCTCCAGCCAGGCTGAAAATTCGAAGTCGCCGGAAGATTCTCATGGAAGCAAGCCTGTTTGGCTGTCAAATGTCCCTTGTTCAATATATTGGCTGAATCTAGGGGGGCTCATGGACAAGTCTGAGCCAGAAACCAAATTTATCCATGATCTTGGCGGCTTCGAAAATGGTTCGAAAGGCGTAAACCGACTGCCTCACCGCAGGAACCCTGGGATGATCTGGGGATGGTTCAAATCTCCGGTCGTCTCCTTACGGTAGACAGGCCCGTGCTGCAGGGACGCGCAGTTAAAAGATAGCAAGGAAGATTCAGAAGTATCTCGATGGTCGATATCGTTCTGTGATCGTCGCCGTTTAAGCCCCAACCGTTGGTGCGATTATTGGTCCCGTGCAGTAAGTATATGGAGCATAGAAACCTGATCCAAGAAAACCTGGAGAGGCACAGGGTCGGTGTCGTCAGTGGCGTCAACCACCTTTAGGTAGTTCCAGTCAAGCATAATTGGTATTGGTGTACCTTGCCATTGTCAGTTGATGTCTCGAAAATCAATGACTGCTTCAGGAGAAATCGGCGAAACTGCGGTGAGTGCTCAACAATTAGGTTTGGATAGACAGGACACTAGTTGATCATCCGGGATTTTTTTTGGACCGATTCGATTGTAATCAAACCCGGCCAAGGGTCCTGCGAGGGTCTTCCCGTTATATCGAGTGCCTGTCGAGTCTTAAAGCACCCAGACTAAGCCCCTTGAACTCAATCCTCAATGCAGGGCATCACTGTCTGGGATAAAATCCTTCCAGAAGAGGATCGTAACATTCATCACAACGTTCCTTGATATGAGGCGCGCCTCGTGCTTCAATAAGATGGAATCAAAGGTCAAGTCTGACTATCTGAGACCCAAGGAAAAGTAAAAATACGGTATAAGTTTCTGCAAGTAAATGGAGCAAAAGATCAACACTGCCAGAAATAGCGTGCTGCATTGTCAGGAACCACAGTATTAGTGGCTGACTGCTCAGGAAATAATAGGTAGCAGCTTTGACCTGGACATGCACATCACATTGCCGAAAAATGTTCTCTGTAGTCACATGATGGCTGCTTCTACTCTCTGGAAGAGCATCGGTATTGCCTCCGAATCTTCAGGGATTGAGGGCAGACTGGGGGATTGTTGAGATGGATGAATTCGGGATGGAGGTGCAAGCGTGCAAGTTGCAACCTGTAGATACTAGATACTTATCTAGTTAACTAGTTAGTAGTAAGGTAGTAGAGGAAGTTGAATGGATCGGGGATGAGCCCAGGGAAGATCCCGAGGAATGTGGGCCTGTGGCTCAGCAATAGTTAATGTGGCGGAGTATAAGCCATTGTGGCGCTAGTAGCTGATCATCAGGTGACTGCTTTTCCCCTTTCAGGATCCTAACAACATATGAGACAACTCTGCCTCACGTTCCAGGAACACTACTACGGAATACTGGGTTCGCATCGAGGGCGAGACATCAATACCGAGTACTGACTCCTTGACCGAGCATTGTGTGTTTCAATCCTCGTGAGAATCTTGGTCAGAGTTCATATCAATCGTCTTCAAGAAGGGCTTGATTCATCTCTCATCATTCCAGAAGTTGGTTCTTCGTCCTCATACATACGGAAGAAAGCAGAATATGCGGGTAGCCAAATCAGGATAACGCGCTCCACAAGAGGTCCCCAATTAACTATCTTCGACATTACTGAGATAGATTGGGCGTGCTGACTATGAGCCTGACCACCAGCTTTGGAGGGGCCAGTGCGACAAACGGACACTCGGGACCGGTTAGATAAGGGTAAAGGGAGACCTCAACTCAGCCATACAAGCACTCTCAGGCTCAGGATCTAGTGTTGCACAGCTACCAAACTTCCTTATCGTTGTTGCGCTAAAAAATTCTCAGCCCATGGCTCGCGACTAAGGGTTGAAGCAATCTTCTGAGATTACGGATGAGAACCATAGAAGGATGGCTTGTCTATTGTCTATTTGGCAACACCATATCATATCTCCATGGGACTTATTATTAGTGGTGTATACAAGACCGAAGAAGATGAACTGAACCTCAGAGCCAAGACAAACCCGCCTTCCCACGCATATATGCGACTTGAATTGTCGTTTGTCGAGAACCTTGTACGAGGAGCGAATGCCAATCTCTTATCGGAATTACAATGCCGACAGAATCAAACAGGCTACAGGGTTTGTTTATGCTCACTATATGACTGGAAGAGCTGACCACATGAAAGATAGCTCCTGCTTGCTCGTGTGGGTTGGCAGAGTAGATCCGTCGATCGTCCAATGGGTGTTTACAGCAAAAGGGTAGTAATTTCACGGAGCCGAAGACTGCAGAGATCTTTGAGCGATTTACCAACTGGAAACATATTCCTGAACCTCATGGAATGCCCACGATGCGAGCAGATACTCGGTGACGAGAAAATGTAGATAGCCGCTGAGCTCGGTGGCAATCTTCGCCGTAGACGGTGCTGCAATATACCGTTATGGCGCCATTCGAGTCCACCAGGTTTGCAGAAACCAGAAACTATCAGTTGACTCGTCTTCGAGCGCTCATTCTTACATGACGAACGGGCCCGTTTGACTCGTGACAGATCAGAAATGTGCACACGATCGTCAAAGACTTTTTTTTTTTTTTTTTTTACATATATATCTCGAATGACAGCAAATAATAATATTACTCTAGGGAATTCGTTCGGTGCTAAGGAACAGAAGAGCGTTGCTTTTTCGTGATCATATTGGTGGCTGTTCTGTAGTATACTAACTACCCAGCCTGTACTTCTTGACTACGACGGTGGCCGTTGAGAATGAGGTCAGCGGGCAGGACCAGCCAACCACTCCAGCAGTAAAGGTGAGACGATCGACACGATGACGGGGTCGACAAATGGGCCAAGAAGTGCTTGATCTCTTTCAAGACACGCTGGATATGCTCAGAAAAGAACTACAATGAACACATTGAGTAACCAAAGTTCGTCCTTTGTTAGAGTCGAGGAGAGTAGCACAATGTCGTCTCGAATCAAACCACCTCCCCCCCCACATTCCAGAGCGAACAACGCTGGTAGGCCAGGTCTGTCCGAAGCGTTCCTGGACCAGCTCGATGAAGTGTGCGCCAGTGGCTGGCTGCTGGCATTCTGGTAGGTTGATAGGGGAGGCGGTTGAATTGTGATAGGTGCGGGTGACCAGCCGGTGATGGAGAGAAAGTCAAGATGGTAATTCAACTTCGAACCCGCAGGAAAGAACACAAAGTTAGAAAAGGCGGCCCTCACTGGCCTCTCAGAAGTCGCGCGACTGGCGAGTTGTCGATCCATTGTTGAGACTCAGGAGTCGTTTCCCACAGCCTTGGCGGATGATGTGCGTTAAGTATCTAGACGACGTTGGTTCGGTTTGGTGTTCTCGAGTAAGTATGGAGCACTTGTCTCGGTGCTCTCCGCCTACTAGGTAGACATCCCCACTCGGAGAGCGAAGAACTCAACTCAGAACCAGCATGTACTTACAAAAGTTGAAACTTAAGCCAGGCCCTAGAAGCCCTTCTTGGAAGTGCTGCTCATTCCTAAAGAGGACGATTCGTGATTTATCTATTATCTAGATGGTATCTGGAGGATTGAAGATGGGTAGGTTCTTATGGTAAGAATTCCTTCATAACTACAGTACTAAGGAAGCTGTGGATAATTCAGATGCCACATTATTCACACATTCATTCATGTTACCAGAATTATAATTAGTATTTGATCAAAGAATATCAAGATCAATGCCCTCGACACCTCATCTCGGAGATGCTCTGGTTGAATCGAGCCTGCATAGAACCAGTGATCGTGGCACTTATTCCAGATTCAACGAGAACACCGAATAGAATCGCGAAGGATCTCTGAGTGTACGGCACCGTCACGATGGCACGACTTCCTGGGAGGATTCCAATCCCACTGAGGAATCAATCAAACGGGGAGACATGTTCAAAAACAGCGCAAGAAGATCGGCATCGATCTGCAGCTCGAGCTGGGGTGGCACAGACCTAAGCAGCCCAGCAAACATATTAGTACGGAGTAAGTTATGCTCATTGCTCATATTATTTCATATTATTACCTGTCTCAGCATATCAGTGAACCATGAACTCTCTCCAAAGTTATTTTTTTTATTTTTTTATTTTTTTTTTACAAAAAAATGTGTGGTACCTGAGTGTAAAGTGTACCACGATAAGCACTGAAATACTGAATCCTACCATGGAAAAGGATCTACGGTGGATCAACCCCCATACTACTACTAGAACAGTACTAGTCCTCTCATTTACTTGATTCCAACCACAATAACTAAGACCTCTAAATTTCCCTTGCAGAAACTGTCAGGTGGGAAAGGGCAGTATAGTGGCTACGGGACTAGCTAGTTATGGTGCCATACGGACTATCTACAGTTACATCCGAAATTCCTCCAGAAAGGTAGAATTAGATGCTAATACCAGGTATGGACGAATGGAGTGCTAAGTACAGGAAACTTGGATAAGCTCCTTTGCAACAATGGACACAATTCAATAGTGAGTGAGATCACAACCCGATTTGCAACAATGCAACGCTCTCCATTTTCCGATAGAGATGGTCTAGATGGTGGCGTGAGCGCTCGGCGATCGTTGGTTTGGCGTTGGTGGGCTTACAGTAGTTATGCCTTACGGGCTTGTGGCGCTTGACCGGGGAGGTTTTAGAGGCGGAGGGGAACAGAGGTCAGAGAGGGCTTCCTAGTAGTGTACCTGAACAGTGCGTCGGCATGCTAATGCTATTTCCTCAAACGCTGACTGTTGTCCCATCTATAGATCTGTTCTGCTCCATATCTATCTATCTATCTATCTATCTATCTACCGATCGATCGAGACGCAGTGGTACGATTCTTATCGCCGTTTTTCTATTGCCTCATGACGATTCGCGCTCTGTCTGTATGAGTGTCCAGTGACTGGAATGCCATGTAGTCAACCGTTGACCCAACTCGAGTCCTGAGCCTCCCTCCCAGTCCCCTCCCGATCTGGATTATTTTTATCCACGTCCTTTCTGTACTGTACAGTGGCGTTATGGCCCAGGTATGTCTCATCTCCCGGTAAAATCCTTTTCTCCACACCCCAAGATTGAAGATCCAGCAGGGCTGCCGATCATTCAAGGTCCCCCAGCAAGTTCCCTTAGGCCGGTATCTGGATGGCTTGTAACGCCATTGGCGACCAGTGGTTCTAGACAAGGCAGATTGGAGGGAAAATATTTTGAGGGAGGGTTTATTGATTGAGAAGATCTTCATAGGACGTGGAAGACACTGCTGTAGGTACCTACCTAGGCAGTACCTGTATGTGTACCGTGTATCGCTCCCATACCATCGAAAGAAACCTTAGCCTTGTGAATTATGAAATATGGATCCCATAGGTCGTCCCATGCTGTTTTACTTCGCTAGCTTGCTCAATGCTAATATCCAAAACGATGCTATCTGGGGTAGTTAGACTCTCAGCAAGTCAAGGACTGTAGGTACCTTACCTCTAAGCCGTGGTTTAATACTCTTAGGGCCCTAGGGGCACTTTGAGAGACGACAGTATGGAGAACCTAACTACTGGCGGGATGTCCATCATCGCGGATGGGCTAAAGTAGTGAAGGAGCACTCCGTAGTGGCCCCCCCCGTAGATCATTAGATATTGCTATTCGCTAACCGGCTAGCTAAGCTAGCTAGCCAGCTACGATGGCGCTCTGACGTCCAACATTCCACACATCGTTTCTCGCTGGCACTTGGACTAGAGAGTCTGTCTACAACGTACAGTACAATCCCAACTTTTAGGCCCGAGGAAATGAATACCTAGGAATTAATATTGAACCATGCATAGAGAATTCCAGCACGAAATAATCCAGTTTCATGCTGATCCACTCACTCAATTGGGAGAAAGAAGACCAATAGGTTCTCTATTTTATCCATATTGATTTCGAGCCCATAGGCTCGTTACTGGTAAATACTCCGCAGCCAACAAATGATAATTCATGAGTTAAAAGGGAGAAAATCAAGAGAAGACGAAAAGAAGAAAAGGAAAAAGAACAGGAAAAAGCAAGTGAGGGATAGATAGGGCAGCGGGAGGCTTGAAAGGAGTAGCAATTGATTATTTCCTGCATGAGGATTGGAGTAGTACATAGTACTGTATACCTAGTTAGTAGTAGTTAGTCCCTAGTAGTTGTGAGTACAGTGTTGGTGCTGTGGTAGTAAAAAAGAAATAGACCATAATAATAGTAATTGGGACCTTTAAAAAAATAATCATCATCATCATCATAATAATTATGATAATGATAATAATAATAATAATAATAAACAGAAGAATAATAATGTAATAATAATAAAAGAAAATCATAACAATAATAACAATAACAATAATAATGATCATAATAATAATAATAATAATCATAATAATCATAATAATAAAAAAATAAAACAATAATCAATAATAAAGCAGCAACAAAGTTCTTTCTTCTGCTGCTGCTTCTTCCAAATCCAGTAAACGTACTTCTCTCTACTTGTCTCTCGCTGTCTCTCTGTCTCTCTCTCACACTCACTCTCCAACCAAGTACCTACAGTAGATCCATACAGACAGAACAGACACACACATACATACTGTACAGTCATTGAGTATCTGGACTTTTCTCTCTCTCCACTCTCTCTTGCCAGGAACCTTGGTAAACCACTGGAAATTATAGAATTCTAATTCCGCTTGATCGTTCAATTCAGACCTTAAATCCCTCCTAAGACATTTTCTCATCCTACTCAGTGTCTCTCTAGAAGAACTCTCTTATCGATTCAACTGGCTTCTATCCTCGATTTCGTTCCCCTCCCAAGTCCAACCCCCCTCCCATCCCAATCGTTCCCCTTGCTGGTATCCTTCTGGACAACCTTCCTCTCTGGCCCCTCGGTTCCTTATATCTACATCCCTCGTCTTCATCTGAGACCTCTTGTTTCTCAACCCCCTCCAATTCACCATTCACAGCAATCGCAGCTTTGGCTTATCGCGTCTAAGGGCGGCTTCCTTTCCAATCCCGCGAACTGGCCTCCATCCCGTCTCGAAAATCCCTGAGTTCATTGTCTTTGATTCTAGAGACATTCGCGACTCCTACGACACGAGTCTTCCTCCCCATTCGGATCGCTAGCTTCTTGTGTGTGTGGTGTGCGTCGGGATTCGTCGTGGTTACTCGAGGAACCTCATAGTTCCCTCCCCCCCCCCTCCACTTGGTACATTCCTGGCCTTGCTTGGGTCACTGAAGGGCACGCGACGCGCTTCTTTGCGACCTTTCCTATCTCTTCGTGTCTATCCATCGAGGAATAGCAATGGCGTTTGGATGTGAGTATGATCGGCCGGGCTCCAATCCATGATATATGGCTGCGAGATTTGTTTATTTCTGCCCTCCATTCCCCGTCCTCGACATCCTTTCTTTCTCTTCTACAGACACACGCACGCATACACACACTCCTTCTGTCCCTGGGGATCTTCATCAACCTTCATTCTTTTCCTTTGATTACTCCCAGTATCGCTGTCCTTCGTTGGCCTCAGCTGCCTTGTGTTTCATTACTCATATCCACATTCCCTCTCAAAACGTACAGCTCGTCTAATTCACTCCATTGATCTACACTCAAACACTCTTTTCGCTTTCCTTCCATCCACTGCAGAGCTCCCTATTGTTTGCCACCGCCTCTTTGCGTGCCCATCATAAAGCTAAACAGTGTCTGCTGTCGACAGGTGAAAACGTCGAGTCACTCCAGCGAAACATCGAAGTCGAAGACAACGAGGATATGAGATCGCAGAGTAACATGTCTGATCGCCTCGCCGTTGAAGTCGATTGTCATTCCCTGGGCTCAAACGAATGCCCTTCCATGGGCTCCACCTTCTCCCCTTTGGAATCTCCAACACCTACACCTACAAGTATCTATAGCCAAGGATCGATTGCCTCACCCGGCTGGCAGGAGAACGCACCGTATCCGGCGCACGGCTACGAAAGAGGCACCGGATCTACACCCATGCGTGGCCACTTTCGTTTCGCCAGTATGCCTTCGCATGAACAAATGGGTCTGCCGCCGTACAGCAGCCTGGACGGAGGGGATCGCATGGCCATGACGGACTTCCTCCCTGGATACGACGAGAATGTCGAGCAGTTCTGGCTTCCTTCGGACGTCCCCAAGACGTATGACCACCACGTCCAAGGTCTCCCATGTCCACCAGCCATGCAGCAGTATCCCCCGATGGTGCGCAGCAACTATCGTCACCATCCCGCTCCTTATCTCCCGGAGTCCGCGACTAACCCATGTCTCTCCCGTCCCATTTTTCACCACCAGGCTGAGCGTCTGCCCGCCTCGCTATCCATGAGCCACATGATGCCCTGGATGGCTCACACGGAATCGATTTCGCCGGAAACTATTGCTCCATCACAAGTTGCACCGGTGACGCCTCCCCCGTCCTACACGGACTTTTCTAATTCCCTCAACACCTTCAAAACACACTCGCCGGCCACACCTATCCGTTCATGCTCCCTGGGTACGGGTTCTGGGACGGACACGCCCATGAGCCGTCTGTCTGGGGGTGCCGGTGAATACCTGGATGAGTTCCAACAGTCCCCTGGCTACAGGGATGGCCTTGGAGTCCGGCCACAACGGCAGCCATCGCGCAAGGTGGCCCGGAAGCAATCCTCCAAGCAAAGCCTGTCACTGGAGAACCTCCCGGCAGTCATCAAACAGGTCCAGTTCAAGTGTCAGGAGCCCGGTTGCAAAGGGCGATTCAAGCGACAGGAGCACCTCAAGCGTCACATGAAGAGTCATTCTAAGGAGAAGCCTCATGTTTGCTGGGTTCCTGGATGCCATCGTGCGTTCTCGCGCAGTGACAACCTCAACGCCCACTACACCAAGACCCACAGCAAGCGAGGAGGTCGCAATCGATACGTCGCAACCTTGGATGAGACCAGCCCCGACTACAATCCAGACTACCGGGGACCATTGACCGGTGATGGTCGTCCTATGCCTGGGTCAGCAATGGACGAGTCCATTTCCGATGCTCGGGAAATCAGCAGCATGGATGGCTGGGATGAGTGAGGTCACCGCCGGCAATCAGAACAGAGAAGATCAAAACAAAAAAGGGTAAAAAAGATGAACAAAAAAAAGATGAAAAACCGCGTTGAGAGAAAAAGCCCCCACCCCCCAAAAAAAGAAATCAGAAAGCAACTAAAGCGAAACGAGAAAGAAAGTACTGGGTGGATCGGATCATGATACCCTTGTGATGCAAGTCGACACAAAAATTTCCTTGAGTACTACTTACCTAGATGGGCACAGACATACAGGGTCCGAGTGACCCCGGTCGGCGCTTCACGGCGTTCTTCATTTCCATTTCTTATATTCTGTCTCTATTTTGTATAACAAAGCCCTGGCACTGGATGTTGCATACTTATTTCCGAGATGTCTTTCTATTTTTCCTATAATACGTTTCATGGAGAGGCAGACCTGTTTTTTTGTTACTTTACTTTGTCTTTTTCCTTTGTCCAATTTCCTGTGTTTGTGACGACTCCAGGTTCGATTAATATACGGCATGACTGGATGAAGACTTGGCCACGCTCCCTACCTACATTGTTTGTTTGTTTGTGATCTGACTGATCGATTGAGAATACTGCATATCATATGAGACAATACAGTAATATTGACATGACGATGGAGCACCACACATGCCATTCATGAGCTTCCAAAAATAAAGTCGGACTTCACAAAATGAGGCGGACAGTTGGACGTTGGGATCTTCGCTTCGTCACTACTACTAAGTATAGGTAAGTACTCCGTAGGTATGTATGTCCTCAACACAAGTACACACAAGTACAGTCGCCCTGCCCATCGTCACGTCATGTCATGTCATGTCATGTCTCTTGGTCTTTCCCCTACTCGCCTCAATCAAAATTTGGATACATCAATTCAGCTCGTCCCTATCTCTCTGGCCCCAGTCCAAGAGCACGGCCCATAGCAGAGATATCATACATATCCAGTAAACCAAACTGGCCCTACGGCCCTTAAAACTTTTTTTACACTCAAACTAATCATCATGCCAGCACCAACTCCCCCTCCCCTCCCCTCCAATCACACGCTGATTCCATAACACCCGTTCAGACTGTCAGCGACGATCACAACAAAGAGACAGGCAGGGGGTCCTAGTCTCGCAGTCGCAGATCTAGACTCGGAGGCGTAGACTAAGAGCATCAGACTAAGACGGTGGTAAAGCGGCGACGAAAGGGGGAGGGGGAGGGGGAAAGAAACATCGTCGAAGGATGGAAGCTGGATAGGTCACATTTTTTGATGGCATCTGCGTCTGTGTCTTGTGTCTGAGAGCCCGAGTTTGTTGGTCATGTGGAGGCTTGGGTTTGGGGTTGAAGTTAGTGTAGTAGATCGGGTATCATGGTGTATCTAAACTTTCTACCTAGTATCTAGTATAGTATATGTACCTAGAGGTAGGGAGGTATGAGATTGGAAGTGTATGACTACCAGGCTATGACTGTATGTGGTGGTCTCCTGTACGTCGTACGATCATACCTAGACCATCATGGTTACCTACTGTCCATCGTATACTACTGTAGCTAGCTAGGTAACTATATATACTACGTAGGTATGTATACTCTGAAGACTGAAGACTCGAGACCCAAAAACAAATGGCACCATGAATGTCGTCCGCTGCACAGTCCACAGTCCACAGTCCACATTCCATCGGCAAAGCTCCTATTGGCGGCTTAAACAGCCTGAAGATCGTTCCACTCGACAATGCCCGGCGCTACTTTAGTGCTCCGGATGGAGTATGCACCAACTATGGAGATGGATTGTACTTATTAAGTTAGAATTCTGGGATATCTAGCTTCGTTCTCCCTAGACCCCTAGGAACTAGGGAGTAGATAAATATCAGCCTAAATCCCTATCAGCCCACAAGCACTAGGCAAGTTACTAGTATGATAGTAAAGGTATCCTCGCACCGGCGTTCATCTGTCATACATAGTTACCTACATACTTACATAGTTACATATACGCCATACAGCGCACCGGTTCCAAGCTACATCACCACTAGCACCATTCCCCTAGTCCGCTTCCAGTCATAGGGCATAGGCAGGTAACAGGTTACTGGTGTCTAATGTCTGGTGACTGGACAGAGACAATATGCACGGGCAGCGATCAACTAGTGATTCCAGAAACCGGGAACAGATCCTAAGCTTAATGTTGATGGCCCAGGGGGGAAGTCAACAATAGCTCCGCAGTCCGCATGCCAAGGATGCTGACAATTGAGTACATAGGTAGGCACTGGGGGCCGGACCCTGGGGGTTTAGGTACTCCTGAAAAAAAAACTTAAAAAAAAACTTGATTTGAATGGGAGCTTCTTCATTTTTTTTTTCACCCTTTTTTTCTCCCTACTTGTATCTAGATAGATAGACTGGCTTCTTCTGTATGTTTTTAGAGCGGGATGCGCTGTGCTGGAATCTGAACGGGCTCTGGTTCGAAATTAGTGTAGTCCTTATGTACCTGCGCGGCTTCCGGTATGTTATGTTTCTCTAAGACGATTTGATATTCACCGCTTCGGTATGGTGGACGATAGAATGGGAATTATCCTGTTTCTACTTTTTTCAAGAACAGTGCTTCTCTCAGGCTAGTGGCTATGCAGGTAGTAGTGGATTGATTATTGAGCGGTTGCATATTTGTCAAACGTCGGCTGGACGGAGGATGTTCTTTTTCAATGCACCATTGGCAGACTCTGAGAGATCCTCAGGGAGATATGCCAGTTGCTCGTGGCTCTATGAATGGGCATTCTTCAGGCCGAGCAATGAGCCGTGAATCAGGTTTTTGGCTGGCGATCCAGAACCATAGAAGCGTTCATTTCCTCGAAATGGTCTATGTGTAGAACATGGTTGTTCGGACGTGTTCTAGCACGCGATCAGACCGGACCAATCCATAATCCAGGACTATCCTCAGGCCTCACCAGATACGGAACCCTGCGAGCTCTGCCTGATTTTCGATTCCCCCCGAGCGTTCTTTTTCTATCCAGTTACCAGTGTGACTAGACGAGGATGCGCAAGCTACTGGATACTGGAGGATGGAAAGTCCCCATCTCCCCTTGCCAACCGTCAGCCGAAATCCTGCACCCCATAGTTGCGATGTGATACGCATGTACGTACATAAGACCGTGCTCACCGAATCGCCATCCCATGCGGCCACTTGTCAAATGCGATGTGGGCGGAGGACTTGGTCTCAGATGAAGCTTGTTGACCCTCATCTTGGAAAACTTCACCCCCCCCTGGTGCTACAGATGATATCACACGCTCTGCACTACACTATTGGCTTGAAAAACTTGGAAGCGCAAAGCGCACTTGATGCTGTCAGATAGCGGTCTGTATGGAATTTTGTAATGGAGCCTGAGTTGAGACAAGTTGCACAGAGCTTAGGAGAGTGGGCGGTTTTCTGTGGGAATTGTTCTTGCGGTGAGTTACAGATGTCTCGATTGGCAAAGGTATTCTTTATTAAGAACTTCTAGAAGAAAAGGGGGGGTGGGAAAGAAGGACGTATTTATTATTGATCTGGCTTCGTCCTGGATGTTGTTGGAGCTTGTTCATAGATCAGGCACATAGCTTTATGAAGCCCTGGATGACAGATCAATGGAATAGCATAAGCACACGTGACCCGCCAAGTGCCGCTAGTTTAAAGGTCACCACACAACAAAATCCATCTTCTCTTCTGTTTTAACCTTCTGCAATAATAATAATGTCAATCTAAGTCATGTAGGCTCGATTCAACAGTACCAGCACCATTATGATTCCATCAAGCTTGTTAATGTGCAGGCGATTGATATTCAATCCTCTCGACATGCTCCCAGACTATGATGACTACCTTTTCTTTCTGGCACGAAGCAGCGAAAACTGCAGTGGGTGTCCAAAATTATCAAGCTCAACAGTCTGAGTCTGGGATAAATTTCTTCGTCAATTTTAGCGCATAATTGAACTCTTTCTCTGCCATGTATCTCTACATATAGACACGTCTTCATCCTTTATGATGAAGTAAGATTCAATTCCAGAAACAGCGTCCCGTCTAACGGCGTTTCATAGTAGGCTTGTATCTCGACAAATCCAGCGCCTCTGTAGAGCTGCTGCGCCCCAACCATCGTCGACAACGTGTCAAGCCTCATCGCTCGATATCCAAGCTCCTTCGCCTTCTGGATGATCGCATCCACGAGCGTCTTGCCCAGCCCCATCCCCCGTGCGTCAGGAGAAACGTACAACCGCTTCATCTCACAGCAAGCCATGCGGTCCTCACCCGACGTACAGGTTGTCCCGTGATCTTTCGCAACGAAAGGGCGAACAGCCACACAGCCCAGGGCAGTTTTACCTTTGATATCGTACGCTAGTAGAAGCTCTCCATGTGGACCGCCATATTGGCCCGGGAGGGTGCGTAGTTCAGACTGGAAGCTTTGGAACGTGAGGTCGATCCCGAGCGAGTCTGCATAGGCTTCGAATAAAGCTCTGACGGCTGCTACGTCTTCCGCGCTGCGCGCTGCGATGATCTGGTAATTTCTGCGCGTCATGTGGCGTAGCTGATCGGATCACTGCATTCGCGGTGGCGCTGGTTTGTGCTCGAGACTCGAGAGTGATGATCAAGCGATGTTTGATGGCTGGCTGGTTCTGATGACCAGGAGGCGCTGGCTTCGGATTGATTGCGGATATCAGTATGATTTCTCTGAAATGACAGGTTCATGGGACTGGTGTTTTGTATCGGATTGCTGGTCGGCGTGGGTCATGGTATGACTCAGATGGCGACGACTCGATTGGAAGTCAGTGGCGATCATTGCAGATATCTTCATTGTTCACATATAGAACAATGACAGCATTGAGGCCGTTCCGGGCGGAGATTTTGAAGTCTCAGGTGACAAAGAAGCCACCAGGAGCCTTAGGCTGTCAGGCTCACATCTCACTCTCTTGTTCTTTGAAGTCGATGGAACGACTTGATTTCCACCATCATCTCCCCTCTACTAATCTATCACGTTAATTTCCCCGGGTTCATCAAACTTTTACCCCTGAGATATAAAAGGCAAACTATGATGTTGATTTCCTCGTAGCGAACTGAGCCGTTCGCTCAGAGTTCTGTCACTTGGATCAAACCAGTGCTGTCAGTCAGCAAAGAAGGCATTGTTCTAAATCTCCGTCATCGCTGACCCTCAGGACTAACCAGAGTAATGACCTGACTAACTACTCAGAACAAGGCGATGATACCGCCGCCTCTTGTCCAGCAAGTGCCGTTTCTTCATTCATTTTCAGTCTTTCGCTCAAATGAGCATTCTGCAGTCCCCTGGTGATTCCCCAATTGCGGGGCACCAATGGCCTCGCAAGAGAGAACAAGGCCACAAGCTACTCCGGCAGGCATGCGAGTCCACGGCAACGACACGGGAGAACGGATGAGCGATGCAACCCTTTGATACATGGTGCAGAAATCCATCAGATCCCGATCAGCAATCTTTAACGTTATCCTGGTTTCCTGGCCACTCCTTGAGCTTCCCCGAAGGCCTCCCGACGGCTAATCGACAGTGTCAGTAACTGCAGACCCGAGCACCATCATGCCATTGGTTAGACTGTATCTGATCAGCTCCCCACCTCGACAAGGATTATAGCAGAATCCAGAATCAACAGGGTCTGACGGCGGCGTCCGATTGATTAATCGGCAGGTCCTGAAGTCGCTGCTGACATTCGCCTGTCAAATCAGCGGCCTCTTATCAGTACATGTGCTTTTACCCATACTTGGCGATACGAAGCGATGTTTCATGGTTCATAGTGCACAGTGCAGGGTCGCATCTCGTGTGGTTCAAATATCGTCCGCTACACAAAATCAGGACTACATAAAGGGATGCAATGCCTCGTTCTCTGGCTCGCAAAGACTCTCACCTCACTTCTCTCTATCCTGTGGGTTTCGGACTTGATCACTCAACATGTCTGCATACATCCCTTCCGTGGGCATGCTCGCCCTCGGCGCCATGCATCTTGCTTCAGGCGTACTTGGTGATCTTCAAACCTGCCCGTCTGATACCCCTTTGAGCTGCAGCACTTCGGACTCAACCGCTGCCTCCTGCTGCTTCAGTTCCCCCGGAGGGACTCTCCTTCTCACGCAGTTCTGGGACACCGATCCAGCCACCGGCCCATCTGATTCTTGGACTCTGCATGGTCTTTGGTGTGTTATGCCACATTTGGATCGAATTAGGTCACACATTGACATTTCATAGGCCCGACAACTGTGATGGAACCTATGAGCAGTTCTGCGATACTTCGCGCGAGTATTCGAATATCACGGATATTCTGCAGGCGCAGGGTAGAACCGCGCTTCTATCTGATATGAACACATACTGGAAGGATTACAAGGGCAATGATGAGACCTTTTGGGAACATGAGTGGAACAAGCATGGTTCGTTACTCCATTTGATAGTATCTTCTGCCTGGTATCGCTAATAAGGACATAAGGTACCTGCGTCAACACCATCGAGCCTACCTGCTACACGGACTATACCCCGCAGCAAGAGGTCGGTGATTTTTTCCAGAAGGCAATGGATCTTTTCAAGACCTTGGATACGTACAAGGTATGTACTGCGATCATTGCAGCCGAGCTCAAGAAAGCTAAAGACGCTCCAGGCCCTTGCCGATGCTGGCATCACTCCCAGTTCTTCCACGACATACAGGCGCAGCGACATTCTATCCGCTCTCTCCGCGATCACAGGCCATGAACCCTCGATCAGCTGCGCCAGCGGCGCGCTGAACCAAGCCTGGTACTTCTTCAACATCAAGGGTAACGCCATCGATGGTCAATATACGGCCACAGATCCGCGTAAGTCATTGCTGATCATTAAATTTCGTGTGCGGAAACTGACATAGTATGGTATACAGTTTCGTCTTCCAATTGCCCATCTTCTGGCATCAAATACCTGCCCAAACCAGATAACTAGAGTAGTGCCACGAGCGCAACCTGGCGGTTTGGTAAAAAGAGAGGCACACAGGTGGTTCGCCACACTTAAACAGTCTCAATCGGGCATCGAAAGATTGCCGGTTGAGAACCTTCGGAAATGCTGCAGATGTTGCTATGGGCTGGTTATCCCATAGCACTGATATATCTTGTCTGAAATTTGAACATAGTGCAGACCATTATTGAGAACTGTGGTCAACTACTCCGTAGGTTGTATAAAATGCAAGCATTCTTTCTTTGCGCTGGACTCTTCTTGCCCACAGGGTTTGTTTTTGTTGCCATGTCTTGGGCTTGAATCGGGCACCATGCCATGCCTCAAGACCTGTCGTCATAGGGTTTGATGTCTGCTAGTGATAGCGCAACTTCTGGCCGCTGCGTAGTTGTATCTGTAGAAGCCTTGGCTTCTACCTGTAGTGATTGTGAAGAGTCAACCACCATCGGGTTTCGATGAGCTGATCATAGCTACTCATCCAGCGATGCGTCCGGAATGATATTCCGCTGAGCGGTAGACAAATTGGAGCACCGTGCATCTTCCAGTCTCGCCAGTCCGGAATGGTATAAATGCATGAAAGATATGACCGCGCGCTCTCACAATCCTTTCAATCGTGCATTTCTTCGCTCCTCTTCTCGCTTGGCTCCAACGCGATCCAAGAAATCCATACGGCCAATGAATCCCTCCTTGGCTTTGCTATGAACCTTGAGCTCGTCCTTGATGCCGGCCTCATCCACGTATGCAGCCCAATCCAGCCGTGACTTTTCGACAGTATTGATCTTGGGCCCGCGCAAGCCCTCAGCCTGGCCGGTGATGTCAGCAGAAGCTTGCTTATCCCAGCTCTTCTTAATGGTTCCGGTCGGGTTCGGATCAAAACGTGAGATCTTGCGGAGTGGGCGACGTAGCTTCAGCGCATCCTTTACATTTGCAGCGTCTTCCACATCGGCGTCCGTCACGCTCTCGGCGCTCTCGCCGTTGGCCAGGAAGAGTTTCGCCTCGGCAGAGTCCTTGGGGACGATTTTTTCCTCCGTGATCATTTCGCCTGCGAACTTGTAAGTCCTCTTGATCTTCACCATCTCTTCCGTGTATGGAGGTTTCGATTGGGATAAAGCCTGTTTATCGGTGGTTTGGCCGTCCTTGTCTTCCCTCGAGGGAACTGTGTCCTGTTGCTCCGTCTGCAAGGGTAGAGGTGCTGAACCCGAGTCATGAGCATTCATCCGCGCCCACAACGCATCCACGTCCACCGTGGCACCGTCAATCTTGGCCAAGGGTTTTCTTTCTTCTTGCCTGGAAGGAATCTTAGTTAATCGTGCAGCTTCAAGCCGGAGGAGTCTTAACGCACATCTTCATCCTCATTGCGCGCGTCCGCACAAAGCCCCCCGGGCCCCCTTCCTCATCATCATCGAAGTCCACATCATCCTCATCCTCATCGTCGTCGTCGCTGGCGTTTCCTTTGCCTTTCTTCTGTTTCTGCTTGTTCTGTTGTTTCGCCTTCGCTTTTTGTATCATCGCTTCATCTCCAGAATCAAGAGCTTTGTCATCATTTTCGGTCTCCTTGACCCCCGTTTTGAGTCTTTTCGCTGCCGGCTCCGTCGCCTCGTCTTCGCTGTCTGAACCGGTCAGTTCGGCGTCTTCCTGTTCGGCGTCAAGCTGGAAGTCTTCGTCTTCTGCGGAGTCATATTGCTCGTTATTAAAGTCCAGCTCGGCGGCAGCGGCTGTAGGGTCTGTCGCCATCTTGTCCTTTGGCCTGAAGTTTGATTTCAAGGTGAAATCAAGGAGAAGGAGATGGTCGCTTGAGAGGCGCGAAACAAAAGATAGCGATTCTGCCAGGCGGTGTAATTATATGCCAGTTGACCAGCTCCAGGATTACGTAACATAGCAAAGCCAATCAGCATCACTTATCTAGGAGATGCTTTAGTATTGTGGCCGACTCAATCTGACGAGAAGGCATCTTACCACGACACTGTGGACGATGATAGCCAAGGAAAAATTGTGAAGACGTTCAAATATAGTTTGAATGAAGGTACTTTTGGCCAGTCAGCGTCAACATTATTGATGCTGCGATATACTTCGCAGGAGAATGGCCCAGATGGCCTCAAACACCCATCCAGATCATCTTGATCCACTTGAACTGGAGATATTGAACCGGCGAAATGCCTTTGATCTACCACCAAGGACGGTCTGTGACGCTCTTGTAGACGTGTTCTTCAAGTGGATCTCACCGGTTCTTCCTGTAGTCAATAATCATGACTTCATGCGAAAATACAATGACCCTCAAAACCCCCCATCAATTCTTCTACTTCAAGCTATGTTGATGGTAGCATCCAGGTACTACCATGACGAGAGCTCTCAAGGATGTGGAATATCGCCACGTATCTGCTACAAGAAGGTAAAAGCTTTATATGACGCTGGCTACGAGAGCGACTCTACCGCGATTCTCCAGGCTGTGGTCTTGTTGGGTGTGTTTTGGGATGGGCCAGATGGTAGGTCTGTTGAGTCTCACTGGAGCGAAGATCTGTGTTGACTGGTTATAGAGCTTACTGAGAATGGCATATTCTATTGGAGCCGTCTCGGTATAGCCTTGGCTCAGGAACAAGGGCTTCATGAGAGGTACGCTTCACCCAGGACTTGTTTCTCCATTTTGGGTACTGACTAGCAGTGTAGGGAAACATATGCACTACTTTCCCCAGAGAACCAGAGCATCTGGAAGCGTATCTGGTGGACGCTCTATACCCGCGACCGCTCGGTGGCTGCAGCGTTTGGTCGTCCGCTTCACATCAATGCCGAGGATTGCACAGTGGAAACGTTGACGGGGAAAGACTTTATTGAGTACGACGAGCAAACCGGCATCCGACAGCCTACGGATGATACGGCGGCTCAATTTTTTATCCAATATGTGAAGCTCTGCCAACTCATGGACTTGGGTCTATGTCTGAAACTATCGTCAAGATCAACGCAGGAAAGCCGAACGAGAGGGGCAGCCCAGTGTGAGCTCGGCCTCAACGAATGGCTCACCGATTGTCCTTTCGAGCTCCAGTGGCGACAGTCCCGACATGGCTTCTGGCCAGCGATGCTATGCTCAACTTTTTAGTGAGCTTTCCCTGGCCGGCTCTGGCAGTGCAATCCACTAACTAGGGCGGCAGTACGATTGTATGCCAGCTACATCTCTTAAAAGCACCCTACTCTTCGCAAGAATCCCAGAGTTCGGCCTTCCATGCTGCCTCGACCGTTATCTCTATCCTCGAGACACTTCAATCGAGGGACGAACTCAAATACACACCTTCGTTCATGTGAGTTCAATATCATCTTTCGCAGTTGCCCTAAGATCATGAACTGATCTCTGTTCAGAATCTGCCATGCTGTAGTATCTTTCGTCACGCTCAAATGTCAAATGGAAGCCACAGTGCCGTCGCTCTTGCATGCCATTAGACTGAAGTTGGAAGCGAATCTTGACATGCTTGGAGCCTTAGCTCCAACATGGCCGATTGCATCAATGTTTGTGGAGCTCTTTCGTTCGATGACTGGGCCAGAACAATTTAGTCCGCTATTATCAGTTGCGACAGATAATTGCAGAAAGCGCGCACGTGGAGAGGAAGATGGAGGCACTGTTCCCTCTCGATCTACAGGCCCCTTCAAAAGACCGAAGGTGCAGCAGGTGATTCTCCCACAGACCAAAGTCGTCCTTCAAATCCTGCAGCGGGAAGCCCAGAGACGGCTTCCTTTATCCAGCTCACTTCAAAATGCATCGCATCAGGAAAGTGAACGAAAGCATCTCGGTGCTAATTTTGATAACAAACATTCTACGCCATCTGATGAGGTTGAACCAGAGCCAGAAAATTACGACGCGTCAACAATATTGCAGAGCTTACGGCAGGTGATTGAGATCGCCAAATCAACTTCTCTCCATTTTCAGGATGGCAATGTCTCGTGAGGATAACCTACTGTATGGACCCAAAATCTACTTGGTCTTTTTTCACTACATATAAGCATCGAGGTACTTCCTGCGAGCAACATCCTTGTACAGGAAGAGACTATATCGTGTACAGGTTTCTGGAATTCCTCAAACCCACGGTGAACTGACATGAAAGCAATGGTATATCGCCCAATTGATATGATTGACCGTTCTGTCAATTCGTCTAGAGGTCTTAGGAGCAAGTCTGAGGATCTTTTCTTCTCCCAATCTGACATAGACATGAAGGGGGAGGTGGTCCTTTGTTGACGCAGATTGAATTAGAAACTCGACACAAAAATCCTTAGCTCCAGGGTCATCTAGAAGCCGAAAATTGAAGAATGAGGTACTCTAGGAGCTATTCGGCATCCTTATGCAGGGTCCAAACCCTAATCAGGCAGAAGCAGCAGTCTTCTCCAAGAGATATATAGATCACGCACGCAAGTGACAGCTTTCACATGATAAAGGCAAACTTCTAGTGGGAGAACCCAATAGTATCGACACCAGAAGTATGCATGGTGTACGGAGTATGTAGGCTTCGGAATAGAAGATTAAAGATTAATAATCTCTCCGCATCGCGCCAACTGGGTCGAACGGGCCGACCCGCGCTCGGTGATTGTACACTTACAAGTCGTGACTTACCGAGGATGAGGGAGCTTGCAACTGTCATAACTGGTCTATTTGAAGGCAGCATGTCCTGATCTCAGTCCTCTCAATACGGCCATTCCGCTCAAACCCCCCTTAAGACCCCAAAATGACATCAGTAAAGCCTGTCGCGCTGGTGGTGGGCGCCTCCCGCGGCATCGGCAGACAGATCGCAATTGACCTGGCAAAGAATGGCTACAAGGGTACGTCCTCTCTCACAAAGTCCAGACTCGACAGAGATACTGACAAAGCTCGCAGTCGTCGTAGCAGCCAAAACCACATCCAACGCCTATGAAACCACCCCTTTTCCGCCGGATCCGAACTCCTCTCAATCGACAATCAACACCGTCGAGCGAGAGATCAAAGAGGCTGGCGGCGAGGCGTTCGCCATCCCCGTTGACGTCCGCGATGTGAGCGAGGTTGAGAAGATGGTCCAGGAGGCTGTCCGTCTGGCTGGGCGCCTGGATGTCCTCGTGTACAACTCAGGCGCGATCTGGTGGTCGTCGGTGGCGAATACGCCCACCAAGCGGTTCCAGCTCATGCAGCGGATGAACCCGGAGGGTTTGTATGCAAGCGTGCAGGCGGCGCTGCCGTTTTTTGAGAAGAACGAGTGGAAGGGACGGATTGTTGTTGTCTCACCGCCGATTTACTCGCGGTTCTTTAGGGGGAAGACCGCTTATGCTATGGGTATGGCTCATGCCTGTTACTGACTGTGAAATGGTATGACTGACAGTGGCTATAGGTAAGGTGGGGATGAGCGTTCTCACTCGGGGCCTGGCTATGGATTTTGTCAGACAGGGCGCGAAGGATATGGCTATTACCAGTATCTGGCCTGCTGTTGTACGTTCACTCCGTTCGCTTCTCTGGCGCGTCTAACCATTTACCTCCAGTCAATTGAGTCAGCCGCCACTGAGATGACTACTCGAGAAGATGCAAGTCGGAAAGCTGACCTTCGAAAGCCGGTGAGTACTCTCTCTGCACCTTGTTGTTGTACGAACTCATACTAAGGAAGTATAGACGATTTTCTCCGACGCGATTCTAGAAATCATCAAAGCTCCTGCGGAGACAGTCAATGGGCACCTGGTTCTCGATGAGGACTTTCTGCGAGAGCGTTGTGGTGTTTCTGATTTCTCCAAGTATGCTGTTGTGCCGGGGTCTCAGCCGCGTCGCATCATGCCCCAGGAACTGCCGGTCCTTGAGGTAGCAGAGCAGGACGATGAGGGTACTCGAATGGATAGTACAACGCTGAGAAGGGCAAAGTTGTAATTGTTTTGTCCAAGATATAGCAGAATATATAGACTTGAGTCAACGCAGTAGTATTGAAATCGACCTGAACGGTTTGAGCTTAGTACTATACTATGTTCCTTTCTCTAACATTTTTCTTTACAAAAAAAAGCCATGCATTGCTGCAAATATACTCTCCAAGAATCGATTCGAAACCATGTGAATCATTGCCACATAAATACAACCACCCACGGCACATCTACAATCTCGCCGTTAACTTCAGATTCTCATGCGGCAACCCCAAAAACTCCCACATGTAATGAAATCGATCACTGCCAAAGAACGGCTCGCTTTCGCCCTCTTCATTCGTGACCCAGAACCACGGACACCCGAACGCCCCCAGCTCCTTGACAACCCGCCCCGTGGTCGCGGTCAACTCCTCCTTCACAGCTGGGTCGGACGCTTTAGCAAGGATCTCTTGAGTCTCCGCCGCAGTGAAGCACTTGCACTTCTCCAGTGCCTGGACAAGGTACTCCGGCTTGGAGATATCCAGCTGGCCGTTCCACATCGTCTCGAAGCATGCGAGGAATGCGGGCGCAAGATGCTGTGGATGGTGGCGTTTGATGAAGGTCAGAGCTCGCTGGGGCTGATTTATCTTTTAGTTTCTTTGTGGTAATTCTCGGGATGGGGAGGACACGTACCAGGAGCGACAAAATGGGGAAGAAGGAGGGGACTTCGAAGTTATGGCCAAAGTACTTCTGGGCTCGTTTACCGTCATATTTGCTGTAGGCCGCTTTGGCGGGGAGAGTCCATGGGGGTTTATTCCCTGCTTTGAGTCAGTTTCTTTGCTTTTATGCTTATCTTTGAAGCTGAGCTGAGATGGACAGACGGACCACTGCCTACGTTGATCCCGCCGAGGAAAACGGGGATGTATCTATGAGATGAGGGTTAGTGGATGCTGTTCTCACACAAACTGGTAGTTGTAGTACTCAATCTCCACGCCGTTGGAGGCAAGTGCCTCTGCATTTTGTTGCAGATATGTGAAAGCGTAGTAGCTGTATGGCGAAACTATGGGGATGGATTAGCATCTCATCGGCAAATCCTCGAAGATGAACGACAAACCGCAGTCAAGGTAACACTCGATTTTTTTGCCCATGGTGAACAGATTGATGTATTGCAGTGAATTTGAAATAGGATGTAATGATGCAGAGGGTCGCAGTTGTTTATTTCATTATTACCGTTTCTAATCAGTGGAGAATCATGGGATGGATGTTGGAGCAATTGTGGAGAGCCGAGGATGCCCCCTACTGTCACTGTCTTATATCCGACGCCAGGTCGGCTTCTTTCACGACTAAGAAGTATGAACACTACTGCTGTCGGCTAACATACATAGACCAGCAACGAGGTAACCAAAAATGAAACAAGGATCTGATCATTACCGTCCCCTTGAAAACGAGAGGAATTTCATCCTGGACATCTCAACATCAAGTCATGACACCATGAGCCTCACGTCCCCAACTATACACCATTCACCTTCCTCACGGCAATCCGTATCTTCTCCAACTGTGCACTATCCTCTCTCTGCTTGACGACACTCCGGTCCAGCCAGAGCGCAGCAAGAGCCACAACACCCCGCACAACTTCCAACCCGACCAGCAGCGCCAGAATCACAAATGCCGCCTGCGTCTCCCTACAGTCCCTCGCAAAATGCGTCGGCGCATGCACATCCGCGTCCTCGCTCGAGGTGACGCTCCCGAGAGCCTTCCACTTGCACGTCCACGAGTGCAGCGTTTCGTTCTGCGAGAACCCATCCGGGTACGTGGATCGGGGCAGGTAGATCGAGAACGCAAGACCGATTGTTGCGGCTAGCAGTCCGGCAAACGCCGTGCCTGAAGCGAGGATGTTGAGACGCCGGATGTGCGAATGGGGCTGGAGGGTGTCTGTTAGCATGAACGGCCCTGCAATACATCGACTGTTGACAAGGGTCAGGACTCACCGAAGGCAGCAGAGCAGCGATGATATACACCAGGTTCTGAAGGGCGATTACGCAGCCGCACGACAAGATTGCGATTGTCGGTTGCAGGTCGAAGTTTAATGGCCACAGGGCGAGTCCTGCTTCTTCGAAGGCGGATGTGCTGCGGTAGTGCTGGTATGGTACGGCTTCGCAGCCGACTGCCGCGAGCGCGCAGCTGAGGCAGATGATCGAGACACCCAGTTGGATCCAGCCAAGATGACGATTTTTCTTGAGGAAGGTCGACTCGTCGTGGTCGGAAGCACAGGAGACCGTGTATGAGCCACCAGAGCCTGAATGGAATGAACCGGTCTCCATCGTAAAGGTCGCAACAGGTGGAAATGGGGGTTGTTGAAGAGACAAATGTGAAGATCCACGCTGCACGGCCAGTTACAGAATAAAAGCTCGATCAGTCTTGCCAGAAGACGGAAACGATCGAATAGGGACGAAGTGAAGCTCCAAGAAGACTACAAATACAGAGAACAGAAATTCGAAGGAAACAACGTCAAATTCAAACAACTGAATTTTCGAGATGAGATGCCAGTCACTTGCAAGTGCGGTTTCAACAAACTCATCGTGGGATTTATACTCTCTTAACCATAATCCTAGCGCATGGAGAGTCAAGCACCTCTAGCCGCCGAGATGATGGGAGGAAACGCTCATTCGCCATCCACTGTCCTATGACTGCAGATTCTGCGGATTTTACTTGAGGAAATATTCCTATATTGGGCTACAGCAAGAGTCAGACTCAAACCTTGTGTTCCCCTGGCGCGTAGAGGCATAATGAAGAGATCGATGGTTCTGGGGATTGGAGGATTCAGGGCATTGGCCTCGAGCGCCACTGCGTCTATCAATCATTCAGGCGGTTCACCAGCGTCTCGTTTGAAGGAAGAGGGTGATGATGGTGCGTTGCAATGCATTAATGTCTACAGAATATACTGGTCTGAAAAAAGCCAAAAGGAGAATTCGGTTAGAAAATTGTCATGGTTTAATACGGACACTTAAAATTGCCACCAGAAAGAAACATATTAGCAAAGGGGAATCAATCACAATCATCAGCAAACAGAAAAATAAGTAAGCATGACAAGGGCAGAAGAGCATATCGTTAAATTCTTCTCCACCTCGTACTTTTTTGGCATATCTCAAGTTCAGTCATGACCGGAAACCCTTCGTCGCCAGTCTTCGCCCGTGCGGTGCACATCGACCACGTCAATGCGCTTCCCAATACCGGTCAGACCGTCCTTCTGCCACCATTTCTCACCCTTGTCGGCGAGTACGGATTCATCTTCACTGTCGATCAGACCGCCACGACCGCCGTCATCTCCCACCACAACGACGACCTGTCTAACCCATCCGGAGATGTGTTGCACCGCATCACCTTCTTTGCCTGTCATAGACTCTTGGACGTAGACAATGTCAGGCGATAGGTGACGCACAAGATGGACGAATCCGCCGGGGGTACTAAAAGGCATGATGGTGTTTTCTTTATCGGCAATGGACTGCGCCTGCGTGTAGAGAGTGCGGAAGAGGGGCGTGGCGCCGTCCTGCTCATCCACTGGGCGCGGCTCCAGCGTAGACAGGTCTGCACACGGTGGTTCTCCAGGAGATCTAGCCTCCTCAGGGGCGATGTTCGAATAAGACGATGTGACGGAAAGAGTAGGGTTCGACGAGCCATTTTGGTTCGGGGTATGCTTCAAGCCGGGCGCATAGATAAGAACAAAGATCTTCGCGGTGTCGGGATCGATATGCTCGGGAAGATGAGACAGAATAGACTGTTTCACGACGCGTTAGTATGTAACTCAAAGAACGACACCTGAAGTACCTACTGCGTGCTCGGAGGCAAAATCCTCGTCGTCATGGTTAGACAGCACGGAGGATACAACGATCGCTACCGTCTTCTTCCTCTTCTCAGGGGCAGAGGGGCCGCTGGCAGCGCTTCGTGTAGGGATTGCACCACTCACGGCAGGCGCTGCCGCAGCAGGCTGGCCGGCCCTATCGTTGGCTCGCGATCGGACTTCTTCAGACCATCGGGAGTGATCCTCAAAGTCGCCGCGATCCTCCTCACGTATCGATGTAAGAGCGCTGCCCATGAACGCGCCCGCAGCGGCCACACCCGCCGCGACTCGTCGACTGGCACCATCAAAAATCTGTTGAGGGCTTGGTGTGCGGCGTAGCGCGCCCTGCATACGAGCCATCATACCAACATCATCACCCTGGAAATCCGTCGCCGTGGACCTGGCGTATGCGCCATCAATACCGGCGGAAGGAATCCCGTCCGCACCCGGCGGGGGGTGCCGGTCGTCGTCGAGGGGATATTCGCCTTCATGATTATTATTATTCTCGTCGCCGTCGTCGTCGTCACTTCGTTCACTCCATATCCAAGCTGCGACACCAACTGTCGCGATGCCGACCGTCAAAGCTAGAGGGACCCAGTAGCCCAGGACTGTCCGTCTCCCTGACGAGCTGAAGCCGGTACCAGCTCCTATCCGCCGCCGACGGCCATCCTGGGAGTATGGGAAAGACATTGCGGTCAATGAAAGTCGATTGATGGTTGGCGCATAGAATTCAGTCCGGTCGCGATGGCGTGCAACAATCACATCGCAAAAATAATTCGTCCAGGAAGGAAAAAAAAGGGTGGTTGGTTGAGGGACAGGGAGAAGGAGAGGTCGGCCGCTCTCTCTCCCTAACTAACTAACTAACTACCTTACTAGCTCAAGGCTGGGCCTCGGAGAAACATGTGGCTGGTGATGTTCTCCCACTGTAACCTCCGCATTGTATGGAGTACCTTACGGAGAAAGGTAAGGTACCTGGTAAACGGTATGTTACCGCAGGCTTACAATACAGGGCAGATAAATGTTTGCACTGTTTGCTTTTGGGCGATGTTGCTGAGTCATCTCTGCTATCGGCACGTGATGGCGGGATTGTCCAACAAAAAGATGGAGGATCGTCTGGATTGGATATCGATTTGAGTCAGAGCCAGAAGAAGAGAAGCAGCACACTCTGCTGGGCCGTTGCAGGACAAACATCTGAGATCCTTGGACCTTCATCCGAACAGTTGGTGCTGTGGAACCTTGTTTCAGTGAAACGTCGAGGAAGCAGGGCACACACGACGGTCCAACCCCTCATTTCTTACGACCCCGATTTCTCGAGTCTTCCTCGTTTCCGTGAACCATAGAATCAGACTGATCCTACCTGTTAGAAGGCCCTACGACAGCTCTTCTCGCGATGCCACACTCTGTTCCTGTGCCCCCGACGGGCTTCCAGGCCATCATTCTATGCGGGCCTGGCGTTTCCCTCAACACCTTTACCTCGAACCCCGAAGAATTTCCTAAAGCGTTATTACCCATTGCGAACCGTCCTATGGTGTGGTATCCTCTGGATTGGTGTTATCGGATGGGAATTACCAGTGAGTGATCATGCTTTGCTATCCGTCGATTGGGATGGCCGATTGTGTCTGGCTGTGCCTTTGACGTAATTATTCCTTGCGCACGAATGGTGATCTGACTGAAATAAGACATCACCCTTATTACGCCTCCCGCTAGTCAAGCTCCGTTAGAAGCTGCGCTGTCACAAAATCCTCATCTCACATCGCTTCCCGCACCCTCACCGTCCGTGGTCGCGCCGGCCGATCTCACATTGACGACGGGTACTGCCGAGCTGCTTCGGCTCCCCGAAGTCCAATCATGCATCAAGTCCGATTTTCTCCTTCTCCCGTGCGACCTCATCTGCGACCTCCCCGGAGAATCTCTGCTAGAAGCTTGGATGGTTACGCAAAGTGCGCTGGGCGGCTCCACTATCAGCGACGGCTGGAGCGCCAATGGCCCTAAGAGCCTGGGGATGGGAGGGGAGGAAGGCGGGCGCCGCGGCGGTCTTGGTGTATATTACCAAACGCGCGGACGGGAAGAAAGTGTCAAGGGCGAGGTAGCAGATTTTGTGGCCACCACATCGCTGGAGCCAGACGAGGCGCCAGCCGTCTCTCACCTTTCGGAAGGACCCGCTTCGATTCGGTACGGTCTGTCGAAGTTAGTGCTTTCTATCCCCATGGATACGCTTAAGGAACAGATGGAGGAACAAAAGGGACTTCTTATCCGTCATTCGCTGGTGAAGAAGCATGCGCAGGTGAAGATGTTGACCACCTATCGCGACGCCCACATCTACGTATTCCCCTACTGGGTCAAGGAGATGGCCCTGCTGAATGAAAAGTTCGAGAGCGTCGGTGAGGATCTGGTGGGATGGTGGGCCAAATCGGAATGGCAGACCGGTCTAGCGGAGAAGCTCCGACTGAGAGAGATCTTCGAGCCGGAGAGACATGGAGCGGGAGAGAGTGCAAGCCTGGACGGCGAGTCCATCGAAGAGGAAATCGATCTCAAGGCAATGAGCACCACCAAGGCCGGTGCTGGCACATCGCGCGATGCGCTGTCGGAGGATCCGACTGAAAACCTGCAGTTTGCCTCCCGAGTGAAGAGAACAGGCACGGACCTGGGCACAGAGACACCAGAGAAACCGAAAGGCAAACTGACCGTGCCACCCATCCTGGCATACATCCACTCCTCGGTTCCCTCCGCACCACTCGTACGACGCGTCGACACATCCGCCCTGCTCCTGTCCGTCTCGCTCCGGCTGGCCAAGCTCGAATCCATCGAAGAGGCCGGCCGCGTGGCGGCCTCGCCGTTCGCCCACAACCAGAAGGTGGCATACCCCGCTGGTGTCGCTCAGCGGTGCACGGTCACCAAGGCCGACTGCCTCCTGGCGGACAACGTCACGGTGGAGGAGAAGTGCGTGATCAAGGAGTCTGTGATTGGCGCCAACTGCCACATCGCCAGCGGGGCGCGGTTGACGCGCTGTCTCATCATGGACGGGGCCGTTATCGGCGAGCGCTGCCAGTTGACGGGATGCATTGTCGGCCGGCGCAGTCAGATCGGCCGCGAGAGTGTGCTCAAAGACTGCGAGGTACAGGACGGCAACATCGTCCCCGAGGAGACGGACGCGAAGAACGAGAAGTTCATGGTGTTTGAGGGGCTGGACCATGAAGACGGCGACGGGATGGACATGTCCGAGGAGTTTAGTGATGACAACGACGAGCTGGGATTCTAAGGGGCTGGGGGTATGACTTTTCTGCATGGCCCCTCTGAAGTTTTTGATGTCTAATGACAGATAGATGCTTGATACCGTTTTACGTCTATAGAAAAAAGAACTGTTTGAATCTTCTCTTAGATCATCCATTGCAAACTGCCCTCTTGCTTACAAGGCAGTTGGAAATTACTCCGTTGCTAAAAGAAAAAAAAGAAAAGAAATAAGCAAATCGCAAAGCACAGTGGTATCATAAATCCCATCCCAACGCCATATCCATCCACGCACATCACCACCCATAAACAAACACAACGAATAAAGAGAAAAAAAAAAAAAAAAAAAAAAAAACACCCAGGTACGACACCCCACTAGTACTGCGCTACTGCTCCCTCTTCTCCTTCTTTCCCCGCCGCCCCTCCTGCCCCAGCGACGACTTCCCAATCCTCACCATCTCCTGCCTCTGCTTTCCATTCCGCCGGTACCGGATCTGCCGCACCATCGTCGCCTGCGGCATCTGCAGCTTCCCGCCTCGTCCTGATGACGAGGCCGCCAGGCGCGGCCCAGGCCCAGGCGTAGATGTGGGTGTGGGTGTCAGGGGTTGGCTGGGTATGCGTAGGTCTGTTGGTGTTGGACTTGGGGGGAGAGCGTCTGTGTCTGCGTCTGTGTATGCAGCTATGTCTGTGTCTGCGAGCGCGAGCGCATTCCAGTCCAAGTCCAAGTCCAAGTCCAAATCCAAGTCCAAGTCCCAGGTCTTGGCTGGGTCGGGCGGCGAGGTGGTATTGGAGTTTACGTTCACATTCACTTTCACGTCAGGATACAGATGCAGATCCAGATCGAGATCCAGATTCGGGGGTTGAGGGGTGAATCCCTCCAGCTGCAGCATGTTCATCTCCGCCTCCCATGCCAATCCCGGCTGCGGCGCGGGCCCCGGCGCATAGAAATAAAAGTCCGCTGTGGGGGGTGCGACGAGGGTCGAGTCCAGGCCGGCGGCGGCATTCCCGGATTCAGGCAGCACGGAATCCCAGGGCGCGGTGTTGCTCGTCAACGCATTTGACGGCTCCGGGTACCGGCGCGCCAGTGTGCTTGGATGTGGTTCTGTGAACCGCTTGTGGTCGCCGCGCGCGTAGAAGCGCGCGATCATGTTTAGGAAGCCTGGCTGGTCGGGCTCGGTGTTGAGGATGGTCGAGAGGATCTTTGCTGTTAGCAGGGTGTGGGGTTGGGGCTGGGGCTGCTGGTGCTGGTGCTGGTGCTGGCAGAGGGGGCATGGGTGGCCGAGCAAGCCGGTTGAGGTTGGATCTCGTGGGTGGGAGGGGAGCTTGTGGAAGGGACAGGCGATGGTCATAGGGACGAGGTGGTCACAGCTGTGCCAGAAGATGGAGAGGTGGCACATTTCGGAATAGGCGATGATGCTGGTGCAAGTGGTCCTTGATGATGATGATGATGATGATGATGATGATGCTGGTGGTGGGTATTTGTACGTCCTTGATGAAGGAGCTGGGTCTTGCGCGTGAGGTGAGAGTGCTGCTTTGAGGTCATTGTTGATGGCATTGTGGTGGTGAGATGAAGCAAGAGGAGTGTTGAACAAAGACTTGGGTATCAGGGAGATGGGCAGGGTTAAGTCTACTACTGGTAATGGAGAGGGTGAAGATTGCATTGTGTTATGTGTCTGTGGTGGTTAGTATATAATGGGTTGCTTTGTATATTAGTGTTTCAGGCTCTATAAGGTCATTGTTGATGGACTCAACAATGAGATTGAATGGAATTGATCAAGAGTGGTGTCTAATGTCCTCCTTTGTGTGTTTTGCCAAGTGATATACTTCAGAGGTGAAGATGCCTGATCAACTAGATCTATCCAAGAGATGAGATGCCTCAGGCGTTGATGGGCCCCCAGAACACTAAAACACACAAAATATCAAAGGATACATTATTGCTTATTCATAAACAGTTCATATCTTCTATCTCAGGGTAGTTAGTAGATGGCATCAGTTGCATCTCCTGATATGGTCAAATCAGCACGTTATGCACCCTCTGTATACTCTCCAGCTGAGGCGACCATCTTTGCACCGAGTATCTATCTAGTATCTACTACTACCCAAGACGATCTAGTTACCAAGATCCTCAGCTGAAACAAGCACATGTCAGCCAAACGCCTTTTCAAATCGAACCACCAGATCTCGATCTCGATCACATCCCCGACGTCTTCTCGAATGCGACGAGGTCCGTCTAGACTGTGGCAACATCTCCTCATGTGCATCAGTCGATCTCTTCCGTAGGATTCCTCACAGCTTCTATCACGACGTAGGTTTCCACTATCTCTCAGTTATCCAGTGTCCATCCAGAGTGATCCACTGCTTGCCACATCATTTGTCTCACTATTTTTAGAACCCCAGTGCAGCGTGCAGCATATCCTTGCGTATGATGGAGGAACCTCTGCTTCTGGTAGATTCGTCTGGAGCCGTGTCTCAGATGCTATATAGCCTTTTGTCGAGTACCTGATCACTTACAGGTTACAGCGTAAGTAGGAGGTATGCTATCAGTACTTGCGTTGTAAGCGACAGACCTCCAAAGTACAAGTTGTCCATAGTCAAGGACGGAGTACCAGTACAAGAACAACCCCACCAGGTGGATTGTCTTTCCCGTTGCAGCGAGCTGCAGATGAGACCAGGTAAGGTTAGTTGCCTGGGGCTAGTAAGTTATCTCTACTCCGTACTATATCTAGTACCTATTTAGTAGTTAGTTACCACTCAAATAGTCATATTTAGTAGCTTCACCTCAATATGAGCCTGCCAGTCAGGATCGGCGAAATGCTTGTTAAGAACCTAAGATTGACCAATGATGTTTAGAAAACTTTCTCAACGGCGCGGTGGAAGAGAGAGGCGGCTTCTCTGGTCGTATTATTGTACTGTGTATGGTCAGATGACAGGAATAGCTTGCTTAAGAGAGCTCCTGAAGGATTCAAGAGTCATATGGAGTCCAGATAGACTATACTCCGTAGGCTATCTATAGATCTAGAGCTGAAGGGTCTTACCACGGCTGGAGTGGTTTCATGTTGATTCAAGGGTTTCCTGAGTCCTGACAGCCTGGACGAGATAGATAGAATATAGACAGATATAGTTCTACGGAATGTGTCAATTAGAGTGCTTGTGCAATCTCGCCCAGGAGATCAGCTCTGCCACTCAGGTACAAGTGAAATGAATGTTAGATTGATTGGACTAAAATTCCAGTATCAAGGCAGGCTACTAGTAGGTAATACTGACTGACTGTTTGGGTTTATCCTGAGATGGATAGCGTTTTGTGCCCTGATCTGGGCTCTGGGCTCGGAATGTGCGGGCGCATCGGACTGGACTGGACTGGACTGGACTCAGAACGCAGACGATTTCCTTGATTTTGGGTGGAATCGATCCAGGGTCCAGCTGTCAAGAAACTTACATAGTAAGACATTTTTCTCCAAGCGGTCTGCTCGAATGTTCTGTACGATCGACCGTGCAAGAATTGTCATTTTTGGACTTTTGGACTTTGTAGACTCATATCGGAACAGAAGTACACCCGCAGACCATCATCTACTACCAAGTACCAAGTACCAATGTTTTCTCCACACTTTCATTTCCCCGGATAACTAGATAGTTGTCGATGGCTTCTAAAGTTCTATGGCTTATGCCGTTATGCGACTTCTCTGTGGATGGCCATGATGAGTCTAGCGCCGCACCGCACTGCACTCCATCTTTCCATCGACTGGGATCCTGATCCATTCTCCCTCCTCCTGAGTCCTACACAGTAAATTCCTAACTCCTAATTCCTAAGGTTTGACAGTCGCCAACTTCCTACTATGTAGATTGAATTAAGTGCTAACTGCTAACCCTCTCCAGCCAGAACCACCTAAACTTTAGTCCAAGTGTCATTGGCCATTGCGCCCTTTTCAACCGTTCAACTTGCTCGCTAACGAGGTTGGCGTGAGGGGGACGGCATGGATGACGGGCCACTAACTGGGCCACCAGCCCGTGATCGTCGCAACTCGCGCCCATGCACGGCGACGCGACAAACCAAATACTCTGTAAGGTACCCTCACCCAGGTCCCAGAGTCGGTGACTTTCTAGTTTCTACTACTCCGTACTACAGAGTAGATAGATAGCTGTGGGCCTTGTTTCTCGCTTTTCTTTTCCCTTTCCAGTTTCCACTTCTGTCTTGTCGCATGTTCGGTCTTTTTGGTTTTGTAACTGTGGTTGAAGGGCAAGTGGAGTTCGGAGTTGAGACTCGTGAGAAGCCGGCCTAGTAGTGGGTGCAGTTCAGTGGACTACAGTACCTTAGGTACCTATTATTGATCCGCTATCTCCGTATCGGGCAATTTAACAGCAGCTCAGAGCAAGATAGAGGAGGATACTCGAATTCGCCATTCAATCAACGACGGAGTTTACGGTTCGGGGAATCTGAGCAAAGGTCGAGCTAGTGTGAGGTGCACTCACTTATCTCATTATCCGGTAGACGGACGTCTCTTCGTATTATTACAACTATGGGTATTGAAGGTAAGACTATGCTATGGTGAGTATCCATCACTCAACGCGTGGACCTCAACCGTGAAGGTCAACAAGACGCTGATGAAGAGGCCCAAAATCTGAAACTGGTTTCAACCAACTTTAAAACTGGCCTGTCATGATCACCCTCCAGCGCGGGAGATACAGCCCTCGAATAAGCTGCTTGAGTTGCGTGTCGATCACGCGGGAATTCCTTGCGTGGATCTGCGACTACTGACTCCACGATAGATAGTGGGGTGGGAATTGCGGTGCGATGTTTATCTCTGGTGTGAGTGTGACGGTGTCTACGTATCTACGGAGGAGAGGAGTCTATGATATGCTGATGAGTGATGAGAGTAAGGTGGGAATAATAACGTTTAGATACTTGGGTTTTGCTTTGTAAAGTTTGCGGTCTGGCTGGCGGGTGAGATTATGAGATGCAAAAGTGTGGGTCTGGCTCAAGATAGATGAGCGTGCGTGTTCCTGCTCTGTACTTACTCAGCGTCTTTGAAGATCCGGACCTTCTGTCTGTCAGTTGTTTCATAAAAGTAAGGAGATGAGTTGTACCTGTAGATCCGAGCACTCTCACACCAGTGAGATTGAATTCTTCACATGGTTGTATGTTGATGTGTGAATCGTATGATGTCCAGGGCTAATATAATTGATAACGAGCACACGGTGTTTTTCTACTCCGTAAGATATATATATAGTGAGCTGGTGACATCAAACCATCAAAAGCCAGTCCTCGGAACTCGGTACAGCCGAGAGTGGATCGGGTCTCAAGGAAGGCACGCACTGCGGATTACGTATCTAGCTACTGTGGTATATGAGGACGTGGACGAACCTCGTCACAGTGACTTGCTGATATGAGTTAGGTCGAATCTGAAGGTTGCCTCTACATCGCCAGGTAATGGATCGAAGCATCATTGGAGCTTGGAACATAAGAACATATCCCTCTCGAGTCTCAAGTCCCAACTGCCGAGTCTTCGGTCCCCAATCCTTATAGATGTTTCAGCCCAGCGTTAGTGTCAGACTCGCATGGTTGGTCTCGCGTGCAGCAGCCAGCAAAATAAAGAAGTGGAGAGTATGCTTTTGCTAGCTGTTAGCATTCAGCCTCATCTGATCCGTCCCAACTCCCAGGGCTGAACTTGAAGTTCAAAGTTCACTGTAACGACTACTCCGTAGATAGTTATCTGATTGATTCACCACGCTTCCTGCGTTCTAGCCTCATTCAGTTGGTTGTCAATCCGACCACGACATAGTGCCGATAGGCACCTGGACGGATTGGGAATCCATTCGGAAGAAAGAACTCGAGATGCGTTATCAGTCCGTATTGCGACACTTGACATCATCGAGCATAGGCTTTGTGAATGGTGAGTCCCTGCTAGCGTGGACGTGCATCCGGAGTACGTATCTCATAGTACAGGAGTTATTTTTTTTTTCTCTCCCTTTTGTTGTTGCCTTTCTGCTCGGTGTGCAGAGTGCAGGGTCAGGGACTCTGAACATCTTTAGACAGCTCAGCAATTGTAACTTAACTCGGTTATCAGTTCCTTTTCAAGGTTCGAAACGTCCTGTGGATAATCGTTTAGGTTTGGTGGAACATCCGGATCCGTGGGAACGATGGGAAAAATGCGAGCGGGAAATTCCCAAGGATGCAAGACATTGAACCTGCGTTGGGTAGATACTGGCTACTGGTTACTGGTTACTGGCTATCTACTGGGTCGTCTGGGTTGGGGCGGAAGTCCAAAGTCGCGCGATGAGAGTGTCCTAGCATCACGATTGAAGCTTCAGGCTTCAGAGATCAAAGAAGTCATCAAATTTATATCCATCTACGTACCGCATACGGGTAGGAAAAAGAGTCGAGATAGAGTCATGATGGGACAAAATCTGGGGAAACCCAACAATACAGCGTAATGTTGATTACGCAATACATAGACTTAACCCCTATTCTGCTCTCTACCTAGTATACCTACCTAGGTACTCCGTACTCCGTACTCTGTATGTCATAGGCATCGCTGATTTTCAACCCCTGCTCTGAAGGAAAGATCCTACCCGTCTACCGAAATGGGTACGAGCGACGAATCTACGAACTTCGAGAAGCTGCCGAACTATTGACAAGGTCATCATCGGAGTATAATCTCCATACTAGTAGTCATGGAGAAATCCCCAGGTTCTTGCTCAGGACTCGTACTACTGAACTACTACTGACTCGGTAGCGTCAGTAGGTCGTCAATACAGCACTAGCAGGTAGTGGTGTTACAACAGTACAGCTAAGAGTTTTAGCAGCCCGTGAGGTTGCGAATCGGCGTTCAACTTGCTAGCACGATCGGACTCGCTAGGACGTTAGTAACCTTAGTGGCAGACTAGCATCCCTAATGGTCCCAGACTAGTCAGTTATCTACGGAGTAAATACTAAATAGTCGTCTTCTGCAGCTAGCACGTTCTTTTTCTTTTTTTTGCCGCATCAGACCTAAAAACAAACACTGATGGAAATGGAGTCGTGGAAAAGGGGGGTGACTGTCTGGCACGCTTGGAGTAAATACAGTCACCCTAGGAAGTTGATCCACGACCAACTTGCATGAAGAAGAAGTTTAGCAGTCCGGAAGTCAAAACAAAAAAGAAAAAAAACCATCCCAGAGTATTCCGGAATATTCTCCATTTCGATGTCCATGTGTAGGGAAGTTGACTGTCTGTCGCATCACTCTGTATACCCACACCTTCCACGGGTGGAGCGGTTGGCGTTGAAGGGGGCTGAGCTGACCCACTGTTAGCTGTTTTTATGGTGGGATTTCGTACTCTGGATACAGTCAAGTAATGTACTCCGTACAACAGTTGTCAGTCTTAATCCTGCATGGGAGGTTGCTACTACCTAAGAACCTATGGAGATTCCTAGGTAAACTTGTATCAACCGAATCAGTTACCAAATTTTCCATACAGCAGCAATACAGAGACTGATTCAGCCCTCAGGATACCTTACCTACTAGTACATTCAAACTACCTAGATGCTAAGATGATTGTCCATGTCTTGGATCCCCTCCCCTTCTCTAACAATAGTGTTCCAGTGGAAGATCAATATGGTTGGTTGCTGGAAATCAGTTTCAGGAGAATTAACCCGCATTTCTGGAGAGAAGAGACTCACAGAGTAGGTAAGTGGTGTCAAATTGATAGTCAAATAACCTTGATCAATCATCCAAACTTACAGCATATGGCGTATTTCACATTATACAGGAACAACTTCTGGCATGACTTGCAGCAGGGAGTTTTTTTTTTTTTTTTTTTTTTTTTTTTTATAAAATATTTTATGGAATGGTCATAAACCCTCCACAGTCCCCATAAATAATTCAACAGGATCACTCAGTACGGAGTACTATTTCAGCAATTGTACATTTCAAATAGATAGATACTCCATACCTAGGGTGTCACTTCTGTCGAAAACCGATTATCTTGTTCCCTCGTGGATTCACTCAACGAGTTGCCCTGGCAGATAGTGAAAAAAACCAAAATCCAAGAAAAAGAAAAAAAAAAAGGCTGACAGAAACGATGGTTCAGTGTGCCTGGCGTTCCCTAGGTTCTCTTGCGTTGTTTGGAAAATCCCGTCCTCTTGTCTCCGCCTGTCATCAGTTAAGTTACTACTAACTTACTACATAGACTAGTAGTTAGTTTACCTAGAATTAGTTCAAAAAGAAAGAGAAAAAGAAAAAAAAAAAAGTGAGTTTCACCCCCCTTAAGCTCCTCCCTCCCAGTCCCAGTATTGTTGTTGTATTATTATCATTATTATCAGTATTATTATTGTCACCATCATCATCAATTCCTCTCTCCTTAATCCTGTCCATTTTCTTTCTTTCCTCACTAGACTATCTATCTACCGTAGTAGTATCTACTCCGTACTAACTAACTACTACTAAGTAGGCCCTTACACTAACAACTACTTACCACTAACCATTGTCAAACATCCTTCCCCCTCCCTCTCCTCCGTCCTCCGTCCTCTCTCCTCTCTCTTCTCCTCCTCTCACTCCCTCTTTTTGATTGATTCTCTTCTTCTTTTCTTCCTCTCTATCTTTTGTGACCGCCTCTCTCTCGTCGGTTCCTAGAGGAAAGGCCCGTCTTCTGCTTAATCCAGGAGATACCGGTGCCAGTTCCAAGGATTGATTATCCCCTTTCCCTCCCAAACTTCCTCCTCTTATCTCTCCCTCTCTCTCTCTCCATCTATTCAATTCTCCATACTACTTTCTTCTCTTTTTTCTTTTTCGGTTGTTCCGACTTCATTTTCAGTTTTTATCCTGCTATTCCTCATCGTACATGGCTCGAATGCTTTAGACCACGTCCACCCTTCTGGGAGCCTTGTATGCCTTGCGTCTCACACCGCGTCGCCAGATTTTCTCTTCTTCCCTCCGCTTCTCGTCTGATTCGAGCCCTTCGTTTCGTTTTCCTTCTACGGCATTCGTTTCTGCATCAATCATCAGCGTGCCTTTCGATTCTTGTATCAATATAATCTTTCGTGAATTTTTCCACCTCTAGAGGTACTGCAGCTCAGACCCGGCATTTGGGTGGATAAGAGTGGGAGTCGTGGATTGAACCGTCAGCAGCCGATGGTCCCCATCAGTCCACGCCTGAACTTATTCCTCCTTGTCGTGCAGCGGACAACTAATTCACGTGGTGCAGGACCCTTCTGTTCTTATTTTCCCTCCCTTGTCGCCATCGAGTCGTGTTTATCACCCAAATCGTGCCGTCTACGTGAACGAGTCCGAAATTCATCGTTCGTCAGCTGAGGTGTCGTGTTCCATCGTGGTCGCCGAAGTACATAGGCAACCCCTGAAAAATCCTGGAGGAGAACACCATGGCAGCGTTGGTGCAAACGATTCCTCAACAAAGTAGCACGGTCTCGGTGCTCCAAACTCGCCCATCTTCTTCCTCTGGCTCCTTTGCTCCTATGTCTCAGTCATCACAACAGCAAGGTTCTCGGGTGCCGGCAATGTCTTGGAACTCGTACAATAACACTGTGAGCGGAGCTCAGGGCTATCGGGCAGGCCACCAGGTTGTGGCCCCCTATGCTTTTACCGGCACCTCCAACCTCCCCAACCCCAACTTCAACAACAATATGCAAAATCGGCAATCGTGGACACCGCATATGAGGCCAGAGCACCGGACATCTTCTGCTCCCTCGGTACCTCAAAGCCCTGCTGGAGTCAATTCGCGCTTTATCCATCACTCTGCAGCTGGTTCTGTATCCACTTCTTCCTCCAATTCTTCCGTCCAGTCCTACCGTTCCAAAGACGACTCTGTGATCCCCTCAAGACAGTCCGGCAGCGATCTACCTATCCGTCCATTATCCACAGTCAACCTTCCTTCTCCCTCCTCGACGTCTTTCATGAACATTTCCTCTCCCACCGTTGCTCGGCCCTCTCCTGAACGTTACCGACGAGCCAATAGACGAGCAGAGCCCGCTGTAGGAACGCAGGCGACCGTCGCATCCCCCGGCCTTCCAGCAGAGGATCAATCGACGTCGAAAAACGCTTTGCCGGACCCAGCACGTAGCCGTGGGCATACTCGGGTTTCGAGTGCAGATGATACGGCACGCCCTGAGAAGCCACAAGCGGAGCTTGCTAAGCGATATAGGCGTCGGAGCTGGGCAAATATCGACAATGCTGGGCTCATCAATTTACAGCTTCACTTGCCATCGTCCCCCACGCCAATGTTGAACTTGCATGATTACTTCGACCCAAACAATCGACCAGACTCTGCGCAGTCCAAGGGCGATGTTCCCGGCAGCGTTCACTCGGCCAACTCATCCACATCATCGGTAAGCGACACCATTCTAATTCCTATTGACCCCACGCCGGATCTCGTCTTTTCAAGGTGCTGACAAGGAACCAGGTGCGGGAGACAGGAACAACAGAGTCTGCACCCTCCAGTAAGAGTACTAACAAACCAGACGATACGAAGCGAGTCACGAAACCTTCGCCGTTGTCACAACCTGTCTCTGTTGACTCACCGCAACCCGAACCTCAGCCTGCCTCCAAGGACAAGCAGCCGGCTGCTCCTAAGGAGAGTATTGCTACACAACGTCTGGCCGATATCTCGAAGAACGATCACATACGGCCTGGAAAATCGAGGTTGCGGAGAGCTTTCTCCTTCGGTAGCGCCTCGGAACTTCTCAAGGCTTCTTCGCAGAACAACTCCACCAAGCGTGAGGCAGTTATTGCGGAGAGGTCTCGGAGGGAGATTCTGAAGGAAGAGCTGGGGGCCGAGCATGCGGCTATCGCCGAGCAGCAGGAGGCCAGTGGATTGGGTGAGAGCATTTACTCGCACCACCAAGGTCGCTTCTTCAACAGCTCCACCGACAATCTCTCCGTCTCGTCAACAGCATCGTCCGCTTCGATAATGCTGCGCAAGATGGGCAAGGGCATGAAACGGTCCACTCGCTCTCTCGTCGGGTTATTCCGTCCCAAGTCTGTCGTCAATACGGCATCGGTCGAGGGCGTGAATGTGGAGCCTATGGCGCCTCAATTATCGGTAGTGAATGTTGAGGCTGAGAGGAAGAGCGTGCCCGCTAAGGCGGATCCCCAGGGCTTTCCTCGCGGTGGCACTGTCTTCCCTAAGGTCGAGAATAATGCTCAAGAATCTTCAGGCCCTGACGATGCTGGGGCTGACAGATCTCAATCGCGTAAGAGCATTGTGGGTGGAGATAGAGAGCGGGCTGAAATACTTGCGGCTGTAAGAAAAGGCATCCTCAAAAGTGAGTACTTTGGCACCTAGAGGTTGGCGGATGATTCAGGCATCATTTACTGACCAGGTCTCGACTCAGAAACCAACTCCGATTCAGCTATTCCCACCCAATCAGGTAGACCTTCCGATGGGGTAGGCAGTGACTCGCCGCATTCCAGTACCCCCAGTACACCCGAGGATCGATCGCGTGCTGGCAATCGAAAATCCGAGGCTGTCAAGATTGCTGGTGAAGACTACTTCCTGTCCGAAGGGCGAATCCCGGAATCTACGAGCACCCCTGTCACGCCGCAACCTGTTGGCGCCAAGAGCCTTGTCTTTAGCCCTCGCATTCAATTCCATGAGACATGGCCTAGTGGCGAGTATGATCGTAGGGGAGATATCGCAACCTGCAATCGCTTGACACCATTGCTTGCTCAGCAAATCAAAGAGGAACTCAACAATTTCAAGATGGTAAGTTCCTGCGATTATATACCATCTCAACAAACATTTCATCTTCGGATTAACTGACATTGGATCACAGGAAATGGAAGTTCACGAGACCTCTAAGATTTACACCCATTTCCTTTGAATTTTCTGCATTTCGAACGGCGTTCCTAGCACGTCCCGGTTTCGCACAGTTGTGCTCATGACGAATTGAACCCCTGAGGAATTTCCTTTGCCTCCTAGACCTGTCTTACTCGTCTTCTTTCCCTCCCTAGACCGACACCCGATGGTTACTTCACTTGGTATTCACCCTCACCTTGTAGGCTTTTTGCCTTCGATCGATTTTCTTCTCCCCATCCCTTGTCCTCTACTTCTGTGTTTCTGGGCGTTACGGTGGAAGCAACGTCCTAAATTCTGGTCGATCCTCTTCTCTCCGGCCTTTTCCCTCATGTCTAAACGCGTGGGGATTTTTGCGAGCGGCCGATAAGAGCATCGACTGTTGGGCAGTCCGAACTGTCTTGTGACTGCCCCCCCCCCATCATCTGGCTTTGATTTCATTCACGGACCTGGATCTCGAGCTTTGATCTACCGTGCTGGATCTGCTCATTCTGCCCTACAGGTCCCCCCTTCTCATTACCTCCTGCCACCGTCAGCCTCGCATCGGAATTGTTCCGTCTTTTGTTCTTTTTGAGAGCGCAAAAATTGGACAGCATCATCTCTTTTGACTAATACCAGATTTTCCTTTTTTCTTTTTTTTCTTCTCCCGTCCTTTTTCAGCCTCGTTTTTAGCACAAGCCGATTTCCGATGGAATGTTTGTTGTACAGCACCCTGAGGCTGTTATCGTTCCTCTGTCATGTTTCAGCCAAGACTAATTGATTGTTGACTCACATCTGAATGCTTGCAGGGGGATATAGCCCTCGATCTTTCCTCTTTCCGTACTTTTGCATCGAGTGCTGTGTGTTTCTCCTTTCCCTGCGTGTCACATCCAGGAATGATCCTGCTCCGTTTTCATCTTTTTCTTTTCTCCTTTTTATCATCATAGGATGCTTGTCGGTAATAGCTTTGGTTGGATGGTATGGGCATGCAAATTTTTCAATCCTCTTTTCATCTCCAATTATGCGGCGTGTGTGATTCGTTGTGGTTTTTCTTACATCATGAACTATGTTTGTTCCCTCTCAAATCCACGGCAGAAGAGAGGGTTCCAAGCACAAAGAAAAGAGATAGTGCTCAGGTTTTCAATATGATTCCTCTCAACGATGCCGCAGGGTCTCTGGTTGAGGGGGGGAGGGGGGAATGGCATGTCTACTTATCGTGCAGCCAGCTACGTCAGCTATGTATTACTACTGCTGTAAGGGAATGATACTGTATCTATGTGGTAAGGTTGGGATCCACCAGTAGAGGTACTGATTCGGATTGTACCTAGTGATACCCCTGGAATCTTTAGTATGTAACCAGTTGTTACTGGCATATTGGTACTATTAGCCATCACATCAATCTACTGATGCGGATCAGTGCCGGCGCACGATTGCCCTATGCTCAACGGCGAGTCCAAGTTCTCTCCGTGATTTCTGGGGTCGATTAGTGAGAGCTTTTAGCCTTCTGCACAATTCTGCATCATGGCTTGGAGCGAAGTCCCGAGCGACAAGCTTCAGGATCAGACTTGGCGCAGTCCCGAGCCTCCGAAACACAACCGGGGTTAAGAATTAAGATGTTCAGAATCAGAACTTCGGCCTGAAACACGGGATAAGAATGGGGAAAGATTTCATCCGGCAGATGGCGATGACGAGATGATGCATACGGGATTGATGATTGATGGGAGGGAGGATGACTTGGGGGGGGGGGGGGGGGGAAAGATCTGCTGTGGCCCCCTGTCTGGTAATCTTGTTCGTTGTTTTCGTTGTTAACTTGTTATAGGCTGTTCGGCCCGGATGCCTCAGGTTTGCGTCGCGTCAGCCGATCCTGCGGGTTACTTAAGCTTCTTGTTTGGGGGTTGAAGCATCATCTCTCTGTCCCTACTCCCTTTCCATCCACCCATCCACCCATCCATCCATCTTGAATCTCAACTCGACCGGAAAGATCTTTCTTGATTGACTCTGTGATGCCTTCCTTTCCCTTTTCTCTGACCGATTACGCTGATCTCCATTGTTCCTCTTTGTCTCTCCGACCGATCCCCGAACTCGAAGACCCCCCACGAGACACTCCCACGGGGCAACCCCCACGCGTAGTGGAGGGCGGTGGACTCAATATGAAGATCGGACGAGAAAACATCTCCTTTCAGCAAGTTGGACATAGAGATCCTGTCGCTTAGACTTGCTACTCCGCAGGACTAAGCACAACTGGTCCAATGCTTGCCCTCAACTCCAACCCCGGCATCTCCACACGTCCTCAAGTCCTTCCCCGCAGAGAGGCAAGCCACCGGGCCGCCTGAGCAGAAACATCCAAAGAAATCTCTGACTTGGGACTAGCGCTCGCATCTGGCCTGCGGTAAGCTGTAGCTAATTGTTCCCTGCGCCGTTACCGTCATCTCTCACCAATGCCATCCCACGGCCCTTGTCATCGGCCCAGGAGTTGCATCCTTCTTACGCAGTTGCACTGCTCAGTTGCATCCCGCCGATTCCCCCATTGGTAGAGTCTCCCGTCTCGACCATGTTGGTTTTTTCCACCCCCGGGGTCTTCATTTTCTGAGACCTCCACGGTGTAAAATGTGGGTGGTTTAGTGGTCCATACTATGATCGCGGGTTGGGAAGATTGTTGGAAATCGGGAAACTTGCTCGCTCCATGGGCATGCCCCGGATTCTCCCACAAAAAGGGCCTGAGTGCCCGGCTTCTTGATATTTTTCCTCTGCGTTGTCTTCTTACCTTATTTCTTCTGTACTTGCTCCCTTTCCCCTTCTTCTTACATATCCTCTTTCCTCCTCCCTTCTCTTCTTGTAACCCCCTTCTACTTCTCTCCGTTTATACATCTGGGGAAAGATGTCTTCCAAGACCTTCCGCGACGGTAGCGTTGACAAAGACTTCATGGACAATGTCGAAGTTGTCCCAGCAAATGCCGATAGACCAAATCCGATGAAGGAGGCCCCCGCCTATGTAGCTGGTCTCAGTCCCGAAGAGCGCGAGAAGGCCGAGAAGGCCCTCGTCCGCAAGATCGACCTCCGTCTCTTGCCCATGCTTGTGATCATGTACATCCTGAACTATTTGGATCGGAACAACATTGTGAGTGATCATCCTAGAGCTTGACACCTTCATGCCACTCATACCTTACAGGCGGCTGCTCGACTGGCTGGACTTGAAGATGATCTGGGTATGAAGAAGAACAGCGACCAATACCAGACTGCTGTCAGTATCCTCTTTGTGGGCTATCTGTTGATGCAGAGTAAGAGACTTCACCCTTTAGAGGCATGACTTAAGAGCTAACCCTTGCAGTCCCCTCCAACCTGCTCCTCAACAAGTTCGGAAAGCCCTCCATCTACCTCCCTGGTGCAATGATCCTTTGGGGTATCATTTCCACCGCCACGGCTGGTGCTCAAAATTTCGCTGGTCTCGTCGTCATTCGCTTCTTCCTCGGTTTCGTCGAAGCCGCCTATTTTGTACGTGATTGCAACCAATGCAACAGTTGGAATATTTGGCTGACTGGCGCCTGGTGTAGCCCGGATGTCTTTACTTTCTGAGTGCCTGGTACACTCGAAAGGAGCTGGGATTCCGCACAGCTGCTCTTTACTCGGGATCTCTGATCTCCGGTGCCTTCTCTGGTCTCATTGCCGCAGGAATCACGGATGGCATGGACTACAAGCGGGGTCTTCGAGCTTGGTATGCTTCCTTGGAAATTTTCAATACTTCTGCCCTAAGGTGCTAACTCCTGGCTTCTTAAGGCGCTGGCTCTTCATCATCGAAGGAGCCATTACCATTGTGGTCGCCGCTATCTCCATGTGGATCCTGCCTGACTTTCCCCGTACCACTCCTTGGCTGTCTGAAGAGGAAAAGCAGCTGGCTGCTTGGCGTCTCGAGGAAGATATCGGCGAGGACGACTGGGTCGACAGCGAGGATCAGTCACTGCTCTACGGCGCGAAACTGGCTTTTACCGATTCGAAGACCTGGATTCTGGTAAGCTCATTTCCTCGCGGCCTGTTGTGGCTCTTTCTAATCAAGGGTATCCATAGATGCTACACATATTGTGCATTGTCTCCTCCGCCTCTGTGACCAACTTCTTCCCTACCGTCGTGGAAACCCTCAACTACAGCCGGATCGTGACGCTCCTCCTTACTGCTCCTCCCTACTGCTTGGCGGTCATCAGCGCTTTCGCCAACGCCTGGCACTCAGACCGCACCGGCGAGAAGTACTGGCACATCACACTACCCTTGTATATTTCCGTCGCCGCGTTCATCATCGCTGCGACCACCACAGGCGTGGCGCCCCGCTACGTCTCCATGATGCTGATGGTCCCCTCCCTGTACGCGAGCTTTGTCGTGGCCCTCGGTTGGATTTCCAGCACCCTCCCCCGTCCTGCGTCCAAGCGTGCCGCCGCCCTGGCCGCTATCAACTGCGTGAGCAATGCCAGCAGTATCTATGCCAGCTACATGTATCCGGACAGCGATGCTCCTCGATTCGGTATGTCCCACTTGGGATCCTAGCACTTGTGTGAACCCTTGCTAATCTCTCGCTAGTCATCGCCATGAGCGTCAACTGCGTCACTGCCTTTATCGCCATCCTCTCTGGCACTGTCCTGAGGATCATCCTTGTCCGGCTGAACAAGAAGCTGGACCGTGGCGACGCCATTACCGCCGGTGGTGTTCCCGGACAAGCCAGTTCCCGGGGCTTCCGGTTCTTGGTTTAGTATTTATATATAGTTACGAGTTCTTGTGGTTTCTTCCAGCATCGCCTGGCATGGTTTTTAACGGGCTGCATTGCATTGCATTGGCATGGCATAGATACGAATATCATGATCATCATACTTTCACTTTTCACATCTACTTCCTAACACCCATCTCTCCTCTCTCCCCCCATCCAACCCAATTTCAATCACGCAAACTTCAACCTCTCCTCACTCCACCCGGGCCTCAACCCCCGCTCAAACTCCTCCCACCTCCCACCCGCAACGAACTCCCCGCCACATAATTCACCCGCCAGTCCATCGCAATCCGCGCCCCGACCTCCGACTGCGTCCACACCGCCACCCCAACCATGTCCCCCCCCCCGCGCCGGCACGGGGAATACAACCTGGTTTCCGATGGACGGGTAGTACCGCCCGTACTGGTATCCGCTGACGAACAGCTGGGCGCGGAACGCGGGGTCTCCGCCGGCGCCCGCAGGCGTCGTCGAGAGAACAAAGGAGATCCAGACGTCGAGGTCGGCGGGGAGCGAGAGCGGGATCGTTCGTCCGGAAGAAGCGGACGGTTGCGCCGGGGACGCTTAGAATGGACGCGGTGCTGTCGTTGGTGGTGGGAGTGTTGGTGGTGCTGCGGGTCCCACTCGCGGTCGTCGTGGCCCGGCAGGTGCCAGCCTATTCGTTCGGCGTGCAGGCCGTCCTCGTTCCAGACGCCGTGGACTGGGTCGAGGTTCGATTCCCCGCCTGCGGTGCCGGCGAGGCGCCAGTGGGTGAATTCCGGGTGACGTTTGCGTTTGCGGCGGGCAGAAGACGCGCGGCGAGCATGCCAAGCGGATTAAGCACGCCGGATGTCTGGTCGTGGCCTGTGCCGACGTGGAGAACGAGGAGGACGTTCTGGGTGGCGGGGAGGGCGTGGGGCAGGAAGGACAGGGGTTTTGTTGGTTTGGGATTCGGTTGCCGAGCCGATGAAGTGGCTGTTGCGCCAGACGGACCTGCCGCTGTGTCCGGTGGTGTTATTTCCTGGGTTGGTGGGTGTGTGATGGGAGGGAGGGAAGAAGGCGCGTACAAGCCAAGGCCGCCAGTCCAGAAGTGATACGCTGCGGTCTTGTTGAGCAAGACTACGCGCACGCCGTTGTTGAGTTGTACAACGCTCAGACCATTGGCTTGCGTAAAGTTCACAACCAGAGCCCTTCTCGCGGTGGAACTCGATTCCCGAACAGCCGTGGCCGTTCTGGACTTTTGCGGACTTGGCTCCCTTGATGGCAAACTCGCTGGACTCGCCCGTGGGACCCAGAGCACGAGGGTAGCATCCTTGTCGAGGATATTATAGGTCAGAACTTCCGCCATCGAGTAGAGAAGGGTCTCGGCGCCAAAGGTAAAGCCTGTCACGATGATCTTGGCTTGATGTCCGTTGAGTTGGATCGTACCTTCGCGCTGGGGCACGGTTAGAGCGCCGACGGACAGGCCAACATGTAGTTTGAACGTCTCGTTCGTGCCAACAGTTGTATCCCTGTAAAACGTCACGTAGAAGCCGGCGCTGGTCTGAGGGCTCCGCAATTCAAAGGCGCGAATAGCACCGTTGGCAGTATACTGGGTGTCATTGCCGATCATCTCGGTCATTGTGAGATCTTTCGCGCTGCGGATAAAGAGCGCCAGCAGCCTTGTCTCGTAGTACTTCGAGACGATTGACCGGTCCTCGGAGATTGGGGCTGAGTAGCCGTAGCTCATTGCTGTGACGGGTGCGGCAATTGCACCCCAGTTTATTCCCCAATACAGCATGTACAGGCTCATGGCCGTCACCCGCTGGGCTATGTTCCATCGGTAGAACAGGTTCGCAAAGTCGGCCCCCGTGTCCTCAGGACAGCCGCCTTGGAATCCCGGCATGAACGAGGGAGGAGTCGGATGGACTTCTTGGAAGTAGTCGTAGTAATCGATCACTTTGTACGGAATATACTCTCCGTTGGTGGAGATACACTGGCTGACGTCGCATGTCCAGCACTGAAAGGTTAGACGACAACCCGGACATTCAACAAAAGGCAGACTTACCGAAGGATAAGATTCCAAGCCTGCGACATCAGCATTACCTGCCTTATTCTCATGTATATAGCATCTTCGCGGCAATCCCAGTCCCCTCATCTGAGGCTAACTCCCAGCCCCCATCCATCATAAACACAGATGACAGCATGTCGAAGTATGACCTCCCGGGCCCACTTCCACCAAGTCATCAGCATCCAAACCCAAGCCCAATCAATCTAAACCATTCACCCCACCGGAGAATCCACATCTCGGTATGCTCCAACACAACATCCCAGCCCATTCTCCCAGAAACCGACATCCACGGGGTAACATTACCCCACTACGCAAGCAGCCCCAAGCCCAAGCCCAAGCCCAAGCCCAAGCCCAAGCCCAAGCCCCCAACCTACCTTCCCGAGCTAGCCGATGTGGGGACGTTGTAAACAAGACCGGAGAGGATCAACAGGGTCTTTTGCGGGCGTTGCGCCGCGTAGTCCGGGGAGCGGATTGGATAGATAGTGTTGTTGTTTTCCCTCCGTGGATGGGGCTTTGTGGGGGTTCTATTTCGCCGGTGCTTGGGTGTGTCATGACAGGGGGTGTTGTAACTTGTAAGATGATCATGGACGGAGGATCGAGAACTGCAAGCTGCGAGAGTGGGTTGGTTGGGTTGTGGAGATGAAGAAGGGATACTGCGCAGATGCTCTTTCTCCCATCGAGACGACAAATCAGTTGTCGGCTTTCATGAGGAATAAATGGGTGCCTTGTACGGATCTACATAGAACGAAGGCCATTGCAAGATGAGACTTCCGAGGTACTGCTGCACAATCACATGACTCTTTAAACATTGATCGCATTATTTTGTTGCTAATTCTATGATGGAAAACAACCAGCCTAAGGATATTCTTTTGAGTCCACCAGCCTCGATGTCCAGGCCAACTCCAGAGAAACGTATGTACAAGACAGCAATATATCAGAAGAACAAAGAAGTAGGTTCAGACGACCAGAGAAGACGAAAACAGAGACAAACACCTGAGCAGTCGCTGGTCCACTCAGAGCCACGCATCTAGGTGGCCTATGTCGGGAATTGTAGGAAAATGTAGGATCTCGGCTACTCGGTGACGCCATTGCGGATCAGGAGACAGGCAATGCTAGATCTGAGCAGAGGTGGGCCTGATTGAATTCGACTCGGTTCAAAGATGTGTATGGCCTTGATCCGATATACCAAGTCTATGATCTTTGGTGGGTCAACCAGAGAAAAAAACGGGGACAAGTCTAGCTTCCGAGATGATCCCCTCGTGACACATCGCAAGGTTCGATTTTAGGGGGAAATTTTGTGTTGGTTCAAGGAGAAAGAAAGAAATGGATGGCGAAGCGTTTAAGTAGCCTTGTCCAAAACCTCAAAAGGGTTCGAGTCCTTGGCATCAGGGACATTCGCGCTCTCCAATTCCTCCTTGGTCTGGGGCTTGGCACCCTTCTTGGGCGGAACGGTCGAGAAGCCCTTTTCCGACTCCGCGTTGGTGCCACGCTTCTTCTGGTTGGCACCCGAGCGGGTCCGGATGGGCGACTTGTCCGTGAGCTGCGACTGAGCCTTCTTTCCGCCGGGCTTTTGTGTCTGGGCCTTGAAAGCCTCGTCCTCGGTGCTGACCTCACCGCTCATCTCAACCGACTTCTGGATCTCGCGGCTAACGCCCTTCAGAGCATCCAGCCCGGCCTTTTCGGCAGCCTGCATGTGCGTGGGGTGCGCCTGGCTGGGCTCCTTACGGTACAGGTAAGAACGCACGAAAAAGCGCACGAACAGATAGGTCAGGGGTAGAAGATACGTCACGTTCAGCCAGATGGCAAAAGCCTGGCCGGTCGTATCCATGCAGGTGACGAGGGGGCCCACCCGAGACTGAGACGCAGCCGACGAGCCGCTGGGGACATCAGCGTACGAATAACCGACGTTCTCGGCAACGCCCTCGGCGCCAGCGGCACGGAAAGCCAACTTCTTCAGCCAGGGGGCGAGTCCAACGGCGGAGGCAGTGGCAGCGGCCGACTGGACAACGGATGTGGCAGCAGCGGCAACGGCGCCCGCAGTCGAGGACTTGGCGGGCAGAGTGTAGCTGACGAAGAGATAGGAAGCGGCCCAGGTGGTTCCAATGACGAACTGCGTGATCTGCATCGAGGTCAAGGTGCGCTTGATAATGCCGGGAACTCGGATGCGGAAGGCAGTCACAGTGTAGTAGGTGTACTGTAGATCATCCAGTATCAGCATACCGAAGCGGAGCAATCGCCAAGCCAAAAAAAAAAGAGGGGGGGGGGCATACCATCATAGCATGGATACCGGAATTGACCAGGGTGAAGATCATAATTGGAGGCGCGATGTATCGGATACCGGCCCACATGCACATCATGGCACCAGCATGGTGGTATGTCTGCAGGGTCGAGCTCTTCTTACCCTTGGCCAGAATGATGGCGGTATCCAAGACCTCATAGAACTTGGACAGGTAGAAGATCCAGCCGAGGTAGGCCAATCCCTGGTTCCACATCCGGCCAACATCAGTCGGATCCGGAGTGCCTTCAGCAGTCAACTTGTACTCGGAGGTCGGCAGTCTCCACTGATCGGTGTTGGAATCGTAGATAGCGGCGTTGCCGTAGCCACGAGGGCCATTGATCTTGCACAGAGCGTCAACCACGCCGACCAGGCCGTGAGAATCTTCACTATGAGGCCACGAGTTGCGGAAGGTCTGCAGCATGCCGACGCAAGTCCAAGCCGAATAAATAGCCAGGAAAACATTGTGGAGGACGACGAACAGCTTGAACAGGCGTGTTTGACTGAAGCCCCATGGCTTGTATCCGCGGCTTTTGTTGATGCGATTGAGGAGGACGACGGTAACGGCATAAACGCTGGCGATGGTGATAGGCACGCGAACGTCCAGAAGCTGCTTGTAGAGTTCGGGAGGGATGTTGAAGGGCTGAATCCATGTGGGTTCGGCGATCAGAGGAGCGGGAAGAGGTTCGGGAAGCTCGCGAGGAGGGAAGGTCAAGAGCGACGAGGGCGGGAAACCGAGGCGCACGACGGCAGGACCCGCCTTGGTGTCAACGTTAATGTCCAGCATGGTCGGATACCAGATGCGATGGGTCCTGTTCTATAAGATGAAGGTAGATAGAGAAACGGACGAGGTGAGAGTCCTCAAGCCCTCGAGGTGTCGTTCAAAAAAGCGGAAGTCGAGATGGAGAAAAAGATCAAGTAAGGGGAAAGAAGGCGACAGAGAGGAAGGGGGGGGGGAAATGTCTCAGTTTCAAACGTCGCAACAGGAGCTCCGACAAATTTTTGACGTTGCGGAGGAGAAGAAAGAGAGAGAGAGAGAGAGAGAGAGAGGAGAGTAGCGACAGAAGCAGGCCAACGCAGCAAAATCCGCGCTGGATAGATAAACAGTCAATTGAAGGGTCAAAAGACAGATCGACCAGTATCTAGTAAATAGGAAAGGAGTCTTCTCTCTCTCTCTCAAGTCTCAATCACCAACGGCTCAAAGGGAGCGGGAAAAAAAAAGGCAGAGACGGTGATAATTGTCCAAAGTGGAGCCGTGATGCATTTGTTGGGAATTTTGGCTGCTCTGGGCGTTAATAAAACCTCGGCACCAACACTGTTGAGGATGGACGGCAACGCCGGGCGAGGTTGACGTGTAAGGGAGAGAGTGTGACAGTGAGAAGCTTTGGAGAGGATGAAGAGAGAAGAACGACCAGGGTGATTGATATTAAATACTGGTAGCCATTATTGGCCGATGACGATGATGATAGGTGATGCTATTATGGTTGTAGTCCAGCTATCCATACCTATAGATACTACGGAGTACTGGGGAACATGATTCTTGCCACTGCCGTCATCTGCACGCAAAGAGTCAGTGACAGAAGAGAATATCCATCAGTTCTCAACAACAGATATCTAGAACTACTCGGTATAACAGGAATCACTTTGATACCCTATCAGAAGATGATCGATGTTGCCAGTTACTTTAGGGTTAGTAGTGTATCCCACCCCTGCTAACTTGCATATGTGAGTACGTATCCATAGTATAGGTAGATATTCAGCATCACCAACCTTCCTCACAGAAATGATGCGCAATCCCAGCCCTAGAGAATGGCCAGCCAATCATCGTGTCCCACGAGCCGTATTGTTAGTCAGCCGCTGCATACCCCGGATTTAGCACAACTTATGCACCCTGAATGTATGAACTAGGCCCATAAGGCTGGAGTTTTTTTTTTTTTTTCCCTAGCAGAGGGCATGTCTTGCCCTTCGACTTTTTTGGTGCCTGGTAGAAACAACAACACAAGATGTGGGACCTGGTCGTACAAAAGGGGTGACATGAGTATCGGTACTACACAGTATATAATAATACCAGACTGTGATTGAAGTAGGTAGATAGACTAACTAAGAGTAAAGACGATCAGAAGCTTCGCCAAGAACCAAATGAAAATCCGACCGAGGCATCGCGCCGCAGCAATTCAACGTTTTCCCTTCTGGAACAAAATCGGGCGTGGTGGGACTTCTTGGCTAATGCAACCCTGTCGTGAGTGGGAGAGAACTAGAGATCATAGGCTAGGCAACATGATATCCTAAGGTACCTAGATTACCTACTGTGTAGATTAAGGGCGGTAATCAAAAGGTCAAAATGACAAAAATGACGTGTCATTTGGACTTTTTTTTTTTTTTTTTTTTTTTTTTTTTTTCTGACGAGGTAATGATTTTGTCAGAAAAAGTGGAATTTTACTAGAGCCACGAACTGTTGCTTTACACAGTATGCTGCTGGATAAGTATCTAAACACGGATAAGATATACGGAGTATATTCCATTTGATGAGGTGTAATTGACTAGCCTGTAGCCTGGGTAGGGCTTTGTACTCCACTGGATTCTGGATTCTGGACTCTGGACTCTGGAGATGGTGATGTTTGACTTTGAACTAGTGTTCTACATGTGATTCTCCTTTGGCTTCCAGCTATGAACCCGAACTGTCAGAATGCTCCGTGCGCTATCAGGTTGGTATTTTGCATTTAAGTTACAACTTAATATACTTGCTTTCACTACTAGCCAGTGAAGCCACTACCGCAACTCCGGTGCTAGTAAAGTAATTTGGTGGACCACTCTTATTCCGTTATCCACACTTGGGCCGAATCTTCCGTTATCTCCTCCGAGTTGAAGGCACCTGTCAATCATATCGAGCGGTTGAGAGACATCGACTCAACTGGATTGACATCGGCCAGTCCATCATGGCGAGAGCCTGATTCGATTGAATCCTTGATCTAATGTACACCCCAAACACAAATGAGATGACTCCTGTCCGTACCTCCCTTATCGGGGTTTCGTGCTCAGCGGAAGAGGTGGCGGCGCAGGAGACGAAGGCGACGGAGCATTGACGGGCGTTGATCGCATTGCTGCCTTCTTGGGAGGCGGAGGAGGCGGTGGACCTTTTCTTTGTATCAACCCCTCCAGATTCACCGATTCCGATGAAGGCGGTTGGCTCCGATTGGGGTGCGGCGGCGCAGGTGGAGGCTGGAATTGTTTCGAGGAGATAGATGTGTTGGCCGACCTTTTCTCGTCCACAAAGCTATTGAAGCGCTGAGAGATCTTGTACTTGTCGTTGAACTCATGAACCCTCTCCTTTCCAGCTTGAAGCTTGTCGTTGTGTCGCTCGCGGAAGTCGTTGACTGTCGACCTGGCGCCCTGCGCATGAGTCCCCGAGACTGGCGATATACCGCTCTGGCTCTGGCTTGCATCACCCCGAACCGGCGGGGAAGGAGCCTGAGAAGATTGAGATGAAGAAGTTCTCAATTGCGAAAAATGGGCTTGAAGCTCGTTGACCGGGATTGCCTGGGATGCACTGCCCGGCCCACTCCTATCTTGTCCAATACCTAGGGCCGGAACCGATACTCCCGCATTGGAAAGGCGTGACACAGCGCCTTGATTCAAAAACCCTTCGGCAGCCTGTTCTGACGGTGGTGAATATGCCGGTGGAGGGGTTGCTGAGTGAGAGGGCGTCGTGGTAGAGTTCACTCGTGGGGGAATCCGTGGGGGAACACTTGGCACGGGTCTGGGGCTTGCGGAGGATACAGAACTCGCCGGCGAATGCATTCGTCTGACTGGTGGAGGTGGGAGGTGTTCCGTATTTAACCCTGTTGTATTCGCACGGTATGGAAGGGCGGGAGCCGCGGGTCTCTGAGCTTCCTCTTGCTCAACTTGCCCCTGCTCCGACTGCTGTTGTTGTCGCATATGCTGCTGCTGAATCTGCTCCTGGGGTAGAGGAGCTCCAAGCCCTCTGCGGTCCGGCGTCGGTTGGCTTATGCCGGTGGCTGATCCGGAAGTTCCAACACGCTTCGGTGGTGGTCCAAAAGTGGATGGGTCCTTGAGCGACGATAGTGGTCGCGAAACATGCTCCTCACCTGCGCTATCCTTGTCTTTTCCTTTTCCCATCCATCCGGCCTGTTTTAAGAAAAAAAGATGTCAGCATTCGCCGAAAGACGCAAGAGTCCCGCGCTCAAAGGAGACAAACCACTTGATTGATCCCTTTGAAGTCACCTCGCCAACTCTCCTTGCCCCCAGACTTACCCTTGGGGTGCCAGCCATCTTTCATGACTCCCCGAAGCCCACTCATTGTGATCTCGGTTGGACGTAGATTGTAGGTAAACCACAGGAGGAAGCCGATCGGACCGATGCAGCGTTGTTGGAGCGTCGTCACCGCCCCGCAGCATCCTCGTGCCGGTATCTCCAATCTCCGCCAGGTCACGTGTTGTCGCTCAACGAAACTACACAGTAAATACTTATAGGTAGTCTTCTATAGGACATACTTGGGTTGATACAAACTAAGCTAACAGCAAGAGGGTAGAGCGTAAAGGTGCTTTTGCCATCTGCATATATTCTGCTATTATTGTTATTCTATAGTCGATTTGAATATCCAAGCAATGTTGAATGTGACCTTGGATGCCTTGCATGAGCATTACGAAGTGGACTCCAAAATCCTGTACATTACATTATATTATATTATATTATACTATATTATACTATATTATCCCGCCCCAATATCAATACGACAATGACTTCGTATTGTGCCGATCAAAGCATGAATAATGGCGGACTGGAGCCAACACGATGTCAGAATTCTTGCTGATATTCTGGCAACTTGGTTATATTCGATTCACCCTGTTTAAAATCAGCCAATATTGCTTCTTCAACAAACAATGAACGGAGTACTGCCCTCTGGGGTACCCAGCACAAGGCCTTTATCCCCACCCGGCGCGTACTTACATGGTTTGCAGGATATGAAGCCACGGCGTCAAGAGCCCTCCCGTCCTATCAAGGCCGACCTGTCTCACCATCTGATACTGCTTGAAGTCTCATCGTATCCGTGTCAAGAAGTAGATCCACGATGGGCAACAGTTCGTGTTCCAATGCAAGCGCCCACCCTGTGCTCTGCTGATTGGCCAACTGGCCACAGCCTTTCCCATTGTCCTGCCTCTATACTTGGTAACCGCTAGAAAGAGTGCTGCGCCATGTCAGCATTCTCTTTGATGATTTTGTCTTTTTTTTTTTTTTTTTTTTTTTTTTTTTGGTTGGCCATGGCGCAGATACTGATTGTTCTTCTCGTGTCTAACCCCTCGATCTCAATTTTGCTCACTTGCACTGACATGCGAGACAGATGTCTGGGGGACAATCGAAATTCAGTCTGTATCATCATCTATCCTGAACCTGAAGATCGATCGATAACCCTCAGATAGCCAGAATATATTCTGATTCGACTTGTCATACAGGTCTTACAAGGCTGGAATCTGGGCCGAAAGGTGTCAGCCTCGTTTCTGCGTATGAAAAGATCAATTGCGAGAGGAAGTACTCTGGTTGTCACTTCATCCCAAGAAGAGCATACATCCGCGCAACAGGATGCCCGCACAGAACCACCCACGAGGCCATGAAGAACAACCACCAGCAAAGGAAACAGTGCGTTCGTTGGAGCAAGCTATTTCTGGGGAGATGACCACCTTTCCGGCGCCTTTATCCTTCACATCAGAGGCAACTGATGGCAGTGGGACGAATGTTGTGCACATCTTGCCAACGATTCTCGACACAACAACTGCCACAGCGACGTCTGAACCGGCATTCACAACAGCATCGCCAGTCTCAAATACCTACTCTGGACCGACAACTATTGCTAGCATATCTCCAGGCCCATCTGCTTCCTCGTCTACGACCTCAGCAGTTGCTACAACTTCTGCCTTGACTATTACCATGTCCGCTGCCGTCTCATCTCAGACTGAGATCAGCCAACCAGATAACAGCAACAACAGCAACAACAACAACAACAACACCGCAAGAACAATCGCCATAGCCGTTCCAGTGTCAGTAGTAGGCGCCGCCCTACTATTCGGCGCCTTATTCTTCTTCCTAAGACGCCGCCGCCGCCGAACTCGACCAGAGATCTCCTCGAGCTCCCACATCGACGTAAGCCAGAGCACCCGAGCAAACCTCCTATCCCTGAACGGATCCTCGTGGGGAGTCGGACAGACCAGGTCCCCAACTCCCTTCGAAGTCCCGCTCCCCTCTGCCACCGCATCCACTGATCGATTCTCGACAATCCAGCCTTACCCTCATCACGCCCCGGCCAGTCCCACCCCGAGAAGCCTGACCTTCCCGCTGCCTGCTTCTCCCGCGACTCAAGCCGAACAGCCGGGACAACATCAAACACCCCCAAGCGCCGCTGAAGTGTCGCCGGCGAGTGAGCACCGTCCTGGCTCGCCGTTCGACCATCCAATGGATGACGCGATGTCTGAGGTCTCGCGTCTGAGTGACAGGCGGGAATCCGTGCATGATCGGGACCTGGACGACGATGTATCATCTGTATCATCCATTAGTGACGATGAATTGGACGCGAACAGATCCAGGACGCGGTTCAATGGATGAGGCCTTGGTTGGATTTCTTGTTCCTCTTTTTTTTTTGGGGAGGGGGGAGTGTATGGGAAGCTGTGATGGTAGGTATATGACTGTGGCACGTCCACGGGTTGACACAGGCGTTATTTAGGCGGATGATCTATTTTTTTGTTTTTTTTTTTAACTAATTTGCATGGAATGATGTACTGTTTACCGTTTTCTCCCAAATTGCTCGCGGATCCCTCCGCAGGTATATACAGCCAATTTCCTTTTTTGTTCTATTTCCATTCCCTCGTAGGAAAGCTAGCTTATGTACAGATTGAGATTTACCGTCCGCCCCCAAAATCCGGCTTGTAAGCCACCACCTTGCCCCGCATCAGCTCTCTCAGAGCCATGGTGGCATACTGGCTCGAACCAAGCTGGAACTTGAGCACCACGGCGATCTTGTCGCCGGCCTCGGCGCCCGATCCAGAAGCCGAGTCCGCCGCCTTCCCCTTGAGCTGGTCCAGGTCCGTCTGCACGAACTGCTCGTCGTCCTGCGAGTAGAGCTTCACGTCGACCGCGTAGTCCGTGCCCATGCGGCTGAGGACCTTGCGGTAGCTGCCGCTGAGGCTGATGTCCTTCCACTTGCGGCGCATGTCGAAGGGGTCGAGACCGCCGCCTTGCTCGCTGCCCATGAAGCGCTTGTAGAAGTCCGTCATCGCGTTCGCCGGGTAGACGACGTCGAAGCCGGGAAGCGGGAGCACGATGTCGAAGATGCTGTACTTGCCGCTGGCGGCTTCCTCGGCCGTGAGGGCGCGCGCCCGCTCGAACATGTCTTCGGCGGAGTAGGCGCTGTCCTCCGCGGAGGGGACGATGATGACCTCGCCGTCTGCGTCGACGCCGCTGTTTGCCTCGGCCCCGCCCGTCTCGGTCTTCTCGCGGTGCTCGTGGATGAGCACGAGGTCGCCCTCGACCACTTTGTCGCCGTAAAGACGCCAGCGCTCGCCGACCGCGAAGTTCCACACCAGTGACTGGTAGGCGTGCACGTACATCAGGCGCAGGTTGCGCGGGATGGTCTGTAGCGCGCCGAGGTAGTCGTTCTTGGAGCGACCCAGGTGCCGGATCAGGTTGTTCTCCGCCGAGAATTTCCGGGGCAGTTTCTCCACGGCTTCACTCACTTGGCCGGTCGTCTGGAAGAGGTGGATTGCCTCTGCACGAGCCTTGTCATCCGTGCCAATCATGGCGGTGGAGTTCTCGCCCTCCTGGGCTGCGGCGAGGACATGCGGGCTGTAGTGCATGATCGCGTCGCAGGCGCCCTTGAAGTCTTCCTGCAGCATCTTCACACCGATGGTGTCCGTGCGGGTCGCAAAGGTGCCGAAGCGCTGCAGTCCGTAGTAGTTGAAGTAGCCCCGTTCGCGGAGGTTTCGCAGAGCCGTTCCTACAAACTCCTTGGCTTTGGTGACAGCCGCCTCGCGGTCCTGAAGATCAATTCCAGGAATGTCGCATTCACGGAGGGTGACAACAAACTCGTTTCCCTTGAGGTCCCCCAGCTCGAGACCAACTCGGCGATATTCGTAGTCGCCAATGGCCGCATTGCGCAGAGTAGGATTGAGCTTGGCGAGCCGGTCAGCAAACACACGGGTCACGCACGCTCTCTGCACTGTCACTCCACGTCGGTCCTTGGTACCAGCAAACTGGAAACTCCGAGGGGCCATCTTCATCTGGCGCGCAAGGAAGGAAATGACTTCCATAGTATCCTTGTTCTCCTTGTAGACCGTGAAATGGAGATAGGGGCCTCCCAGCTCGTCCCAGTTGAGCCGGCCACGGTCGCGCCCTCCACCTCGTCCGCCTTGAGTGTTGCGCTTGTTTCGATTCGGCGCGGCCGAGATGCACATCATGCCTTCGCTATCCGTCGTCGACTCGAGCTGAGAGTTGAAGATGCGGCGTATGGCTTGGTGAATCTTGATGCGCAGGTCGCGATCGCTGACGATCATGGTGTTGACTCTGCCCAATTCATTCGGTCTGGATTTAGGATTAGCCATGGCACGGGTGTGCAGCGCCAAGATCCGTTCAGTTGCTTCGGCGCCAAAGAATGATTCCAAAAGCGCCTTATCTTCCTCCGAAAGCTGGAAGTCTGCAACGGGGGTTTCCTCCGCGGCGGTCGGCGCAGCGTTGTCCGTTACCGGTGCTGTCTCCGCAGCCTGTGCAGTGGTTGCAGGTGTCTCTGGCTTCGATTCAGCCTCGCCATTCTTCGTCGCTTCAGCGGGGGTGACGGTTGGTTTGAGATTGCGGAGATGCAGAACTTCACCGGAGGGAAGAATCTCATTGACGAGGAAATCGGTGTATCTAAGAGCAACAGGTTAACTCACGACTTCTGACTTTTTAAATTAGGACTACCTTTTCTTCAACACTCCAGAGAAACCCTCGTTTTCCGCGCTGACAAACTCGGTGATACCAACTTCGGCTTCCTTCAATGCCTGCGCATCGCTGTCGGAGATCTTGGTCTCCGCAACTGGCGCACTGGAGGGAGGGAGTACAACATCTTCCGTAGAAACAGCGTTCTCGGTCTTGAGACGCTTGCGCGGCGACTCGACAATGTCAGCGCCTTCCATTGTTACGGTGGTGGGTTGTGGTCGTGAAAAGATCCTTGAGCTTGGAGCTGGAGATAAAGTTGAGCGGAGTAACGGCTCAAACTCCGCATTGAGGCTTGGCTGTAGGGCTAGCCCTACTTCCTATCTGGGATGGATATCAAAATTCTTCAATACCCCAGTCTACATCATTTGCATTCCTTGCGCCATGGAGCTGTGTTAACGATTATTGGACCTAGGCGGGACTAATTTCGTGTTACTCGGCTTTCTTGAATGATTAACCAAAGAGGATTAACCAAAGAGGTATTCCCACCAGCCCTTCTTCCAACTCTTCCCAAACCGATTGTTGATACATGCTTGAGTGCTGTCAAAGCCCTCAGCACCACTATGTCTTTGCCCGTTCCCCCAGACGCTAACTGGCAACACAGTTGGTGGCAAGGTAGCTGAGAGATGGTCAAGGATTGCATCAGTGAAAACACCTGGACCTGTGATCTCAAGAATCGTTGTTTCGTCGTATCTGGGACCGTGAAACATGCTGCTTTGTTCAAGGTGCTGCTTGGTATGTGCTAGCACACGGACAATCGCTTCGCTTAGCAGCGGACTGAACCGACGAGGGGCGCGCATGGTATATTGAATAAATCCGTAGCTACGGCTCCAATGCCATTCTCGCATCAAGCGGGGTGAAGCATAAGGCTCATCGATCTCGATACCCAGGATAAGAGAAACATTACCAGCTTCTTCAGAGAAATGCTGCTGTAGAGCTGGACATGAATTGATGGACCGAGCGGGGAAGACGTCCATATCAGCATAGTAGCCCCCATAATACCATAGCAGGAGGTAACGGAGCAAGTCTACACGGAGTACATTATACGGATACGATGTGTAAAGTTTCCAGAGACATGGAACAACAGTGAGGGTCCTTCTTATGAATGCAACAGCCCAGTCATCTGTCACCACCTGTCGAATCGAGGTTAGGCCATTGTAGAAAAGACACGGTCACCAGGAAATGGCCACGCACCTGAAATTCCCAATCACTGTTCTCATGCTCAAATACTCTTGAGTCTTCGCTTCGTTCTTTCAATCCGAGGCCAGCCTGCCAGATTCTCTGCTTCGCGACAATACTTTCCCCTTTCAACGACAGAGTCGCTTTCTCAATCAGCAGCAGCGCGTTTGATACCTCAGACTCAAATGTGTGGTTTGGACTCTGGCGGAACGGTGAATGGTAGAGAAACCGAGGGGTCGTCTCCACATCATACTTTGGCGGCGGTCGATTCACTCTCGCATCGTTTCCGAACTGCGGAGCAGAAGGAAGATGCTGAAGAAGAATATACAAGAAGATTGTGAAGATAAGAATAGCCCATTTTCGACGACAACGAGGGAGGAATCGGATGGAGCTCCTTTTCTTTGGGCTAATGGTGCCAAAGACATGATCCGTTGCAGATAGACCGTACGCAGCCATTCTGTAATGATTCACTGGACGAGATCAATAATGTTCCTGATCCTAGAATGGCGACACGCGAGATTCAAGCCACAGAGTAGCCTGCTCGAACCGAGAAGACATTGCGATAGCTGACCGTCCAGGTATTCCCCTGTCGATCCAGTGGGTACCAGATACGGACTGGACCCATGATGGTAGATGTTTGGAACGAATACAACAACATACGAGGCCAAAGCAGGCTTGAGCGGTGATTCGATTTGAGAGGGTGGTTGAAGGCTAAAGAGTTCAATCCCCAATTTCTCTCATTCACATACTGCTCAGAGCCATAGTGTTAGAGCCAGAGGTAGAACACAGAGGTGTGGCTTCAGAAGTTGGGTCTGCAACGGCCACTGACACTTGAGACCATGACCGGCGGTAGGCAGATCTCGAAACGAAGGGCCAATATATCACGGTGACTTGTCAACACGGAGTCCACGGCACCGTTGCTGGTTCTTCTGATGATGACTTCGAAATGGTAGGTAAATGTGATGCGTGCCTGAGGATACATTCTTCCCCTTTCAGTTAGCTGATGCTCCACAGCTTCGTCATTAGTCTCTTTCCGGCCATGGATTAGGGCACAATGTTAGGGCATGTCCAGCAGTCCAAGGCATAAGAGTCCAACAAAGGAGGCCACCAACCGTAGAGCTAGACAACGAGTTCATTCATATCATTCGAGTCATTCAAGGCGGTTGCTCTTGTGATAGGATTTTGTCAGGTCGAGATTCGAACAAAGGCGGATAAAGGCATGGGAACAGCAAAAAAAGTGATGTACGAGAAAACCAGGACTACAATCAACTCAGAAGCACAAAGGTCTTTGTGATCTTGATACATGATGACCACATTTTTGTCTGTTTCAAGGTCTCTGCGGAATACCCTAGTGATCCCTTGAAAAAAGAGATGTCTTGGAGTATGGCTACCTCCCAGTGAGATCCGGATCAACAATGTCTGAGTTGTGGTACCACTCTCTTCCACATCAGACTGGGAATCTGTAAGCTATAAGAGGACCACCGTGCATCATCAACAAGCCAACGCTCTCCAACCAATCCCCTAATACCATCTCTCTCATACTTCCACCTCTCTCACCGAGCAGCAGACTCCAAACGAGCCACCCAGACCTCCCAAAACCAAAGCCCCGAAACCAACGTTGAGTACAAGACCCTCACCCATCCAACAACTCACTAACAAGACCATGGGCATCCTAGCATGGAACGACATCACCGAAAGCAAAGCCCTCCTCGAAGCACAAGGCATGTACTTCGAAGGGCCGAACCGCTACGACTTCAGCCCGGGCATCTACATCGCCGTCATCCTGAACTACCTCACAGACCACCGCAACATTAGAGACATGCTGCGCGACGCCCTGGAGATCCTGGACGCGCGCCTCCAGAGCAGGATCTTCCGCAACCCGCAACGCCCGGTTCCAGGTCGCAGGGCCCTCTGGTTCAAGCTCGAGCCCCGCAACCGTGATGCGCCACCTAGCCCTCTCCCCAGACCCGAGAATGCCTACCGGGCCGTGTATGGCCTGGTGCTGCGGCTCAAGCGGAGCATCGGTAGGGATATTGCGCTGCCGTTACGGTGGCGGCAGCTGAAGATCTTCTGGAGGGAGATTAGCCCGGCGGAGGAGCTTCCGTCGGTGGTGGTGCATGACCCTGCGTTGCTGGAGGGTCCGGCACCGCAAGAGGGAGCAGCGGAGGGTGAAGGGCGGGTCATCACGGAGGTGGAGGCTGAAGGATTGGAAAACCAAGAAGAGGAGTCGGTTGCTCAGAATTGATCCCTTGAAGGGCTTGTGACTGACGCTCTGGAAGCAGGTACCCTTGTCAGATGATGATCTCTGGATAATGGTGGGTTAGCATACTGTGCTTGTCCTTCTGGTGCGTCTCGGAATATCCTGTCGCTTTCCGAAACAGGTATGTGTTCTTCAACTGAGTTCTGATCTTGGATATAAGTTCATGTACAATTACAAATGGCCCAATACGCGTGTTTCAGTATTTCAAAGTAGTAAAAGTCAAACTGAATAACATCAAGTAATGATGATGGTGAATCATCATCGGAGCACATACGGCTCTGCAATGGTCTATGCTGGATCTATGCATGTTAGGATACATATCGTTTCTCATCTCATCATGAGGGTCATAGCTGGTAATCATTCATGTCGTTTTTGACAATATCCTCCCACCTGAGTGTCATCATTTGTTAGACACACAGGGAGCAAATCGCCAAAGAGCAAAGGGTAAATCAATCGGATATGGATATGATCTCCAATTCCATGTCAATATCGTCATCGCCATCGTGCTGTCTGACCTCCCTGGTACTTGGCAAAGAGTCAGAGTCAGCAATACGACCACGCAAAGCCAACGGGTCAGACGCATGGGGGCTTCCACCCTCCCACGCCGTTTTGATGGCCTGCACCATGTCCCAGACCGCTTCTCTCGCTTCGCGCCTTTCTTTTCCCGCGTCGAGAAGTTGCTCATACGGCGTATGGACGTGCCGGATGTGTGCCTCCACCGCTAGCGTGGCCTTCTTCTCATCGGTCTTCATTGCAGTTCTCCCAACGCGCCCAGAGCCCTTGAGAAATGCATGGTCGACGACAGTCTCCAGCGAATCAGCTGGCATCAGCGGAAACTTGCTGCGCAGAATTTGCCGGGCGCGGGACAGGTCCTTCTCGTCGCGGACTCTAACGGCATTGGCGCGCGAGTCGGCAGTTGCTGCGGCGGATTGAAGCACGGCAGCGTACACGTCTGAGGGTACACGAAGCCCTGTGGTTCGTTTTCCCGCGTTGTTCTATTCAGATGCATTAGATCAGTCAACAGACGAAACAGCGCTCTGCTATACTTACATAGACAGCGTATACTAGCCGTTGAGACTCTTTGGTCTGCACTCGGCAATTGCGTGTGACATAGACATCCCCCTTCGGGACAAACACATAGCCTTCTGGTAGTGGTTCTCGTTCCAGACAGTTCTGCAGGTTTCATGATATCCCGGTTAGAGATGAGCTTGACAAACGCAGCTAAGCAGGGATCCGCACAGTTGAATCATACACGACTGCTAACCGACGATAAGTCGAACAAACGCAAATGCAAACGTACCTCTTCAAGTGGCTCCGTCGAGGGCGACAGCATAACATATTTCGAATATTTCGACCTCTGTCGATTGTCCCGATGATTTTGTGACCTGTCGGGACTGGTGTTGCTATCTGTAGCAAAAAGTCTGCTCCGATTTCGGGCCTTCAGGGATGTCTTTCGGCGGGCTTCAGCCAGGATAGACTGCGGTGATCGAGGGGATATAAATCCAGCCTTGATGCGAGTCTTTCTGCGACGGGGACGTTTCTTGTGGCCATTTTTCCGGCCTGAAGTGAGGGGCATGGTGGTCATTTTGATTTACTAAGGTAGTAGATAGATGGGCGATCAATCGTCGTCTGGATGAATATTCAGGAACTAAAGTAATAATAGAGCATGATTCGAGCATTCAAAGAGCATGTTTAAAACCAAGTTATGGCAGTAATAAGTGACTTTGACAAGCATTCCCATACAACAACCATGATTGAAAATTCATCGGAGATGGAGCGAGTGGGTGGTTGATTCTACTCCGATCAATAATGAAGAGAGGATAAAGATAATCGACCAACCCACCCGCGACGAGTCAAAGAAACTGGAGGAGTGTACTTTCTATCAAGGTACCCCGAGGACACTCATGGTTCGTCTTGATCTGATTGATGAGGATGAGGATGATGATGATAATGATTGGAACTCCAAAAACAATATTGCTGCCCATTGACTTCGGTGCTAGATCAGGCACTTGCAGGTAGATAGGGAGGGAAAACGTGGCGTATTCTCAAACTGTGGCTGAAGATGTGGCACTGCTGAGTGCTCGATGCCTGATCACTCAGGTTGCCTACCAAGTGCGATCTTCGGGGTTGAATCAGGTTTGCATCTGGAAGAACTTGTTCTTCTTCTTGTCAGAAAGTGTCGGAGATTTATCTGTTATTGCAGATGCTGGTCTACTAGCCACAGATGGATGATGGGAGAGAATTACTCCGGGGTTGTTTTTAGGAGCCACTCTCCCAGTTACGAAGTCTTGTCTGCCGAATGCCGACTCTCTTCAAATCTACACAGTACACATCCTTTGGTACAGTCATGGAGTCAATAACGACCTCAAGTCAGGGGTAAATGTCGTCATGTGTTCCCTCTTAGAATGTCCATTTACAGTTGCTCTCAGTCCCGACTGCCTCCAGAGTAAGATCAAGGCTGGAGCTGAAAAGGCCATCCGGTCTGGAGCTAGCCACGATAGCCCTCACCCGTCTGGCCATTGAAACGATTGAAGTGACACGACCAACGGCCCAGCTCGGAACTGTCTAGTCAGCCACAGACTCACAGTGGTCCCCGGTCAAAATTACCCCAGTAAGCGGCTAATCAAAGTCCGAGGCTGGACTGCAAACTTGCAGGGCTCGATCTCAACTTCCGATCAGCTGGATGATTGATTGTTTTGTCAATGAATGGCACAAGATTCCGTCGAAGCCAAGTTGAATCTTCGAGATACCTGTCAATTCCGAGAAAGTACTCCGTAGATACGTATCGATGAGGTGTGAAACTGTGATGGAGAAGAGTTTCGCGTCGACAGGACAACCGATCCATTTAACCCAAAGAGGAATCCTCCATGCAGAAGGACGACTGGAGATCGTGTTGGAGATGAGAGTGGGGCACAGCAGACCCGCTTGGTTGAAAAGGTCAAGGTTCCTTGTTCTGTAGACTCTTGTGAGTTGTGCCTCGAAGTGGTCAAATATAGTATATTGAGCGTTGATTCCTAATCACTGAAATAGTTTAGAAGACCTCAGCATCATATCAATGACTACCTATCATCTCTGATGAATAGATTAGTATAGATGGACGTCTGTCCTTAGTACCTAGTAAGGTTAGTGTGCTACACAAATCGGACTGCTCTGTGATTGGTCGAAACATTTCAATGCTGACGGAGTACTCCGTAAGGCACAAAACGATAGCGTTCCTAATCAGGAAAAGCGTCCTCTGGCTGTCTCGCGGAAACACCATTACTTTCTATCGATCCTGCTCTCTTCTTCCGATAACCACGTTTGCAGAACCAAGTGTCTTATCCGTCTTTCCTTTGATGCCAACATGCTCCAGCGGTTGAGTTGATATCTGGCTCTAAACATTAATGAGGTCGATCATCTACGCCCATTTCTCTCTTTGACTCTCGACGAGCACAAAAAGATGACAAGAGATCGATGATCTCATATCACCTGACACTCAACCTTATTTGAGAGCTTGATACACGCTAGTACCAAAAGGGTTATATTGGCTAAGGGTGAAGGGCTTGGTTTTCTGAGACAACTTCCAAGTTATTGATCTCAACCTTGCTTGCACATGTGGCCATAAGGACAACGCATTGGATGTGATACGAGAGGCCCTTCTGGTCTTGTACCTGACAGATGCAGGTGGCATACTTACAATGAGTGATTCCTAGGTTGCTGCAGGTGAGAGCTGAACCGAATTTAAGGGTTGTAGGCCTCCCTTGCCTCCTACAAACAGTGGAACTCCTTTCCCAGGTGCGGACAGCCGTTGCTTGAGACTTTCCTTTGCCCGCATTGATCCGGGCTAGAGCTCGAGTTCGCTGAACGATTTTCATCGCCACCAGCTGTGTGATCTGTCGGCGGCCCCAGAGATTTCTGTCGGATAAGGAACGGAGGAGTGTGGGATGCCACCAGATCTATACGGAACGGGTTGGGGGCCACCCCAGAAGGATGAATTCCAGATGGGAGCCCACCGCTTCCGAACAGACACTGAGTTCGTGCGGCCCGATCATGGATAGGGCGATCTGGGTTACACCACTTGAAGAACCCCGAAGGATTTTAGATGTAGTGATCAAGGCGCATCCAGCGGCTTCTGAGAATGTCCGATGCTCCCTGTAGTGCCCCCTGATACGAGGCTTAACCACGACAGGCATGTCATAGTCGAGATATTGATCACTATGTCGGCCTGTTGAAGGAGTAGTGATATCAGCCAGGATCCTTCTCCACGAGGCTGCCTTGGTGCCTGGGGCATGTGTGACCCGGTCGGAATAGTTACCCACCTCAATGGTCAGGTCAGCGTCGAAGAACTCAGAGGGATGGTTGGCAGTGGGATATTTTCAAGGCTGTGAGCAGAAATCTCGCCATCGCCAAAGATATAGATTATAGCGTCAGTGGTCTTGATCAGGTCATTGATATCCAAGAGAACATCATCAGCACTACTGAATACGTCCTACTTTTATCCAGATAGTTCTCCACGGAGCACTCAGAACAGGACATTGTCCAGCCCAGTAGAGGAGGATCTGTCTATCTGATCACCAGTATTATTTCTCAGATATTACTTTCTAATCAAATTCCCATATAATTCAATCTTAAGAAGAGAAAATCTGTAGCCGGTGGATCTGTGGATGTAAAAGAGGGAAAAGAGGGAAAAAAAGCGAAGGAAAAAAAAAGCCCGCAGTGTCACTCCAGCAAATTATACAAACAGAGGAAAAGAAAAACACTCGGTTTTCACACTGGATTTCTCTCTCTTTTCTTTCTTCCAGTTCATTCAGTCATTCACTCATTCTTCTCAACCCAATTCCTCCTTATCAAAAGAGGTCAACCACTACTCCTACCTGACTCCTATAGAGCACAACTGCTAATAATAAAGGGCAAAGTGACACTAGAGACATACACCTCCGCTTCTCCCTTTGTTCCAGGGCAGCTCCAACCTGCCCTCGAGCCTTTTCTTGGTCTCCTCGGCCACAGAGAACAGACTCTCCCTTGGTCGTTTCTCTTCCCACCTTTCAACTTCAGGTGTGAATAAAGCTATGCACTAGACTAAGCTCATCTATTCATCATCTTTTGTCTCTTTTTCTTTCTCTTTTTTTTTCCCTTTTTTTCTTCTTTTTTTTGTCTTCTCTTCTCTCTCGCCCTATTCGCTTTTCTACTCTGTTCCAAGAGGGGCTCACATTCTTTCTACATCCGTCGTCTGGCCCCGGTTGCCTGCTTGGCTTCAATGACACTGGAGCTGTACATTATTCGCCTGTCCATCAATCCCTCCCGCACCCCTCTCTGCTCGAACATTCCTCAGCTCCCGTGGTATCTGGACGGCCTCTGATTAGGTTGCCTGGTCGCTCGAATTGAATGGTGGTTGGAACTATTGGGACGCTGACATGAGTTGGGATCATCCTGTCCACAGGTACGGCTCCTTATTGTATATACCATTTTTTTTTCTACACAAAAAGAAACTGCAAGACTTCCTGGAAATTGGCGGGCACAATCTTGATCTGCTGCCCTAGGTGAATTGCTGGTTCATTGGCAATTTGCTTGACTTTCTTTGTTCCATCCTTGATATCAGCCATTTTCAGCCTTGCCCGGCACCACACGAGGGCTCACCATGGGCTTCATTCCGAATTGGTTGCGTGACAAAATGAAACTGACAGAGCCTCCGATCACGTTTAGCTTCAGCTATCCAAACGGTGAACCTCAAACCCCGACGAGGACTCCTACGACCACTATTTTCGGCGATTCCGCTTTCCAGACCCCCAAACTCGAGTCCAGCTTTTTCGACCCTCGAGTGACCTGGGACACATCAGACCCGTATGCCTCCAGTCCAGAGTTCCTCCGAACACCACGGTTCGGCTTGAGCACCCCTTCGAAACCCCTGCACCTGCCGGATACCATCCCTGGTCGAGCGACAGGGCCAGACGCTACACAAGGGTTGGAACAGGAGACCGATACGGCTAAACGCATCCGCCCTGCGAGGCCCAATGGTGGTTCAGGGGAGGATGGACCTCGGACCGTTGACTCTGCAAAATCCGCGGCGTCAATTCAGACTCCACCTCCCAGCAGCGCATCGAGAAGGAAAATAACCGGATTGGAGAATGTTGCTGATATGGAGAGAAAGACCTCCCCTCCTGGGGGTCATCTGGAGACACCAAGCAGGGTCTTGGGTGCCTCGCCTCGGTTCTTTGCCGGCCTCCAGTCGTCTCCGGACCCCTTCCAACTTGCTACAATCGATTCGTCCGGGTCCCCTTTTTTCCCTCAGCAGAGATTATTCTGGGATCACGATCTTGGGCAGCATGAGGCAGGCTTAGGCCTGCCGGTGAACAGCATGGACCCCTTCAATACCGACTCAGCATCTACCGGCCTCCACCATAGCAACATCCTACATGATGCCCGGATCCCACAATTACCATCCATCGATGCCAATCTGGAATTACCAGAAATTCACGGAAATACATATGGTCTTCCTACCGCTCCTTCTGATGCGGCTCTTTTCCCCGCTCCGTTCTCCACCTCTCCCCGTCTGCCTATGACCAAGGTTGAGGATCCAGCCCTGTTCCTTTCCTCCCCCGCTCGCCGCTTCGGAGGTCCTCACTTGAGCCCAGCCAGGAGACTCTTTTCCCAGCCGGCTCGGCAACCATACCACCACCAGACGGAAGAGTTCAAGCGAGAGGAACTTCGTCGTGCACAAAGTACCCATCGTCTCAACCCGGGGTATGACGAGGATGAGGATGATGATGATGAGTTTACTCCTCGTCGGGTCCGTCCTGGTCTCACCCGTAGTGTGACCCACACTGCTGTCACCGCCGCTTCACACCGTTCAGTCTCGGGACAGTCTTCGTCTGGGATGATGGCCTCAACCAGTGGCATCCGCAAGAGCCCATCCAAAGGCCGGTTGTCCCCCATCAAATCCTCTCGTCATCAACTCAGAAGGGCCAATTCAGCTGCCGCAGGACTTCCCCGTCGATCCCAATCGGTGGTGTTGAGGATCGGCAAGGATGGCAGAGCGATGACCGAGATGCAGACCGTTCCTGAAGCACACACGGGCTTAACGGATCCCGTGAGTGGAATGGAACTTGATGGATCTATCACCGAGAGCGATTACGAGTCTCCCGAGCTTTCTGACTACCCTGTCCTACCAAACCGCAACCCTTCCTTTGTCTTCTCGGACGCCGGTCGACCGACCATTGCCCGAAGCGACTCTGGCTCCCGCCCCCAATCCAAGGGCTCCTACACCTCCACTGCTGCTTCCTCGCAATCGGGGCGTGCGTCCCCCTGGTCTGCTGCGTCTCGCGGCCCTGTACGAAGACCGATGTACCGTGCACCTGCCGACGAGTGGAACAGGACGACCCCGAAGAGACAGTCGATGCTGATCAATTCGGACGTGACATACCCCAGTGGCGGCTCCAATTCCGGACTCCTACCTGATTCTGAAGAAGATTCCGGCGATGCACAGCACGCACTTCGGAAAGTTCTTGCGGGACGGGGGCGGATCCCACGATCTCAGACCGTCGGCTATGGGTCGAGGTCGAATCGGTCCTCCGTCTCTTTGGCTCATCTGCACTCTTCCCCGCCGCGATTCGGTGCAGAGTTGGATCTCAATTCTCGAGCGCCCAACACATCTCCCACCACCATGACGGATCCGGATATTGCTACGCCAACCACAGAGCGGTACAGCAACCCAAGTAATGGCACCAGATGTGTCTGTCGCTCCATGGATAATGGCGGCCATCTCATGATTCAATGGTAAGAGCGTGATTGTCTCTCTTTTTCTTGCCCTGTACTCATCTAGGACAGTGAATCCTGCAATCATTGGCTGCATACCAAGTGCGTTGGGCTTGAACGATCCAACCTGCCGTCTGTGTATGTCTGTATCTTCTGCGCCCAAACCCCAACCCGGAAAAACCGGGGGCGTGGCCCGTTGGATACTACCGGACATGCACCACCATCTCCTTTGGCCCATAAATCATTCCGTTTCCGATGATCATGTCGCTTCGCTTCCTGCGACTGATCAAAACTTCATCTCTACTACCCATGTAATATGTTTTGAAACCGAACCCACTAAGCCATTGTTCGCACCAACAGGCCCTTCGCCGCCGGTCTGAGACCGATTGTTATTCAGGCCCCTTCATGTCTCCTTTGTTTATCTCCCTCCAAACCCATTAGACATACCCAATATCTTTGCTTCGAGGACATTTATCATCATACGTCTCTTCTAGCCAGTCAGCACTGGCTCATGTTTATGCATCACCGTTCGTGATCACTGTCATATCTCTTGTGCCTTGATTGTTTTATTATTGTGTCGAGGCGGACTGCTTCGTCGAGTGATACCTCTGTAATACCGCAAGCAATTGATTTTACCTTCTATCCATCATCTATCCTCCTGCCCTTGTAGTCTTTCTTGTTTACCTTGTAACTCCATAAATTTCGAATTTGTCCGGAAGGCGGTGACACAAATAAGGAACCAGCCCAATTTGCGTCTATTGATTGGCTGGTGCGACCGCTTATCGGCTCACCGCCTCCGATAGCGTTTGTTGGTTCTCCAGAATTATTTTTCGGTGACTCCTCCGGTGCCTCCCCCAGTCCCTCGTTTCTGTGTCGGTCGTTCGTTGCGTTGGTCGTCCTTCTCTTGGAGCTGTGGTCATGTCTGCTTCACTTCCTGGCAACCGGGATCTCCCCGCGTCGCGGTATGATCTGAGTACTTACTGGGGCCGCGTGCGCCATGCCGCAGACCTCTCCGATCCGAGGTAAGCAGGCATTGCAAGCGAGTGCCAGCTCTGTTTCTGAACTCGAGTGGCTTTGTTTCGATGTTCATTGGTCTGTCCATGAGTGATGTGCTGTTTATGTGGCTAATTAGTCTCGCAGGATGATGTTTGTATCCTCCTCTGGTCTGGAGCAAGCGAAGCGCCTCGTCTCGTCCTACAAGCAGAACCACATCCCTGCCATGACACATGAGTTATGGCACGCGAAGAAGGTGGTGGATTCGACACTGCACCCAGGTGGGTTGGAGCATTCTGGAGATGGTCTTTGTTAAGTCCGAGCGGGCAGCTGACAAGTCGATTTAGACACGGGCGAGTCGGTCTTCCTTCCCTTTCGCATGTCGTCCTACGTCCTCTCGAATCTGGTGGTGACGGCGGGCATGCTCACGCCCGGATTACAGGTATGGCACACTAGGAAAAGATTTGATGGACGAGAATTCTGACCAGATAGACCACCGGCACACTCCTGTGGCAGATCGCCAACCAGTCGCTTAATGTGGCGATCAACAACGCCAACGCGAACAAGTCCACCCCGCTGTCCGTCTCGCAGATTGCCAAGTCCTACCTGATGGCTGTATCGGCGTCGTGTTCAGTGGCGCTTGGTCTCAACGCGCTGGTCCCCCGGCTGAAGAACGTGTCGCCGAACACCAGACTCATCCTGGGTCGGCTGGTTCCCTTCGCCGCGGTCTCCAGCGCCAGCGCGCTGAACGTGTTCCTGATGCGCGGCCAGGAGATCCGCCAGGGCATCGACGTCTACCCTGTGCTATCGGAGGAGGAGAAGAAGAAGCGCGAGGAGACGGGCGAGCCCGTGCAGAGCCTCGGCAAGAGCAAGAAGGCGGCCACCATCGCCGTCGGCGAGACGGCCATCAGCCGCGTGCTGAACGCAACCCCAATCATGGTCGTGCCGCCGCTGGTCCTCGTGCGGCTGGAGAAGACGGCCTGGCTCCGTGCCCGTCCGCGCATGATCACCCCGATCAACCTGGGTCTGATCCTGGCGACGTCGCTGTTCGCCCTCCCGCTGGCGCTGGGCGCGTTCCCGCAGCGACAGGCGATCAGCGCTCAGTCCCTGGAGGAGGAGTTCTGGGGCCGCGGAGGCAAGGACGGACAGGTGGAGTTCAACCGGGGGATGTAAATACTTGCATTTGATCGCATTTGCATCTGTAGCGGGATAAGCGAGGCCAGATGAGACAAGACGAGACCTGGCCCTATCTGCATATAGATTTTGATTCGATTTCGGGTAGATAGATTATATAGCATTTATATTTATACCATGATAGTCAGCACTTTATTCATGATTTGCCCTTCACCATTATTCACGCCGTAGTCTGCATATCAGATCAGAAACACGGGCCTGGTTTTCAATGATTATACAATCGTCAAGTAAGACATCCTAAGACAGATCGATATAGATACGCAATGACTCACATGTCCCAGGCCCGCCACTCCATACATAGCCTGACTCCAGACTCCTCCATATTAGTAGTATATTAGTATATCCATCAATCTTCCTCCCAGACGAAAAGCCATCTCAAGTTTTCCAATTCTCCAAATCCCTCACCTACCCCTATTCCATCCCATTGCACCCTCAAATTCACGAAAAAACAAAGACAAAGACAAAACAAAAAAAAAGAAAACCAAAAAAATGTCTACACCACAACACCCCCCCTTCCGCACCGCCCGTCTTCAATTCGACCCCCTCCTCGACAAACACGCAGACGGCATGCACGCCCTCCGCGCCCTCCCCGAAGTCATGAAATGGAGGTATGCAACGGCCCCGGACCCAGCCCTAGCCCCCGTTTCCCCTCTAAGATCATGTTGATGCTGACGATGGCGACCAGTATGCGAAAAGTCCCCGACGCGGACGTCGCCGCGACACAGGCGTGGATGGAGGCGTTTACCGGCGTGCATGCGCCGCCGCGTGTGGGGTATGTTGTGCGTGTACTCGAGGATGGTAATGAGGGCAAGGATGAGGGTGAGTTTTTTTTTTTTTTTTTTTTTTTTTTTTTTTTTTTCCCTTGAGTGGTGGGTGGGTGGGTGCTAAGGATGCCAGGGCGGATCATCGGCTCCATCGGGCTGCGGTATGAGGAGGTCGGGCTGGTGCGCGGCGGCCGCGCGTGGGAGCTGGGGTATATCTTCCACCCTGATGTTTGGGGCAAAGGGTATGCGACGGAGGCGGTTCGGGGGTTGCTGGGGGTGTGGGAGGGAGTTTACGAGGGGTTGCAGTGGGAGGGTAAGGAGCGCGGGGAGGTAGGGCCGGCGGTGGCAGCGGTGACGGATACGGGGAATGAGGGGAGTAAGAATGTGCTGCGCAAGTGTGGGTTTCGGGAGTTGGGGGAGGAGACGGATGAGCTTGGGACGGTGTGTTTGATTTATGGGCTGGATCTGGGGGTATGAGGGGGGGGGTGTATATCTATCGTGAGTTACGGATTATGTATATGATGAATGATGCTATCTGGATGTTCGGGTGTTTGTAGAAGGCGCTAGCTTATGCTAAGGGTGAGGGTTTTCGGCCCTGGATGATCGTCTCAAAGTGCTCGGCAAGGTCTAGTAGATCATCGTCTCGCCAGGGTTGGCCCATGAGTTCCAGGCCGATTGGGACGCCCACCGGGGCAGACTGCGTCGGCGGGCTGAAGCCGGCTACACAAGCAAACAAGTTAGCAGGCTTGTCGGGTGACAGATCTATCGGTTCAATAGACTCACCAGGGAGACAGATGGCTGGCCTTCCCGTCAGGGAAGCCAGTATACCGTTCCTCTGTGGCTGGGCCATGGCCCCGATAGGAACAACGAGCTGTTTCTGATGCGGATAGACGAGGGCGTCCAGGCGATGTTCCACGAAGCACGCCTCCACGGACTCTTTCAGAGCGCCGATGGTCTCAAGTCGAGAGCGGTACTCTGCACCATCCATTGTGTACGGACCAGCCGTTTGTAGCGTGCGATGGAGAACCGGTGTCACGGCTTCCTGGTGGTACGCGCCGCTCGCGACGATCGATTCCAGTGTCCGATGGGGCGTGCATGCAATTAATGGAGACCGCAGGAATGCGTCGAAGACGCTGCGGAACTCGTATGACTGCATGTCTGCCGTAGCGATGAGGCTGGGGATGTCCCAGGTCGCATCCTGCAGAGACAGCGGTGCGATTTCGATCCGCTTATCGACCTTGACTTTGTCCAGTGCATCCAGGACTGTCTGGTTGACCATCGCCCCTTCGACATTATCCTCGTCCGCAAAGAACGCCCGCAGCACACCGACCCGAATCGCCCCTTCGCCATTACCACCTTGGCCTCTTCGGTGACGCAGCTCATCCACCGTCGCTTGATCCCCCGTATCCTCCCCCTTCATCACGTCAAACAACACCCGCGCATCTCGCACCGTCCGCGCCATCGGACCAACTGCGTCCTGCGTCTCCGTCACAGGCACAATCCCACTCCGCGAAACCTGGCCCCTCGTCGGCCGGAACCCGACAATCGAGCACGCCGACGCAGGCGACCGCAGCGAGTTCATCGTGTCCCCGCCGCAGCCGACCAACCCCAAGTTCGCCGCGAGAGCAGCGGCCGTCCCTCCCGATGAACCCCCAGGCGTCCGCGTGAGGTCGTAGGGGTTTCGCGTTTGCCCACCCAGCGAGGAGACCGTGATGCCCTCGAGAGAGAATTCGTGGAGATTGGCCTTTCCCAGGATGATGGCGCCGGCGCGGCGCAGCTCGCCGACGACGAATGCGTCGTCGTTTGTTTGTAGCGAGTGTAGCGCTTTGATGCCTGAGGTTGTGGGCATGTCGACTGTGCTGTAGGTATCTTTCAGTATGATGGGGACGCCATGGAGAGGCGGGAAGACATTGTCTTCGGAACGTTGTAGAAGCGTCTCTGTTTCTTGATCTCTCTGTAGTGCGACGTCTAGGGCGTTCTTGTTGACGGTAATAAGAGCCTTGAGGGTGTCGTTGTACTGCGATATCCGCGCGAGGTATGCTTCCACAACCTCGGCGCAGGTCGTCCTTTTCTCACGTAGAGCATTGTGGAACTCGATAATCGTGAGCTCCGGGATACTTATGGTGTCTACGTTGCCCATGGTCCCTTTGCCAGCAAGCGTAGAGTCCGGGTGTGTTTGAATGGATCATATTGTATCGAGGACTAGAACTATACCCTCTAAGACGGAGTGAGGGGCAGGGTGGAACGACACTAACAGAGAGAGATTGGGGTCAGCAATTCTAAGCATCTTCATCTTTGCAACACAGCCCAACATCCAGAGTATCAAACCGACGGCATCAATATTGCTGTTTTCACAGTGTCGCACAGCGCCAGTTCATTCTCTAGCACCGTGTTTCCTCCTGGTATAGTCCTTTACTACCGTTTTCCTACCTTGTCATTCGCCGACATTCGTACTACCGATCTCAATGCGATAAACGAGAGAACAGGCTCATCAGCTCAGACCCCGCTTACCCCAAATCTTTGAAGCACAGATCAGTGGGGCTTGGACAAGTTATCAACCGCCATTTGTGGAGATACAGTTCTCGGAAATGCGTGGCGTTCAGGTGTGAATTATAAACGAATTAATTGGATTAAACCAAAAATGAATTGCGCTCCGTCGATGCTGGGGTCCTGGGGCTGTGTTTGGCTTTCTGGAATAATACTGGACGATTGTTGGATTGGTCAGGTTGATTTGGTAGGATTGAGTAGAAGTGAGGTCGTTGTAGTGGTCGTATGGACTGTGATCATGTGCCACCGTTCCCCTGAGGCTCAGAATGCAATTCGCGGCGAAGACTGAAAAAAAAAAAAGTGGTCCATCTCCAGATAGAAAGAGAAATAATATATATACATAGAAACAAGGACAATGAGCATCGCCATTTTCAGGTTGGCGACGTCTGGCATATTGCCTACAAAGAAAATGTTATATCAGAGACATAATCCCAACTAAGCAGAATCGACTGTTGGCCAAAGAGTTGTCTCTTGACTGGAGCGATGATCGGGGAAGATAGAATAAAGTTCCAAACACCAGACCGAGGTGAAGGTAGACTAGAAAAAGTCAAGTTTTAGTATCGAAGAAAGGCTGTGACCGTGGCCGGACGCAAGAAGCCTGCATCATATCACCAGAGCCCATGAGTAGTAAGAGATAATGGTCACATAGAGTAGGAGAGTAGTGTTTCACCCTCCCTGCCGATGGAAAGGATCGGAAGACGAGGAAGGAAATGACAAACGTCCATGCATGCCCATAAGTCAAAGGATATAGCGTAAAGATAGAAGTCAAGTGAGATAGTCAGAAATGAAAGGAAAGCAGTCCTCCGTCAGTGTTGACTCCAGAGTAATACTCCCAACGTCGGATATTCCTCGCTTCTCTGTTGGCTCTGAATGAATTCGAGATTGTAACGCGCCGAATGGGACAGAACCCAGATAGAAAGAAAGAAAGAAAAAAAACCGCCAGATTTGCATTCCCAGCCCATTAAATTGAGCGCCCAACTCCGTGGTCCCATAAGTCCTTGTCCCGAAGAAGCTGCCTAAGGCAGCGTACCATGGCCGTTGACTGAACAGCGCCCATGGTAGCTATGCATAGATAGAGACTATCCAAGAAACGAACGTACCCTTCATCGCAGTGGTATCAAATTGGTCATGCATGAGTGAAAAACATTATTCAACCGAATCGGCTTCGGAAGCTTGCGCAGTCGTTGAACACAAGAGTGACTCTCCAAGGGAAAGATCCCTCTGAGATGACTAGCTGCGTTGACCGCCGTTGCGTTGCAGTTGTTGTCCGATCCGAAGAGCCTCGGTGCCATCATCAATCAAAGACTCCTTGAACCACGGATGCTTCAGAGCATCCTTGGCGGTGATACGATTCTTGGGATCGTAAACAAAGATGCGCTGCAGAAGATCCAGGAATAGGCGATGGAACGTAGTGCTGGTCGGGATAAAATCCTGCAGGCAATCAATCAGTGAACATTTCTATGATGTTTTATTGGGACGACGGAACCTACCGTGAGCTGTTTCATGGCCCTCACGTACTTCCGGGACGCCCGTGTCGTCTCCTCGTTAGGGTAGTCGAGTTTGTTCCGATTAAAGTATCTGGATCAAGATTAGCATGCATGGTTTCAGGCAAAGCTATGATTGGAAGGAAACATACTTGGCTGCTTGGTTCTGGCTCCCATTTCGTCCTCCTTGTGTTGTTTGCTTCACCATTTTCGTGTCAATCCGCTGTCCGATGACCGCCTCCATCATGGCAAGATGTTCGAGATTATCATGTGTCTGGAAGAGAGCGTCTCCGGTGAAAAACTCCACAAGGATACATCCGATGCTCCAGATATCACAGGGGAAGCTCCAGCCCAGGTTCAGAATGATTTCGGGGGCCCGATAATGCCGGGTGGACACGACTGAGGAGTGATACTCATCATCGAAAGTGGCAGAGCCGAAATCAATGAGACGGATCTCGCTGTCCAACAGTACACGTCGCTGACGAGCATTACGCGAAATGGCATGCGAAGAGGAGGGGATTGTGCGATTATAGGTAAAGGTCTGGTAGGCGTTGTTGACCAGGAGGATGTTCTCAGGCTTCAGATCGGTATGGATCAAATTGAGGTCATGGAGGACTGGGAGTGTTAGCCAAGGGCATCCGACGGGTTGCAATACTGCAGAATGACTCACAAGCCACACTGGTAAAGAGTTGACGGGCGAAATTCTGAATTTGACTGCTCGGGAACGGAACGAAACCGTTGCCCTTGAGAAAATCAAAGACGCTTTGGCCCAAAAGATCCGTGACGATGCAGATGTGATTCCGGAAATCAAAACAATCGCGCAGATGAATGCACTTGTTCCGGTTGGACTTGTCATTTGATGCCAAAGTGGACAGAACCCGAAGTTCGATCCTCGACGCGTCCCGGTACTTTTGTATTGATCGAATGATCTTCACTGCGCAACGAGTTTTGCGCTGCTTGTCATACGCCTCAACCACTTTGCCAAAGGTACCTTGTCCGAGTAGCCTGATGATCGAGTCTGTAACGATTTAGCATCTAAGTCGATCACAGAAGTTCCCATTCCTCCCAACTGCAGCAATACTCACATCGATCCGTTAAGGGAGTCTCTGGGTTCACAATATAATGACCATCATTGTCGTCAAATTTCTCATGGCGGTTTCCATACTGTGGACGATCGTTAACGAAAGCTGCATCAGAATCGGAGACTGTGGACTACTAACATCACGGATGACCGGTACGGGGACATCCTTGGCCTTGATCGGAGGCTTGGGCGGGGGAATATAACTCAGAAAGGCATCACCCGCCGTTTCCAGCTCCCGCCGTTTCTGCTCATCGCGCGCAGACTTGCGAGTTGTTACTCGCTTCCGCTTCTGACCCACGTTGGCATCTTCGTAGTATGCCCCATTGCTTGCACCAGCACTGCCTGTTGACCCCAGGGATGTAGGAGCCGTGGTATGTAAGGAAGTCGTCCGGTCGGTCGAGATGGAGGCAGCGGATGATTCCTCTCCGTAGTGCTGAGGGATGGTCGAGAAGGATGGACGATCGTAGTAGCCCAGATCGTAGGCGGTTTCGACCCCAGTGCGCCGCTTCTTGCCGGCGGGTTGAGCCACTGCACCATTCGCCGCCACGGCATTTGCGTTGGCAGCATTTCGGGCCTTGACCTGAGCCTGCTCCGGGGGAGGAGTGTCATCGATGACAATCACCTCCTTCGGAAGACCATTTTTGTAAAACTCGCCCCAATCCGGCTTCTTCCTTCTCCTGCTTTGATCCGAGCCAGGCGTGCTGGTGCCCACGCCGTTCTGAGCGGGAGCCATGGCCGCCAGGGTAGGAGTCGGCTGCGCCATTTTTGGAGATTGGGTATACGGAAGGGGGGCGGTCGATGGGTTGGCGGCGTACGGGTAAGGTACGGTGGCTAGGCGAGTGGTCCCTGCAGTGGTTGTGGCAGGAAAGGAGGCGGTTGGCTGGTAGGCGTGATGATGAGGGAATGCGTAGTGTTGTTGGTGATGCGAAGGATGCGTGGCTGTCGCCGTTGAGGGAGTAGACATGATGATGGAACTCCTTCCTGCTACGGCTTGGAGCAGTGAAAGGTAAAAGAGAAAAAGGACAGAATTATGAAGAAACGTTCAACGTATTCCGATCGGTTGAACGTGAGCCGTCCAAACGACTCGGGGTCCTAGGTTGGGAGACCCCAGGAGAATATCTGAGGATTGGAGACCAAACCCACAGTCCCAGGGGGAGTGTACTTCAGTTGGTGATACCGGAGATGACTCCAGAGGTGATGAAAAGAAAAGGGGACAAAGGACGAGTCTTTTTCCGACGGGGAGAGAAAAAGAGGATGATGCGTGGAGATGACGACGGGAGATGAGGCGGTCGGTCGGGGAAAGTGTATGGTGGTCCTCAAGAGGGTCTCGCTTCCTTTCCAGCGGAGACAAGCAGAAAATCAGAGGTCCATTGACTGGAGGCGGGAAACATGTATACCGGGAGAGGGTAGAAGGATGCTGATGAAGAGGAAACGGTGCTGGACAGGAGAGAGAGAAGAGAAATGGGGGGAGGGGATGGGAAGTATCTCGTAGAGTTTCCCAGTGGGAGAGAGAGAGTGAGAGAGCGAGTAGTGAGTGCGCGCGCGGCCGGAATGGAGATATTGTCGAGTTTGGTCTTAGTTCTGATGGACAGAGAAGACTGAATGATTATTATCCAGTGACTTGATCATGGTATTCTCCTGCTACTACGATCCTACTCTAGTCCGGAGCAATGAATGGCAATGCAGCGCAAAAAGGCGAGGGTTCGCTCGGTTACCATCAACACACAGCCAGAACCACAGTTGAGGAATTTTCCAGGTATGCTCGCCATGTATATCTATCTGCAAAGACTCAGAATAATAGGTGAAGAGTGCGCCAGTCATGATCAATGATCATTCAACAATCTCCCCAAGGTCGATAGATTCAATCATCTATCCAGTGAATACTCTGAACCTCCGTAATTACGCAGATCGCAAGGCTCATCTCATTCAGCCATCTGAATCCACCTCACCCGGGCAGGAGGGGGGGCAACATAATAGAACATATATATCTAGCGTCAGACGCATAATAATGATTAATGAAGAACTGACTCCCTTGATTGCCTACTGACTACTCCGTAGATACTACTACTTACTACTGCTGGGACCCTGAGCCACCCAACACATGGGGGAAATAGCGCTGACAGAGTGACAGAACGGTCTCAAGAGATGCAATGCTATTGGTTTTTTTCTTTTCTTTTTTTTTTTTATTTTTATATAAAACCCTTTCATTTCGACAACTCTTTATCCATCTATCTCTATGCTGTCACTTAGTCCTTCAATCATAGTATACGAATGTACAAATCCTCAATCATCGACCTGCGGTGCTGTGGCAATGGCGTTGCACCTGCGCCCCGGGCGTGTGCCGTGCGCCGTAGATTGATAAATTGGCTCTGATATGTCATGCGTTTTTCCTCTTCAACGCTTGACTGGTCTAGGCGATGGCGTTGTTGGTTAGTCAGTATCGACCAAATAGTCGTAGGACGGATAGACTACTCCGTAGATAGTTAGAATAGACTGAGGAGTGAGGACTGAGGATTATCGAGACCGTAACTGACATCATAATCCGAATATCGAATTGTTCCTCTCGTGCACTGACAGCGATCATCAGGAGATTCGAGTTCTAGTGAATTTTCCAGACTGATGATTATCTCGATTACTCCCAAGTCATCTTCAAGTCTATCTACTCACATCTTTCCTCCTCTTCCCTTCGTGTGCAACTCATCCTCCTCCGCCATCAGCCTGGCTTCTCATCGGAACATCCTGCACCGCTACTAGTTAACCCCGAACGTCTAGCCCGATGGGGGAAATTCACTTTGGGTTAAGACTGCTTAGTATTATTACACAATTACCCTTAAAAAGTGCTAAAAGGCGAGATGGACATTAGCGTGTTCGCTTGGAAATGTACTCCGTAGACGCAGTCTGAATAATAGTATGGGTTATAGATTAGAGATTACGGAACCTGGAAAGACCACTTCAATACCTGTCTAGAAGGGTATCCAAATTCAAATAATCAACATCATGGTTGGGTACACCTGATACCAATGCTCTCATCTTCTCGATTGATCTTCACTCCCACGTCTCTCTAGGGTCGGTGCCCCGTTGAGGCGGCGAGTGGCCACGGAGCAAAGGATAGGGTACCTAGGACGGGATAGGAGGATAGGACTTCACCAAACGTGACATATCCAACCTCATTTTCCTTCCCACGTCAAACTGGCCTCGCCGAGTCCATCGAGGTAGATAGGATTGGTTGGTTTGGGATTCTCCTGTATGTCAGACGAGATGCAAGGCAAACAGATCTGAATAAGTGGTCCTTGCGTTCCAAGGAAATTAAATTGTTTTAGTTCGATAGTCCAGTTAAGAACAGGAATGGAGGGAAAGAGAAAAAAAAAATGAAGAATGCGTGTCCCCGAATCGCCTCGTAAAATGCAAACATGGTAGACGAAATCCTATGCCTCAGAAAAGGACGAAACATTCCTGTAAGAGTGATCAAGACATGCCGCAACGCCAATAACAACGATCCTGCGTAAGAAAACCCATGCGAAGCTCAAGCACTGTGTCAGCCTCATCAACAACACCGAATCTAGTCCAGTCGGTCTTCTTTGATGTCCTTGGAGTACGCCTTTTGCACATGTCGTGTGCCCCGTCCATCCAACTCGAGCATGAATAGGATGTCCCGAACTTGGATCCCAGCCCCTTTCTCCTGGTCTTCTCGCCAGCTTCCAAGGCGTTTCAAAGGTGCCGGGGCGGGCTCCCCAGAACGGCCGGCCTTTTCGGTGCCAGGGGTGGGAGTGGCCGTATTGACCCGCGGCGGTGTAGCAAAGCCACTGGGCGTAGCTGGGCCGCGATTGAGCCATGAATACGACTTTTTCGCACCGAACATGCGACCAGAAAGCATGCTGTTGGTAGCTAACCGTGCCGTTTCTACGGACTGCTGATGCTGTTGGGCTTCGCTGGCCTTGGAATCCATCATCCTTCGGGCCTCCTTTTTCGAAATGCTCTTCTTGTCCAGCATAGGAGTCTTTTCGACGATTGGTGTTGATGCCCCAGAGCCAGGTACGTCGACAGATCCGGCTCTGCCCATGGGACCGTCTCCTAGGATGGCGTTGGCGCTACGCTTCGCACGTTTGGCGGCACGAGCCTCTTCGATGGATACATCTTTCTCCATAAGCAGGCGATATTTCTCGGTCAAGGACTTCCCTGCGGGTTGATCCGCGGCCGAATGTGGTCCTGGCTGCTCGTTAGCTCCACTGACAGAACTGAGGAGTGAGATTCCTCAAGCTTACGTTTGAGCGGTGTCTGAGGGTTCTCCGCGTCCACATTGGCAGACCGAGTCACGTCCGCCAGGTCTTTCCATTCCACGGGTACTTTTCCATGAGAATGGGCTCGTCGGCTCCGGGCGAGCGTAGACGAGTAATCGACGACCGACCGCAACCGTTCTTCACAGGATATTGACATCAAATTCAAGATATCGACTAAAGGAGCTCCCTCTTGATTCAAAATGGTTTTCCCAGTCCGCACAATGGACGATCCGTCGGGTCCGGTGACTTCGATGGGTTGTGGACGGCCGGGGACAGGATGAAACAATCCCTCTGCGGGTATGCGAACGCCGAGTTCAAAGCCGCGTCTCTGCAACCTTTGCTCCAAGACTTTTGCTAACAGGAAAGGTTCTTGTAAATGATATTGGGCCCGTCTAGCTGCCTCGGTATCTTCTCGTGTGGGTTCGTTAGGGTCTTTGAATGGGACAGGTGGCTGCGTCGCCGGTTCGGTATAAAAGGAATCTTGGGTGGTGGGTGGTTTATAATGTGAGGGTTCACTGAAACTAGGCGTGGAAGAAATCGTCCCGGTGGTAGACGCTTGTGAGGCGAAAGAGGTGTTGAGAGGTATTTGAGGCTGCTGTTGGGGTGGCGGTGGTTGTGGAGGTCTTGGGGGCTGTTGCGCTTGAACACCAGGAGCCGAATAGCTACTCGTAAGGAAAGCCTCCTCCTCTCTCACATCGATACCAGAAGATGCAAGAACGTCTGTCAACTCAGCAGCATCCGTAGCCTTCTCAACTGGCCGTGAGGGTGGTCCCATCGCGCCTGGAGGTGGTGGTGGGGCAGGCGTCTGAGCCATACCGTTCATATTCATTCCATTCATCGGGGGTGGTTGACTCTGAGGGATCTGCAGCGTACCAAAGCTGGGGGATGCATACGGCGACTGAGACTGAGATTGAGGGAGAGGAGAAAGACGCTGTCGTTTGGGGGGGGGAGGGATGCCGCCATTCATTGGAGATGGTGCGCCGGGAGAGGGTGACGACACCGGGGGGGAGATCGACTGAGAGAACTGCTGAGGTTGAGTTTGCGCCATGGTGGTTGGTGTGATGCGTGTCAGAGCAGGGGTCAGTAGGATGTGAGATATCGAAATCTACCGCGACTGTAGAGATGTTTGCGCGTAAGTTGAAAAAGTGAGCTGATTGCTCAAGCCGCCGCCGTCGTCAGCTATAACCATCTCAAATCTTCCGAGTAGACATGGGATCGCGGTAAGCCGCCGCCAGGAAGCCTTCAGATATTGGTGATCGAGTTCGTGGTGAAAGAAAAGGCTTAAGTGTGTTGCGTGGGAATGGGAAGGGAGCTTCTACTTGTCGAGGTTTGCTTGCTCAGAATCCCGCAACAGCAGCAGCGGGTCACGTGTAGATTATATAAGCACCTGTCGCCGTGTCGGAGAACTTGCGCGGCGCTCTTTCAAAGACAATGATGATATTGTTGAATACAGTCCTTCTCTGGAGATTGATTCAATCAGATCTGATAGGAGTCGAGTCTCTTCCGTAAATCTGTGCATCAAAATTGAGGCTCATGGCTTCTACTTTTTATTAACACGATACCTCCGTGTGTGATTGTGTTTAGCCTACAACCTATTCATGTCGCGTCAATTCAGATTGCTATACGCAGCTCCTTAGAGTGAAGGTCTTGCAAGGGTGCTCAACCTTCAAGCTGGTAACTACAGTTTCGGTTACCCAATTCAGATTTTCATCAAAAGCCAGCGCACATGATGGCGGCAAAGCGCAAGGCTTCGGCTATGAATGCCGTTGATGACGAACCAGTTGATCCGTCCGATGAACTTGCCTTCTACTGTTTAGGTGGAGGTAATGAGGTCGGACGATCATGTCACATCATTCAATACAAAGGGAAAACAGTGATGGTATGTACTGGGTTTCACCTGGAACGCTGTGATGCGGCAATAGCTGACTGGCGTCTGGTCATAGCTCGATGCAGGTATGCATCCTGCAAAAGAAGGATTCTCGGCTCTCCCGTTTTTTGACGAATTCGATCTGAGTACTGTGGATATTCTTCTTATAAGCCAGTATGTGGAATACTTCTTCCCTTTGCAAAGTTTGCTATTGCGATGGCCCACCACACACCGATATCTCAAGAGCTTGCATGGGCATCGGCGTGCAGGGGGCCTTGCCACAGTCTGTGGAAGACTTCTCTGCTCCGATGCGAATGCTCCTAGATGCATGTATATGAGTTGTACAATACAATATATACCAGCTGTTATCCTTGTCTTTCGTGACTGTATCTCGGTATTGGTGCTTGCACGCAGGCTGCTCGGTTGCTGAATATCTGATCTTTTTTGGCTTGCCTAGACTAGAAAATGGCTGATAGATTCTTCTCTTCACCTTAGTTTTCACGTCGACCACTCCTCCGCCCTTCCATACGTTCTCAGCAAGACGAATTTCAAAGGTCGAGTTTTCATGACACATGCGACCAAAGCCATCTACAAGTGGCTCATCCAGGACAATGTACGAGTCAGCAACACAGCATCATCCTCTGATCAACGCACAACACTGTATACGGAAAACGACCACTTGTCTACCTTGCCTTTAATCGAAACGATTGACTTCAACACGACTCACACGATCAATAGCATCCGCATCACACCTTTTCCAGCAGGTCATGTGCTCGGAGCAGCTATGTTCTTGGTCTCCATAGCGGGCCTGAATATCCTTTTCACTGGTGATTACTCTCGAGAAGAAGACAGACATCTCATTCCGGCAGAGGTACCCAAGGGCATCAAGATCGACGTCCTGATTACCGAGTCGACCTTCGGCATATCGACAAATCCCCCACGCCTAGAGCGCGAAGCCGCCCTTATGAAAGCAATCACAGGCGTTCTCAACCGCGGTGGGAGGGTTCTGATGCCAGTGTTTGCTCTTGGACGAGCCCAGGAATTGCTTCTGATCCTCGAAGAATACTGGGAGACCCACCCAGATCTGCAAAAAATACCCATTTACTATATCGGTAATACTGCCCGAAGGTGTATGGTCGTGTATCAGACCTATATCGGCGCCATGAATGACAACATCAAGCGGCTATTCCGTCAGCGCATGGCCGAGGCGGAAGCCAGCGGCGACAAGAGCGCCAGTGCCGGCCCCTGGGACTTTAGATTTGTCCGAAGTCTTCGAAGCCTTGAACGTTTCGATGATGTCGGAGGATGTGTCATGCTGGCTTCACCGGGTATGCTACAGACGGGAACCAGCAGAGAATTGCTCGAGCGGTGGGCCCCGAACGAGCGCAACGGTGTTGTCATGACTGGCTATAGCGTGGAGGGAACAATGGCTAAACAACTGCTCAACGAGCCGGATCAGATCCCAGCCGTAATGTCCCGAGCACCCGGCGGGCTGTCACGACGGGGACTTGCTAGCGGCGACGAGGAACAGAAGATCATGATACCCAGAAGATGCACTGTGGACGAGATCAGTTTTGCGGCACATGTCGATGGCGTTGAGAATCGTAACTTCATCGAGCAGGTGGCCGCGCCTGTTGTGGTAAGCACTACTGTTCTTGACATAACTTGATCGGTCGATCTGATTAACTCATTTGCTCTTTAGATCCTAGTTCACGGTGAAAAGCATCAGATGATGCGTCTCAAGTCGAAGCTACTAAGTCTGAACGCCGACAAGACCGTCAAAGTCAAGGTCTACACCCCAGCTAATTGCGAAGAAGTCTGCATACCGTTCAGAAAAGACAAGATCGCGAAAGTTGTTGGTAAACTAGCCCAGCTTGCAGCTCCTTCAGAGCAGGATGACGGTCGCCTAATGTCCGGCGTCTTGGTCCAGAATGGGTTTAACTTGTCACTGATGGCGCCCGATGACCTGCGCGAGTACGCTGGTCTTACAACGACGACCATCACATGCAAGCAACATATCACCCTGAGCTCCGCAAGTATGGATTTAATCAAATGGGCCCTCGAAGGTACCTTCGGGGCAATTGAAGAACTCGGTAGCAGCGACAAGGCGCTCGATAAAGAGGCCTCTAGCAAGGGCGATTCTTCGAAAGATGTCAATGGGGAGCTGCAAACGAAAGAAGAACCCGCGGATGAAGAGATTCCGATGCAAGACACTCAAACATATCTTGTTATGGGCTGTGTGATCATCCGCTATCACGCTCGAACGCGCGAGGTCGAACTGGAATGGGAAGGAAACATGATGAATGACGGCGTTGCCGATGCAGTGATGGCAGTTCTTCTTACAGTTGAGAGCAGTCCTGCGTCAGTAAAGCGTATGTCCTCAAAGTCCCTCCACCCAAATGATGTTCATACTGACGCAAAACCGAAAAACTACAGAATCCGCAAAGCTCAATCATGATCACCACCATCATGGCGAACTAGAACTACCCAATCCCCACTCTCATCAGGGACCGGAGGAGAGATTTGAAAATCTTCTCATGATGCTTGAAGCACAATTTGGATCTGACATTGCTCCCATTGAGCAACCACGCATCCCCCCTCAAGCCCTTACAAACGGCACAACCAAAGAAGAAGCCGTCAAGAGTGAATCTGATGCGGCGGATGAAACTTCTGCTAAGGTCAAGACAGAGGACAAGGAGGATGAAGAAGACCAGAAGAGAGAGGAGATCGAAGCCGCTGAGCTTGCTCGTCTCGAAGCACTTGGAATCCCCTACCCCGGCATCGAAATCAAAGTCGATAAACATGTTGCGCGGGTGTGGCTGGAGGATCTCGAGGTTGAATGTGTCAACCCGGTGCTTAGGGACCGAGTCCGCATGGTGATCGAGCGGGCTGTGGAAACTGTGGCAAGCATGTGGTTAGAAGGGCCTCCGTCAGTTCCCGTCGCAAATGGGACAAAGAGCCACAAAGAGACACCCATTCAAAAGAGTGCTGAGATTGAGGCGGAAGCATAAGTCTTTTTATATCTAGATGTGTACTATACTTCGTTTGCCTAGCCTCGGACATTGTGACATTAATGTTGAGAAGTTGTTGGGAATGGCGACAGTCAATTTATGGTGTTAATCAAAGGACAGGAATGCATATCTATGTCAATCTGCAAGTAATTACTTTATCGCCAGGATTATTACACTGATGCATTATAACGTACGTCCCCAGTAAATGTGAAACAACTGAATTAGTGTTGGTATCCTGCACCTAGATATGTAGTCAAATCGTCTCTTATCATTCTAAACACTCCCCATCCTCGCAAAGACCTCTTCAATCACCTTACCAGCCGTCTCTACGATGATGTCGATCTCCTCCTTGGTCACATTGTAAGGAGGTGCGATGAGGATATGGTCACCAAGGACGCCATCCACGCACCCAGTCGCCGCATACAAGGAAACCCCATACTCCGGCTTCAGTCCAGTCTCTTGGACGTGGAAAGCCACAGCAGAGGAAGTAGGGAAGGGCTCCTTGGTGGCTTTGTCCTTGACGAATTCGACCTAGAAAGAAAATCTTAGTTAGCTCACGCTCTTCTCCCACCTGAAACATCTCCTGCAACTGAAAAGAGAGAGAGAGAGAGAGAGAGAGAGAGAGAGAGAGAGAGAGAAAGGAAGATCATACCCCCCAAAACAACCCCTTCCCTCGAACATTGCCCACATTCGGATGCGACTCCACGCGTGCTCGGAGCTGCTTCTCGAGGTACGCGCCCATGGCTCGGACATTCTCAAGCAAGTTTTCCTCCTTGATGATCTTCTGCACGGCGAGTGCGGCTGCGCACGCGACCGGATGGCCCTGGTATGTCTGCCCATGCCGGAAAACACCCGTGCCCTTGTCCATTGCCTCGACGACCTTCTCGCTGATGAGCAGTCCGGACACGGGCGCGTACCCAGCCCCGAGACCCTTGCCGATGGTCTGGAGATCGGGAACCACGCCCTCATCTTCCCAAGCGTGTAGGGTGCCGCAGCGGCCCATGCCGCTCATGACTTCGTCGAGGACGAAGAGCGCGCCGTACTTCTCGCAGACGGCTTTCATGGCTGGGAAGTAGCCGGGGACGGCGGGGACGGCACCGAGGGACTATATAGATGGAGGGAGAGGTAAGTTCATGATCGGGGAGGAGGCGCAATAACGTACCCCGCCGACAACAGGCTCTGCGATAAATGCGCAGACTGTCTCTGGTCCAACGCGCTGGAATTCTGCGTCGAGCTCCTCGGCCAGGCGCGCCACGTACTCTGCGTCTGATTCGCCCTCCGTCTTGTGCCGGTAGGGGTAGCATGGCGAGACGTGCGAGGTATGCTTTGCGAGGAGGGGTTCGAAGGGCTTTCGGCGCAGGACGTAGCCTCCTGCGGCTAGGGCACCGAGCGTGACGCCGTGATAAGACGGCAGACGAGCAATGAATTTCGTTCGTTGTGGCTGGGGTGGGGATACTTCCAGGAAATACTGGCGGGAGAGCTTGAGTGCTGCTTCGACGGCCTCGGAGCCTGTGACAGGACACTATGAGCACCGTCTGTTGCAAGGTGTACTTAGAGCTGTTGAATGAAAACATACCGGAACTGGCTACGAAGAGCTTGGTCATCTTGCCCCCCGTTGACTCACAAAGCAGCTTGGCTAATTCCTCTGAAGCATTAGTTCCGAAGAAGGCGGAGTGGCAATATGCGAGCTCATTGAGCTGGTCTGTGATAGCCTTAATAACCCCCTCATGACCATGGCCTAAGCAAGATACGGCAGCACCGCCAGTAGAATCGAGAAACTTGGTCCCATCCTCAAGGAAGATGTAGCTGCCTTTACCACCAATCGCTTTCTTGGGGATGAAGCGTGTATCTCGGTGGAGGACAGAACTGTGGGCAGGGGTCTCTGCTCAGAAAATTAGCAAAACACTTGATTTTGTTGAGTCGGTTCCATTGAGCAAACCTGTTTGAGTCATGATGATTAATTTTCGATGATTGAGGAAAGTTGATGGATGATGAGAGAAGACCAGCTTTCTAAAATGGACAAGAATTTCGTTGATTCTGCTGTATAAGTTCCCCGTGAGGCGGGGAAACCTCGCATTTATAGCGTATCTGCCAGCTGTTATCTGCAAAGTACTACGCCCAAGTACCTCTTCCTGCACTTATCTGTCCCTCTCTTAGTTGACCCCATTAAGGTAATGTTCTCCAGCACTCCAAATGTGGGGGCGGGAACTTCGGCATGCCGATGCATACAATGCCGAGCCCATCATTGGCTGAAACCGCCGATAAGCCCGAGACGCTAGTCCGCGTTGGACTTGAAGCCTCAGGAGTCGAGAGAGGTTTTATCCAATCAGCGTGATCTCTGTACGATTAACTAAGAGGCCCGATGCCTCGCTTGGAAGCAGTTTAACACAGACCGCAGGACTGTGAACCGAGTGGAAAGATGTATGTCACCTGGTGTAAGGTGCTATCTACTATGGCAGCCGGGTTGGTCGGATTGACCGCTTGTTGCTTTCAATCTTGCTCCTATCACCTAGGCTCATCAACGGACCAGACCAGTCAGTCTCCTTATCAACTACCAGATATCATTAGTACCATAGCTAGAGTGTTGATTGGATACCATTACCGAGTCATGCATGCAATTTATGATTGCCAGATTGCACTGTTGCCACTAAAGATCGTGGTCACAGATCCTCCTTGGTTTTACCCAGGGCATCTCTCAGCGAGCTGTGATACTCCATCGCATTGCGCCGACGTTTATACCACCATGCATGCTGGTTTTGAGGAACATTTTTGTGGGAAATGTAGTTAGCATAAGTGCATTTCGAAACATGCTACTGGGAATCGCCCGCTTCGCTTCCATGGATCCTCCATGTTATGCGACAGCGGCTCTTCTGTATCTCTCGTGCCTATCAAAGCTCCCTGCGCTTGCTTGTGTTGTATTAGCGCATCTGCTGCCTTCGACGGGGTGAGATTCCCCGGGACATCTCTGTTTTCTAACTGTATTGCTATCGATTAGTACTCTATTCATTGGATAGACCCCATTTGGTCAATCTGTGTCAAACCGCCGAATAGAGTCGGTGGTGAAGGCCAATTGGGTTGATCTCGGGAAGTGATGCATAGGCTCTGTGCTCATCTTGTATAAAAATAACCACTGTTATCTCGCCACGATTGGGCAGGAAGATCCTGGGGTCATTCATATTTGGTACGGGGATATTGGTTGTGGTTCACCATAGCTGCAATTGCCATACAGAATGAAGGCTATGGCATACTAATCAATCGTGGAACTACAACCCGCGCACCTGGGAGTTCTTGTCACCTGTATGCATAGGACGATGTTGGACAATAGTTTGTCATAAGAATTCAGATTGGGAGCATTGATAAGATTCATTCCCTTGCAGATATCGCCATTTATATATCAGATCTGAGCTCGAGATGTAATAATAGAAACTGGGCGTGTAATTGGACAATTATTCCAAATCAGCCTTCAGACACATACCAAAGACTTGAGATTCAAAGTGCTCAGCTCTCTCTTGTTGTTGTTGAAGCACCAGCAAAGCATCGAAGTGTTGAAGATGAGCATCCCCCTCCATCAACGCCCAAGGCGGAAGCTCAGCTCTCCGCTCCGCACTAAAACCCCGTTCCGCACAGAAAGGCCAGACTTCAAGATATCAACACTACAACGGTCATATTCCAGCAACTCCTGACGAAAAGTTGCGCCATCTTGAACTGCGTCATTACCCGAAACGACCGCGCGGTTATTCACCCTTCATAACAGCCATTAAAATGTCACGACACGCACAAGTGGAGGAGGTCTACGACTCTGACCCCGAGGAGGTCGCGCCCTCTGAACCCTCCGCTTCCCTTCTCACACCCTCTGCAATTCCCCCTCCCGGCGCTTCATCGATTCCGACGAGACCTGCTCCTGAGCCGCGCCGCGAAATCCCAAAGCATTTCCAGTGTCTATACCCCGTCTACTTTGACAAGACACGGTCTCGGGCAGAAGGTCGCAAGGTTGGCGCCGAACTTGCAATCGAAAATCCCCTGGCGAGAGACATTGTCGATGCAGTACAATCGCTGGGGTTGAATGTTGGCTTCGAGCCAGAGAAATTACATCCGAAGGATTGGGCAAACCCGGGACGGGTCCGGGTTATGTTGAAAGACGAGGATGGGAATCTCGTTAACCCCAAGATCAAGAACAGTATGTATATCGTGTCCGCTATTCTTGCGATTTCTGAATATGTCATACTAATATGTTGATAGAGCATCACCTCCATATCCTAGTTGCGCAGTATCTCAAAGCCCACCCTACTACCGAAGAATCCCCCTACCGGCTGAGAATCAGAGGCCTCCCGATGCCAGAGAAGCTGCCCGGTGCACCTCCAGCTCCCCGAGGCTGGAAGATCGGCAAGATTCTTCCGATCCATTCGCCAGCTTACAGTGGTGGAGGAGTCAGTGACAACCCGCTCAAGGATGCCATGGCTGAAATGCAAAGCATGGGAGGAATGCCTGGAATGCCCCAGATCCCCGGGATGCCTGATCTTGCTGGGTTGATGGGAGGTGAGCCGTCCTCCGGCACTGGCGGTAGTGAAAAGAAGAAGAAGGATAAGAAGAAGGGTAAGGCATGAGGGCTTGACTAGGTTACGCCGACCATCTGTTCATCCACTTTTTTTTTGTGTTTATTAGTCTTTTGGGTGCATTGCATCGGCGAAAGGCGTTGTGCGGTTTGCGACTATAGAGGGCATTTCTGCTGTTCTCTTGATACCAAATAAATCCCAGTGTCTGACCGATTGCGTTTCCTCGATACTATTCGTTCTGTCAAATGAAGATAGACTGGAAATGATGTATGTCAGCCATGCCTTGCGACATTGGTTGTTTGTAGATGTCATTACGTCCCATATGTTTTCTGCCGCCCGTCATGGATCACCGTAATCGGCAATCTCCGTAAATCGTCAATCATCATTGGCCGATTCTCTCCGCTGGACCATTTACCTGCCCCAAAGATACAAGTTAGTTCATCCCAGCTGCAGCTGAACTTCTCGACAGAGAGTTTTTTCGATGTCGGTATTTTCCTAGCAGCTTCAACATCTCCGTCGGACATATGGGTTGTAAAAGTCAACTCACGTGCACTGGTCCATGCACTTGCGCCTTGATGGATTGAAGAGACGCAGCCCCGCCATTCCTGAGAGTAAGGGATCATGAACACAACCCCCACGAGCACCGTACCCGGCTATGGGCCTTCGGAGTCCGGGTCCAGTTCTCAGTTTCAGTTTGAATATGATTCTCCCCGAGTTTCTTTTCCTTCTCCCTCGACAGGGCAATCTGCGACAGGCAAGAGCCGTCTTGCAGGTGGTCGCCAGATAACTCGGAACCGCGCCAGCTACAGCTGTCACATATGTCGCAGGCGCAAGGTGAAATGCGACAAGGTATGTGCCGGTGTCATTCTGGGAGGTTTTGTTTTATTTTATTTTATTTTTTATTTTATTTTTTTTTTCGCATGATGTCTTGACAGGTCAGATACTGATTTTTGAGCAAAGGTTCATCCAGTATGCGGAAATTGCGTGAAGAATGGAACCGAGTGCGTCTACGATGCGGCACTGCAGAAAAACGCTGCATCGCGCAGCAGCCGAGACAAAAGCGTGCGCGGTGTGAAGCGAAGAAGGGAAAAATCTCAACCGTGGGATCAAGATCTTGACCCCCTGCAGATGATTGATGGCCAGCTGAAGCAGGCGGAGAACCCCGAGGGCCAAAGAATAGGATCGCAGGCGATCGAGGCCCGACTGGACAAGTTGACTTCGATGATAGAGCGGCTGAGCAAGACGGATCAGCCCCGCGATCAGAGGGAGACGCAGTTGTGGGAACAAAGAGCCAGAGTGGAAGCTGTGAATCGCGAACTGCGACCAGACAAAGGGGCAATACCGAGGCCGTCTGCCGATTCAAGCTCGGACAGTCCGCGTCGTGCGGTCGAATCGAGTAGCGATGAGTTTCCCATACCTGCTGGATGTGCGACTGACCTGGTGGATCCGGTTGGGAGCTTGAATCTCGGTCATCTCAGCTTGGAAAATGGTGGTAGATCAAGGTAGGTGATGTACCTGCGATATGGCTCGCTGCAAGATTTGACCGAAATCCATGTTAGATACGTGGGAACCACTTATTGGGCTTATATTTCACACGAGGTATGTTTTGGAAGGAAACCTTTTCAAGGCTCGGGGCTGAACGAGATGCAGATCAATGAGCTCAATCAATTGCTTCGAGACCAGAACCGTTCGCCGAATGAAGTCCCACGCAATGATAGATGCCCGGATGGGATCGTGAAAACCCCTAGTGTTCAATGGAAAGACCCTTTGTCAACTGGTAGCCCAAGGGATGCCACCGAAGATAGATCTTCTCGTTTGGAGACATTCCAGAAGTCTATCTGGTTCCCTTCGAGCGAGTCGCCGTCCGCCAAAGATAAGGTAGTTGAGCCCGAGATGCTCGACAACATGCCTACCAAACGCCAAAGCCACATTCTCTACAAGGGATTCATGTCCGGCGTCCATGCCATCAGTCCTGTCGTCCACCCACCTACCATACACAAACTGTACAATGCCTTTTGGGAATGGTATGATTATAGGAATGATTCCGGAGAGCCTTGTCCGGATCCCTCTTTCATTCCGTTACTGTACGCTATCTGGTATGGTGGCTCGGTCACGGTCTCTATACGCACAATCAAAGCCGAGTTCAATGTGTCATCACGATCTACACTTCTAAAGACCTACAATGATGAGGTAACACGTTGGCTAGACAGGATATCCTTCCCTCGAAGTCCTTCATTACAAGGCCTCGCTGCATATTTACTCCTACACACGATCCTCTCGAGGGAGGAGGAGCCTCTGACAAGTAGTTTATTTACCAGTGTATCTATGAGGGTTGCACAGACAATGGGCCTGCATCGTGATCCTGCTAAATTTGGAATTGAGCCTTGCGAAGCAGAGTATCGCCGCCGGATCTGGTGGCATATTGTCCATATGGACGGTGTCGTCGCCATGTCTAGTGGGCTTCCTCCCTTGGTCAGCGATGAGAAATACTGGGATGTCCAGGAGACCAGCGAAGTCAAGGATACGCTCCTGGGTACTCCTGAGGCGGAGCAATATCACAGGCTGGTCACGGCTGGTCTGCGTCCGCGAGATAACCCCGATGACCCGACGATATGCGGTGGGCCATCAATGGTAAATGTATACTACTTGTCTGCCAGAGGCAAATACGTTATGGTTCGTAAGTATAACCTGGGTTCGGAATTTTAGGTAAAGTCACTAATTTGGTTTAAGGCGCCGTTCGTCGCATATTGAAGATCCAGTTAGGGACACAACCCGTGACACGAATGGACATGGAAGAACTGCGGTCCATTCTTGTCGATCTGCAGCTCAATCTCAACTCAATTGTAAATAGAATCCCCGAGGCGAAGAACAAAGAGATCTACTCGGTCGCTTCGAATAGGTCACGATCCCTCTCGTCTCGATCTTCTGTTGAAGTGGGATCTAGCGAGACTGAACTGCCTGGGGAAGGGCCTGACAGTTGTCCAGAGCAATATCATTCCCCTGTACTTGTGTCCTTCCACAAGTGGGCAAGGATTCTTCTTTCGCTGTTTATAGACAAGGCATTCTGTGTCGCATATCAACCTTTTCTGAAGAATGCCAAAAGCCGAATTTGGCCTACTGCCAGACAAAGGTGAGATTGACTGCATTCAATGCGGACGACAGATGACTGACCTACGATAGCGCGCTGCGCCATTGCCATGGCTTCATGGAGAAGTTCATATCTCTGACCACGGATCCTGATTTTCAACCCTTCCAATGGAGCTGGCCAGGCAACCACCAGCCAATGCACGCAACCATGATCATGCTCATTGATCTGTATGAGCGGCCCTACAGCTCCGAGGCCTCCAAATCACGGGCCTTCATCGACAAGGTTTTCTCACTTTCCGGCCCGGACGGAGGCGTCGTAGGCGGCGAAGACGGGGTAACGACCCAACGACCTCTGAAAGACGGAGGCCGCGAAGCATGGGATATGATTCGGAGACTCCGTCAACAGGCATGGCAGAAAGCAGGCCTCGATCCTCAGAAACTATGGACCGAGCAGGCTCAGATCCAGGCCGGCGTTCCCTCCACACCAACGGAATATTCCTCAGCCAGCTCGACCCAAGCGCCGGCTATCACACCCCTCAACTCACGAAAGCAATTATCAGACTTCTCAAAGATGTTCTACAACATGACACGTTCCCACGTTCTGTCTCCTGCGACGCGACCTAGCTCGCTGCGGTATCAACTACCGCCGCCCGTTCGCACCATTCCATCCACCACCTCCCAGATAAACCCCCTCCCTCGATTCCCTGTCTCCTCAACGACACCAAACCCCCCAGTCATACCTCCCCTGACCACCCCGGAAATCCTTGCACCGCCTAACCCATTTGCCCAGCCTGCCATCCCGCCTCCCTCCTCCCTGCCTTACATGGATACAACCTTCCCCATCACCGGGGCCGTGGCAGCCCCCACACCCCCATCTATGGTCGATCCCAACGTGAACTTTGATTGGGACCAGTGGGACGCCGTCTTCGGCCAACACCTGCCTGTCGCGGATGAGTTGATGGAGCTGGACCCCGTGGCTGGGTTCGAGTTCGGGGATCTGCCTGATGCCGCGGATGTTGGGGGCGATGCTGCGGGCATGGGCGGGGGTGACACGGGGATGATGGGTGCTAAAGACCCGGAGTGGTTTTCGTATTGTTGATTGGGGAATGGGTGTCTCCTTTCATGTCGGTTGATCTCCATATAGGAGTCTCGATATCTTGTACATAGCTAGTTATCGAAACGTACTACTATATAATTTACGGCCAAGTCAATCACTCCAAAAGTTCAAGCTTTACTATGAGCAACAGTCAATTGAAGATGTGGTTCTATGTTCAAGACACCTGGTAGACATATAGATAGATCATAACAGATATGGAATTCATGAGGCGTGACTATAATGGTAGGATCTGGGAGAGGCGGTATGGAATAGCCGGATGCGTAGGAAGGATTTCAGAGAAACGAGGCAGGCAAACCCCGTTTTCATCAGCATGCTCGAATTAGGAACACCCGCGTACTCTAATTCCCTAAATTTTGATTCATGACACTCTTCACACTGTTGGAAACACTTAAACCTTCATCTCCTCGAGACCGTGCTTCCAGAGAGTGGCGAAGGGAGTGACACCGTCCTCACGGAAGTCAATCAGGACGTGCCTAGAGCGCAATGTTAGTAGGAGACTCTTGAGCTTATGCAGATCGAGGAATAGACATACATAGCATCACCGTCCATGGAGGCACCCATGAGAACATCGTAGTTGTCGTAGTTGGCGAGGATCTTCTTGACGGCACCGGGGGCACCCTTCTTGAAGGCATCGATCTCCTCCTGGGGAGCGCCCTTCTCCTGGAGCTTGGTGAGGACCTTCTTCATGTAGGCTAGAGACACCAGTTAGAGACCTGATCCAGATAGATCTTCCGCAAGCGTAAAATAGGCAAAACGTACACTTCAAGTGAGACTTGAAAGCGTCCTTGGAAGGCTTCATGCCCTCCTCGGTCTTGAGCCAGTTGAGACGGAATTGGTCCTCGATGTCGTGGACCATGACCTCGTCACCCTCACCGCCGGCATCATCATCACCAGCCTCAGCGGAGGGGTTGGCACCCTCGAGCTCGAAGTCCTCGTTCTTCTTCTTCAGGTACTTGCGGCAGTCGCATTCGTAGAGGACACCGTCAACGGTCTTGATGTTGAAGGTATCGGCGAGAACCTCGTCACCGGAGATGATATCCTATGATGAAAAAGAGACAAGATCAGTATACTGTTAATTGCATACGCAATTCAGGCGATGAAGAATGTGTTTGTTTGTATCCATGTCACATCAGGGTATGATAGTGGGGTATTGCTAAGGGAGAGAGAGGTATGTGAGAGTCAGGAAAATACCTTGTAAATGATCATTTTGACTGATGTGATGAAGAAAAATCCTGCAACGCGAAAAGAGAGAGATGAAGATGCAGAAGAGATGGCACACGGCTGGACAGAAAGAAAAGAAGGAGAAGAAGAGAAGAAGACAGCAGCTGGAGAGAAGCCAAAGAGGGGGGAAAATAGAAGTTTTTAGTGGCGCCCGAATCCGACTCTTTGGTGGGGGATTTTTTTTTTTTCCCTCTCTTCTCTTTTACCTCAGATTTTCGAGGGGCAAAATAAGACTAAACCACTTCAGGACTGGCGGACTCGTCTGGCCGGCAGTCAACCAGCAGTTCATCAGATGAAACAGCAGACAGATTGCCACCACTGGGAGAGTTTTGGATGGGTCCAGGTAGTTAGAGGACGGTGGGATCAAAGGTAGATCCATTGTAATTTTCTTTTAAACCAACAAAATGGCTAGAAAATGAGTGTGCAGTGTTTGTATCGCCAGACTGGAAGTTTTTGACTGCCTGAGGGTTCAAGGCACCGAGAAGAGATTCGATACTGACAGAACGGGATGTTTTGTACATTACAGAACATCCCGCTTGACACTTTTCGTCAAGGTAGTACTGCAGTAGTATGCGGTATATTTCAGTACTGTATAGTACTTTGATACAGTCATACCATCTTGATCAGATAGACGGCCCGGATCGGACTACTTGTGGTGCCACTAGACGATCTACTGACTGCGATGGACGAGTTTTATTCCTCTTCTTACTGCTTCTAGTCCTCGGTACTACCCTACATGGACTACAATTATTCTTACGATAGATTTCCTTCGAAAAGTGTCGTCTCCTGGAATATCTAGGTCATCATTGCGGCCTTCTGCTGGGGAAACCTGTCAGCCTGATTAACTCATCATCCTCGGTGTCTTGGCGGTTGTGCCTGCTGGCTGCTAGTTACAGCGCGTCCCCTGACTGTGGCGGATCACCTTCAACGAACGACTAAAAAGTCTCCCCATACATCTCACCATCCATCCTAGGATCTCGTCTCCTAATAATCGCCTTTCCTAAGTCATCTCCATCGGTTATATCTTCTGCCTTGGTGCTTTGATTTCGTTCTCAGCATACTAGAAGATTCGTTTGCGGAACATCGCTCGCTGTCCTCCCAGTTCACGGAGGCTGATGCGTTAATTCTCTCAAGTCATCTTACTGTGCTTGATAGTTTCCAATTGATCTCTCCGGCTGTCAACGGATCTTATTCAAGCCATGGCAGCCAACGAATCCGTCGTATTCGACTACCCTCCGTTGCCGACCTATACACTGAGCCCCCGTCCTCCGATTTTTACGGCAATCCCCGACAATATCCTTGCTCTGATCTTACCCGTTGTCGCATACTGGGCATTGTCTCTGTTCTATCATTTCATCGATGTCTACGATTTCTTTCCCCAATACCGTTTGCACACCCCAGCGGAAGTACTGAAACGAAACAAGGTCACGCGCTGGGAAGTGGTGAGGGATGTCATCTTACAGCAGGTGATTCAGTCGCTGGCTGGCTTGGTGGTTGCCTATCTCGATCCGGTCGAATACATCGGGAGGGAGGAGTACGACGTTGCTGTATGGGCGGGACGCCTTCGCTTTGCACAGAGGGCTATCCCTCGCGTGCTGGCTATATTCGGAGTTGATGCTTTGGGACTGGCGAGCAATCTCTCGAAGAATGGCCACACCATACTAGCTGGAGCATTGGCTGGAGGTCATTATCCCGGAGTCACACAATCTCTTACGCTCGACAGCGGCCTGGACGCGGTTGTGCCTGCTTTTACCAACTGGGAATTGTTAACGGCCAGCTTCATCTATTGGTACCTCATCCCTGCGTTGCAATTCACCTGGGCCATCCTCGTCGTCGACACTTGGCAGTATTTCCTTCACCGTGCGATGCATATGAATCGGTGGCTTTATGGTATGTATATCGTATCCTGCTATTACAGCATTGATGATGTTTCTGACATCTGCAGTTACCTTCCATTCCCGTCACCATCGACTGTATGTTCCCTACGCGTTCGGTGCCCTTTACAATCATCCGGTGGAAGGTTTCCTCCTTGATACTGCCGGTGCCGGCTTGGGATTCCTGACTGCGGGCATGACCACTCGTCAGGCCATGTGGTTCTTCAGTTGTTCTACAATCAAGACTGTGGACGATCATTGCGGCTATGCTTTCCCTTGGGACCCCCTGCAACATTTCACCTCCAACAATGCCGCCTACCATGACATCCACCACCAGAGCTGGGGTATCAAGACCAACTTCTCCCAGCCATTCTTCACTTTTTGGGATCGTCTGTTCAACACCCGTTGGAACGGCGACGTCAGACTCAAATATGAGCGCTCCCGGGAGGCTGCCCAAAAACAAGTCGAGCAAGACGCATCTTCTGCCCCGGCTGAAGAAACCCCCTACGAGAGTGCGGTCATTTCACCAGCCACATCGACCGACTCCAATGCGCGCACGCGCCTGCGCAGCAAGACTGTCACATTGTCTCCGCACGTCGACAGCCTCAAGGGTGTGAACCATGGAGTGACCCGCAGTGTTTTGCACGCATAATTTCGCCTCTGGATCCCGCCTTTATTACTTTTATAATACTTATTTTCTACCTCGCGCTTTGGAAGAGTTGAAGCTGCTGGACATCGTCAACCGACGCGACTCTTTTGCCTATTCTTACCAATTATGACCGTTCATATTTCCATTATGCTGTACTAATATTGAATGCTTGGTCTTTCTGGCCTGTATAATGACCTTTTTTTGTTTGATGGAATATCTTTACTCAGTGTAATGTCTTTTTTTTTCTTTTCTTTTTTTTTTCTTGGAAATAAAGCACCAATCAACTCAATCATACCTCAGACAAACTTGACCATTATCCTGAACTCAAATCTATGCTTCACCCCCTTGTCGCATTCTATGTCATTCCCTCTATATTTCTCCTCCTGCGACAAACATGAACACTGCAACGTCGCCCATAGTGCTCTATTGGCATACCAGACTCCATGTGGTATCCGCAGGTCCAACCTCGGACACAGGAGCATCCTCCCAGGACGCTAGGCTAAAATCCGAGTCAGATTCATATCCTTCCCTATGGCCAACCAGGTCAAGCATCGCACGATAATCTACTGCAAGATTCTCGGCTGTGCCACCGTAGGTCCCGCTTCCCAACTGCATGGTCTCGATTTCTTCTGTCAAGGTGTCCAGCGGGCTCTCTTGATGGATCACCTTATTCCAGTCGACGTTATCCCGGGGAGGGATGTATGTTGCCTGCGTGGTTCGGTAGTCCTCCGGGTAGTACGATCCGGATGCTGTCGAGTAAGTTGCCTTCGGGACGGATAGTGGGTGGACCTGTGGCACGCCGTCGGGGAGGTTGGTGTTGGAGCGAGGAGCCCAGTCCCGGGAGCCATAAGCTTCGTAGGTCGCGATGATTTCATCGGTGATGGTGTCGCGTTCCCCGATGATCTCACCGTGCCGAGCCCTGGCCTTTTCCTTTCCCTTCTCCCTCCCCTTGGCATCGTGATGCATCGCTTGCTGCTCGTTCATGTCGGAGTCCATGTACACGACGATGGACTCGGTGTTATCGGTATGCGGACTGTTGCTGTAACCAGACGACTCTCCCCCATTCTCCGGGATCTTGGAGCTCTTCGCAATCCTGATGGATTTGCCCTTGTTTTTCGGATGTCTGCGCAGGTGATCCGAGAAATCCTCGCGCTTATGGATACGTTCCGGTCGTACTCTATACGCCTTGATGGCTGCCTTCCGCGCTAATTTGAAATCAAAGGCTGCCTGGCCGCTGGCGTGCCAGAGATCGAGAGCGTGGTCTCCGTACTGGTTGATGGCCTGGTCCACAAAGGCGAGCAGCTTCGGTGCGCGGTGCTTCGCCTTTGTTCTTGTGCGACTGATGAGAGTAACACGGAGATTCTGCAAATGCATTGGCTCTCTCACCACTCTTCCTAGGATGCACGCCTCGCACTCATTTGGCTGGTAGGCGGCAGGGGCGATTGGAGGAGGACGGTTATCAGGGGGAACAAGGGACCACATGCCTTGAATGGATTGCAGCGCGCGAACAAGATTCCTATGGCTCTGGTCAAGGTTGTTTGAGTACCAATGGATGATGTCCAGGTGCACCGTCACTTCTTTCTTAACCAGGCAGAGTATGTCCCCGATGATATACGGGTTCAGCGCCTGGTGCGTGGGACACATGACCGCCGTTCGGATGATAGACTTAGGTAGGATACCAAGGATTAATGACTTGCGAAGGTCGGAGGGGAGACGTTTGATCTCATTGTGAACCGGTTCATCGCATCTCTCGAGGACTCGGCCGGTATTGTCACAGGTATGCCGCACCACAAACTGTAAGTTCAAAACGTAAATTAGCATTTTCAATTCGCTCTTGCTGAGGTCAGTGACCATCAGAGGATACCTCTGTTGGATTGCCTTCTGCATCTTGGCCCGGTTCCTTCACGGTCGTCTATAAATCGGTGGTGGACAGTATCTAACGGATCTAACTGCGGGTTCTCCTCGGTTTCTCGTCGACTGAAGACGGCGGAGATCTTTGCTCTTGGTGATCAATGGGAAATAAAAGTTCAAAAATGGTGAAGAGAGCGGTCTTGTTGTTATGGCTTGCTCGTGTTGCTGCTGCGAATATCCAAGATAATGCTGTAGAGGAAGTCGGTGATGAAGAAGGATGATGAGAAAAGAATTGATAATCCAGAAGAGCAAGAGGAGCCATTTTATAGACATCAGAGGGCCTGAAAACCATGGTAGGAGTAACAAACGCTTTATGATGTTCAATATCATTGTTGATGCCGGCTTTGTCATGATCAAAGAAGTTGTCGAGGACAGCAATCAAGTAACAAAGAAAGAAGGAGCAAAGAACAATCAAAGACATATCTCATGTCTCATAATTCTGTAATATCGCCATTATATCGCCATCATTATACTGTCCCTTCGCTGGCTGTTGATCTCTTGGGTGATATTCAGGAAGAAAGACAGTCTTATTTTGACCTATTGAGGCATGGAGAGATTAGCATCAATGACACTGAGACGAGCTTTGAGACACAATCAGAACATACTGTCGCACGTAGTAGCTAGTAGTAGAGTACTCATTGAGCCAGGATTTTGCTTTGAGGGTGTGATATGTGATATGCCAGCCTGTGGTGCATCTCCGACTCGGCTATCATGTGTGGCCGGGGCTGAATGATCGCATCACGAGGTTGCATCCAACGTTCCTTCCTTTTCGATATGACAACTCGAGCACGCTGATTTTCTGTGTATATGAAAGTCCCGATGTCCTCGGCCTGCTCGATGATCTCGAGCAGATGGACTCGTACATGCATTTTACATTTATATCCAACCACACTCTCGTTAAACACTCAAAAATAGAGATCTATATCAGAACATACTTATCCCAACTATGGCCGTCAAATACCTTCCCTCCCAGTCCAAAACGAAACAAGATGTACCCTTGCCGTATACAGCATCGCCCCTGCGGTTACTCTGGGCCGACATCCGTCTGTTCTTCAAAAGTCTCTGGTGTTTGCCGGGCGTGATACTACCACTGAAGCCTGGTTGCTCTGGAGCACTAGACGAGTTCTATCCGTCTTGGACCAACATATGCAATATTGCCATTCATTTGTTTCTGTTTGTATACCAGATTGTCTTTCTTGTGTCGCTGCCTGTCATATTTGTTTTCGCGTTTCCGGCGTTATGGATTGGTATATATGTCGCACTCACGTTAGGTGTGAGTTGGGTGGTTTGCAGGATCTGCCTGAACGGGAACATCATGACCCTGGAATCGCAAGTACCCGTCGACTGGCGTCCAGAACATGATCGCGAGCATTGGATCTTTGTTAATGGTATTATGGTCGGGTGAGTCCTTGACCCTCTTGCTGTGTGCCCATTCGAAGGCTGTATGGCTGATAGGATACGCCTAGGCAGCATTGGCTGCAGAATAGCATCGACCGGCTGGCATATACATTTGGTAGAAGGGTCACAGGTGTTCATAATCCCACGTACGTTGTACATTCGTGTTGTACATCTGCTTGACCTCGATCGGCTCACAGTGCGAAACGGTTAGATTCGGCATAGTTTTTGATATAATCGAATGTCTGATCCAAAGAAACTTCTCTTATGCCACCCGGGACGTGAGGAATGCATATGCAGTCATCAAGGAGGCTCTATTGAATCCACAATATAAGAAGGTGATTCTTATCCTTCACAGCCAGGGTGGTATTGAGGGTGGACTCGTGGTTGACTGGTTGCTGGACGAATTACCACGAGAGCTATTGCAGGACCTCGAGGTCTATACTTTTGGCAACGCTGCGAATCACTTTAACAATCCGCATCGAACATTATCAGATGCTCGTCAGAATGCATGTGAGGGTGAGGAGCTACCGGGTCATTCTGCCTCCAAATCGGCAAAAACGATTCGCCGTATCGAGCACTATGTTAATTCCGTGGACTTTGTGGGTGTTTGGGGAGTCTTGAATTTCGCCAACATCCCCAATCGATATATGGGACGTGTCTTCACGCGGCATGGATCCGGCCATCAGTTCATACAGCACTATCTGGATAGTATGTTCGTTTTGGGGAAAGACCTGAAGACTCTGGATACCAACGATTTCATGGAGACAGAGATTGAGGTTGAAGTGCCAGTGGCAGAACGACATATAGAGGACGCGGCAGCTCCTGAGAGCCCTCTCGACCATGACGACACTCACGTTCTTTATGACGAGATGAAATCAAATGTGTCATCATTGGCCAACAGCTTCCTAAGCAGAAAAACAAAGGTAAAGGACCTGAGTCGGCTGTGGCTTTATCGGAATGGTGCCTCTCCAACGGACTGACCCTGATGGTGGGATCGCGGGAGTGTTTTCCCTTCTGTCATTATTCTGGATCTCTCTGTTGCCCTGTATTCTGTGACGTGGGTATATTGAATGTTAGGTTAACCCTCAGTATTAGTCTTGGTTATGTAGATCAATTTTGATGAATAGGTAGATAGGCCTCAAGCCCCAGGCAACCAGGCTCTCAAATCTCCCGTTATCAGTGGGGAGTCGCTCCACTTCTCTCTACTTCTCTCTCTCTCTCATTCTCTCTTCTGCTTCTCTCTAGTCTCTAGTAGTCTAGTAACTACCACTCCGGGTCTCCGACGTTCTCATCAGTTCCCGAGTTTCTACCTTCGGTCCTCAGAATCAAAAAGCCTGGAAATGTGGGCACTCCTTGGTTCTTCCCATCCAATAATAAATTTGGACTGTCATGTCGCCGACTCACCGCAGTTGGCGCTATCCGGCCAAAACCTCTTCTCCAGTCAGACTGCATATCGTCTCGTAGCCTTGCAGGCTTGCAGCAACTAGCAGGCTTTTTTGCGCTATCAACTCCTTTGAGAGCTTTCGGGAATTCAATTTCTTCTTTGATTCATACTTAGCTTACTCACGAGCCGTGTCGTAGTGCGACCGTCAATGCAATGCTTCACTCATTGATCTACCACTGTAGAGCGCAATAGCAACAGCTCAGAACTCAGATGGCTAATACTGGATGAAGAGGCGACTCTAGTGGTTTCTTCTCTCTCCAAAAAGGACATCATAAGCTCGAAGCTTGTTGATTAAGCGAAGCCCACCTACAGAGTAAGCTTGTATTTGGCGCTTTCTAGGCGTCTTGGGCATCCGCGATGGAGCTTCTTCCGAGAGCTTCACAGTATGTCATTACTCTAACATCGCAGGCGTCTGCGGGCGGCGTCTCCACCTTTCAAGACAGTGATCAAGTGCAGAGGTAAGGCCCATTTAATACTTCTTGATTCAATTGTACGACTGCTGATACAGTCATCTAGCCACATTTGGCAATATCGCACTCAAAAATGGTCTGCCTTCGTGGCTACAGGAAATCTGCATCTAGCGGCCGGCTTGGCCTCTTGTTTTATTCTGACCTTATCAGCATGTATACAGTACGCTGCTCGTACTTGCAAAAGGAAGGCCCATGCTGGTACGACTCCTTCATCGGACGATTCGAAGACCAGAATTCCTCTACCCTTCGCACTTGCACACCTCGCTGTGACTATTGCGGCATGTTGTCTGAGCTGGGTGGAATTACACGGCAAAGGAGGCTGGAAACGATCTGTTCTCTTGACCTATGTCTTGCTTCTGGCTGTAGTCAGGCTTTGCGGCAAGTGTAACAAGTACAGGGTGCATCTCTATAGCCATGTCAATGTGTTGGCCATTGTGGCAGTGGCTTTGGAAATCGTCCAAGATCTGATTCCAATGGCAATAGTGGGCTCGAGCTACCGTCCAACAGCAATAGGGAGTGCTATATTAGCATGCGTGGCCGCTACGTTGGCAATTGTACTTGCGACTCCTCGGTCTCCTCGCCCATTGGTTTCGGATGCGGAAATTCACAAACCAGATATGGAGGAGAAGCCTTCGCCAGAAGAGACCTGCTCTCTATTCTCATACTATTGCTCCTACGAGTGGATCACCTACGTGATCATCCGCGGCTGCCGGCGGGATCTAACAATGGACGACTTGCCGCCCCTGCCTTCTTACGATGAGCCGCTTAAATGGCTGAAGAAGATCAAAAGGCAGCGCCTCAGAGGCGGAAAGACTCTGCGGACGTTGTGCAGATTGCTCAAAACAGAGATAAGAACTATGATGTGCTGGGCAGCGACTACCGCGATAGTGGAATTCGCTGCTCCTTTCTCCATGCTGCGTTTGCTGGCGTACTTGGAAGATCCCAATGGTGCAATTGTACATCCTGTGCTCTGGATATGCCTGCTTTTTATCGGACCTACCGTGCGATCTCTGTGTTATCAGCAATACATCTTTACTGCTACACGACTACTGGTTCGAGTGAATCTTTCACTTGTCCAAGAGATTTATCAGACCGCAATGCGATCACATATCTACGATGAGTCTATCCGCCACCACGGCAGGAGAAGGTCCCACGAAATAGCAAGCCACAAGGTAGAGACCACAAAGGGTGCGTCAAAGTCCAGCCAAGCGAACCTAACCAGCTTGATGTCCTATGATGTTGATGCTATCTACAATTCCCGGGACATCTTCTACGTTGCAACCGCTGGCCCAATATCGACCACGATTGCCATGATTTTCCTCTACCGAATGCTTGGCTGGCCATCCTTGTTCGGCGTTCTGGCGCTTTTTTGCTTGACTCCTCTCCCGGCTCTAGCTTCCCGCAGGGTATCCCGCATCCAGCAATCTGTAATGAGAGCCACCGATATACGCCTTTCAAGGATCTCAGAGTATCTAAATTCGATCCGTACACTGAAGTATTTTGGATGGGAGCCAGCTGCGATGGCTTCCATCAACGACATACGAAGTGTCGAACAGCGTCGTCTCTGGAGAAGAAGTGTCTATGCTGCTGCAATCTCTATGGCGGGCGACCTTCTACCGCTGGTCAGCTTACTGGTCATGTTCTCCATTTTAGTTCTATTCACAAACCGTCCTCTGCGGGCTCCCATTGCGTTTACCTCATTGTCGATCATGGAGACTCTGCGATCCCAATTTGTCTGGCTCTCCAATGTTAGCAGATACTCAGCCCAGGGCGCAGAATCACTTCGCCGCGTGGATCACTTCTTCGACACAGCGAGTGAAGTCAAACGCCATCCCGACGGCCCACTGGCGCTCAACCACGCAGCATTTCGGCGGACGCCTATTGCAGCTTTTCGACTAGTAGATATCTCAATTGTATTCAAGCAGAATGGCCTCAATATCATCGCCGGCCCAACTGGTAGCGGGAAAACCTCTTTGCTACTTTCGTTACTTGGTGAAACTATTCTGGAATCAGGATCAGCCACTTGTCCTCGTGATGTAGCTTATGTGCCTCAGTCGCCATGGCTCCAAAACGACACGATCAGGGAGAACATTTTGTTCTACAGTTCCTTTGACGAGGCTCGTTACAATACAGTCATCGATGCCAGTGGCCTCTGCCAGGACCTCCAGCAGCTTCCCGAGGGCGATCTTACATTAGTCGGAGAGAAGGGCACATCGCTTTCTGGGGGACAGAAACAACGTGTCTCCCTTGCCAGGGCTTTATACTCGCGGTCATCCACACTGCTACTGGATGACATATTTTCCGCACTTGATACACATACAACTTCTCTTGTTTATGAGAAGTGCTTTCATAGTGATTTACTGGCAGACAGGACTGTTGTTCTTGTCACCCATCTGCCAGCTGCATTGAAGGATGCTGATCTGGTTATCCACCTAAATCACGGCAGAGCTTCTCTAACGAAGGTTCCTTCGGCGTCTCCTCAAGCTCTAATGCATTCTGCACCCGCTGTCGTTGAGGCGACCCCGACTAGCAGCGAACCACAAACAGAACTTGAGGAGTCTACACCATCTAAAGCTTCCTTGAGTATCATTCCGGATGTACGTGCTCAACAAGTTGCTCAGGCGGATCGCATTGTCAAAGAGACGTCGGCTACGGGCCGTGTGCCCCGTACATTCTGTGAGTTCTCAGAGATCCACACATCACGTCCTTTCTACTAATGTGTTTTCAGTTCTCCAGTATATGGTCCTCTTTGGCGGGGTCTTCTACGCAACAACGACTCTTCTGGCTACCATAACCGTCCAATTTGCTTACTTCTCTATCACATATTGGCTCTCCATCTGGACTGGAGCATACGAGGAATACGATCACCCAAACTCGTTATTCTACCTGTCTATCTACGCGGCCTCGATCGTAATCTTTCTTTTGCTTCAGCTTACAAACAATCTTTTGTATCAATATGGTAGCTGGACGGCTGCCAAGAAGATGCACATGAAACTTGTCACAGCAGTACTCTCTGCTCCGATCTCATGGTTCGACCAAAACCCCATTGGCCGTGCTATCAATCGCTTTGGAAACGATACTCGATCTATGGATACTGTTCTAGTTGACTGGTTGCGGATGTCGATCGAGAACGGGCTGCGCTTCCTACTTCGTATCGCCAGTATCGCATCTATCATGCCGATATTTGCTCTTCCTGCTGCTGTGATTTGTACCATCGGGTTTCTCATTGGAGAGATGTACACCCGTGCACAGGTTTCGATTAAGAGATTATCTTCCATCAACTATTCCCCCGTGTTCTCTCATTTCACCGATTCATTGGCTGGGATGACTGTGATTCGCGCTCGACAAGGCATGAACGAAGTGTTTCAGAAGCTGCTGGCAGACAAGCTGGCTGTTCATGCTCGCTCTGCAGAAGCGCAGTACAACTGCAACCGCTGGGTCTCCGTTCGGTCAGACCTTTGTGCAGCTTCCGTTGCAGCAGCGGCAGGATGCGTAGCCTACTTCTGGTCTGGGTCAGCAGGACTTGTGGGATTCTCATTGACTAACGCCATTGGTCTTAGTCAGACGATCCTGACTCTAGTCCGAACGATGAACGAACTTGAAGTTGAGCTCAATTCCTTCCAACGGATCCGGGAATACGCAGAGATCGAACCGGAAGAGAAATTGACCGAGAAAGAGCGTAGCAAAGCTGAAGCTATCCCGGCTAGTTGGCCGATAGCGGGACGAGTTGAATTTCACAACGTCGCTGCACGATACCAGCCGGACGGCCCGAATGTCCTACGTAACGTCTCCTTTGTCGCAAACCCTGGCGAGCGAATCGGCATTGTGGGACGAACCGGCAGCGGCAAGAGCACCCTCGGCCTCTCCCTACTACGCTTTGTCAATGTGACCGTCGGTCAGATCACAATCGACGGCATCAGCATCAGCAACATCCTTCTACACCATCTTCGCACAAGCGTCACCCTCATCCCCCAAGAACCCGTTCTCTTCTCGGGCGACGTACGATCGAATCTTGACCCATTCGGCGAGTCAAGCGAAACCGAGCTCCATGACGCTCTGTCCGCTTGCACGTCCATTCAAATCCATGGTGGTCCGGAAACAGGGAGAGCAACCCGGCCTCTTTCCCTGGACACGCCCGTTGCAGCCAACGGAGAGAACTTCAGTCAAGGTCAACGACAGGTCTTAAGCATTGCGCGCGCGGTCTGCCGTCGCTCCAAGGTCGTCTTGCTGGATGAGGCTACTGCCTCAGTCGACCACGAGACGGATATGCACATGCAGAAGCTGTTGCGGAGCATGTTCCCAGACTCCACGATCATAGCCATCGCGCACCGGCTGCGGACTATCATGGACTATGACCGGGTCCTGGTCATGGCTGAGGGTGAGATCATCGAGTAAGCCATCCTGCCTACACTTTTGAGAAATATTAGTAGAGACTAAACTCGGTATTTCTAGGAATGATTCTCCTGCAAATCTCATCGAAAAGAAAGGCGTTTTCTGGAATATGTTGCGGAATACGGGGGAATACGATGAGTTGGTTCAAATGATACAACAAAAATGATATGAGAGGTGCAGTCAGCGACCCTTGAGCCGTTAAATCTACCTAATTCAAGTGGACTGAAGCAATATCCTGTAGGCTGAGAGCAAGGAAAGGCTATATAACGCATTATCAATATGGGACAACTTCGCAAAATAAGTCTCACTAGGCATTCCAAGTCTAGGACATAGTTCTTACCATAAGAGTCTAAGAATGTAAGTCTGCTTCGTGGAGATTTGTAGAGGCCAAATTAAATTATAGATAGTCTGTGTAAGGGAACCGGTCATGACCGTCGCTGATGTTGAAGTAATCGACGGCGTCAATAGAGGGTGGAGAGGGCAAGTATTCACCATGGCTAGTAATACAGTCTTGAAATTCTTTCCATGAAGAAAGGACGGTTTGGCAAACGGGGCAATATTCAGGATGTGGAACTGTTCTTGTGCTCTGTCTCAGCTCCTGGGGAGTTAGCGGTCTCTCATGTACCAGTTGAACATGCTGACCAAACTTTTCACGCATCGGTGATTCGAACGTGCAATCGACGCCATTCGAACCGGATGCCTCTGAGCAATAGTAGTTCCACTGAGGATAGTGACGATTATATATATGTCGAAGAAATGTACTGTAAGAATGGTACACCCTCCCCGCCTCCCATTTAAGGCATAGTGGACATTTATAGCGGCGGCGTGGTTGTGGCAAGTCACCCTGAGCCAACGTCCCTGGGGGGATGCTGCTGATGAGAGAATGGTTTTACCGGCACCTGGAATACCCGGACAGAATAGTGTCTGTTGCGGGTTTTCAATCCAAGTTTGAAATTCGGGCGATTGTAACAGCCATTCTCCTGTTCCTGGTTGGCGCCGACGGAGGTAATCAGAATGTTTGGTAGCGTAGATAGTTGACGATAACTAGTCGAGGTAACTCTGCTGCTGTTCATTAACCTTGCTTTTCAACAGGCTTGTGATATTGTTCCGTGTTATCCGGCCGTTCAAAGCGTTAATGTTGCTGCAAATGCGATTTCGAAGATCGCGCACGTCGTCCGGTTCCCATCTGAATCGATTCCACACTCTTCTTATATTGTGACCTTCGTTTAAGGCAGAATATCGACTGAGCGCCTGATCGATATCATTAAGAACATTGCGGCAGCTCTCTGCGATTTGCTGCAGCTCGATCACCTGCTGGCTGCTAAGGTCTGTGTTGGATAAGTCGACTACAACATCCTGTACAACGACAGCAAGATTCCTGAGTCTACAGAAATCCTCAGTGGATGTAAGCCTTTTCGCAATGTAATTATGTTCCTGGGACGTCATACTCATCAGATAGAGCCTTGAATTGAGAAGGTGCGCCAACAAAGTCTTTTTGAAGCTTGTTAGCATGCTCAAGAACGGTGATGAAATCACCGATGCTGAATCCAAAGCTAATTATGATGCAATGCAACAGAGCTATCAGTCACAGTTGTGATGAAGAAAGAAAGAAATTGTTCTGGCTAGGGAGATTGGAGGCATGGTGGTGAAATGTCAAATAAGTAGTTTGGAAATGAGGCTGAGGAGGCAGTGCTGGGTATAAAAGCCACTTATTATGTTTAGACTGCGTTGAATTGCAGCATGGACGAGGCCGTTCGTAGGTGTTCTATATGATCACTGATGCCATCACTGGTATGACATGAATCCCTATCAATCGTGGCCAATCAAGTGAAGCTAAAAAGTCACCAGTTGCTCATCAAAACCGAAGATAAGAAGGTGACAAAGAAAGAAACAGGACGGCCAACAGATGGATACTATTATTATGGTTTCAAAATTCGCAACATTCTATCTCGGTAATGGTATATTACGATTTTGCCAGAGGAATCAACTGCTCTTCCAAGGGCCACTTTGATAACACAGCTGGTTTGCCCGTCAACGACAGCGGCAGAACAACAGACCGCTCGTTGTTCAAGGCCAATTCGTACTTCCCAGGGTACAAGACACGATTTCCCAGCTCGTCCGTGCGTGCCATGCTATTGATAGTAACAGGGATGGTCATGAGCTTGGAGGTGCTGGGTCCTAAAGTCGGCAGTCTATCGAAGCCGACGAGCCATTTTTTAGGGTATGGTGCTGGCCCAGCGGTGGTATTGGCGAACAGCATCGCGGTGTAGTCGGAAGAGGCCTTTCCGGTATTGGTGATATCCACCGTGAAGTTGAGGAAGGGCATTTGTTCGACATGGATGTAGCCTGGGTGAGGTTGGGCGAGGAGATCCTGGATGTTATACGTGGGTTTGATCTTGACGGCACGGGCATGGGAGACACGGAAGGTGGTATAGAAGAGGCCATGACCAAACTCGTAGACCGGAGTACCGGTGTACCACATGTAAGTTTGGCCGGGGTTGTTGCCGTGCGGCCGAAGGCTCATGTCTGTAGCAGGGAATTGAGTCGCGTATTCGGCTGGATACTGAGTGACAACTAGTCGTCCGGCGGGTGCACGCTTGCCCGTGATGATGTCGAGAAGTGCTTGTCCGCCGGATTGCCCAGGGTATCCGCCCCAGATCAAAGAGTTGACGTTCTTGTTGGACTTCAGCAACGATGAGTCGACCTGACCACCTCCCATCTGGAGCACGATCAACGGTTTACCGAGCTGGCTTAACTGGTCGATGAGTTCCAGCTGCTTGCCGGGCCATGTGATGTTCATCCGGTCCAAAGTCTCCGCTTCCAAGGAATTATCAATTCCGCCGGCGAATATGATAGCATCGGATTTCTTGGCCGCTGAAAGGGCTTTGGAGAATCCGTCGGTGGAGTTAGACGAGATGTTAGTACCAAATGCATAATTCACATCCAGGTGGGAATCTCTGAACGCATCCAATGGGCTAATCAAATACGGCGCTGGTCCAAAGTAATTGCCCTGCAGCTGAGTTGACACGTTCATCCATGGGCCAACTAACGCAATGCTACGAATTGACTCAGAAAGCGGGAGAGTACCATCGTTTTTCAGAAGAACAGTGCCCTCAACGCTCGTATGAGATGTTCCAGGAATTAGTAGTCACAACATCATTCCAGGTCAAGTTGCGATATGCGCTACTGTTACCATCGAAATAGCCAAGGCGCATCAGGTTGCTGTACAGACGGATGACTCCCCGTTCAATGTCTGCACGGGAAAGCAAATTCTGGTCAACGGCCTCGTCAAAGTAGTACTGATAGGTGGTACCGCAATCGATGTCTGTACCTGCACGAATGGAGTCTGCCGCAGCACTACTCACGTTGGCAGCATACTCGTGGGGATTGAAGACATTATACGCTGAGTCGCAGTCACTGGAGATATAGCCGTCCTCCACGAAGCCAAAAGTGTCTCGGAGAAGCGTTTGCAGAAAGAAAGAGTTCGCACAGCTGGGGACTCCATTCACTGCGTTATATGAGCACATGACACTGCGTACCTTGGCATCCCTGGCTGCAACAAGAAATTGGGGAGTGTAGTATTCTGAGAGATCCTGCTGCGTGATGTTCATATCATTTCCCAGGCGGGAGTGACCGTCCCAGTTCTCGATGTCGTAGCCGGCATAGTGTTTCGCAGTAGCCACCAACTTGAGACTCTTTGGATCCACGCCGCCTTGAATGCCAGTGATGTACTCATATGCATACGCCGAGCTAAGGCAGTATGCGTCCTCCCCAGGAGTTTCCTGACCACGACCCCAGACTGGGTGACGGAAAGAATTGATGTTTGGAGAATACACGTCTAGACCGTACCGTCCGGCGTTGCTGAAAGCCCGACCTTGAGTGGAGATGATGCTCGCGACCTGGTTGATCAGAGTTCGGTTGAGCGCTGACATGGTCAAGATAGGCATGGGGAATGAGGTAGACCAACTGAACTGGCCTTCGTCGGTAAAATAGGCGCGGTCGAGCCCATGGAGCGCCTCGTTCCATACTTGATACGGAGGAAGGCCAAGTCTTGGAACACCAGGACTGGTGTTGCCTGTGGCGTTAACGAGTTCTTCAAGAGTGAAGAGAGAAATCAAAGCAGCTGCTCTGTCGTATGGCGATGTCAACGTATCACAGACAATAGTCTTGCTGAGAGGACCATTATCGCAGTCAGGGAAGGAGAGGTCGATTGTAGCAACTGATTGAGGAGTGAGATCGGGATTTGCCTCAGTGTTGTAATCCGCATAGCTTGTGTTCGCTTGAGCCAGTACAGAAGGCAATATGGCTGCTAGAACGGTAGCTATTGATTTGATAGCCGACATTTCCGATGCTCCGAACACGGTAGAAGCTGAAGTTCTGCATCATGGCCATATCGACAGGAAACCCCTCAATTTATAAGAGTCATCGGCAATTCTGAAAGATAGAATGCCATATATCATACGCGGTTAACGTCCGCGCACCGGGCATATCCTGGCTGAATTGCCCTCGAACATGAAAAGATGCATTCTGTTTCCCTGGCCTTCAACCCCGCAGCTGCTGGCTGAATCAAGCAGGCCCCAGGGCCGATCCTGATATAAAAGTGCGGGGATTCTCCGTTATCGAGTGACAAGTGAGACATGCGAGTCAAAAAAACCATCTAATATTCAGGCTGAATTGACCGGAGGTCCTGAGTATGATGTCAATCGGATTTTGATGTTTATGGATGGATCTTGACGATAGCCCGAGCTGGCTAAATTCGCCGTAGCTTGAGCTTGCATGCAATACTATTGATCGTGCGCTCAGACCCGGGCCCGAAACTGGCCATGATAAGCTTTGAGGCGCCCAATATTCTCGCAAAGACTGGTCTGAGGCCATAATGCCAGACATGAGGCATTCCTCATATGATAATGGGGGAATTTTGAGTCACAAAGTCTTGATCGTTCAATCTAAGTCATTAGATCGAAATGAAGCAGCGATGAAGAAAATTTCCATCACCGAGTAACTCCTCACATTGATGGCCCCTGATCCATAATCGATGGTGTTAATTCCTATTTGCTGTTTGCTGACCAAAGCGCTGATCGTTGCACGAAGCATTCTCCATATGCTTCTATTTCACCGAAGTCCGAGGATGATACACCTTCCATGGTCCCGAAAGTAATAGAGATACTCTTCCCTGTTTTCAATAAGATATCAGAGTTTAAAGAGTAGGTAGTAGATAATGTCGAGGATAGGACTGGACTCTTGATTATTCCATGGATGAGAGAGACACTCGCAGCTAAGCTTCTAAGCTTCTGGCAGTATCTTGGCACTTTACCCTTCTCAGCTTAGTGTGGCTTGCTATCGGAAAGAGCTCTGATGTGGCTGATGCTTTCTGTGGCTGGTGATATGTCGATGTTGAAGTATGAATAATCACCATGACCTTGTCAACAAACTTGAAGGCTTGTTGTATACCTAGAGGTTGCTTGTGCCCATGAAAAGAACAAAGAGCCATGATGTATATCACCTGACCCAGCCATTTACGGCATCATCCTGGAACAATTATATCAAAAGTGTTGAAGAAGAGAGACTGACCTCGACATGACATCACCCCCAATACCATTCGTATAGGATGTCTCTAAAAAACACGCTCTGGCCTCAATATCATGCTTCCAGTGCTTTGCTACAGTCCACGGCAGCGACACCGATATGTTTGGCATCTATGACTATCTCCACCAGTTGGTGGATCAGGCTTTTGCCTTCACCAAACTCGTCCAGAATCGCGAAGTAGGATGGTTAACGGTCGACCGCAAGACAGGCCACTACAAGCGCGAGAAGCAACCGACATTGAAAAAGCTCAAACTTCTGGTGCTTTTTAACCCTTTGATGGAATGGATTGATCGGACACATCTGTTACGGTTGTGGACGCATGAGAAGAATCTTGAAAAAGGTGGGTATATTGCCAATATCTCAGCTTCATTCACAATACCTAACTGTGGCACACAGGCAGAAAAGAAGGAACCCCCCAATCGCGCAAGCAGATCAAAAGCTTCATCGACTTCTACCAAATTGACATGTCATCTTTCGAGCCCTCAGACCCCGAGAAATACGAAACTTTCGAGGATTTCTTTGTTCGGAAACATGCCCCCGGTGCAGGCCCAATCTTCGCGCAAAATGATCCCACAAAAGCTATTGCCGTTGCCGATTCAAGGGTTGTTGTTTATCCGACTGTCGAAGCAACGCGCAGATTGTGGATCAAGGGCAGCAAGTTCACCATTGATCACCTCATCAAGGACCGTGACCGGGCGAAGCCATGGGAAAACGGTGCCGTTGCCAGTTTCCGCCTTAGTCCTCAGGATTATCATCGCTATCACTCTCCCGTCGAAGGCAAGGTACAATGGTACAAGCAGATCCCCGGTGATTATTTCCAGGTCGATCCGATAGCTCTGCAGAGCTCGGTGAACATTCTGACTGAAAATGCACGCTGCTGCGTGTGTATCGAGACGGAGGACTTTGGACTTGTACTGTTCGTAGCCATCGGGGCTACTGATGTGGGAACTGTTGGGTAAGTGATTTCTCTGCAAAGTTGCTCTTTGCATCATACTGACTTCTTGTAGCTTTCATGAAGAGATGATGACTGCGGGCCACCATGTCAAGAAAGGCGATGAGATCGGCCTGTTCCAGTTTGGTGGGTCGAGTATCTTGGTGGCTTTTGAGAAGGACCGGATCCAGTTTGACCAGGATCTGGAGCAGTTGAGCCATCAGCAGATCATGGTAAATGTCGAGGTTGGAATGAGCTTAGGGAAAGCGACACAGCCGAAGGCGAGATGAGCCATCTGAATATCTCTCTACGGTTCAAGCTGATTATTATGCGGATAATGTATGAACGATCTATGATGCAAATGTACAAAACCAAATTCAATTAGCGCATTCAAGATACCGAACGATCTGGTTATCTCCCTACTCTAGGAAATGTTGTAGATGACAGTAAAGTAGTTGATCGTGGATAGAGAGGCAAAGGAGAATGTAGGACTGCCACCCACCACATCGGTTGAAGATATTCCCTCGCTAGATCGTGTGGATAGATATATATATAGATATATACCACTCAGTCTTCCGGAGCAAAGTCATTTGCACATAGCAAGCCTCTAATTTTTTTGAAACTGTTTAGCAAATGATTTCTACCAAATCAATTTTCACAAGAAATTGCAAAAATTATGCGAGTCGTCCGGGTTCAACCATATTACAAGTCCTCTCATAGCTCGGTGATTGGAAGTAGTACACCATGCATCATCTCCCAGAAGTATGACCATCAAGGAAGGATCATGTGGTCATGATACATATTTTCTCGAAGAAATGCTGGAAGAGGTAACGATGATGGAATTGTACGATGCCTTCCTCATGGCTGTTGCGTGAATTCGAAATTTTTTTGTTGGATCTAGAGAGTAGAGGAAGCTTCACAGCTTCTAGTAGTTATATACATCGACTCTAGGTCACATTCACCTCAAGCTTTTGATCCCGTGGACTTTGTCGTTCCACCCATCTGTACCTCCTTCTCAAGAGAATCCAGAGCAGCTCTGTATTTCGGCTTAATATCTGCCATGTCACTCAATCCCACATTCACTCTCTCAACCTTCATAGAGCGGGTTATCTTGCCATCTGAGGCCTTTGATATCTCATTCTCAAACCATCGGCCTTCGCGGTGGGCAACAAGCGTCCACGCTGATCCCTTTTTGCCTGCTCTTGCCGTACGGCCAACTCGGTGCACATAGGTCGTGACACTGGGCGGAACGTCATAGTTGACAACGTGAGTTAGGGACTGCAGGTCAAGACCACGAGAAGCACGATCCGTAGCTACAATGATTGAGATCTTGCCCCGGCGGTACGCAGTCAGTGTTTTCCGAGATGCCGAGGATTTGTTTGACTTGATGATTGTTCCCACTTGGTTCGCTAGCGATGGGTCCAGAAGAGATATCAGACGGGAGAGTCGCGATGCTGATTCGGAGGACTTGGTGAATATCAAGACCGTATTTCGTATGGGTGCGCGGGTGATGATCTTTGTATCTTCCTCGCTCTCGGACTCTGCCGACTCGTCACTCGACGAGCTATCCTCTTCCGACGATTCGGAGTCCGATTCATCAGAGCTCGAATCTTCGGAGCTGGAACCATCGGAACTAGTGTCATCATCAGAGTCGGATTCGTCGGAGCTGCTATCATCAGAGCTTGAATCCTCAGAGTCCGAAGTCTCCATAGAATCGTCGTTGGAGCGCTGCTCTTCGGCAAGGACATTGATGTGGGAACGTAAGAGGCTTAGGAGATACAACGGCTTCTGTGATCCGTCGCCCACTGAAACAGAGTACTCCTTCAATGTACGAGGTATGGTGAATTGTTCATCGGATTTAACATGCCCTCCGTCTTCGGTTGAGGTGGGATCTGCCGAGCTGACAATGACCAGTTTGGGATTCGCAAGTCGAAGAGAATTCAACTTGGAAACATCTCGGGTCATCGTAGCACTAAGAATAACCTTTCTCGGTTCCTTGACTTGGATCGGGAGTCCGAGCTCTGCCATAAATTGACCACTAGAGCCAAAAGCTTTCGGGCTCTTGCGTGCATCCAAAGAGTTCATAACAACATCAACCCACTCCTGGAAACTCTCATTTAGCAGTCGATCGGCCTCATCGATGACCAGCCATTCTAAATGCTCCAAGGTGAAGCCTTTGGTGTAGCGGAGATGATCAACAAGTCGGCCAGGAGTGCAGATCAAGATATCGACATTCGGTTCCGCTTTTTGAATATAGCCGGGCAGGGACTCGCTCAGGTCCCCTGCCTCGGCGATGTAGTCTAGAAGGTTGAACTTTGTCCAATCCTCTCCTGTGAGGTCGACAGTCTGTCGTTGCTTCGATATCTCAGGTCCGTAACATTGATCGATCCGCATCAGGGTGCGCTGTTCGTCCTTGATCGCCACATTTCCGACTGCAGACCCCACCCGCAGGCCAGAACCAGCCGCGCAAAGTTCACAGGCTTCCCTGGCTTGCTTCACTAGTTCTCGTGTGGGTACGACAATGAGACCGCGCATTCTGGGGGCCGGTGTCGGTTCCAGTGCGGTCACAAGGGGAAGTACGTACGACAAGGTCTTTCCTGAACCGGTGGCTGCAGATATACAAAGATCACCAGCATGTCTCTTGGAGCCTTGTAATAGTAGGGGGATGACAGTCGATTGCACAGCAAATGCTTCCTTGTACCCGTTCTGGTCGAGTACACGAAGAAGATTCGAGTCAATTCCGAGTTCCGAGAACTGGGCGCGCTTGTCCGACGATTCCCTAAGAGGGTTTGCCAGCCATTCGGGGAGAGAAGAATAGCTTGGCTTCTCAGCTTCCTCCAAGATTTGTTCAGGTTGCGGAAGAGGCTCTAGGCCTTGGGCCACAACAGGTTCAGCGGTGATCGGCCCTCCGGGTGCAGGCTCATCCTGGGTGTCCTTCTTCGCTTTGGCTGCTTCTTTTAATTTCGCAGATCGCTCGAATTTCGACAATATACCGGAGAATTTGTTCTTCTCCGCTTTTGTTTCATCATTCCCTTTAGAAATGTCCTCGTGTTTCGCCTTCCTGCGCAGCTTCTTGTCTTCGAATTCGTCCCTTGCTGACTCCGATTCTGAATCATCCTCCGATTCGCTCAGATGCGCAGGTTTATCAACAGACTCAGAAGTCCTTCTCTTTGATGTCTTTTTGGATTTTGACTTCTTGCCATCGCTACTCTGAGCGATTGCATCGCTGCTGATCACCGAGACAGCACTCTCTTTCCTGGCCTTCTTTTCTTCAACACTATCCTCCGTAGAAGCCTTCTTTCGCTTTTCTTTGCTTAGCTTCTCTTTCGGACGGTCTGGGGCTGGTGAGAGCGCTTGGCTCTTCTTTGCTTTCTTGGTCGGTGTTGGTGTTGATGCAGCGACGGGGGATCCATCCGATTCTCTCTTCCGTTTGTGAATCTTCTTTGCGTTCAAGGGCGTGGACGACTCTTTCTTGGGAGAGGCATGATGCGTAGACCTGTCACCAGCCATGATCAACAGTGATATTAAAGAACGCTGATAAAAGATGACGCTTGTAATCTCTTTCGAGACTGTGCTGGAACATTTCTTTCCCATGGGGAATATTTTTGATTCTACTCCGGCAGAATATTCTCACCGCTATCCACGCCGCCAGCATGTGGGCCTCAGGAGTCAATCATGTCACAGAGCTCCATCGCCCAGCCTCAAGGGAAGACATCGAGATTACTCAGGTACAATCAATGGATTCTTATTTTCTGGGCAAGTGATGCTGGTCGTCATGGGCAATGGAACTGGGACAATACACCAAGAATTGCGTCTGGATATAATCTAGGCAAGCTCGACAGCCAACATGACCTACAACATTGCGTTAGTTTGTCGCATCGCATTAGCATGAAAGGGAACTGACAACTGGCACAGCATGGTCAGTGACTTCTTTTTCCCTCAACCAGGTCTGTACCTCTCTCCGAATCGGCCCAGTTCAAAGGACTCATATTCAAAGGTGGAATCGAAAGTCATATATACCAATTGTCAACCGTAAGGGAAACCTGATATTCCCTCCGTGCGCGATATACCAGCTCACCGATACCCCAGAAACTCATCGATCGTGGACACAAGGTTATCATAATCACACATGCATACAAAGGGCGTACTGGGGTCCGGTACCTCACAAATGGGCTCAAAGTCTACCATATACCATTTCTTGTTATATACCGCGAGTCGACCATGCCTACCGTCTTCTCCTTTTTCCCCATCTTTCGGAATATCGTGATTCGCGAACAAATACAAATCGTTCATGGACATGCCAGTATGAGCAGCTTCTGCCATGAAGCTATTCTACATGCTCGAACTATGGGCCTGCGGACTGTTTTTACGGACCATTCCTTGTTCGGCTTTGCGGACGCGGGATCGATCCTGACAAACAAACTACTCAAATTCACAATGAGCGATGTTGACCACGTTATTTGTGTCAGTCATACTTGGTATGTAACGCAGAGAAGGTAGCCTCGATATTTGATTCTAATTTCCTGCTATAGCAAGGAGAACACAGTCCTTCGAGCTTCGTTGGACCCACTCATGGTCTCGGTCATCCCCAATGCTGTTGTTGCTGAAAACTTCCGACCCCTTTCGCAGACCACGCGCAAGGGTGAACGAGTGTTAGGAGACGCCGAGCCACGACCGCCCCCAACCCCAATGGGACCAAACGACATCATCACAATCGTCGTTATCTCGCGACTATTCTATAACAAAGGAACCGATCTTCTGATAGCAGCTATACCCAGAATATTATCTTCTCATCCGAATGTACGATTTATAATTGCAGGATCTGGGCCAAAAGCTATCGATCTAGAGCAAATGCTGGAACGAAACGTGTTGCAAGACAAGGTTGAACTACTGGGGTCGGTCCGACACGAGGAAGTTCGAGATGTCATGGTGCGGGGGCATATCTATTTACATCCCAGCTTGACAGAGGCATTCGGTACCGTTCTAGTCGAAGCTGCTAGCTGTGGTCTCTACGTGGTGTGCACTCGTGTTGGTGGCATTCCCGAGGTCTTACCCCAGCACATGACGACCTTCGCCAAACCCGAAGAGGATGACCTGGTCATGGCGACCGGAAAGGCTATTGCGGCCTTGCGGTCCAACAAAGTGCGCACTGATCGTTTCCATGATCAAGTGAAGATGATGTATTCGTGGACAGATGTCGCTCAGCGAACAGAACGTGTATACGAAGGCATCTCTGGTGACATGAGCCCAGAGGAGTTTTATGGATACTATCCCGGGCAAGGCTGGGAAGCCAACGCTGATAGGGTCCGAAGTTTTGCTTTGATTGACCGGCTGAAGCGATATTACGGATGCGGCGTTTGGGCTGGCAAACTTTTCTGCCTGTGTGCGGTCATCGATTTCTTACTCTACATCTTTCTAGAGATGTGGTTCCCTCGAGCGAACATTGACATCGCTCGCAGTTGGCCCAAGAAGCAAGTACAAAATACTGAAAAAGGCCACCACCTTGTCGGCAACACGCGAACCCGCCAAGAGCTCGTCTCCTCCTGAGAAGTTTTCACTGGCGAATGCGTCCATATGAATTCTTGATATCCTACTATTTTCTCCCTTCAAATTTTTTTTTTTTTTTTTAGGCCTGTCTATTTATGTGCATAGCAACTCCCGCCTGTGATACCCATGCTAATCCAAAAACTATTCATACAAGAGACGAAATCAACTCAAATCCTCTTTTAGGTCACCCGATTATCCCACTGCGGAATGCACATGGGGCCCCAGATTAATCTTCCCGATTACCGGGCTCCTATCTCCCCGATGCCACCGTCTCAGCCGATTGAGGGGGGATATCTTCAGCAGCAGAAACTCCCTTATCGCCATGGTGACCGGACTGTGCTTCTTCACGCTCAATGCCACGCTGCTCGGGCATTCTGCGCTCGAACTTATCTTGGCGATAGCTACCCACACCCTCGAGACCAGAGCCGTTGTGCTTTCGATGGTGTGCACCCTCATGCTTGATTTCGTTGTTTGTTTGACCAGAGCCGGGGTGGCCCAGACCTTTGTGGACATCCTTGGAAGTGGCCCCCGTCAGGGTCTGTTCAGCCGACGTCTTGACAGCTTCCTTGCCATGGCTACGTTCGACAAGGGGGTTCATGGCCTGATTACCAGACTCCGCCGTAGTGTTGGGGATGTAAGAGTTGCTAGCAGGAGCTGTGCCCGGTGGATGAGTCTCAGCACGGAATTCAGGCTTGTAGTCAGCGGGAGCGACCTTTCTGGCAAGTTGGTGCTGTGAACCCAGTTAGTCCCGCTGCTTGATTAGGCAGGATCCAAAGCCACTTACGCCGTCGTTTCTCATGGGCTCAGAAGGCTGAACTGTGGGCCTGACAAAGTCGCGGTTGTTGGCGTTGTCGAACGAGTTGGGGTTGTTGAGGTGGCTCATGATGAATGTATTGTGGCTGATATGTTTTGGGAGATGCTCGGTTGATTTAGAAGGAAGAAAGAGGTCTTATGTCTTTTGATTCTCTGGTCAGTACGGATAGGTTCTACCAAACAAGGACCTAGTAGCAGCTGTCAAGGCCTTCATACTGCTGTTCTGTGTGAAGAAAGTTGTCACGTCCAACTTTGGCGAAGAACCTCGAGTGACCGAAGACAAGACATGACGTCAAGCTGATAGGGGTGACTTCATGTTCATATCATGCCTTCTGCTATTGCCGTCTCTTGAGAAATCACATTTCAGTCACTCTGTTGCTGAGCTCTTCCTTGACTGATACAGGCACATCAAGAAGTGTCCGGGCGTATGTTACATCGCAACCTCCCGGACTGACGTAAAAGTTCTTGCCCAGCTCATCTCATCAGGCATAGGAAGTGGAGAATGTTGGATATCAAACCGCATTCAGGCTAGAGCGTTATGATAACCTGTCTGTGCAGATGCCACGGATTCCCTGGTCGCGCTCATGAATTCTCAATGTATCGTGGTGAAGGGGTTGTTTGGGCTGATGGTTCTGCGGGATGAAGCATGCCAATCCGCGGTCCCCAGATGCCTATCACATATAATTTACCGAGGATTGACTTGGCGGATGATGAAGCGAAGTGCACAAGGCAAGTAATTGTAATATGTGATATTTCTTGCTGCTCTTCGATCAGCATGCATGGATAAATCAGATAGACACAAATGATCTAGGTATCTCGGTAGTATGATACAACTCCTAGCGCCGGACTTTAACAAATCAGTCAAGAAGGAAATTATATCAATGATCGAGTGACAAGAACCAGAGGCATATCGGTTCATGCGACCCGTCCTCACCATCGTGTAGTCAAGCAGCAATTGCCTGCCATCGAGAATGGCGGTATGCATTGACGCTTATTTCATAATAGGAGGTCTGCCCTCTTTGTTCCATCGCACTCGACTCTGGACCCATTCGACTGCCTCTCGCACTCCAGAGCCCAACAGCGCACTGACCGGCAGTACACGGCTGTCACGCACCCCGCCTCCCGATTCGCCCTCGAAGACCTTGCGTACAAGCCCTTCCTTGATGCGCACTACTTCGACACAATCTTCGCGATCCTGCTTGTTTGCCAGCACCAGAATAGGCACCCCAGCCACATCGGCGTTCTGCAGCACCGATTCGAGGACCCGACGACACTCATCCAGCCGCCCGAACTCGCTCCCCGGGGCGTTGATCCCCGCCATTTCCTCGGTGACGGCGTCACTGCCGGCTGCCGATGAGTTTGGCAATGCGCTCGGGCGCCGGTTCGAGGGGAGCCGGGTGATATCCGGGTCCTGTCCGACGTCCGTACTATCGACGACGAAGATGATGGCGTGGCAGCTTGAGTAGTAGCTCTGCCAGAGGTTGCGCATTGATATCTGGCCCCCCACATCCCAGATCTTCAAGTACATGTCCGGCAGCGAGATGGTGGCGACGTTCTGGCCCACTGTCGGCACTGTCTTGCCTGGGTTGGGGGCAGGAGCGCCATCAGCACGGGGGAGATATAGGGCCTTGATTTGCGACAGAAGGGTGGTTTTCCCGGCGTTGTCTAGCCCGAGAAGGAGAACGGAGTATTCTGTGGTTGATTAGTTAATCGCTTCTTGCGTATCCGCGGGAGACTGGCATAGCATCCTCACCCTCCTTGCTGGTGGCGTAGAGATACAGCGACTTGGCCAGGTGGTACATGGTTGCGGTCGGAGGACCTGCGGAGGCCAGACCGACTCCGGAGAACGCAGGTCTTCTATTACGGGATCAAGAGAAGGGTAAACGAATGGACGGTAAGAGCTTCATGGCAGCGCGAACTATCCAACTCCCGTATCTCTGTTCAGATCATCCCATTCCTTGTTCGTTCCAGTCCTTCATTCCCCTCCTTCTAAACGGCGATCCAAGAAGGCGTAGCATCACGCGTCACCTGTGTCTCAATCCGGTACTGAGGGCATAGGGATACACGCATATTGGCCCTATACCCTAACTACCGCATCGGGAACCATCCCTCGGTCTTATCGCGGACTTTACAGTCCTCATGATGACCTGTACTCTGTACTCTGTAGATATCGGTTGGCGCCGAGTGGCTATGTTTAACCTACGCAGCGCAGGGATCTGCTTGTTCATGCATCATCATAGAAGTGCGTCGATTACCTTGATGTTCCCTTAGAAAAGGACATCTACGCAAGGCAGCCAACGCTCTCTACCTGGACCAAAAACAAGGCCAAGTGATCACTGCTCGTATCTGGACGCCACTTCGGTGATCGCGATCCTCGTCCTCCGGTTTCTTCAAGGAAGTTACGAACATCGCTAAGCTCAGGTTGTTTTGTCAGCCAACGCCCCGTGGATGGCCTTAGGTTGCCCCTCCCCGGTTCTAAAACTCTCCGTCATGTAATCACTACTAATCAACAAATTATTCCCTTGTCCTCTTCTCAATCAATGGCCTTATGGTCGCTTCTCCTTCGTCTGAAGGTAGTCAACAGGCCTACTGTTTCTTCAGGGCCTCTGTGGCTGTAACCATCGCGAAACTGTCATCCATCGCATGTCTCTTACAGAATGCCCCGCGCTGAATGGGCGGTCCGGGGCAAGCAAGCGCTCTCCAATGGAAACTGACACTATCATTATCGGTATGTCGCCATTCTCTGGGGGAATGCAGCATTTTTTCGCCAATGGTGTACGGGGCCGTGTTGACGTTTAAAACCGCGGGTTGAATAGGGAACGGGCCATCGGCTATGATCCTGTCCTTTATACTTCATGGTCATCATCCGTACTATTCCATAGAGCCTCCGCACCCCGACCCTCTTCTCCATGCGAAACTGAAGAGCAAATCGGATCTGCTCGATGTGGATGTTGGCGCTCTCACCGAGCATTTCTGTGCATCCCGCTTGTCGTACTCGACTCAAGCTCTCCCAGTAAACGTCCTACTCGATACACTGGTGCGACCGAGCATTGACGTAGATGAGGGAGAAGGCGAGACCAGAATTCAATGGCGGCACGATCCTGAAAAGGCTGTCCCACACATGGTGTTCGGCAATGCACCAAAGCCTGGAGGACAATGGACAGACAATCTGGTCTCTGCCAGCTGGGATATCCAAACTTTGAGCTATGCGTCTATGCTCTCCTTACCAGGATATTCCTTCGCCGAGCACTATCGCAAGGTTGCCGGCAAGGATCTTCCCGCATACACACGCCCAACCAGGCGCGAGATTACAGATTATTTCTGTGCTTATCCCACAGTTGCGGGTATAGACGATGCGTTCCGCAACAATGAGACGCTGGCTGGCATCAGAAGGACCCCAAATGGGTTCTTCATCGCCTCACACAATATTCACTGCAAGCATCTCGTCTTAGCGAGTGGGATCTTCTCCGAGGTGCTGCAGCCTCTCCCGATGCTCCAGCCCTTGAGATCTCTTGAGCCAACCCCAGATATTCCGCTTCTTGTTATAGGTTCCGGCTTCTCGGCTGCGGATATCATCATATCTGCACCAGCTGACCAAAAAGTACTTCACGTTTTCAAATGGGACCCGGAAGTGCGACCGTCCCCTCTTCGTGGCTGTCATCAACATGCGTATCCTGAATATGCCGGTGTGTATCGATTGATGAAACGAGCGACAATTGCTGCAGAGCCGTCCACAGAAAAGCGCCCAGCGAAACCAAAGCGTTCAACGTCATCCCCTTTCCTCGAAAGCCGTAACTGGGATCTAGTCTACGAGGGACTTCCCAATGCAGATGTTGTCGCAGTGGACATGCAGTCTGAATATGCACTGGTGACTTTCCAACTAGCGGATGGAACCACCACAACACGACCTGTTCGTGGGCTGGTATATGCAACGGGTCGTCGTGGGAGCCTTGGCTACTTGGATAAACCTCTTTTATCGGAAGTTCTTGGAGCCTCCGACGAAGCTGAAGTAACTCCTATCATATCAGGAAAGACATTGCGCGCTAAGGCTCTTGAAGATCTGGAGGTTGCTCAAGGTGTCTTCATCATTGGTAGTCTGACTGGCGATTCCCTTATTCGATTTGCTTACGGCAGTTGTGTGCAGACAGCAGGTCGGTTGATCAGAGCATATACCGGAAATGAAAAGACCGATGTCAGGACGCCAAGCACATCAAGGCCACAGAGCTCATCTTTACGGGTGATGAATGGCGTGGAAGGTCATGAAATCTATCAGAATGGTGACCTACATCACCAGTTCGAGAGGAAGGAGTCAAAGTCTAAAGCATCCCGATCTATTCTGGATGGCCTATGGAGCTCCTTCATGAGCTTTTGGAGATGATGAAACGATAGGCTATTATGTACAAACGCTTAGACTTAGACATGCCTGAGGCTCCGTGTCAGGAGACTTTGTATATGACCGGCGGCATCTTGATTGAGCAGGCTGCGATAACTGGCATTTATAAAACTATGATATCGCCATCGCATTCACTTAGAAGTATAACAGAGGCGGGTAAAGAGAACAGCACTGGGTATTATCATTATCATTATTACAGGCTCAGCCCATGATTTGCAGCTGATCATCTGGAGGCCACCGAGTCTGAGCATAGCTCAGACAACGCTTGATACTTTGCAGGAACTTGCGAGTCATTTCATCGCTCAGAATATGCGCCTGCTGATCGCTCTGGTGCAACTTCTCTCGAGCCGAGCGCTCGTGAATACCAACCATGGTCACGCCAATAGGCCAGGCTCTGGAGGAAATTGTTAGATCTTAAAGTTCAATTATCAGATGTGAGGTGACTTACGCCTTTCCAATGCTCACGCGTAGATAAGCGTCGTTAGCATCCACGTATCTCCGCAACTGGGCCTTGTGTACGATCTCCATGATGGGTTCCAATAGATTGTCGTCCAAATCGTTCTTTTCGAACTTGCGAAACAGCGGTTTGAGGTTCTCCCTCGATTGGACCATTGCATTGTAGGCCTGGCGACCGGTGAGGCTCTGCTTTACCGATATATCGCGTTTCGACAGGGCATACTCCCACTCAGACAGCACCATGTTGAAGTAGGAGCCCAGTTGTCGAAACAGAAACTTGCGACCCTCTGCGTCTTTAGGCAGAGTCGTGGGAATCTTCATATCCACCTCCGGTACAGGCTCCAGAGTCGTGGGGATAGGCCCGTTCGTAATCTTCGGCTGGGGAGTCTGCGAACGACGCACAAGACGACGGTATCGGCGCAGACGGGCGACATGGTTCTCTCCGAAGTAGCAGATAGGCTCCTTGAGGTCGCGGAGCTTCTGATTGAGTTCCTCGTCGGGGATATCCTCCTCCTCGCCCGAGGTCTTTCCATCCTTGTCGCCGGGGGGCGGTAGTTCAGGCAAACCAAGTCTCTTCCGCCGCTCGCGTTCCTTTGCGAACTCTTCCTCCTCTCGTTTCTTCTTTGATTCCTCGGCTAGTCGTCGTTTCTTCTCCTCCCGCTCACGCCGCCGATCTGCCTCTTCCTCCTCGTGCTTGCGTTTCTGGGCCTGGCGCTCCTCTCGCTCGCGCTGTAACCGCTCCTGTTCCTCACTGTAGGCGGCGATTCTGGCAGCTTCTAGATCCGCACGACGGACGTATTTCTTCTCCGGAGCCTTGGTGAGTTCTTTTTGTTCTGATGCTGATGATGAACTGGGCACGGCAGGACTTTTCGCCTTGGAAATTTCCTTGGCCATCAAAGATGCGAAATCCATGATTGAATTTTGCGACGGCTGAATGAAGCCGGTAGCACTCTCTCAGGCCAAGATATGAGTTACTGACGGATTTCCAAGGTGTGAGAGAAGTTAGGAAAGGGTAGGGAAAGATGTTAAGGTGTGGCGGTGGTGGAAGCGGCCAAACTCCGCAATTGAGCTTCCTTCCTGGCGGCGGAGAGCTCAGTAACAAACCAACACTTGACATCCACCATCGGCCTGACCTGCAGCCACTGCTTTGCGGACACCGATATAGAGATTTTTGAGCCTCAAAATTTTATTGTCGAAGCTATTGACGTCATCGAGAACTCGTTTTCTCAGTCTTAAGACATCATGGCGCATCGAGATGCGTCCAAACCCCAGATTGACCGTCAAGCTACAACGCCCTTCCACCTGAAACTCTTCTACCGACTGAACGCTTTCCACTCACTATCCGACTTTGCAGTCTCATCCTCCTCTTCCTATGGTGGCCCTACCAGCGGCCCCAATGCCATCAGAACGCGTTCCCCACCCCCCACACAGCGACTGCCATCACACCTCGAGATCTACACCTGGCAGTCCTGCACGTTACGAGAACTGACCCAGCTCCTCACCTCGGCTTTACCATCTCTTCTCCCTGACCCGGCTGTTGGGACTCGCATATGCTTCCGGTTGATCTACCCCGACACCAAGGGTGCGGCGACCATTGGCGGGGACGCAAGAGGCCGATATCTGAGCAAGGACATGGGCAGTGTGGTCGTGGGGCCGAAAGACGGTCCCTATCGAGGAGAGAATGAAGATGAGCGCGCGAAGAGTACGGGGGCAGGGCCCCGGGGCGCTCTCCGGTTCCAGGGTAACGATGCCGACAAGACGCTCCAGGACATGCGATTCGTTATTGGGGATTATGTGGACTGCGCGATCCTTCCGCCGCTCGAGGATGGCTCCGTTGCACCGCCGCTGATTACTGGTCGCGGACCGGTGGGCGGTACTATTGGAGGAGGCATGAGAGCGTTCCGGGACAATGGGTTTGGACGACCTGGTCGTGGTGGGAGGTTGGATCGGGCCATTCCCGCGGGTGATTGGAGACGTGGGGAGAAGCTTCCAGATGGAGGAGGACGCAGTTACGGTGGAGGACCTGGAAGAAGAGGCTGGGCGCCGTATTAGGCGGTGCCTTGCGATGTACTTTTATTGATTTCGGAGTTCGGGCAGGGAATCAGTTGAGGACGGAGATTTGAGGGATACTCTCTACAATTGATACCAAAAAAAATGAGCCAACAATGTCGTTCCAATGCGGTCCATCGTTCCTGCCCACTCTAGTTTGATTGAGGGCCACTGAGCTGCGCATATGTAGAGCGAATCAACCAAAAAATGGCCTATTCGCTCGCTGTTCGCCGGGAACTCGCCAACCTTTGGCTAAGATCTGGGATTCACAAAGAGTTGCAAAGCATCTGAGATAATAGAATCGGTAAACATGAAAGAAACTTGATGCGGTATTCTAATAATAGGTACACGTCCAACGGGCGGGTGTCAGCCCCCAGTCTCATACCCGCCGTTTTTCACAATCGAAGCTTGCAGCAACACAATGGCAAAGAATCACCCCTCAACAGCATCTCGGACAAAGGCACTGCTTAGTATTCAAGAATGGAATCCTCCCTCCTCTTTCCGCGGAACTCGTACTTGCCCTGTTCGGTCCAAAGTCAGTACCATTCCAGATGATCGCGGTCCGGAAGCTTTCGGGAAAAACGTACGTCGGTCTTGTATGCGATGTAGCCCAATGTGCCAGGGATCACGGCCATGTAGATGAACGAGAGCCAGGCATGGCGCGGGGTCCACCGGAAGTACTTGTACCGGTTGGCGTTGAGCTCTGCAGGGTGTTAGTTATCACTTCAGCGGGAACAAAACCGGCGACCGATCATCGATGCACTGAAACAGCGTATTCGGGCCATATCGTCGAGCAGTCGGAGGATGGGACGGAGGGATGTACCGTAGTATTTCTGAAGAGCCGGGTCAAGGATCAAAGCTGCGTGCCAATTGATCAGTCAAAGTTTAGAATCTTCAGTGGCAGAGCTTGGGGTACTCACACTTGCTGGGACCGGCCATGGTTGCGATGCTATCACTCTCTAACAAGGCCGAGGATACTCATCCGCTTGTGGCGATGATATGATCACCTTGAAGTTCAAGTGGAGGTCACATGATCCAGATGCTGAGTCAGGTAGCTCACTATTGCTGCCTGAGATCGCTGGCCGCGGTTTCAGGCATCTCTCCGCCCCAGCAGCATTCAGCGTGCCAACAATTCCTGGTAAACATTTTTATCGCTCAACGCCCGTCAGAAAATAGCCCAATCCTCGATATTGATGCATCAACGGCTACTGGCTAGACTATCCCATTGACTCATGTAAGCAGGATGAATTGATGAAGTGCTGACCGGCGTGACCTCGGCCATACCCTCAAATCGAGCAATCAGATCCACTCAAATCCCAATGACGCAGACTTTCACGGCGAGTTCCTGAAATCGGACAATGGATTCATCCGAGGCTGTGCTCCAACTTTTGATTGTTAAATCAGGCGATCAGTCTGGGACCAGTATGATTTTGAGACAAGCCGTGAGTCGAAAACTAGCGGATGCTGTCCTGTGATATATCATAGCTTAGATAGATATCTACCCCTAAGCCGTCACATCAACTTCTTCAGCGCCAGAACTCCTAATCGGCTTCTCACTTACTGAGAACCTACTGTTATTCTACAAAGGCCTGTATTCAAACATGACAGACGCAAATCAAGGTGCTAAGATCATACTCTACTGGTATGTATGTTCCCATTGCCAAATCCCAGGACCTCGTAACTAACGAGAGCAGGCTAGAGGAGTCCCGTGCACAGCGCATCCTCTGGCTCCTCGAAGAACTCAATCTATCCTATGAGCTCAAGACCTTCAAGCGCGGAAGCGACAGGCTCGCCCCCGCTGAGCTGAAGGAGATCCATCCCCTTGGCAAATCGCCCCTCCTCAGCATCGAGACTCCCAATGCCCCTAAACCACTGGTGCTGGCCGAGTCCGGGTTGATTATGGAGTATCTGTGCGATCATTTCGGGGGTGACAAGCTTGTTCCCCAGCGGTATGCTGTTGGTAAAGAAGGACAAACTGGTGGAGAGACCGAGGAGTGGATGCGGTACCGTTACTACATGCATTACACGGAGGGCAGCTTTATGCAATATCTGGTTCTGCAGTTGGTCATGGATGGTGAGTTTCTTTTCTTTATCTTTTTGTCTTATCAAGATTATGGTTGGTTATATGCAGTGGTGACTCGAACTAACATCAATGCAGGCATCAAAAACGCCCCCGTTCCGTTCTTCGTCAAGCCCTTGACGAACATGGTGGCCTCCAAAGTGGAGCAGGCGCTTGTCACGCCGAATTTGACTTCACACTTCAAATTCCTAGAAGACCAGTTGAAGACAGCGCCTGGAGGCGGCTCTTACCTTTGCGGCAAAGAACTGACCGCGGCTGATATCATGTTTTGCTTTCCCGTCATCGCGGCAATGATCAAGTTGCCTTATCTCCGATCTCAGTACCCGGTTCTAGCGGAATACGTGGATAAGATGCAGGAATTGGAAGGCTATAAGCGGGCTGTTGCCAAGGTTGAGGAAGTGGAAGGGTCGTTCACAGCTTATTCCTGAATATCAAATATTTGACTTATGCAGTCCATGGGAAGGTGTTTGACATTCCCTTACTGAGATCATGGCATGTATATGTCTAATTCACTCGCCGTAATTGGCATTCGGGCAGATCTCAAAGATATGAACAGCGTTTGCCCACAGTTTCTATGATGATGCTTCTGTGCCTTCAGGGATTTTTCTGCGAGTCAACATACTCCGAGTCCCATCAAAATACCATTCCCTTTCAGTTCGCGATTTCGGTCCCGTTCCGAACTGAGCAGATAATACTGCATAAGACCTATGAACGATGGATTGAACGACACCCCAAAAAAATGGATTACTAGCATATGGCATGACTTCCTCACAAACGAACAGGTTCCTTATCCACCGGAACTAATAAGTGACCCTCGCGTACCAATGAGTTCTTGCAGGTCCGCTTCAGCGTAAAATCCTCCAGATTCCCCAGCGTGACTCCAGCAATCTCACTAAGAGCCTCTTCTGTGAAGAAGGCCTGGTGACCGCAAACCAGCACATTTGGAAAGGTCATCAGTCGCATCAAGGTGTCATCATGGATGATTTCGCCGGAATGGTCATTGTAGAACAGCGAGCCCTCCTCCTCATAGACGTCCAGCGCCAAGCCACCCAGCTGGCCAGCTTTCAGCGCCCGGATCGCCGCGCGTGTGTTGATCAGGCCGCCACGGGAGGTATTCACCAATAGTGCACCCCTCTTCATCTGCGCCAGCGTCTCGTCGTTGATGACATGCCGCGTCCCCTCGGTAAGCGGACAGTGCAGACTCACCACATCGCTCTGCGCAAGTAGCGCGCGCAACTCGACATATTCGCCGTAGGCACGGAACTCGCCGCCGCCATACGGATCGTACGCGAGCAGCTTGCACCCGAAGCCGTGGAAGATCTTGGCCAGCGCCAGTCCAATGCGGCCCACGCCGATGATTCCGACGGTCTTCCCGTGCAGCGTGTGGCCCAGGAAGCCCTCGAGGTTGAAGTTACCCTCACGCACGCGGTTGTATGCGCGGTGCGTCTTGCGATTGAGCGTCTGGATGAGCGCCACAGCGAACTCGGCCACCGCTTCGGGTGAGTATGATGGGACATTGGCGACGAAGAAGCCCAGCTCTTCGGCGACTTGCAGGTCGACGTTATTGAATCCGGCGCAGCGCAGAAGAATGGCGCGGATGCCAAAGGCGTACAGCTCCTTCAGAACGGCAGCGTCCAGTGTGTCGTTCACAAAGACACAGACAGCATCGGCATTCTTGGCGAGGGACACAGTCTCAGAGGATAAGGCGAAGGAATGGTAGGTGATTTCGCAGAACGAGGCATAGTCATTCTCCAGAGCCTTATCGAGGAAGACCTTGTCGTAAGATTTGGCGCTAAAGACTGCGAGCTTCATTCTGTCCGTCCTGGAGCCCTGTCTCTTCAGTTCAAGTTGATTCGTATTTGTTCTGTTGTGTTAATAAGTTCAGCCGCGGGGTAGAAGACTAAATACCAAGCTGCTAGACCGATGACGTGTTTGTTTTTGTCCCTAACCTCCCTCAACGGTCGATGATGACTTCTTTTTTTTCCCCCACACGGCATACATGAGACTCTCATTTTAACGTTCCTAAGCACGAACTCTCCTCTATTATCGATGCTCATACAGGAATCCACAGTCGCACTCCACCCTAAAGTACCTTCTGCAGTCCCTCTATTCTTGATTGGCATGTGCTACAGGCTTTGAAGTAGCAGTGTACTTTCCTAAATCAATCCATCGTTTCTCTTTTGTTGTTACTACGCCCATTATCCGGGTTTGTATCTCAAACATCACACACAGTTGGTAAGCTAGGCTTGGAACCGCTACGTTCCTGATACATGCAGTTTCCAATCCCTCAGAGGAAGGTCTCATCTATGACCGTGACTACCGTATCACCAGATTCTGATCTGTACGATCTGTCACACCGGACCAAAACCTGGGGTTTCAAGGATGATTTTGCCCGTGAAGCGGATCAACGCCGGAGAACTGCCGCGCCACGCTCCAGCTCAGTTCCAAGGAACGAAGCGGGAAACAGTGGTATAGAGAGGGCAAGACGCTTCGCGCCATGGTCCTTTCACCTGTCTCGTCCCCTTGAGGACGAAGAGCGTGCGAGAGGCACGTTCAAGAAGCAGCATTATGAGGTTTGTCTGGTCCGTTTTATAGCTCTGTCTGACCTTGCTTAATTCTTTTTGCAAAATCACTGTAGAATCCTGTCCCAGAGGTATCTCACTTGCGAGTACCAATTGCTCGCAGTCATATATCGAAGAACGCAGTAGAACAACTGCTCACTTTGGTCGTTGACGAAACATTAACCCCTCAATCTACGTATCCAGGAGACTGGACACTGCACTGGATGTATGATATATGTGATGTATCTCCTCAGTGATCATCGCTTGCCCTGACAAATGATGATACAGGCATATTCAACATGATCGGGGTATTGAATTTACCACCTTTATGGTAAGATCCCTTCTTACTGCTGAATGCAAATCCCTCTGAAGCACGTTTTTGTAGGAGAAGGCGTTACCGACACTCAAATTCCCTCTTATTGCTAGAAACTTGGTCAAAGAATGGATGCTCGACTTCTATACATCAGACGCCCAAAAAGTCCACGGTGGAAAAACATTGGATTCATGCTTCCATAGTCAGAGAATAACTTCGAGAAAAGGGCGATCCATAGTGTGCACATTCTTTGCGGTGCCTTATCTGCTGTTCAGTGAGAGCTCTCGCTATGTCGTTAACAAGAGAAGTAATGCAGATTTCCATCCGATCCGAGGATTGATCCAGTCGGCATATCGAGCCGATTCTCTCTTCATCCGTGAACAGTCACAGGTGGTCCAGAAGGTGGTGGAACCAGAAGGGAAAGGTCTCGTTTATGTACCACAGCTCTGGTGTCTAATAGTTGGAGGTTGTATTTTCTGCCCGAGATCACATCTCTACTTCCCCGAAGTGTCATCTAATAGTCTCGCAGAACATTTGATTACCTGTAGTCCAGGTCAGCTCCACACTCACCCCCAATCTTCGATCGTTCCTATGCCTCTGGAAAAAAGCCCGGCAATCATACGTTTAAGCAATGACAGTCTCAGTACTTTTCATGTCTGCGCGCAAGAGTGTCCAACCTGGTTTGTAAGTGTTCGCTCGCAACTGCGCTAATTCTCCTCTAAATAAGTTGATGGTGTTAAGTATCATTAGGAGTTCCTTCTTCGAGTACATTACATTTACTCATCCATGCTGAAGGAACATGTTGATGCCGAGCAGGCTGTTTTTCTGCTTGCTGACAAGGGCACGGCGCTGGATGCTCAGTCTTGGCCTGCCCTCATGAAGCAAACCAGAGGCCACGGTGACTACATAGATGTCAAGGTCGTACTGAAAGAAAGGTCTAATGTTCGTGATAAGTTGAACGCCATGTATTCTGGAAAGGATAAATATTTTGCTCAGCCGTGGGATTCAACATGGATCAAAGCTCCTAAGAGGGCCTCCATTGTTGATGTTCTGAATGCTTACAACTTACCGTGGGAAACGGATGAGGTCAATATGAACCCAATTCTTGTTCGATTTGATGGCTCATTTTTTTAGGAGGATCCATCGAAGATATGTTTTAAAGGGCGGGATGACGACTTCCTACAAGTTCTATTCGAGCATGCTCGAAGGCTCCGGAGCGAGGGGAATGCATTCGGAAACTTGGCCGACGACGACATGTGCGATATACGCTCGGTCCATCGTTTCAACCGTAAATCCTCTTGTCAATGGCCGGGATGCTTTCATAGTAGTATACTACCGCGGAGGAAAGCTGTGAACATTCAACCGTGGGCTCCGGATTCTTCCTTTCTAGAAGATATCGTCAGCGAAGATGAACAAGAAGTTGAAGTACCTACGCCAGGGCAAGCTACGCCGCGATCTGATTCAGATACACAGTGCTGTCGGTCATCCTCGGGAAAGCCAGTTCTTCCTTACTTTTCGTGGCCATTAGCCCCTCAGCTTCCAAGTCTAGACGGCCACCAGCAAGTGCCTGATACACACCAAGAGTTCTATCGCAAAACAGAATCTACTTGGTATACCCCAATCTCCCTCGCAAGGTACCTAAATGATAAACTTGACTGCGAGGATACGAAGTGGGCAGACCTTCCAAGGGCCACAAAGGAACAACTCGAGAGTCTAAAGAGCAAGATGCTCTATGGAACGACAGCTGAAGATTATGATGCAGAGGACCATCCGGAAATCGAACTATGCTCATCCGTGTCTCAGTTGATACATCACTATCTACCGGAAAACATGGAATGTGTGCTCAAAGACAAAATCTATGGAGCGCTACATGCCATTCTGGAGGTAAGTTTCTGTATAAATCAAAGACTGATCATTTCTCCGCAACGATCTGACGCTTGAAACAGGATTGTCAGGCAAGCCCTGATGTCAAGATAGATGAAATGCCGCTATTCAATAAGACTGTTTCCAAGCTCCTCGACTTGTCGAATAGCATTCGCATTGGGATGCATGGCGCAGAGGACCGTGTTCCCCTACTTGAATCCCACATGGACTCCTTAGAGGAGCTGTGCTATGCAATTAGCGGCATGCATTCCTTCTTACAAGACGCTGTTAGAGATAAGGATTACTCATCAGGGTCTACTGCCAGCGCTCCTGTTTCCCTATCCAGTGACCCGGCACCTACAACCGTATTGTCGGATGATGGTCTAAGCACAGGTTCTGACGGTTCGAGGAGCAGCGTTGCTGACTTGGAAGGTGGTGGCAAAAGTGTTTCTTCTAGATCTAGTCATGACTTGACCCATTCAGACCCAGAGCAATGGAGTGAATTTGACAAAGGCAAGGGTTGGCCGGATCTCGAAGAGGAAGAGCGTCATAGGAACATCGTTTTGAAAGATTTCCAGAAGGTTGAGAGATGCTTGAAGCTCTGCAAACTATCAATCATCTGCCTTTTGGGGGAGACAAAGCCTCTTCTTGGATATGATGATTATCTCGCCGTCCGTCCAACTCGAATTGCCTCTTCAATACTGGAGCATGCATCTCGGGGATTGCGTGACCCGAGTACTGAGATACCTATGCGCCTTGATCAAGTCTACCAGGACTATCATTCTCAGCTGGTACGTGGAGCAATTCGCTATTTCTTTTCCTTTTCCTCCATCCGGCGCTGCTCAGTCGCTTACAGTTTGTTCGCAAAACAGAGCTTGAAAGTCCGCGACAAGCCTTCTCGGGCCTTGCTTGTTGAGCTTGACCTTTTCGAGGAAGAGCTAGATAGCATCCTCAAAATAATCCAAAAGCAACAACGTAGGATGGAAGAGTTTATGTCCTTGGCCAGGGAGATCGAACAATCCTCGCCGCGAGACTCCGTGCATGTACTCCAAAACGCGCTCCGTGATCTCGATGAGAAGAAGGCGATGTACCAAGAATTGAATTCCAGCATTGAGAAGCTTAGAAGAAGGGTATGTCCGACTAGAAGTCCTCTTTCATCGTGTCCTTACAATACAAAACAATCATCTCAAGCTCCATTGATCTGACTCCCATCTACAAAATCATAATAGGTTGTACGACAAATCGATCTGCGACAAGACAACAACAGCAAAGCCATCCTGGTGTTTACCATTGTGACCCTCATATTCCTGCCAATGTCGTTCATCACCAGCTATTTTGGTATGAACACAGTCGATATCCGGGATATGGACCTCGGGCAGTCGGTCTTCTGGGCTGTTGCTGCGCCTTTCACAACCTTGACTGTTGGGGTTTGCATGTTGATTGCCTATCAGGGCGATCGGCTGCGTGAGGCTGTCATTCAGGCTTTGGTTGGGAGTCAGAAAGGAAGGGGGGCTCTTCGGTGATTGGAGTTTCTATATAATGAGAGGTGGTCTTCGCGATATATATGTGGATAAGCTAGGGCCATACGACTCTTTGAACATGACTTCATGAGTAACTATATATTCCAAGTTAGACCAGATCCTTCTACATCTGTGAGAAAAAAAGATGCGAATGGTAAGTCAGGCTATCAGATATACCTCAAAAGCTGGCTGATGATAGTGGTGGACACAGAAAACTCAGCTATTACTATCTCAGCGCAGCAGAAAAGTGACCTAGGTAGTATATATATCATATGCTGCTGTTCCATGCAAGCCACAGCTTGCAATCAACACAACTCAGAGACGTGGATGCTATCAACCTCAACATATATAAAAGAACCTCACGGTCGTCAAAACAAAGAACTGGATAAATGTTTGCCTCCTCCCGTTACTATTGTCTCGGAATCACTAGTTCCAGATCCATAATCTAGAATATCAAACTTGCAAGCATTTTACGCTGTCCATGCCGATGAGCTGGCCTATATATACCTACCAGAATGCCTATTCTTTCCCACGGAAGCTCTCCACCATTTCCTATCTCTCACTCGTCTTTATATATATGTCAATATCTAATGACTATCCCCAGGAGCGAATATCAATACCCGAAGCCTGGTACCCGAAGCCTGATACCCAGGAACTAAGCCTCAAAGAACCTCAATGCCCATCTGGTAGATCTATGCACCCAATCTGACTTCCGGTCCGTCGGCCATGCTGCATAAACCCGGTTTAACTTCCTAGGCTCTTCAGCGGACATCGTGTTGGTTATATATTGCGGGGTTTGGACTACGAAGTATATATGGGCAATGGGATGGCCGTTAGCAGAAGCAGTGAGGAGTTTGAGCCTTGTTCTGTTGTGGTCTGTGGAAGAAGGGGACGTTACTTTCTACTGCGTGAGATATAGTACTGATGTTGGTGTCGTGGGGAGAGATATGGAATACCATAACCAGGGGAACGGGGCTCGTGGGAAGAATACTGCGTGCGCTGGCATGTTCACGGAAGGGTTGGTTGGGTATGAAGCTGGACTGCCTGAGAGCTCCAGTGACGTTGGCGCCTATAGGTACCGCCAGAGCCAAAGCGGAAGAGAAGCAGGAAGCAAGGACAACCGGCTCGAGACAGCAGCCCAGAGTCCCAGGCTCGGTTGCCCGACTCGAGCAGACCTATCGAGCGAATCCCAGCACATGGCTAGGGAGACGCTCGAGGTGTCTCTCCAACTATCGCTGTGCTTTTGACGAACGATTTTTGATCGTGCCTATTCACAATCGCAATTCAAGCTTCAACACTGATGATGGTGAGGTGTCTTCTGTCGAAATCGCCGATCAGGAGTCGGGATCCGAAGGTTCTCCCGATGTGGCTGTCGTCGTCCCGCCCCCTTCGGGGGTCCTTACTCGGTCTAAGTCCAATCGTATAGCGTCCGCTAGTTCTCCTTTGATGTCCGGGGCCCTTAATACCCCGAGTGCGGCCCGCGTTTCGTATCAGACGCCATCGAAGTTGCCCACTAGTCTCCGGTCGTCGATGACTCCCTCCTCGAATCGCCTTCGTCGTCACCAGTTCAATGGTGTGCTCGTTCCCTGGCCAGTAAATCGGACACCGGCCTCCTCCAACGCACCCTCTCGACGAGGGATGGCCAACGAAGACATAACAGCGAACCAGAATCGACAACAGCACGCCCCTGATCGAAGAACGAAGATAGTGATAGTGCTCGATAACGAAGCAAAGACGATACGAAGGGAAATCGGCAGCAGTGAAGACGACGCGTAAGAGTGAAGAGACAACAACGCGGGCGAAGAAAGGAAGAAGTGAGAGGGGGGTCGACGAAAACCCAAATCAAAACAATGAACTCGTGATCGTTTGCCTCAGGCAAAGACTACGCGCCAAACCCCCACAACAAAACAGGTTCTTTGTTCGCAAACATCGAAAATATAAAAATCCTTTGGAGAGAGATTCTACGAGAAGCGCGATGCGTGGTCTGATACATGTAACCAAAGACGACGCATGGCATGACTGCAGCAGATGTTGGGAGCCGCCAAGGACAGACTGGTCTACTGTTGTTGGTGGTTGGTTTTCCCGTGGTTCTTGCGGACGTCTTTTGGGGTATCTATCCGTGGATGTCTTTTGTCAGTAGTTCCCGGTGGGACGTGCCACCGTCATCCCAGACGGGGGAGACCTGGAGACCTGGAGACTCGAGGACTGGATATCTGTTGTAGTGGCGTAGGTCAGGATCTTGACGCCTCGAAGGATGAGGGTGAAGACTGCATGTCGAGACAGCTTCGAGCATGTCTCCTCCCAATAATGGTGGTGTGGTATTCAGGATCCATGGGCTGTCACGCACGCACGCGAAGCGAAGTCCAGTCTCAAATCGAAGCACCAGACGCTGGCTGAGCGCAGGTTGATAACGTGAGGCCGTCCTTGGTATTATCATGAATCTGTAGAATCGAAAAGAATATCAGATTGTTGATTGAATGAATTCGCTGGCGCATCGCTATCGCATGATTTCAGCCAGGTGGCTGCAGACCCACTGATGTGCCAAAGCTTCATCAGCTGGTGGTGGCAAATGACAAATTGCCCCTGGTGCGGTTTGATAATAGTGACGTTGTTTTTGCCGTGGGATTGCCATCTGCCGCGGCCTGGATTTCAGGTGAAGACTGAAGACACAGACTTGGCGTACGCCGAGGGCAGAGTGATACTCGTGGTAGGTTGGCGCACAGTACTCAACGTGTACTATATCCTACCCCAGAAGTCATCCAGTGGCCAAATTGAGGAGTTTCAACCGCCACAGTCACGGAGCCAGCGTTTGTTTTCGTTGGTATCTACTCGTGTCTACCCCGTGATCCGTACCGAGGCTATCGACCACATCCAGAGCCACGAAGAATCCTCGACCGACCGTTGGAGCTTAGATGCAACAATTCACGAAGCTCTAGTGGCCGGTGGTTTTCAGACGAAGTAAACAAACAATCGGCAGTCCCGGAACCCCCGGGTCCAAACTCCCAAACTCGAGTCCATTTCCTTCGCATCCACCGTCCCAAAGCCCTAGGACGATAGATTTACGGTTCAACTTTCGATAGTGTGCTCGTCTCCAATATTCGACTATCTCTGGGTCCCTGGGACACGCGGTAAGTCAATAAGAACCGATAAACGCGGTTCCTCATTTCCGCGGAGTCGACACCGCTCTTAAGTTCCCAAGGTAACGTGGCTCAACCTGGAGGGAAAGTTCTAGGATTCTAGGGCGATTCTGTAGAATTGCCACTTTGGGGATGGATCCACGAGATAGCTTCATAGATTCATAGGCCAAGGGAGAAGTGAACCACGGGTCAGACGCATGAGCCACTTTGGTCTTTGGGAAGTGAAGGACGAGGTGGATAAATGTTGAGTCTTTTAGCGGGTGATCTCTGTAGGAGATTGGATCATTGGAGGCCCAAGCATTGTGCACTATGTATCTGTACTCCGTAGTGTAGAGGAGGTGAACAAGCGGACATCTCGAGAAGTAGGACAGATGCATCAATTCAACTCAGAGTCTAAATAGATATTTGTATAGAGTATGAGCATGTGACTGCGCAGGTTACTGTTTCCTGTTTCATATAGAGATGAGTGTCTCTGTTGTCTTATTATTCTCAACGGCTGCACTTTGTAACTTGATCGAGGTCAATCAGACAGATGTCTCGACTTGGTATCAGATCGTCGTCCACTGGAACTCTTCAACTCATCTCGAATCCCACCCGAGCGGCCAATTGATTTGGCAATATGGAAACAGGAGAAGTCGAAACCACCCGTCTTGACCAGCCACTTCACTTGTGTCTGCATGGACTCCTCTATCTGGAATAGAAGGACTCGGCAATTCACAGATTAGATCCCTACGGAGGAGTGATTACCAATGCCAGCAACCGCCATGGCTTCTAGGACGCGTCTGGACCAGCCTGGAAGGGGAATGCAGATGCAAGTCAAGACTCAAGCTTGAATAACCTGCATACTGTAGTGTACAAGTAGTGTTAACTCTTATTAGTATTATTATTATTATTATTATAGTATATTATAGAGTGGACTGCACGGTGTACATGTTGTAGATAGTAGATACACTGTAAGGTGAGCTGTAGCGGCTGTACGGTGAGCAGAATGTAGGTAGTAGTCGTGGACATACACAGTACAGTACTAGTCTCTATCTACTAACCTAGTGAGTGCGTAGATAGTAGATAGTAGATACTAGATACTGGGTGGCCCGCTTTAAACTTTGGTAGATTGAAGAGGTGTCGACTGTCGACGGCAACACTAATCAACATCGGGCCTAGTGGTAGCAGCAGACAGGCGGGTCTCTCCAATCTGTTACATAATTTCAAAGGTGTTTGCCCAAGTCGATGGAGCATATGGAATTTCCGGAGAGCGCGCGGTTCGGGGTCTGTCCGGTGCAGGGACGGGGGCACTGACCAATGGCAACGTGTGGAAAGCTATTGGGCCAATCACTGTTTTGCGATAACAGCAGTCAGAGCACCTCCAATCCTAAGGCGACGCCAAGAGCCCCACTCAGCCCTCCCTTCTTTCCCGTTGCGCGCCATGAAGGATTATTATTGGTCAGGTAGGTAGTATCATTCTATCTCCTCGGTCGTGCCCAATAGGCAAGGTAGCAGTCCATCGTAGCCTCGTAGGAATGGGATCTGAGCTCGTGACCAGTCAGTCCCCGAACCGTTTGCCCGGTGATTGGCAACTGGTGGTGATAAGGATTCTTGTCATATGTACCTAGTCTACTCCGTATAGTGGTAGACTAACTCCTAGTAAGGTAGAGATTTGGATGGAATCATCTCATCGTCATGGTTGCACTTCAAAGACTATCTACATTCTACATACTGTAACTACAAGCTGAGATACTACTGAAAGATCAATGGAGTGATGAACTACTCCAGACTGCCCTGGTCATGAAGTTTGACACTGGCCACTGTGGGTCGTAAGTCGCGTGTGGAACTCCATCCGATGGCCCCCCCAGCCATCCAATCATAGACATCCGTATTCGGATTAGTCCTATGGAAGCTGGGTCTTTCAGGTTCCATCAACTATTCATGGACATGGGATCCATAAAAGTTGAATCCATGGACCAGAGGCATAGGTAAACTCACGTCGAGGTCAATGGTGGCGGACTGGCGGTTAGCTTGGAGATGGGATGGAATGTCATCATCATCATTATCATCATCATCTTCTTCTCCTCCAAAAACAGTATGAGATCCTCCAATTCAGCCTCGTTACAGTGGAGAAACCGATGGAATCAAGATTGACTCAAAGGCTTAAAGGGGTAAGAAGTCATGCTCTCCTCTCCGTTTTACTATTGCCACTGGGAGGGGAGGTTGGAGAAACTACTTACAGACCCGAATAATCATTGACATACCGAGGACTCTCTCTCGGACAGGAGAGCCTGAGAGCTGGGAGCCTGGGAGCCTGAAAGGATGGGCAAGAAACAAGCGGTCAACCGGGTCAGCAATTCAACATGAATGTCAACTGTGAAACTCTACCTCAAAGTAAACTAGTAGGTACATTCTATCTACACCGTACTCCGTAGGATACGATCACGATCTCAATATAAATACATAGTATGTCAGAGAGAAATCAAGAGGGCATGTCGACCGCCAGTTAGCCAGCTTGCCGGTTCGTATGGAGTAACCCCTAGACCAGTTGGTACTTGGTGCTGATCCTGGAGGGGACCGGCAGAATGTCGCATCCCGTCTTTTGTCTCTTGCCAGTTGCAACGGGATTATTACGGTGACTGGGTACGGGATCGTTAGTTCCCCTTCCTATTATTGGGATGAAACACGATGGAGTATCTAACTATCTAAACTATCTATCTTAATACTGGTCCGTAGACCGTACAGACTACAGAGTACAGAGTAGAAAGACAAGATCATTTCTGAGACTTTTTGATATTAATTGCAATTAGATTGGTCTGTCCCCTTCAGCACGCCCCCAGGATCAGCCATGGAGCAGACCTCGGTAAACGACCGTTCTCGATCGAGTTCGGTTCTGCTATAGGTACGGATTACTGTATCCTGTAATAATGAACCAAATACTACCTAGTGAAAGAGACAATCTATTGTCTTCAAGATCAGGATGCCGTGATATCAGAGACTAATCATTTCTCTAGGTACCTTAGTCCTTCCCAACATTCGGAAGATATCAATCTTCTAGCACCAGTCAGCGTGTGTGTTGGCTGCACTTCGATGCCGTCATGATTATTCCCGTCCAAGAAACGGTCGAAGACTATTTCCGCGGTTTCGAAGATCTCGAATGATAATACAGAGTAGCCGTGTTTCAATCCTACCGATGCTAAGGTAGTGTGAAGATTGAAAGATCCATTGATCATTATTAATATTAATTTATTATTCTTAACCACTACTCCGTACTGTACAGTGTAGTCCGTAGATATTCCTCCGTAACCAACAGAGACTCGCTTTGAACGATCTGCTCCATCGGGGGGGGGGTTCCACTTTGGGAGTGTTTTCTTCGGGACTTTCTAGCCTCAAACTTAACTGACTTAGTGTCTCCTCCCAGATGGCAAAAAAAAAAAAAACCCAGTTCCACTCCCAGTCCCAGACACTTCTCCGGCTCTTCTCTTGGCCTTTTGCCATGTTCCCGGAGACCCAGTAATAATAGTCGACCTAGTAGTAGACAGTACCTAGACAGCTAGACTACTTGTACTCGGCCTCACCCAGTTATCATATCCCAAATCTCATATTATTATCGCCTCAGTCTTCTTATCTCCCTTCCAGATTCCTAGAAACAGAAACATCCAACAAGGTGCATCATTTGATACACCTTGCTTACTTCTTGCCACACATCTATCACATATATCTTCCACATCTTTAAGAGATTCAAAAGGGACTGTGCTTATCTTTGCATATCCTCCCCTTCCTGTTGATACAGACAAGACCTGCAGACATCATAATCCACCGCTACTACTACCACTACCGCTTGCATATATACCATCATCCCGTCCCCTTCCCACCCTACCCTTCTCATCTGGCCTGGTTGCGATGCTTGGCTGTTGCTACATTCATCTTACTTCACTCGCAACAACCATTCACAATCCTTAAAGCCAGCCCAGCTTGTATTCACTCTCCTCTCAAATAAGTAGCTTGTATCTATCTACTTGTGATCTTCTCTCTTCTACCAACTTTCTTCATACTCTCTCTCTCGCTCTCTCTCTCTCTCCAACTTTACGATTTATCTTACGACGATCACTCTTCCAAATGGCCACTCACGTTGTTACTACCACCAGTGTTTCTCCTGTCCCTTCCAATCAAATCTCCCTCTACGGTCATCCTTCTCCCGTCAATTCGGCCACTACCAGTCCTGCCAACAATTCCCCTACTTCTTCTCAACCCCAGAATCTTCCCTTGCAGAGCCGTCAGTTGCGCCCTCTCAAGGGTCCTCTGTACGTTCCAGCGGCGTTGCGGCCCACCGAACGTCCCCAGAGGTCCTCTCCTCCCACTCCCCCGCGCAGTGTGCATGGGTCTTTGGACAGCCTGAACGACGAAGAACCTATGGAACCGGTGTCCCGTCGCTCCACCTTGGAGAGCAACTTCAGCAACAGCATCAGCAAGATGGCTGAGGATGAATGGATGAAGAACGAGTCCCTCGGCGAAGTGACTGGGCTGCCCACAAGAGAGCACTGGAAGGTTAGTAGTTACTTCTTTATATTTTTATTTTTCGTTTAGTCGCGGGCGGAGGTGGCATATATAACACGCGCGATGGCGCAAGAGCGCTTGGGAATGTCGCATGAGCTCGTCATCACATTTCATGGCGTGATCGGCCACCCTCTTCGACCAAACCATCTCTCCTCTCCGTCAGTCATCACTAACATTCTCTTCTTTCAGGCGGACGCTGCATCTCCCAACTGTGATTCTCCCACCTGCCGCTCTTCTTTCGGCCTCTTTCTCCGCCGTCATCACTGCCGCCATTGTGGTCATGTCTTCTGCTCGTCTCACACCCCCCATATGGTGCCTCTGGACCAGGCCGCTCGCTTCCATCCTGACGGTGTCCCCTCGCGTGCCTGCGATCTCTGCTGGAGCGCCTATCAACGCTGGGAGGAGTCTCGCTCCGAGCGCCTGAACAAGATCCAGAGCGTCCTCAATGCTCAGCAAGACACCCCTGCTTCCACTGACAATGTCACCATCGCCGCCACCGCTAACTCCATCCCGACGCCTGAGACCTTCGATTCTTCCCAGCAAGAGGATGTTGTGAATGGCCCACTCAATCCCCTCCGTACCCACAGCACCGAGATTGCTGCAAGCGTCCCCCGGGGCTGGAACTGGAGCACATTTTAAATCTCACGCATCGACGTCTCTCTTCTGAGCACTTTTGCCTTTTGAGCATATGCCATCTCGGGTTCATATCTAGAATCATCGTTTCTAATCTTTCAGCGAGGTCTTTGACCTACACATTTCCGGTCATTTGCGCGGAGTACTGGTTTGATTCGGGTCACCTTTTTGTTTTCCAACTCTTCACCTTCTTCACCATCGTTACCTTACCCCATAATGCTTCGCGCGCATAGACAACGGGGCTTTGTCATTTCGATTTCTTCAGACCTAGGATACCCCGTCACAGCTCTTTTCCGAGCGACGATTTGTTTATTTGATCTTATGGTTCACGGCGCTTACGAATGAATGGCGTGCTTATGTTATTAGCAGGCATAGACGGGTTTTTTCACAATCAATCAATCAATTCAATATCCTTAAATCCAATTCACCTCCCTCGTAGTTACTCTAGCTCAATCCTCCTCCACATCCCAACATGCTCAATCCCCTCCTCATCCCACCTTCCGAGCGCGTCATCCGTCTCAAACCCAAACCGCGCATACATCTTTTCCCCCTGCACCTGCGCATGCACCAGCACCAACCCCGTCCACACCAGCGCCTCCCCACCACTCTCCCCACAAACCCGGCCATACGCCTCCTGGATCTCCGCCGCATGCGACCGCGCCCACCCCAGCGCCGCCTCCACCAGAACCCTCCCCAGTCCGAGCCCCCGATACCCCTTCAGCACCGCCACCCGCGTCAACTTGACACACGGCTCGTGCGCAAAGTCGTACCTCGGGAACTGTGTCGCGTCGATCTCGGCCTGCGTGAGGAGCTCGTGCGGCGGCTGCGGCGGCGGGACGAGCCGAATTGTTGCCACGGGCGTTGAAGTGTCGGCGGCGGAGTCGGCAGTAGGAGCGTAGACCACCCAGTGCCAGGTGCGGGCGTCGTCGGCGTCGATCTCGTCGTCGGCGGAGCAGTGCTGTTCCTCGATGAAGACTTTGCGGCGGATAGTGAGGGCATCGGTGAGGAGGGGCGGGTTCGAGGGGGGCTGGGGGTTGGAGGCTGTCGGGAGGATGAGGGTTGTTGCTGGCGGGGGGTGGAGGGATATTTTGAAGTTCTTGGACGTCATTGCTGTATATGGTAGGATTGCAATTGTGAAGGTCCTGGAGTTGTCTATGGTGCAGTTTTGGGTGCTTAGCTGTAAACTTGCGCTTGAATGATTGTTTGGCTCTTATCGATCGTTATCAATGACAAACTATGCAAACCGTGCAAAGAGAACAAACGGTGTGGATTTTCTCTCCGCAGGCACGCTCGCTTCTTCATCACCACAGATTGATCCATCTTCTAACGTGACACAGGCGAGGCAGCAAGGAGGACGGATATGTCGCTCTACTACGACGCAGTGTCAGTCCTGACAGCCCCCGCAACGGGTGGCTCGTTCAAGTCGCGCATCTACAACGCCCGCAATGTCAAAGCGGCGCCGGCGCAGATCTACGCTCTCATCATCGAGGCCGCGAAATGGGACATCCTGTTGAAAGAGGTGATTGAGGCGGCGGGGATCGTCAAAGTTGAGCCGAAGGTATGCTGGCTACCTCTGTTATCTCTACGGAGATTTTCCTGCTGACTGACCAAGATCTGAACAGCTCACGCCCACCCTCGCCCTCCTCCTCGTCCACGACCTCCTCCTCGCGAAGAACGGCATCGCCGCCAACGCAAACCACCCGCTCCGCCAGGCTATCGAGCGCCATAAGACCCGCCTGCGCGGCGAGTTTACGAAAGCCCGTGTGCGCCGCGGCTGCGCCTCCGTCGCCGACCTCAAGGCCGCCGTGCTGCGCGAGAAACAGGCGCTGGGCGGCCCCGTTGCCGCCGCCGTGTATCCGCGCTGGGTGCGCATCAACAATGTCCGCACGACGCTGGACGCGCAGCTGCGCACGACCTTTAAGGCTTATACGCGGGTCACGTCGCTGGCGGAGCTCGGTGGCAAGGACGCGGCGCGTTTATACGTCGACCCGCACGTGCCGGACCTGGTGGCCGTGGCGCAGGGCGTCGACTTCACCGCGTCGCCGGCGTACAAGAACGGGTTGATCATCCTGCAGGATAAGGCCTCGTGCTTCCCCGCGTATCTGCTGCTGGGAGATGAGCCGTGGACCGGCGACTTGCTGGACGGCTGCGCGGCCCCGGGCAACAAAACGACCCATATGGCCTCGTTGCTGGCGAAGAATACGCCGGCGCAGGCTGGTGGCGGGGATTCGTCGCCGCGCATCTTCTCCATGGACGCCTCCGCCGTGCGCTCTAAGACGTTGCAGAAGATGGTTGCGGCCGCCGGCGCCGACAATACTGTCACCGTCCTCCCGGGCCAGGATTTCCTCGCCCTGGACCCCACCGAGTCCCGCTTCGAGAATGTCACCGGCCTCCTCCTCGACCCCAGCTGTTCCGGCAGCGGCATCATCGGCCGCGACGACGTGCCGAAGCTCGCCCTCCCCGCCGGACCAGCGTCCGCGCCGTCGAAACTGCAGTCCAAGAAGCGGAAACGCAGAGACGAGGACGATGCCCCAATCGCGTCCCCCAAACCCACATCCACATCTACATCCACATCCACCTCTGCGACGGACGAAAACGAACTGTCCAGCGCAACCCTCGACCCCGCCCGCCTCACCAAACTATCCAACCTGCAGGCCCGCATCGTCGAACACGCCCTGGCCTTCCCCGCCGCCATCCGCGTCACCTACAGCACCTGCTCGATCCACCTCATCGAGAACGAGGCCGTGGTCTCCCGCGTCCAAGCGTCGGAGGTCGCGCGTGCGCGCGGCTGGCGCGTCATGCGCCGCGAGGAGCAGCCCGCCGGCATGAAGGCGTGGCCGCATAGAGGCGTGCGCACGGAGAGCCGGTACGGGGATGCCGAGGGGGAATGTGCGCCGGAGGGCGCTGCTGCGGCCGTGACGCTGACGGATGAGGAGCTGGAGGGGTGTTTGCGGTGTTGGCAGGGGGATGATGAGGGGCTGGGCGGGTTTTTTGTTGCTGGGTTTGTTCGTGATGGTGATGGTGATAGTGATGCTGACGGGGTGCGGCTGGCTGCTGCTGCTCCCGTGGTGACTGAAGCGGAGGTTGAAGGTGAAGACGAGTGGGCGGGATTCTCGGATTGATTGAACTCCCCCCCCCCTGCAAGATGCTCGAGAGAGACAAACAAGCATATACATACATAACCTATCCTATCGTAGTGCCTCGCTAAATGCTAAGAAACAGCACAAGAAAGCCTAAATGTCCATCTTACGACCCGAGAAATGCCCGCGACCGATTCCGTATCCGCTGCTCCGTGTAGATATCCAACTTGACCGCCACCAGCGTCAACTCAGGGCGAGCCCCCGCCAGCCCGCCCGCCTCAATGCGCAGCCGCCACTGCCCATTCCTCACGATCCAGTGCTCCGTCTCCTCTGCCGCGTCTCCCCGCTTGCGCTTCGCGGGCGGAGCATCAGCGGACGCGCCCGCGCGGCTCACCAGCTCGGACGTCTCCACCGGTCGTCCGTTCACGACGATGTCTGTCCCCCTCTCCAACCTCACCGACAAGCTCTCTCCATGCGACACTGAGGACGGATACTCTGCCCTCCCGGCCCCGTACAACGGACTCTTATCCTCCAGGCCGATTTTCCCCGCGATTACCTGCACCAGACTCGACATGCGCGCCTTGGCCAGGTTCAGGAACCTGGCGCGCATGACGTTGAGATCGAGGATCGTGTTCTCCTCGCCGATCTCCATGATCAGGTCGTGGGCGGTCTCGTCGACGAAGGGGCGCGCGTACGCCACGGAGCCGGCCATCGTGGTTTCGGCGCCGGGGCCCGCATCGCGCGCGAACTGTACGCCGGACGGACGCAGGTCGTCCAGCCGGAGGACGATCTCGGAGCGGTTTCTGAGCGGGTTGGAGCTGATGTGGTGCGGGATGAGTTTCTGCTCGAGCCCGCGCAGGTGGAAGTAGCGGCAGTCGCGGAGGAGCTCGGCGCGGTGTTCTTCGTCGCGGATGGAGAGCGGGTACCCGCGGAGCAGGTGCAGGAGTTGTGCGAACACGTCGCCGGAGCGGTTCGGCACGCAGGGGGGTGTGATGGCGGGGGGACGGAGGAGGCCGTGCCGGTCGAGGCCCGGGAAGATCTGGGACGGGCTCGCGAAGAAGGCGCCGAACCCGAGCGAGAAGAAATTGGGCGAGTCGCCGGGTCCGGAAAAGATGTCGCGAGGGATCTGAAAATGGCGCTCGCCGATCTGGATGAAGATTTCCGACTCGAAGAGCTGGGAGATTAATCGCGGTACTGTGGTGATCATCGTTTTCTGATTAGCATTGGTCACTTGTCGCAAGGGAGGGAGTGTCTCACAGCTGTAGAATTGGGCATCCGCAAACAATCGCACGAATTGCGACTCATCGTTGGGTTGGACATGATACCCTGTTGTCTGTCAGTCTATATCCTGAGGCCAGTGCCGTAGCCATTGTTTCCTCACCCTGTAGATGTTTGGCGATCTCCCTAAAGGTATCTGGGTCCCGATCGATGTAGAGAGTGCGGATGTTCGACCCCTCAGGATTCTGGCGCAATTGCTCTTCAAAGAAATTGGAAAAGTACGACGGGGCTCCAGGACGTTTAGCAGGAGTCCAGCTCAAAGACGGGCACTCTGAAAATCACTGACCATCGGACGCGATCGAAGCTCCAGATAGACGAAAGAGCTCGGTCCCGATCTGGATCGAAAACACCTTCTCAGTCGGCAGCATGCTTCTAGGTCCTTTACCTGGGGAGAGACCTTTCTGGGACACCGAATCATTGCTCGCCATCCTTCCCTCCTGCTGTTTCTCGTGTATCAATATTGATCGGTGCCTTCAAGAACATCGAGGTTGCGACACAGTGCTTTGACAAGGGGTCGGATCGATCGAAGTTGCGATCGTGGAAGGGATTTTGATCGTGAAAGCTTGCGACCGAAGAAGATCTAATCGACTAGCAATAATAATCGATGGAAGATCGCCTACTATTAATTGTTACAAGTTCGCATCAGTAAGCAGACTCCTGGTCTGGTCCGGGCCAGATTTAGACAACAGAAGGTATCTAACTTACCTGGACAGTTGGACTAGGAGATTGGAGTGATCTGATCAGTAATCCATCTTGTACTCCGTAGATAGATATGATATTTTAGATCATCTCCACCATAATGAAAGACTTGAGAGCAGATCGATGGCTGGTGAATGAAGGGATGGTGCGGTTGAGTCCAGATAAGAGCAGAATGCATCCCCCTGAAAAAAAAAAAGAAAGGTGACTGAGTGTCTCTGTCTTGCGCAATAGTCGCGCTTCCTTGACATACATATGCGCATTCTGCAGCAATCATAGAACGACCACGTTGTTGACACCATGCACATTGCCCCTGTTGATTTACTGGATGAACTACTGCCTCAAGAATTGATGACCAGAGAGTTATCGCGTTTCCTCCCGATGAATAGAACTAGGTAGACTTTGGTATACCTACATTGACTCTGGCCATGGGATGAAGGTCAAGTATGCTCTGCAGAATTATCGCACGATTTGACTGCAGATCCTGATTGTCCCCAGCAGTGGTAGAGCACTCCATCGCATCTAAATCGTCCATTGATGATGATGAGGATACATATCCATGGGTTGGCTTTTGAGGCAACACTCTCTACTTCATCAACCAGAAACCCGGGAAAACCAGCCTCCCATCGCGAGGAACACTTCATCATCGAGGATTATCGGAAAAGCCTGGGCATTCGCATTCGCGGCATTCACATGGCATCAACGCTATGTACTAGCCAGTAACTCGGCCCAAGGACACTGCAGTCTGGACTTTGGACAGAGCTTCGAGTCGTCTGGGGTCTTCCCCGCACATCGTCAGTCTTGTCCTTTTGAGCATCTAATGGTATGAACCATCCGGATCATGACAGCCCCAGAGGAAAATGGCGTTTGGTGTTTTGGTTAGAGGGATCCTAAAGGCTCGGGCCATCTCGTTTCGAGTCGCCGAGCTTCGACCCACAATCCAATTCATCCGTCTCAAGCTCAACATGATGGAGACGGCCTCGGTAGCCTCGTTGAACCGTCTACCTGTTGGTCGAGGTCTGCATGATTCTTCCCCTCACATATACTGAACAAAGAAACTAGCTGGGTAGCAGAGGTGCTAGTTAATCCAACTCTTAAACCCGAGTCATCCCACACGGAATCGCGAATGACAGCCTGGTAACGTGGAAGGAGCAGTCGGAATGCACGTTTTGACTACTTTACTAAGGTAGTTCGCAAGCATTACTCTTCTCGGCTCAGAAGTAGTTTATGCCCAGGAAGGTGCAATCCATATCAACTATCTGAGTGCAAGGGAAAAGGAAAGCATGAACCAGGACTGCCTTTGTTTATTATCGCGTCCTCTTGTCCTCGCCATTTGATCTTTTTCTTCTCCTTCTCTGTGGTCCATGTCGACGGCTTCTACTATCATTCTCTCGCACATAATTTACTATTCCTTCAGACTTATCCGACCTACAGAGTACATATCGATTCTACAAGCTCCTATTCTCTCATTACAATCGTTCACTGGTCAGCAACATGGCTGAACAGACTGTGACTGCTTACGTTCCATTGGACGTGTCTCTTCCCCCAATTCCTACCGAACAAGTATTTTCTGACCTGCAATGGAAGACACTGCTGGCCCTTGCGGACACAGTCATTCCGTCCGTTCGCTCTCCATCATCTCCTAAATCTCTTTCCACAAAGGTGGTCCCTGACTGCGATCTCAAGGCCGCTGTCTCGACACTGGCCTCTCACATGCACGACCCAGAGGCGACAAAGATTGCGGAACAGTACCTGGAAGAAACCGGGTCCGCAAACCCCCTGTTCGTGGAAGGACTGCGGCGTCTTTTTGCAGAGTATATCCACCAGGAGGGCAGAAATGGCATCAGTCTTATCCTGAACGCGCTCAAGTGCGTATTACCAAACGACCCTTGCAGAACTCATGGCTAACGCATGCATTCTAGCTCCAAAGCTGGCTCCCTCCTTCTTACAGGGTCTATTACTGCTATCCAGGACCAACCATTTGAGGTTCGTGAGAGAGTATTCCGCAGTTGGGAGACATCTCGCATCAAGCCTCTTCGTGCTATTTATAGAGCATTCACTGCCATCTTCAAGAAGACATGGATCTCCGTCAGTCCCACGATCCGTCTTGTTGTAGGCTTTCCACGCGTCCCGATCCATGGCAAACCAGCCGACGGTTTCGAGTACAAGTTTCTGCAGTTCCCACCCGGGGATAAACCGGAGATCATCGAAGCAGATGTCGTTATCGTGGGCAGCGGGTGCGGTGGAAGTGTCGCAGCCAAAAATCTGGCCGAAGCTGGATACAAAGTACTGGTCGTGGAGAAATCATACCATTATCCATCCAAGCATTTCCCCATGGATTTCACCGAGGGTTTCGTGAACATGTTTGAGACTGGAGGAGCCACCATGAGTGACGATGGGTCTATGGCCGTTCTCGCGGGTTCTACCTGGGGCGGTGGTGGTACTGTCAACTGGTCTGCCGCGCTGCAGACACAAGGATACGTGCGTCGGGAATGGGCTAGCAACGGATTGCCATTCTTCGAATCTTTTGAGTTCCAGCAGAGTTTGGATCACGTCTGTGAGCGTATGGGAGTCAGCAGTGAGCACACCAAACACAACTTTGCGAACCGCATTCTCCTTGACGGCGCTCGAAAGCTGGGATACGCCGCTAAGCCTGTTCCGCAGAATACTGGTGGTACAGCTCACTATTGTGGATACTGTACCATGGGCTGTCATTCCACTGACAAGAAGGGCCCGACGGAGACTTTCCTTGCCGATGCGGCAGATGCTGGAGCAACATTTGTCGAAGGCTTCCGCGCGGAAAAGATACTCTTTAAGAAGACCAAAGGAGGACGGGTGGCTTCCGGCATTCAAGGAACTTGGACTTCGAGAGACTCATACTTGGGGACTACCGGAATGGACCGTGAGACACGAGAGGTCATCATCAAGGCTGATAAGGTCATTGTCTCCTGCGGCACCTTGCAGAGCCCCCTTCTCCTGATGCGCAGTGGACTCAAGAACCCACAGATAGGGCGTAATCTCTATCTTCATCCTGGTAAGTTGTATTGCCGTAGGAAGACTGAGCACCTTATCTCTTGACTGACGAATTTCTAGTTGTGCTCTCTGCAGCCGTCTTTGAGGAGGAAATTCGACCATGGGAGGGCGCCGCTTTGACCACAGTCGTCAATGAATTCGAGAATCAGGACAACCAAGGCCACGGGGTGAAGATCGAAAACGTGGCGATGCTGCCCGCTGTTTATCTGCCCACCTTCCCCTGGCGTGACGGACTGGACTACAAGCTGTGGGCGGCAAAGTTGCCCCGAATGACCGGGTTCATCGCTCTCACAAAGGAACGCGATGCGGGACGAGTATACCCTGACCCCGTGGATGGACGGGCGCGTATCAGCTACAGCGTGTCTGCATATGATCGAAAGCATATTGTTGAAGCTCTGGTTGCGACGGCGAAAATTGCGTATATCTCTGGCGCCAAGGAGTTCCACACAACGAGTCGGGAGATGGCCCCCTTCATTCGTCCCGCGGATGCGTCCGATCCGAACGCCCCGGAAGGTGTCAACAATGAGGCACTTCAGGCATGGATTGCAGAACTCCGTCGCCAAAATCCAGTCGACCCAGAACGAACCCTCTACGCCAGTGCGCATCAGATGGGCACGTGCCGGATGGGTGCTTCTTCCAGCACGAGTGTCGTCGACCCCAACTGCCAAGTCTGGGGTGCGAAGGGCTTGTATGTCATGGACGCATCGGTCTTTCCCAGTGCTAGCGGTGTGAACCCGATGGTGACCAACATGGCTATTGCGGACTGGGCCAGCCAAAATGTTGCCGAGATGTTGAAGAGAGAGAAGAGTGAGAGCCTGATGGCCCGTCTATAGTGCCGGACGATTATCAACCTCGGTGTGTTTGTACATATCTCTTACTAAACCTTGATATCCTTACTGTTGATTCTAGCATTAGCATTACAATCCATTACTCTTCCTGATGAACACGAGCAAGAAGTGTTAATAGTTCCGAGTGCGTCTCAAAAGATTGTATTTTCAGCAATGGTTCAGTGGCGCTGCTCTTGGTATCATCTTATGTAAGGAGCTTAAGCCTTGGGGGTTTCGCGCTTCTCGATGAACTTCTTCTCACCAAAGGTCTGCTTGACACCCTCACTTTCCAGAGTCTTTTCGTACCATGACACCACGAATGGGTACTTCTGGCGCATCTCCTGGTCGATCACCATGGAGAAGCCCCAGTAGAGAGCCGCCGCCACACTAATATCCGCCAGACTCAGCTTCTCGGTAGCCACCCATTCCCGACCCCTCAGATGACCCTCAAGGTAATCCAGCGCCCTCTCCAACTGCCCCAGGGCGGACTTTTCCACGCTCTCGACAAAGGCCTTGTATCCGACCCGCGGCAAAATAAGTTGAATTACGGGACACTGAACCTCACCGTCGGCGAAACAGACCCATTGCCGCACGGCCGCGCGCTCCACCGCACTGGAGCCCAGCAGCTGATCGGCGGCGGGCCCACTGTCCGCGACGTACTGCGCGATGGCGTCGGATTCGGTGAGCGTCAGCCCATCTGCGCCTTCGAAGGCGGGGACCTTGGCCATGGGGAACTTGGCGAGGAAGGCGGGCTCGCGGTTTGTGGTGCCCATTGTGAAGTCGGCAGTGGTCAAGGTGAGGTTGTTGAAGGAGGCGGCGGCTTGGATCTGTAGGGGGTGTTTCTTGGTTAGTGGAGGGAGATGGGTTGGTGGTGGTGGTGGTGGTGTTGGTGATGGGAATGGGAATGGGGATGGAGATGGAGATGGTGTTAAGTGGTACCTTCATGACCCGGGGGTTGTTGGGGTAGGACCAGATTGTGCCGAAGGACATTTTGAGGGAATTGGTGTGTTGTATTGATATGAGTGTGATTAGGAATGTTGGGAGAGCTGCTGATGGAATGATGGTGTAGAGTATGGACGGCTGCTGGTCTTAAGTATGTCTGTTTTTTTGTTGACAGTGGTATACCCCCCTGGTGGTGGACACTGGACAGGCTTCTTGCTTACCAAGTTTCTGCTGAATGCACGGAGCAGATCGTGTTGGATTTCCAATGGATGACAAATAGAATCTGAAAAGGTCTCAGGTGGAGAGTAGAGCGAATCCACTTGAGGGTGAGGAGTGTTTTTAGAGTCGTCGTTGAATACGATGTGCATTATACACTTAGCTACGGAGTATTACGGAGTAGATAAACACTACTATGCAATATGCATACTAGTTATGCTTATTTCTGGCGTGGCAGCACTCAACAGGTAGCAATCAGATCGGCCTATAAGCAGGTACTGGGCTACGGGATGGCGACATCATGAAGAAATATGGGTAGTAGCTAGCTACTAAGGTAGTAGTATTCCTTCTCTCGATTCTATTCTACTTCACCAACAGGATAACAACTTCAATTGTGCTGTTGGCTTGCATGCATGCTTTCAAATGATCATGGTTATTATTATTATTGACTAACCAACCAACCACCATATGTTCCATGCATCAAATAATACCCCACAATCCACGTCGACAACGTTCGCTTCGTACCTCTAGATATTATTTCACCTCGATCTCCATCCATCAATGGCACAACAGCAATGATCAACTCCAACAATCCAAAGACAACTCTCCTCTCCCTTCCTCCCGAGCTGCATCTCCTCATCACTACGTTTCTCCCCTTCCCTGATGTCATTTATCTTCGCATCACCTGCTCCCACCTCTACTCAGTCCTCCCACCCCTTACACTCCCCCAGCTTCTCCTCGCAGAAACATCCAGCTACGCACTGACCAAGGATCTCTACGCGTGCCGATACTGTCTCCGTCTGCGACCGGCAGTTGCATTCGCCGATCGCATGCGGTGCCGCCGGCGGAGTAGGCATGGGCGCGATGCGGGGAAGCGCTTCTGTGTGGAGTGTGGGCTGCAGTCGCGGACGGAGGGCGCTGGTGAGGCGAGGTACGGGCCGGGTGCGCAGATTCAGATGCAGGGCATTTTGTACGTTATTTGTATTACGTGTAGGGAGTTCAAGTTGGGTGGGAAGGGCATTGAGTGTGTGGAGTGTGTGGTCCAGAGGGAGAGGTTGCGGAGGGCCAGATTGGAAAAGGAGGTTTCTGAATCTAAACGGGTTTTCGCCCGTGGATCTTCAGAACATGGTGGATTATAGTCTATGGAAGTGAATGAGTTCAGCCATAACGGGCAGGATCCTGCGCCGGCTTGTTGTCGAGGAATTCGTCGATCTCTGCCATCACCTCGGCAGTCAGCTTGGGCAGCACCTTCAGACTCTCCACGTTCTCCACGATCTGCTCCGGTCTGGAAGCACCCGTGATGACAGAGGACACGTTTTCATTCTTCAGACACCACGCCAGCGCCAGCTGCGATAACTTGACGCCCAGTTTGTCTGCCACGTCCTGCTGCTCTGTTAGTCCTGACTTTCTGGGAACACCTCGGGGGGGGGGGGGGGAAGAAACGTGCCTTGAGACCGGCAATCTTCTTCATGGTCGCCATCCATTCATCATTGCCATACTTCTCACGGACGCTGTTGACGTAACTGTCGCCGCTCATGGCCAACCTCGTGCCTGCCGGAGGCTCCTTTGTCGCATCGTTGTATTTGCCGCTCAGCAGGCCCATCTTCAGCGGCGAGAAGGTGGTCAGACCGATGCCGCACCGTGAATACAGGCGCTGGAACTGGCCCTCGACCTTTTGCCGGTCCAGCATGTTGTACAGTGGCTGCTCCACAATCGGTGCAATGAGACCCAGCGACCGGGCGATTCCACACGCCTCAGCAATCTCGTCGGCCGACCATTCGGATGTACCCCAGTAAAACGCCCATCCCTTCTCGATCACATGGTTGAATGCACGCACAGTCTCCTCCATGGGCGTCAGGCGGTCCGGTCGGTGAGCATAGATGATATCGACATACTCGAGGTCCAGGCGTTCCAGGGAAGCCCGGGTCCCTTCAACGATGTGCTTCCGCGAGAGACCGTTGTTGTTGATGGGGTTCTCGCCGTTAGCGCCTCCCCAGTAGAGCTATTGTGGTAATTAGATCTCGGTGCAGCCATCAGAAGTCGGAGATACGAACCTTGGTGGTGATCACCAGGTCGCTTCGTTTCCAGCCAAACTTCTTGACAGCTTGGCCCATGACGACTTCAGATTGTCCATCGGCATATCTACATCATAAGCTTATGTTGTGTAAATGTCAAATTGAGTGCCTACCCTTCTGCGGTATCGAAGAAGTTGACCCCGCAGTCGTACGCTTGCTTCATGCAGTTGAAGGTGATTTCTAAACCATAGCTATTAGCTAAAATTTTGCCAGCAAAGTCTTTTAGAGATCGGCAACAAATACCATTATCAACATGGCCACCATAACTAATCATGTAATGAGTTAGTAGGGCGACAACATCCAGATAGATCTGACACTCACGTCAACCATCCTCCCAGTCCAATGACAGACACATGCAGACCCGAATTGCCCACACGGCGGTACAGCATACCGTTATCCTTCTTCGAAGATGCCATTGTCAGACACAATGAGTTCCTCAAACTTTCCTATGCTGTGGAGAGACCCATTTCACAAGACAAGCCGGGGGGCTTGGGGCCAATTTATCTGCTTGGCCTGGCAGATCCTAATGCAGACTGCAAAGCGCTTGTATGCGCCTCCAAAGCGGACACCGTAAAGGGCAATTGGTCGGAACATGAGAAGCGTGAGATGGATAAATCACCATTTCAATGTAACATAGCTTGCTTGAAAGAAGCTCCATTTACTAATTAGCCAGTTCCAATCAATCATGTCTAGTGCTGGCCAGCGCGGGGCTGGCCCGGAGGCCGAGGGGTCTTCCAGGCGAGTCTTCGGAGAATCCTTTTTGATTTTGGATTAGTGCTGGAGAGGTTGGCTTGGTTCCGCACAATAGCCATCCGTTGAGTGGAAAAGGGGGGATAAGGGATGATGCATTTGTTTGATAGTGATCTGGAGAAGAGAGAGCCTTCAAGCAAGTAACCAGAAGGTGTTTGGTGCTGCTTGAGGACTGAGGCAGAAGTATCAGCTGACCAGAGGGACAATTTTCCCATTCAAGCAGCATCAACATTTCAACTTCATCAACTTCAGAGCTCAACCTGCCAATTGCTTCTCCAGTTAGTCTACATCTTGGCCACTTAAAGAAACATTATCTCTGTGGATGAATCATCGAATTTCTCTTCTAGTCATTTACTGGATGATTTGCAGCTTTCATGGAGTACAGACTACAGTTGCCTCCTTTGGCCAACAGCCAACTCCAGCTTGATCCATCCCTCGGCCATCGGAGTTTGAGGTCTTGCATTGTGATTTGTGACTGTGTGAGGCTTCGACTTCAGTCCAGACATTGAGAATGCCGATGTGGGTCTGAGCTAATGGCGTGCCCAGACGCCCAGTGGTGGGAGCGATGCAACAACTGCCACTTGGAAGATTTGCGTTAACCTTTTAATTCATTAATGAACAAGGCTCTAGACATCATTTCAACGAGGAAAAACCCCAGGATTACTTCCTTTGCCTTCGAATATCTGTGATCTTTAGAGCTACAACTGGTGCTCTAGCAAGATCCCCCCCTACTCGGGCTGGTTGAGGTACCCCGCAAGGAATACGGAAGCCGGTGTGCCGTGTTTCTCTTGTGAGATTGCCTATCAACTTCAAAGCCAACTGTGATAGACATTATCTATCTACCTGATATATGAATCTACAATATAGCGCACAGACCCATTTTTATGATGCCCTTGGCGATTGTGTGCCAACATGCCCGTTACTCGACAGAGCGTGACTAAACGGGCTTGCGATGGGTGTAAAGTTCGCAAGATTCGCTGTGGTGGAAGCCAGCCATGCCAGGCATGCAAAAACTCGAAGATTCAATGCACCTATAACCGTGTACAGCAGCTGCGAGGGCCGCGGAATTTGCGTGCGACAACGAAGCATCTCATAGAGCAGACACAGCGTGGCCTGGAGGCTCAATCCGATGCAGTTCCTTCGGTTGCGGCCAGTGGACGGACCAACTCCCAGAAAATGTAAGCCGATGCAAATCACGATGGTTTGTTCCCATTTGGTTTTCTTATCGTGCTTACAGATCTCGGATACCGACGGAAGTCCTCTCATCCACGTTATACATATACCAAGCCCGCATGTATCCGATCTGGCCCATTGTGAACATCCAGCACCTTGTATCGATTCTACAAAATAACTCTGAAGGAGCAGATCTTAATGCATACGCACTGGCAACTGCTATTGCGGCAGCAACCCTAGCGCAACTGATGGTAGAAAATACCTCAGGCAAATTATTCACCGCGGATACTTTTGCCGCTGAGTGTTTACGCGCTCGAAATTCCTGCGGCTATAGACCAAAACCTAGCATCGATAGCGTTCGAACTTCGTTCTTTCTTCATGCATACTATGAAAATCAACAGCCAGGAGGCAGTGAGTCACTGCTATACCTCAGAGAAGCCATCACGCTGGCTCAGATGATGCGCATGCACCAGGAAGCTTCGTATCAAGACCTTAACGGTGAGGAACAGCAGATTCGTCGCCGAGTTCTGTGGTTGCTTTTCGTGACGGAAAGGTGCTTTCCCTTTTTTATCTCCAATGAATTGGAGGCTAATCTGTGAGCAGAGGTATCTGTGTCATCCACAAGCTGCCAGTGATGCTTCGGACAACAATCTCCACACATGGGTTACACGTTAATGATGAACCACAAGTCCTACCCGCGTTTCTAAAACTTTTGAACCTATTCCGTCTCTTCGAAAAGTCCAGGATGTTCGACATTATTGGAGGGGATACTGTTGACGGACAGTTGAACTCGAATGATTTGAATAAACCTGACGAAGGGTTGCTCAAGCTCCTACAGGGTGGGCAACAGGATGGGACATTGGGCCTTACTTCAGATGTGCAAAAGGCAGATATCTATGTCACCAAAAATTGGATGCGAATGCTCCTATGGAAAGTTCTCTCCAAAAACAAGACAGCTACTCTATCTGCTTCGTGGTCGATCTCACCCTCGTTTCCCGTTATCGTCGCTAAAGAGCTCCTCAACATGCTATCTCAGTTGCCCAGACCGGCGATGGAGGCTCATGGCCTTGGGATGGTATGTGTGGCCATCAATACAAGCGGCAGCAACTAATGTTTCTAGGAGTTGAAATTGCATGAGATCGCCAATTCGTTGGCGGATGCGGTGTTAAATATGGCGACTCTTCCTCGAGCGTTAATCTGGGATGGCGAGAACCGGCCGAGCCACATTCTAGCAAAGCTGCATTCTTTACTGTCTACCTTTCGCGGCGGCGGCAACAAGAGACTGGTAGAGCTATTATGGCAGAAAATGGCCCATGCGCAATCTGTCGGTGATCTCATATTACCAACATCTATCGGAACACCGTTGATGGCAGATAGCCAACATCTCAATCTGGTGGAAAATTCCAGTGATGATAGAATAACAGCGATAGGAGGGGTTGCTCTCCCGCAATACGAAAACAATCATTCAGCTGAAATGGTCACAATCACGGATTGGTCCAGCCTCGAAGGCCTGCAGGGGAACGACTACAATGCCCCGCCGCTTGACAACTCAGACAGTCTCTGCCAGACTTTCTTCGAGGATTTAATCTCTGGAACGGCCTCAAACACAACGTACGCAGCATGTGTGGCACCTGATCTTGATTTTGCTTCCACATGGCTGGAATCTTTTGTTGTGCCGGATGGCACGGGACAGATGGCATCTTTCACACCCCTGGGACCATGGCAGCTGCATTCTGGCGGAGCGACTTTTGAAGATTGTTCATCACTGTTTACAAACGCTGTGGGTGGTGAAACATCATTTGAAGATCCAAATGCTGCAAGTGAGGATTTGATCATCCAACAGGACACCATCGCGGGCAGTTGATAACGTATATATGGAAACAGATGCACTTTGCAAGAAATGGAATAATACCTTATGTGGAGACATGATCGCTTAATAACCAAACAGTTGCACAATGAACTAAAAGAAGACACAGTTCTACTCCGCATACCAGCAAATTTTGAAATCAGACCTTCCATGGCTCTGACAATCGCATATAGTTCCAGCATACTGCCATCGTTAGCATTCTTACAATATCTGAATAGGCAGGAACATACTTTTAAAAGCCATATCATCACCAAAGTTGGACGCCAGTGTCTCCTCGCCATCCTTCATCCCCACGTCTGGGTGGTATGAAATCGCCGTCTTCCCCAAACACAGCCCAATCATGGGTGGGATTCTTTGCAACTCCCGGAATACCGGCTTCGTTGCAGCGCACTCAGCAAGCATCAGCTGATGGATGTTGTATCCCGCATAATGGCCCATGTGCATTGCGCCGCCGCAGCGTTTGATACCAGACCAGGCGACGATGTCGCCGATGGCGAAGTGGTGGGAGGCGTTAGAGGTGTTGGATGGGAATTGCAGTCTAGGCCATTAGAATGGCCCGCCACAGTTGATGAATGGAAATGCAGACTTACGATGGATGAACCTTCACATGGCCTTCTTCGTTCAATGTTTCTGACGGCAGGTAGGAGGTTGTGGATGAAATTCGGGAGATGGCATTCAGAACATGTCCTGTTTTGATGATACGTCCGTCTGCCAGAGTCAGCTGCCAGGTTCGTCGATCTCCCTCCTGCACTGCAGCTGTATCGATAACTCGTTGACCGAGGATCAGCTCTACCCCTGTTTCGCGGATAATCGCAGCCACGCGGTCCTTGAAGTCATCCGGTAGGGCCTCGGCGGAGAGGAGGTGGTCTCTCGAATGGATAAGCGTCACTTTCATCTGGGGATAGTGAAGCTTGAGCTCCGTGGCCATTTCAGTGCCAACCGCACCTGTTGCATGTGAGTATAATTTGGTAAATCAGAGTTTATGTATCTCACCTCCTCCGACAACCACCACATCCCCAGCGTTGACGATGCTATCCGTATGCTTCTTCACCTCCGGCAGAAAGTCGTCCCTAGTCAACGACTGCGGTACAGTAGGAAACACCCTCCGCAGCCCCGTCGCCGCAATAAAGAAATCATACCGCTCTTCACGAACAGTTTTACTCTCTGACTCTAAGATCCGCGCCGTCTTCTTCTGGCAATCGACTGCGTTTACACTGCCACGAAAGATGTGTACATTTGGCGAGCGCAGCGCGGGGATATCCACGAATTTAGTCCAAGCCTGAGAGGCGTATTCTTCGTCCACCAGGGCCTTGGGGGAACTGATCAAATGATCTGGCCAAATGTTAGCTTGTGTGTGTGCTAGGGACGATGTGTCGTACAGTATCCGTCTTTCTCATCCACCAGTGTGATCTCGACCGGGATTTGATATTGAGGCGGTTGTGCCTCCGGGTCGGAGTTGAAGCGCGGGAGTTGACCCCGTGAGAGGTCGAGGAGGGTCAGAGCAGCACAGAGGCCGCCGTATGAGGCGCCGGCGATAAGGACACGGAAGGGCCGCGACAGAGAAATGAGCGCTTCGTTAGAGGGCATGGCTCCTGTGAGTGGAGATTGCTGATAAGTTGAGGACAGAGTCTGGATAGCCTGTGAAAAAGGTCTTATGTGAAGCGAAAAGGGGTTGATGCGGTTAGGACCGGAATATACTGCTTGGAAAGGCGTTATGATACGGGTGAGATGGCTGTACTGGCGTAAAGGCAATCTGATCTGTTTGTACATAATCCTGCATCGGGTGATATGCTCGATAATAAATACATCCAAGAGTGAGCCCTGGATCCCCTATTATAGGAGTCTGCCCTGTATGGGCTATCGTTAATGAGATCCATCTTTGAATCATTCAGAGGCAGTGCAAAAGAATATACCCCACTTGCCGGACCCTCTTGTCATCAGATGGAATTTAGCAAGGTCTATGGCCGTCGCCATCAAGAGTTTATTGGCACATATTACGCCATCCTAGGCTCTACAAAACATTGGTACATAGAATTAGAGACCAGCAGCCTTGATGGTTGGTGGGGTCAGGATGCGTTTGTTATCTGATCCGAGTCCGACTGATTGATTAACATTATTAAGTTATCAGATCAACGGAGAAACCTCAAAGTGACAAAGTGACTGACCGACTTTTAGTAGGCCTTTGGACGCAAGATGAAACTCGATTACTGGGTATCCTTGACAATCAAAGTCCTAGTTACACCTCATCACTCTGCTACCGCATGCAGAACACCCATACGGAGGTGCTCGGAAAGAAACAAGACATTTGCGCTGGCTCTCACCAGAAGCATGCGGCATTTTACATCCCTGCTGGGTCTGGGCAGCAGCGAGGACTTTTCCGAAGTCGCACCGTACATGGATACTGGAAATGGAGGTGGACTGTGGAGACTGGAGACCGGATATTGTGCACAGAACTAGTTTTATCAATCAGTGGCTGACTGGCTGTATTTGAACCGCTAGTACGGGCTACAAAACGCGCATACCGTTCAGTACTCCGTACTCCATACGATAATTTGCAATATGCTGGGCAATGAGAACTTGAAGTCAGCCGAGGTTGCACTGTCTATCCGTCTGTCCCTAAATCCTTACTCTCTGGCGATTGTTGGATTATGTGGAGCTAGCAGCTTCTAGATTTCGTGTCTGAATAATGTCAAAACTTGTTGCAGTGATTGATCGGCCGATTGATCATCAGTCGACTCTACGAAGTGCAGTAATTGTAGCATCACTGATATGTCTAGGCTTCATCAATTCAGGTGAAGTATTTCTTTGATTTGAAGGATACCTGTCCTCGTACAGGGTGACTCCCAATACCCATAGGGACAAAATCTTCTATGTGGCTTCTGAACCCAGACATACATAGCACTAGGTCATGAAGTTTTACCACCGGAGCGGCATCTTACGGGACTGTCTCGACTCTTGAATCCCTGGCAGTCTGCATAGCATCAAGTACTGAATCGGAATCTGCTCCATCGGATTGCGATCTAATATGATACGCAAATCTGATAACCATTAATGATACAGAATCCATACGGGACCGAATCCAGCAAAAGCAATCTCCTCTCTTATTCCATTTCGAGCCTAATAGTTACATAACACAAATGGCGCTTTTTCTTGGCCTGTTTGGTATCTGTGTATCATGGTTGCTGATGCTCTACAGCGCCGAATATCGGCTTCCGTCGCTGTACAGAGAGCACATACTGAAAGCCGAGCAGAGAACAGGCGACATAACATCCTGAGGTAGTCTGTATACTGGAGATGGAATATTGTTCCATGAAAATTTAATAGTTGCTGAGAAGAACAAAGAGGGAAATGCCGGATTCCTCAGGAGTGAGGGTTAAAAAGCAAGGTTTTATCAGATTAGATTATCATCTAATCTGATTGTGCTGGTGGGGCATTTTATTTTATTTGTTTTTTCTCGCTTCGCTTTCGTGTTTTTCACGTCTTTGGTTGAATAACACCGTGTCTAGAGAATCAGGATAGCTTCTAGGAGATAGCTTGGATGCTAATCAAGAGATCTGATAGTATGAAGATACAAACGATTCTATTCTATAGTCATTGGGTATTATCCATGCGTTCGTACAAAGCCAGCCCTCATCCCTCTATTTTGCCTGCCGTTTCTCCAAAACCCCCGCGGCAATATTTCGTAAATCCACCTTCCGAACCTTCCCGCTTCCCGTCACCGGAATGGTCCGGTCGACTCCCTCTTCGCCAAACACGAAGAAATGCTGCGGGGCCTTGTGCCGGCCCAGTGTTTCCCGCGTCCAAGCGCGTAGTTCGTCTTCGGACGGCCGCTTGCCTTCATACCCAGCAGCCAACGCGAGGAAAGCTCCTACGACTTCGCCGTACTTGTAATCTGGGATTCCGATGACGGAGGCTACCTCGATAGCGGGGTGTGCGGCCAGCCGCTCCTCGATCTCAAGAGGGTAGATGTTTTCGCCACCTGGTGACTGCGTTAGTGCCTGGAGTTATGTGCGAGGAAGCAAGCATGACGTACCCCGGATAATGATATCCTTGAACCGACCCGTGATGGTGCAGTACCCCTGCTCGTCAAAAAGAGCCTCGTCGCCAGTCTTTAGCCACGTCGTTCCGTCTGCGTCTGTGATGAGCACCTCCGCCGTCTTTGTTGGGTTGTTCCAGTATCCCTTTGTCAATTGATATCCAGCAATGCAGAGCTCGCCACGTTTGCCAACGGGGACGATGTTGCCCTTTGCATCGATGATCTTGGCTCTGGCGTGGGGCATGACCTTGCCGACGGTGGTGAGGCGGCGTTCGATAGTGTCAGTTGTCAGGGCGTTGAAGCACGTTGGCGATGCTTCGGTGAGACCTGCATTTCTTAGCGATTGTTACGATCATGGAGGATCTGAATTCGTACCGTAGCTACTGGTATATTCCATCATATTCAACTCGCCTAGTAAGCGCTTCATCAGTGGTCTGGGAACCGGTGCACCAGCAATAATGCCCGTGCGGAGATTTGAGGTATCAAAATTTGGTGGTTTGGGAAGGCTGAGGATCGCCTCGAACATGGTCGGCACACCATGCAGGGCAGTGCATTTCTCATCCGAGATGGCGTGGAGCACGGCGGCGGGGTCGAATGTCTCACTGGGAAAAATGATCTTCGAGCCATGCGTGACTACAGCAAGCATGCCGAGAACGAGGCCAAAGCAGTGGAAGAGCGGAGGAGGGCAGCACAAGATGTCGAACGAGGTAAGCTTCATGCGGTCACCGATAAAGCGGGAGTTGTTCACGAGATTGCTGTGCTCCAGTCAGCCGAATATCAGTATACAACCCATAAGTAATGCGTACTGGTGCGTCAACATGGCTGCCTTGGGGTTTCCTGTCGAACCACTTGTGAACTGCAGGTTGCAGACATCCCCAGGCCGCAACTCAGCCTCACGGTCCAGCAGTGCATGGCTGGGTAGCGGTTCTCCTCGTTGAATGACGTGATTGTATGTGTTAAAGCCCTGGTATTCCCCCCGGAGAATGATTATCTTCTCCAAGGCCGACGACGTCCCCTGCTGTATCGGGCGCGGTCCCATATGTGTAAGGACCTGCTCGAGGGAATGGCGGCCGATGCGTGGAGTCATGAAGAGCAATCGACAATCTGCAGCACGTGAAGTTAATTTCCCACCCCACTGGTCGTCAGGAACAGGACATTAACATACCTGTATGCCCCAGAGCATAGGACAGCTCAGATGGGGTGTAAGTATTGTTGAGAACGACCAGAATTGCACCAACTCGTGCTGCGGCAAAGAATACCGAGATATACTGCTCGCAGTTGCCTGCCATAATTCCCACTCGGTCCCCTTTCTTGATGCCCATCGCCAGCAGCCCGCGGGCCACTCGGTCTGCTTCATCCTTGAGAGCGGCATACGTCCAGCGTGCACCTGTCCAGGGAAAGACCAGACATTCGTGGTCGCCGTATCGCAAGCTCTGCAGGGTAAGAAGTTCGCCGAGGGTTAGGTCTAACAGTCCCGGCGTTTCACCCTGGACGATCGATAACAGTTGTCGCGGGGCCTTGGGAGGCTCAAGGTGCGAGAGTGTTTGTTGCAGACGTCTTACAGTCGCCATTGTGCCGAGTCGCCGGGATCGTGAATTGATTTGAGCCTGTGAGGCAGTGGAATCTGGGAGCTAAGGATCAAACACCATCTTATATTATTGCGTCGCGGGGCCAGGCCAAAATCCTCGGATAAAACATCTCTACAGGGTACTATTAGGCCCAGCGGCCTTGCCAGATCTCGGTATTCGACAATGCAGTATGGCATATGCGTATTTTTCAAACAATTGAACATATTCCACCGTGCACATGGCTAGAAAGTCTCGGAACTTGAAATGAGAAGGGCTAATAGCTTTAGCCATAGGCCACAGTGGTAGGGCCAGCATCCATGTGGCTTGGTCTAATTTTGACAATACCCCCACTATCCAGGTCGATAGGCTGATGAAGATAGCCCATGGCGCATGGGTGTGAGAAACTGAGAATCCGTCATGTCTTCGCTTATCAGATTTTTTTGCGTAGGCCTTGGCGTGAGAGACATGTCGAATCACTCCTCGAGGGAATATGGAGACTGAAACCATGGCGTACTTAGGCCCGTAAATTATGAAGGGGATATATTTCAATTTCATTCACAGTGTGCTGTCAGCAAGACAGGCCGAGAATACAATTGTTTCAGCCGGACAAATTACTACCTGATGTTGGTTGGTTCGACTTCAATGGTAGAATGGCCGATGTCAAGTCTGGTGAGTATTCCACGCCAAGGAGGAAGGGTTCCTATTTATTAGCAGAGTGACAGCCGCTGGAGGGACTACTGTGGATAAGATTACGCACTGTCGGTTCGGTCGAATTTATACTCCAGCGGAAGGATCGTCTGTGACTGTTCAAATGGAAGGCCCGGAACCCGTGGAAAGCCGACACAAGCGTGATGAGACTTAGGACTCGACACAAAGCATCCTGCAAGAAAGTTTCAGTCCGCGGTTTCGTGTAATTTGCGGCTGGCATATCCTAAACGAATGCATGGTCTCCACAGTCAACCTAGAAACCAAGGATCAGATAAACTGGATTTGGCACTAGGCATTGTTATCAATCAATTCTCGCTGCGTTACTTTCCCACGGATCTTGTTACGGAGTAATCGGATCCAGGAATTCCTGGCAATAGTATTCAGCTTTAAGTGGACCTATGCAGGATCGGATCCTGAAGAATTGATCCTTGTTGATGTCGTCGCAGAAGCAGAGATGGCCCGAAATCAATCTAATCAGATTCTTCTGCCCGAGATCGGCGATGCGGAATTTGGATGCGGAACCGGAACCGGAACCGGAATCACCAGCCGTCGTGGTGGCCTGAGGAATCAACACGTGTCTTGGTGCATTTTGGTTCCAAACAGCTCATGGTTCAGCCTCTTCCAAAAGACACCGCACAGGTGAATCTATATGAGCTCACGGCTTTATGGCGTCTGCAACTCCTTCGAGTCTCACCATTTAGCATACATTTATGGCGCGCTATTTTCGGCCTTCTCCTGCCATTGGGATCCCTAGCCCTCACCACGGCCATCAACACCGAATGAGCCTCCACATTGATCATACACCACGACAAAATTCATGAAATGTGAGAAACTCGGGCATCCAGGAATACGAAGTATCGATATCTACATTGAAGAACCTCGGAACCCACCCGTGTATCCCTTTCAGGATTAATCTAGTGCGACTCATACATCCCTAAGTTCGACTCAATACAGCTATGGTTGTCACTCTGAGCGAGAGTATAGATGAGCTCCGCTGCACTTCTTCGCTTCTAAGTCAAACCAATACAAATACACGACACACGACAAAGTCATCTCACCAGCTTTTAGATGATACCTCACGTCTACCAACTGCTTACCTTATTTCCACCTCGCTTCACGGCGCAGATATCCAGACTAGCCTTGAATAACGAATGGCTATTATGAAGAGGTGGCCGACATTGGCAGGAAGCTTAGCAAATACTTATTTGCACAAGTGACTAAATCTTCCTTGAGTAGGCGAAAGAAAGAGTGAAGCGAAGCTGCGGATAGAAATGAAGATCCACTGAGAGAATGTCAGAATGAACTGAACATTTAAGAGCTCAGATCTTCGCGTATCACTTCATGGCATCAATATGACCGAGCTATTCCATAAGCTCAATAGCTCTTACTTCTTCTTCTATTGACCATATAAGAGGTTAGAAGCCTTCTACTTTATCTTTCACCCTACGAGATTCTTTACTCGCACTGATAATGGACCAACTTCCCGTCGAGATCAGGCGGATGATATGTGCACTGGTAAGGACGCATCCCTCTCTTCATAAATCATGTGGCTGACCTCTGGATAGACACTTGACAGCGGGCTGATTGCTTTGAGACAGCTGAGTCTGGTGAATCATGCTTGGTATCAGGCTGCTGCGCCATTTCTCTACGAAAGGTTGCAGATATGCGTTGTTAGCAACGAACAGCTACAGAAAGATGTTCAGCAAGTATTTGAACATCCTCTTCGCAAACAATACCTTCGATACCTTCGTCGTCTGGACATTGTTGGGAGAAGCGGAAAACAAAATCATGAGCGTTCTTCGCTACCCAAGATTGCCGGAGGACATGATATGCTGGATGAGTTTCTCGATCGTGATCTTTGGCGGCGCCAGACATCCTGGATGTGTCGTCTGGACCCCCCGGCACGGCATCTTGATCCACTTGTAAAGCTAATCGCAGCTGTTCCCTCGCTGGCGGAGGTCAACTATGCCCGTGCTTCCCCCTTTCCGTTGGTGCTTCTTGAAGCAATTCATGAATTCCATCCCTTGTGTAAGCTGAACTTGGAATATCTCTTCCTAGAAAGCTGGCGGGACTCGGCTCACTCCGCGAGAGATATGCCTTTGATCACCTCGCCATGTCTGCATTCAATTCGCTGCTATCTTCATACTGGATCCCCAATGAACACTGTGGTCGAACCAGCCATTTTGCAGATCCTAAGGTTGGCCCCGAATCTTCAAAAGGTGGACCTCGTATTGGCGCGAAACGTTTCCTTTAGAGATCAACGCAGATTCGCCTTCCAGCCACCTGAAGGGGCTCCCACAAGGGTGGCGCGCTTGTCGACCTGGTCCTTTTCACTAAATACCACAATAACCATCCCGCGCTTGAATGAATGGCTGCACAGAATTGATGTTGCGTCCTTGCGCAACTGGAGTATTGGCTGTATTAGCAAGCCGGATCTGGCGCGCGCCATCAGTGGCCTGGCCTTGTCCTTGCAACGACTGGAGCGACTGTCTCTCAATCTGCGGGTTCCGGAAGGCAGAGGTAATGAATTCTGGCGAGCGGTGGAAGAAATGATGGAGGCGCTGCCTCCACTTAAGGCTCTCTGGCTGGCCGGACATCGAAATGCAACATTCTTGAACAAAGTCCTAGTCCGGCACGGAGCTACTCTGCAAAGCCTTGGACTCGACGCGCGGAACATAGACGACACACTACTCCCGCACAAGAGATCAGGCGGTTACTGCACAGCCAAGCAACTCGCACGTTTTGCGAAGAAATGCCCTGTTCTTCGGGAACTTCATCTGACCGTCAGGCGCAGACGGGGCCGAGCTCCGGAGACGCAAATATACAAGGCTTTGGGTCTTTTCCCGGGTCTCGTAAGCCTCTATATCAACCTGGATTGTCTTCGTATCCGAAACGATCCGGATGAGCTGGAAGAGCTGGACGACCTAATTGATTCCCACAAAGGCCTGACTCCTTACGAGCTGGCGTTACCTTACGAAGAGCGGGTGACGGTAGATCACATCTTCGAACTGCGCACGATTTTCCTCAACTCGGTGATCGATGCGCACTGGGCGGAGAGTATCTTCAACGTCATCATATCGGCTCAGTCAACCCGGCGTTTGGAGACTCTTCGCTTGCTCCCATTTCTCGATAGAGAGCCCAGTATCTTCCAGAAAGATGTACACAATTGGCTTCAACACCTTGTTAATTCGTGGCTAGTCACACGCCCAGGGTGTCATGGTTCCGGCTCCCTCTTCGTCGAGAAGCTGGCTCAAGAACCCCGTATATTCACGTGTAGGGATAGCAACGCAGGATATTCCCAACATGCTCCCAAGGGTTTTTTCTCTGATTTTTTACGATGGTTGTGGCCAGGGATAACATTTGAAGCGAAGGGCTTGCGCAGATCTCCACTAAAGGATACCGAGTGACCTCTGCGCATCTAATTGGAAAATCCATATTTTTTGTTTTCATATCAATGACCGCACCCTTAATTGAACATTCCCAGTCTTCATTTTCTATGTTATCAGCACATGGCATATCTGGGGAACACGTTGATTTTGAAGAAGATGGTTGTTGCATCGATTCAAAAGTTGTTGTTTTGTTTTCACGCATTAGCATCAACATGAGGCCATGCCTAGGGTGTGCTTGCGCAGTGACAACCAGATTCTAGCTCATTGCTGCTGGGTCGCTGAGCTCATGTAGTTGGCTTGACTGCCATAGGCCATTCCAAAATTGAATTACCAAATGGGAGATTCTTAAACATGAGTAGTAGTATCCAAATAAATACAAGCCTTCGAAGAATATCTAGGAAAGGAAGACAAAAGCAATGTCGTTAAGGTGTTGGAAGATGTATGTGATGAAATCACCTGCATCCACTTAGAGACAAGGGTGAGTATGTAAGAGATCGACTAGTTCAGTTCTAATCGCAGCGCGTCATACTGCACATATACCGTTGCCGGCAGGATCGCCGTCTCAGTATCTGTCGCATTGTACGGCAAGTGCAGCGTCAACCGATTCTCGCCAATCTCCAGCCAGTCTGCAGGGAATTCCATACGCGAGCGCACTTGGTAACAGCTCACTGCCGAGCGCACAATACAGCTACTCGACTGGTTGAATCCAATCAGCATGGTCAGCGGTTCCGTCTGCTCGTTAATATAACTTTCCAGGATGATGTTGTTGTACGGCTCAGCTGGATTCCAGACGTCTGTGTTGCCGGACGCCGTCTTGGCGCCTGCTAGCTGAATGGTAAGTGTGGCCATCTTGCACTTATTCAGCTGTTTTTTAGTTAGAGAGAAGTCTATCGTCCAGTCGTGAGTGGTGTTGTACTCGACATCTGGGTTCTCGGGCGTCGGGCCAAAGGCTGACCAGTGCACGGTGTTGAAATCCTTGGCTAGATCACTGCTCCCAATTGTATAATGTACGCCTTCGGGAAAGTCACTCCGCCAGTCGTACGCGCCCCAGTAGATCAGATATTCTGGCGGGTGAAGTGGATGTGACGGGTCGCGGGCGTTGCCATGGCGGAACTCGCCTGAGGACTTGTCGGGGGTACCGAGACGCCAGACCTCTTCCCCGGCAGACTCGGGGTTCCATTTGTCATTGATTTTGGTGGTTTGTCCAGCACTAACCTCCACACCGTCACGAACGTAGTCGCTGAATATCCCATCTGCGTACACGGTTAGTCGGCACTTGCCCGCTGCGACGTGGTCCATGCTGAATTCGCCGTTTGATTCAATGTCTGTCCAGTATTGGTACGCGGATGGGTTAGCGTTGTTGTCCTGGAAGTACAGACCGTCCGCACTCAGAACGGCTATGGGGCGCGTGGCACCCTTTGGGAGCTTGACATGGCCATTAACGCTGCCACGCTGGGATGAGGGCACAAAACCAACAACGTGCTTGGCGATAGAATCGTAGAACTTGACGTTCCAGCTAGATCGTGAAGAAACCAGTATTGTTGGAACTGCTGTCCAGTAGCGATGTAGATATCATTCAAGATCATACCAGCGTATCTGGTGTCAGTTGCGTCCGTTCCCTTGACATATTCCATGCTTGGGTTGGTGGAGCCTGCTGTGTAAAATCCGGAGGGTGTGCAGTAACAATCCAGGTAGGGACCAATCCCAGTGGAGCCAGATTGTGGTCCAAGAAGATCATGGCCATCGAGGAACATATCGACGACCGAGCCTTTGTTTTTGCTCCATATTGCTTTCAAGCGATCGTTGTTGAGGGTGATCGTACTGCTACCCTCTGCGACCTGCAGCGCCGCCAAAGCAACTCCAAACCAAACAGGAATCGCACTCACAGAAGCAGCAGCACGCATGATGATAACTACTATCGGGGATATGGCACACAGCGACGCAAGACCTGACCAGAGCAAGCCATTGTGCAGTACTCCTGGGGTATTTGAATCGCCGCGTTGAGGCAGCATGAATCTACAACCCCGGTATGCATTACCCCGAGTACAATCAAGCAACAAGGCCAAGCTCGCTGTGCCGTAGAAGGGAAGCACCATCTCCAGGGGCTGATAACGCCAATCCTATCAGGTTATGGGCCAAGAAGGGGGGGGCTGTGGAACCCCAGAATCCGGGGAGAATTGTGGGGAAATTGGTGATTCAAAGTGTGGCGCCGGGCTCTTCGCATTGATGGAAAAACTGTTCGGTTCTCTTTGGGCCGATGGAAGATTCATGCAAATTCATGCTCAAATAAGAAAGCGAGACAGTGGGATGCCATCCGGGGGAAGCTCAACTTCAGGGGAATCCAGCGACTCTGGGATGCCATAGCAGTGCCCCAGCCACCATTCATCACTTGCGACCAACCGAGACAATAAAAGGACACAAGTGCGCAAATTGAAATGGCCGCAAACACAACGACTTCCAGTATAGGACATAATTTGCGAGGACCAGAGGGCCACACAAGTCCACGAGTGGATGGCAATGTGATGGGAACGAAACAGTGAAGATGAACAGTAGGCGGCTGTCGCGTACCAATAATCCACTCTGTCTTTCAACAACTTTAATGCCATTTGGATGATCGTCCATAAGATTCTGGGCCCATGCGATTCCTGGCAATCATTGCATGCAGTTTTTGTCACCTCCTCTCAATTGACATGATCGAGAAATGATTGTTTTGCGTACGGAGCGTCTTCCGTTCAACGTCAAATCGGATGCCCAGCCGACAACACTACCTACATCACTAGGGATAACCTCGGGTACGGTGCCATGATATTACACATCCGGGCCCCAGAATCCGCATTTCAAGCCATAATTAGCGCGCTGTATGGCGTCCACAACAACATGCTAATAATGCTGTCGCAGATCCTGCCCAATGGATTGGTGGGAGATTGCCACGACTGAACTCGAAGGATACCCCCTCCCCCATGGGGCCCCAGAGCGGAATTGAGCCATGTTGATGGAGCTGGGTGGGTATGGGGTATAAAAAGAGGGTTCTCAACTTGCTTTCTTTGCCAGTCCATCCGTCGTAGTGTCCCCTCACCACATCGCGGCCCATTGCGAGTCACCATGGGAACCCCTCCTGCTACCGATATGCTTGACTCTAGCACCAATATGAAGAGTAGCAACTCGGAAATGTCTGTCCATCTGGAGAGTGTGCCACCATCGCCGCCGCAGGAAACCCGGGAATCTTTCAACCCAGATGATCCCCAGAACTGGCCCAAGTGGAGGAAGAACACTCAGATCTTGATGGTGGCTGCTCATTCAATGGTGGCCACCTTCATGGCGGCAGGAATCATTCCTGCATATGATGCCATGGCGGAGGAGTACGGGGTCAGCGTACCAGCAGCCACTTATCTTACTTCCCTGCAGGTGAGTGACATCCACTTACCGTGCAATGTAGGGGCATGGCGAGGCTAAGTAAATCGTCTTCACAGATCCTCTTCCTCGGTATCGCACCTTTCTTCTGGAAACCCATCACGAACATCTACGGTCGCCACCACATCCTCATATTCTCCGTCCTAGGCAGCATGGTCTGCAACATCGGGGGCGCTCGATGCACAACCTACGGTGCACAAATGGCCACACGCATTCTGACTGGCATTATCATCTCGCCTCCGATTGGAATCGCCAGTGGCATCATCACTGAACTTTCCGAGCCAGGGGAGCGCGCTCAAAAGCTCGGTTGGTGGACACTGTTGCTCACCATCGGCACGCCTTTCGGACCATTCATAATGGGATTCGTGGTCCAGCATGCCGGTGTGCAATATATCTACTGGATCTTCGCCATCCTCAACTTCATCCAGCTCCTCGGATACCTGTTCTTTGGAGCAGAAACCATGCGTGCGCCTGAGATTGATGGGTACGATGTACCCAAACCCAAGCCCTCCACTGGGCTACTGGCCAAGTTCCTGCCCAGACGGATTGACCGGCGCCCGCTCACAATGCGCGAGCTCCTCAGACCACTCTCTTTGGCGCGGTATCCAAGGATCACCATCCCAGCAATCGCACACAGTATCGTCTTCTCGTACGCTAACATCGCGCTCATCGTGGAGATGCCTATCGCCTTTGGCCAGAAGTTCCACTTCAACGCACAGCAAATCGGGTTGCAGTTCATTGCCATCATCATCGGTTGCTTTCTAGGTGAGCAGCTCAGCGGACCCATGTCGGACTGGTTTCTCCGAACCTTGGACCGGAGGAAGGGCGGACATATCCCTGCTGACCGGCTGTGGCTGTCATATATCGGGTTTGGCACTGTCTTTGCTGGGCTTCTTGTGTGGGGTTTCCAGTTAGACAAAGCAACGTCCTGGAATGTCACACCATGTATTGGGGCTGCGATCGCAAGTTTCGGAAATCAAATCTGCATCACGATCTTAGTGTCCTTTGCCGTCGACAGCTATAGCGCGGAGGCTAGCAATGTCGGAGTCTGCATCAACATGTTTCGACAAATCTGGGGGTTTGTGAGTGATCTGGTTCCTTGGCCTGTGCTTCTACTGACGATAAAAAAATATAGATTGCTCCATTCTACTTGCCTCTGATGTTCGAAAACCTGAAGTTAGCCGGTGCCGCTGGTGTCATGTGTGGTATTGTTGCAGGCGCCGCAATGCTGCCCATAATCGCCGTACAGTTCGTTGCCAGTCGCTCAAAGGACTAGCCAAACTTAAATGCCATGAAGCTACCTCATTTGGTTAAATCAATACCCAGTATAGCCATCGCACTATATCATAGCAATACAACATCTTAATAAACAGGCCGCGCAGCAAAAGGAATTGAATGCCACTAGTAGAGATTACTAGGCACGCTGTTCAGCCACGACATATCTTGGAAATCCGGCAGGTCGAGGCCATCCAACATTAATGCGTTCATTCCCTCGCCGAGCGACATGTCGTTCAAAGCACTCGAAGCCGTAGGCTGGTTATTGTGGAGGTCACTCTGCGGCTGTTCTTCGGAAGCAACTCGTTCGTATAAGATCTCGAGGGCCGCAACGCATCGACGAGCGGACGTACTATAGCTATGGTATTTCCGGAGAATCTCGAGGGCGCAATCCCACGATCTAGTAATCGTCTCTCCCGTCACTTCTTCGAGGATGGCAGATCGGAGTCGACCGGCTATCAGGACGGTTGCGGCTGTATAGACATCTTGACTTGTCAGCTCTTTATTGACTTCGAAAATAAATATCAACTCACATAGAATATTGTACCACCACGCAGGAAGGGGGCCCATTGTCCCATCGGCCGGGATATTGCTGTGAATCAACTCAATGACCTCCTGCGCGACCTTGACGCAAATGACCGAACACTGCAAAGCGACCCGCTGTGGGAAGGAATAATCCAGCGATATGAGTGGATCAAGGGGGGTGATGTCGCGCGCAGTGCAGAATTTCGACAGGATCGGTCGGAAGAGAAGCATGCGGACATGTAGAAACCTGATATGACCTGTCAGCTCACGCGTCGAATGCAACGAGGGAGATACACACCGAGCCTTCAGGACCACGCTCTGATGATAGAACACCGCATTCTCCGGCCGTGAGGGTAATTCTCCTCGTAAATGCGGTGGGAGACTACGAGTCCACTTAGTGAGGGCACGATCAAGCTCGAAAATCGTCCGCTCGCCCTGGCTTGTTTCCTTGTTGAAGTAGAAATCGTAGATATCCTCAGGATTCTCTTCGGGAACAGGCTTGTACAGACTTAGCAGTATGTCGTTTAGAATCTCGTATAGTTCAAGGGATTTGGCGTAAAATGCCATAACTGAGGGACGATCCGCTGGTTGGGTTGCTTCGTCTCCTACTGCCGCAGGGATGTATTCCTCATCTACAGTAGCTGGGAGCGGGACAGAACCGCACGACGCCTTGGAGATCATAGCCGGTCGCCCAAAGGTCATAGAGATGACTCTGTCAACGTCAATGACAGATTTCAGGTGAAAAGAGCCAAACTTACCTGTCCATAAGAACACAGCCATGCCAAATTTTGCGTGCAAGCTGTTGTTCTTGAAAGCTGGGCAGACGAGCAATGGTCTGTGGAAGGTGCAGTCCCAAACTCTGGGCATTTCGAATCGCTAAACCAGTCACAATCCAACATTGGTGCGCCGAGTCGGTACTCTGCAAATACTGAGCCATTAAGAGAAGACATTGGATCAAGCCAGCAGATCCACTATGCCAGAGATTGAAATGTAGAAGGTCTTTGGCGCGGGAGAAAAATGCATCGGCAGAGGCCTCACGCTCCTCCGGTGGTATGAAATCAGCGAGCTGACAAGCCAGGGCGAAAATGACATTGAGCGTGCACATAAGCATATTCTCATCCGACTCGAGCGTCTCTCCGGTCCAGATCTTGCTGTACTCTCTTCGCAGGAGAATGCTATCCACCAAGGGATACAGAGGAAATACAAAGCACCAGTAGACATCCATGAGGCTATCTGCCGTTTTGCGGGGAGGAAGAACATAGTTTGACACAACCGAGGGTCTCTCTACCCTTGCAGACATAAGACTCGACCGCGGCAGAGCACCCATGATCGATTCAGATGTCTGTCGATGCGGTGACGCAACCCTCTTGTCGACGGCTGTCTTGATTTGTCGCATGAAGCTCGCGGCACTGGAACTGCCAAAAAATCCTTGACTCTGGCGCTCCTCTTCAAGTGCACCCATCATCGCATTGACGCCGTCATCCCGCTCTTCGGCTTCAGAAGGCCGTTCGGGGGATCTCCTGTGTGGATGCTGGCCGCCATTATTTAGACGATGTGGACACAGCGCATTCGACACCTTGCCTTGACAGATACTACACGATGGCGACCGGTGGCCAGTGCCTGCAGAGACACTGTTCCTCTCCTCGCGTGCGCGATGTAAACTTTGCGATGGCGTAAATGGACCTGAGGTGCGGATCCCTAGGGGTGACGCCGCAGTATACGGTGGTGTAGCCTACTTGCATTAGATCTATTATACCTCACCTCGAAAGGGTAATAGCTACCTGTGCATGGCCTGATGTTCTCAACCGGCTATCCGACCCTCCATTCGTCGGACTGTATCCTGGAGACTCTAAATGCTTGATTCGGTTCTCCAAGCTCGCGATGTAACTACACTTCATATCAGCACCACACGATCAGGCCATCTCATCGTTGCCTTAGGCCAACACTCACTTACGCACGGCTCTTTTTTTCTCCGGCTCGCCTGTATAAACACACCGGGTATCCGATCGCTTCGTACATGGACCACAAACTGCCAATGATGCCGCCTTGTCAGACAGCGGCTCTAATTCCGATGCCAGTCACCAGTGTGGATTTGATCTGTCAGATGTGGCAACGTTGACGGAACACGTACCGGGTTGCGTGCCGTCGCAGCGGATCTTCCGGGCACGACACTCATCGCATGCGACCGCGACTTTGCGTCGTTTGGGGCGTCTTTCGGGTTCTGAGCCCAGGCGCGGCTGTGGAGATGAGTTTTCCATCAGCGCCACAATGTCATGCGATCTCTACAAAGAAATCGACGCAATGTAGTTGGGGATGGGTGGATGTGTGATGGAAGAAGAGCCGGTGGGAAAGGTGGGCAACACAGGAGATGAAGCGGGAAGCCGGGTGTGATTCCGTGGTGCCTCAGGTATTGACATTCTCTGATAGGATCCCTTTCAACGTGGTATCATCATTGTCTCTTATATCAGAATAATTTTGAAACTACGAGACATCTTACATTCACATCTAAATGACTTTGCATATAACTTTGTGCGTAGATCAATGTTGTGTCCAATATGTGCAATGTAGGAGGATGGGTTGGCAGTCAAAGAATATATATATATATATATATATATATATATTTGTATCCCAAAGCTTAGAATTACTCGATGGGTTCCTAGCTCCTAGGTTTACAAGTACAGTAGGTGACACTTATTTAGAATGTCTTTTTAGATATTGCAAAATTGCTTTACTGCCTGGTTCACATTGCGTTATAATTATTTATTCATCTCGCACAGGCTCTATTCATTTGAACCCCAGTCATCTCCGGAGTTCACTCTTCAAACCTCCAACTATGTAAACTATGGTCAGATAATATGACTGAGATGTCGGATGTTCTACAGCAAAATCTACTATTGAATTTGTTGAAGACACGGCAAGAGTGAGGCTAGAAGGGGTAGATATAGTATTATCAAGATATATTGCTATTATCAACACTTGTCTGGTCCCGTGGGACAGTGCACTAAACTGAGTACATTAAAAGTCAAGATGCGATCAGAGCGACCCAATCCATCTGATCAAGAAGAGAAACTTTTGTACCTGCTCGATGAGCATACAGATGTACACCAGGTGCTATTTCCAACAACCGCCTGCCGAGGATATCGAACAAGGATTCGAGAGACGGCACCGCCGGTGAGGCGCTTAGATGATGGAGCCAAGGGCAACGCAGGGGAGAGCAAGGTTGACAAGGCCACCGGTCTAGATATGTTAGATGTAGTGTTGCAAGAGCAGAGGTAAGAAAACTTACAGCAGTAGACTCGGTGCCCTGGCAGCAGGCCACGTTCTGCTGGCACTGCTTGTTGAGAAGGTCATTGACACCAATGAGGGCTGTAAAGCGTTAGAATGTCATGTTTTCTACAGGAATTGAGTGGAACGTACCGGTGACATCAAGCTTGGTGCAGCCAGAGAGCAGACCGACACCCTCAGGGCCGCTGAGGGTGTTGCCAAGGAGGCCGTTCAGAAGACCATAGTTGACGCTGGTGGTGTCGCCGACGCTGGAGACGTGGTTGCAGCAGGACAGGGTGGTCTTCTCACCACACTTGTTCTGGGCCTGGCTCAGAGTGTACTGGTTGGCGTTGTCGAAGACGGGGTGAACATTGGGAGCCTGGCTGCCAGTGGCGGGGGGAAGAGCCAGAGCGGTGGCGGCGAGGAGAGAGACAACGGCGAGGAACTGCATTTTGATGGTTGGTATGGCTGGAGATTTGTGCTTGAAAAAGCGTGGAGAAGATGAGAGGATGAGAAGAGTAGTGGATTGGATTGCTTGGTTGAGTGTGATGATGAATAGGACGGACAGAGGGAATCGAGACGCCTTTTATATCTTGAGCACAGTCGGTAGAATCATCATTGATGAAGCCATATTTCCATCCTTCATCCCTTGCTGAAGATCACTTGCTTCCTCGATCATATCCCGAAACTGGATCTGGACTGAAGGCTTTCCAATAGTTCGGCCACATCCATCATGCAGGAACCAGTTTTACATCACGCCGAGCACCATCGTCCAGTGGTATCGTGTTGCGTGATATTGGGAGCTGTAATCGAAATTAGCATCATGCAACAAACCTGCAATGAGTTTGAGCCAAAAGTCTTATTTCCGGCTTGAAGCTGCAGGGTGAAAGGCGCTAGTCGGAGACTGCAATGTGATATATGATCTATCACACATGGATCCCCTTAACTCTAGCGGAGATCAGCAGAATTGCTGCCGAAATCATGGATCCGGGGAAGATATGATTTGAATTGTTTCTCCCATTCGAGCTCTCAGTTTCTTTGCGCCAATTATTGGGGCAAAGACTCTAAAATAAGCCATGTGTGGAGTGTCCCCTGCATTCAATTATTGATCCCCTTGCAGCGTCCTCCAGAGCTACGTTGAAATCTCCAGTTCTATATGCATTCACAGCGTTTCAAAGCCAGTCATGAGCTCGCTTGCAATGACCAAAGTTCCCACCTGTAGACATTGGCAGACTTTTGGATACTGCAGATCCAGCACGAGAGAAGCAGGAAAAGAACGTTCTGGGCAAACAGTTTAGTTTACAGTACTCTAACTATCCTGCAAGTCAAGTATGACAATTTGTCAAGAGTAGCATATCCATCTAAGACAGTTTGCAATAGTATGTGCCAACTATCACATCGAGCCATCGAGCCATCGAGCCATCGAACAGTACGGCAGCAAGCATTCTATGGCAATGTGATCTCACGAATTCTGCGTATTGATATCTACGGAGGATCAGATGACAGAACCGGTCCTCAATTCTAACCCCTGAAATGGGCACAAGACACTTCAAGAATCGAAGAAGAATCGACACGTAAGATCGGCAGCCCAACTGAACACCAGAAGAAGCAATATCGATGATCTTCGGTTCTAACAATATCCTATCCGCGATGATCGGCAAAGCGGGCACTAGGCAGCCAGCGCCTATTCTTCATACCCCGGATTGTTCGCCCTCAAACTTGCAAGTAGTGACTACTTTTGCCAAAGGTGTTGGTAGAAAATGGTTGCTGCCTGATTATTTGGCATTCTCTGTTTGCTCAGCTTGGAATGAGCCTATAATTTGCAGTGGTTAACATGGTTTCTTTTGTCTTGGGCTGAATTGAGACGAGAGAAGGTGAAGCATTTTCCCACTCAAGTTTGGCATTCACGACCTAATACCTACTCAGTAGACAGCAGTATGCTCAATCTACTCTCTCCAGGTTTTTAATGGTATTTAGCTGCATAAGTCTCTGTATTTGAAGTGGCTCATTCGAGGAGAAAGAACACAGGGGGGAACTAGGTCAGAGGAGAATTTGCTACTACCTCTGTATCTCTGCTCCATTGAATAGTCTCTGATATTTCAAGCGCTCCTGCGCCATCAAATAATAAGCTGGAAAGAGATTCATTGAATTACATATTCTATCAAGTAGGTCTAACATCATAAAAAAGTTCCTCCCGGGCTATTGATAAACCATCTCAGCTTGCCAATGCATTCCGTGCTCCCATCCCACTAGTCGTAGGTACCAGGTAATTCATAGGTCTTTGCCATCTTACCAGCCGACAATTCCTGTATACGATCCTGTATCTTTCTCACAGGAGCATTGGGGTGACTTTGCTTAATAGGGGTAGAACTGGCCCCTCGCCTCCGCCACTTGAACAAAAAAAAGCCCAATACGCTGAAGATCGCCACGGTACCTAAAGAAACCCCGACGCCAACTCCAGCCTTTGCGCCTGCTGAGAGGGTGGAATGCGAAGCCGAAGTTTGGGTGTTAGATGTTTCACTTGCCGATGTTTGAGTGTTAGATGCTTCTCTTGTCGACGTTGATGAAGACGGCGCAGCGGTGATTGAGGACGACGCCGAACTGTGCATCGTCGTCATGGACGCAGACGATGAGCTCGGTTGCGCATTCATTGTCGGCGCAAGCGTAAACGCTTCCGGCGTGCCACAGCAGGTATAGTTATTCAATCCGCAGCACCACGTTGTCGAATTCTCGTCTTTGTCGGTATCGCACTTGGTGAGCTCCATGGTGTTGTTACGACCCTGACTCCATCAGCATTCAACGTCATTCGACTATTGTCAAGGATTCAATATATACACTTCCTTCAAGACAGATTCTCGGACATCTGTCGCCGGGCCAGTCGGGGCTCGAACACTGATCCCGCCAGTAGGCATAAATTGTTTTGCCTTCCTGGAATGACACGTTCTTACACAGCCCGTTTGGAAGGCATGTATCTCGCGTCCAATTTTGTGAAGTTCCGTTACTGATCTCCGTAGTGCGATTTAATGCGCAGCACGGGCCGATGGCGCCCTCGTAATTGCTGCATGCTTGGTACTCGGCCCCGGCGAGTGTGCCGTCAGGGTAGTAGCATGATCCCGAAGCTAAGGGAGTGGTGGTAATGAGGAGACCAAATGAGATGAAGAAGAGAAAAGGGAATGATGATGCACCATGTCTGCCCATTTCTATCACTCGGTAGCAGCAAAAGGCTGGAGAATCGCTCGAGCGTGTTACAGGGAGACAAGTGGGCTGGCGCGAATTATATGCAATTAGTCGGTCGGATTCGATGAGACATTTCATGCAAGCTCAATTACATCGCCCCAACTGATAGTGGAGGGTCATTGAGGTGGCCAGTCAACCCTGGTTGTGGACGAACAAGGCTGAAGCTATTATGCCCAAATTAGAGCTGCCTTTAGCCGAACAGGACGCCATTTCGCAGATCTCAAATTATAGAGATATGCCCAGATAGATGAGCATATTCTCATCTTAAGGATATCCTTTCCACGGGCAGGAGTTTGTAGATGTCGGATCAATGGTTTGGCGTCCAGGAGGATGAAGATTCCACGTTTGGCAGAATCGCATTTGCCCACACACGTACGTGTCTCACAGGCTCGCAGCGAGGTTGATAATACAAACATCCAAGTCAATCTTGTGGCCAGGCAAAATTACCGAGTCTGATAAAGCAATGTAACCCATAAGCCTCGTTCACGGTGCACGGGTGGATCACCATGTAGGGGTTGTGTATGGCTGTCAATGCTGACTGCATTAGCCGACTATCCACATCCGCTCAATGACAAACAGGTAACTGGAATCCCATCGCGCCGCGCATGTCAGATTGGGGGCTTGTTTTTCTTCGCGAGGGTTATCTGACGTCTGTGGATCTGTCTGATAGGGCACGTTTCGGCGCATATACCCGTCCCTGGGAAAGCCCCGTCATGCAGGCTGCAGCACCTACACAGTACTATGTAAGCTTTGAAACGTTGTACGTGTCAAATTAAGCACCCTTCTCCGTGGTCCAGATCACCAATCAAAAGACTCTTCCACATATCGAATTGGCAGACAGCCCCGACGGAGAGCCAGGTGCACCGCCGCCCGTGCCTGGGCCGCCATCCCCGACGGCCCGCACACCAGCACTGCCATTGAAGAAGCACTCAGCGTTGCCTCTTGTGCTTGCATGGTAATCAGATTCTGTAAGTCAGGCCGCCCCTGGGACATCTCGATATCTTCCGCGATCTCAGCAAGGCCGTTGCAAGAGGAAGGGGTAATGTAGAAAGAGGCGCGGAACTCCTTCCTTCCCAATGCGTGCTTCAGCTCCCGCGTTGCCACATCCCGGATAAACGCTGGCTGTCGCGTGGTCCACACAAGGTGTATCTCTCGAGGGCATGTCTCTTCAGAAGATTGAAGCATAAGTTGAATGTATGGGACCGCGGCAGCGATTCCGGTTCCGCCTGCGATGAGGAGGATAGACTCGTACCTCCAGAGCGGAACTTGCTCTCCGTACGGCCCTTCAAGGAGAATTTTAGGGATGATTGTTCTGGTGGGAGACTGAATGCACTGATCGCGCAGATGGCGTGTCCAGCCGTCGTAGGGTCGGATCCAGAATACCAGTGTTAGCTGAGCGTTGCCTGCTTTGTCAGTGGATATAGAGCCGTACTCTGAATCTTCTGAGTCGGAGAGAAGTGGTATCTGTGATACGTCCGAGTCGTGATTCTTGCCCTCGGGAGTAGCTCCAGTATGCTGCTTATACGACCAGGCACCAAGGGTGAACGGGTGGTTTTCCCAGCCCGTGAATCGGAAGGGCTGGTAGAGATAATAGTACTGTCCTGGACGTGGACGAAGGTTGGAGCCAGGTGTCAGCTCCACGCGGATAACATCTGCCGCCTCGTCATAAATGGCCCTACTTCTTGTGCATTGGACGTAATCTCGACCAATAAATCGGATATGCAGGTTACATTGCACAATGCGAACCAAGCGCAGAACCCGATCAGCAATCCATATGACAACCGCAGGCCATAGGTAGAACCAGTATTCGTGGTCTTCAAAGATGATGACATGGCTGAAAGGAGTTAGGCGAAAGATCCTAGCATTAGGGGAAATGCTCACTAGAAGCAGCCGACCAGAGCTGCGATAGAAAAGAAAATATGGAGGACAAGAAACGTCTCATACGCCCTGCGACGGAACCAATCGACTGCGAACGGAAAGATGAAGACCATCGTGGCCATAGCCTGGTAGGTGTCACTCTTAGAATGGTCGCAAACAGAGTCAGTTAGAAGGGCTTACCAGCGTCCCCCAAAAAAGATAAGGTTTCTGCATCTTCTTCCATGCATTGCCAGCTAAACTGTATGAGCAATGTTGATAACAAACAGCACAGGAGAAAACATACCTTCGATGAATAACACAGTATACAGGGCGGTATGGGCCACTGCCTGAAAAGTAGCTATCCAGGCTACATGCCGGTGAAACAGGTTGAACGTGGAAAAGCTCCAGCCCGTAGCCCAGATGAGAATATTGTTCCGTCCGGCGAACAGCCAGAGTAGAGGAATATTGGCAAATGAAAGAATTCCCGTCCGGTCGGCCGCATAGCGAAGAAATTGCGCAGAGATGTCAGACCAGCTGTAGGTATTAGTGAGTGCTTGGGTAAAACAGGGGATGACTTACTAGATATTCTCAGGAAATGTTCGATATCCGATGAGGCACAGAAAGATGCTTAGAATCCAGAACAGGCTGACGATAACCGCATCAATGCGACTGGGAAATGTCCACCAGAACAGTCGGCGTCCATATAGGGTAGGCTGACCGGGGACAATTAGATGAGTTTGAACCCAATGATAAAACGATACTATTGGGGTGAGTGGTCGGAATGATGATTGTATACGTCGAGAAGAGATAGTTTGGACTGCCAGTTTGTGTAGCATCCCAATGATAATAACAGCGGCCCAATATGCATATCCAAGGTATCTATCTCATCAGTTTTTGTTTTCTTCCCCCATACAGCAACAACTTACCCGAATGTGTAGTGGGACCAAAGTTCAAACTCCCAAGTATCCTTGTTTTCTGTTAGCCGCCTCCGGTGATGATTGAGCTCAGACGTACAATGGTTCGAAACACACGGTCAAAATACAATTTTGAAATCAGCACAGGAGTATCAACTAGCTCTTTTTTTGGCAGCTCTCGGAATTCCATGACACGCATACGGCTGATAGCATGATCCGTCAAATTAGCTGCAAACGTCTCCCGAGGGATCAAGTCTAAACCTGATGCTCGACATTGGGCCTGAAGTTGAGCGAAGCCGGGGCCTTTCTCAGATAAATCACAGTATCTTTCGGATGCTGCATATAGTGATAGAACACGGAGCGTATTCTGGCACCGATATTCCTGCCAATTTTTGTTTGCGAGTCCGGCAAAAGTGATGTAGCCATAAGCTGTGTCGATTGCCGTTACGCAAAGTTCATTTCTTGGTATAGCCTTGCCGTACGTGAAGGAGATCTGGTATATAAGAAGCAGCCAACTGAGAAACAACATGGCTGACGAAGAATGCATGCTAAGCGGAAGGGACATGAAAAGAAGATGGCGGGGTGAGACAATATTGGCATCTGTTCGGCTCAAGATTGGAGAACATGCATGACTCGCTCGTATTGGGAGACGCAGGATAGGAAGCTGGGGGTCAGAATCAAACTAGTCGCAATTCTTCGAGGAACAATAACTACTACCTTGCCGAAGACATGCAGAGTTGCATCTTGCGACAGGATATGGATGGTGACGATGGAAACGATGGGCAGTGTGCGTTTATCTAATCTGATCATCAGATCAGATAACTCAAATCTTACGCATGATTGGTTCAGCGGCCGGAGCGGATCGGAGAAAAAGGAGGAATGCAGATGCCTGAGGGCCTGAGGCGCCAGGATATCTTCCAGGCACCAAATTGATTCCTGGTTCAGGCACGGGTCACATGATCATGACTGTGAAGTACAATGAAGCCTCTGACAACAATTGACATAATTCTGAGTGTCAGATTTGCTCTTCAGTATCATCCAATCATCGGAAATCCGACATTCGGATTCTAAATATGCTCTTGAATGGGGAATGAATAGCCTCAAATTGCGGCTTAAAGAAACATTTGACAAGCAATAGTCTTCTATGGCAGATAGAAGTGTGAATGTCGCCTAGACATCAATATGAACACGTTCTCTTAGTCAGTCATCTAGCCATCACTGCTTCAAGCTAACAAGCTAACAAGCCAGAAGAACTGAGCAAAGAATGTTATCCTTGAGCAATGGCACTCCGATGCCTACGGAGTACTACTGACAAGAGGAACCCACAGGCTCGGACTATTTCCAATCCTGTGGCGCAGCAGCGACTTGACACCCAAAACAGTGACTGCAGCTGCATGAAGTCTGCAGGCATAGATACGTGTATCATTGCAGAATTGATGAGTGGAGAATCCCGCTCAGAATCCATATTTTTTCTTTTTCTGAGCACGAGGCTATACTCGCTGTTTCTCTCGAGGAGTGGGATCGGCTCTAAGACCGCTTCCTCCATAAATTCTCTCTCCTATTATGATGGAAGATCGTCAAGCCAACGATCTTGGTTGGTGATGAGACCGTGGCTGAGAGCTCCCAGCTCAATATACGTCGTCACTATAGAGGATCATCTACAGGGATCTGGTATAGCAAAATGGACAAGGTGGGAGGATGATTTCTCAATCTCAGCCTCTTATAAATATCTGTCAGCCCTTTCAATTGTTGGAAAGGATGTTGATTGTCGACCATCGAAACTCTCATATCACTGTATTCCACAAAACTCTCTCTCGTATACGAGCCGTCTCGTGAAGCTAAATTAACTAGCTCAACCTTTCGAACCCAAAGACTCAGCCTTCATTCTTAATTGACTTTGCGTCCTGTCATCCTCCACATCCTCCGCACCGGAATGTCATGGTTCCCACCGGTCGGACAATCGCCGCAGGATGGCTGGCGCTTCGACATCGTCAGTCTGCTCGCCATCATCGGCGAGTCGACCCTGGAAGGACATGTGCAGATTATCACCGCCTCCTCGTTCGCCTGGCTGCCACGCCTTCTCCCCGCCCCGCAGACCGTGCTGAAGACCGAGCGACCGGCGCGTCTTCCCCCCGTCAAAGATGTGGTGATTGTAGGAGTCCGGTCGGGCATATACCTGACGGAACTCAATTTCTTCGCCGATATCATTCATGATGTCGCCTCTCTGCAAGACTTCGAGTTTCAAGTGTATGAGATCGACTACGCAAAGAAGGGACCGAGGGAGCTGGAGGAAACGGGTCCGCGGAAGTGGACCTGGAGCAATCAGAAGCTAGAACCCGTCTATGTCCCCGTGAAGAAACTCTGTGCCTTGAACGTGGTCATCTGGGTTTCCGTCTTCATGACCATCGGGCTCTTCATCTGGGCGGGCCTCATCCACGACGGCGTCGCCATGATCGCCCTCGTAACTATGTCGCTATCGACGAGTCTGGCCTGTCTCTCCTCCGAGTGGTACCCCGTGCTCTCCCACCGACCGACAACTGCGCGCGTCCCGCGTGGTGATATCGTGATCTCGACGCGCAACGGGGCGTTCGTGGTGGTTAAATGCTCGGAGGAGATTACGCGGGAGTTGTACGGGGGTACGGAAAAGTGTCGCTACGTCTTTGGGGAAACTTGGCATCGGATCTTACTAGGGACGAGTACAGTGCTGCTCATGGCGTCGGTGCTTCTATTCAGCAACTGTGGGTGGACGATGCAAGCGGCCATCGGCATAGCCTATATCATCCTGAACATCCTGTACTGGGCGGTGCCGCTGGTGATGCACCGCAAGTCGACGTGGGACATGAGTCGATACGAGATCAAATCCCGGGTTGTGAAACCGAGATCGGACTCGTGCGAGGGGCCGTCTAGCTATACGGAGACCCTGTGGTACGCCATCCGTGAGACCGAACGGACGGACTGGGTGATCAACGGCAAGCTGGCGCCATCGTCCGAAGCCTGGCGGAAGTGGCTGGATGAGGCCCGGGACAACTGCCACCCGGGCTCGAAGTGGGATGCCGTCGCAGCGAAAAATCGACTGATGCACGAGGCGGCGCAGGACAGCCACCAGCTTCCGACTGCGGCTCCTTCACTTGACGAAGCTCCGCGGTCCAGTGGTGAGAAATCATCGAGCTAGCGATCTTATGGGTTTATGACGACGTGACGATCTTTGCTTGTATCCTTAAATTCAGCTATCATGATGTGCGTAAATTCTAGGTAATCGTCTCAATTCGTATTCGGAAAATTTGTGTATCGTGAACGTATCATACTTGCGAGCCTACAGGCATCCAAGGAAGACGCACGGTATCCAGGACAGACGGGTCTTCCGCAAATGCTCGATCCTTGATCACAGCCTGCACAAACGACAAGTCGCGTTCCACGACTCCCGTGTCCTCCGACCGTGGCTGGGAGCCAAAAACACGCGCGAGAAACCGTAAAAATGCAGACAGTGCAGGCACAACATCATCCTTTTCGTCGTGACATCCCCGAAGCACCTCGGCCAGCAAACCGGGCGCATAATAAGGGACCACCGCCACCCCATCACCGATCCCATCCACACCCAGCCCGTCCACCAGCGTCAGCCTCACAGTCGGCAAAAGCGCATCAAACGCCCTCTGGAACACGACAGCAGACTCCTTGCAGCCCACGCGACCCATGCAGAACAGCCGCAAGAGCGCCCGCTCGTCCGCGCTCCGCGTCGACAGAAGCTCAAAGCCCTGTCCGTGCAGCAGCTCCGCCCGATCCTCCAGAATCCGGTCGTAGCACGCGCGCTCATCGCGATACACACCCTGAGGAAACTCGCGCACCACCTCAATAGCGCGCAGGTATGTAGAGCTCACCGACTCGGTCATCATGACGCAGCCGCGCGCATCGCGGTGGGCGCCGGCGCCGGCGACATCGAGCAGCGTCACCCTGGCGCGCATTTCAAATGCTGACGGACTCTGCACGGCGCGCAGCACGGATAGACTGGCCGGGGGGCATTCGCCTTGCACCAGCTGCGAGAGGTTGAGCTTGCTGCCGATCTGTAGGCTTTGCAGGATGGTCTCCTTGCTGGCGCTCGGGACGGTCGAAAGGGACGGGATGCGACCCGTAGAAGCTGCGTGGTAGACGACCTCGGAGTGACTGAGGTCTGCCTGGTGAGACAGATTGGGATCCTTCCCGATGTCATCGATGATGGTCGCGACTAGTAACGCGTAGAGCGCGTCGTGGGACAGGCTGGTGAAGGTCCTTCGCATCTGCTGGAACGATTCCCAGGTCAACCGGCCTCCTTCCTCTGGCTGGCCGCGTACGAACGAGTCGTAGTCATTCGCGAGCAGCCATTTGAGCGCCAGCATGCTGATCAGCGTGCGGTTGACCTCGGCATGTTCCGTCCCGCAGATGAGGGCGGAGGGCGATTTGCCATCGCAGCAGCCCAGAGGTGTGCTCGAACCAGATTCAACAGTCACACTTGCATGTTGCAAGTGTGCAATTTCGGCTGGAAATGATTCTACGAAGAGCAATACGGCCTCGGTGTCGGTGAGATGGGGAAATTGGTCTTGTGCGATGACACTCGCCAACGTCAGCGGCAATGCCATCGGACGGCGGAGGACAGATTGCGGCAGGCACCAGATTGCCTGCAGGAAAGATGAGAAGATCGCTTGAAGGGCCTTGTACATGTTGATTGTGAGCCTTCTGGAGCATGCTACATTTTATCCTTATATAGGTTACTGAATGAGCATTTTGGGAATGCGAAGGCAGAGAATGCCGTGTCTGCAGCACAGCCGCAAATCACCAGCCACAGCCTCTCTGGGCCTACCTACTTAATCTCTTCTCGTAACCAATCATTCCATATAATACTTGAGACTTAAGAGGCTCAGGGGATGTCACTTTGCATCCTGCATATGCATATGAGGCTCTACTGGTCTCAGGTTGTTCGAACATCGACCGGTCATTGCGCCCAGTATGTTCTTTCCGAATGTCGTGGTCATGGCTGTGTTATGAAGGAGGACCCATGGAACTCAACTTAGGCATCAACAGTAGGCATCAACAGTAGATGCATCCTTCCAAGTCCATCTTGTAGAAGTAGAAAATCCTTACAACTTTTTATGCACGGATTGGCTCAGGAAATACTACAATTGTCGTTGCCGAATAAGCACAGTGATACTCTCCCCGGCCAAGCTAATATTATATATTAGACGCACCGATCCTCTCACCACGCCAATGTCCGCCTTCGAAGATATGCCCCCCCTCGTGGTTCCGAAGAAAAGGAAGGCGGAAGATATACCAGCTCTTCGCGAAGAGCTGGAGGTACTGGCGGAGAAGACCAAAACGGCCCGAAAGAAGCTCAAGGCGCAAGGATCATTCGATGCCGAATTTTGGAGTGCTGCCGTGGATGTCGAACGCAAGATCCTCGAAAAGACAAGAGTTACCTCAATCATATCACTCTCAGAATTTGCTGGGGAAGAGTCCAAGTGGGCTATATCTGAGGAAGCGCGCAATCTGTTTGCTCAGATGCGGGCTCAGCACCGTCGGATTGCATCGTATACGGCTCAGACAGAGGCACTCTCATTATCCAAGCCCAGAAGAGGATTTCGAGAGGCCTTCATTCAATTGTTTACTACGAGCCGCATGGGGTTGGGAATTAACACGGGCATGGGCAAGAGAGACTCAAGTGTACAGTCCAACTTTCGTACCCAATTATTGAAAGACTATGAGAGCTTGGACACGACTGGAAAGAAAGCATGGTGCCCCGTGCTTCATGATTATGTGCCCATACGATATGTCACAGCATCACATATATTTTCTTATCGACATGGGCAAGCGGCAATGGACTCAATCTTCGGCCATCGACGGCCACCAGAGCTCTTTTCGTCCCGGAACGGCATTTTGCTATCTAATGTTATTGAAGCATATTTCGATGCCGGTGTTTTGGCGATTGTCCCAGATCTCCCCGACAGGCCATCTCATAACATGCTGGCTGAATGGGTCCAAAAATATATCCATGACTATAAGATAAGGATTATCGACCACTCTTGGACCGAGTTAGATGATGAGATTTACACATCGAATGGCTTGAAGTGGCGAGACTTGGACAACCGTCCACTGGTGTTCAAAGGCAAACAGAGACCAGCCGCAAGGTACCTGTATTTTCACTACTGTCTTCAGGTGCTCCGACGCACCTGGAAGGCAGGGCCAGGACAGGCTGCAGCTTTTACTTTGGGGGAAGAATTGGGAAAGCCCGTTTGGACCACGCCTGGACGCTACATTGCTAAGAATATGCTACGTGCATTCGTCGAAGAGCTTGGCCATGACGGCGAGAACTTGATGCTGGGAGCACGTTGTAGTCAAGGGCACAAAGAGACTCTTCTGGACATTTTCACCAATCAAATTGCCAAGACAGCAGAAGAAAACAAGCCGGAAGGTTGGACAGAAGAGGATGAGGAAGATTCGCAGGACGAGGATGACTCGGAAGATGAGTGTTAAGACGAATTTCGTTGTGAGGTTCGAGAGGAAGCCGCCAAGAAGATTCTTATCCTTTCTTTTTTTTCAAGTGTGTAAATCGATGGCGTAGTATCTTCTTGCTCTAAGCGAGGGGAAGGTCCAGCCAGATAGTGAAATCATACTCTGCAGATGTCATCAGAAACCGATTCTTTTCTAGGTTTAGTATCATTCAATAACATCTTCTTCTATTGCTGTGTGTGTGTGTGTGTGGACTGTGGACTGTGGACAGCCTGACGCCTGTCAATCTCGTCAGTCGTCCCTGGGCCATGGATCAGTCGAGTGGATCCCGTCAGTACTCAGAGACCAGAGTAATCCCTTTTACCAGGCAACCAGAATCCAGATAGGTAGAGAGAGAATGGCCACTCCGGGTCCCATCGTGACTGGCGAGAAAAGACTACACAGTGACAGTAGAGACTAGAGGGAGCCGTAGGACTGGAGACAACGGAACACCACCGCACTCAAATTACTAATGAGGCATAGGCGAACTGTCAAACTCTAACAAAGTTCGAGACAGATTCCACTTAGCTCTCTTGGGGCATGCTTCTTCGTCTGCAGAATTTGCGCAAGGGACGTCATTGACGAATGGACTGGCGGTGCTTGGGGGATGGTTACAGCGGTGCCGGTTAATCGGGAAGCGATATTGGGATTTGGGAAGACGGCAGGGTGAGACCACTGGATCTCCGATGCAACGATGGCGGAACTAGAAGCACAGACTAGACTTATTTCAGAGCACCCGGTCCGTCGTCTGATTGGCCCATCTGGTTTGCGCCTGAAGAAGCCCACGCCAAACCCTTTCGGGGCATGCTGCTTCTCTCGCTGGGTGGTTGAAACGATACTATTCCAAGGGGATAGGTACAGTACTCGAGCTGTCATCAGATAGGTACTCTGGCCTTCAGCTTGATTTTGAAGAAGGACCGTTATTTAAAGCTGCTATGATTCCCTCATGGGTGAAGAACAGCAATCAGCAACGTACTTCCAAACCCAGCTCTCACATCTTTTTTGTTCGTTCGTCCAGACTTCCCCAACTCCAATGAACTCTTCCGATATGGCGCAACGACCTCAGTTAGATACGGGTGCCGTACCGTACCCGTCGCCATACATGTCGGTCCCCATGGACTATGGCTACGCACTGGTGAGTTCAGCTCGAGATTCGAACAAACACCACACCCGATAAGCATGGCTGATCTTGTTCAAAGGACGATTATGGTGTCCAGGGATACCATAACACCATGGCCCCGATGCGTGGTAACCACGGATTATCGCTGTCGGCCGCTTCTTCGGTGTCGGGTGTTGACATCGAATCCCACCCCTCGCAAGAAGGCAGCTTCGAGCAATCACTCGTCGACACCATGGGCCACTATGACTCCAAGACTAAAAATGTATGTATCATTGTATCCCCTGGAGGCTATTGGTCTAGACCGCCCCGAATGTCTCAGCTCACTCACTGACAATCAAACTCACAGGTGAAACGGCGTATGCAGAATCGCGAGGCCCAGCGCCGGTTCCGCGAGCGCAAGGACCAGCAACAGAAAACTCTGCAGGCGAAGGCAGAGGATCTCCAGACCAAATACCAAAAGCTCTCCGACCAATACACTCAGCGGACGGATGAGGTCTGCCGGTTACTCAAGGAGAACGACTCGCTCCGGAGCGAGGTCAAAACGCTGCGTCAGCAATGGCAAATCATCATGGCTCTCATGCATCGTCCTCGATCCTCACACTCCAGGACGCCATCCCTGGCCGAGGAGGATTCGCCCCCCCCGTCTCTGTGCTCGCTGGACAAGGGGACGATGCTGGACGATGTTTGGCGTCGGTTGGACGAGTTTCGATCAACAGACGACAAGCCTAGCAGTCCGAGTTAGTCTTCTCCCCCTTTCCCCCTCCAACCCTTGATATATATATTTTTTTCTTTTGGCCACTTATTATGATCCCATTACGACTATAGAGTTACCAGACTCCTTATTTTCAATAATCTAGTTATACATTTCCTTTGTTGGCGTTGGATTTGATCATTGTACATACCAGGGCTGCTGGACAGGCCGTGTTCGTTGCCTCGTCAAATGTCATTTCGGGTTCTCTCAACAAATGCCACTACCACTTGTCTTTCTCCACGCACATGAACACACGCACCCACACACAAACACTCCAGCTCCAATTCCAATTCCAATTCCAATTTCCCATGTCAATGTCACCAATCTGTCTCCCCCCTTCCCTATTCCTCTTCGGTCGCTAGTAACCGAGTACCTAATGCTGACTACTGGAGAAACACCGTCTGGTTGGATGTGTTTTATCAACGCCCCGTCGCTCCCGACGCAGATTGTCCCTGTTGATTGGCGTGCCGTTCCCGTGGCGTGCAAGGGAACTACGTGGGTTTGGGTAACCTAAAAGACGGCGATATTGGTATTAGTCTATTTGGCAGCGCTAAATTGACTATCTGCAAAGGGAAACTCCTCCTATCGAGTCTTGGGGGGGCAACGCTTCAGCCCGCAATCATACGGTTGGCGTACTGAAGCATGACGCAGATGCAGTGCAGTGCAGGACGATGCTCTGGCTCCCTAAAAGGTGCGGATGCCATTCTAGAGATCCTGCTGCGGGCTTTGTCATCCAACACAGTGCTATTGCTACCACGCAGCAATGTCTTCACAATCGTCGTTTTCGAGTGCCTCCCCAGAATCAGAGACCGAGTCTCAGGCCTCCTCCACAGGCTCCCCACCGGCGATCCTCCCTGACCGGAGCAGATGCTGCAAACCCAAGGCCAAACCGGGCTTCTTATGGATCGACTCCCAAGCCGACAAGCATGACTCCTCCGTCGGCAAGCAGAAACAAGCCTTCCTCCAGCGAAACTACCAGCAAAGGAAGAAACAAGCCTCGATCGCCCGGCTGAAGGCGTCCAAAGTCGTGTCCAAACCGACCAACGCTCCCGCAACAGACCCCAGGGATGAGGAGAACCGACAGGGTGCCTACAAGCAGATGGCCAGCATGTCGGAGATGTGGTCTCTGAAGGCGTATCTGAGCCAAGGATTCGTAGACCCCTTTTCCTCGTCTGCGGTCCAGATGACGGATTCCATGAATCTCTACTTCCAACACTGTACGGGCCCTCTGCATCTTCATAAAAAAGCCACTGCTAAATCCCACAGTCCGTATCCACACCATCGCCTCATGCTATCCCCTCGATTCCGCCCGTATGAGCATCTGGTGGTGGCAGCGGGCCATCAACCAGCCCGCCCTGCTCCAGGCCCTCCTCTTCCTGACAGCAGGCCACCAGGCCACCCTCGAGTCGAACAGCGGCGTGTCCGAGCAGGCGATCCAGAAATCGACAAAAGACTCCCTTCGCTTGCGGGGAAACACTCTCAAGGCCCTGAATAACATCCTGCAGGACCCGATCAAAGCCGTAGCCGAGTCCACCACGTTGATTGTGGGATCTCTGGTCGCCATCGAGGTGGGTAACTCCCCCCCTTTATCAAGTGATTCTGATCTGACGGCTAAGGAATCAGGCCGTGGACGCCAATTTCGAAGCCTTGGAAGCACACATGAAGGGTCTCAAACGACTCATCGGTTTGCTGGGCGGTCTCGATGGCTTGGACCATATGACCCTCTCCAAGATCTACCAGTATGTCTTTCGTCCCCCCCCCCCTATCCCTCGCTCAAACTAACAGCCAACCCTAGGGCCGATGTCAAATCTGCCGCCCTGAAAAACAGCCGTCCTACCTTCCCCATGTCCGCCCGCTGGCGCAGCGAGATCCTCCAAGAATCCACCCTCTTCCGCTCCAAAGACCACGCCTCTACCCCCAAAAGCCTCTCGGCCCTCGGCACCAACTTTTTCAAAGCTTCCTGGTACCCAGGCCTTCACACCAGCATGAAGACCTTCATCCAGGTCCTCCGCCGGCTCATCATCTACTTCGAGATGGCGCAGGTGGAACCCTCCATCGTCATGCCCACGGACAATGACCTCTTCCTCGTCTTCGAGCACCAGCTGCTCTCCACCGAGTACACAGAGACTGACCCCCTGCACGAGCCCCTGCGCCACTCCCTGCTGATCTACCAGAACCTGCGCATCTGGCACTTCCAGAGTTTCCCCTTCATGGAGTTCATGGTCGAGGCGCTGCGTCGTAGTCTGGTCCCGCAGTTTGGGCGGTTCCGCGATGAGGCGCCCGAGCTTCTGCTCTGGGTGCTTTTCATCGGCGGTATGGCCTCCCAGGGATACAAGTGTCATCCCTGGTTCGTCGCCCGTCTCACGGACATGGCGCGGAGGCTGGCGGTAGAGGGGTGGGAGAAGGCGCGCGTCCTCGTCGGGGGGTTCTTCTACACTGATCAGCCCGGGGAAAGAGGGGCAGAGGATCTTTGGAATGAGGTTCTGTTGATGGAGAGCTGTGAGTATCGCCGCTGTGGTTGAATGGATGGATGGATGGACAATGCTAACAGTTCTAGATCCTTACATCGCTCCCAAACGGACGTTTCAGGTCCTCACGCTCTAAGTCTCATGAAATGTATACGGCCGAAATTTCAAGCGTAGGATATCAGTTACTTTCGTAGCACTTCGCAACAGTATCTAGACTGCCAGAGAAACCCAATGCTATCTCATTACTCTCCCGTTTTGCTTTCACTCCAGTACAAAACCCTCGGTTGAATCTGCGTGCCCTCCTCATCAATCAATCATCCCACAATTCCAAATGCCCTCCCCTCCTCAACAGCCCCGCCATCAAAACCGCCTGGTGAATCCCCACCGCGCCCCCAATCCGCTCCAAACACCCGATAATCCACGCCTTCATCTCCGCACCCACGCCGTCCGCACCCCCCGCCAGGAACAGCGGCCAGATCAACCGCAGCGCCCCCGTGCCGCTGAACCCGTCCTCCGGCCCGAGATGCGGCGGCACGCTCGCGCAGACCTCCTCCGCCAGCTGCGTCTGGATCCGCGCGCTCTGCCGCGCCAGCGTGGCGTACTCGGTGCGCCGCGCCGCGTGGGCGGGCGCCTGCGCGAATTTCGTGCTGAAGCCGTGGATCACGGCGTGGATGATCAGGCGGACGAACCGGGAGAAGTTCCAGAGGAGCGCGGCCACCGAGTCCGGGTAGACGTGGTAGGTGGCGCCGTAGACGGGGCGGTGCGCGGAGCTCATGTCGGACGAGGGAGGGGTGCGGACCACCGTGTACGTCCATCGGGAACCTAGCGTCATGGCCCAGTTCACGAGGGCGGTGTCGAGATCCAGGGCCTCGCTGATGACCTGATGCGGCTGGTCGGGTTGAGTCGAGTGGAGTGACGCGCAAAAGTCGCCGACGCGGGCGACATACACGAAGAAGATATCGAGGGCTCGTTCCGCGGGCGCGTGGTGCATCAGCGCCTCCTGGGAGAGCTGGAGTAGCCAGGCGGGTGTGTATGCTTTGCGGTAGATGCTGTCCAGAGCCTAGAGGGGGGAGAGGGGGGGTTAGGGGGTTAGTGTGTGTGAGTCCATTTCCCTCTTTCCTCGGGCGGGTAGACACGTACCATTTGCATGCGCAGAACGGTGAACATCTCCAACCCGATGGGATTCTCCAACTGCTTCGACCCGCGTAGCCGAACTAGCTTCATCGCGCCCTGGATATGTTTCGACCATTTTCCTATCAGCGAGGAGTCTCCGCAGTTGACAATCTGCGTTCGTTAGCATCTCCGAAAATCCCAAACAGAAAGGTCCCGTGCCCTTACCTCGTACATGCTCAGCAGCGCCACCGCCGCCAGCGTCGAATCCGCCGTGCACGCATCGCGCAGCGCAGCACTGGTGGCTCGCAGAGCATGGCCGTACTCCGTCCGAGCCTCCAGCATCAACCGCGGCGACCGGTGGATATTCGCCAGCGCCGCTAACCCGACCGCGTGGACCGACGCCGTCAACGCCGGCGCGCTCTCCATGGACAGGGCGTGCAGAAACCGCAGCTGGCCGCGGGTGGTACTGTCTGCCTGCGCATCTCCGACGTAATGTCGGAACATGAATGCCAGCGCACGGTCCGTGGCAGGGACCGCCATGCGGATGAGGGTTAAGGATGCTGGGGTCGGAGATGGAGGCGCACGCTGGATGGATTTGCTCGCAACCTCGTCGCTCTGGTCATGGAGCCGTAGGGCATTCAGATCGCGATAGCCCGTACATTGCCGACCAACTCGGAGACACTGCGAGCATGACGGTCTCCGTTGGTCGCACTACAATCGAATCAGTCGGGGGGATCGTGAAGAGAGAAGAGGCGCCCACGTACCTTGATTCGCCGGGCGCGACACGAGGCACATCCGGGACTGGGTTTGCCTCTGTAAACCATGATGCCACATGGTGATTATTGGGGGTATTCTACCGGAATAAATGGACGAAAGTGGATTCCAGGCAGTGATAAAAGTGTTTAGGCTGTGCTGTGGCTGTCAGCTTTTAGTGTGGATCTTCCCCTCCATTAAAAGCTTAGCACAGAATGCAGAATGCAGAATACAGAATACAGAATCTGGAGCAAGATTGTAGTTGCATTGGTGAATGAATTGGGACTATGTTCCTATCACACTGAGTTATTATCATCTCTGTCAGAATAAAGGCAGAATATCTAACCCAGTGACTGGTCACTCGATGGGTAGGTGGTTGGTGATAGGGGGGGTCGGACAGGCAATTATATATATGTATATATATATATATTCATCTGTCTAGCACAGTCCACCAATTGAGATGACTTTCGTGTAAAAGAGGACGATTATTTGGCAGTTGACTTCAAATTCAAAATCTTTACTAGGAATCCATGGAAATAGTATATTGTCAAAGAGTAAAGGATATAACATGAAGTGCTACAAGGCGATTGGTGAAGCTGTATACTCGTCAGAATAAGAGCTCTCAGACCAGAGAGTTATATTGTTAGGTAGTAGACTACTTGATCTGGACAAATGCTGCCGGGCTATTCTTGATAACGCCTTGTATTCTCTTATAACGATCTTCATCATGCATCTAGATAGTCGTGCAAGACAAGGATCGTGTCGGTTGATCCGGCCATGGTCTTCATCTACCTCTGACAGAATTCTGGTTCACAGTGTCCTCCGTATGATATTGGTCCAAGGAAGGAGATGACGGAAATAAGACGCAGGGAACCGGAACAGAGGCAGGCATATGGTACAGCTTTACTGTGGGTAGAAGGTCATAAGGCCCATGATTGAGGAAGAGTGAACTGGACCCAGACTTCTATCCCTGGGCGATACGACAGTTCTTATATGAGTGTTTTTCTCTGCACTATCAGCGCCGCAGAGTCTACAGAGTAATCTAAGATCAAGACAAGGACAAGGAACCTGTCTCACCGAGAGCCATTCTGGGTATTCTTAGGATAAGCAGCGCCGTGGTCTGAGCACCTTCCAACGCCAAGGGCTGAAATGAAAAGAACTTGGCGCAGAACCGACCATATTCTCGAGTCTTTGGAGCAGTCAGCAGGGAGTTTAGAGCCTCTACTCTGTAGTTACTATCTACTAGAGAGACCAACACTGAGCTCCAAGCGCCGTCGACTGAGTGCGAACCTACGGCTTTACCCCAGAACCACATGGCACAATGTCCACAAAGATGCATATACGAATCCAGAACGGAGTCGCATCCACACACACACACACACAAACACCTTGGCAGAAAATCGAGCTGGCTTTTAGCCGACTCGAGATGGAGGAGGGCCAGCTCACCGAATCCATTGAGGACACGCAGCCCACCCCCGGTCCAAATGCTGTTGTAAGCACTGTAGCTTGAGCCATAGAGTCGGGACCAGAAACGCCTTTGAACTCTATATAGTCGACAGCTCCATTTTCATGAATAGAAGGGGGTGAGATTTGATGAATTCATTTGGAAGGTCGGCATTGTCCGCTTGGACCGGGTTCAAAGTTGCCAGCCCAACTGCACCAGAACGGGCCGAGTTACCGGGGCTAGGACCAATGAATGCGGAATTTCGATCAGGATTGCGGGCTCGATGGGAGCTGATTTGGTAGGAAGATCAAGAATTGCCATTGCCTTCCATCCATGACTGGTCATGTTCAGCTGAGGTGGCGATGGAACAACTCGCCATTAGTCGTAGCTCTAGGCGAGTTGGTAGGATCTCGCTTGAATGAGGGCTGAAAACAAGGTCTCGAGGACGGGGATTACCGCTGGGTTGTCTACCAGGCTGACTTGTCGCCATCCCCGGAGGACAAAAGTAAATCCATGGTACCGTGTCTATACTTGGTAAGAGATGCCTACTGGGCTTCGCACTCCATGCGCATACAGAATTTAGTTGCATGAAAGGAAGATTGCCAAAAGTTAGACGCACAGGAAGCGAGATGAATTCGCGAAGGAGGAAGCTCCGACTGTTCTGTACAGAAGATGGTTGTGGCTTGTGAAAATGGGTCGCCCCATAAGAATCATAATAATCTAACAAGGTTGCTCTAGTCGAGTCCATTTCCTGCCATGCTTGATTGCTTCCCCAGACTAGAGGAAGAAACGGATCGTAACTTTGTCTCCAGATGCCGGGTCCAGATAGGCCACTGAACGCAATGAATGTCGTCCAGAGTAACTGGAGTTGCGATCCACTCAGAACCGAGAGTTTTCTTTTTTCAATTCCCAACGGCCTAGTCTAGTCAGTCCGTATCTGACTGCATGATCAGATCATGGCGACACAAAGTGGACACCCTGTGGCCTGACCATTCCTGATTCAGAGCTGGGAGGAAGGCATCAGACGATTATGCGCAGTCATGTGAATGCGAAGACTTGGGGAAGCTTGAATCTGTGGTTGATCCACCCCGCCAACAGGGGATCAGAGGACACGAGGGTGAACGGCCAGTCTAGATTGAGATGGGAGGCAACCGACATGCACGTCGTCGAATTCTCTACGGAGTGGCTTGTTGAACCCCGGACATAGGACTCCGTCTGTTGGAAACCCTTCCTAGTCCCCACCACTTCATAGAATGAATGAAACGAATGGATGGTTTGAATCGGAGCTCGACTCGTTATTTGGTTGATAGATGGATAGATGGTAGAGGCAGATTCCGAGGCCCCTCATCCAGCGCATCCATCTTCCACAGTAGCAGACTAACAGTACCTAGCAAGTTACGAGAAGAGGAGCCAACCTTAACCTCGATACATCGCTTCTAAGCGACTAGCTTCGAGTTTCGACCACCTGAAATGTAAATTGAGTTGGCTTCGGAGCCAGCCTGTTTCGGGAACGGAGACCAGCTGCATCGAGCTGGATTCGGAGTACGTTCAACAAGGCTTGTTTCACCCAGTCATTTGGCGGTTGGTTAGCGTTCCTGGACCGAGTCGAGTGATTTTAAGCAATATCTAGAGATGAATGAGAGGAACTGCAATGAGGTCAGGATGCTAGAGGTCGAGGGGCGTATGGAGGAACTAAGGTATCTTCGTTACTGAGAGAGAGAAGAGAGAAGAGAGAAGAGACCCCGTGACTTATTCAGTGGTTGTGAAGAGGAGTGCTTAGTCACGACTTTAAATATACAATGGAAGGTACTCTGCCTAACTAATGTTGCCAATGCAGCAATCTCGGGCATTTGATTGGTGTATCAAGAGAGTGTTTCTGCTTGGACCAATCAGAAGAGTGGAGAGCATCTGCTAACAAAACGACACGGAGACATCTCCGCCTACCCTTGTCGTCTGCAGTCTAGCGTTGACTTGTGTGTAGCTAGTCAGTTAGTGAGTACATAGTAGTGAGTAGTGAGAGAGACAGACAGACAGACAGACTCGGAATCTGGAGTAAGGCTGGACATCCGACACTGAAACCTGTCCCCTCCCCCCCCCCCAGTGGCTCCCTTCCCCAACTCATATCGACAATCCTTCCTTACTTCCTTACTGCTTCAGGTAAAGTCCCAATTCCCCCTCCCCCAGTTGCAATCATTGTCCGGGGTTGAGCTCTGGGGTCCTGTCAGTCTGAAAATCTGGGCGCCCCGGGGTCATCCCCAGTTAGTCACGCAGTTTACACGGAAACACGGCCATGTCTCCCGAACAGAAAACGAACTAGTTGCCAACAATCAACATACGGCTTGCGCTCAACGGTCTCGAGACTAAATTCGATAGTTGGTGGTCAATTTCGGAGGCGAACGTGGGAAGAAATCATGGCCCCTTCCTCCGTGCCAACCACAGCGTCGGTACCCATACCCGGGCTGAATTGCTAGGTACTTGGTAACCTCTAGCAAAAGTCGCACCCGATCGATCGAGGTTCGAGAGCCGACGGGTGATATATATAAAAAGATTATAAGAACCCTGCTGCCCGTCCCACTTGGTTGAGCAGATCGCTACAGGTGTTTCCTCCCTCCCTCCTATCTCACTCATCCTTTTTCATCCTACCACCCACACCTGGTCGATTATCCCCAGTGGAGGATTCTCCTATCCGACACCATGTCGTCGACCGATGAGAAGCACGGTATCTCCGTGCATCACGATTCCCCAGGCTCCGATGCCGACTTCAAGCCTGCCGTGGCCGCCGGTCAAGGCGAGACCGCCAAAGTTGGTGGTGCGAAGACGAGACAGGTGCACAATGTCAGTATTCAGATCTCCATTACATCTACTTTGGGGTTGAGATGATCGCTAACCATCGTTGGGGGACATAGGCCGAGTTGTATGCCGCTATCACCGAAACCCCGATTGAGAAATGGAGCAAGGAGTCTCTTCACATGTACTGTGAGTGCAATGGACCACCAACGATACACGGGGACGCACTACTGACATGGAGGCAGTCGCCATCTTCGTCGCTTTCTGCTGCGCTTGCGCCAACGGCTACGATGGTAGGTCTTATCGTGCGGTAATTTCTTGCAATCGTGGGGACTGACGACCGCTAGGCTCGCTCATGGGTGCCATTCTCGCGATGGACCACTTTCAGAACACCTTCCACACCGGCATGGACGGCCCTAAGGTCTCCCTCGTCACTTCCCTCTACACCGTGTATGTGGTGACTTCCGCGACCGACCAAAAAAACAAAAAAAAAAAAGATGTGGACCAGCAGCTAACGTCCTCGCAGTGGTTCCATTGCTGCGACCCCCTTCAGTGCCGTCCTCTCCGACAAGCTGGGTCGTCGCAAGTGTATGTTTGTCGGCGCTTGGGTTATTATCGCCGGTTCCATCATCATCGCCACTGCGAAGCACCTAGAGCAATTCTACGTCGGCCGTGTGGTTCTCGGTTTCGGTATCCAGATCATGGTGGTGTCTGCCCCCGCCTACGCCGTTGAGATCGCTCCTCCTCACTGGCGTGGTCGTGCCGTCGGTAAGTCTCCTCGGTTCCATCCACATCACTTGGAGCAGGTGCTGATTTGATCGAAAAGGCTTCTACAACTGCGGTTGGTTCGGAGGTTCCATTCCCGCCGCCGCGGTGACCTATGGTACCAACTTCATCGACAACGACTTCTCGTGGCGCATCCCCTTCATTTTGCAGTGCTTCGCCTGCGTTATCGTCATCTTCGCCGTTTGGTTCATCCCCGAGTCGCCCCGTTGGCAGATGGCCCACGGCCAAGATGAGGCTGCTCTGGCTTTCCTCACAAGGTACCATGGTAACGGTGACCCCAACGCCCGCCTGGTGCGTCTCGAGATCGAAGAAATGAGAGAGGGTATCCGCATCGATGGTATTGACAAGAGATGGTGGGATTGTAAGTGGTTTTTGACTCGTTCGGTGTTTTTTTTTTTTTTTTTTTGAGGGGGCTTCTCACTAACCACCACAGACCGCCCCTTCTTCTTCACCCACAGCGGCCGCTGGCGTTTCCTTCAGGTCATGATGATCTCCGTCTTCGGTCAGTGGTCCGGTAACGGTCTGGGATATTTCAATGCCACCATCTACCAGAGACTCGGTTACACCTCCAGCTCCATGCAGCTGCTCATGAATCTCGTCAACTCCATCGTGTCCGCCATTGGTGCCCTGACGGCCGTGGCTCTCACCGATCGCATGCCTCGTCGTAAGGTTTTGGTTTGGGGTACATTGGGTAAGTCATGATCCCCCGAGCCCTCGGTGGTTTCTATACTAACCTCACTCAGCTTGCGCCATCGCCATGGCGATCAACGCCGGTGTGTCCGAGCCCATGATCAAGCAGGCCGAGACCCCGGCCGGTATCAATAAAACCTTCGGCCAGACCGCCGTCGCCTTCTACTACCTGTTCAACATCATCTTCTCCTTCACCTACACTCCTCTACAAGGCGTCATCCCCGCCGAGGCCCTCGAGACCACCACCCGTGCCAAGGGTCTCGCCCTGTCCGGCTTGATGGTCAGCGGCATCGGTTTCGTCAGTCAGTACGCCAGTCCCATTGGTCTGCGCAACATCTCCACCCACTACTTCTGGATTTTCGTCGGATGGGATCTTTTCGAAGCCCTCTGTTGGTACTTGTTCGGGTATGTCTCAGCCTCGATTCCCCGGGTGATGCCGCCCTCATTAATGTTCTTCATAGTGTCGAATCCCAGGGTCGTACCCTCGAAGAGCTCGAGTGGGTCTACCAGCAGCCCAACCCCGTCAAGGCCTCTCTGCAGGTCGACAAGGTCGTCGTCCAGGCCGATGGCCAGGTCACCGAGAAGATCACCGACGCGTAACCGTCGCCAAGAAGTATCTATCGTGCGGGAGGGAGTGGGTGACTGCTTTTTATTTTTTTTCTATCATTAATGAGATCCGACTTTGTTCTGGTTTTGATGATGCAATGCAGTTACTGATATGGTGTGTATACTACGATTCGTGGATGGAAATTTGAATATATCAATGTTTAATGCGAGTCGAACTTCCTCGTACATCGAATCTATCATGGGTATATACAAATGGCCATTAAACAACCTCAACCAGATAAGTCAGACCAGGAAAGGTCAGCTGCATCGGACGCGCCACGGTGACTGGCGGATCTTGTTTCCTATCTCAATCGGTCAGTACCCCTTACCATCACCTCTGTTTGATGATCGGAGAGCTTACTTGAGAACAGGCCATCCATCTTTGTACTCGAGGTGATGCCATCCAAGCTGCGTATCCTGATCCGGTCAGCTCCTTCCATTCGTCCTCATAGATGGGACCAACATACCTTATCGTGGAATCCGATCTTCCCGTCAACTGCAACAGTCAATATAACCCGGTGCCCTTGGGATGGAAGGGGAAGGGGGTCTCACAGTAATGATGATACAGGATATCCGGCCGCTCCTTGTTCCCAGGAAGGACACCCACGCCTCCCGGCGCAAAGACATTACCGTTGTTCGACCCGTACACGACCTCGCTATATCCCTCGAGCAATTTCTTGCCATTCCGATCGACAAACGGGCCGTTGATATTCTCGGACCGACCGACGCGGATACTATACCTGTTTACAACCGTCAGCATGATCCCAACGACCAAAGGGCATGTCAAGAAAGAAGGGGGAGGGGGGAAGGGAAACACACTCCTCGCCCTTCAAGGGAAACCCCCTCTGCAGCAACTCACAACACACCCCCTGGCTAAACCACAGATAATAATACGGCTTGTGGTAGCTCACAAACGCGCCCTCCTGCGGCTTCCACGCCCCCGGCATCCAACTCAACTGCGTCGCATCCGGTACCACGTCCGCGCTCTTGCTCTTGCTCTTGCTCTTGTCCGCGTCCTTGTCCTTCACCGCTAGCGTGCCGTCCTTCCGACTCTCCAGCCGCACGCTGTAGATGTCGTCCCAGTACGAGCCGTAGATGAGATACAGCGCGCCGCTCTTCTCGTCGACCTTGAACGCCGGGTCGATCGCGTTGGTGTTCTTGAACGGCGCAAGCCGCGACCCCGGCCCGGTCCCCGTGTTGATCAGCGCCCCGTGGTCCGTCCAATTCCCCTCGAGCGTCGAAGCCGTGGCGTACCCGATCGCGCTGTCCTGGCTGCCGCCCGGGCTGATCGCGTAGAAGCAGTAGAACCGGTTGTTCCATTTGGCGACGCTCGGGGCCCAGGGCCGGCTGTTGTTCTTCTTCTCGATGATGGAGTCCTTCTCGAGGACGGTCCCGATTGCCTCCCAGGGCCCGGACATCTGGGTCGCTTTGAACATGGGGATGTGGATGCCGCCTTGGAAGAGGTAGAGGTGGCCCCCGTCCTCGATGATGTTGGGGTCGTGCACCTGCAGGTTGCCCTTGTTTGGGGGCGGGTAGGGGGAATCAAAGGTGAAGATCTTGTTGAGGTCTTTGGCGGTGGGCTTGAGGATGCGGTGCGCGTCGCGCGGGAGGACCCCGGCCAAGGCGACCTGGAGGAGGGTGAGGGAGACGAGGAATCGGAATAGTGTGTTCATGATGATTGCGTTTGCTGGCTGATTGTCATGATGAGATGTCCAATGTATCTTACTTTATATGTGCTGTTGTCTACACCGACATGACATGGCATGCTTTCTCGGTCAAGGCTGGCTCTATCCCCATGTCGTGCCGGCGTCTACTGTTGGTTATCCACAACATGAACTATCATTGCCTCAAGAGCCAATCTCACAGCCCATTTGGACCGTGTTTGAGGATCTCAAGTGTAGTGTTTCACATCTCCAGATGAGGATCAGGGTCTACAGTTGGGGGGGGGCAGTATCACAGCCCCCCGGCCCCCAACCTCCAACCAACATGGAGAACATTTCAACTGTAGCACGGGATGATCTTACCCAGGGAATACAAAAGAAGATGTAATTGAGATGATAGAAACACGTCAGACAAGGCTGTTGCATGCTAATAATAGCCTCGTACCAACTACTGATGCTCCGCCAACACTTCATACAGAAAACCGACTGCTGCAAAAGAACAGTATCTCTCAAAAGCGGCTCCATTTCTAGGGAAGCCATATCCCCTTGATTTCTCCGTTGGAGTACTGATCCAATTGTATCCCAGGCCCAACTCTTGTAGTTGCAATTCCATATTATGGCTAGCTAAGCAATGAGCTTTCTGGACCACCTCGATAAGAATGCTAGCTGGATACTGGCAGACCGTAAGGCTAAAGGACGACCATTACCGCGAGTCGCCAGGCAGCTCGCGGATCCAGACCCATATAGCATCACGCGGGTCTCATATCTTCTAGAAAATATTGATCATTCGTAGTACAATCATATCTCCTCTACAAAATGCCGTCTCTGGTAATGTGAATTTCTCTCCGCCACCGAAATGGATGGTTCTTAGTTACTTGTGCGCGTGTGAAGGTCCCAGATGATGCCTGACTATGAGATCGGTTGGATGGTTCCGATAGCTGCAAGTGACCGCTGCTGGAGAGAAAACATTCTGTATTGGGAATAGCAGGTCAAAGTAAAGGAGCTCCGATCTTTGTCACTTGGGAAGAGTTGTCAATATGCTGTCATAAAGACCTGATAGAAGCTAGGCAGCCACCCTCAGGCAGCCCTTGTATAGTGTCTACCTTCCCCCGGCCAGACATACGTCCCACCTACACGCCGTTCCTGCTAGTATAGACACCAATATATCGAAAGACGATCAAAAACCTTTACTGAGCTTGGAAACAACACATATAAAAAGCAACGCAAAGAATACCCCCTGCCGCAATTCTCCCCAGGCACTTGTCCTCTCCGCTGTTGACCTCCTGTCTCGTCCGCGCGGAGAGGTTTCTTGAGAATCTGGGACTTGAGAAGACTGCCCAAAAATTGCGCCACAGGGAACACCAATTGCTGGGACTTTCCAAATACCAATGGGAAAGTTTTCGGAAATACGTGCTGGAGGAAGAAAACCTCCGCATGTTGATCCAGCGAGAAGCATATCTGCGCGAAACGAGCGACAATATCTGGGAGGAACTGAAGGAGCTGAAAGGAAGAAATGTTATCCGGATCCGTGAACTCCAAAAAGAGTTCCAGAGAATCGAAGACAAACTCCTGTGGATATCCGTTGATTACAATAGCTTCACCTGGACACTGAGAAGAGTGGCCGAGGTGCTGGAGCACACTCCAGTGTGGCGGGCCTTGCAGCGGCGCCAGAGCGATCCCAAGTGGTATCTCTCACACTGGCTGCGCTCACATTGTGCAGCGAACGGTGGGTGCTGTGAGAGGCCTCGCAATAGGAGATGTTACGACGGGCTGGGGCATTGTACCGTCACCTGCGGCTGCTGTGAGCGATTTCGAGGCTATCAGATCAAAACTGAGGAATGGACGTATCCAGGCCGGATCTACTATGATGTGCAACGCGAGAAGTCTGATCTTTACACGGGACTTCTTCTGAATTCGTATGTCTGGGGACTGTAGGGGAGTCGCAATGTATGTGGTTGTTGTGCAATCAGGAGCAGTACCTAAAACTACGAGTTGCCAGCTTGGTGATTGCTTATAGCTGAGATCTCTACGCAGAATCGTGTCTCTTAGAGTCGATAAATCTCCAGATCTCTTTACAATTGATAGCGATATAAAGGCTAATTGTTGAAGGCTCGGCGCTTGACGAAAGTCAAGTCCTACTAAAATAGATTTTATGCTCATCCGTTGGACATGAAGACATCCTGCTTGTCAGGCAGGTGCAACACGAGAAAGAGAGAAAATAGTGAGCAGTGAGAGGCTCACTTTCAACGATCCTTCTTCGCAATAGTCGTAGACATGATGAAGGTCCATGGAGAGTTGCAGTGGTGGGGTGAGTTTATATAGGACTCTTCATGATGAGATAGTGAATGGACATGAGCCAGTAAAGCGGGACCTTCACTATTTTCTGATTGTAGCATTGCAGCCCTATTGACAATAGACCTCCCAGGGATATGAATATATCTCTATAGTAACACAGACGACCCAGTTGTATGTGGAAGGATAAGCGGTTTGAAGATGATGTTGGCTCGGGCATATATCATATGATATAAGCTCGACGACTCAACTTCATCGAACATCATCGACGACGACTTTCCGTTCCAGAGTTTAGATATCAAAATGCTGGTCCTGGGGCTTGTATCTGGGATGATGGGAACGGCCATCCAAAGGGTGAAACAGGAATGGAAAAGGGTCAAGATATTGGAAAATAAACATCAGGAAGCTGGGGGGAGGGGTGATAAATAAGTGATTCTAAGTTCAGTCCATCACTACTGTACTTTGCATTATGTATATTAGTATTAGTTCATTGCCTCTAATGTTTGTCTTCATAGTGAGGCCAGGCAACAGAGCAGGCAACACCACTTGTAGCATATCATCATGTCATAATGATTCCACCATAGTTGAATTCCTACTGTTCACCGTTGATGGAGGTCTACCATTTTATCCTCTTCAAATCAGATACAAAGGCTAGCTCTGTCCGCAAATATGGTTACCAGCAAGGAAGAAAAAGGAACTCAAGGTGAGTTGAGTTGGTCATTGGCAAATGCATACAATAAGCATCAATCTGTCTTAAGATAACACCTAGTATGCCATTCATGCTACATTTTTAGACAGTGTGGTCAGTAAGCTGTAGGACTTACTTTGAATCTATATTATTGTTGGTGATCCTAATGCGCTGGAAGTAGCAATGAGGAAGATCAATAGGAGAGCCACTATGCATCAAGACCCCTCATAATGAAAGAGTGAATAGAAATAAGATATCGTGAGATATTCACTGGCCCAAATCCATCAAGAGTCACTATTTATTCATCTTGGAGTGTGTCTTAGCTTGTCAACATTCTCCATACTTGACACCTTATGCCAGTAGTTAGCTGCATTCAGGCTAAATCATATATCCCACCTTTCTACTCCGACACTCAGACATCTTATAAAGAGATCCCTATCGCCAACAAGTCCAGATCGAGGTAGATTTCCAACATATCGTCGCAGTCATGCCATCCCAGTACACCAACCCCATCCTCCCCGGGTTCTACCCCGATCCAGCCTGCATCCTGGTGGGAGACACCTTCTACCTGATCAACTCCAGCTTCCAATTCTTTCCGGGACTACCAATCCACAAATCCAAGGATCTGATTAACTGGGAGCTCATCGGTATGCTCTTGACATCCATGACTGGGCAGAATACTAAGCTAATTCCTCGCAGGAAATGCCATCTGCCGACCAGAGCAAATCCAACTACATTCGTCCACGACCAAAGTCAACAATGCGGCGGAAAAGCAGATCTTCACCGGAGGTCTGTATGCCCCAACCATCCGCTACCACAACGGCCGCTTCTACATCGTCTGCACGATGCTCAGCGGCCCGGTGGACATGCCAGCCGCCGCGGACTTTGAACCGCAGAACTTCATCATCACAGCATCCGATCTCGAGGATCCGTCCTCCTTCAGCGATCCCATCTACTTTGACTTCTACGGGATCGACCCCAGTTTGTTCTTTGACGATGACGGCCGCGTGTATGTGCAGGGTAGCTGGATCCACGGGTATCGCAAGAATCCCGCCACGGTCATCCGCCAAGCGGAGATTGATCTCAGCACGGGGAAGCTCGCCGCGCCAGCGGTGGATATCTGGTCCGGACATACCGGGCGGGTTCCGGAGGGCCCGCATCTGTACAAGAAGGACGGGTATTACTATCTCCTGATTGCCGAGGGCGGCACGTTCGGCGAGCACAAGATCACCATGGCCCGCGCTAGAAGCGTCTGGGGTCCGTATGAGTCGTTCAGTGGCAATCCTGTTCTCACCGCGGAAGGCTCTAACGGGTGTATACAATGTGTCGGACATGCTGAGCTGTTCCAGGATCCGCTGGGCCAGTGGTGGGCGGTTATGCTGGCAGGACGGGAGTACGGAGCAAGCTATCCGCTTGGTCGAGAGACATTCCTGACGCCGGTTGAGTGGCCGGAGAACCAATTCCCGTCTTTTGCACCGGTGGAATTATCCCCGAAATGCAGTCGCCAGATGCCGGGAAGAGTCGCTTCTCATACCCTCCCAGCGGTTTCCCTCGACTCACCATTGACACTGTATCTCCGCACCCCTGACCTCCAGAACTATGCGCAAAATGGAAAGGAGATAACATTGACCCCGGTGGAAGCCGATCTGGGGTCTATGTCTGGGACCATGACTTTCGTGGGCCAACGCCAAACATCGCTCGAGTCGGTCGCACGTGTTCTGCTGCGGCTCGGTGATCTCCCAGCAGGAAAGGTCTCGTGCGGGTTGGCTGTATATAAAGACCCTTTCCGATATGCCTCCGTTACATACAGCACTGCGGACGGTTGTTTCAGCTTGACGATTCAGGAGCCCGGGAAACCTCTGACAACACTCGGTTCGATTCCGGTACAACACGCGACCGCAGCCCAGCTATCGATTACTTCATCGACGGAAAACTACGTGTTTGAGTGTTCCCTTGCACACACCGATGGGGATACGGAAACTACCAAGCTCGGAGAAGTGCCGTGCTCTGCGCTGAGTGGTGATGATTTTACTGGCACGATATATGCTATATTCGCTTCAGGGGAAGGGGATGTCAAGTTTCATGACTTTAAGATACAGAACTAGCTGGTATGGTATGCTATCCGTCATAGACGAGAGAGTCGAGGATATTGGCGTATATTCCTGGAGTCAGTCAAGTTTGATCGTCGTGTCCATCGAATCCGGTTATTATTGCAATATCAGCTAGTGATTTTGGAAGTGAGCAACTAGTATGCTGCACGAGCGAAAGTATTATAAACACCCCATGTGATACTTGGGGGTTCACATAGTCGTAGTCTCATACAGTCGTAAATCCTACACAATCGTTGACACATTCAAACGGTGAGGGGTCTGGTATGACAGCTTCCTGTTCAATTTATCCAGAGTTCTCGGTTGCGGTTAAATGCGTTGATCTCAGGGTTTCGCGGGGAGAACCGAGGATGTTGATGATATACTCCCAGGATTCGGCTGCGTCTATAGATTCGCCGCCATCTAAGAGTAGGAAATCTGCCTGGGAGTACAAAGTATACAACCCTATAGAGGGTTGACTGCTATATATCATCCAATGCATACCGTTAACACATCTATAAGGCATCTGGCTATCGTTCACCCGAGCAGTCTATATCTGCACTATTCAATTCCTCAGATCATATACCGTCAATCGCGTGGCCATCGCCTCCTCAATCTCGATAGCTTAGAGCAAGCTAGTAGTGGCTTCTCATAGTGTTCTAGATACAATTCTTCCTGATATCTCAACATTATCCTAGCGAGTTGATCGATCGAATCATGCGGCCCAGGATGCTTCATATGTACAATCCAGCTTTCGTGTACCGTCGTTGCTGTCATAACCCATCCAGTAAGTGTATTCTAGATGTTGGTCCATTTATAAGAAAGAAAGAAAAAATATTCACCAGTCAAATGCCGTCATGCGGTCCGACCAGATTGAATTCAACAAACGACCGGCGAATCGCTCCACTTGATTTAGAATGATTTAAAATGCGCCAACCATGCAAGAGCACCCGGCTCGTCCACGCACTCCTCGTTAAAAAACCAGCTGAACCTCGTAACTGGTCACTGACTCGGTCTTGACCTCACTGTCTGGTTCATTAGGGACTTGAGAAATTTGAGCGACCATGTCCTGACCCTCGGGGATCACTTGGACCACGTCGTCGTCCACGACAACTTGCAACCCCGTCGATCGGACATGCACGAGTCGAACGATCTGATCCGGGGAAACGTTGTATTTCTTCGCGAGTTGGCTGATCAAATCCGAAGCGGTCCGTTCGGTCAGGTACACGGCGCGGTAGTAGGGCTCCTGCTGGTTGCCGTCTTGGATTCTGATGTAGAAACACGCCACTGCAACTTTGTGAGAACATGAACAGTCACCACGGGGCTTATGAAACTTACCCTGCTGAAATTGAGGCACCTTCCCGAGAACCTGCAAATCGGTCGAAGAAGACCCCGCGCTCACTAGACTCGGCTTCACGTCCGGAGAATCAGTCCGTCGACTGAGCGTGCTCGGGTACTGGCCAAAAGGCCGGTGTGGCAATTCCACCAGGTCGCCGTGAAAGTTGGCAATCCCTCCCTCCTCGATAGGGCTTATGCGACCTAGGGGTACCGCACTGCATGGATCTGGAGATAGTGATACGGGCGATAGATCCGGATCATCAAGTTCATCCCCTTTCAGGGACAAGACGCTCACGGGCTGCGATGATGAGAAGAGGTTACGCAACTCGAATAAGGCGCGATGCAGATCGTCAATCGCCGTCAAGCTATTTGCTCGGCTGGGGGAGAGACTCATGGATACGGTGTGGTTCTTGGTGAGCCCGTGGCCCACCCCTTTGCGCCGTTTGCGCTTCCCCAGACCGTTGGCGCCATCGGGGTCTCCTTGCGCAATTTGTCGCTCGACCTTGTGGATGGCTTTTTGCACATGTGCCACATCGTTGGATAGCTTCCTCTCCGCGCCGTGATCCCGGAAGACCTTCACCTTGCAGTAACAGACTTCCGCCTCGCCGCCGCCACCCAACCCAGGGGTGCTGTGATCCGGACTGATCCTTTCCGTCTTGACGCACAGCCGAATCGGCACGCCCTTCACGCCCTTGGACAGGCTGAAGTCGGTGGAGAGAAAGTTGAAGCGGACGTTGATCACACATTCGGAAGAGCCAGCTCCCGAAGTGCCCGTCCACGTCACGCAAAACCCATCAAAGGAGGCCCTGTCCACTTTCTGCACCCGAGGAACGTTTTTCTTCGCATACGGCGCCATCCGCAAGTCGACAAACTCCAAGGCGCGCATCTTCCCCCGGCGCTGCTGGGCCTCGACCACCCCGCGCGCTTCCTTCCAGAGTCGCCAGCACGCGGCTGGATTGGATCGGTGGGCTGGCTCTTCAAAGGTGATCCGCACACTTGTCCGATACTGTACGGGCTGTGAGCTCGACGATGGGGTCGCTGAATCGACGATGGAGACCGAATATGCCTGCGACTTGTTCAAGTAAGTAACAGGAGGATCGTGAGCATGATCAGCGATGGCGGTGGGAGCATGTAAGGTGACACGATATCGAAACCTATGGGAGTGCGATAGAGAGTCAGTGATCTTCCGTAGGAGATGATACGAATTCATGTGCGGCGAAACTCACTGTGTTTCCGGCCTTGGGGGAAAATCCGCACGATCAATTGCCGCCGGTTCCACCGCCGATGTCGGCTGTGTCGCGTCCGTCAGTGACTCCGTATATGAGCTCGGGTAGATCGACGCATCCAGCGGATCGTAGTCAGACGAGGCACGAAACGTCGTCCTGTTCGCGAACAGCTGGTGCTGTCCGAAAGGGTCCATGTTCTGGAAGAGGTGGTGCTGGTATTGCGCCTCGAGGATATTCATGTCCGTGTGCGCGGTTGACGGGGCTGCATCGTGATGGGGTGGTTGCGGCGGTGGATGCGGCAGTGGGTGTTGTTGTTGTTGCTGTTGCTGCGGATCTGTGTATACATTGACATTGACCATTTGATCCCAGATCGAGGGGGTACTGGCCAGATTCCATTCTACAGTCGGGGTGTGGAGATCCCCCGCAGGACTATGAACTACGGCACACATCTGGTTGGCGGTTGGCGTCAGGATCCCGGGCTGCTGGCCGGAATGGGTGACATAGTCGACTACACTTGGACCTGCGAAAGAGTTGCTGTTGAACTGGGGAGCATTGTATGGTTGTGAAGGAAACACCGGGGCTTGTTGCAGCTTCGCAGTGTTGTTGGTGTTGTGGTCGAGAGGTGACTGGGAGAGAAAGGGATCTGCGATGACGTGAGAGAATTTCTTCTGGAAGTCGCCGATAAGCTCTGCGCCAGGTTTGCGTGTTGTTCTAGATGGTAGGTGAGCGTCGACGATCAGTCAATGGCGTGTGGAAAAGGGAGAGCAACCTTTTGCCAAACATCGTGCCTCTTTCGCTCGTATGAGCTTTTGAGCGCTCGTGTTCACCAAAGGATATGATGTCCGTCCTATCTGTGTCTTCCAACAAGATTGCCCCGCAGATACCTTGTATGCCTGATGTCGAGTGATAAGTCTGGGGAAGATAGGATGACGGTTGCGATTCTTCAGCCTGTGAACAATATTCCGAGGGTTAATGGAGAGTGGTGGCAGCGAGCGACTTCCTCCGACAACGAGCGGAAAACGAAGCATGGGAGAGCAGGACGGAGCGGAAGAGAGCGAAGGGTAGTAAGTGTGTGGGAGGGGAACGTGTTGTAGACCCTTGGAGCGCATCAGCCTTGCAGACAGACGGACTCATGGATCGGAACATGGACATGGTGGTTATTTTGGGTGTTTGGGGACTAATAGTATATGGAAGAAAGTTGGAAGTGGGCATAATTTGGTGCCTGGGGATCCAGGATCCGCGGGTGGAAAGGGAGAAGATTGTACGGAGAGCATACCTTACAGTATGGGTTATTTTGGTTACGGTAAAGAAACCAAGAACATGAGGAAAAAAAGAAAAGAAAGAAAGAAAAATGAAAAATGAATTAAATAAAAGAAATAAATTGAAAACGAGATTGAATAACGAAAAAGAGGAGGAGGGGGGGGGAAGAAATAATAATAATAATAATAATAATAAAAATTAAAAAAAAAAAAAGGTTTATTCTTTTAGCGCCGACGACTCGCAGATGCCACCCGAGTATGAACAACTTATCAGTTACTCAAGAGTATAACATCCGGCCCGACAAGAGTACCTTACCTATCCGGGTAGTATTAGGGACTAGGTAAGTATGGGACAGACACCGTGTCAACCCTCGTGGGCACGGGGCAGTTGACTGGCACGGAGCTTCCAGCCGAGAACCCAGTACGATCTTCTGTCTGTCTCTGTCTCAGCCTCACTCTTCACTCTCTTTTTCCTTTCCAAACTCCCCTGACAGTTTTTTGCGCGGTTAGTAGTGTTACATACTTACACAGTTACACTTGTAGCTCACTTGACAGCCCAATTCCACAATGGATGTTGAGAGCGGTCCATGACGTCAAGACATATGTGTGTCTCCAGCTCTGAAGATTGAGGTTCTGTTTTACAGAGTACTTACTACTTCTTTCCCGTTCTTTTCAGTCTATGTCAGGCTAGAGGAACTGGCTCAACGCAGGGGAGTAGTAACACACTAACACACTAACACTACTATCAACGATGAACCTGAGAATATTTCCGTGTTGATCATTGATCCCCACGAACCAAGTCCAGATTCCAGATCCCGATCGACAAGCAAATGCCGCATCAACAACCCCACTATCTTTCTCTTTCCCCTGGCAGATTTCCTTTTGATGCTGAGCGGATGGATCGAAGAGCCGGAAGGGCCAGTCAAGAACTAGTGCTTGAGCTTGAAGCGGTCATACATCAAATGACATCTTATCCTCCTTGAGCACTCCACGCAGGGGTAGGAGATGTATGGGTTTTTTGCACTGCTTACAGAGTACAGAGCACTGTACTGTATATACTGTAATCTGTATACGAGCAAACTGAAAAAGCCATATGACGTCAATCCATGGTTGCACGTACTCCTTTTAATAAGTTCCATTACCATACGTAAGGTAATATAGCATGGATAGGCCCGACTGGCGTACAAAAGTTCCAGCCAATCAGAGTACAGTTTCGATTTACTCCGAAGAGGCAGGTTCCCAAGTCCCAACCCAACACTAAGGTATGGGTGCTACAGTGCTACTTATGAGTACTCCGGAGTACCTTGACTACCTCCTGGCGGGCAACAATATGCAGATCTGTTGAATTTTTTTAAACTCTGTCTTGAGATGTGATTCTGCTGACGTTGGTCCCTTGCTCATGCGGCTCATTGATCCTTCTTTTTTCCTTTTCCCCCTCGAATGATGGGAAGGGCATCTGAAAAGGGAAACCTTTTTTTCTTTTCTTTTTTTTTTTTTTGAGGTTCCATGAAAACGGGCTGTCATCCTGAGTTCCCATTGAGATCTCCACAAGGTTTCATCCAATGGTCAGCTTTCCCTAGACTCAGCCAAGAAGCTTGACCCCGCAGATTTACCGCTAGCGCGCTGCCGGCTCTGTCCTCCGACCAATCACACGGGTCTGCGTCATACCCTCCATCAATGTAACGGGAATTCAGTGGGAAGTTAGTAAGTTGGTCAGGGAAGGTTGCTGTCACCCTCCGGGTACTTTGGCTGTACATGGAAGACTACAAGTGGACTGTTCTGGAGGATCGCCTCCCGATATTAAGGTTCAGTTACATCAGGATTATCTGTATGACTTCGAGCAGAACGAACCACCACTTGAGGATGCATTCTCCAGGGTACACCTCCTCAGTTTGCTATATAAATGTGAGGGTCTGGTTCATCAATTGATGGGTCTTGATGATTGAAGATATTGCCACTGTCGCTTGGCCCTTTGATTATTGTCCTACCCTATACTACAGAATTAGTTCCAATCGATGTGCTGGTCTAGCTATATCCTGACACACTTGCTCTGGCCTTTTGCTTTCATACTTTGCTAGCCTTGCTGCCATCGGGCTTGCCTAAAACTTTGACGATCCATCCCAAGATAGCGGGTATCATGACCACTGCAATGCTGGCCCAGCAGCCCTCTTTGGGTGCTCCGAATCAGCTGGTCGACTGGTCTATGTTCAATCCAAACACCCTCTCCTTGCAGGCTGCACCGGCATCATCTGCTCCGTATCCCTCTGCTGCTCTCCTGACCGAGGCGGATCTTCATGTTCTCAATCTCCCATTATTCCTGCAAAAGAGCACAGACGTCGACAACCATCCCGCCCTCGATCCCCTCCAGATCCATTCGGCGGAGCTCAAGCCCACTCCCGCCAATCATCACGACGCCCACTCCACTCGGTCCTGCCGCGCCTCTATCAGCAGCTCCTCATCCATCCACTCCTCGATCACCACCGGATCAGAAACCGCCGCTTCCAAGAAAGCTACAAAACCCAAACGCCCTTCCAAGTCCAAGATATATGCACCCGATGATCCCCTGCGAGAGAGATATCTGGAGCGCAACCGCCGCGCAGCCACCAAATGCCGTCGCCAGAAGAAAGAGCGGAATCAGCAGCTGGAGACCCTCTATCACAAACAATCTGCCGACCAGGAGCGCCTGCTATCCGAGCGGGATCGCATGCGCTCGGAGCTGCTCACTCTCAAGGATGAGCTATTAAAACATGCACAGTGCGAGGACCCTTCTCTGAAGTGCTACTTGGCCCAGATGGTCGAGGATGTCGGTGCGCGGCGCTCGGCCAGCTACTCGTCGGCTTCTTCATATCCTACGGCGGGCATGCCGCCGCCGCAGCCTTTGGTGTTCACCGACGAAGAGATGCAGTCCCTGACGAGGGTGGGCGAAGTTCCATGGACCATACCGGGTGACTTTGTCGATTTTGCTCAGAGGTAGTATATGACACAATATTTCTGGATTTCTTTGCATTCGATTGCAGCGATTTTAGCGAGCGCATATGTATATTATTGCTACTATCGGGTCGGAAGTTGACCACATGAGCCCTGATGATTCCTATGTCTAATCTATGATTACAATGTACTAGACTATTATTCTATTATTTGTGGGTTATAGTCGAGCAAGAACAACATCTAGCCTCTACCATTCTATCATTCCAGCGATATCATATATATACTTGTCATATATATACTTACCTGCTTCATTGTTGTTCCGACTTTAAGGTCTGTTCTGCTACCTTCTATATTGGGTGCTGCACGCAGGCTCCTGCACGCAGGCTCCTGCACCCCATCAAACCTGCCTCTGGGCTCTGCCGAGGGCTGAGGCCACACAGCATGTGTGGCCAAAAGTCCTTGTACAAAGTGTAACTATGATGCATTAGGTCATCGATTCATTCATAACTCCACCTTTATGTATCCTCGTCTCCCGTGATTGGCTGCCTAGCTGCCGAGCTCGGCTAGAGCAGTCACGTGCATTGCTAACGTCATCCATTCCGTTCACACCCAAGAACCATGCAATCCTTCTTGATCCAATAATTCAAGGCCAATACCCCTGGAAACATCTTCCGCCCACGGGAATTTCTGGGAGAATCGCTTCAATTCCCCAAGGGCTCCTCATCTTCCGAGTTCCGACCGCCTGGGTCCAAGCCGGCCGAGCCCCGGAATTTGATCTTGGCTTGACAGGGCTGGCGGATCAGCCAATGATGCAAATTCCACACGGGGACGTCAAAGAAAATAGGCGATCCGGTAAGAAACCACAGAAGGAAAATCGGCACTGACAAGAAAGGTATATAACCTCAAAGCTGGCCAAAGCCCCCTCCGTCAGGGAAGCGGACTACCCACCACCCAGCACAGACCCCAAGTAGCCAGAGTCAATGACCCTTGTTCCTTTCTCGCTAGGGACAACCGGGTTCTATTCTCTTGCCATTGCCCAGCCATGTCTGTCTGTCTCGTTCCGATGATGACTACTGTGCCGCCGGCCGGTATCCCTCCGGCTGCTGCACCAACGCGACGGCCGCGCGATGGGTTACTCGTGCTGGATGTTCGGTCGCAGTGGCTGGCCTGGAAAACCGCCGAGGTGCTCTTCACGCGGCTCCTCAACAAGCAGCTGCGCCGCCGCTGGGTTCTCGAATGCAAGCATACGCGCTCCCTCCCCCGCGCTCAGCGGTTCCGCCCCATCGCAATACTCCAGCCGATCCCCGAGCTGGCAGGGTGGGTGACCGCCGTCCCGCACGCCGATCTAGAGGCACTCAAGGAGCGCGTGAAATGGCTGCGGGCCCGTGCCGAAAAAGGCAAGGAGCTTGTCAGTGAGATGGAGCGCAGAATCCAGTTAGGGATCCGGCCGGATCCGACCAACTTCTGCCACTCGTGTGTGTCAATTGATGCGCGCGATGTATTTCTGACCGAGTGCGGGCACCGGGTTTGCTTGACATGCGTGCGCTACAGTACGGATGATCGGGGGTTATACGACTGTGGGATCTGTTTCGCGCCGACGAAATTTATACCGAAGAGGGAGACATTTTAGTCGGAGGCATGGGTGATTACACTGTTCTTTGGGGTTGGATTCGGTTGTTTAGCTGCGTTGACGCTCCTTTTCGTTCCTTTCTATGCACATGGATGTTTTTCGGGTCTGTATTGAGACCTGCTGGACCATTTTTCCACCTATACAGTCCTACAGTATAATCTGTGTGTCTTGACGACATATCAATGACCACGAATGCAAAAGAAAGTTGAAATCCATACATAATTTCTTTCGTAGAATGCGCATCTGGTGGTGGAGTTCAAGGTATATATATAGTCAGCTTCTACCCTCTGTTGCGATTTATAGATGTTCATGATTGTGGGCAGAGTTAGTATCAGTCACCCTCGCATATATCCCTCATTTTTCTCCAGCCACCTACACCATCACCACCAAGTTTCATAGAGTAGCAGTTTCGTTTCAAGGTCGAATGTGATGCAAATGGAATTTTGCTTGTACTACAGATTGGAGATAAATGACGTCATAGACATATAGGGAGTAACATTAACCTCGCATCGCATGAAGAAGCAGAGAAACTATGTAGACATGGACAATAAGCTACCATCTCCTGCATTCTGCGTTCTTAGACTCTTGTATACATCATGGACATCGTGGTACTACCATAGTTGGACTGGACTACAATACTCCGTACTATGATGGCCTTGACTCCAGGGGTCCTCTCTCTCCCATGACGTCGCTCCCGCCATCACCCGCCCACTCCTCCACGGCCACAGCATCATCCATTTCCCCCAGAAACGAGCCAGATCATGATCTCAGCCAGCAAACTCAATATCGACTATCCCTTCGTTCGGCGTCACCAGCCATGACGTCTCGATTTCATGCTGGACTTGCAAAACCTATAAGAAGAAGGATGTCTCTGGGGAAAGAAGACGATTCCATCAACATAAGCACAATCACATCAGAATCAACCAACCGGTCTACATCCCTTTTCAACTTAATTTCTCCTTCAAAAACCTCCCATCAATCAACATGTCTGACACCGGCCGCAAGGATTTCACCACTAGTATGTTGTACCGCCATAACTATTCTCCCCTGGTACCTCGAGAGAGAAACCGAGTACTAACGAACATCCCTCAACAGAGGCTCAGGAGAAGATGACTCCTAACTCGCAAAAGTCCACCATGGACAAGATGAAGGAGACCGTCACCGATGCCTCCGACCGCATGGGCAGCGGCATGCAGTCCGACAACCAAAAGTCCTACACCCAGCAGGCCTTTGACTCGATGCGCGGCCAGACCGACCGAGCCCAGGGCGGCAGCGGCGAAACTATGTAGGTTTATCCCACGTTTTTGTTATACGGAATCGCAGGTGCTAATCAGCTGGAAATAGTGCTCAGAAGGCGAAGAATGCCATGGGCTTGGGTGACCACTAAGTTATGATATAAGAACCATGTATACTAGCTATGATGATAATAATACAAACCACTCAGATTAACTGAGTCACATATTATACAGAGGACTGTCCTATCATTCCACCATCAATCTGTAGTTTCTGTCCCGTCGACGACTATCTTCAACCATCAGAGTGTAGAATTGTATGAATATTTTACTAGGTGGCTCGATCCAAGATCTTCCATCTCCCCTCAGATCGATAACAAGCCCAACAGGGGCGGAGAGACAGGAGGAGAATGGACGACCTTACTATGGATGACATCTGGTAAAAAGCCTCCAGACAGCATGAATTGGAACATTGAAGTGGCAAGAGGCGGCATGTTTGGTATCTTGCTGCCTCTACGTCATCCTGATGAACCCTTCATCCCTCTTCTCTGTCAAACTGGTTTCAGCTTCTCCACTGCAAGGAAAAATTGCTACATGATACAAGTCAAGTTTGTGCTTCAGGCTGCAAGATGGCATTACGCCAATATGATAGAATGTATGACACAGTGCTGGTCTCGCGCTTATATGGTACGGGATGAGCAAACCTTACAGTGAAGATCTACAGACAATACATACTACATACACAATCAAAGACAGCAACTCAAAACACTCTTACACATCCAATCGCCATGTCGGACGCTCAGCAGCTGAACCACCGCTTCACGCTGGAGAGCCTCTTCGGCGTCAAGGGTCGAGGTACGTTCCAACAATTATTGTCATCTCGTTGATCGGTATACTAACTTTTCCAAAAGTTGCCCTCGTCACCGGAGGTGGCTCTGGAATCGGTCTCATGATCACTCAGGCCCTGGCTGTGAACGGCGCCAAGGTCTACATCACCGGCCGGACAGGAGAGAAGCTCGACCGGGTTGCCGAACTCTACTCCCGCGACATCCCAGGACAGATCATCCCCATTTCCGGCGACATCACCAGCAAGGAGTCCATCCAGGAACTGGTCGATGAGATTTCCTCAAAAGAAAAAGCGCTGCACATTCTCGTCAATAACGCTGGTATCTCCGGTTCCACCCAGGACACCGATAGCAAGAGCGCCGAGGAGCTGCACCAGAAGCTCTTCCAGGATAAGGCCAACTCTTTCGATGAATGGGACAGCATCTACCGCACCAACGTGTCGCAGCTCTACTTCACCACCACGGCCTTCTTGCCCCTGTTGAACAAGGGAACCGACATCGAGCATGGCTGGTCCAGCACCGTCGTCAACATTACTTCGATCTCGGGCATTGTCAAGACTTCTCAGCATCACTTCAACTACAACGCCAGCAAGGCCGCGGCCATCCACGTGAGCAGAATGCTAGCGCATGAAATCGCTTCCTCCGGCCTCAAGATCCGCGTCAACAATATCGCACCCGGTGTGTTCCCCTCCGAAATGACCGCCAACGAGAGCGACGACAAGCAGAAGAGTTCCCTGCCTAAGGAGCAGTATGAGGGCAAGGTTCCTGCCGGTCGACCAGGCAAGGATGAAGATATGGGAAGTGCAATTCTGTTTGCCGTCACCAATCAGTACTTGAACGGGCAGACGATCGTGGTAGACGGCGGATACGTCCTAGCTGCTGGAACGGTCTAGAGTGGTGCCCTGAGTATGAGGATGAGATCACGACCAAGTAAATACATGAATGTATACTATCATCTTAATGCGAGAATAAAAAGTCTCGGAGTTTTGCAGTATTCAGATTACATCCATATGCCTATCTCTTGCACCAATGTAGCTCAATATTAAACCAGAGCACTTGATAAATCACAACATTTGATCCCTTCTTGGTATACCGAATAGGTCGCGGTTTGAATTATGTCTGGTCGAATTAGGGGATGGATAGAGAGCCCCTCGAGACAAGTCTATCGGATTGGTCAAGAAAACCACAAGGATAGAGCTACCCTCCATTGTGTTAATAGATACTCCATAATTTTGGTCGTCTCTTCTTGGCGCAGTTTTTCTTGAGGCTAATAGATCACCTAGAGATCTATCCACGATAATTTCAGGGAAAGAAGTAGTACTTCATATGGAAATTCGGAGCACAAATGGAAGAAGCTCAATGATATTGTACATGAAACAGTACAGATGGTTTCATCGCATGATACAGTCGCTTTGATTTTCAGGAAAGAGATGACCCCACGTACCGGACTGAACGAAGGGTAAAAGCTGAAATCATATATAGCAGCAATACACAAAACAACCCGTAGTCCAATATACATTATCCGTTAGATTCATGATAAGCAAACCTCTAGCAACGCGCCGTGAACAAAGGACCATAATCAAAGTACAGCCTGGAGAATCATGGCCCCTCCAGACAGAAGGATCATATCCGATGTCCGCAAAGACAGAACACTCCCTACTACAATCAGCATCTCATAGCGAATTGAGCGTCAAACAAACGTACCCTGACTATTCGGCACCGTTCCGTCTGAATTGACCTGATTCAGGCACATCTGGGTATACGAACCCAGAGCCACCTCTAGTTGATCTGCAGGATTCTGGCATTTCGCCGCGACACAATCGGTGATTGATGCCTTCCCTTGCTTGCTGGATTGAAAAGTGCCGGACTGGCAGATGCAGTTGATGTCGGAGGGCTTGCTGCTCTTCGCGGCATCCCCGCCGCACTTGCTCTTCGCGATATCATCGAAGAAGTCGTTGAAGCAGGGCTGCATGCATGACGAAAGGCTTTTCACCCATTCGTTGTAGGTATCGGCCATCACGGCCGTGCTAAGGGCGAGAAGCAAGAGATATAGCAGCGACCGCATGTTGATTGTCTGTGGGTGTTGTAGCTATGGACCCTTGTGTAGTTTCGATCTAAGATGTGGAAAAACCCAAACCCACCGGACATGTCAGACTGAGGCTTGGGCGTCTGATGATTTTTTGCAGCATGTGCGAGTCAGAGGATCTACGGCTCCTTTGGTTTCTGCCCCTGAGCTGCATAAATCGAGGAGCTAAGCCTGTGTTGACCATGGATACAGGATAAGCAGGACTAAGCAGCAAGGGCCCCTCGCTAGGCCACTAGTCCATTCTTCAGGAACAAAATGATCTAGCGGCTCTGGTTGGGGAGACCTGCTTTTCTCGAACAGAATGAAGTAATCTTCATTGTTTCGAGAAATAATAGATATATGGACACCAAAGACAAATGGATGATGATCCTGAATATGCCAGACTCGTCGATGTTGACAGAATGAAGAGAGGATTTATCCAGGATTAGTCATGGCACTGCACAAGCAGTTCTTCCACAAGACACTATACCAGTTCCGGCCTAGCGCCTAGCTGTCTAGAGCGTCCCAAAAGGGTAAAGCGGGGCAGTTCGTTTATCCCAATCAGAAACCACAAACAACCAACACGCCCCAAGTCTGTTCTGTTTCTTCTGTATAGCTTCACTCTGTGGTGAAGAGCATGGCAATCCACTGAAATCATCCATTTTGATTCCATTTTGATGGAAAAAATGCCCATCATGGAGACTATCCTCACCTTTGACCTACGACATCATCTTATACCCCACGGGGACGGTTAAGCGCTTTCCCCTCGGTCATCCACCGATTATCCACTCGGGACCACACAAGAGCAACACACCAACACCCGCTATTTCCGTTGATTTCAAATGCATGTCCCGATGATGAACTCACCGGCGATCCTACTCTCTATATCTCCACAATCCCTGCCTCAGTCCGGGGGATAATCTCTTGCCCACGGGGTTCTCCGCTCCTAGCGAACCCATTTAATCCCCCAATTCAACCTGAAGGTAATCGTTTCTTGATCTCATTTCTACTGGACCTGGGACACAGTCAACCATCATGTCGATTCTCTCGCTGGTCGAGGACCGTCCCACGCCGCCGCAGGTCTACAACTGGCGCATCTACCTACTGGCCGCCGTGGCATCATGTGCCTCCTGCATGATTGGCTACGATAGTGCCTTCATCGGCCAAACCATCGAGTTGGACTCCTTCCGCAAGGAATTTCACTTTGCAGAATGGTCCGACACCAAAATTCGAGAGACCAGCTCGAATATCGTCTCCCTGTATCAGGCTGGAGCATTCTTCGGGGCCCTCTTTGCATATCCCATCGGCTACTTCGTTGGTCGCAAATGGGGCTTGCTTGCCGCCGCCTGTATATTTACTCTCGGATCGGGGTTAATGCTGGGTGCGAATGGTGACCGCGGTCTGGGGCTCATGTACGGCGGCCGGGTGCTGGCGGGCTTGGGTGTTGGGGCGGGGTCTAACCTCACTCCCATCTATATCTCCGAGTTGGCACCTCCGGCCATCCGTGGTCGTCTCGTTGGTGTGTATGAGTTGGGATGGCAAATCGGGGGACTGGTGGGGTTCTGGATCAACGTTTGTTCTCCTTCCTTGTATTCATTTGGGCAAGCTGACCGGAACAGTATGGCGTCTCGACGACTATGGCGCCTAGTCACCGTCAATGGGTCATTCCCTTCGCCGTGCAACTCATCCCAGCAGGTCTTCTGATCATCGGCGCTCTGTGCATTCGCGAATCACCCCGGTGGTTATTCTCGCGCGGCCGCCGCGAGGAGGCCATTCGAAACCTTTGTTGGGTGCGCCAGCTAGAACCCCAAGAGCTGTATATTGTCGAGGAGATTGCTGGAATTGACCAGGCACTTGAGGAGCAACGCGCGAGTATCGGCATTGGCTTCTGGAAGCCTTTCCAGGCTGCCGGAACAAGTCCCAAAGTGATGTGGCGGTTATTCCTCGGCTTCTCCCTCTTCTTCTGGCAGAACGGTTCAGGAATCAACGCCATCAACTACTACAGCCCAACTGTCTTCAAGAGCATCGGTGTCCGCGGACAGACCAACTCGCTGCTGACCGGTATCTTTGGAGTAGTCAAGATGGTGGTCACCATCATCTGGCTGTTGTGGCTCATCGACCGCCTTGGCCGTCGACGGCTGCTCATCTGGGGCGCATTGACTGGATCGATCTGTTTGTGGATCATCGGCGCCTATATCTACGTTGTGGATCCGGCAAACAACCCCACGGGCGAGCTGAACTCCACCGGCATCATGGCCATCTTCTTCTTCTATCTATACACGGCATGCTATACGCCTTCATGGAACGGCACTCCGTGGGTATTGAACTCAGTAAGTTTTCAATCTCGCCCGAAGGATCGCCCACTAATTAAATCGATAGGAAATGTTCGACCCCAATATGCGCTCCCTAGCCCAGGCATGTGCCTCGGCGAGCAATTGGCTTTGGAACTTTCTCGTTTCGTACTTCACCCTGCAGATGTTCACCGCGATGAAGTATGGCGTGTGGTTCTTCTTCGCTAGTCTGATGATTCTGGCGACGATCTTTGTTTTCTTCCTGATCCCCGAAACCAAGGGTGTACCGCTCGAGGTTATGGATCGTTTGTTCGAGGTTAAACCGGTGTGGCGGGCCCATGGCGCGGTCATGACGGAGTTGCAACAGGAAGATGCGGCCTTTCGCCAGGCGGTGCAGGAGTCCAAACTTTTTGATGAGAAGGAGCAAGAGGAGCGGGTGGAAGGGCTTTAGCCTGAATCCAGCCAGCTAGGTGAAAAGGATTGTAAATGAATATAGACCGCTCTGCGTATTTTACAGCCATTGTATTTCAATGACTTCTGCCTCTCCATGACAGCATTTCAGATGACTCACGGTGAACAAGGGCATCTGCGGGGTTCGGCCAGTATCCGATGCACTACGGAGTCATCCCCGAGACGAAGCACAGTAGATCATGAGTGGTATTTTTTTCTTGACATATCACCTCCATCAGATCAGATAATTGTCATAACAATCGTCCACACCGGTCAGTATTCCCTACCCAACTCAGGATACATAGCTGACAAGGATAAAGTCCTCTTCAAGTTTCGTCCGGAAGTCAGCGAAGAGCATCGCAATGCCTTCGTCACGGAACTCAAGAAGCTGAAGAATCTCCCCTGCGTCAAATCCGGTCGGCTCCTCGTCGGTGGGCCCAGCATCACCGATCCCATCGAGCGCAGCAAAGGGTTTCAGATTGGTCTGGTAAGCTACCATGAAGACCGTGCTGCGCTGGCAGAGTATCAGGCGAGTGATGAGCATCATCGGTGAGTACAGAGAGTATCATTGAGGGGAGGCGGAGACTGATGGTCATAGGGTAACGTCGACGTACATGTTTCCGTACAAGGAGGATCTGGTCCGCTTTGATTTCGAGGTCGACGAGGAGGATGAGTACATGTGTCACTTTCCATTGGTGGCGTAGGGCCGACTTCTACCCATGCCAGATCTCTAGATATTTATACATTAAGTTCTTGGGGAGCAGCGAAGCCCAGGAAGAATCACAAAGAAATTCAGAAATCTAGCTTCCAAGGGAACCGCAAAAAAAATATAAACTACATCCCCATCGATCATTACGCCTGATTGGCCGGCAATTCATGGCACTCATGGGAACCAAGCTGAATCGGTAAGCTCTTGGTCGGTAGCTCCTGCGGTTGAAAGTCATGTTGCGTATACATGTGTTCTAGCTCGGGCTGGGTCACGGCAGGAGGTTGATGCTTTCTGCGTCGACGAAGGAGAAAGAACAAGAGTACCACAATTGCAGCCAGGCCCGCTATACCACCGACAACACCGCCTGCAATGGCCCCAGTATGACTCTCGCTCGTTTCTGGTTCTGATGTGGCTGTAGTCGTGGCCGCAGATGTGGACGTGGTCTTGGTAGATGAGACGGATAGTGACGGCTTTGGGGTCGATGTGGTCAACGCAGCGCCTAAATTTCCATTCGTGAGCACCAGAAAGCGGTTGAGGAGGAAGATACACACCTTTACTGATCGGAGTCAAGCCGATATACTTCGGATCCGCCGCGGTGTCGTTACCCAAGCAGCCCACCCAAACCGTATCGCGGACCCTGAAGCCCTTTTGTCCCTGTTCGCAACAGAAAGCGCCATCATGGTCATACAGGTCCCACGTCTTGTCCGCACACACGGGCGGGTTGTCGATGTAGGCGGTGCAGTTCATCATGCTTGGACAGCAGATCTGGTTGTCGTAGTTGGTCTCGGCGCCAGGGCACACGGAGCCGTGAGGACAACATGCATACCATGACTTCGACCATGTTGACCCACACGAGAACTCCCCCTCCAGGCAGGGGCTGTTGCGGCGAACGGCATAACCTTCGATATCTTCTGCGGACATTCTGGAGCGGTGACGCAGGCCACAGGAAAAGGGTTCCGATACAGGGTTTGAAATGGGAAGAAAGAAGTCAGACAAGCAGCTGGGGAGCGCGAAAAGAAAAAGGATAGCATTAGTGCTATGTTCACAGCCTCATCGACAAGGCTGCGGGTTGAGATGCGGAAGTGATCATCCGGGCGGTTTCTTCGATTTCGCTGATTTTATTGGTAAAGATGGCAGAGACAAGAGACTTGAGTTCAGACTCATCAATCTGCGCAAAGCATTGTCCAGTAGAATTGGCAGCCTATCCGAATGTTCTCCATCTCCTCGGCACGGTGGGCAGTCACTAATGCTTAGCTTTGGACCGGGGGGTGAGAGCAAGCAATCAGAACGCCGATTTGTGTTGGTTACTGCAGTCATCATTCTTGAATACAACACCTTACCGAATCAACTCGCTCTCTGAAGAGTGCAAGGACCGAGTTCCCCTGCTCAAACTTTGATTCTCCGACCTGATGAAGGGGCTCGCCAGCGCCAACTGGTCAAATCGCACAAATCAGACAAGCGTGTCCACCAACAGAACCACAAACAAACGCTCCACGCGACTCCACAGACGGCCTCGTGAAGGTTATTTCGGTGCCTAACCGGCTACATGAATCCTGACGGAACACCGCGAAGAGACCCGGCGCGAATCAGATATAGGGTCCGAGTCGTTCCTTAGACTGGCCCTGGCGACCTGCGATGCAGCGTACAAATCGAAGCTCCAGGCTTCGGGAGGATTCTGTGTTCATTTTGGAGGGATTTGACAAACCATGATGTATTCTGATGTCCTTGTTGGGATATTGACACTGCATCCAGCCGTGAGGCGTCTGTGTCACAATCGGTGCGGCAGTAAGGAGGTTCGCATCGACGTCGAAGGGCTCCAAAGGCCATGAAACTGCGTGAACCTTCTATATTTACGCTTTGGCTGCAATCCAAGTGCAACGGCCGATTCAAAAAAGGTACGTTGTCAGTGATATATATCGTTTGGCAAGGCAATACAGGGGTTGTCTAGGAGACCACCCCCGCTGATATCAAGCTTTCTTGACCCTTTAGAATCAAGAGCACTGACTGACCGTCTTTGTGCCACAGTGACACCATTGACTTGGCTCTTCTTGGCCTTCGAAGCCTGGATTCACGCCCTCCAAGTCGACGTATCCGCATCTCCGCATCGTCGTATATCCTATGGTGATCCGACACAGAGTTGGGCTGTGGAGCCAAACTCCACCACAAGTCCACAACAGCTTCATGCGCTATAAAAAGAAGGATTTTCTCCAGATTCAGTGGCGATCTATTGCCTCGTGGCCCCCTGAGAAGTGAGAAGAGACGATTGTGATAACGACGGATCGCATCGGCGTCGAGACCTGTGGACTGGCCTGTCACTGAACTTGGGAACTTATACTGAGCTGCCTCCCCGGCAACCAGCCACTTCCCACTTCTTCTCTCCACAACATCTTCACCATGCTTTACAAAAGCATTCTGTCAACACAATTCTGGGCTACGGCTCTTCTCACAGTGCAGGCATACCACCTTCAGCATGACGTACGCCAGGTCGAGCCCTGTGCCCAGGTCGGTGACTGGATTGCCGAGGCAAAGACCACCAAGGGAATCCCAGGTGGTTTGGTATATGGATGCTTGACATCGATGCCATTTGATGCACACAGCGCAGTGGATTTTGTCGACAAATATCGCAAGTATTTACAGTTCCAGTCAACGATCGAGACGCTGAAAGGTCGGTTCATTGTGTCAGATTTAGGGGGGGAGGTCAATGCTAAATCGTACACAGGTCCACCTCCAACTTATCGAATGCCACCGACCGATCTACTTGGAGGGTTAGACAGCATCAGAACTAAGGCCGAGAATAACGAATATGCTAATCACTGGGGTTTCGAATTCGACTTGAGACAACTCGTCAATTCCGCGCACGATGCTCATCTGTCACTCCAGCTCTGCTCAACAGTCCTCTTTCGCTTTTCCAATTCAATTCCTCTCGTCTCTGTTTCCCCAGATGGCCTGGAGCTCCCACAAATATACACTTTGGGTTCGTCTCTCCTCCTCATTCCAAGACGTAGCTGACTCGATAGACGATGCGCAACTCCTCATGGAAGGAGCCCGGTCTGTTTCGCCCGTGGTCTTGATTGACGGGCAAAAGGCCGCAGAGTACCTTGAACAGTTTACTTCTACGGCTCCTCTGCATGATGCGGATGCTCAGTAAGTGCTTTGCGAGCAGAAAAGCCAGATCAAGCTAACCAACGAACAGATACAACACTAATTTCCCCTCGCTCGCCAGCCAGGTCTCCATCGGCGCGCCTCGGAACAATGGATTATGGTCCCGGAATGTTGCAGAGATGTGGACGGGCGACCGGATCGATTTGACTTTTGCCAATGGTTCGACGCTCACGAGTCACAGAACAGCCGATCTCATCCGCTCCGAATTTCCGTTCCGTGACGGCGCGGCTCTGTTAGATGCTCGCTGCCGGAAAGCCCAGATTCCCTCGACGACCAGCGCCTCCTCTGACAGCGCTGGGTATCCCAACACCACCTGGACAAGTTACGGCGGAGGCATTGCGGGATACTTTTCCACCGCAGAGGAGCTCCAAGACGTCGGCGTGTTGGCTGTCACCACTTTCTCCGTGTATCCCTCGACCCTGAAGCAGGTCAGCGTGGAATTCCTGCGTAATGCGACCGCTGCTGGCAAGAAGAAGATCATTATTGACCTCTCCGCCAATCCAGGCGGCTCTCTGACATCCGGACTGGACTTGTTTCACATCTTTTTCCCTGATGTGGTGCCGTATACTGCGACAAGACTGCGCGCGCACCCCGGGGCAGAGTTCCTGGGCAAAGCGTTTGCGCGTCTGGCGCAGTCGGATCGCAAGCTATCCTTGGAGTTGTGGGACGCGAATCCGTTCTCATGGCAGTCGGCCGTAACACCGGATCAGGAGCGAGGATATGAATCACTCGAGGAGTGGTATGGACCGTATGACATCGAGGGGGCTTCTGTCTCTGGCTTGTATGCCAACTTCAACTACACGACTATTTCGACGCCATACTCGCCCATCACAGGATATGGGCCAATCCCTCTGGATCCTGCAGAGCGACTCTTCGCTCCGGAGGATATTGTCATGGTAAGGCGGGCTCCCTGACATAGACGACACAGTCAACTGACCGGGTAGATCACGGACGGAAACTGCGTCTCGACGTGTGCCTACTTTGTCGATCGGATGCATTGCCAGGGCGTTCGCACGGTCGCATTCGGCGGACGGCCGCAGTATGGGCCCATGCAGGCGATCGGAGGCACTCGCGGAGCGCAAAACCTCGCCTACGGGGGCATCTATTCGTACGTAGACATCGCGCATGGACTGGTCCGGGACTCGCTACGGAACGGATCCATCGCATTGATGACGACGGAGGAGTGGGCGGAGTTCAACCGATCCCTGCCGGTGCATTAAAATGAGTTTCCTTTTGTCTTTGGAGGAGGCATCAACCTGCGCAACGAGTATGCGCCTGGAGACGATGCGACGCCGCAACAGTTCACCTCTCAGGCGGCGGATTGCCGGCTGTTCTACACGGCGGATAACTGGTTCTCCCAAGAGACTGTTTGGAGGTCTGCAGCACGGGCGTTATTCCAGGGGGCGAGCCGCTGCGTCCGTGGGCCCATGCCCAGTGGTTAACGCGCCGGGAAGTGCCTGTACAGCAGTCATGGTTCGAGAACCGCTCTGAATGTGTAGATTAGTGTACATGTCCCCAGATAGCAAAGAAACTCATGATCTCGTCAAGCGCCATTCATCACTCCCTACATCTCTCGCCATGCATATCCCATGAACGCCGCCACCTCCACCGCGGCCGGCCGGCCGGACCGGAGCATGACGAGATGTAGCGCTGCATCGATTCCGTTTGTGATGCTCCCCGAGGTGATGATGCGCACCCGTGCCTCATTCAACCCCGAATCCACATAGTATACGGTTCCCGTCGAGCCTTCCGGTACTACCTCCGTCCTCTTCGACCCGGGTGTCCGACCCGTGTACTCGTCGCATAACTGCTGCAAGGGGCCCAGCGCCAACCGGTGCGATGTCGCCGTCGTACCCGCCAGGACCCCGGCAGCCGCCAGTAAATACGACCCGGTGCAGACGGAAAAGAGAACACGCTCACCGGTGGGACCGGGGTGTTTGGGGCCGAGTTTCGCGAACGCCGAGATCAGCTCGAGCAGTCCCTGGAGGTAGCCATTCGATGTGACGTGGGGTAGGATATGATTCGGTCGCGTCCCGGGGACGATGAGCACATCATATTCGGCGAGACGGTCCTTCGCTTCCGACAGTGAGAGATCGCGTTTGATCGTGACATTCTCCTGGGTGGTGGTGAATTCGTCGAGCGCCGCGATGGTTGTGGAGAAGCCGCTTTGGAAGAGGACACCGATGGGGCCGTTGGTGTCGAGGGTGTTGACGGAGGGATAGATCAGAATGAGGGCGGACGGCATATCGTAGAGAGATTGCACCAATTCAATGAGGTTGATGCCAAAGAGTTGCAAGAATCAGCGATGGAAAAGAAGAATTTGCCATCCTGGCTTATTCGCTTCTCACGTGCTGTAGCGTTTTGTTGATTCGGAGGCGCAGTGGCTATTAGGTTACCCGCCGTGGCGGATTGGATTCGATTCAATTTCACGTCCATGGATGATGATCCAGATGAGAAGAGCTCCGACATCAGAGCAATGCTGCTTGCTAATAATAATAATAATAATAAGACCCAATCCGTATTGTCTGACGGATTCTCAGTCCCCGATCTGGGGTTATTATTATCCCCCAAATGACGTCATGTCCGTGGACACCGAGTCGCAGTTGAAGCTCAAAGAGTTCTCGTCCCATCTCATTACTCTTGCTCATCTTTCTGAATGTATGCTAACATGCCACTGGTATTGATAGAATTGCCTCATCTGTCAAAAGCAACGCTTACCTCGAACGACTGCTCGTACGGTGTACAACTGGTGCCTTCCCACCGCAATGACCCCCACAGCCTCCGATGTCTTGAATCGGATTCCACCCTTCGGCCGTGGCAGGCTCTATTGTAGCCTGCTCAAAATACCATACAGATCCTCTGAGGGCCTTGGAGTTGCACATGGGACGACGCGTGGAGGTCCCAACATACAACCCAACCGAGGTTCTTCTAGCCTAGCTACTATGGCAGACGGGCTATTTATCTCTGCTTGGCTGGGATTTGCTTGGGCGATCCCTTGCATCTCTGCTCACTTTGAGGAGAGGATTCCTTACTGCGACATTGCGACACAGAGAACAAAGAAGTGAAGTGGGAGATGGTTGACATGGAGACATTGTGTTGGACGGCAGCATATAACCGCTGTTAAGCAGACGCACTCCTACTAACCACTGTACAAAAGATGAGAGCAACAAATGAACCAGCATCGAGTAGATGATCTAGTAAATAGGCATAAATCATACTATAATACAAGCACAACCGAATTTCAAACAATCAGTTGTGGGGGACCCCACCGGTGCCAAACAGCTCCAGCTTGATGCGATCATCACCCACACCCCGGGCCTTCAAACAGTCCTCCATCTCTGTCATAAAACCCTCGGGTCCACAAATGTAGAACTCGGTCTGGGGGTGGTCAAGGTACAGATCGGCCGAGTCACCGAGTTTCTGCAGGTCGATGCGACCCAGGTGATGGTAGTCGATGCCCGCCTGATCCTGCTCCGATGGCTTGCTGGTGAAGAAGGTCACTTGGAGGTTGGGGAACTTCTTCTCCAACTCCTGGACGTGGTCCTTGAAGGCACGGGCCTGGCTGGTGCGCGATCCATGGATGAAGTGAATCTTGCGCTGGACAGTACTGGAACCAGCGAGCGTGTTGAGGATGGACATCAACGGAGTGACGCCGACGCCGGCCGACAGGAGCACAATGGGGTGCGCAGCCTCGGCACTGGAGAGGAAGAAATCACCATAAGGATGGGAGACTTCGACAATATCGCCCTCTTTTTGCACATCATGGAGAATGTTCGAGACATATCCGGGTTGTCGTTTCGCGCCAGGAGCGCTCGGGTCGAGGCCAGTTTCCTTCTTCACACTAATGCGGTAATAATCCGGCCGCGGGGTATCGCTCAGCGAGTACTGACGGGCCTGGGGATATTTCAATTGCGGCACGTCGACGCGCACCGAGATGTATTGGCCCGGCTTGAAGGCCGGCAAGGGCTTGCCATCGACTGGCTTGAGGTAAAAAGAAGTGATCTGATCAGATTCAGGGACCTTCTGGGCAATGCGGAATTTCCGCCAGTCGGTCCAGCCCTGGCTTTCCTTGTAGAGGGTGCCTTCCCGGTCAATCATGATGTTGGCCAGCGCCCAGTAAGCTGCTCCCCATGCGTCTAGCACCTCATCGGTGCAGGCGTCTCCAAGGACTTGCTTCATCGCCTCCAACAGGTACTTCCCCACGATTTTATAGTCATCGGGTTGAATGTAAAGGGATGCGTGCTTGTTGCAAATCAGTTCGACGGCCGGACCGAGAGCGCCTAGGTCGTCAATATGGGAGGCGTAGGCGAACAAGGCCCCCGCCAAGGCGCGGGCCTGGTGGCCATTGACCTGGTTGGCGGTGTTGAACACCTTGTTGAGGTCGGGATGCTCGGTCAACATGTTCTTGTAGAAGACGGTCGTGATGTTCGTGCCATGGTCCTTCAGGACAGGCACGGTGGCCTTGATGATCGCGATCTGCTCGGGGGTGAGAGGAGCGGCAGAGGACGGGGGGACGGACTCCTTCAGCGAAGGTTGATGCTGTTGTGCATTGTAAATTCTATAGAGGCAGTAGCCGGCTACAGCCGCGACGGCGACTTGGGATGCGATGGTGACGCGACGATCCATGATATTGACGGTGAACTGCACTGGAGCAGACCGTAAGGGAGAATCACTCTTTAAAGCACTCGCCGCACGAGGAAATCCCGGTTCGCAGAAACCGCTTCTTCGAAATGAATTATTTTCTGCAAGCCACGTGGGAAGGAACCGAAAGCGCCACTATATCAGTTCTTTTTCGCTTTGGTTTCTCGGGTTCTGGGGAGAGCATCCCACAGCATCTCCGCGGGGGGAGGGGGAGATGGCCATCGCTTAAATGATGAGAACGGCTGAGCTGAGGATCAGACCATCCACTTCTACTGTCATTATTGGCGAATGGACGAAAATGTAAATGTCATGGCGTCGCCTGGCCCCGTGTTTGACATGAAAATGCTGTCATCATCGACCGAAGATTAATCAGCCTTGGGTGCATCCAATGGTGGTCGACCGGGGTGAAGCACACAGGAATGCAGAGGTAGATTTATTAAATACTGAAGGGTCTTGAGTTCCTTGTATTATTGATCTCTAATCTTGAGCGCGCGAGAGAGAGAAAGTGAAGATGAGGGATGAAGAAAGATGCATGAAGATGAGGATGATGATGTTTTCTGGCCGAGGAGAAAGGCAATGCCTCGTCTGCCTCAGGCACTCACAGGGCATTTCCCAGAGTCAATTGAATGCCTCTTTTCTCAGGCCCTCAGGCACCAAGTTTGAATGCCTCCGCGGAAAGACTTCAATTCTGCCCGATCGGGACGCCCTGATCATCTCTCTTCCAACTACACAAATCCCGCTGCGAAAAATCCTCTCGGTGGCATGATGCCGGCTCGGTTCGGCTGACAGAGCCGCGGAGAACCAGGAAAAGCAAAATGTTCTTCGATATGATGTTCTATCTATGCGTACTCCGTAGATGCTATGTTTCTGTATGTTCGGTATGGCTGCTCTGGTTCTCTACATTCCCCCAATCATCATCATTATTATTCTCCGGGCCACGTAGCCGGTCCCGCAGCACCTCGAGAATCCCCTTTTCCTCGAGTCCCAATACAAAGCCATCGGGAATGACGACATGGTGCGGCGTGATGATGATCGTATTCCCTCCGAATGATGCTGCTGCTCGACTCAGGGTTCTCTCCATCGTGCCATCGGGAACTTCCGACGTCTTCTCGATATCCGGTGGTCCCTTTGGTCGTCCGACCACCCGCGGCGTCCACCAGAACATGGGAAATTGGCGCTGAATGTTGTTGACCACCAAGGCGGTTCCCAGCATCAGTAGCGACCCGATCAGGACCAGTGGCACGAAGAACCAGCCCATCGCAATGATAGTAGAATCAACCGCTGCCAGCATCGCGGTGGCGCCTCCGGGGGGATGGACCGTGTTGGTCAACCCCATCGCGGTAGAGGCCGCCGCGGTGCAGACGGCGCCTGCGATCCAGCGTAGGCTCTCAAAGTCCGAGCGAAGCATGAAGAGTTTCGTAATTCCCACACCGACGATGGCAGCCAGAACGTGTCCGATAATCGAACTACGCGGCTGCGCCAGGGGGGATTGGATGGTTTGATAGTCCAAAATGGCCGTGGCGGCCTGTTGCAATCAGCCCCCTCTAGACTCCAATCGAGAAGGATGGACTCGGGTCAACGGAACATACCAGACTGGCGATGACGATGGGAGGATGATGCCTCTGAATCATCTCGCTGGACTTGAACACTCCCATGACCAGCAGCAGGCCAGCAAAGGCGCCGATAAAGGCCCAAACGCAGACCAGAACATTGCCGACTTCCTGCTGGGGGGAGGCGCGATATCCCAAAAACCGCGAGATCGGTCGGGGGAGACGATAGAGCTGGGAACGGGGGATGTATCGGTTGAGATATCCATCAATATCGAAATGCACCTGTTGTGCAGTGGGGAGTTTCATGGTGTCTGGTTCATGATGGAGTAGTCACTGTACATAATATATTGATATATATATATATACTCTGCTGGAATGTGTCGGGTAAACGCTCGGTCGCACAGCAGAGGGAGAAGGGAACCTTTTCTACCTTATAAAAGTGGGATCGATAGGAGAAATAGCTCCAAACAAATGATTGATAGAGAAACAACGGATCAACTTCGGTGGAGAATTTTTATAGGATCAATGCAGTATTATGTCATTTTGCAAAGTAGACAAAAAAAGAATGAAATATGAATTGAATTGAATTGAATTGAATTGAATTGACCACGAATTAAGCGACCACAAGCTATGCCTGGCTGATACTGTCGACACCTGGAGATTGTTCAGCCCAACAATACCAGGGGAAGACACATGGGATGAGGCTGTCTCTTATAGTTTGGCGACGGATTAGTTAACAGTAGTATTATTATTATTTTTATTATTATTATCAGCATACACTGTACTCAAATGGATTTCAGATTTCAACTAACTCAGTAAAGGATGCTGGGTGATAGCATGAAGAGTACGGAGTACTACTGGCTCAACATCCACATCCTTCTCTTCTACACAAAAACCCACCATAACATGATACTCGCATCTCATCAAAATTCATTCGATGACTCTACGATTCTCTCATTCCAGGAGATGAATTGATTCTCTTCGTACAATCTACATCGATCATTCTAATCTAGTTGCAGTCGACACTGCCCGGTCACGTGGCTGTAGGCGAGCGCAGCCACACTGAAGGCCGTTCAACTTTGGTCCTCTCGTCTTCGAACATTTCAACTGTACATCCTCAGATCGGCATTTTTATCGGGAGGAAGAACAAAAAAAAATAACTGTAAATTCATCGAAAGAATGCCGGGAGCCAGATCCTCCCAATCCAAGGCCCAAAAGAAACTCAGGTGCCATACATGCCGCCGACAGCGGATTGTCTGCGATGCTGGGAAACCCGCCTGTTCGAGATGCATCTCCAGAGGCGTCGAATGTCTGGGATACGCAGAGTATCCCATTCGCTGGGTGGAGCCATCATCGAACATCTCGTCGTCTGCGACAAGGCTCTATGTGAAGGGCAACAGTCCAGAATCTCGTGGCTCCCAGAAGAGAAAACGAGGACGTCCAAAGCTGTCGTTGATGCACACACCCTCATCGGGTGGTCGCGATCAATCAACAGACACGGCTGTCTCTGATCATTCACCGGGTCAATCGAACCGGGACTCGACAGCTGTCACTGCTCGCTCGCGATCAAGCTCGACGATCCCGTTGACGTTGCTGCCGACCGACTACGAAAGAAACAGACTGATCCTGGAATTTTCATCGTACTGTATGTGAACACACAGACGGAAAGGTACCAAGGAATGATCTTACAAGCGTTGACGTACCGAGCAGACAATGACTACATCTGCCCCGACCTGGTCATCGTGGACTCCTCCAGGAATCCCCACCGCATCAACTTTGACTTCCTGCCCCATGTGCCGGACTTTCTGGTAAACCTCATCGTTTCGGCGTCGGCAATCCATCAGGTCATCCGCGCTCAGCCTCAATGGGCCTTGATCGTACCCGACTCGAGCCAGCCTCTCGGTGATGCCGTCCATCAAGGCGATCTCGAGCATTTTCATTCGTTCCACCACCCGCTCAAAGCCTTGATTTACCGACACAAGTCGCAGTCCCTCCAGGGTTTGAACCGGTACCTATCCGAGGTGGATGGGCAAGGGACTGATCTTATCATCGGTGCGGTGGCTGTCATGGTACTGTGTGAGGTAAGGATCACAGTGGTGTAAATTGCGTACAGCTGATCCTGACACCCAGGATAGATCCAGCAGTCGGCATTTCGCAATTGGAAGATTCACCACGAGGCGTTGAGAAGTATCCTGACATATCGGGGAGGGTTCGCCAAACTAGCCTCGTCACGATACGCGGATCTCGGGTCTGCGTTGCGGATATTCATGCTGTACGTTTTGCTTCTCCTATCCACTGACATGGCTGATCGTGCATAGAGTCGACATCATGAGCTCTATTACCATACCTAGCCAATCCCTGCCCCCGAGCACTTCCTCGCAGCTGGCATATATTGAGCATCTACCTACACTGTATTGCGACGGGTTGGAACAAGGCTTTCCGTGCCCCAGTGAAATGCTTGCTGCGATCGTACACACCAACAACCTCAGATGGATCATCCATCACCACTCCGTTGAGGATTCTGGACCGATGGACAACGCAATTCAAGATCTTGTCACCAGCATCGTGACGTTTGCGCCCATCACATGGGCCGAGCGGGCACAAGGCTACTATGCGAAGAAGCTGGAAGCCCGCAATAATCAGCCGCGACCGTCCAGTTCGTTGAATCTGGTGTCGCAGTCCGATGAACAGACCGACTGGATCATTCTGGCCTCTGCATTCAAAGCGGCCACGCTACTCTACTGCCTGAGAGCATTGATCTTCGACCATGGGAAGGAGCAGGTCGTTGGGGGGCTGATCAGCGAGCTCCACGACGGTCTAATCACAGATGCTGGCTCTCTTGCTCAGGAATCGCTGACCAGCTTGCTGGGTATCCTCCACTCAATCATGATGCAGCTACACGACCATGGTGATTGGCTGGGTCGATTCATGTTTTGGCCGCTCTTCATGGCTGGCATGGAGAGCGCCTGTAGTTCCGATGGCATCGCGGACAGAGAGTTTATCGTGCGCTCCCTACAGGAACTGTGCCACCGACTCGGTGACATGAGTGTCTTAGATGCCGCTGTCTTCCTGCAATCAGCGTGGAGTCTGAGCCATGAGGATAGCATCAATCCCACCTGGGATGCAACACTGGAAAGGCTGGGCGTCCACGGGCTTTTCTTCTTCTAAACGCACTATAACGGGCATCTTGGATATCTGTGAGACGGATAGCTGCCAGATCTCTATTATGAAATCGACTCGATGGCCCCGAACCCATGATTAATTAACAACCAGCTGACTATTCATCATTATTCCTACTCCCAACGAAGGACAGATTTACTCAATGCCCAACCAAGGTCTACAGGACTATCTTACTGCATCACCCACCGTCTTCGTCTCCTGCTGGACCTCCTCGGCGGTACTGGTCAACGTCACGGCCAACACCGACGGAATCGCCACCACCAGCGATCCCATACACAGTCCCCAGTCCATGGCAAACTGCGTCATGGCCGGCTTGTCCAGCGCATTCAGCCGCCAGGCCATGGCGCCGCCGGTGGCCTGGAAGGTCTTGTAGGCACCGACGAGGATGGCGGCGACGGCGGGCGAGTTGGACCGGGCGCCCATGAGCCAGTAGCAGAACCCCTGCCAGAAGGCGTCGTAGGCGCCGTAGAAGATGTACAGGAAGATGGGGCCGGTCGACAGCCCGCCCTGCTTGTAATCGATGTCCTGCTTCAGGCCGTGCGCCATGCGTCGGTCCGACCACCGCTGGAAGGCATACCCGCCGCCCCAGATGCCCATGCCGGTGACGACGAGGAAGAGCCAGCCGATGCGCGCGCGGTTGGGGCGGCTGAGGCCCGGCAGGTCCAGCAGCAGACCCATGATCAGGCCGCCGACCATCTGCGCCATCCAGTACAGGGCGCCGTTGAGCGAGCGCGTGCGGATATTGAAGGTCATGCCGTTGACGATGTTCTGCTGGTAGGAGTAGAAGACGTTGGCGGTGAAGAAGAGCGGAATCATGCACAGCACACGCCAGTCCACCAGCGTCTGCATCGTCAGCTTGGCCGTGTGCCGCCAGTTCTTCTCGCTCTCTGTCGTGGGCTGCAGCTCCTTGACGCGTACGGCGGCGGGCGGGCAGATCAACAACCCCAGTCCCCAGCCGATGGCCATAATGATCAGCAAGGCGATGTAGGTCCCGTCCGACACGGTGCCGCTGGTGGAGTGGTAGTTGAGGCCGAAGCTGGCCAGCGATCCCACACCGCCGCCCAGGTTGAAGATGATCCAGAACGCGGCGATCGCACGGCCTTTTTGCGACTCGGGCACGTACGTCGTCATGATCGCGCCTTGCGCGACCCAGAGAAACGAGGCGCCGATACCGAGGATGGCACCTGCCGCGATCACGAAGGCACCGTTTCCGGTGTCTACAGTTGTCAGCGTTGAAACATCTCTGATTCCGACAGAAGGCCGCCCCTACTGTTGAAGCATAGCAGACTGCCCGAGTAGAGCGGATAGGTCCATCCTCCCAGCAGCAGACACACTCGGGGCCCAACCCGGTCGAAGATGGGGCCCACGACAAACAGCGCGGTGGCCGCGGTGGCCGCCAACAGAGCCACCGTCGCGTTGGCCGCGACCGTGGGATCCACCTGTCCGGAACCTCCCATGCCCGTGAGGGCGTTGTACATCTCCTTGAATTAGCAATCATGAACCAGAAGGCAGCGGATTCAACCATGCTCACCCCGGGACAGCAGAAACAGATCATGCTGATCAGGACGATTTGGAACCAGGAATGGGTGTAGATGCGATACGGCAGCGACCGCGGGGTCTGTGCGCCCGTCTCCATGGCCGTATTCTCGTAGACTTCGTTCTTGTGATTCCCCATGTTGTTTGATGACTGTTCCCAGTGCAAGACGGCTCTGGTGAATCTGGGAGAGAAGCAGGGCATGAGATCCGGGGGGGGGGGGGGGTTCGGGGGTTCTGAATCTTATCTACTTCTTTTCGGTTAGAAGTAAGTAGTAAGTAGGAAGTAAGTAAGAAGTAAGTAGTATTGATGAGGCGTCCCAGTGTAACAATCTATCTACTAGTCTACGACACTACTATCTCTCGCTCTCTCTCTCTCGCTCTAATCAATGTTGCTGTCGCGTGTCTCTTCACTCTTGATGTGTATCATCCGATCTGCCCTATAAGATGCCTCCTTCCAGGGCCGCCCCCAATGGTTACAAGAGTTAGGAGATACGCCTTACTCTGAACAGTTATCCCACTGCGGATCCATCCGACCCTGAGGCTTCGATTGGACTGAGGCTGTCTGACTATCTTACTGTCTTACTGTCTTACTGTCTTGGACTATCCGCTTCGTCTAATCGTCTCTCACGCACTTTCCAACCCCAGATTGGCCTCTTGGACTCCAAAGCCCGATGCAACCCTGGTAGGTAACCCCACGTAGCCGGGGAGAGGCTGTGGAGGAGTGGAAGAGTGGAAGGATTGTGTGGAGGGAGAGGGAACAGAAGCATTATTTATGTATCCCGACCTGAAGCCATGCAGCCAGCCATGGACGGCCTGACAAGTCAACCGATCTCCATCTGACCTTGCTCTCGATAGCAGACTAGATAGAGCACATCCACAGACACAGACACCATGGATCTCGCCAGTCTCTCCCGGCTGCAGACCGAAGCAGTCAATCCGCGCACAGCCCGGATCGATCAGGTTTCGACGCTGGAGATGTGTAGACTCATCAATGAGGATGATCACCACGTTGCATCCAGTGTGACACCCTTTCTTCCCCAGATTTCTGCTGCCATCGACGCACTGACACCGCGTGTGCGCAACGGGGGTCGGGTCATCTACGTGGGTGCAGGGACCAGTGGAAGGTGAGCAATTTCGGCTTACCCCAAATAATCAGTGTTTTGCTGTTTTGTTTTGTTTTTTTTTTCTTTTTTTTCGTGTGTTATTTTTCTACACAAAAAAAGAAAGCGTTAAAAAAAAAACGCACTAACAATCGACAGACTCGGCATTCTCGATGCATCTGAAATCCCCCCAACCTTTGCCGCTCCACCATCCCAGTTTATCGGGTTGATCGCCGGCGGCGATGCAGCGATTCGACGGGCGCAAGAGGGAGCCGAGGACTCGATCGCAGCGGGTGAGGCAGACATGCAGGCCCTGCAACTACGCCCAGAGCTCGACAGTGTCATTGGCATTGCCGCGTCGGGTCGCACCCCCTATGTGCTGGGGTGTTTGGCCTTCGCGAAGAGGAAGATCGGCTGTGTCACCATCGGCGTGGTGTGCGCGTCGCCCTCGGCCATGGGGCAGTCTGGCACCGTGGATTTCCTCATTGCGCCTCTGCCGGGGCCCGAGGTGGTGACCGGCAGCACCCGGTTGAAGGCGGGGACAGCGACGAAGCTGGTGCTCAACATGCTGAGTACAGGAACGATGATCCGGACGGGGAAGACGTACGGGAACATGGTAAGTCGGCTGCTGTCCCGTTCAACCGGCGGTTGGGCTGACGGCGGGAGATGGTCGATCTGGTGGCATCCAACTTGAAGCTGGAACAGCGGTCGCGCAACATCCTGCGCCGGCTGAGTGCGCAGTGCCACTCCATGGCCGACGAGGACCTCGATGCACTGCTCGCGAGATGCCACAAGAGCGTGAAGCTGGCACTCCTGGTTGCCGAAACAGGACGGTCGGTGGCGGAATGTGAAGCCATCCTGGACTCGGCCGGCGGAGTACTGGCTCAAGTCTTGAAGACCACGCCAATGGAAGCTATTCCAGCATCGACTCAGAGCAGAGAGTATGTGCTCTGTATCGATGGAGGAGGAACCAAGTGCGCGGCGCTCATTGCCGATCGAACTGGGAATGTTGTCGGTCGCGGCCTAGCTGGTCCCTGCAACCTGTCAGACATCCCTTCTGCATGCTGTGGATGCTGAACGCTGCTAACCGCTCACAGAACCGATGGAAATAACATGACAGAAGTCATCGCAACTCTGGTCGCTGCCACCTCAGACGCTCTGAAATCCATTTCCCCCGAATACGGCTTGAGGTCCTGCTTCCGGTCGGTCTGGCTTGGTCTGGCCGGCCTCGACCGCATCAATTTCCGGGAATCCCTGCTGCCCAAACTCTGTGAGCTCTTCGACCTTGGCGAGAACGAGGTCCGCTTGACGAACGACGTGGATCTTCTGGCGGCTGCGGCCCGTCGACAGCCAGAATGTCCGTCTGCGATCGTAGTCATCGCAGGGACGGGGAGTGTGGCGATGCGATACACCTGGGACAAGGAGAGCACGGCATACAGTCGAGTGGCTCGCTCCGGTGGCTGGGGACATATCCTGGGAGACGAAGGGGGTGGATATGCCATCGGGTTGCAAGCCATCAAGCACACTCTGACGGTCGTGGAGGAGATGCAACTCGGATTGCGTACCGAGCCCCTGGGGGACTTTGAACAGGCCATCCTGCTGCGACTGGGATGCAGTCTCTCCGGGGACGGTCAGGTCGACCTGCTGAGCGAGATCCTCGTCCAACAGCAGAAGCAAAGCGTCAAAGGCCGCATCGCTACCGTCGCGGAAATCGTCCTCAACATGGGCGCTCAAGACGACGCGGCCGCTGCCATTGTCGACGGGCAGATCGAAAGCCTAGTCAATCGGACGCTCGGTCGGTTGGTCCACCCTCGCTCGGTCGGGTATCTCCCTGGCGAGGCGACCGGGTTGATCGTCGCCGGAAGTGTCTTGAATCACCAAAGGTACAAACAGTTATTCCTGGAGAAGCTGCAAAGCCAAGGCGTTCACTTCGCCTATGTGGAGAGCGTGTCCGACGCAGGAGAATTAGGAGCAAGATTTCTCGCAAAGGTAGAGTAGGCAAGCTGTTTTCTGAACCCTTTTCCATGGTCGTTGTCAAACGGGTAAGATGTCATTCCTTGCACATATCTAGACACATACAGGTCATGCTATCCGATAGAAGTGAATCGGTCCCATTTTTGTCTTCTTCAGAAGAGTCCGAGACCGTGGAACTATCTCCTCCTCCATGATATGATACAAAAAGACCATGAGATGCTCCAGCACCAGTGTGATAGGCGAGAATGATTCGTGTCTTTTGAACAGAGCCCACATATCGGCCGAGGACCATCCCACTAGTTGACGTGTTTACCGTTGTCGATGTTGGTCATAGAGCCTACACGATTCCTTGTCCAGCGAATGGCATGGCATGCATGGTGTTTAGTTCTCAGCCATGGCGTGATGGAGATGGGCATTGACGAAAAACGGGGTATACTGGGAGCCAAGATGGTATCAGCCAGCCCATTGCTGATCGTCCAAGTGTCGTCGAAGTCGATCCGACTCCATTCTTGTTTATAGTAGTGTACTGTGTATATTGTTGTTGTGCCTGTCCCCTATAGCACGCCATCGTAATCCACATTGATGCTACAGATCTGGTAGTTATGAATGTCAGGATGCATGGGCGTTCCCCTCACTGAGGAAAAAGAAACAAATCTAGTTATAAGGAATGTATCCTCGTACAGTCGCAGAGTATATATCTGGGAAGTGCTTTGTTCACGGTCCAGACGTCACACCTGCTGGAACAACCCTACAACAGAACCATCCTTTCTTTAACCATGACGGTTCCCACCGAGACCTTGTCCCCTCCTTCGGGGAAGAAGTCCCTCATTCTCAATGCCTTTGTAGAGATGTGTATGTATATGTATCAGATCTAACCCTAGAGGATCCAAAACTAATCCTACCACTCGGGAGCACAATGGCCAGTCAATGAACCCTTGGCCGTGGTGTCGGCCATGGCTGCTGCAACAAGAAATATTGGATCTGGAGTAGCGGCGACCACCACCTACGAGCTACCGTATCATTTTAGATCAACCATGAAGGGAAATACTTCAACGTGCCGGGACCGCATCTGTGCCAGCCCAGTCCCCAGCGTACCCCGGTCATATTGCAGGCCGGAACCTCCAAAGCCGGAAAGACGTTTGCCGCTCAGCACGCGGAGGCGATCTTTGTCGCCGGACATAGTCCGGCGGTGGTAGCCAAGAGCATTGCCGAGATTCGCACCCTGGCACAGGAGCAGTTCGAGCGCGATCCCCAAAGTATCAAGTTCCTGGCGCTGCTGTGTCCCCTGCTGGGCCGGACAGAGGAGGAGGCTCGGGAGAAATTCCAGTCCTACCGCCGTCTAGGGTCGATTGATGGGGCATTGGCGTTGTTTGGCGGCTGGACGGGCATCGATCTGGATACTTATGGCGATGAGGAGGAGCTGCGCCATGTGGAAAGTAATGCCATTCGGTCAGTTTTCTATATTATGATTACAGCAAGGCTGCGCAGCTGACTGCGTGCCAGATCCGCCGTCCAAGGCTGGTCCAAGGCTACCCCCGAAGTGGCCACATGGACCAAGTCGACCGTCGGACAGCACATCACCGTGGGAGGACTAGGTGCCACACCGGTCGGTACAGCCGAGCAGGTGGCAGATGAGATGGACCATTGGGTCAGAGAGGCCGACGTGGATGGGTTCAACCTGGTAAGTTGGAGTCGTCTCCCCGAGGATTGTTCTGGGATGACTATGCAGTTGACAGGGGAACATATCGGGAGAATCTGTATGGGAAGCCCGGGCAGAAGGGGCCACCGGACGATCATCCGGCTTCGAAATATCGCTGGCGTGCGGGCGTTGATGCGGCCGATCATCGGATTCCAACGAATTAGGGATCATATTCAGATGATTTTAAATATGATTACTGCATACAGATTGAGTTGTTCAATCATTCTGCTGAGACTGGATTTTGTACGTGTTGGGAAGCTTCACACACACACACATATATAGATATATATACGACGGTCCATTGGGTGTCTGTAATCCTCGTCAAATGCCTTCTAGTATACTAAATGAATAATTACTTCAATAGCAGACTCTCTAGGGGATTTAATTATCATTATACAAACACAAAACAACAAAAAAAAACAAGAATAGTCATCATCTGCAACCTGTCGAAGAGAAAAAAAAGAAAGACAAAAAAGAAAAGAATAGCATGTCCTGGTTTCGATCCAGGGACCTCCGGGTTATGAGCCCGGCGCTCTTCCCCTGAGCTAACATGCTGGGATGGTTGAATCGACTACTTTTTCTGACCATATGTAGTTTATGTTCCAATGCCATCACTATGAGATGGTTTCTGTTGTAACTTGTAGGGGTTCTACCACTGCACTAAGAAGGTGTCCAGATGTTGTTAGTCAGTAACAGTAGGGAGCTCTTATGACAGTTTCTAAGCGAGATGAACTAACTACTCTCCACCAGATAGCGCCGTCCTGTCACTCTCACCTTCGCCAATCATCGCAGCCATCAACGCCACGGGACGCCCCCAAGCTCCTCCACCACTTGAAGCAATTCTCCTGTTGAAGACGTGAAATGGGGGGCGCCGTCTTGGCACAAAGAACGAATATGAATGGACGCCATTGTGCTTGACGAGTCTTGTTCGCGCATTGGCTGCTTGGTCTTCCCCGGCTGTGTACTGCTGTGTCCACCACCTTGCTTTGACCACCCTCCCTAACTATACCAAATCCCGCAGAAAGAGAGAGACAGTATCAACCAGGAGGTTATAGCGCCTCGTGCCGCTGCAGACTCGTCTCATTGGAGATGCTCCTCAACGACTCCAGCCGTGTCGGATCATTCCGCTTGATCGGTTCCGAGAAGATGTCAATGTCGACATCCAGCACCATGCGTGAATGTATCGCATCGCTCTTGGCATACAGTAGTTGCACAACGGAAGCAACAATCCAAGTCATGTCTTTCGGGCACGTGGGAGGAAGTCATCATGGGGACTCATCGCGGGGAAGACCAAGGTCGGGGTATAAAACCCCCTGTCTCGCGGGCAGTGATCTCATCCGAAGCAGCAGCATCAGGTTGAATCGTCTCCCAGACTCATTCCAGGATGCATCCCAGTGCGTTATTGGGTCTTTTGGCCTTCGCATCCGCGGTTTCGGCCGTGCCTGCACCGCCGCCGCACGCCCACTCACAGCCGGCGATCGATAACCTCAAATCCAAGATCAAGAACGTGGTCATCCTGGTCATGGAGAATCGTTCGTTCGACAATCTCCTGGGTGGCCAGAAGCACAAAGGCCTCGAAAACCCCATTAACAGCGGCCCGTACTGCAATCCCTTCAACCTCACCGACCCTTCTCAGGGAGTGGGTTGCGCCGAACCCAAGAGCTTTGACTCGATCACCAACGATCCAGACCATGCCATCTATGGCAACAACATCGAGTTCTTCGGCACCTTCAACCCGGACAACAACTTGATTGCCCAGGGAAAGCTCGTCGCTCACAATCAGGGCTTTCTCCACGAGCATGTCCGCAAGTACGGCTCCAAGGTCAACAAGACCATCCTGTCTGCCCAGGTGATGAACTACTACACGGAGAAGCAAGTCCCCGTCCTCACCTCGCTGGTGAAAAACTACCTGACCTTTAACCACTGGCACTCGGATATCCCTGGCGTAAGTACTGCCTCTCAGTCGACAACTTCATTCGTGGGCGCTAACGAATGTAGAACACCGACCCCAACCGTGCCGCGCTGGTCTCTGGAACCTCGCTCGGCCACGGCCTCAACGATGCCGCCTTCAGCAAGCACGAGTTCCCCCAGCGCTCCATCTTCCAGCAGCTGACCGAGACCGGCCATTCGTGGATCAACTATGTGGACCCGGCCGGCGGCACCGGCCCCGACGCCGGCTACTTCAGCTGGACCTATGCCACCAAGAACGAGGACAAGATCCAGCCCCTGGCCAAGTTCTACACCGATGCCAAGGCTGGTGCCCTGCCCGAATTCACATACATCAACCCTTCCTGCTGTGGAGTGGGCACAAAGTCAATGCACCCGGCCGGCCTGATCTCCGACGGCGAAGCCCTCATCAAGTCGGTGTATGATGCGCTTCGTGCGGGTCCCCAGTGGCACGACACCCTCTTCATCCTGACCTTCGACGAGAGCGGTGGGTTCCACGACCATGTCCCCGCCCCTCTGGCCCCCCGCCCGGACAACCAGACCTTTACCCTTAGCACGCCCAGTGGCCAGGACTACACTTTCCCCTTTGATCGCCTTGGGGGTCGGATTCCGACTCTGTTGATCTCCCCCTGGGTCAAGAAGGGACGGGTCGAGCAGAAGGGTACCAACGCCCGCCGCGAGACCGTCTCCTACTCGGCCACGTCGATTCTGCGCACGCTGGGTTATCTCTGGGACTTTGAGCCGTTCAACGCGCGGGTGGAACATGCCCCGTCTTTTGAGCATTTGATCGAGCGCAAGGCGCGTGACCATACGCCTTCTGCCATGCCATCCCCGGTGCCGTTCAAATAGATGCCGTGATGCGTGTCCATGGATTTATGCTTCTATTCTACAGTAGCGGGATTTTATATATCAATGTATCAATCTGAATTGTGAGACAGAGAAGTGTGATTAGGTACGAATAGAGGGCCGTAGTACTTCAGCATTCCTATAACCTTTGAAAGATCCCAGCTCATCTGAACGTGCCAGATTGGATTACTCTTGTACGGTCAATATATACTCACAGTGAGATCAAAAAGGCGAGACATCGCGTATCTTCGCCCGCACATCCGTCACATCCGTCACATAGGAAGCATCCCAGTCGAAGAACGAGAGACATGGCGGCGGCAGCAACTTCGCTCGGATCTTACAGAGCGCCTCGATGATGGTATCAAAATCGGTATGGATATTCCAGGCCGACTCCTCCTCGCCCTGGGAGAAGATGTCCCAGAAGCGGCCTTCCTTGTTGACTCCGCACACGCGGATCAGAGGGCCCGCGGCAATGATCGCGTACATGCTGGGCTTGGGGCCCCTGATCATGTCCACAGCGCTTGTGAGTTCAAACTTGACCGCTCGCTCCAGCGTCTCCCAGATTTTGACTCCCGGCGGGGGAACAGCTTGGCAGTAGACATGCAGCCGAGGGATGTTGGGCCACTGTCCCTGCGGACTGGCGACGGCCAGGTGAGGGTATTCTGTCTTTAGGTCAATCTGCTTGTGTATGAACCTTGCCTCATCCTCATCAGTGGTCATGATTGGAAAGCAGTGTTCAAGGATCAGTTTCCATGCGTCACACACCTGATCATGCGTCGAGTTGAACGCCAACCCGGCGATTTCCTTGTGATACCTAGGATCAGGCAGCTCAGGGTATATGCTCCTAGTTGGGGTCTGCATGCTGGAGATGGTGGAATGAAAATATAAACGAGTTGAAAGATTCGTGGACAGAGAAAAAGGGATGATATTGGAAACAGTGGAGGTTGTGTACGGAGTGACTAGGAGTTCTGCGAATTATAAGAGAAGCAAAATGGCAGCTATTGCATGTTCAGTATAAATAATCGACATATCTTGATTGATACAACCAGTGAACAAGGAAATGGTCTTTGTTTCTTTTACTCTTTGTCAGTCTTTGTATGAGACACTCTTGGCTTATGAAGTACGAGACTCTTCCGACAAAGACGATCTGAGCCGAAGAGAATCATGAAGAAGTAAAGCAAGGTTTGTTTCTTCATTTTGTAGACACTGATATCACAAATTAAAGACCTATGCCCGATGACTCGCTCGACGACTGTCTCTGTTAACATTCTATCAGCTTCGTAACAGTGGCCGTGTACCCGACATCCAGAAGATAATAGTCAAGTTAAACTATACGAGTGTATAAGACAACAACTGGGGATACTGCGGACGGTCGTTCCAGTATTGAGAGTGTCTCACTTTGGGATGCCATCTATGAGCTCTGCGTGGCAAAGTGATGGAAATAAGCGCCAAACAGCTTTGTTCCCTCGATGTAGTTCTCTTTGTCAATCTTCTCGTCTGGCCCATGGGCCCCGTCACTCGAGGTGCCCATGGGGAGCAGCATAATCTTCTTTCCTTGCAGGGCATTCTGGAGGTCAAGAGTCACCCCGATGCTATCGATGGTCAGACTGGAACAACGTATTCGAATGGAAAACTCACCTTCCACCTTCCCGAGTGAGATCGGGCTTCTGTTTGTAAACCTGCTCCGTCGCCTTGCCAGCTGCCGTGAAGTTGGCATCGTCAGGGTCTGTTCGCCACCAGGGTGCACTGCCCACGTTCTTCACCTGGTATTGGTTTGGGCTTTGAAGCTTCTTGAATTCCCCGTCGAGAAAGTCGGTCACCAGCTGCGTCACCTGGTCGCTGGACAGGTTCGGTACTGTCCGAATGGAGAATTTGCCCATCACTTCCGGCGCAATCGAGGTTGTAAGATCCGGTGTGGCATCGGCGCCAGATATGCCATGGATGGTCAGGGAAGGGTACCTCATTCGGTGCATCAGAGTGTCGACTTTGTTGTCGTAGATGGCCCCGGTCTTACTCTGGATATCGGCATAGAGATCCTCCATCTCGTAGTCAATATCTTGGTACAGTTCCTTCTCGCTAGCGGTCACGACTTCCACCAGCTCCGCAATGCCCGGAATGAGAATGTTTCCTCGCGAATCGACGAGCTTCGATAGGAGAATCACCAGGTCCGTCATGGGCTCGTGAACCGTACCCCCATAGATGCCGCTGTGCAACTGCTTGCCCGGACCAGAGATGGTGATGGTGAAATAGTCAATTCCGCGCAGACCATAAGTCAGACACGGCTTCCTGGTCGTCAGCCAATAATTATCTGCAATGCAAATAGCATCGACATTCTTGAACAGATCCTTCCCCGATCCTTGGATGAAGTCCGAGAATCCGCTGGAGTCTTGCTCCTCCATACCCTCGAAGCACATCATGAGATTGACCGGAAGCTCGACGCCGGCTTTCTGATAGGCCTCAATGGCATTCAGCCAGCCGCAGACCGGACCCTTGTCGTCGGTGCTGCCGCGTCCAAAGAGCTTGCCATGGTCCTCCGTCAGATCGAAGGCCTCGTGAGTCCAGTGTCCGTCCCCTTTCGGCTGCACGTCATAGTGACCGTAGACAAGGAGCGTTTTCTTCTCGCTGTCATGATGCTTCGGATACTGCGCCGTGACAACGGGGGGCAGACGCAAGGGAGGGTTGGTGTCTTTTTGATCTCCAAGATCGTGAAGAGTCACGGAAGCATCCAGCAGTTGAAGCTCTGTCTTGAGAAAGGTGGCCATCTAACACAATGAACATGAGTTGATGATGGTGATAAAGAAGCGAGGTTCGTACCGTCTCCAGGTCTGGTCGCTTTGCAGGGTCGGCCGACACAGATTGAATCTGAACGGCCCCTCTCAGCCCTATAATAGGTATTAGATCTGTTGATTATACGTGGGCATAAAATCTCACTGGTAATAAAAGCCGTAGACAGCTGGTCGACACTGATCATCCCATTGTTGAGCATGCGGTCGAATTCTCATCGTGGTGATACTCACGCCTCAAAGAACTTGTCCAAATCGCCCGAACTCATTTTGACGATGTTATCAATACAGCCTAATATCCTGCTCGATAGGAAGGAAGTAGAAAAAGTTGGGTAAAGAAGCTATGGTAGTGTGATGAGTGTTCAGTATCCCTTCACCATACACGGTTCTGCTCGTAGATCCTACTACGGAGGAATCAGATGAAGCTTCTTCACTCCTTTTATCAGTACCGATACATGATCAGGGATGACGTCTGGCATGAGTCCCGGACATTGGGGATTGAACTGCGCGATCCTAACTCTGGTTGAATTCCACGGGAGATGTGGACACTTGGGACTGGCCGAAGATCTTGGTTCATCATACGGTCCATACATCCAGAAACAACGTAGATGAATTGCATATCTTGTGGGGAGAGCGTATACTACCCTCCCGCAGGAGATGCACACTTCTACATACACTCGCAGATCTCCCCTCTTGGCCCCGAATCACACTACCTTAGGTCTCGGTGGCATAGAAGAGATTCTGGAGCTTGTCTTTGTCTACTGCATCCCACAGTTGGAAAGGAAACCCCTCATTCAGACTGACCTGCATCCCAAGTTGCGCCATGATGCTGTTCCCCTCACTACGTGGCAGTTACGGCTGCATGAAGCAAACGTTTCATGCAGGAGCGTAGTGTAGATATGACCTACAGAGCTGGCGATCTGATGAGCTGGCGACTTGTCAACCTATCGACCTACTCTGCTGCACCCTTCTTGTAGGATGGCGAACAGGGAGAGCTACTCCTGGTCTGATCCTATTGGGTCTATCTCTTGGTTAACACCGTTAAGCATTCGCCAATCCAACCCTGGCTTCGAGTACCTCCACCATGTCAGCCGGACTAATTCTCTATCCCACTCGATAGATGTCAAGTTTGTGGCTGGCGGGGCCACTTCCGTGGGATCCGGCTACCGATATGAACCATACAGAGTGAAGCTTCACTTGAAACCGTGGATGCACTCACTCAGCTAACCTTCATGTTGGGCACGTTTGCAGCGGAACATCAACTCCGGTGTTACATCAGGGACATGATTAACCTCCGGGATTAACCATTATTATTGAAGACAGACCGTAGGCCTGCCAGGGATTTCTCTATAAAGTCGACCATGACAACTCCACCACGACAAAGGTGTACGCACTACAGCGCCCAGCGAGATCAACTCCAATAGGTACTACTATGTCGACTTCTAGATACCAGCCCGTGGACCCGGTCGTTCGCGACCTCGTTGACTTTGTCCATCGTTCGTCAGATCGCGTGAAGGAGTTTGAATCCGCGGTCGAGTCCGCCTGCGACCCGAAGAATGGCGGCGACAAGGAAATGAAGCAGGAGGGTATCCAGACGCTGGACGACTACTTCAAGTTCGTGGACCATCTGGTGCGATGGGTCCCCCAAGTCTCCAGCACCGGCGATGAGGTGTTGAACAAAATCCTGGTCTTCTACTGGGTGCTGGATCAGCCCACGCTGGCTCCGTACCAGACCAAGATCCACCCTACGACAGCCAACACCGATCTGACCTGGCTGTCATACTGGTTGGTGACATTCGCCCGCGAACAGGGCAAATGGCTGGATACGGCCGATTCCGCAGGATCGGTGTATACCTTCTACCGCAATTCCAAGTACAACAAGGAAGCGGACGCCTGGGAGGAACCCGTCGACGGTTGGAAGTCCTTCAACCACTGGTTTGGCCGTCACTGGAAGGATATCAACAAAACCCGGCCTGTCGCTTCCCCCACGGACGATAATGTCATTGTCTCCGGGGCGGACTCCATGTTCGATGGCCACTGGGACATTGTCAACGGCAACATCGATTTTAAGGATACACTCATCGTGAAGGGGGTGGAATGGCCGGTGTCGACTCTGCTCCGAAGCACCGGCATTGACTACAACAATGGCAGTTTCATGCATGCCTTTTTGAGCCCCACGGATTATCACCGGCAGCACGCACCGGTCAGCGGCAAAGTGATCGAGGTCCGGAATATCCAAGATCAAGTCTACCTTCAGGTTTCCAAGAAAGCAGAAGGACCCGGCATCGGAGGCTCCCGAGGCCTCGTGCGGGCGCCGGCGGACATTCACCACCGGAAGAAGCACCATAGGAACGAATTCTACGATCTCGATGCTCCCGACGAAGCGGGATACCAGTGGTGTCAGACTCGCGGCCTTATTGTCATCCAGACCCCCAACCACGGCAAAGTCGCCGTGCTCCCAATCGGAATGGCACAGGTGTCGTCGGTGAAGATGACGGTCAAGGAGGGAGATGAAGTCAAGAAGGGGGATAACATCTCCTACTTCCAGTTTGGAGGATCTGACATCTGTCTTGTGTTTGAGAAGCGCGTGAAATGGCGTGAGGACCTCAAAGTTGGCGAAACCAAGCTCAATGTGCGCGAGAAGCTGGCGACTTTTGATTAAGGAGGTGTATCTCCAGCAGGTCAATCAAGGAAAATCCTCGGTTGCTTTGGTATATGACTATTGAACTATGCAGCCTACGTGTATAACCATCTTGGATATTCTTCGGACCAAATTGTCAACTTACACAACCGGCTAAGAGACATATTCTTCAAGATGCTATCCGCCTAGACATTAGAAGCAAATCAACAATGTGAATGGCCTCAGTAATGTCGAGATACCCCCCAATGCCAAACACTACGGACAATCAATCCGTTTAGTCCCACTGGACGTGTAGGCAGATCGAGCATGCTTCCAGGCGGGGCATCGGAGTGTCCGGATCGTGTTTCCTCCTGCGACTTGACCATGCATGAATGTGGAGATGTGGAGTGATCTGCGTCGAAGCAATAATTCACAGACTCTAAAGACGTGGATCGATTGAAAATCCGGTGAGAAGATCACAATATGTGGCTGAAAGAGAGTGAGCTGAAAGACAGAAGCAGCAAGGGATAGGATTGGCATTAACTATTAATTAGGAAAAAAAAAAGGCATAATGCAGGAAGATATTCTCATGGGGGATTCAGGGACTAGTTTCAGATCCCCTCGATTTGTCTGTTGATGAGCGAAACTATTCCAATAATATGGCTGCTCTGCTCTTTCGCCTTCAGGGTTGGATACCTGGAATCCTGGATACGGGACATGCAAGCCACTTTCCTATTTTTCAGTGATAATCCTCAGCTGTGGGGATATACCAAGTGGGCATTCAACCACAAATCATAATGACACCCAAACAGCCTGATCCTTGACGAATTTTGTAGCGTGGTACAAGTTACAACAACAGCAACAACAAGGGGGGATGAGCGTGTGTCCTATCTATATAAGAGAATTCGCGACTTTGTACCGGCAGAACCATCATCGACCAGTCGCTCAGTTGCTCTCCCTCCTCGCGGCCAGTCTTGATCTCCTTGCACAATGGCAAAGTCTTTCTCCTTCTATTGCTCCCTCCTCTGTCTTGTGCTCTCCATTGCACGCCCTAGTTATGCCATCAACGGGGCCCCCGAGGCGCCTGCGGATGCCGCCCCATTCGCTGTCGCTCTGTACAGGTCCGACGGCAACTTCCAAAGATGCGGTGGTGTGCTGATCAGCCCTTACTCGGTCCTCACGGCCGCCTCGTGCATTCAGAATCAATCGCACAAGACCCTGGTGGCCCATGTTGGCAGCAACAACCGCACCACCAAAGCGGGAATGCGAAACCTGACCTCCATCATCCAGCATCCTGACTATGATATCGACACCCGGGACTCTGACCTGGCGATCCTCACTCTGGGTGAGCCAGCGGATGACGTCAAATTCGCCCTCATCGATGATTTCGACTCCAGCATCGGTGCCAATCTGACCGTGTACGGCTGGGGGTTCACCAACTATTCAATCGGAATTTTCCCGGACAACATCCACGAGCTCGTGACCGTGGGCATTACCCGAGAGAAGTGCAGATCCGAGTGGAAGGGCGTTCATACCATCTCAGACCGGATGGTGTGCGATCAGCCACCGACGGAGAAGGCCGCCTGGCTGGGCGACAAGGGAGGACCGCTGGTGAACAACGCTGACGGCACCGTCGTTGGCCTGGTCAGTTTCACCATCTACGACACCGACTTGAGGAAGGCCATGCCCGATGTCTACACGGATTTGGGATACTTCCGGCCTTGGATTATGGAGAATGCCGTATTCTAAGGTGCTTTGCATTCTATCCGGCCCCATCTGTCGGGGTTCGCCTGTATATCCTTGAAGCCATCGTTCATTGTAATCACACTGTGGTATATTGAAAGGACATATAATTTTGAGAAAAGAGGGGTTATAGCTTCTGTGAATAATAGTAGTATTCGGTAGAATTAACCCAGCGAGGGAAATCGATGTATGCTCAGCCGGCAGGAATAGCCTCCAGAACCCGAAAATGGGCCCAACAGGATAAGGATAGGTTTCTGCGGTGAGAGACTCTGCATATGGATCTACGTGGTACTGATTCCCACTATTGATGATCTGCAAATGCGCTGCTCAATCCCAAAATTGGATCTACATGTAATCGTCTATCCCTTGTCAGCCAGATCTGTGATTCCTGCACCGAGTAGGCCAAAGAGCTGTAGCACAGCTGAAAAGAACGTGGATCGCAGTTCGTAGTATACAATTCTCCGTGGAAAGGCCAGACTCTTCCCTTTGTATAATTCTCCCTTTGCCATCTACGCCCTGCTATCCCCTGATTGTCTCGAAACTTTCATACATCCCACGCATACGTCGGCAAGGGTATACAAGATGACTCGGGATATACCGTCATCCTCTGGCCTCCCTTCCAGTGGGATTAAAGTGATTGTTGTCGGATTGGGACTGGCCGGCCTCACGACCGCGATTGAATGTCATCGAAACGGACACTCGGTCACTCTCTTGGAAAGAATTACGCAGTTGAAACATGATGGTACGAAACGTCCCTCGGTCTCTTCTCCCCAGCTAGCTACTAACCGACGGAGTAGCCGGCGATGGAATTGCGATTGGTCCCAACGCCGCACGCATCGTGCGACAATGGGGTCCGGAGGTGATCGAGGAGATCGATCGCACTCGATGCGACGCGACGCACGCCGATATGCTGGACCACTGCGACAAATTCATTGCCCGCAATGAGCTTCCCGGCAAGGGCCAGCAGTTTGTGACCAACCGGGCCAAGTTGGTGTCGATCTTGTACGAGTACGCGAAAGGACTCGGGGTTGACATCCGATTCGGCGCTCAAGTGAGCGAATACTGGGAAACCGGCGACGAGGCCGGCGTGGTCGTGAATGGTGAGGACAGGCTGACCGCCGACTGCGTCGTGTGCGCCGATGGCGTCAATGGCATGTCGCGGCAATTCATCACGGGCGAGAAGGTGGACCGAACCCGCAAGGAGACGGGGTGGGCGACGTTCCGCGCTCACATCGATACCAACAGCGAGCCCTTCGCCAGCGACCCCGAGGCACAATGGGTGCTGAAAGGGACCAGCGAGCAGGACCAAGCCTACGCGTGGTTTGGCGAGGGAGTCAACATGGCCATGTTGACCATGGGACGGGGCAAGGACTTGGTCTGGATGACTACGCACTGGGACTGCCATGGGGCCCAGGAGACCTGGAGTGGAGGAGGCGTGCACGCCAAATTGGAGGATGCGATGGCAGCAATTGACCACTGGCCCGGCAAGGAGAGAATTCAAGCGGTGATCAGACATACCAAACCCAGCAAGCTGGTGAACCATCCGCTGGTCTATCGGCCCCCGCTGAAGACATGGATCTCGCCCGGTGGTCGAGCCATCCTCATTGGCGACGCGGCGCATCCCTACTTCCCAGTCGTGGGCCAGGGAGGCAGTCAAGGGATGGAGGATGGAGCGGTCATTGCGGTGACTCTCACCCTCGCTGGCAAAGACCGGGTTCCTCTCGGTTTACGAGTCGCCGAGAAGATCAGGTATCCGCGGGCCAGCGTGATCCAGCTGGGTAGTTCGGCCCTGCAAGAGGCGCTGTTACGGCCGGACTGGGAGACGGTGGCCAAAGATCCGGATCTATTTCGCTTCCCGAACCCCGACTGGGTCTTCAACCATGATTGTCAGGAGTATACCCACCGAGAGTTTGAGACGGTGGTCCAAGCAATCCAGACGGGGAGCGAGTATGTGCCATCGAACATTCCTCCTGACGGGGTGTATCGGGTGGAAAACACATACAAAGTGGAGGCCTAGCTCGATAGTTCGATAGTTGCATTGCTTGCAATCAAGTAAAATAGCATAGATCTGTCTCCAATTCAGCCCAGCTATTCTATCTGCAACTGCAAGAGACCAGGTCCCACTCGATACGAGACTGAAAAAGTAGAAGACTCTTGTGGACATAGACATGGAGGGGGCAAAGTCTCATTGCATATGCATGTCTCAGCTCTGACTGTTTCGGGTAGTTCTGAGCGAGATCTGCTTGAGACCTTCATAAGCCAATAGTTTGATGCAGTCACGAGTATCTACTTCTTATGCACATGGGCGAAACCGGATTTGGATGATGACCTCAATTATGAGGCTATCGTGCTGGCATCATGCATGATCTAGTGGATTTAGTCTCCAATCAACAGCCCGAAAGAAATTAAGAAGAACAGAACAAAAGTACTATCTAGATTGTATACAGGATCAAACTCGCCGGAATCTCTAATTGACGCCTCCTACGATCATCATCCCCTCCTTGCGTTCAGGTTGCAAGTCGGTAGAAGACTCAATCGAGTCCATTACAAACGACTTTCTCTCTTTTTTCTCAATCATTGCACATTCAATAGTCCACCACAGAGCTCTCTACCCCTCACGCAGATTCAGACGTGTCTGGCGCCATGACACGAGACGCATCCACCGGGATCACGGTGATAGTCGTGGGTCTGGGCATTGCGGGACTCAGCGCCGCCATTGAATGCCATCGACAGGGCCACAAGGTGATTGGACTGGAAAAGAAAGGGGATGCGCATCAACTCGGTATGTCTTTCATTCCCAGTCTCAAGACGGTGTCACTGCAGCCATATCTGACTCAATGCAATGAGGGAATAGGGGACATCATTGGCCTCAGTGGAAACGGTCTCAACGTCCTCTCGCGTTGGTCATCCGCCGATGAGTCGATCATCTCCCGTCTTGCTGCTGTTGGCAGCGAACTGAGCTCGGTTGAGGTATACAGTGACGCAGGCGAGTGCAAGCATGTCATTCCCTTTGGTGCCGATGACCCGGCCCAGGGACTGTTCTTGCGTCGGTCCGACCTGGTTGATGCGATGTATCAGTATGCCACGACCGAGCTAGGACTGGACCTGAGGTTCGGCGTGACTGTAGACGAGTACTGGGAGACGGAGACCGAGGCTGGTGTGACCATCAATGGTAAGGAGAAGATCACCGGACACTGCGTGATTGCAGCAGATGGCCTGTATAGCAAAGCTCGGGCCATCATTACAGGCGAAGAGCCCCTCGGGGATGCTGCAGCGCTTCTGCAGACGGGAGGAGCCATCTTCCGATCGAACTTTGATGCCAGTGAGGTGATCAACGATCCGGATGCGCGTTGGGTGCTGGAGGGCACTGCAGAGCACGATCGCCATGAGATCTACTTTGGCCGAGACGTGACGATCCTCGTGGGAACGATTGGCAAGGGGAAATATGTCTGGTGGAACTGTCCTCATCGGGTGAGTATTCGTTTCTTGTTTCCATCATACAGCGCCACAGAATTGACCTTCTGCTAGGACGTGGCCAAGGCAACTGAGAACTGGGTGCAAGAAGCCACTGTGGACCCTGTTCTTGCATATATCCAGGACTGGCCGATAGCCAAGAAGCTCAGCGCTGTCATCTCCAAGACTCCCCAAGGAAAATGCTTCAATCATGCCCTCGTTACCCGAAAGCCACTGGGAACGTGGGTGTCCCCGAAAGGCCGCATGATTCTGATCGGAGACGCTGCTCACCCGTTTCTGCCGCATACAGGGCAAGGGGCCAACCAGTCGATCGAAGATGCAGCCGTAGTGGCCATCTGTCTTCGACTATCCTCACTGGCAGCAGAGGATGGTGAAGGCGATGGCGTTCCACTCGCTCTGCGTGCCATGGAAAAGCTGAGGTCAGATCCAGTCCGAACAACAGCATAAGTATGATGATACTGACCTATACTTGTAGACACAAACGGGTCACGGTCATCCAGCAAGGCTCGATCGAGGCCCAAGAGGTCACCCTCGAGGCCGATCTGGATCAAAACGCATCCAACGATCGCTTCAACGCGATCGCACGCCCAGGCTGGATCCACTGTTATGATTGTGTTAGCCATACCCATGAAGAATTCGATCGAGTGGCTGAGGCCGTGAGAAAGGGAACCGAGTACATCCCAACCAACGTTCCAGTGGATGGAAAATTCCATGCAGAGGATGATTATCGCCTGGCCAAGGGCACAACAGAATAAATAGTGAATGACGTTTATCTTGACAAGTGCAGATAGTTGGGCTGTGCTACAAATTTGCCGAGCTGTTGATGTATTCCGTTCTCGTAAGGGTCAACGTTATGTGATGACTTTGTCTTAATACTAAGATCGAATCCTTTTATCCTCGCTCGAGTAGTCGATAGGAAGCCTAGGTGTTCAATCACTTGGTGAGCCTGCATCAAAGTATATATGTTGACCGTGGTGGGTTGGTATCAGGGCAAGAACGGAATATCCAGAGTATTTGATATATAAAGTCGAAGTATGCTTCACACAACACTTCAGGAAGGTATATATTGTCTCTGCAAAACAGATAATAGAATCATGCACCCAGATATGCATTAGATGGAATGCGTGTTACAGTATAGAATGTAAATATTGCCTACATGTCTTGCACTATTCCCATTGAATCTCCGCAAGCAACGCATCAGGCTTCTCAATGAACTGGTTCAGAGTCGATGCCAGCCTACCCACCAACATATCTGCAATTCCGTTTGTCAATCGGATCTCAGGCCCCAGGATAGCTACATGCAACGAGTCTTTCATCGGAACCAACTGGATCTGCACGTCTTCCAGGCGGCCATGGAAGGCCCATCGGTGCTCCAGCACACGGCCATCCACAGTCACGGGGGGAATAGCCGAAGTATTCTCAACTACGAGCAGATGACTGAATTGGCTTGTTTGCTTGGGCCACAGAGGAGCACAGAGGGGAACCAGATCCGGCAGCTCAGAGGTCTCGTACGGAAGACGGGCGATATATTGCTCCTGGGAGTGAGAAAGCAGATCCTGAACGGTGGCTCCTGCGTGCTGAGGGATGAGGATCCGCATAGGCGTCTCTGCCGCGGTGCAACCGGTGATGTTCTCTACATCCTCCAGCAGGGGAAGGGTGCGGCCTTCGATGAACTCGCCGAATACGAGATCATGCTGCCCCGTATAGTTGGCAAGAACGAAGGCCCACGCCGCGCGGAATGCAGACGCCATAGTGATGCCGGTTGGAGGAGTCGAGACGGACTGAATCGGCCTCATCACGTACACCATGCCGATATGGTCATCGGGAAGAGAAGCCGCCGAGGCATCAGTGAACACGGGTTGGCTCATCTGGGAACCTTGCAGGAACTTCGACCAGAACTCTACTGTTGCCTGGGATGAATTGTGTTGCACACGACGGGTCATATAGTCGGAGAACTGTCGCTCCCGTGCAGACAGCTGGCCGTTCTCCATGGCCGCCATAAAATCATTGAAAATGACACCAAGGGTCATGGCATCAAATTGTGCGTGGGTGGTCCGAATGATGAGTGCACTGCTACCATCTTGAGTACTATTGATCCGCGTCAATTGCCACCAGGGACGACCGTCAAGGACCGGCTCAGCGTCCTTGTCGCAGAAGGCAGTTGCAAAGTCTTGGGCCGGTTGGTCGCATTCTTGGATGGGAATCATGAGGTTTGCGCGGCGCAGAAAGCCCTGATAAACGTGGTCGAGATGAGGGATATACACCGAACGGAGGGAAATGTGTCTTTCCTGGACAAGACCCCATGCAGCCTGCAGTCGGGAGTGATCGACGCCCGAGATATCCAGAACGATATGCATGCATTTCAAGCCGGCAGACTTTCGTTGGAAGGCGGTCATCGGCAGGAAGCCGGGGTGTTCAAGCTCATCCGTCTGTATACGAGCTTTGGACAAGAGCTGAGCGACAAGGGATGGCTCTAACTGGACGGACTCTGCTGGCTGTGAGGCGATCGACCGTTGCTGATTAGTTCCCTCCAGAACGCCGGCCATGGAGCGCACTGTTGGGTATTTGAACACCACGCCAGAGGGCAAGTCGCTATAACCCATCTTACGTGCACTAGCCGCAAGGCGAAGGGCATCCAAAGAGCTCCCCCCAAGGTTGAAGAAATTGTCCCGCACACCAATCTCTGCTGCAGGCATATTCAGGCTTGTCGCCCACAGCGCCAGCACGAGCTCCTCGAGGTCCGTTGCTGGCCGGTCTTGAGCGCTTTCAAGCATACTGCTATACTTTCGCCTGGCGGTCGGTGCAAGGTCTGCGGCAGCCGTGCGAATGGACCGGCGGTCTGTCTTGCCAGACGGTAGCATGACGAGGTGGGAGAGAAGGAAGAATTCCGATGGCACCATATATGAGGGCAGCACAGCCCGAAGAGCAGCCTGTGCCTCTCTGGCGGCGATAACAAACTGCTCGTCCGGTACCAGGAAGTGATCCTCCTGGAGAGCATCATTTGCAGCCACCGTCATGTCCTGCGAACGGCTCACGAATGCAATAAGATTCGGCTCACGATTCTTTGGTGTCACAAGGTCTACGATGACAGCGTGTGGTGGAGCGAAATGGCGTCGTAGCTGGTCCTCAACCTCTCCCAGCTCCAGGCGCTGTCCATGCAGCTTCACCTGCGTGTCTTTACGGCCCAGGAACTGCATCGATCCATCACTGGGCTCGTAGCGCACGAGATCGCCAGTCTTGTAGAAGGATCCGTATGATTCCCGACCGAAGTCACCGACCCAGGCAGGCGCATCGATAAATGAAGCCTTGTTCCGTTCCGGACTGCCAAAGTAGCCTCGTCCGACAGCGTGTCCCTGGATAATCAGCTCTCCAACCTCCCCAACCGGTAGCAGGCGATCGTGATTGTCTGGGTCCACCACCCACGGAATCACACCGGTTGAAAATCCGATGTTGTTGGGGTGAGCCTCCGTCATGGCGGAATTGAGGATGTTGATACACCCAGCCTCAGCAGGGCTGTAGCCATTGTGCAGATGAACATGGGCGGACCAGCGGCGCACATCGTCCACCGAGACCGGCTCACCGCACAGCATCACGGTCCGCAGCAGCGGCAGGTGCTGTGGCTCCAGCAGACGGCTCACCGAGGGCGTCATCATGGCCAACGAGACTTGATACTTGTCGAGGGCGCGGGTCAGATCACCCTTTCTCTCCTCCTCGGACGGAATGCAGATGCATGCCCCGAACACAAAAGGAATCAAGTGCTCAAAGGTCGCCAGGTCAAAGGAGTTGGAGGAGAACTGTAGAGTTCGGGATTCCTTCGTGATACCCAATTGCTGGCCACAGGCCAGGGCGCAGGTTACCAGCGCACGGTGTTCCATGATGAAGCCCTTGGGTTTCCCGGTAGAACCGGAGGTGAAGACGCTGTAGAGGGCGCTATTGGGCCGGTGGGTGGTGACTAGAGCCTCGGAGGACGGCGCCGGGATATGCTCTTCATCCACGATGATTGTGTGAGAGCTGATCTGGGCCGCCATCCCAGCAGTCGTGCTTGATGACAGAACCATCTGGGCCCCGGACTCAGCGAAGATGCCGCGTAAGCGGTCCACGGGAAGACTGGGATCCCAAAACATGATCGCACCCCCGGCCTTGAGGACGGCATGCATGGCAACCACGATGAACTTGGACTTTTCGAATAGAAGGGCCACGAGAACCTCCGCCGTCACGCCTTGACGACGCAGCTCATGAGCCATCGCGGTCGAAAGCTTGTCCAGCTCTCGATAAGTGTAAGTGCCATCGCAGGCGCAAACAGCGAGGGCATCCGGCCGCTCCAGGACATGGGATTGAAAGACCTCGCCAACTGTGCGCTCAACCGGATGCGGGGTTGCCTTCATCCAGGTATTCTGAGGTACAAACCGCTGGGGGAGCGTATCCTCCAAGGGGATCTCCGTCACGGTGGTCGAGACATCTGCTGCGACCTTGTCGGAGTCACTAGTCAGAGGGCGTGGCTCAAACATGTTTACAGCGATTTTTGGGTGTGTAGCAAGTCCAGGTTAAACTAGGAGGCGTACCCAGCTAGAAGAATGAAATGGGATGGACACAATGAATCTTGGGCATTGGAAGCTACTCGAGCACGATCCGACTGGAGCCGAAATTCTACGATCGATCTACTGATCTACTTAACGTGATTGATAGTCGCAACCGACTATGTCACTTAGCTCTCCCAGTCCCAGCTCTACAGTCGAGCACTTTGCTCGGCTTTGTCCGAATTCTGTTGGCAAGTCAAGCCTCATCTTTGAGGCAAGGGAGTTGCAGGGCGCTTGACCACCGAATCCTACTCGATAGACTGATTTCTGTGCAAGGACACCTAATAGTAAAGCATACAAAGCAAAGCAAAGCAATGCAATGCGATGTGATGCAGCTGCTACCGTCTCAGCTCTCCAGTTTTTTTTTGTTAGTTTTTTTTTTTAGCTGAATCCTTTCGCCTGCATTAGGATGTTGCTCAAACCCTCTGCCCTTTGACTCAATCAGCACGTCACGCTGTTGATCTACCTTGTCAGACAGCGGACTCAGAAACCATGTCCCCAATTGTGAGATATTGAGACTGCGACTGAACCACCAGTCATGGGCATCATCAACGGGACCGGGTGGCTGGCTGAGCGGTTCGGTTCGGGGCCCAGCGGGAGACCCAGTTGATCGCCACCTCTCTGTCTTGAATTTGGTGCATTATCTGAGTTGTGATATTGCATGCTGTAGGTCGAAGATCAACTTCTTAGCAACCGATCGGATCAACCGAGATCGACAGTGTGGAATGGATCGGCATGACAGACAGACTATTGTCAATACTATTTGCTCCTTGCAGCCACCACAAGGCCTTTGTAGGATTGGACGGCAGGACCCGCCTGTCCTCGTTTAGAAGCCTAGAGAGTATAGTCAACTAGTCTATCAGGGCAAAGCGCAGAGATCGTCCGGAACCTGCATGTCCAGTCCCCATCATTGGTCCAGAATGCTGGTCCTGTTCTCGTTCCTAAATCGTCCATCGCAACCCACACCCCCCCCCCCCCAAAAAAGAATACGAGACGGTGATATAGACAGGGCCTAGGAATGGCAGAATTTTTCCCCATTTTCTGGGTCATCTTCCATTGCCAGAAAGGTCACTGTACGGAGAATTCTCCATCCACACAGCCAGCGAGAAAGTGTAGGGGACCAGGTGTTTAGGGCCTGGTGGTCATAGTTGAACGGGCTAGAGGACAATATGGGTCTGCTTACTTACCCTACATTATTATTCCAGTAATAATATCTGGAATTTCGAAGTTCTGCAAGTACATGGCTGTGGAGAATAGTCTCAGCGTGTTTGGTACTCCCAATTTCTGAGACGGCCTCAATGACTGGCTCGCGAGGATTGGTCCATCACTGTGCCACCCCAACAATGGACAAATAGCTGCAGATACTGACAAGCAGCAGCATGGAAGAGAGAAAGCTCTCGGCGCCCGGCGAAGATGATCTCCTGTAGCCATGTCTGATGTTGAGAAGAACACGACCCACAAGGGATATCACTCTGGTGCAGCTGACGGGACTGACGACTAGTGGACAGGCTGAGCGGTGCTGCTGAATCAAGGATGATGATAATGCCAGTCAACCAGTGTAGAACGTGCAAAGTCAATATTTCAGGTCCAATATAGACTGATCGCCTCCCCCCTGAACTGTTCAAAAGGGTCGAATGAGTATCTTTCGGCCAGCCTTCGGAAGATTGTCTTGTTTCTAGTCAAATCATTCCAATATATCAATCCCTTTCACCGTGAATACCCCTTCGTTTAAACTCACTTGCCCACCAGAAATAGCCGCATCATCATGGCAATCAACCAGCACGAGGACGGAAGTTTTCCCCCGGCCGAGAAGTGCCTTTTCCCCATCCGCAACGACGGAAATCTGTCTGCAGACACAGTGACGAAGCTATGGGGTGTTACGAACCTGTGCTCTTGTGCGCTCCAACAGGCCGGGATCTTTGATTCGTCCTCCTGCTCGTCCTGTTTGAATAGCATCCCGACCTCGAAACAGCGAGATCCGATCTTCTTCCTCGCAACGATCTGGGCTTTGCTTCTTTGGGAATATGCCGAGGTTGAGACTGCCCACGTTGGAGTACAAGAGATATCATCTTCCGCAGACGATACAGGGAGCAAGAAGCATATGAGGTTGCTGGGGGCACCTAGAAGTCCAAATCTCACACTTGCCCAGCTCTCTCGCGGGAAGGGATGGTCTGTGTCCAAAGGAAACCGGAATCACTTCCCCTATTTCAACACGGGAATCGTAGTATATCGGAACAGCAGCAGACCTGACACACCAGAGTCTGATTGCCTGACCACAGCAAATGACGACGAGGTATCTCCAATTTAGGCTCACCACTACTCTCACCAAACAGACTGGCTGACATTGAAATTCTCTTGATCCAGACGTGTGACATTATCCTGGTCGTCGACCCGACTCAGTCCGAGTGGTACCTGAAGTATAAGACTGCTGTGGTATCTAGTGGGCAGGCGGAGCATCTGGCATCCTTCTTGGTGGAGGCTGCGCGGACGCTGATGACAGTGGAGGACTCGGGCAGCACGGTCAGCCCCGTAGAACTGTCGGTGACGGTCCCTACGCACCAAAGCTTGATCAGGAAGTGGAATAGAGCGGCACCCGTCCAGCTCTCTGCGGCGACAATTCACCAAATCATCCGGAATGTCGCCATGACCGACCCGGGGCACCCGGCCCTTATCGCGTCAGATGGAGAGCTTACCTACGGCCAACTGGACAGCCTGTCCTCACGCCTGGCACGATATCTGCAAACAAAAGGGGTGCGGCCAGGCATGTTGATTCCAGTATGCTTCAACAAGTCCCTGTGGGCCATTGTCGCCATGCTTGCGATCAACAAGGCCGGTGCGGCTTTTGTCACTCTGGATGCATCACAGCCACCCAGTCGCCTGCGTTCAATCATCAAGCAGCTGGACAACCCTCCCCTGGCGCTTGCGTCTCCCGAGAACCAAACTCTCCTGGCTGACATGATCACTCCTACTCTGGCAGTGGCGGACAGCATTCTGTCGGACCTCCCGATGAAGACCGCGAAACAGAATGCCGACGATTGGCCCGTTGACGCGACTGCGCCGGCCTACTGCTTCTTTACTTCGGGCAGTACCGGTGAGCCCAAGGGATGTTTGGTCGACCATGCTGCGCTCGCCAGTGTGGCCACCCACTGCCATGCGCTGCATCTCGATTCCACCAGTCGTGTACTGCAATTTGCTTCGTTCAGCTTTGGAGTGTCGCTAATTGAAATCTGGTGCACCCTGTCCGCCGGTGGCACGATTTGTATGCCGTCCGATTCGGACCGTGTCAGTCGCTTGGGTGACGCCGTTCAGACAATGGGGATCAACTGGGCATTTGTTACCCCCACTGTGCTGGCGACCCTACATCCCGACATGGTCCCCGGCCTGCGTCGCATTCTGGTGGCTGGTGAAGCGCTGAAAAAGGCTCAGATCTCCGTATGGGCAAGTCGCACAAGTCTGTTCCAAGCCTTTGGGTTTACAGAATGGGCCGGCGTGTGCTGTGTGTCACCCCAGATCCACACAATTGCAGATATCGGCATCATCGGAACCCCGGCCAATGCCCGTTGCTGGCTGATTAAACCTGGGGAGCCGGAAACCCTGGCTCCAATTGGAGCAGTTGGCGAAATCCTGGTGGAAGGCCCCAGCCTGGCTCAAGGATACCTCCACAGCCCGGAGAAATCCGCTGCGAGTTTCTTGCAAGCTCCGGCCTGGCGAACGGAGGGAATCTTGGCTACGGTGGATGGAAAGAGGAAGACCCAGGATCGTGTGAGAGGGTGGTATAAGACCGGTGATCTGGCCTTTTACGATTCCAACGGCCTACTGAGATATGTCAGCCGAAAGGATCGCCAGGTCAAGGTCCGGGGACAGCGAATTGACTTGGGGGAGCCCGAGTTCCATATCGCACAGGCATCGCCTCTGCTTCGCAAGGCGGTCATCGATGCCATTGTACCTGCTGATGGTGACGGAGTGGCCACTCTCATGGCTTTTGTGCCCGCGCTTCAGGCGCCAGAGTCGTCCATGAATGGTGCCGTTGCTCATGGCGATTCGTTCTTCACGGAGCCGAACGCGGAATTTGTCGCCACTGTACATAAAGTCATCGAGTATCTGGAGGAAAGACTCCCCGACGTGATGATTCCCCGTATTTTCCTGCAGATCCGGTCCATGCCACTGACCGTGACGGGGAAAATCGATCGTCTGCGATTGCGACAGGAAGCTCAAAGTTTGCGACACGAAGAACTGCTGCAATGGACGGGCACGGCAAAGTCATCAGCCGTCACCAATGCACCGCAGTCGACCCATGAGTATCTCATTCACGGGCTGGTTGTCGATGTGCTTCGCCTCAATGGAGACCAGGTCGGGATGGAGCACGATTTCTTTGCTCTGGGTGGCGACTCCGTCAAGGCCATGAAGCTCGTCAGCCGGGCACGCGCAGCTGGCATAGAGCTCACGGTCAAGCACGTCTTTGGATCATCGCAACTCAGTGAGCTCGCAATAATTGCCGCCAAGCTGGACCAGGCGCCGTCTGTGCAACTTCACCAGCTTGAGCCGTTTGCGCTCATCGACGGCTACTCCAAGTCGGTTCTCATCTCCGCCGCAAAAGAGCAATGCCGAGTGGAGGAAGACCAGATCGAAGACATCTATCCATGCACGCCGCTCCAGGAAGGCATGATGGCACTGTCTGCTGCAAAGCCTGGGGCATACATTGCCCGCTTCGTCCATCTATTGCAACCGCATGTCAACCATGCGCGGGTTCGTCAAGCATGGGAAGCAGTCGTACAGGCTTGTCCCATCCTGCGGACAAGAATTGTATCGGCGCCTGATGGAGGCATGTTCCAGGTGGTTCTTCATGAGTCTTTCCAGTGGGACGAGTTCGACGAGAGTGCCGGAGCAAGCAAGGAAACGTATATGGAGAAGCGCCAGACGGAGCCTCTCCTGCTTGGTGATCCTCTGCTACATGCTGCCCTTCTCCCTGGATCTAGCCCAGACAGTCATACAGGAACTGACTCGTCCACATACCTCATCATCACTATGCATCACTCTGTGTGTGACCGATGGGCATCTCGTCTGCTCATGGATTTGTTTGAGAAGGCGTATGATGGGCACGTCCTCGCTCATAGCCCAATGACCCCGTTCATGCACTACATGCAGCAGCGACTTGCCAATTCCAGCACTCCAGAATTCTGGAAACAAAAATTCCAAGGCCTCGGAGCAGAGGTGTTCCCTGCTCTGCCATCACCGGGCTACACGCCCATGCCCCGGGACAGCTGCCAGCGCTCAATCGTATATCACGAGGATGCTCCCAGTGGATATACTATCTCCAACGTCCTGCGACTGGCATGGGCGCTGGTAATTAGCCACTATACATCATCGCCTGATGTGGTCTTTGGGGTCACTGTATCCGGTCGCGCTGCTCCTGTCGCCAATATCGAACAAATGATTGCGCCCATTGTCGCAACACTGCCTCTGCGGGTACGATTCAATCCCACGGACACGGTCCTGGCTGCGCTGTCAGCCGTCCAGAAACAATCAACAGAGATGATTCCATTCGAGCAGTTTGGCTTGCAGCGCATTCGGAAATTGAGCAGCGACGCCGCTGACGGATGCAGCTATCAGAGTCAGCTAGTGGTACAGCCAGTCTGGGCCGACGAACAGCGTCCACTCCTCACTACTCTGGAAGCCGGTGCGGCAGTTGCAGGTGGATTTGCCAGCTGCGCGCTGTCTGTTGTTTGTAGCCTGACAGCATCACGCCAGGTGGACGTTGCCATGGAGTTCGATCCCCTCGTGGTTCCCAAGGCCGGTGTTGAGCGCATCCTCCGTCACTTCGAGCAGGTTGTTCAGGTTCTTCTGGCCGAGCCCCAATGCTCCCTTGCCAGTGTGCCCTTGCTCAGTGCAGCGGATGTTACTCAATTGCAGCAATGGAGTGGCAATCTGTCCACCGTCGACTCTCAATGTGTCCATTCCATCATCAAGCAGCGCTGTGTTGAGTATCCCACATCGACTGCAGTTTGGGCTTGGGATGGCAAGCTTACCTATAGAGAGCTGGATCAACTCTCCGACCGTTTAGCAGCTGAGCTGGCGACATCTCATGGCATCCGGCCCGAGGTAATCGTACCCATCTGTATGGAACGTTCTCGTTGGACGACCGTAGCCATTCTGGGAGTGATAAAGGCCGGTGGTGCCTTTGTCCTTCTTGATGCATCCCAACCGCAAACTCGACTTGAGAACATCTGTCAGCGCGTCAATGCCGCTGTTGTTCTGACCTCTGAGGGAAATATCAAGCTCGCGCAGCAGCTGGCCCCTGCAGCTCTCGTCATAGATGAACCACACTCGCAGAGCTGGCCGTCTGATGTGATCATTCCGAGCATCCCTGGGAAACCCACTTCCACCCTGTACGTTGCATTTACATCGGGCTCAACCGGTACTCCCAAGGGCGTGGTGATTGAGCATCAGTCGTTCTGTGCCAGTGCCCTGGCGTTGAACGACATCACCCAAGTTACTCCACACTCTCGTTTGCTGCAGTTTGCCGGGTATTCATTCGACGGTAGCATCATGGAGACGTTGAGCGCGCTCATGGCTGGCGCGTGCCTCTGTGTGCCCTCGGATTTCCAGCGGCGCAACGAACTGGCGTCGGCAACCAAGGAGTTCTGCTTGACGCATGCTCATCTCACGCCTTCTTTAGCTCGACATGTGCTGCGCGACAATCCAGACTTCACCAAAGTACTGGTCAGTGTCGGAGAGCCTTTGACACCATCTGATGTAGCCGACTGGGCCACGAGCAATCCTCAATGCCGCGTGATGAACGGATATGGGCCAGCCGAGTGTGCAGTCTCAACAACCATTCAGCCACTCATCACCACGGAATCAAGCCCCCAGAACATCGGCTTCGCTCTGACTGGAATTGGCTGCTGGGTAGTGCACCCCGAGAATCACGACATCCTGCTTCCAATCGGCGCTGTCGGTGAGCTTCTGGTGGAGGGCCCCACGGTTGCCCGAGGATATCTGAACGATCCTACCCAGTCAGCCGCCGTCTTTATCTCTTCTCCCCCTTCGTGGATGCGCACGATCCGTCCGCATGGCGCATCGGGTAGGATGTACAAGACTGGAGATCTCGTGCGCTACAATACCGATGGATCCTTGCAGTATGTTGGTCGGCGGGACTCCCAGGTCAAACTTCGAGGGCAACGCATTGAACTTGGTGAGGTCGAGAAGCATGTCCGCCAATGCTGGCCAGGCCTCACCGGTGTCGCTGTGGAGATGGTCACTTTCACGACACCATCGGCCTCCACTCAGAACCTGATTGGCTTTGTTGTTGCGGACGCTTTCGATGAGACAAGCTCTGCCCCTCTCGACCTCGGTGGAGATTTACTGCTGGAGACTCCTCCCCCCTCCTTCCACGAACAAGCCGCGGCAGCTCACGGCAGGCTTTGTGACAGCATGCCGCGATTCATGGTTCCAGAAGTCTTCCTCCCTGTCCGTGCCCTGCCGCAGAGTGCTGCGGGCAAGCTGGATCGCCGACGACTGCGGGACCTGGCTCGGACCTGCTCTCCTGAGCAGCTGGCGCTATATCGCAGCGATGTGGCCACACAGAAAAGAGCTCCCACCTCTGAATCGGAGCGCGCAATGCAAGCTGTGTGGAGCCATGTGCTGAATCATCCGCTGGAGGAGATCGGAGTGGATGACAACTTCTACCATCTCGGAGGTGACTCCATCACGGCCATGCAGATTGTTGCCCAGGCCAGAGCTAAGGGCCTTGCCGTCTCGTTGGATGAGATCATGCGGCACAAGACTATTTCGCAGATTGTGCTCAATATTGCGGCCGCCCCGATGATGCGCCACCAAGCACAAGAGGATGAACTAGACGTCGAGTTCCCCTTGTCCCCAATTCAGCAGATGTTCATGGATCACCAGGCACAGAGCGGCGGTTGGAATCGGTTCAACCAGACATTCTTACTACGTCTCGCCCAGCCTATCTCGCTGGAACAGCTATGTCAAGCCACCAGCACGCTCCTTGCCAGACATTCAATGCTCCGAGCGCGATTCACTCGCTCATCGGATAGTCCCTGGACTCAAAGCATCCGCAGGCTACCAGCAGCTCATGAACAGCAGGACTACTGGCCCTGCACAGTCCATGACGTGCGCACACGTGGCCACATGAACAAGATAACCACGGCCACCTCAAAGAGCATCAACATTGAGGCCGGGCCTCTGGCGGCAGCCAATTTGTTGAATGTGCTTGAAGATGGATCACAGCATCTGTTCCTCGTTGTTCATCACCTGGTGGTTGACTTGGTATCGTGGCGCATCATCCTTGCAGATCTTGAATCCATCCTGAAGGGCGAGACTCTGCCGAGAACCAACGACTCCATCTCCTTCCAGGCATGGTCTCGGATGCAGTCTCATCATGCTGAGCATATGCTGACCCCAAAGGCTTCGTTGCCCGTTGATCTGCCGCAGACATACCATGAGGATCCCAGAGCGTTCTGGTTTGCCTCACCCGGTCAGCCCAACCGTATCGTGGATACCCAACTGCGCACCTTCACCTTGAATAAAAAAACCACTCGGGTCTTGCTGGGTGCTGCCAATCATACGTTTGATACTCAGCCTGTTGAAATTCTCCATGCTGCCCTGCTACACTCCTTCCGCCGAGCATTCCCCGACCGTGCTACTCCAGTTTCCTTCAGTGAAAGCCATGGAAGGGAGGTCTGGGACCCAGCCATTGATCTCGCTCAGACCGTGGGTTGGTTCACAGTCGCCTGGCCGGTTGTTGTTCCTGGGTTGGAGCAGGCTGCCCAGGATGACCTCTTGGACGCCATCCGCCGAGTCAAGGACGTTCGTCGTGCCGTCCCCTCCAAAGGCTGGGCTTATTTTGCCTCTCGCTATCTCAACCCCGACGGCCGCAAAGCCTTCCAGCTGGAGCATCCCATGGAGCTGATTTTCAACTATGCCGGCGAATTTCAACAGTTGGAGCATGCCGATGCGTTGTTCATTGCCGAGTCGCACGAGGCGCAGGGAGCCCTGGATGCCGGGGAGGACATCCAGCGATTCGGCATCTTCGAAGTCTTTGCATCGGTGCAGCGAGGTCGCCTCCAGTTCCAGTTCATGTATCCGCGCGAAGTCCAACATCAGGACATGATCAATACGTGGATCGCAACGTGCCAGCAGACACTGGAGGTTGCCGGATCTCACTTGGTCGCAGCTTCACAGGCGTCCGACCACATATCACATACTCTGGCTGATTTCCCCCTGATGTCATCTTTGACGTATCCTCAGTTGAAGGAACTGGTGCAAGTCACGCTTCCCAGTCTGGGGATCTCCATGGACAACGTTGAGGACATCTACCCCTGCTCGCCTAGCCAACGCGGAATGCTTATCGCTCAGGCCAAGAAGGTAGACAACTACAATGCCAGTGTGACATGGAAGGTCCAGTCTCGGAAGGATGCAACTGCCGAGAAGCTCAATTTCCAACGGCTCTACGACGCCTGTTATCGGGTCGTTCAACGACATGCTGCGCTGCGCACTGTCTTCGTGGATAGCGCGTCTCCAGAGTCATACATGGACCAGGTGGTTTTACGCCATGTCCGACCGGACTCAGTTATCAAGCACTCTCTGATGTCGGCATCCGATCCCCTTCCTCTCGGCAAATCTGGTGGCTGGCCCAAGGGTGAATTGATGCACCAAATCCACATCTGTCGCGTTGAGAATGGGAGGGACGAAGAGCTTCTCCTTCGCCTCGACATGAGCCACACAATCATGGATCGCACCACGATGCAGATTATTGAACGTGATATCTGCCTAGCCTACGAAGGGAAATTGTCCAATGGACGTGGACCTCTCTACAGTGACTATGTTGCTTACATTGACCGTCAGGACCACGAGGCTGCTACGCGTTATTGGCAGGAATACCTTGAGGGCATCGAGCCATGCGAATTTCCCAGCATCAACCCTGATGTGAGTGATAAGAATACGGAGGAAGAATGGGGACATGTTTCTCGCACATTAAAGGAAAGCACTCTGGGAGAGAGCTCGGTCGACAGCTTCTGCCGACAGCACAACGTGACCATCTGGAACCTGGCAGGCCTGGCATGGGCTCTTGTCCTTCGCAGCTACACAAACTCCGACAATATCTGCTTTGGCTACGTCAAGTCCGGCCGTGACCTTCCCATTGACGGGATTGCAGATGCCGTGGGCGCTATTCTGAACCCTCTGACTTGCAGGATCTCCTTCGACAAGAATGCCACGGTGCAGGAGACGATTCACCAGCTCCAGGAGGAGTATCTGCAGAGCCTTCGCCATCAATCTTTCTCACTGTCAGATGCCCATCGACTTGCAGGTATCACAAGCGGAGCACTCTTCAACACCTCCGTTGGTGTGCAAACAGGACAGATTGCTGCGGACGGGGAGACAGCCTTGGATTTTCAGACATTGGCAATGGAGGATGGCGCTGAGGTGCGTATTTCAAAAGTTCCTTCAGGGGACAGACTAACAAACTCTTACCGTAGGATGATCTCGTCATCGGTGTTACACCTAACTCTGACCACCTTGTTCTCAACCTCCGGTATAAGACAAGTGTCCTCTCGGACTCCCAAGCCTCCAGTGTCATTGCCACCTTCGAAAAGGCCATCCGGTCTATCATCACGACCAGCGGCGATGCTCCGGTCACTGCAGTAGATATCTTCAGTGAGCATGATCATGATTTGATCTGGGCGCGAAACCAGGTGGTTCCTCCCCTGGTGGAGGCATGTGTGCACGATATCATTCATCAGCGTTGTCTGGAACACCCGGACAGCGAGGCCGCCTGTGACACGGAAGGATCGCTCAGCTATCGCGAACTGGATGAGTTTTCGACTCGCCTGGCGCGGTATCTCACGTCTGAATGTGGCGGCATTGCACCCAATGAGGTGGTCCCTATCTGCCTCGAGAAATCTCGCTGGACCCCCGTCGCCATGGTGGGTGTGCTCAAGGCCGGCGGAACATTGCTGCTGCTGGATACCTCATATCCTCAGCAACGTCGGAAGGAAATCTGCGATGAGGTTCATGCCCGCATCGTGGTGACTTCAGCGACTCATGCGGCCGAAAGCAGAGAGCTTGCATCAAGGGTTGTCCTCCTTGGTACAGACGATCTGGCGTGGGCCGAGCAATCTCAGCAGAGCACAGAGGTGTCTCTTCCCAAGGTTCAACCAGACCACTCGCTGTATGTGGTGTTCACGTCGGGATCCACTGGCAAACCTAAGGGATTAGTCGTCGGACATGGCTCTTACTGTAGTGATGCTCGCGATCACATTGCGGCGTGGCAGCTCACACGACGCTCGCGTGTGACACAATTCTCTTCATACGCATTCGACATGAGCATCCTCGAGCAGCTGAGTGTCCTCATGGTCGGAGCCTGTATCTGCGTGGTGACCGATGAACAGCGCAAGAACAACTTCAGTGAAGTGGCCCTTGCTCTTAAAGCCAACTTTGCCATGCTGGTTCCCTCTGTCGCTCTCTTGTTTCGTCCCGAGGATCTGCCCACTATCGATAGCCTCATGCTGGCCGGTGAATGCATGACCGAAACCGATGTGTCTTCCTGGGCTCCTCATGTGAGACTGATCAATGGCTACGGGCCTGCTGAATGCTCCGCCTTATCTGTTGTCCAGTCTTCCATTTCACCCACCAGCGACCCCCGCAACGTGGGATATCCCATTGGGTGTGTGCTCTGGGTGGTTGATCCACAGGATCTCAACTGCCTGGTCCCTCACGGCGCCATTGGTGAGCTGTTGATTGAAGGCCCAATCGTTGGTAAGGGCTATATCAACCAGCCCGAGAAGACCGCACAGGCATTTATCAAACCCCCGTCATGGCTGCAAGCTCTGCGTCCTCAGCAGCAGACTGCTGGTCGTCTGTATATGAGTGGCGATTTGGTGCGCTCCAACCCTGATGGATCGCTGACCGTCATTGGCCGCAAGGACAGACAGGTTAAACTTCGAGGACAACGACTGGAGCTGGCTGAAGTCGAGGTCCATGTACTTCGATGCTTTGAGGGCGCTGCTCGGGATGCTGTCGCTGAGATGATTGCACCAGGCGGCACCACTAAGTCGCAACTTGTCGCCTTGGTTCTACAGCCAGAAAATCAAGTACAGGATGAGGAGCAGCAGTCTTCTGCATCGGCAAACAATACCTTTGCCGATCCCAGTGAGGAGTTTGCCTCCCAGGTCGCGGCTGCAGAGGTCAGACTGCGTCAACAGGTTCCTGAATTCATGGTACCGGCCATCTTCCTTCCTCTTCGGCAGATGCCCCGCACACATTCGGGCAAGGTGGACCGTATTCGCCTCCGGAATCTTGTGGCATCTATGCCTTTGGAGCAGCTGCAAGGATATCGCGCTGCCTCCGCATCCTCTGCCTCAGCCGGAGCGTCCAACAGAGATCCCCCTTCCACCCCAGCAGAGTGCAAGCTTGCCGAAATTTGGTCGCAAGTGCTTGATCTACCACTGGATACAATCAGCGCAAATGACAACTTCTTCCTGAGAGGCGGTCACTCTATTGATGCTATGAAGGCGGCCGCTCTTGGTCGCGCTGCGGGTATGAGTTTCACAGTCGCGGATATCTTCGCCCACCCCATCCTCACGGATCTTGCGAGGGAGGCAGTTCCCAAACTGGTCAATGGTGATAGCCACGGAAGCAAGGGTACTGAACTAAGCCGGCCGTTCTCGCTGACCTCTCCTGATGATGGGAAGTCATTGCATGCGCAAATGTGTGCCCAGGGTCGCATCCCCAAGAACAGCACTCTGGAAGACTTCCTCCCCGCGACGCAGGCACAGTTCTTCTTCATTGAGCGAAAGACATATCACTCATACAACTGGACCATCAAGGGGGGTTCGGTGAGCATGGATCGCCTTCGCGCTGCCTGCCAAGCCCTGCTCGACCGCTACAGCATCCTTCGCACCAGTTTCGTGGAATACGAAGGGCGTCCCATGCAGATGGTCCTGGGCAATGTGGACGCTGAGATCCGCGAGTATCATTGTGCGGATGGACAAGAGCCATTGGATCTCTGCCGCGCCCAGTGGGAGTGTACTGAGCTGCCCGAATTGAACGTCATGGCGGGCTCACTGCCGGTCAAGTTCTCTCTCATCTCGGCGCCACAGCAAGTGGTTCTTACGATCCAGATCTCGCATGCGCAGTGGGACGGAGTCTCTATTCCTAGACTGTTTGGCGACTTTGCTGCTCTCTACAACCAAACCGCTTTGCCACCGACGTCGGACTTCTCTCAATACGTCTATCATCGCACGGCGCCCACCCAAGAGGCCAAAGATCAAGATCCAGCCTTCAAATTCTGGCGCGAGTACCTCGAAGGCGCGGAGATGGCTACTCCATTCCCAGCACCGCCCCCTACCCTTTGTGCTGAGCAGTCGCACCAGACTCTGTGGACGTTCAAAGGTATTTCGCCGCCCCCCTCGCTGCCCGCCGGCGTCACCATGGCTACGCTGGTCAAATCCGCGAGCGCCTTCTTCCTTGCGCATCATCTCAGAGCCAGGGACGTGATTTTCGGGCACACGGTGAACGGCCGTAATCTTCCCATGGACAACATCGAGTCCTTGCTAGGATGTTGCCTGAACTTTATTCCCCTGCGGATCACGTTCCCTGAATCCTTCGATGAGTGGACGGTCTTGGACCTGATGAACCATGCCCAACACCAGTATATTCGTGCACTGGCTCATGAGCATGTTGAGCTCCGCGACATCTTCCAACACAGCACGAGCTGGCCTGCGGAGACGCCACTGAGCTTCATCGTACAGCATCAGAACATCGATCTCAGTTACCGACTTCCACTGCGCGGACCCGTCAACGATAGGGTGGGTAAAGCTGATGCCAACGCTGAAGGGGACGATGATCTACTTGATGTCCGCTTCTCTAGACTCGCCGTCTTTGATCCGTTGGACGAGGTCTGGGTGTTTACAGAACCGCATCCGGACCGCCTGGAGGTGCAGGTGTGCGCCAACAGTCGCGTGCTCGCGCAAGAAGAGGCCACGGTGCTGTCGAATGGGATTTGCAGCATCATTGAGCAATTTGCTGCTGACCCGAATATGAAGCTGGCGCAGATCAAATTTTGATTTGCCTTTGCACTACGCTCTGTTTTTCTCTTTTTGTATATATTGTTATGATCTGATCTGAATGTTTTGTCATTTTAATGTCTCAAATTTGCTTCAAAGTATATAAATGTAATACGTGTCATAGTCTCTGAAATTTCCACCCGAGCGAAACCTCAAAGAAGGAGATTACCACGGCCAGTGCAGCGAATTGATCAGGGGATCTCCTGCTGTATGATGGAGCAGGCCACTACTCAGAAAGTAACGATATAGTAACACGTATCCGGACCCCTCGATCGTGAGCGTGCCATCCCGGCCCAGCACCAGTCCAGATAGACCTCAGTGCGATCACATAGAGCTGATTTCGATGGAGGACGATACTGGTAATCGGGAAGGAAAGCCCGGATCGAAGCGTATGATCGACTTCACCATTGAATCTCCCGTCTGCATGTTTCGGGGATCATCAGCCTGCCTGCGAACCTTGTCATCCTCCACTGTCCAGCTGGTCCAGATGGAAAATTGGAAACAGATTGCATTTTGCCACCAGGTGGGGACAATTCGGAATCACGGGAGATTCCTGGATTTAACTAGTAGTAGTAGTCTACTGTGTAGTCCGGGTGTAGGAAAAAAAATAAGAGATGAAGCAAGGTGAGAGCTGGCGCTCCCAACTATTGACGACGAATCCTGCAGTCTATGCATACTACCTTAGCTTGTGTAACAGTCGAGTGTTGATCGTTCATGTCTTAAAATTCAGCCAGCGAAGAGCCCACTATGCATGACCCATGTACCCAATTCCTTTGGAGAGGCGAGCTGAGCGTGGAGCATCGCTCCGGGCTCAAGTTTTGAGGAAACGCAAGGGGGGGGATGTCGTCGGACAACAGAAATCGGTTACCATGCTAATTTAACGAAGCTTTATAATCTCCATGGCTGCCGTGCAAGATTGAGCACTTTTGGTGAAAGGCAGAGCGAGTCAAGTCTCAAAGTCGCCGTCCACCATGATATCCTATATTGTCCCTCTGTTGGCGACATTGCCCGGTTTGGTGGCATCAGCGGCCACCCTCGCCCCCCGCGATGATGGCCCAGCAGATTTCAAAGCGATCTTTGATCCCGTATTGTCTCCTGGGGCTCGGTTGTACCTTCCAGGTGACCCGGAATACTTCAACATGACCTCGCGGTGGTCCAACCTGTTCGACCCGTCCTACATCGCCGCCATTCAGCCTGCCAACGAGAAGGATGTTCAGAATATCGTACGATGCTTGCAGTTCTCTCATAGAAAACAACTCGCATGCTAACGGACGATCTCCAGATCAAAGCTGCTAACAAGCACGACATCCCGTTCTTGGCGACTGGGTCGGCTCACAGTGTCAAGCCAGGCTATACCACGGTCAAGAACGCGATTAACATCGATCTCAGCTTGTTGAAAAATGCGTGTCTGGACTATGAAAAGGACACGATCACCATCGGCCCTGGTGTTTTGAATGGCGAGGTCTACGACATGGTTTACAATGTGAAGAAGGAGCTCCGTAAGACTATCCTCGGTTGTTTGTAACTGAACCAGCTACTGATCACGACCCAACCACCAGCGCTCAGCACGGATCGCTGCATCAGCGCCCTTGGCACCATGATCGGTGGTGGTCTGGGAACCCTGTATAGTGTTCGCGGTATTCTGGCCGACTCTCTCGTCTCAGCCCACGTGGTGACTGCTGAGGGAGAGTTGGTCACCGCGTCCGCCACCGAGAACCCCGATCTCTTCTGGGCAATCCGTGGGGCGGGGCACAACTTCGGCGTCATTACCTCTGCTACCCTCAAGATGTATGACCTGACCAACGGCGGGAATAGCGTGTTTGGCGATTTCGTCATCCCGAACGCCCGGAACGCGTCGGCCTTTGAGTTGTTGAAGTCCGTGGACGAAGATCTGCCGGCAGGTGTCTTCTGGGGCATTCTCGGTGATTTCAACCACACTACGAAACAGGTACTTCCTTTCCCCCTCCCAACCCCCTTGGCTTGTGGTATACTAAAGCTTGCCTTGCGTAGCCCGGACTCCATGTTCGCCTCCTGGTCTTCGGTGATGACGCCGTTGCTGCGCCCCATCTGGACAAGATCATGGCTCTGGACCCCGAGGTCACCTTCTGGAAGAACACCACCTGGAACACGTACGGTGAAGAGACGCCCATCATGTGCAACCGCCGCTGGAACTCCAACATGTACTCCATGGGTCTCAAGCATACCGACGTGGACACCATGGTCGCAGCGTTTACCAACTGGAGCACGTTCGCGGCCGAGCATGACTGGTTCAATGGCTTGCTGATGATCGAAAGACACTCCGAGGCCACTGTCATGGCCGTCCCGGAGAAGGAGAGAGGTGTCTTCCCTTGGAGAGACACCAAGATTCAGATGTAAGTTTTTCTTGGGGACCCATGAAGAGGAACACCACTGAACTGACTGGCTTAGGGTCTTTGTCAACTACATGGACGATCCCAAATATGCCGCCCCGCTGGACGACTTCATCCAGCCAACTCGAGCAGAGATCCAGTCCGTCATGGGGTTCGAGAACCATCACAGCTACGTGAATGAGGCATACGGCGACGAAGGCCCCGCCGTATGGTACGGCGAGTGGAATTTACCTCGACTGGTGGAATTGAAGCGGAAATGGGACCCGAAACGTCAATTTGGAGCCGGCATGCCTATTCCGTTGAGTCTTTGAGAGGGAGTGTATGCCTGGCTGTGATTCTCTCGTCCTGACGAGGCAGAAAGGGGTGGGATGGTAGAACACCCCGATATCGAACAGTGTTACAGTCGCTTGGGGCTCCCGGTTCCTGGACCTCTGTCACTGTAGATACATCTTAGTAACATAGGATCATGTTATTGATGTAAATTCCATGCGATGAACATAGCAATCATCCGTCGATCTAACTTGCTGTCTCCCCACAATCTGCACGAGTACTTGCTTCGATGAGTTACTTGCATCTCTCCCCTGATCTTTATCGCCCTTCCTCTTCCTGTCACGGTTTCCAACCATCCCCCAAACGCCCTACAGAGTCAAGACATCACCATCCCTATTCTTGACACAAGTGACACCAGCCAACCGCTCGGTTTCTTAATCAATTGGCTGGGTCTCGCAGCCACGGCTTTAGCTGCGCATTGGCCCACCGGGCATGCCACAGCGAAATAACGGTTCTCCCAAACAGGTTTACGGCGGCCCCTTAGACTACCACTTTGATTAAGAGCAATTCTCTTCTCGATCGTGGGTTCGTCCACCCTGCTGGGGGTAATTTCCTGGGAAATTGAACACTCTCCATAGTCGATATTTAATCCTCGTGGCTCTCTCATGCCCTCCGGCTTCGAGGGTTAGCAGTTCTTTTCCAACTACCAGTCGCTCGTTGCTCTACTGTCGTGCTTGAACTGCCAGTCACTCCTTGTCAGCTTTTTGTTCTGTACAGTGTACATTGATATTCCATTTTCTGCGTGGACATATTCTGCTCGGTGCCATCTCCCGCCAGCATACTTCTTGAATCCCAAGACCCCCCACATTACCGGCCAAGCGAAAACATACCGAGCCAAAAATGCGCTCTTTCATCCCTCTGATTGCCTTGATCGCGCCCTTGGTGTCGGCCGTCAGCATTACTTCGCCTGCGCTGAATTCGACCTATGCCGCTGGGTCGACCGTCACCGTCGAATGGACCACCGTTGACACGGATCCGACGCATCTGAGTCTCTACCTCTGGAACTTTTTCTCCTGGCCTCCAACCTACGTTCCTCTGGCTACGGATGTGCCGACGGCGGATCAGTCCTACTCGGTGCAAATCCCCTGCGACACCAATCCCGAATGGGGTTACCAGATCAGTGCGATCAACGGCACCAACGTCTACATCATCTATGCCCAGGGAGAGCGTTTCACAATCTCCAAGCCCCTAGACGGAGCCAACTGTGTGGACCCAGCACCCATTCCTTCGCCTTCCACCTGCGCTGCGGTTTCTACCGTTTATGTCACGGTGAGCCCTACTGGTTCCAGCTCCAGTGTTCTGCATCATTCCTCCCACGGCTTCCATTCGAGCCACCACCACCTGCACTCCACCCACGTCCTCCCTGCTCCTTCATCCACCACTGCCACTTCTTCTTCTTCTTCTTCCAGATATGTGAAGCCGGGAATCGTGCCTAAGACTATTGGTTGGTGTTCAGACTACGCCCACCCCGTAACCTTGGACAAGGTTCCCACCACGACCCCGGCCGTGAACGACGACGCAGATGTGCCCCAACCTTGGGTCACCTCCCCGCCCCGCAAGGTCAAGACCATCACTACTACCGTGGCCGTGACGGCTTCCTGGGGTGATGACCGCTGTGCGTTTGTTTAAAGAGGACGGGACTGCAGCTGTTCAAATCGACTCGCGATGATTACTATTGATCTTGTACACATTTCATTCTACTCTCCTGCGCTGGTTTGCCCTGTCGCTTTACTTATTTAGTTCAACATATATTCCACTTCCTTGTCCTACTTCTTGTATGATGTAAGGCTGGGATTTCTAATGGTCTACTCGGCCTGCGGCTTTGTCTACTTGTGTAGGCCTAGAGAAACAAGATTTGTGCTCCAATAGCCTAATAAAGGATTCCAATCAATTCAGAATAAGTTTTTCATTCAGTAGATTATCCCAATCATATAAGTTGTAGAAGTTGGCGAGATCGCATCCCTTATGCTCTTTGCACCTTGTTAGTGACTTTTACATATTTTCTACCATTACCCGTTATACGGGATCTGTGATGACCACGAAACGTGGTAGGCATATATCTAAGTGATATAAGGTGTTTCATCTGGCATCAAGAGCACCTAGAATAACCCAGTGCACAATCTCAGTTAGGTCAAGAGGGAACAGTGTATATACCACAAGTACTCAACATCCTGAGAACCCGACAGCTACCATCTATCCACCAACCTCATTTTCAGTGCTACCAGAGAAATGTTACTTGCACGCACTGCCCTTTTGGACCTGAAGTCCATATACACTGTTTTTAAAGCTTCACTGTGTAATCTTAACAGTCTATAAGAGTAATAGTTCGCCTCCTGGCCCCACACATAATGCGAGGTAGTTACATGGCCATGGCCCCATTCAAAGCCGTTTCCTGGTCCGCGAAGGTACACTGTCTCTTCAAGCAAAGAGATGTAGATCGCCGGTATGTTCATTGTCTCCACATCGTGATGCGATGAGGGGTGGCGAATCTGCATATCGAATTTGCTGAAAGCAACCTGTCGCAGCGCCAGTATATTCTGGTTCAGCTGCTTGGTGGTCATGAGGCTCTGGGCCAGCGACACCGGTATCTTCATAGAAGGTTGAGTCTCATATTTGGCTTGAACCTGTCCGCTGGAGACATTAAGATAGCCCTGAACCATAACGAGATGATGCCTTTCGAATATCTGAGAATGGAGATACAGCTTGGGACAAAGCCAGGTATTGCACGCGCGCCTTGATCTCATTATCTATGACAGCCAGAGGCAAGATGACTCCCGAGTCATCATGACTAGTGGAATCAAGCAAGCGGGATACAGCCTGCTGAATGTGCTGGGGTAGGTCTTCCGCGTTCTTCAGCGGAGCCTCTGCGGAATGTCGAACTTTGGAGGTGGGTAAATGCCCGGATTGCTTCTGTCGTACTGGGGAGGAGATTACAGCCGCAGGTGAGAGAATAAACAAACTAATTCCTCCAAAGCAAGAAGGATGACCAACTTCATCCGTATCAAAACTGAAAAGGCCAAGCACTTATGCCAGGAACGGGTGGGACGCGCTTATTCATAGCATCTGGTGGGACTGAAGTCAGCGTGAAGTTCGGAGTGAAAGGGCGCTTGTTGGGGACCAAAGATGAGAGGAGAGAAGGGGATGGGGCGCGTTGAATACCCGGTTAGCCTATCAAGCCGGCATCCCCGAATGAGCTGTGAATCACCACTTGACGTAGCGGTGATAGAGAACATCTCCGTATTTGAGACAGAGCAATTAAGCGGCTTGAATACTATAGAGAAAATCTACCAAAGGTATTTAAACTCCTTGAGTCCCTACAACGGCAGCTTCCAACCATAACTTAATTCACACCCCTGGCCTACACTACCTTCACACGCAAAACAGCCCTTTGATCCGTCATCATGCAAGAACCAATCTATAACCCCGAGTAGGTCCATGGGACTCCAATCCGCTCCTACCTAGAGACATCTCATGATTTGAAACTGGATTAGGTGCCCCATGGCGACACTTACCCTCGCCTATCAGTATAAACTCGTCAACTGCCCCGGAAAGACCATTGTCGGCATGCTGGTCGAATATCCCCCCAATGGTGCGACACCTCCTCATCGCCATGGAGGTGCTTCCGTCTCCGCCTACGTGATTCACGGCTCTGTCTTGAATAAGATGAACGATGACCCGATGAGGGTGATCGAGACTGGCGGCTCCTGGTACGAGGCACCAGGCTGTCACCACCGCATTAGCGCCAATGCGAGCAAGACCGAGCCAGCTACGTTCTTCGTCAACTTTGTGATTGACTCGGAGACCTTGGAGAGAGAGGGTCCGTCAGTGCTTGTGCAATATGACGCGGAATACAGGGATCTTGTCGCACAGAAGATGTTGGTGTAATGGTGGATTGATGGGCTTGAAGGGACGCTTGTACATTTGCTCCGAAGTGGAATGTCAATAACATTCCCCTTAACCGTCTTGCTGTTGTCACCTATCCATTAAGGTGGAACGAATATTCAAATTTATGTAGCGATCAGAACAAGAAGTAGTTTGTGAATTACCGCGTTGAGGGAAGAATAATAAATCGCATCCTGTCCAAGCTATTCGGCAGACCAGAGCCCAAACGATTCAGTCACGTCGTAGCAGTATCAGAGCTGAGAAGTATGCTCCGTATATGTTTTCAAGTACGGTCATATGGCTGTGAGCTTCAAGAAGAATACACCAACGCTAAGGGTAAGGAAGCTCGATGCTGCAGTTACATTTGACTAAGCTCTGTGAGGGTAATGCATGCCGCCTTCGGATCTTGTATCTTGCTTATAGCCGATTGATAGCCTACTGGACACATTTCTTTTTCCTTTTTTTTTTTTTTTTTTTTTTTCGATTGCCTCGTTCCGTGGTTGTTAAATGTTTCGTCCGCGAGACAACCCGCAGGCAACACTAGATTCCCATTTCCTGATGATCAGCGAGATCGACTTCTAGTTATTTTAACTCCTTCTTTCCTACTTGCTGCCAAAAATTGCGCATCATGCAAGCCATTCGCGTCCACCCCGCTTCTCCCGCGGCTGTTCCTTATTCACCGGCGAATCCCGCCCCATCCACTGCCCTACAGCTGGACCACGATATTCCCATCCCAACGCTCCCTCAACCCGGGGAGCTTCTCGTCCGCGTCAAAGCTACAACCATCATTCGGGACATGTTAACATGGCCTGAAACATACGAGCACGAACTTGCCATCCCGGGTAACGATTTCGCTGGAATCGTGACCGAGGTCTTCTCACCTGAGAGCAAGTTCAAGCCGGGCGACCTGGTCTTCGGCATGACGGACGTGCACCGTGCTGCCACCTGGGCCCAATTCACTGTCGTGAGAGAGGATGAAGTAGCCAAGTCACCGACCGGATTGACTTTCGCCCAGGCCGCAGCGCTGCCACTCAGTGCCCAGACAGCATACGAGGCCTTATTCGAACACGCCCAGATGCCTTTACCCACGGTGGAGGAGGCGAGGTCTTGCTCTGCACCGAGGAAGGACCAACGCGTGCTCATCACCGGGGCTGCAGGGGCGGTGGGGGTGTATCTTGTTCAGCTTGCGGCGGCGGCAGGCGTGGGGGTAGTAGCCGCCACCAGTTCAAATGCCCGCAATGGGGAGTTCCTCCGGACCCTTGGGGCGGATGAGGCGGTTGAGTACGGTATGCTGGAACGCTATCGAGGGATGTTCGATTTTGTAATTGATGTCGTTGGCGGCGAGGTCTTAGAGCAGTGCTGGGAGTATATAAGAGAGACAGGGGTACTTGTCTCTGTGGATTCCGCGAGCTTCAATTTTGTCGAAGAGCACACAAGGCGCGGTTTATGCAAGGCCGGTGTGCGTGCATTATTCTTCATTGTCAAGGGCAGTACTGGGGCATTGCAATATCTTGCTGAACTGGTGGACGCAGGAGCTGTCCAGCCGTTTGTGGTGGATATTTACCCCCTCGCCAAGGCACAGGAGGCGTACATCTTGGCGAATGGTCGGTATTCTGGACGTGGAAAATTCATTCTTACTCTTTGAGTATGACGGCTTGGTGCCACATGGAAGCAAGGCCCACGGTTAAGTAATTAAATAGAGACTTCTCTCACTACTGAACAATGCCACCCTAGGCGTGGGAAGGAGCTAGATGTATGCCATAAGGGCTGGAGCTTCTCGACGATGAGCTATTTATGTAAGAGCGCCGAAGCAGTGTCACTTGGGATCAGTGAAGTCAGTTAAAGAGTCATATCTTCGTCACGGCATGCATAAGCAGTATCCTATCTC